GAGCTGTATGTCGTATAGCATGTATGGTACCTCTGACAGATTTGGAGCCCTGACACCCGTTGAAGTCGGCATAGACTGTGCACACCCAATGGAAGACAACGTAGATGCGAACCGTGAGTGGTAGTGGCGTTCGTTTTGTCTCAGTCCGCACATGCGGTAGTATGCTCCCTAGCAGTATGACATTCCCAGCCTCTTTTCTTTTTCAGCAACGAAACTATGCGTGTTGGTTACTGGAAGATCTGAGTAATTAATATGGAAAATAATCTTGACAACAGTAGTGTGACTGTAGGGCTTTTTTGATTGATCATTGCATAATTCAACGCATATTGCCCTCCTACTACAGAGTCAATTAGGCTTTGAAACAAAAGGCAAGTGAAGCAGCGTGGACAACCTTCGAAACGAGGTAAGGTCCCGAAAACTGGCGCCACTTTGTTACCGGGTAATTGGGAGTGTCACATCTAGCGTTCCTTACAAGTACATACAATGCATAGTGCATGAAATTGAAAGAGATCTGATTCGTTGAACATGCAAAGCAGGATCGCGCATGTTACCGAGGAAGTTAGTGCCGATAGACAGACGACTACGTTGTCTTTTACTCGCTCAAGGTAACAGCCCTCCCGAGATACGTACAGTCTTGATCCAGCGTATTCCTGACTGTACCTACCGTACGATCGTGTGCAACGCCGGAAGACCTAGGAAAACCTCGGCCATGGAGACTGACAGGACGGCACGTAAGCCAATAACGAGAGCGGGCAAGTCATACTCATTCGAGCGGGAGTAGTGAGATTCCAGAAGAACATACAGTGACTGATTTGGACCGGGGACATTTGCTGCAATAAGTCATGCTTCACCAATCTAGCAGCTCCGGAGTGGATGCATACATAGCTAAGTCCACTTGACGGTCCCCATTTTCGCATAATGTTCATCCAATCCGCGGAAAGAGTACGGCCGTAGACCACGAAGGATTTGTATTGTAACGACCGAAGATCTTGATGAGAACTGAGCTTTCAAGGCGTCAACACCTTGCAGGTCGTGCAAAGTCTCGCTCAGTTAAGACAACAGAGGAGTACTGCAAAGGGGTGCGTTGTGTTGAGTTTCCAAGCCGAGGGTTTTGGTGCCTGGAAGTCAGTGTATTCTGTTACACTGTCGGGAAGCCTATGAACAGGCCTAATGTCAGGGCAAGCTACCCAACAACTCAAAGCGGCACCGTGGTGCTTTAAGTTTGATGCCATCGCTGAACCTAGGTGGCCACTGATGAGAGAATGACGAGGAGAAACAGTCCCCATTCTGAAAGACTCTACCTGAGGCATTCCACTTGGGGCAATAAGCTAGACTAGTGAAAAGACCGAACCTTGAATCTCACTGCTTGGCCTGCTTCGAGGCACTAACGTATGTACAAGTAGGCCCTACGGCGGGGTCAAGCGCGCTGACGGGTGATCAACCGCTAGATTACCGAGTCCACTGAGCAAGGTTTACCTCCCAGTGGTTAGGGGACGGGATCTCGCATGGCTGCCCCTGTCGGTTTTGGAGCCCTGGCAGTCTGGACGATTCAAGAGTTGAAGTCAAATCCTGGTTGCATTGCGTCTGGTCTCTGGGGTATCGTCCTCCCACCGTCCCTAATGAGCTGATTGATGTAGGCACGTTAAAACACCTCACCAACGAACCCGCAGCGTCACAACTAGAGTGGATGCTAGATTGAGTCGCAACGACAAGATGGCGCGTTCGAATTGAGCTACGGCTGTTTGCATGAGTAGGTTGGCTCCTATGCGCATCATGCACGCTTAGCAAGTTGCCGGCTCGTCTGATCTAATTCTGGGGCAGCTTAGGACATATCACGGATGGCGCATCTGCTGCTTGCATACTTTGTGTCGACCGCAACTGCGAGCAAAAGTACTTGCAAGATCTTGATACACTTCATATTTATAGTCTGGTATCACTAATTATGACCCAACTGTGTCACTCCGATTCCTAATATTGGGCGATGATTTTTTGCATCGCATCATGTATCTGATCTGCCTGGGACTTCTTATACAATTCGCCTGCAGATATGCTGTTCCAGATCAATGTCTATCTGCAGCAGGCATATGGAAGTAAAAGCCACTGGTTCGAGACGTCGCAATATCGAGAGGACGAGAATTTCCATTTATTGCTTCAGCTGAATAGCTCAAAGACTAGTTTAAGAAGTCGTCTGTTTCTGCCAAAGCATGATAAATCCGGCCGTTGTCTTCTTCGCAACCTCATCTTATCCTTTGGTTACTATTAATCGCAAACGTATTGGTCTCTGCGACTCGTCGCAAAGTCAGTCAGTCAGTCGGAAAAGTTTACCCACATATCTTACCGAGATTACATGCAGCAGTTACTCGAGTAACAAAGTCCTTATGATTGCAGGCTGCATACGGCTAGACGTCACTTGCATTTGGTCTGCGCCTGCAGGCATTGGAAAAAGAATCGCTGCTAGGTGATCATTCCAAATGCTCTGTTTAATCATCCACACTCTGTAAGTTGGAATTTCGGCTTTGTTCACCAGGTAGCGCGGCCCTCCCTTGAATCGCTAGTTTCGTCCTCTGCTTTCCTTTTCCCTCCAGACCATTATCATTACTCGCATTCCTAAGTGGGAAATGAATATGGCAATGGCAACATGAGGCGTCATAGTAGGCGCTTTCTAGGGCTTGTCCTATTAGCTTCGCATGCGGCAAACTGCACAGTCCGCCGAACTGAGCTTAACGTTGAAGTGACTTCAACGGCATCTTATGATAGTGCCATGCAGGTGCGCATAGCCCGTCTGCTTTCCCTCGAACGAGATGCGAAAATAGCGGCCAAAGCCCAGCTGCCATCTTTTCCCAACGTCAGGTTCCACACCTTCGGCGGCTGATGCATGTGTTCCGCTTACTCTGTTGTGCACTCCAGATGAGGTTATAGGCCGGTAACACCTTGGAAACGAATGCATTTCGAGCCATGGGTTCCGGACGTAATCGGGGTCACAACAAAGTACAGAGGGGATACATCTGCGAGAGCAGAGATTGGCGAAGTACAAGCAACCTGGCTGTCCTACCTCATCATACAGGGTCGCCAGGGGACCCCTATCCAACTTGCAGCCCACTACAGCCCGGATCCACGCGCGTCGCAGATCCTCCAATAGCTGCAGAAGCTTGCACCGGCTCTAGCCAATGACAGGTCTGAGCTACGACCTATTCGTGCGAAGTGCCCATCCTCCACCAGAACGCCCTCCGTTGAGATAGAGGTGTCATTCTTAGGTACACGGGCATTTACACTTTGAACTGACGGCTGATCTCTGCCAATGATGCTGGCAATTATCGGTGCTTTATCCGGACGCTCCTTGCTTTATGCTTTGAGTAATTCTGTCTCGCATGTTAGGGAGATGAAATGGTGCTAACTTTGTTGATACGCAGATTAGAGCACGACTGCCATAAGTTGATGGCATACCAAACGACGCCTCCAAGTACATAACAGATCCACGCCTTATCTTAGACGTCCCCGTCGCTTTACGCAGACGCCACGGGCGCTTGTGCATCATCACCACCTACTAGTCCTACTGGTAACGTATAACGCAAGATCTTAGCGTAGCTGTAGCTCAACTGTGAGTTCAGGAATCCCTGCTTGTCATCCCTCTGTCCCCATTTCAATCATGCGTGTGCTTTTTTTCATGTCCACCTACAAACATCCCCCATGATCAAGAGTCCCTTCGATCGACCCAAGGGACTTGTCCTTGCCGGCTGCCGTTCTGGACTAGCTGGCCCACTATATCCCGTCCGTCAGCTGTGGAGACTATCGCGCTTCTCTGGTACCTCCCATCATGTTCAGGAACTATTTCGCCGCATATACCTTACTTATTCTTTCCTCCTAAAACCTAAGACCCTTGCATTGATTTGCAGCTCTGAGACATGATTAAATCTCAACGGCCGGCTCATAGCTCATCCCTGCCAGATGCTATCTTCTCCACTATCTTACACCCATCTACGCCGACATAGAGAGTACCACTCCAAGTCTTACCCTGCACGTGCAGCACAGATTCCTGGAGAGGCGTGAAAAACAAAGATCCGTTCCTATTAGGCCAGATGGTCGCAGGAGGCTCCGGACATTTTACTTTCTGCCCACCGTCGGACCAATTAACGAAGGGGAGACACTAGGCTACATTGAAAAGAAACGCGGTGCATTTCTCTACGCAGACGACTACCAAGGAAAAAGGTACCTCGAGGGTAGTGCGTGGTCTCGACCGATCACAGGAATCTTGATGTCAAGCCCCATTACTTCAAATCGCTGAACACCACCATTCCGAGCGATGCTTTTCGTCCCTTCGCATCTTCATTCTTTATCTTCCCACATCCCCTTCTCATCTGTCCCAGGTTGAAAAACAACGTCTCACATATCCTCTACTTTCTGGAACTACGGAGTGTCCGTTTGCTGGTGGCCATTTATCCAGCCGACTTGATTCTTTGGTTCGTCTGCCTCTTCGATTGTTAGTTCTACCTTCGCCCTTCCGTGTTTTCGGTTCAGTCATTTACTACACGAACCGCGCGGGAAGCGCGAACCATCTAGGAACCCGTCGATTCTGATTACAGCCTTCACTAACACGCCTTCATGCGAACAGGTTCGGGCTACCTGCATTTTTCCAACGGAACAGATCCCCACTACTCACTCGCACCATTCGTCAAAGTAGTCAACTTCAAGTGTCAAGCTTCAATTACTCTTTGTTCGCAGAAACACCAGGTAAGAACTCAATCTCTACCTTGTAGTGCTCAATGATGTGAGGTCTTGGGATGTCGAGCATACTCTAACATATGCTGCAGAAAGAAAGCGCCAGTCCCAGGCTGACCTGTCATTGTATAGCTGTTTCAAGCCTGCTTCTCACGGTGGGGAAGGAAGGTTTTGAACACTTCCATCTTCCGAGACTCGACTCACTTAGTTTGTCAACGACCCGTGTGGACCAATGAGCACTGCCGCGGCATAAGTTTACTCTATCAACTCTGTCATCAAAGACGTAGATCTGGGCGTAGAAAGAGATCCGGCTCTATTAATTTCCCGCAAGAAGTCAGAAACGTGTGCAACTCCCTGGCCCTCTACTGGAATTCAAACTAATCACCTCTCAGTACTCTCAAAAACGCCATCGGCCAATGTGAGTCGAATTGTTTCACTTTTCTGCCAGGCCAACAGAAGCAATACCATATCTTCCAAACACTTGCCAAAGGTTTACCTCAGACACACTGAACACTCTACGGATCAATTTGATCGATCACCCTGGAGAACTCAAGCTCCAAGCTGTCAGATCCAACCTATTTTCACAACACCCTTCCCGAAACAGGTGCTGCATCAGATTTTCGTAGGGTCAGAACCATACACCACACTGGAACCCTCAACCATCAGTCTGGATGTCTACCACAAAGTACGGGTATACTTTCGAGGTGAGTCATCGAAAGATCCAATATTCCCGTCGTTGATGTTTTGTACACTACCGATTTTGGGAACAATAACAGCGCTAACAAGTTATCTAGCCTCATTTCCATCCAGATAGGCCAATAATAATCGATCCAGACGTCGAGTCTCCAGAGACTGTGGCCCTGAGATACGAGGAAGAGGCGGCGAGAGCTAGCGGTGCAGGCCACCGTGGAGACTCGCCTGGACTTCTTGGCTCATCTGCCTATCCAAAGTCGCAACAACCCCAAATGCACGGTATGTTCGCCATCTACATTGATCTTGTACGATACAACGAATGAGTGACCCTAATATTGGCGTTCCAGGATTCGAGTCTTCCAGAGCATACCAGGACCCGACCTACCAATATCCGACACAGTCTTTCCCATCACATCAGAATGAAAATGTCGCTGCCCATCTGAATCAGCTGGCTTTTGCAGCCAATAACTCGGCCAACTCCTATGTGACTCCAGTCTTACCAACAGTGATATCCCCTTGTGAGCCAAGCTCTGGAATCAACGGGACAAAGGTGATGATCAAGATCTCATCTCCTTACGACTTGGTCGCGGCGACAACCCGATTCTATCTTTCCTTTGGCCAACAACGATGCACTGCACACGCGGTGAGAGACCACCAGGACACCAGTGGGCTTGGGTATATAGTAAGTGGAAATGCACCACACTTCAACGACACGAGGAGCGGGAACTTCAGCGTGCCTTTATCATTGTCGGTTGATACTCCTGAAACGCAGGGCACAACGACTCTTGACGCTGGCACGTTTACTTATCATGACAGCCAAATCGGACCAGCTGATGCAGCACCTGAGGATATCACGCGCTCCAAAGTATCACAATCACCTGAGCATAGACAGGATACACCAAAACAGGACCATCATCGACTCCAGGAGACTGGCACAAATACTTATGGCTACCCTTCGGAAACCCAACATGCTCCAGAGCCAAACTATGATCCAAGCTTTGCAAACGCTGGCGGCAACGGTACTATGATGGCAACTTACTCGCGCTCTTCGTACACAGATGACTACACTCGACACATCCCACCTCCAATAAAGACCCCCTCGCTATGGGGTAATTACGGCCCGTCCCTGACTTCCATTCGAAGCCCGCCGACGTTGGGCCATACGACACACACAACGATTACTCGGCCCAGCATTGCGTCTCTTCCAGCGCCTGCATCCGCAAATCCGCAGCTCGTTCGTACTAGCACGTTGCAGACGTCTGGATCTCCGAGTGCATCTTTCAACCCTTATGCAATGTTTCAACAGTCAAAGGCCAAGCTTAACATTGTCGGCGACCTGGAATCTATGGCACAGTCGTGGACCACTGAAGAATGCGACAACCGCAGACGAATCGTTCTTTTCAGAAAACACCAGCAAGGCGCCACCCTTACAGCCACGTTCAAACCAGTGAGCGTCAACGAAAGACCACCCAATAGTATCTGTATCAGCTGCATATATTGGGCAGAGAAGGGCGATTGTTATGTCACCAGCGTCGACACCATTCATCTATTGGAGCAACTAGTTGCAGCACCGGCTAGGTTCACTGTGGAGGAGAAGAACAGGATCCGTCGCAACCTTGAGGGCTTCCGTCCCTTGACCGTAAGCAAAGCAAAGCCTGACAGCGAGGAATTCTTCAAAATCATTATGGGCTTTCCAAACCCAAAGCCGCGCAACATTGAGAAAGATGTCAAAGTCTTCCCGTGGAAAATCTTAGCTCAGGCGCTCAAGAAGATCATCTCGAAATATGTAAGTAACACACATTGAGCTGTTACATGTGACACGACTGACACACCGTAGTCGGCTTCGCCTTCTTCTCAAGTTGGTCCCAGTGCTGGCCATGTGATGCTCACTGGCAACCCAGGCGTTGGGCTCTATCATCACCCACAACCACCACCAACCCCCAGTGAGAGCTCGTATGGCCACCATGATCATCATAATCTCACATCACCACGATCGCTGTCGGGCAGTTCTGCAGGCACGGGATGGAATACATACACCGCGCGACCTTTGTCCCCAAGCTTGAAGTCGCATTCACCGATAACAGGCGGCATCCGCATCCCAAGCCTGTCTGGATTCGGCGCAAACGACGGTAGACATGGCACATCATCAGGTTACGGCATGGCCTCACAGCCCCAGCCCCGTTGGGACCCAGTGAGTACAAATGGTTACCTTGACGCAAGCGCTATTCCAGCGTATACGGGTCATCACCACCAGAATCAGGTGTACAGTGCAGGCGGATATGCAGATGGAGGCCAGCGAGCGTGACGCCAACCAACCGACACGAGGTCGAGAACCAGGCTAGGAGACCTATTCAGGGTGTGAACTGATATCACGGGTGACTGATTAATGTGGGCCTGCTGCAACGACGCGTCGGCCTGGAATGTCATTGCAAATTCTGCAATGTCAACAAGCTGCGCCTCCTCAGCAATTTCCTGGCAACGTTGAAATTCAAGCCTTTGGTTTATGCATGCAGTTTGGACGGGCCTCAAACCGATGAAACTGCTACAGTAGACACCCCGTGGGTGCTGTGATGGTGGTCGCTTGTGGTGTCGCTGGTGGGGCATTCGCATTGTGTCAGGTGTTGTGGCGTTTGTGGCACACACCTATCAGAAGCCCAAGCACTACTCCATACACTTCGGCTTTCATGTATCCACGACCTTTCCACACCCACCCGTGGATAAATTATCCGACGTCGTTCTCCCGCCTATTCCGACCTGTCCTCGTCTCGGTTGCCCTGCTGACCTATTGGAGCGGATCCGCCATTCCTATATGTCCTTATCATGACTCTACGTCCTTCGAGCCCAGGCCTTCATGTCCAATGTCGATCGGTCTTGGCTGGATGGCTTACACCTATCCACATGACTTCGCAGGCTTTGGGGTTTCCACCAAGTATTCTGAGCGCTTTCAAATCGAGTTCTGACTTCTGACTACTATACCCCTGTTGGCTCTCGCCTGTGGCTAAACGCTTGTATCCTTGTACCACATGGCATGTCGGGATGTATACTATCCGGCCCTGCCATCTGTCCCGCATCGTTCCCGAGACTACCAGTTAACGACCAACCATTGGTCTGTGTTTTTCAGGTTCTGCCCTGAAACTGTTAAGCAGGGCGTCATGACTCGGCTTCCCTTTGGGACTAGTCGCATACCTATGCATACATGTATATGCAACGCATCACAAGCTTCACATTTCCTTTCTCATCAATCGCAATCATATGATCCATTTGGGCCCAGCTTATTAACGACACGGTCGTCAACACATCTTAAGAACTCGGACGCTACCCTTGGGCGTGTGGGGCATTTTATCCTTGCATGTACTTTTTGTTACACATTATCACTTTTGTCATTTTCCGGGAGGGTGTCTTTTTCCTATATTTCTTCGTTTTCTTTACTGTCGAGTTTTATTTACGACTTGTTACTCATTACTTAGAGTTCGCGGGGCGTATGTACTAGTTGGCCACTGAGTGGCGGATGTGGTAGAATGAGCTTGGCGAAGGTTACTCTGGCTGGACTATGGTACGGATCAGGCTCAGGCTCAGGACAAGTACACAGGACTGGACGGCGCATATACTGGCCCTAGGGACTTTGGGTTGGTTGATTAGCATTATACCCGATGACTGCTTTGAACCTGCTAGAAAAAAAATACCACACTACAGGACCTGGTGCATTAGAGTGAGTTGAGATACTCCGAAGATCGTTCTAATCGAGATGGTACAGGAATACCATGAGAAATAAAGAACAGGATAGGAAGTTTCGAATAGCTGGAGTTGGGAATCAATACTTGCTTACTACAGGCACCACACATTAATCATAATATTTAAGCGCCAAGTTACTCGCTTTTAAGCAAACAACGCCCTAAAAGATTGATTAGATGCTTAGGCAAGTGGCTGTCGCCTTCACTTGCACAAACGGCGCTTACGGCATGTCTCATTTGTGTTGCCTGCATCGTATCATCTACAGAGTCGCCAAACTTAAATAACCACCGACACGTAATTTGACGACTGCATGGGTCTTCGTCATATCTATGGCTTACGGTATCAAAATGTATTATGATAATATCTTATTAAAGAATTGAGCTGCACAAGACGTACTATGCCACTCCCTCTCGTGTTTTCTTTTTACGTCAGAGTTCATTGCGTGTTACGGTACCGCTGTGAACATTTCTGACATGACCCGCCAAAAGCCATCCGTCTTGTATATTCCAAATCCTTCATACCACGCAACAGGCAATCCCAACACTGGCACCTCATCACCGCCAGGATATATTTTCTACAAACACCAATATCTACACTCATCCGCCTCGAATCGGCTGTTCGATTGTGTACGTTACCAGCGACGCTATAATGCTGACACCACTCGTCTCAAACGTAGATTCAATACCAGCTTCTCATAACGATACCGTGCAACAGTCAGCATGAAAGCTTCGCGATTGTTTTTGCCCTCACAAGAATCGCTGTGGCCTAGAATATGTTAAATCCAGGTATCTGGGTATAGTAGAACATAGAAAACTAAACGCACGCATCACCATAGTATGTACGCTGGTGGCTATATGTGCTAGTATACCAATAGTATGGTAGTTATAATCACGAGAAGGTATTTGCGTCACAGAAGTAGCGCTCAAGGTGGCACTTAGGCACACATAAACACTGAGAGCATTGCCATAAAGTCTGGTCAGGTATGATGAGCTTCAAGATATAACATGCCATATAAGTTTGATACAATGGTTTGCAGACCTAATACTGTTCAGGACTCTTAGGGCCTATCAGATCTTGTCGTACTCAACAAGATTATATCGACTCAAAGATTACTCTGGTCTAGGTGTCGGAATTGGAACGCGAAATAAAGCTAACTTGTTGTTGTCGTGTTGTATGACAAACATGACGGTACTTGTGTCAGATATGATGACTGATTTTCACTAATGCTAAGCGTGGTAAGTAAACAGTAAAAAGTGGTGAAGCCTAGTATCAAGTATAATGAACAACCACTGTTAAAATTTTACAAAAGAACGACTATACAATTCATCAAAGATCAGAATACAAAGGGAAGTCTTTGAAAGCAAAAGAGCGCCTGATCTCCCGGGTTCCTCCCAAGTAACTCTTGGGGCCTTCCATTCAATCACGTCGTCGATTTAAACTCCCTCAGCAAACGAAGCACCCCCTGCGTTCATATCAACAGCCATACTGTGCTTGAGCCCACAGACCTCAAAGAGTTTGACTGGTGTGATATTCTCGGGTGTCCCTACAACACCCTGGGTCTTCAATCGAAGAAGCGTGTCGCGAATGGCGATATAGGCAGGAGCCAGTGTTGCAAAACTGAAAATGATGATTCTGAACCCCATGTCCCGCGCTTCGTCCACGGTTATGGTAGGGCTCTTGCCATTCTCCACAGAGTTGAGCAGTAGGGGCCAAGGTGCCAAGTCCTTGACGGCTTGTGCTGCCTGCTCCTTGGAGGTGAATCCCTCGAGGAGACCAACGTCCGCACCTTCTTCCCGAGCCGCCCGCAGCCTCGAGATGCACTCGTCGTAGCCCAGCGACTGAAGTGCATCGGTTCGTGCGATAAGCACGAACTCGGACTGCAGTCGGACGCGGGCTGCGTGCGCTGCACGGATACGAGCAAGGTATTCTTCACGCGGGACAACCTTCTTCCCGCTCAGGTGACCGCAGCGCTTCATCAACACCTGGTCTTCCAGATGAGCACCTGCTACGCCAGCCCGAATATATTGCTCGACTGTCCGTGCTGCCATGATAGGACCTGTAGGAATCTTAGTGACCTTTCTTTAAATGGGAGCAAGGCAAGTTGCATAGTGTAATCGTTGTGTTGGAAGGCGATATTAAGTTTCAATGACTAACCTCCATATCCTGTGTCCATATCAGCGATCAGAGGTGGGCCAAATGGGTCAAGGTTGGCAATCATTTCGGCGTTCTCCCGCATCTCGTGGAGTTGAGCAATGGCCAAATCAGGTTGTCCGAGTCGGGATGCGGTCGTGCCGGCTCCGGTCTATAATACAATTTGTTAACGACAAGCGTTCGTGATACCGCGCGAAGCTGGGTGACGTACCATATACATGGCGTTAAAGCCAAGCTCAATAGCCGTCCTTGCGGATAAGCCATCGTATACGCCAGGACATACAATCAACTCATTGGTCTCAAAGAGCATCTTGCGAAGCTTCTTTGCTCCTGATGTCGGTTGATGGACACTAGACGCGACATGATTGAGTTGAAGCCAGGTACTAGCTCCATTGGTAATGGCGGCCTTTGCGCCGTTGACATCGTGGACGCCGTTGACTCTATCAGTAGTGGAAGACGATTTGGTGAGCGGCTCTTCAAATACCTCAGCTGCGTTGATGCTGGATGGTAACTTAACATGCCCCGAAACTTGCTCAGACATAATGTCTGTTGCACTTTGGAGAATGGATGCGGAGACATGTTCGAGTCTTGAAACAGGATCTTGAGGCTGGAGCGTTGCAACTGACATGATGAATGATTATAAAAAAGTGCTACAGGGTCGATCCTTGGGGCGATGAGTCTGAGTTAAGATTATGTTCGGGTAGTCGTTGCTTAACCAAGATCTACTCGAGCTTGTTCGGGCTCCAGCCAATATTTATACAAATTTGGATACCTTCTTTCGCACCTTTGTCCCCATATTGCGCAAGTTATCGTCATCGGCAAGATCTTCGTACATACTGACGGTGTATCACAGGTCAACTACTTGTTTGCGATCCCTGCGAACTCGGCGCTTACGTGTCTTCGGGTGGTGTCTTATCAGCCAAGAAATAGTTGCTGCAGCACCATCTACGAATGTGTTTTTTGCGCATATATGCCAATGTCTCAGGTGGAGCAACCTGCCATTTGAAGATACATGATGTTCCTTTGAGCAGACCAGTAGAAACGCTGAGAGAACTGCCGGTAACACAAAGTCTTCGGGGCAAGCAGGCCCATTCATGAAGCCCTTCGCAACATGGTCAGCCCGATTGGTTTGTTTTTTTCCTGTTCATATCTAGCGTACTTGGCTGTTCACATTTCAAATCAAACAGAACTAGACACGAACTATAAGGGGTTGTTATTGGATAAGAGTATTGCATTTGTAAGCTACGTGGTCAGGAGATTCGTTTATAGCTGCGAAAAGAAACTGCCGGAAACATACAATATACTCCTTGATTGACATCGTCTAGCATATGAGAAGCGTAGCTTCTTAGGTACAGTTCCAGTTTTATTGCCAGGTACAGCCCGGAGTTGGAAATACGATCTCCTTTTGTGATTTCTTTTTGTATACATCGGCGGAATAGGAAATGCAGCCGGCTGCCACAGAGATAATTGTAGGTTGCGAAGACCCACTCTCCGCGGAATATCGACTACGTAAGAATCATGGTCGGATCGTATCTTCTCGAATATAACCGTGAAGGATGTCTCGGCGTTGAAGGATCATCACCATTGTGACCGCTCACAAGTCCGAGTCTTGTGGCGCTTCGAAGTACATTTGCGGGTTCTTGGCATTTTGTCATTTCTCCTATCTCTGGGCGTGCAGATAGAAAAACGTCATCCTTGGCCTTCACTTTTCGAGAGCGCAAAGAGGAATGATCCGGGAATGCAACCGAGATTCGGAAAATTGAGCACAGCCGTGGTTCCCTTTTGAAACCTTTTGTTTGTCCAATTTCCTAGAAATATATGCATTTTCTGAAGCGGCGCGTTGCGTGTATCCTTCTTACTATATAGCGCTTCTCGAGAAAAGAAAAAAAAGAAGACGGCATTGACGATTTCTGCCCCCTAGAAACTACAACTACTGGCGGTTGTGCCAAGCACTGCACAGGTACATACTAAGGAAAGATCGCTGAAGTCAGACAGGGTTCTTCTGACAAAATAGTCCAGCGGACCGTGCCGTGAACATGGTTTAGGATCGGTTTGTTAGTCGATATAGTCAATGCAAGATTGGAATAGCATATCACACCTAAGCTTCTTAAGATTTGTACTATTGTATGCCACCAGACAGAAGCTTCATTATCCGCCGCAACTATAGGCTCAATTTTAGCGCAATCGATGCACGAAAGACGCTGTCTTTCCGGTTAGATCCGAGCCAGCACACGAGTCATGGAAATAATTATAAGCAACGGTATTAGACGAAGAGGCTCAACACAGCCCCGTGGGAATGCATGCATTGTAACCGAAACTAGCAAGATGATGTAGGTGGGGGTTACATCGGGTTTATTAACGCCTACTGCCAGAGCCTCGTGATTGGATGAGTGTAACTATGGCATGCAAGGTAACATGTCGCTGAACGTTGAAGAATATTCGCGACGTTTATCTTCTATTGTAAAACATAACTAGCGCAGCTCTACGAAAGCATCAGTTTGCGAGCCGAGACATAACGCGTATAGCTCATATAGACATAGTGACAATAGATATAAAGATTTAGGTATATGAAGTGCGGAGCGTGTCCATGCGATAATCTCCACTGCCCAGACGACCAGCGCAACCGCCCCTAATGCGTTACAACTCCAAGACTCCATACGCCGAGCCCGATCAAAATGAGCCAAGCCGGCCGGACAGTTTTACCGGCTTGTCTGCATCGCCCAGTCCACGTTTGCTATCCACTCGATGGCCACTGATCGTTCCTGGTCCATGTGCGCAGGACATGTTTTGCGTAGTGGCTTCCCGCTCCGGTCCAATACCGCCGCCCAATGTCCGCCAAGTTGACGGCTTGTGATCGACCGCGTTCGGCCGAAACCTTATCTAAGATCTAACCTGTAGGTTTGTTGTATATAGAGCCACGATTAATTGATCAACCTGATGCTGGATGGAAGATCCGATATTGGACTTGGGCTTACGGTGAGAGCATGTTGAACAAGAACGACACTGACGGGCGCTGCACCGGGGCTCTATTCGATTGCGGGACTTAATACGCCTTCTAATGCCGATACACCCTGGTTATGTAGCCAAGACCAAGCTGAGACTGTAAAGCCCGAAAAAAGTCTTGTCCTATGGGTATGACGCCTTGTATGGAAATGATTGGCAGATTGGATGGTGGATTACCGCTGTCCATCTCATCTGTCGAGAAGCGATAACGCTGCCTCTCCGCTGTTGCATTCTTGGCTGCGCGAACTACGTAGGACCAGGAAGCCACCAAAGTCTGGGCACTGATCAATCACCAGTCATGTGGGGGTTTGCAGGATCTTTGTAAGAATCACAACATGTCTTGGTATTTCAAGTACTGTAACAGAAAACCTCTCATTGTAGACTTGTGCCGCATCACCAACTGCATCGGAAAAGGTTGATAAAGTGGCCAAGACGGAGGAGTTCAGGAGTCCGCGAAGTCCTCGTGAGATCATTGTCGCGAAATTCCTTCGTGTATGTCACTTCAGCATCTTGGCAGATCCATCGATTCAAAGCAATTCTGACACCGAAACCTGGCTGTACTCGAGACTCAAGGTATGCCCCGCCCCCGAACCTGGCCATACATTGATATCTGTCTACATTTGTGGACTGAACAATCATGCGGTTTCAATATAATGCTTCTCATGCGCTGAAACATCACATCTCTAACAATCGTGTACCAGTTCCCATTATACCTGACCAGTGCACCATAAGTCACCACTCGTAACAGCTATGCCTGACGAAGAAAAGCTCGAGAGCCCGGGGGAGCCTGTCACGCAGAAAACTGAGTCTCCAGATTTGAGACGTCGCCTGGTTAAGCACTTTGCCGTCGAAGTTGACACCTCCTCTGGGTACTACCCTTTGTTGATTTGCTGTTTCGTAACGGGGCTCACTGACGGAACGCTATACAATGGTCAGTATCTATCTCAGGAATCTACCTCATTCAGTACTTGAGTAGCAAGCTAATGTCCAACTGTAGCCTACGGAACCTTCGTTTCTATGCAAACAGGTAGGGATATCCCCAAACTCCGAGACCAACGCTGGAATTGAATGAAAATCACCCTGATGCAAATGCCAGGAAATACCATCTTCGTGGCGTTAGGTACATCCGGACAGAACAACAGACCATTCGGCTGGGCCCGCTCCCTATGCTCAATCGGATGCTTCACCATCGGCTGCCTGATCTTCGCCAGGTTGCATAAGCTCATCGGCGGTGCCCGTCTGCGACGAACAGTCACCCTCTCGTTTCTGCTACAAACCGTTTGCGTCATCGTGGCCGCAGCAATCATCCAAGGCGGCGTCATCGACGGCAGTTACCCCTCTCAGCGAGATCCCAACGATGTCAACTTCACCGAGCTCGCCGCGGTCGCGCTGCTGAGTTTCCAGGCCGCGGGCCAGATCGTAAACAGCCGCGGGCTGGGCGTCAGCGAGGTGCCAACAGTGGTCATCACGAGTTTGCTGTGTGATCTAATCAGTGATGAGCAACTCCTAGCAGGCCTCAGCCGCAACGCGAAGCGCAACCGTAGAGCCATTGCGTTTGTGCTGACACTAGTTGGCGCGATATGCGGCGGCTGGATTTCGAAGGCTACGGGCGCTGTTCAGCCCTGTCTGTGGTTAGTGGCGGCTATAAAGGCCGCCATCACGATCGGGTGGCTGGGATGGGGCAGTCTATTGAAGCGTCGGTGATCCCCCCCCCTTAAGTGATACCATATGCGGGCCGAGCTACAACAGTCTGCACCATTACCGACTACCACCAGTTACACCGCAGTGTCTCACCGTGGGGCGAGAGGGCGCAATGTTGGCATATCTCAAACCATTCGGCAAGGTAGCAGCTATCATATCATCGTGTCACCATTTTGGCTCAAATGGCCCTTTCCGCTTGTTCGTCCTCCAACAACTACCTTTTGTTTTCACTGTTTGCGCTACTAGGTGGTTCAATTGAATTTGGTTATATTTCTTTGCCGTAGGTGGTGCCAATGCGTAACGTATAGTTTGCGATGCCATGTACTTTAGGACGAATGTCGTTGGTGACATCGTCAGTGGTCTGCGTATGATGATAGATTCAAGCGCTGCTGACTGTCTTCTACTATGTGACAAGAGTATTATTCTCCTTATTTTGTCGTCTTGCTTGTTTTCTCTTCTCCTTGTCCTTGCGCCATTTGATGCCATTCTTCATGATGAGCCACAGAACGGGTGCACCTATAAGCTGTAGCATCCCAATGATGAAGAAAGCCCATCCACTTCCGATTCCTTTGATCATGGGATCAATAAGAGCACTAGCCGCAGCGCCGATCAAACATCGAGTTAAATTGTTGCTAGCTGTTGCAGCACCAGCATTTCCCGGATTGACGTCCACAATAAGCGTGTTGGTAGTGTTGCTGAACCCAATCAAGCCTATACCCATGAGGAAAAGCAGGACACAAGGGACCGCCAAGTGGGCACGATATTGCATTGCCCAACCCCAGGCCAGAAGTACGACTGCGGAAAACAGCAACAACGGAATGCCGATTTCGAGTCGTGCTTTCTCGATGGGAAACTCGGAAAGGTCTTGCTCTTTGGTTCGCTCGAAGGGAATTCCAAGCTTTTTGCAGTGGCGGCGATAGTTCCAGTTGACGAGCTTACCCATAATGACCGCGGCTATCACGGATCCACCGCCCAAAGGCAAATACATTAGTCCAACTTGCAATTCATCGAACCCATATAGGTCAGCGAATTGTGACGGCATCGAAGTAGCGATTGCATAAAAGCCGGCGAATATGAGACTACTGTACATGAGTAACAGGAACATCTCTATCTCGAATAGAATCGTGAGGCTGCGGAGCGGGTTTAGTCGCTGCATTTTGAATTTTCTTTTCTCTGGAGCCTGTGATGTTGTCTGTTGCCAATCCGGCTTTACACCGTTACTCTTTATTTTTCGCTTATGGTATACGTCTTTTGTGAGCTGCCAGAAAGTCCGATAGAATGGATGTGGATGTATGCTCCCATCTCCGACGATATTTCGACAAGTTTCAGGCATGAACAGTGCGTATACAACGAACACAGACCCAGCCAGTATAGTCAAAAACCAAAAGATCCATCTCCAACCAAGGAACTGGGAGAGAAGCCCACCAATCACGGGGCCCAGTGCTGGCGCCAGAATGACGGGCACAGTCACCAACCCTACATATTGACCTGCATTAAAGAAAACATCCCAGTTAGCCAATGTATTCAAAGCAGACGGGAAAATCACTCAGGGCTCGGGCTTGTGTGAGATGAGTAATCTCATTTCTTGAGAGGTCTGAGAGGGGCACATCGACCGGTATTTCCTCGAAAAGCAAAGGGAAATCAGGGATGCAAAGTTATTTTCATACGTACCACGCTCGGCTGATGTGATAATGTCGGCAACGACGGCTTGGCATAGAGCGACTGTGGTGCTCGACCCGGCCGATTGTAGCACTATAATATTTGGAGTTAGTACTTACTTCCTTATGATGTGTTGTTGGGTCTTTGTCAATATGGAGAAAAATTCACAAGTAGCTCAGTCGTGTTGGATAAGGGATATACGCTCCATTGACAGGCTGAAAAGGGTAGGAGATGGTTTCCAAAATGCTTACTGCGAAGTATAAGCAAGGCTACGTATGAAGGGGCTAGTGCACAGCCAATATTGGCTGCCAGGTAGATGACAAAACAGATCATATATGCCGGTCGTCTCCCAGTACTATCTGCAAATGAACCAATGAACATTGGGATGATGCCCTGAAATATCTATGGTGATATTAATGATGAAGCACATCAAGAACGGCTTGGAACCAAGTACCATGTAAGTTGTTACTGTCAAATTGGCTTGTGCTTCGGAAATGTTGAACTCTATCGTCAGAAGGTTAAGTGCTGGCAAATAGATTTGGGCAGTCAGGGGGGAGAAGAAAGCTGCCGCCGCTGCGCCTAAGACGATGCTCCGCTTCTCCCATGTTGTGAAGACTGAGTAGTTGGGGCGACTGTCGACCACTGGAGCCTCGCTTGTGGGCGCTGAGTTTAGTGGTTTAGCTTCTGCATGTTGGTTACTGCTCTTCTTTTGGGAAGTCGTAGACATCATGGCAACGTGCAGAGTTCTGATGATGCTAAGCACATCTTCATTGTACGAAGCCGGGACGCCAAGTTTTATATCACTTTCCTTGCACTTCACCAATATCCGGGTCGGCAATATGGTGCAAGCAAACTCCAGGTCAGTCTCACTACATTTTCGCCTCGGCGGAGAACAGGTACTTGAAGTTCGGTGTCAATACCAGCGCTGTTGTCGTACCTGCACTGAGCGGCTTCGGAACCGAGACCGGCTAATATTGCGAGGAGACATTGCGAGCACGGTGACCTGTTGCTCTAAACTGGAAACGCTGGTGGGATATTTCGAACTTGGGTACCAAGAACAAACGGATATACCCTATCTCCAGTAAGTAGGGGTGGCCATATGGCCGGAATGCCGCGAGTTTTGCGAAACAACTGGGGGCGGCATCAAGCGCGAACTGTGATAACTTACCCGTACGGAGTAGTCAAGTCAGTCGTGTAATCCATCCACACTTGGCATGGGATGAATGCCCCACAGTTAGCCGTCGGGTGTCCAGTATGTACATACCATGTTGTAGCATGGATAAAGGATTCTCCGCAGAACTCTAATTCCAGGGGTTGTCGCGAAGAATTTAGGCGTTGAACGAATCAGAGAAAGCCAGATCACTAGCTTCGCTTCGCTTCGCTTAGCTTAGCTACGGAGGCAGAGAGTATCGTGGGCTTCTACGATTTGTATATTTGTCCAAATCACACGCTTGTACTACACACAGGCAGCCCAAGAACTAGCCCTACTCATCACAGGTTGTAAATCACAGTCAAACTCTAGGCAAGCCGAGGTTGGATGAACCGAAAATGGTAGGTACCATGGCGTTCCCTGTAAGTGCACTGTACATTAGCTGAGAAAACGCAGAACGTCCAATTCAACACTGCCCTGAAGCAGTCGACTGCTATCAAGAAGGAGCTTGCCTCTGTGACGTCGGTGGGTGGCCCAGCAACACCAGCAGCTCTTGGCTCCCTTTCCGCATCCCTGACAGCCTTCTCGCGGACACTCGACGAGTACAACCAGCTAGCCAAACAAGAACTTGTCATCGCGAAGCAAGAAAAGGCCCACGAGCGAATAAAGAACTTTCGGAATGAGCTCTCTGAGTTCCGGGAACAGTTCAGCGCATTGAAGACCGAGCGCGATGAGTCAGCGCACTTAAATAACCGTGCTGAGCTGCTGGGAAGGAGACCATACACCACGAGTACACCAGAAAACCCATACGCCAACGTAGGCGCTCCTGAGACAAGTAGCGGCGAAGTCCCGACGAATCGCTATGGTAGTGGCGGCGCCGTTGGGGGGCAGATGAGCATGGGAAGCAATGACTACACGCGCGAAGCGCACGCATTCAGAGAGCAGAACTTCTTTGCAAGCACGAATACGGCCCTGGACGACTATATTGCCAGAGGCCAGGCAGTTCTGGGAGATCTCGGGGAGCAAAGGGAGATGCTCAAGAACACACAGAAAAGGTTGTATAGCGTCGCCAACACGCTCGGAGTTAGTGGAGACACAATACGCATGATCGAGCGCAGAGCCAAGCAGGACAAGTGGATATTCGGAGCTGGCGTGGTCGTTTTCTTCGCCTTCTGCTGGCTGTGCTTGCATTTCTTGAGATGATGACCCCGTTAAGGTTGAGTGGTAAAGGATTTGCACTTTGAGAATTACGCATAGCAAGGAGTCCGGCGTTCATACATGTTGGAAACGAAGCAGCAATTTACTCTGGCATAGAATGAATCCATGCTTGTCCAGACCAATCGTCTGATTGCGCCAACTGACTTGTGTGTTTGGATGCCAGACGTTGGGATATCGCTATTCTGTGATGAGGTGGCTTGACCCTGTGTTGCCTGGCCCCGCAAAGGAAGACCGCATCAACGACTACCCCTTGTCGCCTCGGCCCTTCAATGCGATGGTGAAAATAACATCTTTACTTGTTATGACTTCCACAAACTGGCTTTCCGGCAACACGTGATTGCTCGTACTGATCTGGCCGCCAAACTCCGTTGGCCAATCTTCGACGTCCCACTCGAAGCCCTTGAGTGTGATGAGACTCGGCTCCTTGACCGGCACAATTCCAGCATACTTGTCAAAAACTTCCTCTGCTGGTTGGCCGGCCTCCGCGCCTGGTCTCTGTTCTCGCACATGGATCTTGTGGCTTCCCGCCTTCAGAACAAAGGTCAGGCTCTCGCCACTAACAAGGTACATTTTGCCTTCCTCGTAGGTTGGCGACGTCTGGAACATGTAGAGGTGGTGTATTTGACTGAGACCTTGGTCAACGCGTCCTCCCAGACCACCCATGGCTACAATATCCATAGCCCCACCACGGGCGGCTTGGACATATCGTCCAGCCTTTGTAAAATCCGTACTGTATTGGTCTGAATCATGGATAACTTTCATGGAGGGGTGAACGGCCTCGTAGTATTCCCGTGTCGTGTCGGTAAGAGAATCCAGGTCGCCTATTATCACATCCAGGGCTATCTACAGGAACGATCAAAATGGAACCAAATACAGCAGGTGGAGATTGGCTTTGACTTACGAATGGAAATGCGTCCTCGTCATCTTTGTTTTGGTCTCTCCCGCGCAAGCTATACAGACGATTTGCACCTCCATCTGCGGCAACACGCAGTGATGCTTGTCAGGTCAGCAGGGATGCGCACGCGGTTGAGCGAACCGCTTACCGTTGGCCCATAATCTTTTCAGGGTCTCAACATCTCTTAAGGGCTGGTTAAGAATCAAGAGAGCGAAGCGCTGCGTAGCTCGGTCCTCGTTGAGCAACGAGGCCGGATGCCACTCTATGTGATCTTTCTGTGGAGCAGGTGACAATGCCATACTGCCGTATGAGTTAACTCCTTCCACGCAGGAGTTGATGGGTGTCTGCCTCAAAACATTAGCAAACGCCGAGGAGCTGTACATATATGTCGCTCACGCGGCTGCCTTTTGACCTCCCACGCTTATGAATATATTGGTTAGTCAAACGACTACCTGTTATCTATTACTATTCGGCGAAATATTCACCAGAGGAACATGCATGCACGGCGGTCAGATTATCGATTCTCACGGTTGTAAGCGGGTTATGAATTTGCAGCTTCTTGAAAAGTGCGCCCAGGAACCATAGGGATTAGCTCGCCGGGGAGCGGGGGCCTCAACGACAGGGTCCGGCCATAAGATTGGCACGACGCCGCATGCACGGTGCCAAGGGTTGGAAGATGTACACCGACTATAACTGTGTATAGTTCGGCATGTGCAAAATTGGCTCTTGAAGGGGTAGAAACGAGTACTCATAACATAATCACGGCTTAGTGCGAGTCCATGAGTTATTTAACTATCGAGAGCCTGCCGGTTAACCCAGCGGCTTGAGCATGAAGTTGCAAGTCGGGACCGCGCATTGCAGTGAACAGAATGGGGGGTGGGGGGAAGGCGGAATTGGTAGGTATGTTTCAAACTTTTGGAAAGTCCAGTCGTCTGAGGATATCGACATAGTTGCTTTCAATCCGGTAAGAGCAAATAAAATACAGCATCATAAAAGTATGACCACACTGTAGTTGAACAGAGGCTGACCTACGAATGCGTACGTGGGTTTCAATTGACTTTTGCCTCGTTGATTGATGAATGGCCCAAGCTCCCTGGATCGCGGAAAGTCGGACCCATGCGCGTCACCATCGAAACGATTTTTTCTCGGAACGGTTGGCTTTAGAAATCAGAGCCACTGCTGCCACTGCCAGCGCTTACCAAGCTCAACTGAAGCTATTCCACTTTTTTGCAGCAAGGACTTTCTGGCGGCATGATTGGCATTTTCTGTTAGCATCTCTTTTCGTCACTCATTCAGAAGTACATCGCGACCATGTATCGTACAGCGCTGCGATCGGCGCCACGCGGAGCCAATGCTCTCAAACAGGCTGCCGTCAAGACGACAGTACCCCGACGATTTGCGTCGACATCGCCAGTAGACAAGAAGAAGAGGAGTTGGAAGGGATCGGCAGTCAGATGGGGTCTCGCGGTTGGAGCTGTATATTGGTACAACACAAGCCCCGTGTTTGTGGAAGAAGCACTGCGTATGCGCCAATACCCGACACGTTTTCACCGTACAGTTCAGCTGACTTCTTGTCTATCACAGCTACTCATGTGCTCCCGCCGCCTCAGTTCTCCGATGATGACCTCCCGACGGTAGAAGCAGTGGTCGCGCAGAAACGTAAGGAGGCAGAGGCAAGATTAGCAAAAGCCACACCCAAGGACGAAGCCGCAGCACCAGCTGCGCCCGCTGCCGAAGCGAAATCAGATGTTCCGGACAACGACGCGGAAGCTAGTGCACCTCCTGGCGAAGCGCTCAGTGGACCTGAGGCCTTGGAAGCCGAGGCCAATCAGCAGGGAGCGTTCAACCCCGAGACTGGCGAGATCAACTGGGACTGCCCGTGTCTGGGAGGTATGGCTGACGGGCCTTGTGGAGAGGAGTTCAAGGCTGCTTTCAGCTGCTTCGTTTACTCCAAGGAGGAGCCCAAGGGAATGGATTGCATCGATAAGTTCCAGTGCGTCGTGATCACCCGCTGCCTGGATTTGACCGTCGACCGCTAACACATCTCCAGGCATATGCAAGATTGCTTCCGACTGCACCCGGAGGTGTATGGGGATGAGCTCGCAGATGAGCTTGCTGATGCCGACGAGGAAGCCCCGGCTGGTGAGGGTGCATCGGAGACAGAAAACACACTCGCAAAAACATCCCCCGAAGCTGGCGTCAATGCTCCTGCAGCCAGTACGGTCGATGCTAAGTCGGATGTACAAGCCACCCCTTCGGATGCGCAGCCTTCCGCACTCGCTCCCACGGCAAAGACTGAATCCCAGACGCCCAAACCGTCGTCGTCATGAGGTCGTTGAAGTATTCGGGCCATTTGAGACACCCCTGGCTTGCTTGTTGCAACCCCCGGGTTTTCCAAGTCCACGTGTTAAATCGGGGAAAGCATTTGGTTACCCCTGAAAAGCGTGGGCCCGAATGTTAATATGTACACTTATCTGTATCATTGTGTATGAGACACGCCAATAATAGACAATCACAAGACCCAAGAATCCTCCTGTGTCATATTGACCGCTGGTACACCAAGAAGAGGTTTCCCACGTATCCTCGGTTATGCTGCTTAGTTTGGGTTTTGATCGTTCTATATCATCCCATCCTTGTCCCCGCTGACGCTATTGCTGCTCCCATCTTTTTCATGCGCTCGGATTACTTTCATTTCAGCATTGGGGAAATGTGCGCGGGCTTTTCATAAGTGTCCGCCAATTACTACTCTACCTACTCTCCTTTCAGCAGCATCATGGTTTCGGGCCAGGGGTGTTGCCGCAGCTGGATCGCTCACCCAGACTTCTAATAGGTGGTCAACCCCGCAAGTGCCCACAAACCCCAGGATCGCCTATTTACCAGAAAGTGATGGCGCCCAGCCAACCTCGGAAATTAGGATCCAAATGAGCATCTTTGTATTAATACTTGCTATAATCCGTTTCGGTCAAAGCGATTGAGCATCCCGCGCCGCCAATTTCGATAATGTTATAAGAATTGGCCCATCCTAAAACATGGGCATGACGACGTCACCAGCCGTTGCGCTAACACCAATCATCACCACACCGCCCACCGTAACAACTTCAAATGGAACGTCAGCGAGACGGTTGGCGGAGTTGTCGTCGGGATCCGCTACCGCGGCGCGGAGAGCGAAGCGAGCTCAAGTGTCGCGTGCGTGTGCGAGGTGCAGGCGTTTGCAAAAGGGTTGCAGCGAGTCGAGACCATGTCAACGATGCGTTAAGACGGGACTGGCTGAGCAGTGTCTTTCTGGACGACTTACTCCAACCTCAGCTACAGCGCACCCTCGATATGGGAGCGAAGGGGATGGTTATGATCTAGGCGCGACATCGGCCCTGATTACCTCACCCACGTTATCGACCTTGGGCGTTGGTAGCACAACACACACTAATTTTGCAAGGGAATCATTCCAAAGACAGGCAGACCTGGTGCCTGTTCAAGTGATTGAGCAGTGTTCCCAGCGCTTCTTTTCGCACTTGGGCCCTACAATTCCAATAATCTCGCCCGAATACATCGCAAACCTACAGAGGCGCACCTCGGAATCGACGGAAGCTAGCGCCGAGGCGTATGGCGTCCTGGTGGGCATGTGTGCTATGGTGTTATTGCAGGTCGAAGAACCAGGGGGTCGGCGTTTTGGCGACCTAGTGACCGCGGATACGAATGCCGCTTACGGATGGGTGCTTCTAGAGGAAGCTCTGGCGGCGCATCGTCATGCTCCCAGAAGGTCAAATCCTAGTTTTGAAAACGTGCTTTTCACTTTCTTCATCTACGCTTGTCACGCGGCATTGTTACATCACAGCCAAGCGTTCTTCTTTCTGAGAGAGACTACAACCCTTTACCTCTTGCTGAAGGCGGAGGTATTGCCGAATCCGACCAGAACTCTAGCCGAGCGATTGTTCTGGGTACTTATCGCATCCGAGCGGGCGCATGCAATACGTTATCGACGCCCAATAACGCTTCAGATCACATCTGCCAGTCCCAGTGTAGCCTCACTAACCACGGGTCCTGGCGAAGCCCACTCACTGGCTGGGTTTTGGTCTTTGATAGCTCTCTTCAGACCACTCGATACGTCCTTCATCGCAATACTGAATTCGGAATCCATCTCCTGCCCGCCGTCCCAGGGCTCCCTCGATGAAACAGAGGCCGCTATCAATGCTGCCTTGAATCATGCTCCACCGTCATCCCTACATCAGACGCAAAAGGCTAATTTGCGAGTGACGCAACTTTGGCTACGTATAATTATATGGCAAGTCCGACTTCGATTAGGACATCTGTCCGAGACGGCAATTGCAAAGTCAAGCCATACATATCATTACCCATTAGAAGTTGCAAAAGACCTAGCTCTCAGCACGCGAGATTTAGAGATTGGCGCCATGACCGTACATGGAGTCGGACTCACGGAAAAGCTTTTTGATATTGCCTGCGTCGTTATCAATGTTCTAGCGAGAGTCCCATTGGGGTTCGAGAGGGGGCCAGCAGAAGAAGACGTCAGATATATGAGAAAGTTAATCATGGAACTGCCTGGTGGCAAAACTGTGTACGACAAGCTGATGGTCAAACATTTAATGGCAGCCCTTCCGGGAATCGTAAGCAATTGAGACCGGAGCAGAACTTACACGCGGATTATAATTAATATTCAGCATTACTTGCATCTGAGGCAAACCCCCGTGAAACGATACCATTGCTCTGTAAGATAGCCCGCTTGGCCGACATCACCTCCCTTTACCAATATGTGATAAGCATCACTTGCTGATCGGACTTCATGCGGACGCCAACTTCGCATCTTCTCGACCTTCTTTTTCCATTAATGTCTGCTCGCCGCCGTTGGTTGGGTTTTCATAAGGATCAATCTTCGTCTTGGCAAATTGGCGAGCTGGCACTTGATGTTCGAAAAGCATGTCGAGTTCAGCATATGTTCGCCCTAAAACGATGGCGCGTTAGCTCATCCAAACGAGAAACAATGCGAAGGGGTACCACCTACCCTTCGGTTCTGGCAAGCGAAAGAAAACCCACACCGCGCTCAAAATGCAAGTGCCAGCCCAGAAGAATGCTGCCCTCGCTCCCCAGTTCCACGCCGTTGAGCTCAATTGGTAATTTGTCATGACATTAACAAAAATATTGCTTGCGTTGTATGCCGCGCGGGCAAGTACAATCGTCTTTGCTTTGAGCCTCGTGCTTGACAACTCCGACACTAGAGAATAGGTGACGGGGCCGACAGTAAAGTCATAGACAAACGTGAAGATGATCAGCAGTGCACCAATGGCCCAGATCGATCCGTTAGTGCCGGCAAAGGCGAGCGACCCCACGATAATCAGAAGCAGGAACTGAGTGCAGAGTCCAGAGAAGTGAATTGTTCTTCGTCCAACCCTTGACATCAAGAACCAGGATCCAGCGGTTCCGATCATGCCGAGGGCGTACTGGGCCATCGACAAAGAGAACGAATTAGTTGCATCCATGCCTGCTTGGGTTAGAAAGTATGCAAAGTATCCCATGATGTTTTGTCCTCCCAAAGTCTGGACTAGCCAGATTCCAACAACAATCTCTGTTCTTCTCAAATCGACACCCCGGAAGCAATCACGGAAAGTAGTTCCTGCTTTCAGTTCCTTCTCCATCTGATTTGTGTGTTCGATCATGGCAATCGCTTCGTCAACGTTGAAATTTGTGTCCTTGGGATTGGTGAGCCTCAATAGGCTCTTTCGCGCCGCTTCTCGGTTGTTGTGTCGAATATACCACCAAGGACTTTCAGGAGCAAATATCAGACCAGCTAGAATCGGTACTGGCCAAACCCACTGGACACCGAATGGGATCTTATAGGCCCACTCGTCAGTTCTATTTACAGAGCTTCGATTTACGGCCGCAGCAAAAAACTGTCCTATGACCCAACACATGTTGATAAATGTCGTCAGATATGGTCGTAGGACCAATGGTGCTACTTCTGAAGCATAGGCTGGAGTGACGGATTGGAAAGCACCCCACGGGATGCCTATAGAACGTATTAGTCTATATTTTCTCGACCTCCAGACAAGGACATATGTTGATGATTCACTCCTAGACTGGGAATGGGCCACATGTATATATGCATCAAAGACGTACCGCAGAGTATTTCCCCTACAACAAGTACTTGAACATTGGGGGCGAAGAACAACACGAAAACGAATGCAATAATCAGAAGCAAACTTCCCATGGTAGTATACTTGTATCCCCAACGGTCTGCCGCCCATCCAGCAAAGATCAACCCGAAGATTTCACCCGCTCTGGCACCGTTGGAGAGACCAGACTGCCATGCTGCAGAAACGGCCCATTTTCCAGATATCGGGTTCTGTGTTCCAAATTTCTGGTTAAATACTGGCGAGGCGTATAGCGATCCGAGGAGGGCGAGGTCATAACCTTCCATGATTAGCGTGCTAGATAACAGCATTGACCATCCAATTGCCTTTGGGTATAGCTTGAGAGCGGTCCGCAAAGTCATCCGGTGCTCTTCGTCTGCCGCATTCTTGGCCTCCGCGGCCAGTGCAGACTTGGGGACATCTGCGTCGGCGCCGTGGAGTGGTATTTCCTTCTCATCGTGGGCTACCTCGGGATGGTTGTGGCTGTCCATGGGCTTCGGATAGCTCAATTCGTCACGTTCATGCTTTGGTTCTGTCATGGCTCTCTGGTGTCGCTCGCTAACATATGAATCTTTGGAAACCGGAAAGGAAGAACAAATCAATTGCAATTTAGATATGACTCCGTGCGACTAAATAGTTGTGCTGCAATGTCTAATTTCCGCAGACCGATATTTTCTCTCAACACACGGGCCCCGGTCATGCCATACGCGTTCAACGGCCCGGTTTTCTCGGTCCTTTTGGGGTTGCTTCTGGGGGAATGGTCTGATGCGGAGAGCAAAACCTGGAGTCAGGCAATGGTCTGGCTATCACCCTGCAGCAAATGTCCCAATCCGGTAAAGTGGACCGAGTACGGCATGGGTATCGGACAGATGCTGCTACAATTGGTGCAAATTACATCTCTCGTCCAACCCCGACTCACGCCGGCTTAAACTAGTCGGAGTCTGTGATATCGGTCGGAGTCGCAAACAAAAGGCGGAGTTGTGCCAAGCCTGCCGGGGCCTATTACCCACGCAAGTGGTCCCCTCTGAACCTTGACAATTATGCAGCAGAACGTTACTTGACATCGAGCAACCCTCCAGAGCAGCGTCTTGGCAAACCCTTAATACCACGCTTTTATCACATGGCTTCCCAACCGAGTTATAACACACTCGCCACTATTACTGAACCAGCCATCTTCCGCTGGCTAAACTTCGTAACTACTTTCGCGATCCTCCCTCTTTTCTATCGTATTCGCAAATCATCCCCAAGATAGGTGAGGCCCCATGTAGCTTCTCCGCCCTCTTTGTCTCCGCCCATTGCTAGCAATGGAAACGAATGTATGCAGCTTAACACTGCGGGATAGTGTGGTTGCTCCGCCGGTTGTGACTGCATTCGTCAAAATAGCTGAGATGGATTAGACACAAGTTGCCTGAGTAATACAACAAACAACGTAAAGCGGGTATGCGGGTCGGTGATGGGGCAATTGATGGAGCCGCCGTCGCTCGGAAGACGCCTGACCGATCATCGGGACATACGTTCCTTATTCAAGCATGTTCAACGGATTAAACCATGGGGAGCAGGTAGTAACGACGAAGTGTTGCCCATGATAAGCTAGCCTTTAATTCACATATTATCATCGTATACTATCCAAGTCCGCGAGTCAGGACAGGTGACGTGACGTGACGCACATCTGAATAGATAAGAAGGTGCCAGTATTCGCAAACAAAGACGCCAGACTATTTCGCATCATCTCCCCGAGAAGCTACAAAAGCCCATGGCTTCAAAAATGCATTCCCACAACGTCACGATCCTGGCTGAAAATGCCAACAAAGTCGCCCTAGGCACTCTTTATCAACATCAGGTCCCATCTAAACCCCTCGATGGCTTGAATCACCAAGTTCTACAGGACGGGCATCACTTACTGGGCAAAGAACCATGGTGGAAGGCTGGTGTCTTCTATCAGGTTTACCCAGCTTCATTCAAAGACAGCAACGGTGATGGTTGGGGAGACATTCCAGGCTTGATTTCCAAACTGAATTACATAGCAGATTTGGGCGCCGACTGTGTCTGGCTTTCACCAGTCTTTGACAGTCCACAGGCAGATATGGGCTACGACGTCTCGGATTACCAAGCCATATACACGCCATATGGCACGGTGGAAGACGTGGACCGGCTGACCGTAGAATGCCACAAGCGTGGCATGAAACTCATACTCGATCTTGTGGTCAATCACACGAGCATGGAGCATGCATGGTTCAAAGAGTCCAGGTCTAGTAAAGACAACCCCAAAAGAAACTGGTATATCTGGAAGCCGGCACGCTACAACAGCAAAGGCGAACGCATACCACCGACTAACTGGCGTGGGTATTTCGCGTGTCCAACTTGGACTTGGGATGAGCATACGCAGGAATACTATCTACATCTCTATGCGCCCGATCAGCCGGATCTGAATTGGGAAAATCCAGAGTGTCGAGAGGCCATCTACAAGGAGACCATGCGTTTCTGGCTGGATCGTGGCGTCGATGGCTTCCGTATCGACACTGTAAACAAATACTCGAAGCGCACTGACTACGAGGACGTACCCGTCACGGATCCAAGATGGGAATCTCAACCAGCCCCAGAGATGTGGTGCAACGGGCCCCGGATCCACGAATTCATCCACGAGATGAACGAGAAAGCACTGGCACCCTACAACGCCGTAAGCGTGGGTGAACTGTCCAACATGGCCGGCGCGCTGGATGTCCTACCCTACGTCAGCGCTGCAAGAAAGGAGCTCGACATGGTCTTCGAGTTCAGCATGATCCGCCTCGGCACCGGCGGCGGCTTCGGACCAAAGTACATCTACCAGCCCTATACGCTGCCGACGCTGAAGGAACACGTCGCGCGGTTCCAGACGTTCATCGAGGGGACGGACGGCTGGACGACGGTCTTTTGCGAGAACCACGACAACGGGCGCGCGGTGTCGCGCTTCGGCGACGCCAGCTCGCCCGGCCTGTGGAGGGCGAGCGCGAGGACGCTGGCCATGTGGCAGGCCACGCTGACGGGGACGCTGTTCCTCTACCAGGGTCAGGAGATAGGCATGGTGAACATGCCCGCGAGCTGGGGCGTCGAGGACTACAAGGATGTTGAGAGCCGGAATTTCTACGCCGATGCGGTGGCGAGTGGCGATCAGGCGTTGGTGGAAAAGACTATGCATGGCCTCAGGATCTTGGCAAGGGACCATTCGAGGATACCATTTCAGTGGGATGGGAACGCGAAAAATGCCGGGTTCAGCGACGGCGATGAGACTTGGATGAGAGTACATGATGGATATCGGGATATTAACGTCAAGAAGCAGACAGGTGACCCGAGTAGTCCGTTGGAGTTTTGGAGAAGGATGTTGAAGATCAGGAAGAGATTTGCAGGCATCTTTGTTCATGGAGCGTTTAGAAGCTTGCAACAGGAACACCTGGAGAAATATGTCTACGTGAAGGAAAGTAAGGAGGATGTGCCAGGCTGCCCAGGCGTCAAAAAGAAGGCATTGGTAGTTATGAATTGGTCCAAAGAAGCGCAAGATGTTGGTTGCGTCCATCAAATGTTGGGGTGTGCAGAGAAGGAGGCCTGGCTATTGGTCAGCACTATCGATGATATCAAAACGTACCCATCTGAGGCAAACGTATTGCAGCCGTGGGACGGGAGGATATATCTTAATTTTCAGGTATAGTAGTCACAGCATATTAATAAGTGATTACGATTATGTTTCGTACGTCGTCGTAAATATCGAGGGTGACACATGATGACTGCCCAACAGTGTATACATTTAACTAATTGGTATTTACAAAAACAAAAGTTTTCTTGGTCCCCAGTCATTCGATTACTGTAACATATGAAGTTATAACACCCACGGTGTCGCATGAACGTGCTTGGCTTAGGTGTCAACCGCGCGGCGATGATTGGAGCTACTCATTTTATGTCCAAATTTCCAACGGCGTCCTTAATTCGCAGCCTTGGACGTAGTCTTGGCAGCAGCAGCTGCGCCGGCCTTCGAAGTTGAGCTAGCGGCGCTGCTTGACGTGGACGATGCAGCAGATGTAGCAGATGATCCAGCGGAAGCACCACCAGCGCTTGTAGAACTGGCAGAAGCGGCAGCGGAACTGGTGGTGGAAGCCGGAGCGGCAGCATTACCAGCACCAGCTGCGGCAGTGCCAGTTGGTGCGCTGGTAATTTCAAGGCAACCAGTTGGTCGGCTCGCGCTGATAGTGGAGGATCCGGCAGCGGCGAAGTATTTGTCGATGTTGGGAAGTCTGGGCTCGTGGTCAGTATCATGACATGCTAAAATCGTCGAGGAAAACTTACACGTTGACGCAACGGTTCTGGTTAATAGCATCAACATCGGCCTGGGCAGTGTCAGGGCCTTGGTCCACCATCTTTTGCAGAGTGTCGACGACCATCTGGAATGTTCCCTGCATTGCTAATACGTTGTTGGCAGCCTGGACGTCGGGCTGCGTACCCATAGCAGCATCGAGGATATTCTTGTGATTGAGCTCATCCTTTTCTGCGTTGAGGGCGATGGTGGCCTGACGAGTGAACTCGTCACCGGTGAACGAAGTTGCACTGTCAAGGAAGTTGGTGACCTTTCCGGTGTCATTCATCCAAGACAAAACAGCGTTGGCGATTTGGGTATCGCTGACCATCTGCATGCCCATAGTGACGCCACTGCTGTCCACAGCAGGGACCGCACTTGATGTAGAAGAAGCAGAAGCGCCTCTTGCCGAGGAGGAAGAAGAGCTTGCCGATGCGCCAGCAGCAGAGGTGGCACTCGAAGTGGCGTTACCGGCGCCAGCAGCAGCAGCGGTATTAGTTGAAGATGCTTTGGCTGAGGTCTTCAAGGTCGTGCTTGACCGAGCCTGGGGCACAGCGGCGCTGAATGCCGGCAGCAGGGTGAGAACCACAGCAATTACTTGAGAGGAGCGCATATTGACCAGCAAATGTCGAGGAGAAGAGAGTGTGTGGAATTAAAATAATAGTTACGTCAACCTTACAAAGGGACTGGTGAATAATGTAGTATCGATTGAGAGAACGGAAGGCACGTCGATTAAAATGAGAGTAAGCACCGTCAAGGTGACTAGACCAACCTGTGTATGGAGAGAAGGAGTGCAGACCACAAACATATTCGTGTTTTCAAATGGAGCTACGCCAGTACATATAACAGACGGACTTGGCGGCCATTGCATGAAAACACCAACTCTGGTATGGCCATGATACAGCCAAGAACAACTACTGCGCTCATTGGAAACGCCCAGATTGTCAGCTTCTAGGGTATGGGGAGGTCCGGCTAAGGTATGCCAGTGGATATGATGATGTTGGCAATGGCCATCGAACGCGAGAGGACCATGAGCATTGCTATCTGTTTATGACAGAGGTTGGAATTGAGTAAGACGCCAACGAAGTGTTTCGATGGAAACGGTCTTGGCAAATAACCTTAACCAAGATCTTTCTATGATCCTAGTGATCTAAACGCATGAATGCTCGAGTAACACGGACATGATTAGCTTGGGACCAATCGCAACTATCCGTGCTCCTTGCGAACGCCGAATGCGGTAAGTGCCGATCTGAAACTGGGGTGCCGCACTGACTTCTAGGGGCCCTCTAGAAGCTTCAAACATTGCAAGAGGAAAGTTTCAACCAATAGGACATTTCTCTCGTCACAGTTGCACAGCCGCCAAGAGGACTCCTTGTGGCACATCATCAGGCCAGACTCGACTACTACGAGCCAAGACCATGTTGGATGCCGGCATAGGCCGATCCGCTCTCAAGCGCCAGCAGACCAATATTCCTCTCTTCATTACCAGATATGCCGCTCTGTCAAAATCGCATGTCTCAACAAAATCATCGTTCAAAGACACTCGGAATGTCGACGGCACAGCCTCTTTGACTAGATAGATGAGACGGATCCGGACCCGGATCATGCGATGAGTCCGTGGCCATGAAGTTCGTGATGAATGGTTTTGGCCAACTGCGCGTGGCAACAAGTATGCTTAAACTCTTGTCCTCCCATATAGTTTGGATGGTAACGTAGAGGCTTGAATTTGTTCTATTCTTCATTCCCTAATAGATCGTAGGGCAGGCTTGTCCCGTACATTCTCTCTCGTTCGCCTTCGCGTCTCTCCTTCATTTCGTACAGCCCCGGTGGTTGCTCAATTCATAATTACATAATGGCTTTTACTTCGATATGTCTGTCTTTACTCATGCTTAACTGCAAGCTTGGCTTGGTTGCAGCGCAAGACCAGCAAGTTCAGTTCAACCAAGTCATCAACCTTAACGGTGACGTAAGTTCTTTCTGCCACATAACTAGGATAGCAAACATGCTCATTTCTGTCACTAGATGCAACTTAATCGCCTCACATTCCCGGATAACTCGAAGATTGAGACATTCTCTCAAGCTCAGAAGCAAATCATCGTCAACCAGAATCCTAATCCGTTGTCAGCCAACCATGTCGTTGGATCCACTGGCCAACCGTTCGTACAACTGTCACAGAACTCCATGACCATCCAAACCAACAAGGCCACGGATTTGGTTGGGGGCCAAATTGAGATGTCGATCGATCCCAACGTGATACAGCAGATGGGTGTCAGCTCTGACAACACATTCGTAGCACAGCTCTCAACAGATAGACAAGCATGGGTCATCATGGAAGGAATTAAGAGCGTCAATACGTGAGTCTTGGCCCTGAAACCTCGTGACAAATGAGTGGGCTAATTTGGTTTAGCACTGATAACACGGTTCGCATGATCAAGATGACCAGTCTGGATGGTGAATACATGGCAGTCGGTCGACAATCAATCGAAACCGGCAACGTCTTGACAACGTTCAACCAAAACCAACAGGTTCAAATTTCAGGCTCAGGTATTCAGGAGGTCGAGTTTACCGACGGCTTCCGCATGTCCATCAAGGCTAGCCAGCCCATGACTCTCAAGACGGATGTCGTAAATGGAATTAGTTCATCCATGACTGGCAGCATGATGACTGTTAGTAAGTATTGATGAGTCAGTAACCAGGTTCAAGAAACAGCCCTGACCTTTTGCAGACAACTACAGATACAAGGTCACATCGAACCTCGCAGGTGTCGCAACGGATCTCAACAGCATGGTGGCTGTGGTTCAATTGCCGAGTAAGTTTCGTTTGTATAACCAGATCTGCGCCGGATGCTAACTGGAGTAACAGTCAACGCTCAGCGCATTATGGCCATGGCTCAGCAGATGGGCGCACAGCCAAACAGTGCGATCAGTCTGGGCATTGCGCAACGTGTAGTCCTTCAGAACCCCGGAGGTTCAAGCGTACAAAATCTGGGCCGCAGACAAGATACTTCCTCTTCGTCAACATCCAAAAAGTCATCGACAACTGCTGGTGCTGATGCTGCCGCATCAGGGCCATCCACAGCTGCTGGTTCTGCCACATCCGATTCGACTTCCGCGGTAACAGATTCCGCTGCCACCGCTGCCAGCTCTACCACCGCGACAGATGCTGGCGCTGCAACATCCGCTCCGCCGGCGGATGCAGCCGCTGCACCCACCACCGCCCCTGCTCAAGCTGCCACGACTCAACAAAATTCTCAACTTCCTCCCACCCAAACTCAGGCAACACTGCCAGCTGCCGCTCAATTGTTACTGTCTCCCACCTTCTCTCCTGTCTCAGCTCAAGCTCTTCTAGATAGTCAGAACAACCGCATTGCTGTTCCGGTGAGCCAGATCGACGGCGAGTTCATTCTGACGATGGGCATGACGGGGGCTGGTACTATTCAAGTCGCTCCAGCAGCTTCAGGCAAACCCGGCGAGACACAGGGAGGAGAACCTGCAACATCCAATACTTCCAATCAGCCTAACCAGCTGCAGCAGGGCAAGCCTCCTGCTAGTCCGGGCATTGCTCAACGACAAGCGGCACCCGCTGCTCAAGGTACGATCACTATGACCATGGCCGAACTTGAGAAAATGGCCCTTCGCCAGGCTACGGGAGGCGTCATGCCAGTGTGGAGTATGATGAATGAGTTTGTCGCTCAGTCCGTTGCGCAGCCGCCAAGCGGTGCTGCGAAGAAAAGAGGGCCTGCCAATGGTTACAAGGCTGTTCCTCTGAGAGCGTAAGAATACCATAATGCGTGTGTCATTGATGGATAGCGGGCACGTCAGGAGACGAATTCAACTTCTGTAGTAAACATTTGGTTGTCCTTGAACGTGAATCTTAGAATGAAAGTTTAGCAAAATATAGGTCGAGGCTGCGAAGCTGCCCGTTCGGTTGCCCGCCGCAGTTGATATCATTCGATCATGTTCTTCGTGCAGCTTCCAAGCTGAAGTTTTCTTCTTCTTCGAAAACGACATGCGTGAACGCGCTTCGTCGCGACTTACCAAGTGTTGGATGTCGGTCGCGATTGTACCTTAACCTTGAAGTAACGACAGCGAGGCCAGATACAGTGGAGATCTACCGCTGACTTAACCCTGCTTGCCCCAGCGGCGCAAAGCTGAAACTTAGAATTAGAGGAGCCAAGCTTTCCATGCTGCCAGGGCCGAGACTGCAGACAGGGCTTAGTGGCCGTGATATCTCTCGTCCTGCAAACCGAACCAGGAATGGTCAACATGCTGTGCCGCAAACCTCGTATTAGTGATGGCCCCTGAATCCCTCATTGAGATGTTTAGCCGAGTTCATTGGCTTAGGCATCCACATTAGTTCATCAAGTAGCGGATCCCTCAGGGGAAAGAAACATGACAAGCATGAATCCCATCAGGGCTGAGCCTTTTCCAAAGCTTCTAACCTTAGCTGACAACAACTCGAAGAGAGTCATTCCTCCATCTGGATTCGTGCAATCCCAGTGCATAACTGAGAGGAGCGGTTTGCTACCAACTACAAGCCAACAACGGACAGCATGTCTTACACCACACCTCCAATCACAACAACGACTAATTATGGTGCAATTGAGTCATACAGCGCGCTTCAATCAGCGCCGGCGCTTTTGACGCGGTTCACGCCGCCTGCCCAGTGCTCTACGGATTGGTTTTGGGACACGGGCGCTTTAAGGTCTGCGAGTACGGCCTTCAGCAACGCCGCCCATAATCCTCAATGGAAAACGTGCCAACCCTATAATGAGACGTACGCAACCTATTCGGCCGGTGTCTGCCCCCAGAAGTCCGAATTCAAGTCAGTTACACAGGTGTCCTGGGATGGGGTAAGCAGCCCATATTACATGGGAGCATGTTGTGCAAGGTGAGTACCCATTTGAGATGTGGGTGGATTAATATTGATTATTCTTCTTCCTTCCTACTTTAGCACTGCTGCGTTCCAGGAATACCAGAGTGGCGATGCGACGGGCTTATACGGTTGTATCGTGACTGTGACACAGAGCGAGGTCGTCGCAACTTGGGTACAACAGAACCAAGACCAAACCGCAGTAACCTCGAAAGGTCCCGTTACTGTCATTGCAGACCCTCTATATATGGTATGGCATGTGTCGGATACATCGATGCATGCTGTCTCAGAGGCAAATTCGTTACGTGCTGCCATGGGCATGGCTGTAGTAACAGAAACCGGTACGACCTCATTATCAACATCGGCGCCAACCATCACAATGGCACCACCAACTGCGTCTACTATATCAGACACCGCGACCAAGCTGTCAGGTGGCGCGATAGCCGGGGTTGTTATCGGCTTCATCGTGTGTTTGATCGCCATCGGCGTTCTGGCTTATTTCGCCTGCATTCGCCATAGATCAAGATCAAGTCCTTCAGAACAAGCAGGGCCGGCGGGAGGACCAGGAAACTCAAGCGTATGCAGCAGTCGGGAAATATACGGACAAGGCGCGCTACAGCTGCAAACCTCCATGCAAAACACTACTCATAAAACGCCTTCCTTCGTGGACCTTCATCGGGCCGAGAGCGCACAAAGTCATACGCCCCAAACACCGCGCACACCACAAATGCTGAGTCGGGCGAAAGAAGAAGACATGTATGTTATCGAACAGAAGATGTTGCTTCGCTGAGAGGAAAAGTCAGAATGATCGATTAACTGCTTACTCTATTGTGATGATGCACAACGTACTGCGCACCAGCCACGGCATAATATACAAAATATTGACATGGCAACACCTTGCGCGATGCGCAGCGCAAACTTACCTATGAGATCAGTGAGTCCTTGCAACAGAGTTTCGAGAGGAGTCACAGCATCACGGCAAAATCGGGCAAGTGTGAACAGCAGTCTTTCAGAACGTACAACATATCGAATGCCAGCGCTAGCCACTGCCATTAGGATCAACGATGGTCAATACAACAACGTCAACGTCCAGTGCTATGCATCTTGGCATTCCTACAGTTTCACAATATCATGCCAAGCAATGACCCACCATAACATGGTAATTTTCCACCAGTCAAGAGAGGCAGATGCGCTCGCTCAACAACCCCTCGAATGTCGCTCATATTACGAGAGAGATCACCTCTATTCACGATAATCATCACTCCTGCGCTTGAAATAATAAAAATCTCCAGCATGCCTCTCCAAGATCACGCCACCGCCCTCACGAGCTCGCTCGAGAAGGCTAATCTTGTGCCTGGCTCAGCAGCGAGCCTTATTCCTTCGTCCTTCACGCCAGGCACTAAGCTGAGTGTCGCATTCGGGGACAGATCTGTTGCTTTGGGAAACTTTTTTCGTGCTGGCGAGTGCAAGATTCCTCCCACTGTATCATTCAGTCCTGAGGCTGGCGCGTCCTCAAGTGCATCGTACACTCTTATTCTCACGGACCCGGACGCACCCACGCCAGATGATCCTAAGTTCGCTTTCTGGCGACACTGGATCTTGAGCGGACTGCAGCCTCTGAGCGGTAATGGAGGACTAGTAGCTGTGACAAAAGGACCAGTAACGGAGTACTTGGGCCCAGGGCCGAAAGATGAGTACGTGTTTCGAGTTGAGAGCTACTGAAATTGAAAGCAGATACTAATGGAATTCATAGCTCAAAGCCACATCGATATTTGTTCCTTCTGTATCGGGAGCCAGAGGGCCTAGACCTGAAGAAAGAAGATGCCGGCGGCGAAGAATTCGTGCAGAGACGCTCGTTCAAGCCTGCTGAGTTCGCGGAGAAATTTGGGTTGAAACTGGTCTCCGTCAACTGGATGACTTGTGCTGGAGATGGGTGGACAGAATAGATCATGATGCTGTGCCACTGAGACAGAAAGCAGAACCGGTTGGAAAGACAGAAGATGGCTTTTCTTTTTTTTTTTTTTTTTGGTGTATGAACGAGGGTATCAATAGATGTCAAGCATCAGAATCAGATTTCATCCTATATTTATGAAGGTTTAGTTCTATGGCAAGAACGGGGCATTGTCTCAATGTTCCACCTCAATTCATGGCAAGATTAAACGTCACGGTTCTCCAAGATGGGTAACATAGCTGAAGCAGTGTGTTACTACACAACGATGGAATCAACATCAGACACAAGCTCGGTTGGTTGAGTAAAGAGTCGCCGTTGTGCCACGTATAAATATGGTTGTGACGATCGAGAATAAAACGAATCGCATGCAGCTCTTGCATAAAGCCAAGAAAATTTACTGATCGCCAATGAACGGCAGGCTGTGCATCCGTGGCGAGCCGACCAATAGCCCCATGTATGCACCCTCTGGCGCAGCTGAGAGGGGCACAGAGCCTCGAGCACGATCGGTAAGGCAGCCTGACAATTTCGCATTGTTGCCACTGTTTACAGTCTCGATCCAAAGATGGCTACGATTCCGGGGTTCTGAACCACCATGGATGTCATTTCGGCAACAGCAAGTCTGGTCGCGCTGGTTCAAGCTGGCGGCATGCTACTGCAGGTGGGGAAGGCGTTCCACGAGACCTTCATCAGCAAAGACAACGATGACCGCGCCGAGGATGCCGCGGCGCGTATCGCAAGCATTACGGAGTTCATGCAGAAAATCGAGCTATTCCAGGCGGTCAAGTTGAAAATGTCGCCAAGTGTCAGCAGCATCGGGGCCCCGAGCGCCGTGCCCGGTTCAGCCATTGCCTCCTCGCCGGCCAGCGGCGCTGCCAATGTCAGCAACGCTCCTGTTCAGCAGGACCTGGACCCGCTGTTGAAGCAATGCAAAGCGCAGCTGCTGAGGCTGCACAAAAAGGTTCAGAAGATGATCGTGCCGGGACAGGCAAGCAAGATGATGCGGTTCTGGGGTGCGATTCGGCTGAAGATGAAAGAATCCGAGTTTGCACAGATCGAAGCGACGATCACGACCATGCTGCAGCAGCTCAGCATCTTCATCTCGCTAGCTCAGGTACGGCTGTCACAGCAAAGGTAAGCCCCCTATAAAGCAGTCTCCATGCCTCTTTTTATGTGGAATGACTTTGCTCACTGACCCGCAAAGTTATGTCGCAGCCCAGGAAAGACTGGATGAGTTTAAACAGGGGCATGTGGCAATGGAGACACAGATCCGGGATGCTAGCCAGAGAAGTCTAGAAGACCACGCCAGCTTGTCAGTCGAGCTCCAAAAGATAATGGAAAACCAACAGATGAACGCGGTTACTCAGGCTGCTGCGTTTGAACAGAGCAAGGAGATAATCCTCAGCAGTTTCGCAAAGTTGTCCATCTCGCCGAGACTGGACCGCTCTACGAGTGGCTTGTCCGGGACTACTGTAGCTAGTGAGTTTGAGCAAGTCGAGGAAGAAGACCTCTTTGCGCCAATAGCTCCGGCTCTGATAATGCATCCCGGCCTTGGATTTCGTGAGGATCGCCTTATTGAACCCAGGCTTGCCAAGTCATTGCTCGATCGAGTTGACGACTGGCTAAGCCCAACTAGTCACCATGGCTCGATTCTGTGTGTTCAGACGACAGGCGATGAGGATTGTATTCACGATCTCTGCAACCGAATCGTGCAAGAGATAGCAGGCTCAGGGGCGAGATTACTCTGTTACAACGGTCTGCCAAGAAAGGGACCGCCACCTGCAACTGGATGGTATACAATGGCACATGTAATATGGTGGCTCGCTGGCCAGCTACTGATTCCGATACCCCACAAGGATGGGCATATGCCGTCTCATGGTTATGTTCCCAACATTGAGGCGGTTGTTGAACGATTGGAGAAACATAATGGTTCGACTACCTACATCGTCCTCTACCTCCTGACCAGGTCATGCCCCACGAAACCAGATCGGACGCTATACAAGCTATTGTTAGAACGCTTGCATGATGCGTCGAAGGCTGACGACGTTAGAATTCTCCTTTTCTCAGATGAGCCGCTTGATGCATCATCTAGGACTTTTGCTTTAAATACGATAGTTGCTCATTCCCAAAAAGGAGAACAGGTTATGTTGACCGAATGGGAACCTGAAGCACTCATCGACGATGACGAAGATGACGACAACGACGAGGATTAGGAACGCAGCGGCAATACAATCACAGAATAGCACACGGCGAATTCTTTTCGAAATTAAATATACTTGAGATTCTCTCGCTTGCGCCGCCGCAGATCAGAAGTACCCGCCGAGTGCTATGCTACGTGCGTTCTGGCTCCAGTGAAACACTGCGCTACCATGCTTTGACCCTGATCACAACTCCTACCGATTTGTTTTGAATGTTCCTCACATGACAAATAGAATGCTAGTATCTGCATAAGTGTTAGCATACTCTAATCATAAACGTCTTGGGTTGGTGGAGACTTACCCAAAGGATGACTGCAGCTCAATTGCGGCTTTTGGGAGTACTTGGTCTCCAGCACATCACGAATACTGTTCAAGAGCTCGACATAGCTCTGTTGAGGATTTTTCTTAAGGGCAGTGATAAAGGCCCAGCTCATGGCGCCAGTAGCCTGCTGCGCGATCGTTGCATCTGCAGATGTCTGATCGTCTTTGGATCCAGACCACATGATGACGTCAGCCGGAGACGTTCGGGTGTCCTTGGTCTTGTTGTAGGCATCGTCGCCCTTGTACGCCTTCTTTGCAAAGCCGAGGATGGAAGAAGCCACACCACCCATGTCGCCGCGGGCGTAAGAGCCGATGGCGGATAAGAGACCTTGTCCGGCTTCGGCGGCCAGATTGGGCTCCTTGAGAACACCCTTGGTGCTGTACATGTAAGGCAGGTCCATGACGGAACCCGAGTGGCAGGAGTCGAAAATGGCGGTTAATCGCACACCAGCCTGAAGGGGCTTGACCACTAGGTGGTGAATCTCATCGTCCACGATGTGACCAGCACTCTTGTAGTCGACAGGATAAATGACCTCATCGGTTCCGTCCTCTTCATCTCCATCGAGATCGGCTGTCTGGCCGCCGTGTCCACTGTAGTGCAAGAAAAGCGCGTCGTCTGGCTGTGCGCCAGCCACAAGCCAACCCATTGCGCGGCGAATGTTGTTGGCAGTGGGCTGCAGGACCTGGTCTTGGGCATCATCGGTCAAGATGATCATGTCCTCGCGCTTGTAGTTGTAGCGTTCCATGAGGAAGCTCGAGACGTTCTTGGTGTCGTTGATGCATCCACGGAGTTCGCCATCTTGTCCAAAGTAGTTGATACCGATCAGAAGGGCCTTTCTCTTTCCCGTGCAGTGGGAGTACTGGAATGTGTAGTTGGAGGGTGCGCCGTGTCCGAACTGCTGAGCGTTATGGGGAGGAGCGGGAGCGCTGGAGCGTCCCTGGCTGTATCCGCCCTGGCTGTAGCCGCCCTGGTTGTTCTGATAGCCGTATTGATCGAGGTTCTGTGGTGGGGGGTAGTTCGGGGGCTGGTGGTGCCCGTAGCCATGTTGCTGGGGAGGCTGCGAATATTGACCTTGGCCGTATTGTGAGGGAGGAGGTCCCTGAGGGGGAGGGCCACCACCATATCCACCGTATCCTCCTTGCTGTCCCCATTGACCTGGAGGAGGTGGTCCAGGAGGAGGGCGCCCGTACCCATCGCCGCCGTAGCCACCGTGCTGTCCACCGTGCTGACCAGGGTAGCCGCCGTGCTGGCCAGGGTAATGACCGCCAGGATAACCGGACATGGCGATCGTCCTTGGTGTAATGAGCGGATAGAGTCGCGTGATGTTGGCAGAGAAGGGATAGAGAGAAAGAGCAGATGCCAAGAGCACAGCGAAGACAAAGAAACGCAGCTCGTTAGATAAATGTAAGATGCAGAAGAGTGGGATAAGTTAACATGTCGCGCGTCGCAAGCTGACCTGCGCTGCAGGTGCGGGGCAGGGCATTCGGGGAGGGGAGCTTACATACTGCACATGCTGTACCTGAGCTGAGGACACAGCCCACCAACCCACCTGAGGAATGGAAACCATCACTGCTGGATACCAACCTAATGTGTGAGACCCAGCACTGGACCTCCTGTAGGTACACGATCCAAAACCGAGGTTTCAGTTTTTGTATCTTAAAAATCAAACAAAAATTACATTCTCATGCAAAGCACCCTGTATGTAACTAACCTACATCGGTCCGCACAATTCATGTTGGAAAATAAGTACCCACCCTCACACAGCGCAGCGCAGCGTACGTACAGCAGGAGACGCTCGAGACAACTTGACGTTGAAAACCTCGGGCCCTGCCGCAGCTGCCAAGAGGTGGGACACTGCTGTAGGGTGCCGTCCTAGCCGGGAGGACTCCCATCCATATGCACCCAAGATACCTTCCCTTATACAAACGGGGGACCTTCATAGGGCTGTATCTTTGCTGCGAGCCACAACATGCAGCAACGTGCTTGCTTGGCAGTCGCAGATGAGGGTCTGGTTTTATTGCTGTTGTACTCATACCCATAATCACCCTCACTTGTGCCGTGATCCGGTAATCATTTGTTTTCCATGTCGTGCTTTAGATAAATTCACCGTGAGCAGCCTCCTGTCATCTGCAATTCTACATGTGCATCTCAGCTTGCAGCACCATCATTTCTCTTGTTTCCATTTTCTAAACCACAAGAACTACAGGGTAACCATGTCGTTCTTCAAGAAGCTTGCCGACAAGTTCGACGATCTCGACTTGACCGGTGACAAGAAGAAGGACGAGCCCTCCGGTGCCTCTGCTAATTCTGGTAAGCTAGCACATCGCGCCAACACATGCCCACCTACCCAGACTAGTAGTATATGTTACATATTTTAAGCTTAAATCCAACTCTATCTGACTATGACCCCCTAGCCAACCGGGACTTCGGCGATTCTCACTCAGGTTCCTACTCGTCTGCGCCTCCGCAACAGTACGGATCCCAGTACGGACAAGGTCAATACTCGGCTCCGCCCTCCCAGTCCTACGGAGGCCAGTATAACACCCCTCCGCCTCAGCAGGGGTCGCACTCCTCTCCTCCTCCCCAGCAAGGCTACAGCGGTTCTTCCCAGACCCCGGAGTACAGGCCCCCTCAGGACAAGCCGCCCATTCCCAGTGGCTGGATCCCCAAGTGGGACTCCCAGTATCAGCGATGGTACTACGTAGAGGAGGCCACTGGCCGCTCGCAGTGGGAGGCACCTGGATATGATGCAACTCGCCCTCCTGGTATGTACTGAAAAGGGTCATCCCTTAAACTTTCACTGGTTGTTCAAAACCATCTTGGTTCAAGGCACTTTTCCCTTACTCTTCTCAGAGAAGGAGACCAGCTGCGAGCGAGACGTGATACTCAAAAGAACTTCCTGTATCTTGGCAAGTTTGTTTTGCTAATGTGATCGGACAACTAGCTGAGGCACGTGGTCATGATTCTTCGTACGGTAGTGGCGCTCCGCCTCCTAGTGGTTACGGCGGCTACCAGGACCCCGGTCATGGTGGCGGTTATAACGGAGGCCACGGTAGTTACGGCGCTCAAGGTGGCCACGGTGGTGATTACAGAGGAGACCAAGGTGGCCAAGGCGGCTATGGGGGAGGCTACGGCGGGCAACCCCAAGGTGGTGACTACGAGAAGCAGAAGAAGGAGAAAGGCAGTGGCGGAAGCGGCATGCTTCTAGGTGCCGCTGGTGGTCTGGCCGTCGGTGCCATCGGCGGTGCATTGCTGGCTGACGCCTTAGGTATGCACTATTCAACCCCCTCTCTCTTGTGTGGATATACACTCGAACTAATCAATCAATCAATCAGATGATTCGGACGATGAACGCCATCAGCAGGTTGTCTACGCGGCACCACCTCCTGCCGCACCCGTCTATATGCCCCAGGGCGACGAGAGCGATCGCGAGTCGCTCGAGGAAGCACGCGAGGACTACATCGAGGCTCTGGAAGACGCTGCCTCAAGTAGCGCCAGCAGTAGCGACCGCGAGGAGCTGGAGGAGGCTAGGGAAGAGTACCAAGAAGAGTACGAGGAGTACTACGGTGACGACTAGGACCAGTTGGCAGGGCATGGCCCGAAAGGGATGTTTCGCTGCGTCAAACATGGCGTGCTCATGTAGCCGAGCTTCTTGCAGAGGCAAGAACATGAAATAGATTTCGATCACCCCTGGCTAATAGAGGCCGTTTTGACTTGAATGTAATCCCAATAATGCGCTCGGCGGTACAGACAATACTCGAAATCACATTGCACATATGGTGGTCAGTTTTCATTCTCAAGAGATGAAAATGGGAAGGAATGGTCCCTGATATTGCCTTTGGCCTACCCAGGGTGCAGAAAATTGGGACTTGCTTGCTCTGAGTCGACTTGAGATGTAGTGGGATCAAGCGTCCGAGTCTATTCGTGAGGACGTGAAGTTCTGCGTTTGCCGGCCAGGGGCCCCTCTTGCTATCAAGGTCCGAGTTTCTTGCATGCTTGTAGAGTGGATAATTTAGCCCCGTTCGGATCGTGAAGTCATATATCGTATATTCATATCTTTGAGTATTATTAGTGGTTGCCTTGTGCAATGAACCAAGCCAAAATTTCCCCTCTTATGACCGTAAGAAACTGAGAATAAGAGTCGCTCAGTCAGTGACATGAGCACTCTTCCATATGCTGTCTGTGTATCTAGTCATGCCATGTATTGTGTCATAATGCGTAAAACGTCCAAAGTCATAACCCCACCAATGCTCCTAATTAGTGTCCAAACGAGTGTATCATACAGTCCTTCTACCGGCACTACGTTCACCTATCGATCCGCTGCCCTCCCCTCGGGCCAAATTCGTCTCAGAGTTCGGAAGTCCATAGACGAGCTCAGAACTTCCATTGATCAGTTTATGGCTCCACCTCCCAGCCCATCTTCTGACCCGTTTGGCTCGGGAGGCGGCTTGTCGATCGACGCGCCTCCCGGCTGCTCGTCTGGATCCATGGGTAAAAAATTCTTCTCCGCGCTCATGTCCTCACCGCTGGTGACAAAAGACTTGGTGCGGTCCTTTCGAGAGATCTGCCGTGCGGCGCGGTGGATGCCCTGGAGGAGAGCGACCTTCTCCTCGTTATATGCTGGCTTCACTTGAGCCTTGCTGAGGACGTGGCCCTCGGTAAGCAGCTCGGATTCTCCGCCGCGGAAGGAAAGGAAAGATGGCCACAGGACGGCAGCAATGTCCTCGATGTCACCGACACTCTGGTATCGCTCATCGTCGGCTATCGCGGACTCAGGAGCCGCGTCCTCGGCTCTTGTGTCGACGCCACTGCCGTCAAAGGTCGATAAATTGAGCAATTTCCAGTCCTCCTCATCGTATGCGTCGAAGCTGGGCTCGATCTTCTCGTCGAGGAGCTGCAATCGCATCCACTGTCCACAAATCTGCTTACAGACGGCCTCGAGACTACTGCGAAACTCGTCGTGTTTCTGGCTAGAGAGCACCGGGGATACTGCAGTGAAGACTTCCGTAACAACTTGCTCGATGCGCTTTTTGCCATTGGATTTCTGTCTCGAAGGCAATACCGGCAACAGGACACTTCGAAGATAGTTCTCTCGTACCGGATCGCCGTCGGCTAGACCTGCCAGCAGATCCGATAGCTCATTGCACTGCAGAAGGTACGTGGGCTGGAAGATATATTGGGCCAGGGACCAAGCGAGAATAGCGAGCACAGCGGAGATACGCATCTGTTTCGCTTCCCGTGTATTGGACAGCGGTAGTGGTATGATTCGGTTGACCCGCCCATGGTTCCGAATCTTTGCCCAGACGGTGCCCGAGGCGACAGTCTGGAAAGCAGACTCCTCAAGGTCCTCGGTGAAAATCTTCTCTACCCAGCTATAAGCCAAGGTGAACATGTTGTGGAGTTGGTGATGTCTGCATGGGTTCAGTCAGCAATATGTATGGTGGGATGGAGTCAAGGCGACCTACGTTTGGTTCTGCGGAGGAGACTTCATCTTGTACGACAGTGCATTAAGCTCTCCAAGTCTCGTATTCTTCGCCTCAAGATCCTCCCTTATTGAGTGTAGTTCATTTGTCGCCTCCTCGAACTCCGCCTTCGATGCGGCTATGGCTGATTGTCCTTCCTCAAGACTAGTCTTCAAGCCCACAATTTCCAAGTCTTTGGTTTCAACATCTTCGTGCAACTTTGAGCTTTCGACTCGAGATTCTTCGAGTTGGGATGTCGTTGAGGTGAGCTCTGTATGGGTGTCTTGGAGCTCGGTCGTCTTGTTCTCCACGTCTGTTTGCAGCCGCGAGATATCGTCCGTTTTCTCGGTCAGTTGGGTAAGGATATTTTCGAGCTCGATTTTCCTCTCATCTAAATCTGCCTGCAATCTCGAGGATTCCTCCGTCTTGTCATGCAGTAGAGTATTAATGCTTCCAATCTCGGTTGTCTTCTCTGTCACCTCATTTTGTAGCCTCGAAACCTCTTCTGCCTTCTCATTCAGTTGTGCATTGGTGTTCTCGAGCTCGGCTGTTCTATCGTCCAATTCTGTCTGTACTTTGGAGACTCTTTCTGTGTGTCCCTCCAACTGCGCCTGGGCATTCTCCAAATCAACTGTCTTCTCAGCTAGTTCTGCTCGTAGTTTTGAGGCCTCATCTTCAGTATCATGTAGTTGGGCTTTGATCGTCTCAGAATCAGCTTCCAGCATCTCTACCCTTGCCTCCAAGAGCACTTTGTCTTGTGTTAACGTGTTTATCTCGTCAACCCGCTCCTCGCCACGCTTCGTGGACTCGTCGAGGTGCTGCTGAAGTTTTGAGATGGTTCTGGCGTTTTCGTCATTCGTGATGTTGAGTATGTGATTACGATCTTTGAGGGCAGTGTTCTCTTCCAGAATACCTTTCAAGTATCCATAAGAATCGTCTTGAGCGAGAGCTTGAACGTGCCGTATAAAGCCCTCGAGGAGCGTAGAAGGGCCTCCTTCCGTCATCATTACCACAACCGTACAAAATGAAATGAGTAGTACAACAGTTGTAAAAGGAGAAACCACCAAGTGGTAGGCACAAAAGGTCAAGCAAACTGCAAGGGCCGCCAGTGGATCTGCAGTGATGATATACAAGTGAAAATGGTAAACTGTTTCGACAAAAGATAGAACAACGCAGATAGTCCGAAATTATGCAAACCAGCGATGGCAAAATGGTGGAATGATACGAGTTGAAATGAAGTGTTTGTCAACGTGCCGATGGCTGGTGGTGATAGGGAACTAAATGTTGTGTAAACTCTCATGTACTGCATGACCATCTCTCGAGCCTTAAGTAGGTTTGGATATTGTATGGGAGTAGGTAAGGCTCGTGGCTCGATAACACGTTTGTATGCCTGTCATTACTCACAAGTAGAAGATGCAACATGGGCTGCAAGTGAAGGCTTTCCAGCACAGTGACCATTGATTATGGAGCAGCCAACAGATGCGCTGAAAGTGCCCAAGCACTATTTTTGGTCTTGCGGCGCTTGCCGTGGCAGTGGTCATGGTATGTCTGAATGCCCAGAGTGACTCAACTTTGTTACTGGTACATAGAATCATAATGCAGATCAGGTCTGACGACCCAGAAAAGGAGGTATGCAGCTGTACCTTGACTGAACACCTCTCAGTTCGCGGAAAACGCGTGGCCGAATGAGCTTTGGGCATCGTTCCCGATCGCCTGCACTCGATGCAGGTTGGGTGACGGTATGTTTGGGAACTTGGGTTCCAAAACACTGTGAATCGGTGGCCTGGCACCATCACAGGACTGAACAAGTCCACGTCTCTGCACATTTGGGCTGTGGTGTTGTGGAGTTGCTTGTGCATAGCCATATCTTCCAGTTGGATAGAAAACACGACGTTGGGTGAAGCTCATTAACAGGATCTTCGTCTTATGCAGACACAAGCGAGCCTACCATAGCCAGACTGCTGTGGCAGCTGGATAGTATAGGTAGGTTTGCGTCAATCAGACCCACAACTATAGTCCAAACGGATCGCAGGCCGCTAAAGACGCAGGTGACCTAACACGTTGGCCGCCTCATTGTTCGCAGCCATGAGCTTGGCTTGAAGCATGTTAATGTCAACACTCAAAGTGATGTTCGGAAGTTGTCAGCACCATTGGATGGTATGAGTTGCTGTGTCCACAGGCTTGGTTCAATGCATTGGAAGATCGACTGCATGCTGACTCTTTGAACTCGCTCGATAATGCCTCGTCAATGTCGCGTGATCATTATTGCAGCATCGGGCTACTGCATTGTCTCCTTATCACAGGATGGACTGCAAGTATTGTTCGGGAGTGAGCATCTCATCACAATAACATTCGACAAAGTCGCATTCGGAATTATTTCATCCCATATTTACATCTAAGCACTCCGCCCGGCTTGAGTTATTAAAACCAGGGCTAGGGATCGTGAGAGCGAATGCGCCAGTACACTTACATCATTCCGGTAACGTTTCCAATCTGTGGCTTTTCAAACATCAAGACAATCCCTACATAGAGCCCCGAATTGTGAAGCTGAATGAGTTTATGTTTGGAGACGACGCACCTTTCATGAGTTTGGAGCCATTCAAGTTGCCGCACACAGATTTCGCACGCGGAACAGGATTTGGGAGCTTGAGGTTTTGCACAAGTCCCAAACGTTGACGGGGTACTGTAGGTATAGACAGGGAAAAGAATCGACGAGCCCAATCGCTGGATGAAAGCAGTGCCAACTTTTACTTATCTATCGGTTGACTAGTTGGGACTTGAATGTTGATAAAAAGAACAAGCCCCCCCCTTTCCCCAGGAGCCTAGGCTTCATCGCGATGGCTTATTAAATCGCTGTCCCTTAGCTCAGCTAGACCAGGAGCTTTTTTTCCATGAAATTCTCTTGATTTAGTGCTGCTGGTCTGTCGCGAAGTACGCAATAGATGCGCCAGACCAGTTGACGTCATTGTCGCTCGAGAAAGCTAACCGCGTCACGCATAAACATCCACCCGGTTTCTCCCTTCAATACCAAGCACAACATCACATGCACTTCATCATTTGATCACACCACACTGTCCTGCTCGCGAAAAACCTCGTTCTCAATTGTCATTTGCTGTCCTTACCAGCGCAAATAAGTAATACAGAAACCACACGAACCCTTGTACGACCCCCGCTACATAGCATCAACAGTAAGTGCGCATACCGGCGACTGTCGCAAGATGGCTGGGTAGCTCGGCAGATGCTAACTAGAGCTCATAGTGTCGTACGCCGCTGTAGCAGCATCCGGTCCCAAGCAGACTCCTGAGGAGGTAGGTTTTTGTTGTTGCTGTTTTCTCTCCCCCGCCCATTCCTGGGGGCTATCGCGAGCCTGTTTAACCAAGTTATCTTTGTATATACAATGTAACAAGAGCTAACCACGGCCATTGCAGGCTGCCGCTCCTCCCCCTGTGGAGATTGAGCATTCCGAGTCCGCCAGCACCGCATCCCTGATCGACGTTGACACTCCTTCTGTGCATACTGTGCCCTCCGACTTCTCTGAGCAGGAGGTTCAGACTTCCACGCAACAATCGCGAATCGAGCACGAGCACGAAGAGGAGTCGGCACGCGCTGAGGCCGACCTGGCTAAGAAAAAGGCCGCCGCCAAGGTCAAGAAGGCCGACAACGTTCTGACCAAGTGGTTCGGTAGCCTCAGCGACGGCGAGAGCTCGGCTCTCGTCATCAGCAACCTGGTCGGGGTCATTGGTCTGTCCGGATTCTTGGGCTACAAGGCCTGGGATCTGCACGAGCGGGGACGTTTGGGCTGGAAGAACATTGGTCTCGGCGTCGGTGTTCTGGCGGCTGTCGGTGCCATTCAAGGTGTCTTTGGAGGGTAAGTTCCAGCTTTACTACGCCCATTGAGCTAATTCTGCTGTGATGCCGCATCAAGAACCACTTGGCTAACCTGCAAACTATAGATACTTCTACAAAGGCAAGAAGAAGCAGTCATAGGCTTATCGCAAGCGTCTGCTGATTTCGATGACGGATGATGCGAAACCCGATGTCGAGATGTTACAGTATATGTTGTTCACATGTTTATGATTGCAGGAGTGGTAGTTCTGGGGTAAACGGCGTCTCTACTCTTACACAGTTCGATGTGCGATAGTCTCCTTACTGCTTAATATGAACTTTTCGGTTTTTGGAAATCAGCACAAGCCACAATACATTTGACATTCTTAGAATTAAGTCCACCAACGGGATCTCGTCGATTAGCTCATATCATCTTTCCTGCTTCGAAAGATTCGGTCTAGACATTTGGGACAATGGCTCCTCTGCCTCACTAAAGAGATAATAATCCTACACAAACCGTCTGAAGGGCACTTAAATATGATAGGCCGTGGTCCGAGACCAACCATATAGAATAGGGAGTGCCCAGGCATGTATTTCAACATCCTTCAAGATTTGGTCCCGATGGGCTTCTCCTATGTATCTTCGGCAGAGATTGGGGTTGGTGGTCGATTTATGTCCGTCGAGCTTTCGTCACTTCCACTTTCTTCGCGATAGGAAGTATCACTGAGCCCATCGTCATCCAGATGTGGTATATTGCAAGCGTCCTAAGAATCATCATGTAGAAGAATTTTGAGTAGATAGTATTGGTCGGCATCATTAAGCAGATTTGATTTGTATGTGTCTATATATGCTGTCAATGTTTCAAGGCTCCCGAGTTGCCTAAGGCCGGCCCGAAGGATATCATTGTTGACCAGCGACTGACATCTCCAGCCGAAGGTCTTGCCGGCAGCCAACGAAAGTTGTCATGGGTGACACGATCTTTCCCAACTGGGATGCTGCGCACGCAAGCTCCTAAAGAGGGCTTGCATTTGCCGTCCCCCCCTCCCCGCCCCCCCCCTTTTTTTTTTTTTTTTTGTTGGATCAACGGGCTCCTCAAGTAGATGAGTTGACATGATTGATGGTTGTAATTGAACTATATGTCAACGAACTAACAAAAACGCGCCAACTGCTGACGATCCGTATTGGCCAAGACCAGAGACACCAAAGCTTCGTGTTCGCCCGTCAAGTGATCGACAATATTTACCAAAATGTATGATGGCAACTCCAACAATCGACTCCCAGGCGTTCTATAGTGGCCCTCTACGACCTGATCTAACAGAAATAAGCGTTTGCGCTCAACTTCAAACACACTGTATCCCAACATCTTGTAAGACTCAAGTAGATTGTAGATTCCGCAGAAGGTTCACCTGAAATAATGCGAAATAATGCAGTTATACTATGGCCCTCTGGATCAAAATGCTGTATATTAAATGATGCCAGCGAAGACGAATCACTCAAACATGTGCCTAATAGTTCGATAGCAAGTACATGAAAGCCTGTCGGTTTTAACCATCGTGATAATAAGGTCTGTAAGGTGTTGGATTATGACCCCATAATAATTCAGGGAGCTGAATATTTGACTATTCATCCCTTGCTGACCCAGCTGACGTCGTGGAACGTGCAATGATGCAGTGCTCTTTTCACACCAGATATCACAATCCAGTGTATTAAAAATGCTACCAATTTTCTCCGTAGGTTCAATTTACTTTAGTTATGCGTGCTCCAACGTTACTGTTTAGTAATAGAAACATTTGGCTTCACCGGTACAGGATGGTCCACGGCAGGCTCCGTAGGCTTTGTGGGTGACATGAAATGTACATCAAGCGAACATGGATCAGTCTATATCTAGGGTACCTATAGTCAAAAGGCAACATGCGCTGAAGATATACAGCCAGACCGGCAAATAACCCTTATCGTTACGGGTCCCTCCCCAGTATGCACATCTGCAATACGACCCTGTGTACTTGCCAAGTGTTGATCAGTATGCACATTGCTGGTACACAGCCAATTGCACCGTCCGTGATCATCGGAGCACCGTCAATCTTCTGCGACTATCGTCTAACTTTGCATGAAAGGCCATGATTATTCACTTCGCGGGTTCCACTGGTCTTTCTTGAATTCCCATTCTTTGATCAAGTCATTTTTCTTTCTGAATGCCTAGTCATACATACTGGTTATGGCGACTCAACTAAGACGCAGGTTCCGCTTGCACAGTCCCTGGACTCAAAACTTTATCAGCGGCATTGGTGTAGGCTGTTCTGCTGGTCTTTATGTCGCACTGAATCTTCTGGGGGCGGGCGGAGGTCGTCCCGACTCTGCTCAAGTGGTCCAAGTTGTCAACGCAACTCTATGCTCTGTCTGGTTCTTGTCATCCTCTTTCGGAGGATCGATTCTCAACAAACTTGGGCCCGGCCTAACAATGTGTATTGGTGTGCAGACATACGCGGTTTACGTCGGCTCCTTGTGGTATTACGACGAGACGGGCAAGAGGGACTATCCCTATGCGTCGGGCCCCATCATCGGTATAGGCGCAGGCTGCGTCTTCATCACGGCCGGCTATGTTGCTACAGCATATCCCGAGGAGAAGGAGAAGGGGGCTTATGCTACCATGCTGATGAACATGCAAGCTCTGGGCTCGGTCATAGGAGGTATAATACCCGTCATCATAAATCGCGACTCCAACACGACTGCTGGAGTTCCCCGTTCTGTGTACATCTCCTTCATCACGATCATGGTCGTCGGTGGGCTGCTGTGCTTGTTACTGCGGAGACCGCACAAGCTCAGAAGAGACGATGGGTCTGTCGTGGCTGTCAATCCGACAAGAGGTGCTTGGGAAGAGTTTAGGTCCAACCTGGCAGTATTCAAGGATCCAAAGTTGCTCATGATGCTTCCCGCATTCTTTCCGTCAGAGTGTTTTCTGGTGTATAGTGGAGCTGTGAATGGTGAGTACCTGCAATGCTAAAGCCCGACATACCATGGCTAATACGAGCTCTTGCAGCATATCTGAACAATTTACGCGTTCGGTCGCTTTTGAGTTTCATTGCGGTGGTGTTTCAAATACCGGCAGGGTATGGTCTCCAGTGGATTCTTGACCATGAGCACTGGGGGAGGAGAAAGCGCGGGCTTGTCGGACTCACGGTAGTTTCAGCGCCCATGATGGTCGCTTGGGTCTGGGAAATGGTGCGGTTTTTTGCTTCCTTGTTGATTTTGCCAAAATCACTGACAAAGCCTTCTAGATCCGTGTTCGCAGCTATAACCGCAGCCAGCCTCCAACTGACCCAACTGACTGGACTGAGCCAAGGTTTGGATGGATCTTCATCCTCTTCATGCTGACTTGGATCTCTTGCGTGAGTGACGATATCTGTTCTCAGAAGCACCAACTGACCGTTCGCTGTAGCAACTATGGCACAATATAGTATACTACTGGATAGGAGCCCTTACCAATAACCCTCGAACGCTAACTCACTACGTTGGTGTCTTCCGCGGTGTCTTGGGTGCCGGAGAAGCATTGTGCTTTGGGCTTGATTCCATCCAGATTCCGTTCATCGCTGAAGCTGGTGGTACACTATGTAAGAAACTCCAGAAACCATCTTCTCCCCTTTCAACATGTCTAGGCTAGAGGGCATATGGTGTCTAAATGACGCAACCAAGCTCTTTCTGGTTGTTCTGTAACACTCCTAGAGACACTCCGAATTATCATACGGAAGTACTCGCTAACTCGGTATATTGTAGTGTTCTACGTGATTGGTATTTCTGTGTTCTTCTACCTTGGTATATACCACATGGCGGACACGAATTACGACAAGAGCGAGGAAGGGGCGGTCGTACCGAACCATATCCTTGTGGAGAAGGGGATGACCAGTGATGCCCAGGGGCTGCATCTGCGTACAGGTAATTTGGGTTCGGATACGTCCCAAGAAAAGACCGTCTAATGTTTTCGGGTCCCCAAGTGCAGGTAGTGGTTGGCGTGGTACAGCGTTATCAACCTCGACCCATACAGGTTGCAGCAAAGTGTTGGGGCGGTAGTCCTGTAATTATACATTTTAGTATAGCAGTAACCCTTTCATGACCTCCTGGCTGTATTACTGTAATGCAACAATTTCTTTGGGTGGTCGACCATCGACGATGTCGCTCTTACCATGTCGGTCAACTGCAAGCGCCCAAATCTGTGAAATGTTCAATGGCGCTCGATGTGTTACAAAATAATCTTAACCTTAGTAGATCGCCAAGCTGTGGAAGTTCCCCTGAAACTGTTTCTTAGCTCTCACGGGCATCACATTTTGCGATATAGATTTCCTCTTTTCTTTTCAGTTCTCGTCGCCAGACGTCGTATCGAGGGTCAATCCCTGTTCAGTAAACACCGTCGATTATCTGACGATGTCTCGTTACGAACGGATGAAATCACGCGCTTTTGTGCTGATTGCATCAGTTTTCATGCCAGCCAAATCATCTGAATTCTGTTGGCCACATGGGACGCACGTGTATGGGTATGTGTATGTGTAATCAACACAGCGATTTGTTGTTCCATTGCCGAGACGTTGAGCCGTAGGCGCCCATCACAAAACTCCCATGTGCAAAAGCGCCTGACTTGCCGGTGATCCGCCAGCTTACTCAGGCCCACAACGGGGGGGCACTGGGAACGTCATCGAGACCCCTCCATACAACTGCCCACGCAAATATTTACGGTTAGCCGCCGCGCAAGTCGTCGCGGGGCTTTTCTAATTATCGTGAACACAGGCAGCTTAGTTAGCAAATCTTGACGTTCCATCCTGAGAATTGTACGCTTACTTCCGCAAGCTGTCCGCTCAACAGCATATCGTGTGACTGTACAGGACCCAGTTAATACCGCACTCGTTCATCTGGCTTAATTACTGGTCATCGCAGCCCAATTACTCACTGCGCGTTTTCTACAAGTAAGCCAACTTTAGCTTCACACATACATGAATTGTGCTTCTCCGACTTCCGGACTGAGAGCTCTTTGTACTACACCTCGTGCACTACTACCTCGAGTCCCGCACCAAAGCCTGGTCCCGAGACAACTTTTCACGACCAGCCCACGGCCCGCCTTACCCCGAGCCCGAGCAAAGCTTTTGAAACCACCACCGCGACTCAGCCCAAGAACAATGTCGTCGGCGACCAAGATGGAGCCACCGCCCCCACCACACGTCAGCACGGCGGGGGACCTGGTCGAGTCGGCCAAGCGGGCGGCGGGCCGCAAGGCGGTCGAGGAGCACCTGCTGCCGTCGTACACGCGGATCGGGATCGGGTCCGGGTCGACGATCAAGTACGTGGTGGAGGCGATCGCGGACCTGCCGCGGGCGCAGACGGACCGTATGAAGTTCGTGCCGACGGGCATCCAGTCGCGGGACCTGATCCGACAGGCGCGCCTGCCCCTGCTGGCCATTGATGACATGGTCATGGAGGCCGAGTACGAGGAGGGCCAGCAATACCTCGACGTGTGCTTCGACGGCGCCGACGAGGTCGACCTCGAGCTGAACCTCATCAAGGGCGGCGGTGGCTGCCACTACCAGGAGAAGCTGGTCGCCGTGTCGAGTAAGAAGTTTGTCTGTGTTGCTGGTAAGCTTTCTCCCTTTCCCGGCGCCGCCATGACTCTGTTATAAAGGATAATTTGCACGTGAATACTTCAACTAACGGGGAAATAAAACAGACTACCGCAAAAAGGTTGACCGCCTCCTGACCAACTGGGTCGGCGTGCCGATCGAGGTGCAGCCCCTCTTCACAGAACGTGTGCGACGACAGCTCATCACCATGGGCAGCATCAAGCCTTTCATCAGGTCCGGTCTCCCTGGCAAGGCCGGGCCGATCGTGACGGACAACGGGAACCACATCATCGACGCCCCCTTCCCGCCGCTCCTGCTGAACAGCGAGAAGCACCTGCAGGACGCGTCCAAGGGCCTGTGGACGGTGGTCGAGCTGGCGGCGCGGCTTAAGAACATGCAGGGTGTGCTGGAGACGGGCATCTTCTCGGGGCTCAATGGCCCCGACTCGAGGGCGATGCTCATGGATGCTGAGAAGCCCATTATAGTGTACTTTGGTATGGCGGACGGAAGCGTCGAGACGAGAGCGGCTCAAAAGTAGATGATAGTCCAACAAGAAGTAAAAAAGAAATACTCTTTTGAGACAACAAGAATTAGAAGTTGAAATCACCTACCAATTGAGTACGTATATTGCTTTTTTCCCTGTGGAATTTCAATCCCCCAGGAACTTGCTTTACCAGATAAGACCCCATGGCCTTGAAGCGAAACACTCTCCCCCTGGCAGGTGTGTGTTCAACACGCTCAGCTCTTACAAGCGACCTCATTGGCTAGCGTATGTAAAATGGCAACGGGACCCTTATTATGAATATCAATTAGACGCTGAAACAAAGGCGTATTACATATAATAAATGTCATATCGTTGTAAATGCCAGTCAAATCTCCTTTGACGACTTCCTCTCCATGCGATGCATAGTACGTCTGTGGTCGTCGAGCCGCGGCAGCTGGGCTCTTCTATTATACAAATCCGCGTACTCGGCCGGTCGATATGTCCCCTAAGCCGGGCCCACAACGTCCTGACTCGTCTTGTCTGCTCTAGTCGGGAAATGGTTGGCGGCTGTCTAGGATAGCACCCAAAGTGCAGTTTAGCAAGCGCAGCCTTCTTGTTGCGCGGACTGGGCGTTGGTCTTGACATCGATCACTGTAGTGCGGGTTAGTCGGTGGGCGTTTGGCATGAAATCAGGGAGCAGGGCATACTCTGGGAAGCGGCCTGAGCAGCGCCATCGGTACCCTCCATTCCTGGCAGGGCTTGTGCTATCCTCCTGAAAAGGGTCTTGACGTTGTGGCCCAGCTTAGCACTCGTCTCGACGAACATGAGGTTGTTCTTCTTGGCCTCGTCCTCGCCCTGCTGTGTCGTGACCTCGCGCTTGTCGTTCAAATCCGTCTTGTTGCCAACTAGCACAATGATGACGTCGTTACCACGCTCTGCCCGAACGTCGTCTATCCACTTCTTTGTGTTCTGGAATGATTTTGCGTCTGTGGAAGAACAGCGTATGTCAGTCTGCTGAGCCCCAGTTATACAAGAAGGAGGCTAGATAAAGGGAGTGCAAAGAGAGCGTACTGGAAATGTCGTATACTACTACCGCCACGCTCGAGTCTCGGATGTACGAGGGGATCAGACTCCTAAATCTTTCTTGTCCCGCTGTATCCCAGAGTTGTAACCGTACGGTTCGGTCTTCGAGGTACATGGTCTGAAGGGTGGGAGGGTATGTGTTAGTCGCAATGGTTTTGATGGCAGCTCGTGCTGTTACGGTTGTCTGGGACCGGGGTGGATGCTTGCCTTTGACAAGAAATCGATGCCAATGGTGGCCTGGTACATGTTGTCGAACGAGTCGTACATGAAGCGGGTGATTAGAGATGTTTTGCCCACTGTGAAATGTCTACGTCAGACGATTGCTCTTGTGCCCGCGCTTTCCAGAAGCAGCTGTTGACATGTGAATATACATACCGCTCTGCTCACCGAGGAAGACCAGCCTACAGGGACATGAGGGTTAGCATCGAGGCAACAAACAAGACGTGGACGGGTTAGGCGCATTTACTTGAATTTCTTCAAGGGGTTGTTGTACGACCCGCCTGCGCCAGCTTGAGCCATGTTCGCGTGTTTTGGTGAGGGCCGCGGGAGCGGGACTGGGACTGGGACTGAGTGATATCGTGCCTTGCAGAAAGCGGATGGCTGGATGTAGGTGTGGTATACTTGGTATACTGTGCGTAGGGAGATTCAGAAGGCTACTAAATGCGGTTGGAGGTGTAGCTCGAGTGTCGTTCGAAATGCCTGGTTTGGATGGGGGCGGAAATGCTTCTAAGAAAGGGGCGTGCGGCTCCGCGGTTCACCGTTCTGGGTCTTGCATCTATCTCTCTTCTCGGGTAGTATCCTAAGGTTAGTCAATAAATAAGTAGGTCCTGAGTTCTGGGTCCTACTGTAAGTCCTGGGGGTGTCTCTCTCTCCAGCGGAGTGGATCTGGCGTTCAGGTGCTACACAAGGCCCTGAAGTAGTTATGTATGTAACCTAGTGACCTGACCTAGGAAGGGAATATTGATTGACCTCAACCACCATTGAAAGTCATTATTGCTGAGAGCGAACCAGCCTTCAAAGAAACACTCTTTATTCAAATCTATCTTGGCATAATAAATCCACATAGAAGCCCGTACAAATGCTTCCAATCGAAGGGTTTTTGAACAGAATACATTTGTATTGAATCTACTAACCTTTACAACGGTGCCGTCTATTCCAGCGTTACGGGCCTGTATTTGGGAGGGTCTAAGTCTAGTTGCACCCATCGTTTGTTTCCTGCTATGCACCACTTTCAACCATACCCGGTAGGTATGTGTATGTCTTTTAGCCTAGATGCAGGCGCCTCCAGCTGGCGACTAGTTTTCACTAGACTCTAGCGGGGAAGCCGATAAGGTATTGTTTCTTATCAATAGCGCCGAACCGAAATTTTGTGAGACGAAGGGAGAGAGAAGGAGCACCTGCAGCGCCTGGAATTCGTACTGGAACTGGAATTGGAACTCCCCGCCAAATTTGAGAACCGGACAAATTCAGACGTTTGCAACAGACGCTTTCTTGACTTCCCTCCAGCGGCGCCGGCATACCAACAAGATGCCAGTCATTAAGCCTCTTGCAGGCTCGACAGCGGCCCCGGCCACGCGCAAACAGCCCTCCAGAAAAGGCAAAAAGGCATGGCGAAAGAACGTAGATGTCTCCGAAGTCGAGAAGGGTCTTGACGAACTGAACGAAGAAATCATCAAAGGGTAAGCAAACTCGCACAGAAAGCAAATCTTGATATCCACGCCCGTTAACATTGGTCGTATAGTGGCGTTGTTGCTGAGCGAGCTTCCCACGACCTTTTCACTCTCGACACCGTCGGCGACGCAGCAATCCCCAAGAAGTTCCCCAAGCATGCTTCCAAGAAACTGAAGTCGGATGAGATTCTGGCCGGTCGGTCAGCCGTGCCAGCCGTGGATTCGCGCAAGAGATCGAGCGACAGCGCATCCAAGAGTTCAGACGGCATCATCGCCCCCAAGCGACAGCGCACCGGCTACGTCACACAAAAGGAACTCAGAAAGCTCAAGAAGGTAGCTGATGGTCATCACGATGATTCAATCGAGTTCACTGAGACCGCTTATGACCCCTGGGCTGTTGAGGCACCAAAGCCCCTGGCAGACGACTATGTACATGACACTCGGGACGACAGCAAGAAGGCGCCCAAATCACTGGCTGGCAAGGCTATCTCCTTGGCTGCAAACGGAAAGACAATCCCCGCTGTATCGAAACCCGCTGGAGACTACAGCTACAACCCTGCCTTCGAAGAGTATCAGGCTCGTTTGATTGAGGAGGGAAACAAGGCTGTTGAGGCTGAGAAGAAGCGCTTGGCCGAAGAAGAGGCCGACCGTATCAGAACGGAGGCTGCCGCTAGGTCAGCTGCCGAAGCAGAGGCCGCAGAAGCCCGCGCTCAGTTGTCAGAATGGGAGGAGGACTCGGAGTGGGAAGGCTTCCAGAGCGGGGGTGAAGAATTGAAGGTGTCAGCCAAGAGGCCCGGAAGGAAAACGCCAGTCCAGCGCAACAAAATCAAGAGGCGCCACGAAGAAGAGCGACGGTTGAAGCATGAGGCCAAGACAAGAGTCAGAAAGGCTCAACTGGAACAGATCAAGGAGATCGCCAAGGCTGCATCAGAGAAGGACCTGGCACGAGCCCTGGCCAATGCCGAAGACAGTGACACAAGCACCGAAGGGACCGACAGTGTTCTCCGCAGAAAGCAACTAGGCAAGATCAAGCTACCCGAGAGGGATCTCGAGCTCGTACTCCCAGATGAGCTACAAGATTCCTTGAGGTTATTGAAACCAGAAGGCAATCTGCTCAAGGACCGGTACCGGAGCCTCGTGGTGAGAGGAAAGGTGGAGGCCCGCAGAAGAACTGCTTTGAGACATGCCAGGATGAAGGCTACGGAGAAGTGGACTTACAAGGACTTCAAGATATAGTCCAATCACAGCAAGCAATAGACGGTGCAAATACCTCAGGTTTCCCCCCTTCAAATACCATACTAGCGGACCTCAATTCAGAATACGACCACCAAGTGATGGCCATGTTGAATGCGATGAGCCCCTGCGTTATGGCATAGTTTTCTTGTTCGGTGAGGCTGTACAAATTCTACGCACCCAGTGAGACCCCTGAACTCGGAGCGGCGAGTTGCAATGACCCATCTGTCAGTTACTGTATAGTCGGACATCTACAGTAGAACCGTAAATCATTTCACAAAGTGTATGCCTGCTGTACTGTACGACTGCAGCGTCAAACATGATACCTACATAGGCATAAGTACCAATACATGGACCGTTTCTTGCGGGCGGACTGGAGATCCCACGTCGCAAAGTACATAACTATTTATCAGATTGATCAGATAAGAAACTTGGGGGGTCACAAAACCGGCGCTCGACGAAGTGGAATCCTTGCCATAAGGTGGGTCACAAAGCTTGGTTACGGCATGACTACGTGGAAGGCCCGACCGGTACTAACTAGCAGAGCTAGCTTATGACGCAGTACCACGCAGATGCAGATCCCAGATCCAGATGGACGAAAAAGAGTTTCTACTGTGACTGTAGTAGTATTTACTTGTTTACTACCGTAGATATACACGAATTGGGCATTTCATGTTTGCCAGCACATCAATTGGCCTGTACGCAACGCTCGCTTAGTCGACATGTGGTTGCACTCTTAAACACCCACTTCATTGTTGTTTTCAACCCACGATAGATATAGCCTCAATGCCTCCGCCGCAGTCAGGAGCAATCCTGGCCCGCGTCATCCGCGGACAGGGCAGGTCTGCTGCGTCAGGTCTGCTGCGATTCACCTCCACCCCGCAAGCTACCAGCTTCTTCCTGTCTCGCCAGTTTGGCCAACCAAGTAGGAGACCACAGAGTCCTGAACGAAAATACGAAAATGCCACCAAGTGGCTCTTCCCATCGAGGATTGCCGCGAGAGCTCTCTCCGGCGCTCCCTTGCCCCAGCGACGGTCTTTCTTCCTGAACTTTATGTACCGCTCAGCCGCTGTGCTTGGTACTGGTATCGGTTTCGTCGCTTTCCTCTTCGGTGCCTTCTTCCTCTACGACGCCACGACATACAAAGAGTCCGCAGCCTTTGGCGAATGTCGCGTCTCCGAGTACGCTCTTTCACCTCGTAGAGGCGGCCCCAAGAACCTCCCGATCATTGATGCCCTCATTGACGACGACGATACCGATGAAAAGCGAGCGCAGAAGCAGAAGCCGCGTCTGGTCATCCTGGGTGGTGGCTGGGGCGGCGTTGCCATGCTGAAAGAACTCAACACCGATGAGTACCACGTTACTGTCATCAGCCCCAAGAATTACTTCCTCTTCACTCCTATGCTTCCTTCTGCCACTGTGGGAACTCTGGAACTGCGGAGCTTGGCTGAACCAATCCGGCGCATTCTAGCCAGACTCAACGGTCATTTCGTTCGCGCTGAGGCTCAAGATGTCGAGTTCTCGCACAAGCTAGTCGAGTGCTCGCAAGAGGATGCCAAGGGCAACGAAATAAGGTTCTATGTACCCTACGACAAGCTGATCATTGCTGTGGGATCCGTCACGAATCCACATGGTGTCAAGGGTCTGGAGAACTGCCATTTCCTCAAGGATATCAATGACGCTAGAATGATCCGTAATCAGGTCATGAGAAACCTCGAACTCGCATGCTTGCCCACAACTCCCGATGTTGAACGACGAAGATTACTTTCTTTCGTCGTCAGTGGTGGTGGCCCGACAGGTGTTGAGTTCGCTGCTGAGCTTTTCGATCTGTTGAACGAGGACTTAACTAGGCGGTTCCCCAAGCTATTGAGAAACGAAATTTCTGTTCACCTGATCCAGAGCCGAAGCCACATTCTGAACACGTACGACGAGGCCTTGTCCAAGTATGCAGAGGAGAGGTTTGCACGCGACCAGGTTGATGTTCTTACCAACTCTCGCGTCCAAGAAGTCCACCCCGACAAGATCGTCTTCAGCCAAAAAGATGAGAACGGTCAAGTGGTTACTAAGGAACTGCCCATGGGATTTTGTCTCTGGTCTACTGGTGTATCGCAAGCTGAATTCTGTAAGCGGATAGCAAAGAAGCTCGGCGACATGCAGACAAATCGTCACGCGTTAGAGACCGACACTCATCTCCGTGTTGCTGGTACACCTCTGGGTGATGTTTACGCTATTGGAGATTGCTCCACGGTTCAGAACAATGTCGGAGACAACATTATTTCATTCCTGCGAGGCATGGCATTCAAGCATGGCAAAGATCCTGAGAATCTAGAACTACATTTCCAAGACTGGCGAAACGTTGCTGCAGATGTCAAGCGTCGGTTCCCTCAGGCCGCTGCACATCTGAAACGGCTCGACAAGCTGTTCGGGCAATTCGACAAAGACCAGTCAGGCACACTCAACTTTGGAGAGCTTAGAGAGCTTCTTGGACAGATTGACAACAAGCTGACTTCCCTGCCCGCTACTGCTCAGCGTGCCAACCAACAAGGTGTCTACCTCGCCAAGAAGTTGAACAAAATGGCACGCGCCGCACCTGGTTTGAGTCATAATGATATCCGCGACGGTGATCTCGATGAGGCCGTCTACAAGGCCTTTGAGTACCACCATCTGGGTGCTCTCGCATATGTGGGTAACTCCGCTGTCTTTGATCTCGGCGGCGGCTGGGGTCTGACTGGTGGTTTGTGGGCCGTGTATGCTTGGAGAAGTGTGTACTTCGCGCAGAGCGTTGGTGTGAGAACGAGATTCTTGATGGCGATGGACTGGATCAAGCGAGGTCTCTTTGGACGAGGTGAGAAGCTCCTAACTCTAAATTTTACGGACGATGCTAACCCAACACTAGACCTTATCAGTTTCTAGATTCATACACAGCATGGTGTACGAAGTACGCAATGAGACAATTGCTCGTTTTCAGACCGTTAGAATGGCGCTGGCGTTCAGGATGCCCCGTAGCTCAAATGCTCCGGTGGACCAGATAAGTTAATATTAGTGTTGACTGTGTATATAGAGATTGAAGATAATGATATGAGTTCGGATCTTAAATTGCACCAAACACAAAAGTTGACCTGTCTCATCGTGTTATCATGGACATACAAAATCATCGCTAAGCATTTGCTCAATAATTAAACGAAGTGGAACGCAAACATGATTAGCATGAGATAGGATAGGAGAAGGCAGCAGAAATACACTAACATGGCGCAAGATAGTCTGCGTGCTCTTGTGTCTGCCTACCACTGGTCAACTAAGCTAGGAATACCGCACAAGCAATATCGGTGTGGCTCACATTGGAGTGTTTCACGAGGCTGAGCAGCTATGGGCCAGAAAGCGCGTAGCGATCTTTCCAATGTTGTACTGTGCAGATGCAGGCTGATTGACTGACCGCCCCAAGCCCCAACGTGGCTCTGCATGAGGCATACTTTTCGGGGCTACCTAAGCAGACAACCTGTTTCCCCCTCGATCCTGGAACCCCGACTCTCTTTTACTTTCCGGCTCACACTCTCATCTTCCCTTTTGGGCCAATGGGCCGAATATCGCTTTACTCTTGTGCTCATGGCCGATGTGCTAAGCGTAATTGCAAGCGGCGTCGCCGTCGCCCAATTGGCGGGCACGGCGGGCGGCGCGGTGCTGAAGCTCAAACGGCTCTGGGACCAGGTCAAGGACGTGCCCGAGACAATCCGAGATCTCATGGAGCAGATTGACTGTCTGGATCCCGCCCTGTGGCAGGCCGAGCAGCAGTTTGCGCAAAACGAGTTGCCCCAATTACTCTGGAACGACGAAGCGGCCGTTCGAAGCGTGACCTACTGCCGCAAGGCTCTGGGCAAGCTGACTGAGCTTGTCAACGACCTCGACGTACAGATCAACACCAGCCGCCGGGTGTCGAAGAAGGTGGCCCGCATCAAGGTTGCGCTCAAAAAGGATGAGTTGAACAAGCTGGAGCGGCGACTGGATAATGCTGTTCGGATGCTCCAAGCTGCACAGCAGGGCTATATCATGTAAGTCCACCTACCTCAATGTAATAATCAATGTAGATAATGTCTATGCTCACGCATCATAGAACACTGTTGAAGCTCCAGCCTGACATTATAGTGGGAAAGTTCATGTCATGTATCGAAGCTGCTAAATCCGCAAGCAACTCAGGGACCATAGTGGAAATTGACCCACAAGATGACCGAAAGGAGGTCAAGACCTACTCGATCCAGCGGAAAGTGACCAGGAAACCTTTGAAGTCTCCCAGCGCTGTGGCCGGTTTCAGAATTGGGAGTTCGTCAGAGGGATTATCTGCTGGGTTCCGCCCTCCTTGGTGGCTGTTTGGTGTCACTTGTGCATTCGAATTTAACGCGCGTCGGTCCCTGGCAGGATGGGATATTCGCTTGCGGACGTATGCCGTAGTACCTTACAATACCCCAATATGGGCTGCCATGTCTGGAGGTCATGTCGAACGCGCGCGAGCAATTTTCGATAGTCGCCAAGCATCCCCGTTTGATGTAGATGAACTCGGAAGAAGCCTGCTATTCGTGAGTTCCCCGCTAGAGAGAATGCCATTTACTGGGCTCATATATTGAAATATAATGTGACAGAGGGCAATTTACTGGTGCAGCCCAGCTATTCTTGAGCTCATCTTGAACCTTCATGTCTTTTCAGAGGAAGAAGTCGCTCAAAATATTGTGTAAGCGATTTAACAGTCTTAGTCCACGTAAACGAATGCTTATATTAATTGTTCATAGATCATCGATTCACACTTTTAGTTATTTAAATTCTTTCGCCGAATTGAAAAATACTACATTGAAAAACAACTGCAACATGTTGATTTCAAAAGGGTTTCTTGCTAACTTTGCTGGTTATGTTGAAAGCACGAAGCATTGCAACTGTTGTTTACTGGATGATTGGGATATGTTTCAACTTGTTCAGCCTATCTTTTGCCCAAATCATCAAGCTACCACTTTAACATCACGAATGAAGAGGTTTAAGTATAGAATATGTCATAATTCGGCGGTGTCACGTTTTGTCATTGGATGGGACTCGGTCTTAGACAGCGACGGCAACTTGAGCTGTAGCGAATCCACTCAAGCTTCTCTTTTGCACACAGTGGCCAGAAACGTGTGCTGGGTAGAAGTGTTGCCGATGCATCCGAGTTTTGAGGATTATGAATCCAAAAAGAAAGAATATCAACCGTTTGCAGTTCAAGTTGTGAAGGGAACAAAGGACCTTCATCGGCTGGAGAGCAGCATCAATTTCTATAAGCTCCACACGCCACTGACATATGTGATACTGGGACTTTTGCTCCAGCCGCCTTTTCCAGCGGTCCTTAAATGGACACGCTCAGAAGTGGAGGCCATTCTAGTAAGAAGGCTTCGTCAGTGGCTCATGATACTCCAAGATGCTGGAGTCAACATTGCTGCGTACGGACGACGGGAAGACGAATTATTACGTGGCATCTCACCTGGGTTCCCGAGACGAATTTCCCGAACAGCCAGGGCAAGATGCATGCCAGGTCAAAAATCTTCTAGCCATTCATTTATATCTCGAAAAAACGCATGGAGTTATCATAGCCGTCTCTTGGGCTTCAAAACAGGCCCGAACATCGAGGACTGGGGAGTCTGGATGACAGAACCAACTGATCGTTTTGCTGGGCACTTCTGGACCATGATTGAAGCATCACAAACACCTCATCATGTACCAGGCGCTTGGGTCGATAGCGAAAACGACAACGACTCTTTATATTGGTCGTCGGACGACGATATTGACGAGGTTGACTCGTCGTTATATTCGTTAGACGCTGATGAATGATATTGTGTGTTGACACTCGGTGAATAGAATACGTGCAGCCTCAACTACAGCCTGTCAATTTGCTTCTCAAGGTCCATATCTTCCTGGGATCTCTGTATCATTCAACGTGCGAAGTGCCGTCGTTGATTAAGGCGCCACATGTGTGCATGTCTGTATGGAATTTAACTTTGTTATTTGTCTGACATCATATCCAAGGGTTTTAGCTTAGTTCTCGATGCTTAATGAGCCTTCATTACTGCCTAACCAACCTCGGTTCGTCTTGTGCTCCTTCCTTGTAGTATCAAGGCTAGAACAGTGCCAACGCATTGGGTGGTGAAGCTACGAGACCTGGGATGTTCAGTGGCACAGAAGTAAGCAGGAAAGAATAGCGTTTGGTGCTGGCGCAGTGCTCCCCCAAAGTTTTCAGGTTCCACAGTTCACCAATATTCAAACCGAACATAGAAAGAAAGTATGAGTGTAACACTAGCCAAAGAGTAATCAGCACAAATGCAAAGTCCGACAAGAGTCATATACACACCGAGGTCACCCATATCACCTAGTGATCCGTCGGGCTTTTGAGGGGGGAATACTTCAAATGCAAAAGTGTCGCCGGCTACAGCAGCAAAGTGTTTATTCCAAAACCACTTGTTACCAGTTAGTATAATACAAACCGAATCAAGGATAGAACAATGCATAAAGCCATGGCTCACCTTGGCGGCATCCTCGCTTCCCTCCACTCCAGCCATACCGCCTTGTCCCTTAATCATCAAGCCCAACTGCTCTTCGCCATTCAGCCCCTCCAAAGCCTCCGCAACACCTGCCCTTACAATAAGGATATCGCCTTTTCTGAAGTCTGTCTTTTGAAACGCTGCTACATTCTCTAGGTCTTCGATCGTGATCGCATATCTCGAGAAAGGCTCATACGTAATACCCTTTGCTCTGGTATATGCGAGGTAGTCCAAAAGCACGCCTCTCCCCACCACGCCTCCCCGCTTATGCCAATGTTCCAAGCCGGGAAGATCTCCTCGCTCGTCCGGGTCCTCCAGACCCGCCTTGGTGACCCTGACGCCGTTGTAGCCAAGCCCGGTGCCCTGGTGCGCAAAGTGGCAGAGCCCGTCCCACTGCGAGCTGGCCTGCGTGTTGAAGCTGACCTCGTCGTCCAGGACCTTGAGGTGGCCGCACGCAGACGGGGAGACGTCCTCAGCCCACGAGAGCACCTTGTGGCCCGTCGCTGCGCGGGGACCCCCGGGGACCTTCAGGAGATTCATAGAAGCATTGAGAGATATGGTCACGCCGTCGCGGGCTTCTGCATATGCCGCCTTGACCGTGTCGGCTGTCAGGAGGTTGAGGCAGCCAAGCTTGTCTTTATGCCCATCCCGATCGCTGGATTTGTTTGTGAGCCTAGGTTGCTCTGCAATCCGATGGATATGTGGAAGGTGCGGAGATGTTTAGACTTACAAAACACCCCATGCGCAGCCTTTCGGCATGCCTTCCACGGGAGGTAGGGCATCGAAGTCGGGGAGATCGCGGGAATCACTCATATTGTTCAGGCAATCTTGGCTATTACGAACCAAATATGTCGATCCTGACTGGCCAATATATACCTGCCAGGCCGGCTCGGTATTGTGGAGCCCAAGGTTATGATATGATGACCAAGAATCGCGTTTACTGCTGCCTAGTACGATAAGGATTGGATGTAGGTCTTCCAGTAGTCTCATTACCGTATAGTGCAGTGGTGTTGCGCTCGTTATGTTCCTATACGGCACAGTGGTCGGTTAAGTGACACTGCCACACTGAGGGGTGGGTCTACATCGTGGCGGAGCTCACCACAAAACATAGCCGAGAATATTTACAAAGTAGAAGGTCAATGAAAACTACTTTCACCATGGAAGGAGATGTGGAATACAAAATGTACGATATGGAAAAGTATGGAATTGCACTGGTAGCCTGAAAGGCAAAACCTAGTAGTTGATAGATTGTACCTTCAGAGTAATGGATGATGTATGAGAAATACAGACCTACGAGACTTGGCACGCAAATATATTCAAAGTTAAAATTCCGGCAATCCAGAGATTTCGCGGTAGTCCGCGTTCGAGAAATTTCTGGTGCAGTGTACAGATCATTGAGGATCGTTGAACACTTTTTGTCAATGTTCGAGGGCACTCCACCCTGAATATGCTCACAACGTGACCTCGGGGATTGAGCTACGGAAATAGAGCCCTGCAGGGAAAGTGATTTTTCTGGCAGGAGGTATACAGTTGATCAGCTTACAGGGTAAACTATACTAACCTATACTGATAAGTTAACGCTCGTCATTGGGGACGTGGGGTTCTCGGACTGGGTGCATAGAGGGTGGTGGGGTTAGGAACGACGGGGATATTTTCGGAGAATTCGAAATGCACTCTGTACCTTTTGAAGAAGTTTTAACTAGACCAACCCAGTTGATTTACAATTACTCGCAACATAAGTTCGACAAGATCCAGATATAATTCATCTCATTCAAAATGGTCACGGAATCGTATAAGACGTCATCGTTTTCAACCCCGCAATGGTGGAAGGAAGCTGTAGTATATCAGATCTATCCTTCCTCTTTTCAATCGCATCCTGGCAATTCATCAGGATGGGGCAGTATCAAGGGCATCACCTCGCGGCTGGATTATTTGAAGTCCCTCGGTGTTAATGTAGTTTGGTCTAGCCCTATCTTCAAGTCTCCTCAAGCGGATATGGGCTATGACATCGCGGACTACAAGCAGATCGATCCATGCTACGGTACACTCGAAGATGTAGATACCTTGATCGCTGAGCTGAAGAAGCGTGATATGAAGCTCATGATGGATCTCGTTGTCAATCATACCAGCAATGAACACGCATGGTTTCTGGAGTCTCGCAGCAGCATAGACGGCCCCAAGCGCGATTGGTATATCTGGCGGAAGCCTAAGAGCATCGGGGCAGACGGGAAGCCAGAACCACCCAACAACTGGGCTCAAATTCTTGGTGAGGCCAACTCTGCCTGGCAATACGACGAGAAGACTGGGGAATACTACTTGGCTCTATTCACGCCGGAACAGCCTGACCTGAACTGGGAGAACCCCGAAGTTCGTGAGGCTGTTTGGGATGTGATGCGATTCTGGCTGGAGAGAGGTGCCTCTGGTTTCCGCATGGACGTCATCAACCTTATTTCAAAGGTGCCGGGATATCCTGATGCAGAAATCACCTTGGGCGAGGGACACAGGTACCAGCCAGCTTGGAAGTATTTTGTCAATGGACCAAAGCTACACGACTACCTCAAAGAGATGCATAAAGAGGTGCTCAGCCACTATGACACGATTACAGTTGGCGAGATGCCCGGCGTCAGTGACGAGAATGAGGTCTTGAGAACAGTCGGCGCAAATGCAGGTGAGCTGAGGATGATCTTCGTCTTCGACGTTGTAGATATCGATAAGCCGCATGTCAGATTAGCGCTCAAGCCCTGGGACATCAAAGATCTGAAAACAATTATATCAAGATGGCAACGAGTCATGATCGACCTGGATGGCTGGAACTCCGTGTTCATCGAGAATCACGACAACCCCCGTTCTGTGTCACGATATGCCGACGATAGTGATGAATGGAGGCATCTAGGTGCAAAGCTGATTGCGCTTATGCAGACGACCCTAGGCGGCACCCTATTCGTCTACCAGGGTGAAGAGATTGGCATGCGAAATATTCCGACGGAATGGGACCCTGAGGAGTACAAGGATATTGAGACAATTAATTTCTGGAAAAAGACCCAAGCGCTATATGGGAACGACCCTGAACTGCTGCATCACGGTCGGACTATTATGAATATGAAGGCAAGAGACAACGCCAGGACACCAATGCAATGGAATGCTACCGACAATGCCGGCTTCTGCGACTCGGGCATCAGACCGTGGATGCGCGTCATGAACGACTACAAGACCATCAACGCCGAGGTCCAGATGAGCGATAACAGCCCCGATTCTCTCAGCGTCTGGCAATTCTGGCAACGAGGTCTGAAAGACCGAAAAGAACATGCCGACGTCTTTGTGTATGGTGACTTTGAGGAACTTAGCCATGAGCACCCGCACGTCTTCTCGTATGTGAGAACAAGTGTGAAGGGCGAAAAATGGGTTGTCGTACTCAACTTCTCTGGCAAACAGGTCGAGTGGTACCTTCCCGAGGATCTCAAGGTCGGCTTTTGGGCTGCTAGTAATTATGCCAAGGACCGTGTTGATAAACCGCGTGCGTCTATGATACCGTTGAAGCCTTGGGAGGGTATACTGGGAAGATGCACTTAAATTCTACTTGACCTACTCATGATGGCGCTGTGTAGATACATAAATTAATCGCAACAGTCCATAGATTTGAGCTTCCTAATTCGTATTAGATATCACGTCGCAAACCAAAACCTCAATTATAGAAGATGTAGTCACGACTGGATTGGCCACAAAGCACCACATGGTGCTAGAAGAAGTGTGCTGCATCATGTATGAGAAGCGTCATGATACTGGAATTTCGTCACCTCAAGGTTTTGGATGTAATCCGAAGTGTGCATGCTTCGCTATAATATGACCCAAGGGGACCTCCCCTCCCCTCAAGCTAGTAGAAGTGGCATGAGGGAAGTCAACCAGTCGACTCGACAGTGTTGAAGGGGTGGGCGCAGAAGTTCACGCTGACCACAAGTATCTATTACCTCAGCAGAACTTGATACTTGATATAAGACAGAGTTATAATATGGGTTAAAATGGGCGGCCATATATATGTATGATGGATAGATGATCCATTTATATCATTGCGTGAAGCTTTTATACGTGTATGCACCGCTTGAGTGCTATGCTAACCTAACGATCCGGCTACTCGTCGTAGGGAGTGGTGCACAAAGACCTTGCCGCCAAAATGAAGCATGTAATACACCGCCGCTTCAAATCCTTTCTTCTGAGTATTAGCCCATTGAGATTAAGACAGCACGTCTACTAACCTGGCGCACACAAGGAGTGCATAGATATGCAGCTTGGCGCCTTTCTTCGTGCGATCTAACTTCAACTGGTGGAGGTCGGTGGTTTACAAGTGGGGCTATGAGTCAATAGTAATATAATTGATCTTGCAGCCACAATTTGCATCAACAACCAATTGGGTTAGTCGCTCGGCACTTTGGCGGAGTGGTTAACGCGCTGCCCTGCTATCTTCTCTGCGATGATATCGGTTTAGGCAGTTCCTTCGGGAGCGTGTGTTCGAATCACACAGGTGTCGCTTTTTGCTGTCCTCGACGCTCTGTCGTCACGTTTTGCAACTCTGCAATGGTTATCCTACGTTGTTTAACGTGTATGTGACATTTACGTCATGTACATAATAATTGCCTGCGAGGGCGAACGATTTTTCCTTTATCGTGGCCTTGTTGAATTTGGCTAATTATGTAGTATTAGATGTAGGCTACTCGGCGCATTGTATAACGCAAAACTACGAGTCTAGGCCGGTGGAGCCGGTATGAACACGCAAGAATGAATAAAACAGAACTTTATGAATAACGTACATAATCTAAATTAAGATTGTGACACGTCGCACCCCATATTAATAGACTTAGCTAAGCTCTCAAGGTTCATATGGAGTGTGGGTGCATGCTGAAAGTGTCAATCTGTTATGGATAAATCTGTTATAAAGTACGGAATAGAGAAGCACGCATCACTTTGAGCAAAATAAACCCCAGATAGGAGGCAAAAAAAATACGAGGTATTTTTTTTATCGTAATGTTGCAAAAAAAATTTCATTCATTACTCGTGGTCATAATAGACTGCTTGGGTATCATTGCCCTGGTGCCTTAACCTGAGCTCCCGACTTGAGAAACTACCTGATGTATCCTAGACAAGTAGGGCGCCGCCCATTTCCAAAGTGCATCAACACAAAATATCTTGTTGCCGTGGTTTACCAACCGCCGCCATGGTGGCTGTGGTGTCCGTGATGACCACCGTGATGGCCACCATGATGACCACCATGGTGACCACCGTGATGGCCGTGGTGACCATGGTGTCCACCATGATGCGGCGCCGGCGGCGGGCCATACGAGGACTGCGAATGATGGCTTCCGCCTCCAATCAAGTTGCCCATGCTCCCCAGCATTCCGGACGAGTGGTGCCCGGACCCATGCTGGCCATATGGGTCCTGTTGACCATGTCCATGCTTGTGCTTGCCACTCAGTTTGCTTGAAATGACACTGGCAGCCACCGCACCGGCCGCGCCGCCCAGAAAAGTCCCGAGTTTTCCATTTCCAAGCTTGTGCCCTAGGAAAGCACCGGTTCCTCCACCGATCAATGTGGAGCCAAGTCCTCTCTCGCCATCTTGTGCATTTGGGTTGTTGGGATCTCTGTACTGATTCTGCTGTGCATACTGACCCTGCTGGTTGTACGAAGATGGATCTGCAGAGTGCGCCCTAGGGGGTGGGTAGGGTGACCCGGAGTGCGTGCTAGTGGGTCTCGAGCCGTCGTAAGCGGGTGGGTAATCTGAGTGAGCGGAACCTGGACGGGCATATTGCGGCTGCGCAGGGTAGGGAGTCAAGTGCTGCGACGATGGCTGTTGTGGTGCGGGAGATGCGTAGCCTTGTTGAGTGGGATAAGGTGATGGTGATGCGTATTGCGTTTGCTGAGGATGCTGTGCGTATTGCGGCTGTGATGGGTAAGGCGAAGACGACGAGTGGTAACCTCCACCCGAAGTGCCATAGTAGTCTTGCGCCGACATTGCGGTTTCGAGTTTGTGAGATTCGTGCAAAAGGTGTTGCTGACGGTGAGATCTCGCCAAGAAACTAGAAAGATGAGAGCAAAGCAGACAAACTCTCAGGTCGGAAGTTATACGTATGTATAGGCAGTGCGTCACAAGGCCGTTTCGTCAGATGACTAAGTTGGTGTGATACGTTTGATCGCCAGATTTCAAGAACTCGAGTCACAAGTCTAAATGAAGGACGGAGACACCAAAACCTTTTATAGTCCAGGTCCAACCTACCTCGACCATTAGTCACACCAATAGGCAATACACGTATGCAAGCCACGACCTCTTTCAGATCTTGCCGCAGCGCTTACGCATCACAATGGTAGTATGTGGAGAGGCTGAGCAGTTAGTGCAAGAATCTTCAACGTGACCTTTTGAGGACTTGGCTTTGCAGGTCAGCCCTGACTTCTGGAAGACTCTTGAGTAATGATTGTGGCGAGGGGCAGCTGGGGGCAGTACTCAGCTCAGCAGCGCCGGATCTGCCGTAAGCCGATGCTCCATCCATGCAAGATACATATGCGAGATGCCGAGATCGCAAAGCTGCAAAACCGAAGGACCGTAAGGTAATGATTGGTCGATGATCTGAAGTTGAAAGTCCGGAAGGAATGATAAATATGTGGGGCAAAAGCATGCCGCTTCGAGCCTAATAACAAGCTGTTGTCTGTTATTGTTTATTAGTGTCTGGTGTTGACTGTTTAGTGTTGACTGTTGACTGGTGCACAGAAAAGCAAACAAACAGACCTCCGGCGTTACAGGCATGAACCCCGCTAATGTGGTTCAAAATGTAGCGTTTATTTATTAGTGGTACGCCATCATAGGCCGTGTTGCCGTTGTCAAAATGTCGACATATCCCCGGGCGATGCAATGTTATGGCATGGCAGTCTTGCGAGAGATGCAGCCATGAATCAGTGAGCTGGAGATCGTTCTTGACATGCGCCATATCGGTGCATGTGAAAGAATTGCTGGCATGCAGGGTTTGTTTCTGCCATGGGTAGAAACGGGCTTCATGGGAGACAATCATCGTCATTAAATGCAAGGGATGCTTTTGGGTATTCCCAGGTGTGCTGAGCTCTCCTATATACAGCCCATAATTTCCTTCCACCATATTCCACAGCCACATGTCATGATAGTCATCAAAAGGCTGAAAATGCACCAAAACTCCTTGTCGCGCCATATGCGACCCCAAATCCTCGAAGATGAAAATGTTAATGCATCATAATCGTAAGTAAACGTGTCGAAACCATATGTTTAGGCTAATCGTCAAACTTCCCGGACAAGAAAACAGGTACGCCTCAAGTTGATGCTGTGATAAGGCTGTATGGCACGCAATCAAAATCATCGAGCCCCAATAGCTGGTGGTCCTTCTCGCCTTTGGGATTGAGATCGGGATTTCGGCATGGTGATCTCACCCTCCGAGTCCGAGCTGTCATCTGCAGCTACCCGATCAAGCATTCGCTCGATGTCAGTATCTTGTAGCTCCTGTCGAGGCCTCGGAGGTGCGTTGATACCAGCTGGGACGGACAAAGACGGTCGGTGTCCACCGATGGTTTTCCGACGCGGGGTTCCTCGAGGTGACCCATAATGATCGTCGACATCCATATCGCTGACGTTGGTCGGTGACTTGTCGAACACGACGCGTTTGCCAATGGATCCATGAGCCTGATGCCTTATTGTCGGCAGGTTCTTACGTGACTGACTGTTTGGTGCCAATCTGGACGTGGGCAGCGCTGTTCTGGGATGAGTTTGAGCATTGCTAGGTCCGTTCTGCGTCAAGGGGGAGAACGCATGTTTCATGTTTGCCGAGTTCCCCGGACTGCTCATGAACAGGAGGGTCTCCAATGCCTCCTGTTCTCTGACGTTCTGGTGAGGTGAGAACAGTATAGGATCCCTAACATTAATCGCTCCGGGAGTGCTCTGGAGCGGACTTGGTTGCCCCGGTGTATGAGGTGAAGCTTGGCTTGAGAGATAAGCCGGAACATATCTGGCATTCGAATTACGGCGCGAGTTGGAATATGCAGATCGTCCTGGTTGAATAGTTGCCGGAGGGGCCAGCATAGGAACGTTGGACATGGATGGCGGCGAGGCGGAATGATGTTGGGGTCTGGTATTGTTTTCCCTCCAACCCGACTCATAAGCGCGTCCTTGAGGCGGCTGTTGACTCACGGGACTGATACCTGCACTCTGTATCCCTTGGCGCATAGCTGTCAATGTGACTCGTGGACTTGCATTTAGGCCATATCGGCCATGTACAGTTGACGTGCTCGACGCGGGAGAGGCAACTTGTGACGCCAACGATTCTACTTGGTCGATAGAGTGACCTTGCCAGCCATTGTTGACCTTGATCATAGCATATGACAGTTTTGTCTTGAGCTCAGCGGAGAGCTAGATGATACGTTAGCGACAAGACGGTCGACGAGGGGGCAAACGGGCGTCATGAAAATAGCATACATCTCCAATGCGACTACCAGTGGTTGAAGCCACACTCACGGCGCTGGTGTTCCTTGAGTGACCAGGCTTGCGGACTGGAGAAGTACTCAAGCTGTCTCTGGTATATTTCACCGCGCCGTCTGCCATTCTTTTCCTTGCCTGGCCATTATCGGCCAGTTTCTCTTGGGCAGCAGCAAGCTGCGACAATTGTAGCAACTGCGACTCTTGACTTGACGAGTTAGAGTTCCCAATGCCCTGCACAGGACCGCTGCTTGCACCGCTGTCGCTTCCCGGGGGGGTAAAGACGCGATCGCTCTCGTGTGTCCCTGTCGTGCCCTGCGAGTCGTCGTTGCTAGAATAGTTGTACTGGTTATTTCTGTTCGTTGCTATAGCGTCGCGCACCTGATCCGGCCCGGCGATAGTCGCATGCGAGCCATTGCCGTTGATGGGCAGCATGGTGGAAGTAGAGTGTTAGCCGCTACCGGAAACACAGAGTAGTTGGGTGGGTTGAGGTGGGATGTGCGTGAGCCCAAGCAAGGAGCCGTCGCGTCGGCTTAGAGTGCCTCGTCCGTGTCCGTGGGAACAATAAGCAAGCAAGCAAGCAATCGCGACTATGGAGCAAGTAATAGCCACAAATTGGCTGCGAATACGTGGGTTTCTAACCGTGTCTCCTTCCGAAGGGATGTTCCCCGTTGCGATCTGCAGCAGATGACACAAATTGATTATGTTTTTGCTCTGCTCAGCTCTGCTTTGCTTTGCTTTGCGTTGCTGCGCTGTCGATTCGGCTTCCACTACCAAATGCGGCTTTTCCTCTTTGTGCGAGACACGCCCAACACGCGTCGGCGTCGGCGGCGGAAAGTTAGTCGAGTCAGAGCTTCAGTGAATTGGAAGCCAACTACTTCAACCAACACGTGCAGGTCCGAGACATCGGAACGTAAAGAGGGAACGTTCTGCGGGCAATTAGAGTAGCGAGAGCAGAATACCTAACTTCGCTATATCAATAGCATGTAAAAGACAAAAAGAGAAGGAATGCGGGATGCCTGGAAGTCGGATTATGGCAGTCCTGGAACCAAGCTACTATGAGCCACGAGCACACACACGACCGGGGGGGGCAACACTTTAGCCTTGCGTGCTGTGCAGTGCTGTACTCTACTGTGCCGCGCTGCGCTGCGTCTTTAGTAGTAGCTGTCTGGTCTCCAGTTTATGAGCGGGTTAACCTTAGGTAGTACGCAGTCCCAGGCGTTTATTACAGTCAACTCGCGACCAGACGCCTCCACAGATCGACTCTAGTTAGACCCGAAATCCTTTGTGGTTGGGGGGACCCCCAGTCCCAGTCCCGGTCACCTGGCCTCAGCGGTCCGCAGCGCCATTTTTCCATGGATCATTCTACAAAACCTCATCATACTCGCTGCCATCTCTCGTCCACCCTCGTCCACCAGATCTTGCCTACTCACAGAACCCCATGGCTGGAACCCTGCTTACCTAAATTATTCCCTCCACCGCCATATCCAGGACCAGCCGGGCAATTTTACACCGCCGATGGATTTCATAAGAAGCGCAGGTACTGTTTCAACTCGACTGTGCTATGTAGATTGCGATCCCTGTCACCCACGACTCGCGCATGTGCCTGTCAGATGCCAGCCGCCGCGGGACGATTCGAAAAAAAGCAAAGAGAGCCTGCACGACACGCATAGCGCATTGACCATTCCAACACGAGATCACGTGAGTCCTTAATCACAAACAATACCATGTACACCAAACGGGCTTGATACGCCTCCGTACTTGGACTATGTAGCGCACCAATTGCTTCCATACATCAGGTATGAATGCCCTAGGTTAAGTTTTTTGCATGCATATGTACTACGCTGAGTTATTCTTCTGATTTATTTCATTATTCGGTTTGACGTGACACACTCACCTCTTTGGCTGTTCTGTAGACAATCAATATGGTTCCTTACAGAATCGATTTTTAACCGAAATATTTGGTCTGCTAGGTATCATATTTTTCTGCTTCTATATATTTACAACGCCAAGTTCATATTCAAAAGGGTTCGAGTGAGTTTTACTCCTGACCACATCATCAGGTCTTGGAAGCAATCAAGAATATTCTTCTTGCTGATCACATTCTGCATCTTCTTGACCACCTCTCCACACTACAATGTCTCCTCCCTCTGCGTTCCATCAGCCAAGTGGTTTACTACACTCTACCGCAGTTTTTATTCTGTAAACTGCCCAAAAAGCTTCTTGTAATGTTCAGAGACGACTGTAACTTAGCTAAGTCAGATAGGGTCAACTTGCTCTATTACTCGCCAAAAAAAAAAATTTGTTGTCTCTGAATTGCTGTGTCCGATCATTGTCTTCGATTGTTGTCTCCGAAACCTTAGGCTCTGTATAAGTACTGCCAGGCTTCTTTTCCCAGTTATGTTAACCAACATCCTTCTCCGTATTCACTTTCATTCTAGGCTCACTAGAAATATGTCCACAACTTATTTCTCGCTTCATTACCATCGCGGTGCAGCGCAACCAACACAACTATCATCGCCGTCAGAACCATTATACGTACCAACGACACCGTATCAACAATGGCCCGTACATCAGGGAATCCAATATGGAGCTCCCATCGGAACTAGGAATTGGCCTAGTAGAGTTAGTTTCCCTCATTCTGGCGACCCTCGGCATACATACCCCCCAGCGCATGGCGGAGTTCCTCCACACGTGCTAACTGAGCGTCAAGGCCAGTATTTATGGCCCATATCACCTCCTTTCGTGCCTCTAAATATGTCAACCCAACTCGTACCCACGCCTGTTTCCACAAACTACCAACAATCCAACTACGGGGCACCGTGCTCTGGCATGTACACGCGAGACGACCACAATGGATTTCATACAGGATGGACTGCTATTGCGCAAACTAGCAACTTTCTATCAGTCTCTTTGCCCATGCCCATGCCCATGTCCATTCCCGTCAGCCTCACTCCATTGTCCGGACATCAGCCTGGCTCTTCTACCCTGGTTAAACTCCTGTACGGTATCGCTCTGGAAGCTGGGTGGGAGGAAGAGAAGTCCCGTGGAGTACCTATCATCGAGGCCAGAGACCTCCACAGACACCGTCCATGCAAGGAAATGCAACACTTTGCATACGAGTTCCTCCTTAAAAAACTGTACGAGGAGTTGAAGTGGCCCAAGAGCCGAGAAGCAGCGTTTGTGATATCATGCTGTGAATGGGCAGCTTATGACCGCTGCCATCCACCACCTCCATATTTTATCCAAAAAGCAATCCAGAAGCTCATGTTTCGGGAGTGGCCATGGTGGTACTTCGACGCGACAGGAGCGGGTGTGGTCGTTCGGGAAAGCGAAAGGAGCACTATGACAGGGCTCATAAATCTTTGGAAGAGTCAGCGTGCCAGGCACGAGAAAAAAAAGCTCGAAACCTTCAAGTCCGCAACGAGTTGTTACTTCTCGTTGTGAAGAGACCACGGAAGTAGAAGAAATCCTGGAGCAGGATCTAACATGTGTAGAGCGACATCGAGAGGGAAATCCACAGCCCAAGGGAGAGCAGCAGCCAGTGGTGCAAGCAGCTCGATTATCTGGGGACCGATCAATAACGGCGCCCGTTGACCTGCTCGCAAGTAAGAACCGACCTGTTCAGTCGGGACGTCGCCCCAGACAGAAATAGCTACGTTTACCCGTTACTTGCGCGTGACCCAGCAGTATACCGATAGTCAGCCGAAAGTAAGTAGCATAGTATCATGCATCGCGATAGGAAGGAGTGGTAGGGAATAGATCTGTGATGGGTTGAGACATTCGCGCATTTCCGTACAAGGAGAGGCAGGTCAAAGAGAAATCGATTACAACAGGAAGAATGACTTGAAATATGCATCTGTCGCGAAAGCCACTCGTGTGCTGGCAGGAACACCTAGTAGCGCACGATGCGCGCGTCAGACCACCTATCTACGTACATAGCTGGAACAATGGAAGAGAAATATCGAGCCACCATGTTTGCATAATTCTCTCATTTATTTCCGGTTCAACACCTCGGAGAAGATCGCGACTGTCTTTCCGGTCACCAGCAGCTTCTCAGTATGATCCTACCCACCGCGAATCTGCTCGTGGCACTAGTGTACCCGTATATCATCCCTGCAACTCTGCAATAGGGGCCATTGTTTGTTGGGCAGAACTCTCGATACCGCCTGTTACATGATTCTGTGCCGATCCCGTATGCTGGGGGCTGACCGAGGACACTGCGCTGTGCATGGTATCGCGCTGGGGGCTGTGTAGCTCGGACCTGTTGGCGTACTGGGGGTAGTTGCCGTGGATATCAGGGTTGTATGCCTCGTATTGTCGCTGTTGTGTTGGAAATTGAGGACTAGCCGTAGACATAGACGACACGATGCTACCCCCGCTAGGAGGGCCATCCGCAGCGAGCTCGGCCTTGTAGCCAGAGAAGCTAGGTGCGTTGGGATGGGCGTTTGAACTGGGTACTGAGGAAGATTCCGCGGAAGATGTAGAGTCCGGCCAAGGGGATTGCTGGGGTTTGGGCTCGGACTCAGGTTCCCCGTCTTTCTTCTTCCCCAGGTTCCTTTTCTTCAAAAGCCATATCAAAATGGCAAGAGTGCCCAAAAAGAGAGCTGCGATGGCCGCACCTGCGCCAATGCCCGCTTTTGCTCCAGTAGACAAAGTCGCTTCGTCATCTGCTGTTTTAGTGGCTTCCTCCGTGGCCGACAGTGTTGAGGCCAAGATTGAGGTTGAGACTGCTGCCGTCGTAGACTTGCCTGCGGTCATCTGTGTTGGTATGGTGGAGATCGTTGGGGCAGAGTGTCCATTGATGAATCGCAGAGTGCCACCACTGGTTTGCGGGAGGATCGCGGTGCTGACCAATACGGCGTAGTCAGTGAACAATGGCGGGTTCGTATCGTTACATTGACATCCTTTGGAAAAGGTAGTCAGATGGTCAATGTCCACCTCTGGGCACCCAGCCCAAGACACGTTCTTGGTCCACGGATCCGTGGGATTTCCGCAGATGACCAGTCCGTTCCACTGCTGCTCCGAGTATTTGCCTTTATTCTGGCATTCTGATGCTTTACTACAGCGACCAGTGTTAGTAGTTGACACTTCGCGGTGGGTTTCAGGGTCTGCCGGTGCACTAGGGAAAAATCGCAATAACCCTAACTGCCTTTGATGGGAAATATGCCCCCAAATACATGCTATTAAGGGCAGAAAATGATCTCGAAAATTGCTTACTAGGTAGGGTCGGTACAGGCGGCCAAATAGGTTGCGCCATCTGCGATTTCGTGTTAGCAGACAAGTAAACATCTGGGTTGATGTGACGGTATCCTACATTTGTCATTATAACAAGCTCCGTTGTCGAAACACTTATCGCCAACACTGCAACATTGGAAGTCAATACCGGGTGCGAAAGCATTGCCGCATGGAATGAATTCAGAACCAGCTTCTGAGCCTACTTTCCAGTAGCAAGTCCCGTTGGACGCTGAAGTATCAAAGGTGGTCATGCTGGATGAAGTAGACGAATAAAATTTGTGCCTTATTGTGCCAATGTTTTCAACGACCAGAGAGATCGAGAGTCAGGTATCAACCTGAACTCGCTTGTGCAAAACCCCGGCTTAGCTGCAGGAAACCTTTCCTTGCATCATGCATGTAACCAGCTAAGGTATTGGCGGTTGCAGAAAATCCTGTTTGGGCGGAAAGTTGCAGAAGATGCAGAAGAAAGAAATCTAGCTCTGGGATGACAGTGAAAGTGTTTGCTTGTTCGGTTGGTGAGTGGGCCAATGGCAGCTTGTGGCTCAAATCTGATGGTTCCAACTGGGAACTGATGGATGACAGCAAGTTTTGTGGCTTGATTCTAGAGGAGATGAAGAGACCGTCCAACGCACAACGAAAGGTGCAGGTGTTTTGCGAAAGCACATCGGCAGATGGTCGACTCGCCCACAAGGCTATTCGCTGTCCCTTCTATATATTCCACGACTCAGCGGCAATCATGATTGGTATCGACTAAAGAAAGTATAGGCCCAACCCAGCGACTGTATCAAGGGAAAAAAGGGGAAAGAAAAAAAAAGAGGATTGACGTGTCAATATTTTTGAGGTCCTTTGTAACGTGATACATCAATTTCGGCAACGTACTTTCTATGTGACTGTAAAGTGAACAAAAAAACTTATGATAACAAAATTGGTACGACAAACATGAGTAAAATAAAATAGAGAGAGGCAATTTATGTGATCGTCTTTATCACATTCGATAATCTTGTTTTGCTTCAAGTACGAACCTGCCAGGTAGTGGCCTCGTGTACTCTCATCAGGTCAGGCAGGTCGTGAATGGGCGATCCTATCGACATATCTCTTTACTGCTTGCAGACCATGATTAGTAACGCTCTAGAATTCCAGAACTGCCCAACAGACGCGATTCAAGCGCTTTGAACCAAGTGACTTTTGACCAATGGGCACGGTATATGTATGCTTTGTATGCATCACGGCTTGTCTAGCCCGCAGCGGAAGAGTTGCAACGTGCCAATAAGAATTGTTGCGGATGGCCCAGTACTACAGCTACAATAACTGATACCCACATGATCAAGGCTTTTATACCGGGTAACATTCAAATACATCTTTAGACATGTAAGGGATTGGTGAGAAATCACATACCGTTAGCTAATGCCTTAACCTAGTGTGCTTTCTGTTTTTGGGTGCGCCATGTGGTCACCCCTGCTGCAGCTGCAACCAATCCCACAGCACCTGGTGCGGCTGGAAAGACCCAAAGAAAAGAGGAAAAACAATAGCAAATTGATATATGTATGGTATCTTGAATAATTAAAACTTAAACATCCGGTATATGAAGATCTCGTCCGGGGGACCGCACATCCATGATCATCGGCTTGTTATGAAGAACCCACAGTCGCAGGCCCAACATGGTAGGCATATGTGCCATGTTTAAATGCCTTCTCTTCTAAAAAGTCCAACGGAATGCCCTTCTGTACTATTGGCGACATGAGGACATTTAGTGACGTGACATCGCCTTTAACGTACGGAAGAAGATACTGATCAGTGAACTTCCAAACCGGGTTGTTCCAGGCGACTAGTCTCGTGTATAAGGCGGACATGTCGACAGCTTCTTTGGAGTTGCCCATTCGCGAGGTCTGATAGTCGCGGAAGAGTTGGGTCAGAGTTGCGTTGTCGGGGTCCGAAGTCTTCTGTACGAGACTGTGCAATCTGTTGACAAGCTGCGCAACGCCTTGCAGGCCACTGTTCATTCCGAATCCTGTATTGGGTGTCATCTTGTGGACAGCGTCGCCCACAAGCACGGCGCGTCCCTCGTGCCAAGTTTTGACAATGCCTTCCTCAAGATTTGCCAGTACAGCCCACTGCTTCTGAGCCCAAACATCGCCAAATGTGACGAATTCGCCTTCCTTGGTACCAGGGTAGCGAACGTCTGCAAATTTCTTGGCGAGAGCGTCGGCATCCTCAGGCGTGTACCGCGTGCGGTCCTTTGTAGGTTTTGGTAGACGCTCGTACACCAGAAAGTGTTGTTGTTCTTCAGCGACAATAAGTTGGATGGTCAGGTTGCGCTCGTGTGTCTCGTACAACGTGGCAGGCTCCAGCTCTGGTGAGCGCTTTGCATATCCATAAAGACCACGATAAGTTGACAGAAAAGGTTCGTCCTTCTTGCCGACCGCCTCATTCATCAGCTTTCGGACGCTGCTATGCACACCATCGGCTCCGATGACGATAGAGGCCGAATACGTGGTCTCATCGGCGCAAGTGACTGTCACACCGGAATCGGTGTTTTGTAGAGAGACCACTTCTTTGTCGAGCAGCACTTTTGTTGTGTCAGGAAGTCTGTGATACAGCATTTGCATAAGTTTCGCACGGTGGAAGCACATCCAAGGGTGGCCGTGGCTATTTACTGTTAGCGGACGTACAACGCTTCGACCTCAATGGTTTGTAACTCACTTGGTTCCTATAGCCTCGAACATGTTACTCCTCGACAATTCGGAGCCGTCTTTCCTCAAATTGCGCTTGTTTTTCACCGGCATATACGTTTGTTCCGCCTCCTCTAGCAAACCGAGCTGGTCCAGGAGGCGCACGTTGTGCGGCCATACAGCAACGGATGCGCCAGAGTCCGTATCGAGTTGCTTCCGTCGTTCGAGGACTATATAGTCGATGCCAGCTTGGGATAGGGCATGCGCCGCGGTCAAGGCTACAGGGCCGCCTCCGACTATAATGGCGCTGAAGGCTGTGGATTTATCCTCAGCCATTGCGATGGTAGATTCGGCCTGAAAGAACTGGTCTGGTTGGAAGCTGTCGTGGCTTGAAGATGGACAAACAGTCGATAGGTGCTGAGCTCAGTTGACTACCGACACTACAGCTAGGAGAAAATAATGCTTGTTCCAGAAGTTCGATATGGTCCGACACGTGGAGACCCTTGTGTCGAAGCACATGGCAAGGACCCATTTCACCATCTTTTTCAGCTCCATCACAGATAAGAGCCGGCGAGTCCAGATGACTCCGAACAAGGCATAGCAGTAGCCCTCCGGCGACTCCTGAAGCGCCGATGATGCCCTGGGCAATTTCCTTCTTCAAAGTTACGCAGGGTTTCAGGGACGAGAGCAAATCGTGGAGGGAATTCACGTGAAAACATCGCAAGGGCCAAGGCCCACTGTACTATGTAGAGCCCTGGCCTTGTGAGATTTCACTTTAGTAGACTGGCTAATACCTTACTGGCGCGCCGTTCGCTCGAGTAATTCGCTCGTCACTCTAGTGGATCTAGGCATACCGGTTAATCCACTGCTGCAGGAGGAAAATGCAGGGGAACGGTGATTGCTAACGATAGTTCCTATGCATGTTCTCCGCAAGCACTTTCACTTGTCACCAAAACCGGAAATATAAAGAGAGCCATTCGAACCCCTGCTAGCCCAATATGCGGTTTTCTGTCGGAATTTGAACATGTTCCCCTCCGCAGATGAAGGCCATATGTGTAAGTGCAATGGCTTTTCGGATGCTTATCTATGTCACTGCTTAGGCATAGTTTTAGATCTCGCCTCTAAGGAAGCTAGTTAGAATGACATAAATTACGGATCATTGGACGAGGGATGGTAATCCGCAAATAGCCAAAAAAGGACATGACTCGCGGACAGTACTTGGTACCGAAGTCTGTGAGTTGAAGGGCCCACCCTATCGTCCGGGAAGCACGGCCCGCTGCCTAGATGGGACGCCCACCAACAGGGAGATCAGCGACCACAATAACGGAACCAAGATCCCAATACATACAGTAGTAGTCGTCTTCGGCTTTCCCATGTGCCTGGTTCTGTTCTTCCTCCATATCTGTTTCTCACAGGCAGGGCGGCAGGCAGGTTGATAACTCATCTGAGATCGTAGCAGGGTTAGACCACTAAATGGAAAGATGGTATGGTGGATCACGGTGAGTTCAGACAGTCCGCTGTCGCGACGTTACTGTGTATTTCTTGAAGTTTCTTACATAAGGTGGGTGACACGAATTGGTGCAGCGGCCACTATAGCTCACTTAACAGTGCGCCAATTCTTGTGTCAACCACCTGATAGTATTGTGAGGACTTTTTGCATTTTAAATTGTCCCCTCAATCATCTTATTATTATTACCGTGCAGCTATGTCTGCGCTACCCCTTAGACCAGTGCATGGAAGTACTATGTACTATAATGGTCCGACGTGCTACCAGGATAGCCCAGCATCTAGTTCCCAACTGTATGGGGCACCGTTGCAATTCGTATGGCGTGGCCATTCCAGGAAATCCGAAGATGACCCTGGTGGATCGTGAACCACCCAGAAACCCCGTTACAGACACTCATATCCTACTCTGGCTAGCTCGCCACTCATAGTCTCGGGCTATGATGAACTCAACCAAAATACAGGGTTCTCAATTTCAAGGATCAAGGGGGCTTTTTCGTGTTTGCAGACGTACGGTATGCGGCAAATGGAGAGCCGTAAGCGAGTCAAGAAAACCTGTCACGGCATATGTAAAGTACTGCTCTATCTGCCCCAAGCCCCAAACCCGCGATGTCACCACGACCCGCAATCTGTACCTGATAGACGACAGTCGAACCATGTTATCGTAAATAGAGACGCTCCGGATGTGAAAGACTCTGCCCGCGCTCGATCAGTTGTGTTTCGCTTTTTCCATCATCAGACAATGCCATTTGGAGAAGTGAAGCGATCATAGCAGTCAAGATGGCGTCTCGGTTGATGAAGATTGGAATATGGCTGCTGGCTTTCGCGGTTGCCTTGGTGGCGGCAGAAAGTGCTCCTCGGTCTACAAATCTCGTCTCGGTGTTGACAAGTCTCGAGGGTGAACTTCCAAAATGCGCAGTAGGTTATTCCGAGCACTATAGATGTGGCATCCGCCTTTCTTACTGATGTTTTGTGACAGTACAAATGTTTCAGTGCTTACGCGACTAAATCACAAAGTTGTAGTCTTGTCGAAGACTTCATGACTTCCAACGTGACGCAGTGCCTGAACAAAGACTGCACAACACGCCTTCTGCTTGGTCCGTCGATATTCGCAAACAACGTTTAGTACCCTCACTCACCTTGATTAGAATCCCAAAAACTCGTCACAAAGACGTGCGGAACCGAGACACGGAACTATCAAGGCGATGTTAGAGCCATCTCTTGGACCCTATGGGCGTTCGCCACATTCTTTCTTAGCGGACGATTGCTTGCACGTACTTCATTCTTCGGTGGCATGGCGCTGGGCTACGATGATTGGGCAATCGTGGTTTCGTGGTTTGTGCTTACTGGTGTGACTGTTGGTGCCGAATTAAGTACGTGAAATTTCCGTCCTGTACACTGAGGAACTACTAACCAGTCTTCAGTGGTGATCTTTGGTCTCGGAACAGACATGTGGACACTTGATGATACCCATATCACCATAACCCTTATCGTGAGTACACCAGTTGCAAGACGACGGCGACATATTTGATGGCACTAACCAATCGGCCAGCTATTCTACGTTGCGGAGTTTGCATACGTCATCGAATCAACCATCACTAAAGTCTCGATTCTTTTGTTATATCTTCGTATCTTCCCCGACAAGCTCTTCCGAAAACAGGTTTATGTTCTTATGGGCTTAATGGCTGCCTTCTGTGTGGTATTCGTCGTGACACTGCTCACATATTGTGTGCCGTTCGATTATACCTGGATGCGCTGGGACAATCAGAACACGGGAACGTGTATCAACATGAACGCACAAACTTATGTTTGCGCTGCGTTGAACATCGCCCTTGATCTTATCATTTTCTTCATTCCTATTCCTCAACTGTAAGATCAAAGACCGAGTCAGCTAAAATTAGGGAGTCGCTAACAAAACTATAGGGCGAAACTCGATTTGACACTGAAGAAGAAAGCCGGTATCATTCTGACATTCTGCGTCGGACTATTTGTCACCATTTGCAGCATGATTCGTCTTCGAGCACTGATCGGATGGACCGAAAGTACGAATCAAACCTGGGATTTCGCCAAGCTAGCCGTGTGGTCTCTGATCGAGTTGGACGTGGGCGTCATTTGCGCCTGTATGCCGGGCATGGCTGGTCTCTTCCGCCGACTGAAGAAACGAAGCACCGAATACATTCGATCCAAGTCCAGCTTCGGAGCTTCCGGTAATGCCTCACAGGTACTGGGTAGTTCGACGGCTGGTGGCCCTGCCATCACCAAGACCACAATTGTCACCGTAAAACACACACGCGGGGACCATAATCACGGGTCTAGTGTGAGTGAGTCGGAACTAGAGCTGGTGGATCGCTCGAAAGGCTCCTCATATTACCAATATGGGAGAGAAATGGTATAGACCACGTCAAAAGTGGCTGTGTTGCCACAAAAAAGTTTCTTGGCATATATATCCCCAAAACGATTGAGTATAGAATCATATCATGTTAATATAGCGAGCGCAAAATGAATTTGGCTGAAAGGATATTTACCCCTTCCAATGTCCCTTTCTCTACTTTGACACAATGCGCCATACTTAACTCCTTGTGACATCTGGCCAAAAAGCCATATCCTACAAACAGCAAAACTTACCACGCCTCCAATGAAGCTCGCCTACTGAACACTAGTTTCCTTGCTTGCATTGCGGGACAAGCCGTATTAGTTGCAAAGTCAAATTGCAAATTGCGGCTCCATGCGACATCTACGGCACAACGCCGAGGCATCTTGGAAAGTGTACACCTAGGACGTCCAATAAGTAATACTAACATATCATTTAATATTAAGAATTCACTCGTTCTCTCCACACCTCGAATACAGTTTCTAGCGCTCAAATTGCAAGGTTATGCGTACAGCTTCACCTATTCAACTTAAAGGGCAGCCGACCATGTTGGTTTCTGCTACCACGAATTAGATGCCGCCTACATCGAATGGCTCTTCCTGGCAGTATCCAGATACGTACCTCAACGACGGTATCCCCTGGGCAAATTTTGCAAACGCCGTCCATGAAGTGCCGGCTTATGAGTTGGAGGGAAGGGCGAGTGCAATAACAGTATTATGGGCTCGTTGCTTTCAAATATTTTAACGCCGATCATGGTTACAGCCAAATTTGGGCGTCGTGACAGGGTGGAGACGAAATCCGGAGGGATTGCTTGTATCTTAGCGTAGACGAGAACGATAACCTATTTGTAACATCATGTCCCAATGAGAGAAGGTACACCGAATTGGGCTGATAATGGAGATTATCCGTATCAAGCATGGATATTCGTGGCATACATGCTGGGCCAATCCGTTAGCCCGAGTCCAAAGGGCTTTGCAACAAGCCCAACTCGTCCGCATGTAAACAGTAGACTGTCGTAATTTTAAATGCACAATTCTGATTGACTTGTCACATTATGGGGCATAGGTTGGCAAGGAGATCCATATGATGTTCATGGTATTTTAGCTGTGGCTGAACGAGCTCTAAAACATATTTAATACCCGGGTCTTGTCAATCGACCTTCAGTGTTACATAGTTGACAATCATCTCAAGAGACTTCTAGCAGACATCTGTGTGTTTTTGGAGTCAGCAGAAAGTACATCTCAGGCTCCATATCCTCGTCTTTGAAGCCTTCCAGTGATGAGATTCTGGCATTTGGGAAGGCAGTAAAGAACCTAGCACTACAACATTTGGAGTCAGTAATTATTTCTTCATAATGGACTGGAGTGTCGTTCCAGAGTATTGTGAAACAAACAGAAATAATTTTATCCCTTTGAAACGCATCATGCAGTCCTTGGACATGATGAAAAGGGGGGAAATAATTCCGAAATTTGCTTACGTCGCCAGGCGCAGCTCCATACGGGCCAGATGTAATCCCAAACAAACTCGTAGACTGGTCAGCATGACTTTCCAAAAGGTTCATCGATCAAGCATACCTCGACTACCACCACCAAATGGTACAAAAGCATCCTTCATGGCTTTGGTCGGGCTTTCCCAGCGTGATGGGTCGAACTTCAACGGCTCCGGAAAGATATTCGGAAGTCGGTGCATACTCCAGGCCTGTGCAGCTACCGTAGAGCCTGCAGGGAGGTAGTGCCCACTAAATTGTACGCCGCCGGCTGGGACTACTCTGGGAAGACCTGATGGTGCGGCAGGGTAAAGGCGCAAACTCTCTTCGATAATACGGTTCAAATAGGGAAGGCTTTTTATGTCGCTATATTCGAAGCCTTCCGGAACGGTTCGAAGCTCTCGAAGAAGCTCGTTCTTGATCTGAGAGTGCCTACAGACCATCCAGACAAGATACGTGAGTGTGTTGGCCTGACAGATATTAGTCACGTCTCTCACCGTGCTGGGCACAAGCGCAGAAAACTCACAGTGGTGTCCGAGCCGGCGATAATATAGGACATCGCATTATCACGAAGCTCCTTCGATGTCAGTTCACCAACACTTGTATTGTTGTATAGTTTTGAGAATAGCGTAGGTTTTGCTTCTCCGCCTTGTTCTTCAACGACTTTATGATGACGCTGCAGTGATTCATCGGCGTATTGAGTGGTGCGCTGGCGGCCTTGCACTGCGGCGTTGAACAGGGGCAGCTTGATGTAATGGCTCAGCCTATAAAGGAAAGGAAACGCTGCCCTCACGCCCGAGCTTTTTGCTACAGCCTTTAGGTCGCGCATGTACTGAGTTTCCTGTATGTTTATCAGTACAGTGATATTACGTCAAATATGTAGGTGATGTTATACTTCTCCCGATTCCAGCATCCTGAACGACTCGCCGAAGCTCAGTTCGCCAATCACATCTGTGGCCATGGAGAGGAACCAGTGAAAAATGTCCTATCAAAATTAATTCAGCTGGATGTTATCAACTTCCTGGCGCTCATGGGCACATACAGTAGTATGACGTTGCTGCATCTCCTCTCTCATGCGCTCAATGGTTAGTCGTATTTTACTTTCAACCACGGGTATGTGTTTGTTAAGACCGGACTCTGATATTTCTCCTGACAAGAGGCGTCTTTGACGCCTATGTATATCGACACTGCGCGTAGTAAACACACTGACTACACCGACACCTATATGATCATAGAAGTTGCTTTTGAGAAATTCGCCCTTGGTTCGGTACATTTGCTGCGTGGCGGCGACATCTTGGACGCTGGATTCGTAGGGACTAACTCGCACAATGGGGCCTGACAATTTTTGTTAAGGTTAGCATTTGAATTGAGTATCACTGAAAGGAAAACAGAAGAAAAACAGACCATATTTTTCATGCAGGAGGTGGACCCAACGCGGTCTTTGTCCTGTGATCGTGTACCATCTGAGCGGAATATCGGTGAACTTCGTGATCAATGGACCTGGAAGTTTTCCCATAGGGCTAGTAAATACTGTGTAAACCCACTATCGACATGGTGAGTGCCTATGTATATCGTGACAGAGTAAACGACAAACTTACTCCTATAATTGCTAACAGTAGGGCCGCGGTTGGAGCAACTAAGTGCTGCAAGTTTGATTCGACCATTTTCTTTTGGCGTTGTTACAGTCGATTTTCGACTAGAAAGAAGAGAAATCTGACGAGAATCATGAATTTAATATATTTGTATCTTCTTGTCCCCTCCAAGAGCCTTGCTGCCCATATATATACTGTAGTGTGACCCAATTAGCCACGGCCGAACGGTCTTCTGACCTCCGAGAAGACCAGCAAGCAAGCATTTGCAGCGGACACGAACAAATTGCCGGGACGATGCCATGCAGAGCATGACATTAACGTTTGAGCTTTGGCCAAGCCCTATCCCTCCAGACACCGGCCAACCTGCTCTCCGAACAGTGCGACGTCCAAGTAGGGTTATATTGAAAGTTCATGCACGGACCATGTAACTATTGATCAACCATGAATTGGGTCACTTTTGTCTTACGATAGTACATCATTTTTCTGATAAAAGAATAAAGAAAAAACTTATAACCGTACTTTAAGAACTCCTATATCGATTGGTAGCAGTTTTATCTCGTCAGAAACTCATGTCACTGAGTTGTGGACGTGCGTGAGAGTAGACTCGCGAAGCATTTTTGAAATAGGGAATTACTTTTGTGCACCCTTGGACGTAGTATCGGTCCTCAACGGTGCAAACTAAAGCCGAATTGTCCGAGATGGTATTCTATCCAATTATAGATAATGCTGGGATGGACGACGGAAGTGCCCGTCCTTTGCGGCATTGGCGCGAGGGCCGAACCGATATAGCGCCCGTTGTATGCGTTATTGTACCACCAACCACTACACCTGCTATGACCAGAATCGGCAGCTCGTGCATGAAATGCAAGATTTCTCCAACGAATCCCACCTGTTTTCAGCGTTAAGAATATTGTTTTCGTTGTTGGCCACTACTCTAACATGGTGTACAGATGATTCGACCAATCTTTCTCACCATAGGCACCCCACAATACCCACAACCAACACGATACGTGCATCCAAGCGTCGACTAATAACTGCAGCAGACTGGAGTGTCGAGGAGCCAGAAGGAACACTCCCTCCGCTGCTTTGTGTAGGAAGTCCGCCACCCGCTTCACTCGGTGCAACAACAACGGTGCTGGTTGTGGTTGCACCCGCCGCATCCGTCGTCGTCACTACAGAGGCGGGTGCTGATGACACGGCAATTGTAGTTGCAACCGATGCACCTGCCGAGTCAGTGGTCGTAACGACTGTTGAAGCGGGTCCTACAGTGACGCTCGAGGCACCAGTCCGCGTTCCGGTAGCATGTGACCCGGAATCGGACTTAACGGACTCGCCTGTGAAAGCAGCGTCAGACTGATGCTCTAAAGTTGATATACCATTCGTGGTGCTAAAAGAAATGTGGGACGATTCGGGGACATGGGTGCTGATGCCGAGACTGGGTTTGCCAAACGCCGAATTGTCACTTGGCCTGGCTGAAGATGAAGTTCGTGGAATCTCATGATCTAAGCTGCTCTCGATACTGCTTGCAATACTTCGGGTCTTCAGCGTGGTCTTTGGAGATTCATCGACAGTGTAACTGGGCGCGCTCTTAGCACCAGGGGGAGTGCTTGTTGCCACAACAGTGGTTGAAACACTTGTATGTCTTGAAGGAGAAGTAGATAGGGTGGTTGTGCTCGCAGGCGTTGAAGGAGTGGCAGTCTTACTACTTGTAGTAGATGAATCGTCGTAACTGATCGTTCCTATGACAGTCCAATGGGTTGCGGTGAATGCGCCCAGATTCGGTCCGGCACCACCAGGTCTGCAGTCTTGGATAGCCTGTGAATTTGGGAACAGGTCAACGACAGATGGGTATTCAAAAAGCGTTTCGTCCATGCCAGCCGGAACGAAGTCGTAGGAGAACCCTTCGGTGTCATTGGCCGGCATAGTCGCAAACAGAGGCCCAGATGTGGGTTGAGGGTTAGATGTGATCGGTGTCTTTGTGGCTCCGAAATAATCAGAGGCTGTGTTCGTCGTCACTGTCGAACACTGTGTTGTACCGGACTTGGTGGCATTCAGAGTACCTTGCCATCCGTAAAACTCGGGAAATGCAATGAAAGGGGTTGGGAAGGCGCTACTATTGTGAGCCTCTCGAGTCGATGATGGACAGTGGCAATAGCTTACATTACAGTAGTCGTGGCTTTCAACGATCGAGTGAATGTAATCGTCTCAACTCTAGTGCCAGCATCATTCGTAGGCGGAGGAGTGTATCCTAGCGGGTAACTCGTGATTGTACTAGTTGTATCAAGAACAGTATTGATAACGGTGACCAAGGTCGATGTTGCGGTCACTACATCAGAGTGCCAACCAAACTCGAGCCAGTTCTGGTTGGGTGTCCAGATCCATACTGTGGCATAGGGCGCTAGAATATCGCAGTCTGCAGTGCACGTGGAATTAAGAGACCCTTCTCAAGACTTCAATTAGTGCCGGTCTCTACGCATACTCTGCTCTCAAACTAACCTTGTGCTATAACCCTAACTGCTAGGAGATACCCAGCAACCAGCCAACGACAAAACATTATGCTGTTTAGATTTGTACGAAGTCCACATGCCATGAAGGTCTATCATCCAAACCCGCACTAGATGCGACTCCGAGTGGCAGCTCGCACTTAAGTGTTTTATAAAGCAATACGCAACCAGAGCCTTGCTTGTTGTGATTGGTCGTTCAGGCGCCGACCCCAAAGTCCTACAGGCACAGCCGCCTCTAAACGCAGACGTTGTAGTATTATTTCTTTTCAGCTCGGTGGAGCCTCGGCGTGAATTTCCAGAAATAGTCGAAGGCACTATTGGTTGACTAATTCGGATGCCCCCCAAGTACGCTTGTAAGACGAAGCCAATGCTGCTGTTACACTGTCTGTGCCGGCTGAATGTGAAACTCATGGGGCATAATTCTTAGGATCGCCGTTCTACTGACAGTCTAGAACTATGAAAACGGTTTTTTTTTTGTCAATGGAAACCGCATTTCTTTTCTTCTGTGAAATGCAACTGATCGACTTGAGCATCTCTTCCCTCATACGATCGAAACGATGATCTAAAGTAATTTGCCTAATGATTAGCATGGCCTACCGTCGTGTCGAGATGGAGAAGCAAGCTCTCGCTGGTAGCCCTAAGCGCTCTTCAACTCTTTTTTCGAACACCGGACTACAAATCCTCCTCAGCATTGTTAATCCCGGTCTCTTCGGTGTGCTCATTGTGTTCGTGCTGGCGTCATTCAACGCACGTAACCGCTCCGACAATAACGAACGCTTGGGTAGTATTGATAGGCTCAATACCACGTTCACTTTGGCCTTCCTCCGTATCATCCAGGCGGTTTTGGCGACGTTGACCACATTTTCGTTGGACGCCTCGTTTGAGCTCGTTCAATGGAGTCTAGTCGGTGCGCGTGAGGGGCTGTCTTTTTCCAGTCTGTTGGCTCTTTCACCAACAACTGGGACACTGGGAATGCTACGGCTGCTCGGGTCTTTCAGTTCTAAACTCTCAACAAAGATCTGGACGGTATTGAGGTATGTAGCAAGTGAACATGCGACTAAGCTATAGCCTAATGAATCTGGATAGAGGTTCGCTAATGTTAATGCTGTGGGTATCGACTCTGGTGCTTTTTCGTAAGTCGTTTATCCCTAGTTTGCCAATCATGGACACTAAACCTTTTCATAGTCCAAACGTCCCAAGTCACCGTTTATGACACATCGGAAATTTACAATGTTACAGCTGGTGTAGGGTCATTTAACGGAACCAATGTACAGCAGTTCATCGACCTTCTGCAGGATAACCAACCCGATTATCCCTATCAGGTCTTTCCGTACAACTACTATGCACCGGTATACAACCTGGTTACCAACCCAACATTTTCGAGCCTCGCAGATCCCGTCAAATGCTCGGGAAGTAGCTGCTTTTCGTATCTTCTGAGCGGTGGCCTCGAGATGGTGACTCCTTGGGTGTCACTGCGCGATCCCACGTTTCCCCTGGCCAGGATTTACGATGTGCCTTCCATCCAGCTGGAATTCTCGCAGATGCCCAGAGACTTCTCATTTGCATCCAAAGACTGCAGCATATTCGGCACAAACACCAGCACTATCGCTGCGCGTCTCTGTGTGAGGGACGACGCGGACAATTTTGGGGTTCTAAATGCAGGTCTATACGTATGCTTGAACGGAACCGCACATGGTGCCTGCGAAGTAGACAGCGCCACTTCCGTGCCCAACATCACAACGACGATGGCGGTCTTTAGCCGCCGCGCTACCGTACTGGCCGGACTTGCAAACTTCAGCATCGTTTCGACCGAGTCGCTCTCCCCGCCGGTTCGACTCGAAGATCTCGACATAGCCTCCTACGAGCTGGCACTGAAGTGGCTCCTCAACTACACGGCCACCAACATCCCGGCCCCCTCATCCATCATCGAGAGTTTCTGGGTGTCCGATGTACAGCTTACATCACCCACAACTCATGGGCTGTTGACACAGAGCTTTCAGTCCATTCTCGCCTTTCCATTCTGGCTGTTCAATGCGAACAATTATGGCAACACTGCCCTCAAGACACAGGACATGATTGACACTCTGCCCATTGAATTTTACACTCAAGTCGCTGTAGTCGCCCCCTATAGCAAGATTGGGTTTGACAAGGGCATGTTCATCGCGTTCATTGTGCTGCAGGGTGCGGCTCTACTGTTCATTTGGGTTGTGCTCGCGTGGGTCTGGGTCTTCGTTGGAGCTAGAGAAGCGTCGGCGCTGCCTAAAATCACCTCCTTCCCTATATTCGATGTTGGTTTCAAGAGTAGAGTCGAAGGGCTTGATCTTGGAACAGGAGAGCTGTTGAGAGCCGACGGCTCGGAAGCCTTGTATCTTATACAAGGTATGAACGCTCGAGCGAAAAGGGAATGGTGATTAGGTATCATTTCTGGGACATAAACTCATGGGTATTATATAACCAAGTCAACGCTATGCTATGTATGTATATCTCTCTCTCTCTGAATAACGGCACTGGTGACGTAGCTCCTACAATTAAACAGCACCATCGATACAGTGACCAGTTCTGCATGCTACCACCAGTATGCTAGAACTGGAGGTGGATGGTCGGAATAGTTGCCTCCCAACCGACAAACCTGCCAATTCCTTCATCTTGGATAGTGAATTCTTGCATCAGTGAAGAATTTCTCCAAAGTTCATGGATAAAGCTCTTTGCACGTTCAAAGCGTGTTCATGCCCTACGAGAGCTCGTCGCTTGCAACAACACAAGCTCCTGTCTCTTCTAAATCTTGAGTCTCGGTCATCCGTAACGCTTCCTTGACGTCGGCGACGAAGTGCGTCTCACCGCCCACGAGCTCAACAATGCCGCTCTGGTCTAGAAGCTGCCAGACTCTATGTCTCTTACTTGGAGCCCGACTGAAAAATACGCGAACGCCACGAGCGCGGTAGCTACGTACGATTTCCTCGAGTACCTGCGTGCCGGAGCCATCCATAGAAGTTACGCCATGAATATCAAAAACCACGTTCCTGTGGCTGCTATCAGGCCGCAGACGCGGCAATGCAGGGTGCGCAGAGTTGGTGCCATACCGCTCAAGTCTCCGCAGTCTGTTCTTGAGTTCACCTGTATTGGCAAAAGTGAGAGGTTCGGGGATCTTGACGATGAGACAACCTTCGATAAACTCAAGAAGTTCTGGATGTTCCTCTGCGTTCTCGAATCGATCTGTTCCTGGATTTCGTCCCAGAATCTGAATGCGCGGGCGCGTTGCATGTCTAATTACCTGTAAAAGGGAGAGTCCAATGCCGATCGCAATACCAAGATTGAGTGAGAAAAACACCGTCACGAGAAGAATTACTGCCATGAGAGATAACTCGGTCCAACCTCTAATGCGAAGGAAGAAAGCTATGTCGTGGGGGGCTTCCTCGATCAGAGACCATGCGACCACAGTTATAAGTGACGCAAGAACAGGTTTCTGGGCGGATTAGTGCCTAGACTAGCGACATGATTGGGTGATCATGAGACAACAGGAAACTCACTGGTATATAGTAGAACCATGGAAGCATGAATATTGTGCAGAAGACCGTGATAATGCTGAGCAAAATCGAGCTCATAGGACTCGTGCCACCAGTGGACTTGTTGATCTTACTTCTGCCATATCCGCCAAAGGCTGGAATGGCCATGAAGCAAGAGCCAACAAGATTTGAGACGCCGAGTGCAATAAGTTCGCGGTTGGGACTGAGTTGCATACCTTCGATTGCATCTCCTGTGCCAAGACTTTTGGCTGCTACTGAAGACTCAAAGAAGCCTAGCATACCGATAAGGAAAGAGGTTCCCATGGCTTCACGTATATGCGTGATATGGCCCATTTGAAAAGGGTTGTGGATCTCGAAGAGATCGGCCGAACCTTGTTGCACATCACCCAGGACTGCCACTCCCTGCTCGTCCCAACGCAGTCTCCATGCCAGCAGGGTGGACACGACGACAACGAGTAGCCGATCAGGGAAATATGCTACACTTGGATATCTGGGCTGGAGGCGCCTTTTGAGTTCACTGCAGCGTTTATGAGTCAACTATTTCAAGGTCTGTGGTCCAGAGTGGCTTACCGCAGAACCATAATGATGGTGAAGCTTACCACACCCACAAGGGCTGAGAGCTTATGGAGGTCGGTTAGGTGGCTGAAGAGAAACTCCAGCTTTTGCGCCGAACTGCCATGCCCGACACCTGCTGTCCTTGCAGCGACTGCGGAGAGACCAAGCACGGGAATCAGTTGGTCGATGAAGATGACGACACCAATAGCAGATATGAAACCCCGAAGAAAGGGTCGGCTTAGAACGCTGTCCAGGAAACCTAAGCGGAACAGACCCATCATAAAGACAGTAGCACCAGCTATACCGACAGCTACGCCGGCGACCCTTGCATGCATGACGGTATTATCATCATCTTCATGCCCAGAATCAATACTGCCTTTCACTATTGAGCCGACAAGAAGCGACCCTGCTGCTTCTGGCCCCACCACCATCTGAGGACAGCTCCCTAGAAGACCATAGATGAAGGGGTTAAAAACAAAGGCATACAAGCCATTGATTGGAGGGACATGCGCCAGACTGTCTGCATACGAAAGGGCCATTGGCAGGTACATGGAAGCCAGTGTGATGGCGGCTGTAATGTCACCCTTTAACCACGTCCAATTATACTGACGTATCCATATCAAGGAGGGCACATAGTACGATAGGTACATCATATTCGAGTCCCTGAAACCATGTTGTTCGGCAAGCGAGCTAGAGTTGGCCATGGTCTTGGTCTTCATTTTGGAGGACAGGGTCTTTCTCCAGTTGCCCTTAAGCTGCCCAATGGAGGCATCAGATCCCACCATCGAGGTGGTGTCGACATCAGAACTCCTGTAGCTGCTGCCGACGGGGCTACCGGGACGAGGAGAGAAGGTGCCGTGGTCGCATTGCCCAGGGTGTGCTCGTTCGTGGTGGAGGAGGGACGTCGATTCCGACGGATCGGCAGAAGTGTTGGGTACTATACTTGGTCCGGCCTGGGTCGAAGGCGGGCTGTTTTCGTCTCGCGCAACATCATCGTCGGCCATGCTATTGTTCGACAGCGATGAAGAGGACAAGGTATGGCTATTACGCAGTGCGCTTGGTGTTGTGGGCGCGTGATCGTAGGCTTGGCGCGAGTTGGACCGCGAGGGCGAAGGCGGTCTGGGTGACATAGTGAAGCACTTCAACAACCTAGACCATGTAGTCTAACTTGAACTGCGTCTGGCTTGGCTAGTCCATGTGTAACGAGCCTACGTCGTTTGGATTGGTATTAGAAAAGGGCAATCAAGAGGTCAAAAATTCGAGTTTGGTCGTTTGATCCTCTGACCGCCGAGGATGTTGACTTGTGATGCTTGAGATGGTTTTTTCCCCCCTACCCTTTTTACCCGCTACCAAGTTAAGGCTGACCAATGCGCTAATGGTCGTTAGCAACAAAGTGACACCAATGACGATGGTGGCACAAAGGGGGTTCCAAGTGGGGGCATTAAAACTCCCCAAACTCCCCAAACTCCCCCGCGGGCGTCCAACCGATTCAGGGCCCACGATATTGGGAAAGGTATACCCCGCCCTATGACGTGGACTTCTTGAAACGAAATAACATTATTATGTACAGTATGCGTTTTCAGCTACACGACACTCAACTCAGCCTTGAAGAACATGCCGTGCTTGTATACACCTGCTCATGTCTGAACGAGCGTTGTTATCATTACTCGCCTTTACGTAGCCAGACAGTCGCAGCCCCTGGCGCTTGATGTAATTAATTAGCCTTACTCCCTATGACTTACTAAGTTAAAAGTTGTTTTCATTACCGACAGCTTGCTTTGGAAATAATGCGGCGTCAAAGGGAGGACGAGGTTAGTTGACTGGACACTACGCAGTACTGAAATGCATCCGCGTTTCACAGTCTCGAACCCAAGCATTGGGGAAACGGACCCCTAAAATGACGGGTGCCGCCTTTGTCTCAGTGATGTTCTACAACGAGGGCACATCCAGTGGTCACAGCTCGAACCGATGTAGGATCCTGCAGGGGCAGGTCGCGAATATCACTTTCAAAGGATTGACACATGTCGGCTTGGTTCCCATCTGGAGAGACCTTACGTTTCCTGCATACAGCGAGTCTAATAAGGGAATAGTGACAACAATGAATGCCCGATTATGTACAAATTCATATTACTTCCTAGCTAACGTCCTCGACCATCGTTGAAACCCCTATTGACAGAAACATCTCGTCCCATAGGCTTTTAATACCATCGTACTTCCGATGAGAAGCAAAGGGAAACGATCTGCCCCTTTCTGTCCTACCAATGGCCTAATCGGAGAGAGGGTTCAAGTCCTCCGCCCAATTTAAGGACGACCAGCTGGCCAGTAAGTTCCGAATCTACCGTTCTGCGAACTGATAACAGGCTTGTAGTGGTCGTCATCAACGAAAATATAGTTGGCGCCGACTTGGGAGATGTACCAGTCGCGAACAACGGTGTTGATGCTGCCGTCGCTGTTCTCTGTATACTTCAGCACCCACTGGCCATCGTTCTTCATATCGTAAGAACCCGTTGGCGCACCGTCAAGGATGTACTGAGTAAAGCCGCTCCAACCCTTGGCGGCGTCGAGACCCCATAGAAGCACAGCACCATCGCAGCCCCGGATCACGCTGACGTCAGTCCACATCACGCCGCTCGCATCAATAGTGATCTCGAACCAAGTGGCAAGCAGTTGAGGCTGTCCGTTCAGCATGTACTTGTCAACACCACGGACGATGCGACCTTCGAACATATCGGGCAACGACACGAATTGTGTCTCGCCGGCATTGATCCAGATGTATTTGTACGGCACGTTGTCACAACTGTTGTGGTAAATGTAGAAGCCGCGCCAGTCAGTATCGGCATTGTGGATGGTTACACCCTTGCCACCGTTGTCAGCATCACCCCAGGTTAACGTTGCGGATCCACTGCAAGTCCAGCGCTTCTGGACGTTGGTGTCGTCGCTCAGGTTCTGGCGTATGAGTCCACCAGTGGTATAGGTGGGAAATGTAGATGGGTCGACGGCCATGATGGCCGCGATGTCTGGGGCAGGAAGCGACTCTGTCCGAACGTACAACTCGGATAGGCGACTGGGAAAGGCAGCCGCCGAAGCTGCCAGCATGGCAATGGTAGAGAGTGAGAAAATCATGTCGGTAACGTGAGACCTGGGCTCCAGTGAAAGAGTGTGTGGCCTAATGGCTGGATGACAAGGAGTGTCCGCGGAAAGAGTGACTAGATGGTAAGAGGCGATAGCAGAGCTGGCTGTAGAAGAAAGGGACTCATGCTGGCAGGAGATATGTTCACTTATATATCTGCCCCGGTTAGGGTCATAAATCTTGATGCTGAGCTTGTCCTCAACAGTCGAGGACATTTTTCTCGCTCCTTCGCGCAGCTGGCTTAAGTGGACTGCGCTAACATGTATCACGAAAGACGTTACGAAAACCGAACCACCAAGTCTTTCGCCATGTACTCACCTTCACATTTCCCTTCTATAATACCCGAATATGTTCATGCTCATGCTAAAGCCAAGTCTTCCTGCCCTTTACCGTTCCAAGACTAAAGCTTCCTCATCGGGACGGCGTGATGAGCCATTTTTGGTAATATATCAATAGCACCATTTCCTATCAATGCCTCAGTCAAGACAAAGTGATAGATAGTGCTATCCTTGCAAATAGTTGTTGGGCTTTCTGACAACGTCGGCGACCTCACCTACCTATTTCATGCGGCTCTTCCGGTGCTTGGGGGCCGAAACAGCAATTTTCTCTTGTGGTCATGGGGACGGACGTGAGATGTGTATACGTTCGTATTGGTCCATCGCTTCGGACTCCGCGATGACTTGTCCCGGGTTCCTGCTCCTTCGTTTGCCATTTACACCGGGGCACGGCCGGGGTGCAAAGCAATTGATCCTGTGCCTGACCCGATCCGGGGTGACGATCCCCTGTCGGCCCTTCCCGAGCTCGCTTAACCACGATCCACAACTAGAAAAGCTTGCTTTTCTGGGTCAACGAACCACCTAATTATAGCCGGGCACATGGTTTACGGTCCTTGGGACTGCATGAAATTAACGACACTATCGAAACCCAAAGAGGTTACAGTATGCAGAGAACTTGTCGCAAAGACCTTGAACTTGTTCTTGAGGTGATATGGGTTTAGTCCTTTGAGAAAGGAGAGTCCTAACGGACCAAAATCGGGCAAACGAAGCAAGACACCGAGAACCAGGATAGAAATGCACGAAATCGCCCAAGGTAGTGGGCTTTCAGAGCGCCGCAATTTTGGATGCTACAGCAAAGACAAACCGCCCGCCGGCATTGATTACAAATTTCGCTTCTCGAATCCTTCGAAGCCACACGATCCCAGAGCTCATCTAAGCTTAGTGTAAGGTTATAATAGACTTAAATGGGAACCACAAACCTCGGCAAGCGGAACAATCAACGTTACCTACTAGTATCGATCACCAGATCGCTACTAGTGGCATCGTATCCCCACTGACTGCTCATGATCTCTAGACTTCCGTGGGCCTGGCAAGAAAGCTATTTTGTACTACCCACTGTAAGTAGTAACGGACGCAAGATTATGAAGCCAGTCAACTGTAATCTGGTGTCGTCGAGTTGAACGGTATCGACCCATAAGCACCTGTTTGCCCACTCGATTATGCGACCATATCGTCTATGGGCGGGTCGAAAATAGCATGTTGCTCGATGTCAGAGATATACCTCCTGTTCGCCTAACAATTACGGCGAAATTGTGAAAAGGTAAATACTGATGAGACGAGGATGAAGTCATTATCGCATTGCTAAGATATCTAGGTAAAGTATTCTAGACAGCTTCTGAGACAACAACAGCTGGAGCATCTTGAGTTTCATTGGGCCGCTTTTCTGTTTCTTCCTGTTCCGTTTGTGTTCCTTTCTTCACCCTGAGCTTCTGAGCAGGCTTCTTGAAAACCCTGCCCACACTGGAGAAGAAGCGACCTAGACCTCTGTAAAGGACAACTACTGGCTTGCCAACCGTCTTTGCAATTTTCTCAAACAGTGGATCCGGGAAGAGCCGGATCAGTATGGCCCAGGGCAAAGACAGTGCCGCCAAGACCAGACAAATAGCCCACTGAACACCGTCGATACTGACGATAGAGAAGACGCTACCACCTTTAAACACGATCAGGATCTGCGCTCCCACCATTATGCAGTTGATTATAATGAAGAACTTGTTGCAGTGGATGCCCTCGAAGATGTTGAATTTGTTGTCCAAGCGACGGTTGTTGAATTCGTTGAAGATTTGCATCCAAACAAAGGTGTTGAAGACGATCGTTTTAAGCTCTGTCTCCCGGGAGGCGTCGTAGCCCAAGATTGATGCACCAGCAAAGTAAAGAATAAGGGTGATTGTAAGCTGAAATATAGCTTGTCCAACAATCATTTTCCACATGTTGACAGTTATGAGAGATGCTTTCTTAAGCTGTGGTGGCCGGTCAAGGATCTTTTCTGTAGGCGGATCGGTAGCAAGCGCAAGGGCGGCGAATGTATCCATGATGAGATTAACCCAAAGAAGCTGAATAGCAGTCAATACACTGGTGAAATCGGAACTGGAAACACCACTGATGAAAGCCAGAAGCACTGCAGTGATATTGACGGTGATTTGAAACTATTGATATGTCAGCTGAGACGCCATGTCAGTTTGTTTTAGTTGCACTCACCTGTAGGAACTTCTGGACAGCATCATTGACAGCTCGACCCCACTTGAGCGCGACAATGATGGAGGCAAAGTTGTCATCCATCAAGACGATTGCGGATGCCTCCTTCGCGACTTCCGTTCCAGCGATTCCCATTGAAAATCCGACATCGGCTGCCTTCAAAGCAGGTGCATCATTTGTACCGTCGCCAGTCACTGCCACAGTTTCGCCAAGAGCCTTCAATCGAATGACAAGAATTCGCTTGTCTTCGGGTGAGGAACGAGCGAGTACTTGTAGTTTGGGCAAAGTCTCATTCATAGCTTCATCACTCAGAGTCCGGAAGACAGGCCCTTCCATGATGATACCGTCAGTATAAATGCCACATTCGGTCGCAATGGCTTGGGCAGTGACTGCATTATCGCCAGTGACCATTCTTACTGTCACCCCGGCATGCTGAGCTTTTCTTACTGCTTCGGGAACACCTGGTCGGACAGGGTCCTGGATGCCAACTAGTCCAAAGAAAACAAGATTGTTGAGAACAGTCGAGAGCTCAATCTGTCCTTCCTCAGACTTGATTCCAGCAGGGGGCCACTGAGCATAGTCGCGGTAGACTAAGCCGATGGTACGGAGTGACTTTTTGGCATATGAATCAATCATCTCCTGAAGTGCCTTCATATCGGAGTGAGCCAAGTCACTTTCTGCCAAAGTCGTAATATCTGCCTTCGAAGTACAGTAACCGAGCAGAATTTCCGAGGCACCTTTTAGCAAGAGACGAAAGCCGCCAGATCGTAGTCGAATGACAGCGCCCATGCACTTTTTGCTCGAGTCGAACGGCATCATCTGAACGATGTCCTCGTTTGCACGGACTTCGGACAAACTCTGCATCCCCAAGTGATCCTTGGCCAGTTGTAACAAAGCTGTCTCTGTTTTAGATCCAATGAACCCAGTTTGGCCGCCATCGTCTCCCTCGAATGCGGTCGAATTGATGGCTACCGATTGAATTATGAGGTCCTTCGCTTCTTGTGACAAACCAGTTGCCCATTGAGAAAGATTCTGATCGGTGCCATCATTCTCTTCACCCTTAGCAAACCGAGAGGCACCGAACGTGCCAGTGACCACTGTCATCTTATTCGTTGTGAGAGTGCCAGTTTTGTCGGAACAAATGGTGGTGGCGTTACCCATGGTTTCGCAGGCCCTGAGAATACGAACCAGATTATTCTCTTTCACCAGTCTGGTCGTAGCGAATGCCAGGGCCAGAGTGACAGCTAATGGCAATCCTTCAGGAACGGCAACCACAACGATAGTTACCGTTACAATGAGAATATCCAGAAACGAAAATGCCTTCTCGGTCGGTCCGCGGTTATCGTTTGGCAGACTGATGAGGAATCGAATGAAAAGCACCGTGAAAAGCAGTAGAGCAGCGGCACTGCCGAGCTTGGCAATTGCCATTGCAAGGACCTCTAGCTTCTTTTGCAAAGGGGTTGACTCCATCTCCGTCCGCACAGACATCATGATCTTTCCGAAACTCGAGTTCACACCAACAGATGTGCAAACGAAAGTACCCATACCCTCAAGAACCTTGGCGCCAGAGATGATAAATGGATCCAACTCCTTGGTCATTGTACCAGACTCGAGAACCTTCATGACCTGATCTCCGGGTGTTTTCTTGATAGCATCTGATTCGCCAGTAGCTGAAGACTCGTCGCATCTTAGGTCGTGACCTTCGATAAAGATACCATCGACGGGGATCAAGTCTCCCGGCTCTAGGTGTAAGATGTCGCCAACCAGAATGTCGTATACACTGATCATGAAAGATTTTCCGGAGCGAATAACCTTGATCTCTCGATCGTCCTTCTTCGCATTGAGCTTCACAAATGCACGCTCTTTCTGCCAGTCGTTCAATGAGCCAACTGCCACTACAATCACAATGGCAACGACGATGGCGAGTCCCTCAACCCAGTCGACGGCTGGTGCCGAGTCGTCCGCATGGCTAACGCCGAATGTCTCATAAAGACCAAGGGCTAGAGAAACAACAGCAGCGACTGTCAGTAATATGAGAACTTTGTCATTGTATGCTATCCACATCAGCTTCCATAGCGGGGTCGCCTTCTTCGATGGTAATCTGTTTTTGCTGTAGACTCGAATCCGGTCTTCGAAGGCGTCGGCATGACCTGCAGAGTGAGGTTTTTCCGAGTATTTGACCGTTCCAGAAACGGCTTCATCAAAAGTGATCCTTGTGGGTGCGCTTGTCTCATCAATGCTAAGACCAGCGTGAAGGTCCGTCTGCAAGCCTTTTTCTATTCCTCTTAGTCCACCAATCGCGCGGTCTAAACGGAGAGATTGTTAGTCTTGATACGACCAATAGAGTTCTGAACATGAGTCTTCTGAATTTCTTCAGTTGAATAGTGGGAAGAGAAAACCCAATGGTACGTCACATCCACTTACATGCAGGCAGTGATTTGGGGCCCAAAAGCTTGTTTAACTGGCCAGGGCTGTATGCAAATGGGTTGTTTTCGACATGGAAGTCTTGCTCTGTTCCGGGATCCGGCCGCAAAGCGTCCGGATCTACTGCTGTAGCGACGCTCGACGCGCGACTTCTATTGCTGGGTGTGAGAAACGGATTCGAATTTGATGGCGTAAGGAAGGGATTGGATATGGTCGATGCCCCAGAAGGTGAGATGGTATCGGTTCCGGCACTGCTTTGCCGAATATGTGTGTTGACACTCAGTGCCGGCGGAGGCGCTAGACTATTGCCCGCCATGATGTTGAATGAAGAACAGCAGTATACTATAGTGGAGTAGTATACACTTGATTTGTGGATGCACAACAGCGTAAGACGTATACAAAGCACCTATACACTGTTCAGTAATTCGGCAATCCGGCAACAATGTTAAGAAAATGAACATGCCGCATTTCCGAACGAAGGACACTCAACTTGTCATATAGGCGAATGAGGGGCGGCACAGGGGGCTGTGTATTCAAATTCCTCACGTTATCTGCCTTGATGGGGCGTTGAAACATTCTGACTTCGTAGTGGAGGCGACTCAGGGAGAAGCGCCGTTGCGTATGGGTCAAGAAATACCAAGACTCTGGACATACGCAATATGGCAGGAGAACGCCCGCCCAGAAGTGCTACCGTCACTAAGGTAGAAAAATTACTAACAAGGCTGTGCAAAGAGGGAACCTACCCATCTTGGCCGAAGAGACTAACGAGAGATGATGATGCTTGCCCAGCCAAAGGTCAAACCTTGCTCGGGAGTTTGGTTGCATGACAACCACAAGCCTTGTCCAGCTGGATGAAAGCGCGGCAGAACTCATAGCTACGATCATAGGGACCGTATAAGTAAAGTAGCCTTATTCTACTAAAAGTTGGAAATGTACTCATGTTGGCATAATGCCTTGCCCTTCTGGGCTCATGCACTCACAACATTAGTTGTAACCGCGCGCGATTATGAATTATCTGACACCTGTGGCCTTTGACCGCTGTTCAGATACACTCAATCGCAATCAGTGCCAACGGAGGCTGTGCAAAGATGCAGTGGATTTAACAGTTCAACTGATCAATGGTATTGATGCGGATATGGGTCGAATGAGGCAATTGTGAAGGCGGCCAAGCCTTTGCAATTGAAAGGGACCCATAGTAGCCATAAAGCCATGAGTAGCCCGCCGTTTTTCGAAGTTTTTCGCCGCCGTGAGTGTCCTTGGAAGCACGCTTGCCGCTGGCGAGATTTGCAGCGTGATGCCAAGGGCTGGGTAGTGCGAGCATTGGGGCTGTGCAGTGGTGTTGAGGGATCTGGAGCGAATCGACGTCTTCTGTGTTTCCCGCATGTGGCTCCGGTCGCACATGCTCAACTGTGTCTGGGCGTTTCCATCTGCACAGAGCGACATGGAATCATGGCTTTGAAAGAATAAAACTCAACTGGCTACCTCGGTAGCTGATGCCAAAAGCCCCAATTCAGGCTTGTGTTGAAAGCCTATACGTAAGTCTCGGAGAGTATACCAACAACTCGGGACGACAAGCAGCTCCAAATCGACGGTACCCGCAGCCCCAAGATTCCGTGCAGCAATGCTACATGTGGGAGGGCTCTTCAATGCAACAAATTGCTACTTAATCGAGGTCCACTTTCAATTATTCAGCGGGGAAGAGATGATAAAGGTCCACATAAAAGGGAACGCAGCAAGCGGCCCAATTATATTCAAGGCTCGATAGCTAACGTAGTGCATGTCTTCCGACTACTAACCAAGTCTAACCAGTTATGGTTAGTTAAGTTACCATTTGCATGAATTATCCAAATTCAAGCCATTCCTACTGGTTGCAGGTCATGTATAATCATTCCTTGAATCTCAACAGTGGTGTCATATGCCCAGGAAACAGTGAACCGAAATGTTTCTTGCTTCATGAACTTCTCTCGCTTGGTCTCAACAATTTATTCATACGTAGTGAGAAAATCTTAAGACAACATCATCGGCGGGTAAGCAGGAGCCCTTTGCATCACGAGGTTGAGCATTAGTACACTCCTGAGTGCGTAATCTCGTATCCCCGCCTAGCCACTGGATTTTGTCAGCAATGAATACCGGTATAATCGATTAGGTTGTTTGCATTGCCTTCAACGAGCTGGGTGAAACTCTTATTCCATCCAGATTTTCTTTTCGATCTTGGTAAGCTTTGTAAATACCTGCCAAGCATGGCGGAGTGATCAACAAGTCCGCTCCAAGAGTCGCCCTCGTATTGCGTCAGCCGACTAAAGCCGATCAAGGGTTGAGTTGCCCAACTAATTAATGCTCCTGTTCAAGTCAGCGTTTGTTAGATGTCACGCTGGCGGCTATAGTGAGGACACGTTATACATTTCAAAGGCAACTATAGCCTCGATGCAACCGCTATCTATGCACTTTGCACTGTCAACATACACTGACAACCCCGCAAGGACTGGCTGCAAACTCGTTGCGGCCCCAGAATGCCTGATCCAAAGGGGTTCCCAGACGCTGCTAGGAAACATACCGATATGTTAAAAGATCATGAATGACACTATTCCAATATCACGCTCTTTAGGAACTCAAGTTCATATTTCAGTCTAGCTCCGCCTGTTATCCCCTACATGACTAGTCAAGAGACTCTTGTCCTGGCCACTGTCCTCTGTGGATACACCATTGCAATAATTGAGCCAACGCTTCTGAAACTTCCTTACTTTTTGGTAATTCATGGCCACCACCATGGTCGTAGACTTGCCGTATGTACGGATCACACAATCCGGCCAATTGCACAGATGCGGGCAGTCGAGGATCTTTCCTGCCATACACATGCACAGTTGGTATTCTAATCTTTAACTCCAGGGGAATTTTGTTCAAATTTAAACCGAAGCAGTCGTCCGAGTCGAATTGAGCACGACGTGCGACACTTGCGTAGTCAGTCAACTGCCAGCGATCTCTTGTAATATCGTACGTCGTCTTTTCCGACAATTGCCGCTTCGTAGCCTGATCCAGTTCCTCCACCTCTTTGGATACCGGCACGCCTAGATCCTTTAAGGCCGTTATGGGGATACCACCACACATGAACATCACGAATTTGAAAGGTGGAGGGCTCTCCGGCTCGAACCATTGTTGGTATAGAATATAGCTCGACACAAGTGCGCAGCCCTGACTGAATAGCAAGGCTCCATCATAGGGGCCTTGTCGTTGCAAGACACTGCTCAACCAGTCATGGGCCTTACGGATGGCTTTGATGTCGGTTCCCTCGTAAAAGGCATAGTACGGTGGGCTGTAGAACAATGGCGTGTCTGGAGCTGGTGTAGAGTGTTGCGGGCCATCGACAAAATCAAATTCAAGTGTCAGTCCTGGGTTGAGCTCTTCAAATCTTCGCCGCAGAGACACGGTTTGAGACTGGAAGATTTGTCCGCTAGTACCTTTGCCATGCAAGCAGAGTATCTTCATGGTGCTTGGTGATCCGACGACGGTTCCTAGTTGAGTTGTCGATGTACGAATAAGGCAAACGATCAACGTCTGTGACGATGTTATTGAACGTGCAGTATGATACGTGTCTGCGAGAACTTTTAGCTTCAAGCCGGTACACCTCAACATTACTCAACACCTTCAGACACTCACGACCGGAGCTCCGCAAATCTTTCACTCGGAACTCCGGAATAACACGGCACGCACTGATTATGAAGGTCTAACATGGTTTCAGAAGCGCAAAATAATGGCTAGATAAACCCCGAAAGTCATGTCATAGTGTTTTAATCCCTATTATGGAACATATCAAGCTTACACAAATTGCTTTGGACCATCGCTCCAAAGTTGAGTGCTCGTATGTCACGTGATCAGTGTTTTCCAAGTATTTACCGTTCTGTCAAGATCTTTACCAGGGTCAGCAATTCAGGAGCCCATAATGCAATGTGAGTATCGCAAACTGAGACCTTTTATCTTGTTTTGTGCTTCTGTTCCATTTCAGGCACGAGACACGGCACCTGCCAACTACGCCACCCTAAATGCACAGCCACTGGCTGGAGGGAGCCGATGCGCATATCGGCGAATCTGCCTTGCTGTCACATAAATCTGACACGCGGTACCACAAAAGCTCACATTAGCCACGTTTCGCATGCCATGAGTGCTGGTGATTCCAAATCACTCTATACTGAGCCTCACCGAGAAGAGCTGAAAGTGCGCAATGTTTTGGCCACGTCGGGCGCTAGATCGCTCAAAGGATAGCTTGTCCAATCTTGAAGATGGTTACTCCGGTAACCATGAGAAAGCGTTGCCTTGTCTCTGGAGCCGACCTTCCAAAGCTCTGTAGTAACTACGTGCATAGAAGCGCACACGTCGCAATATTGACTAACCAAAGATTTCGGTGGTAGTATCAACGATTTCGAGGCATCAACGATTTTGAGGCAACCACAATTCCCTTGGCAGTCAGGGCTGAGTGGTGGACACAACAACTTCAAGTTTGTCAGGACCTAGTGAATATGTTCAAACTATTAGCTGAGAAACTGACAGTATCTTGTGAGATCCGTCAAATTTATGTAGCGAATCGTCAATTATGAGTCGCAATTAATGCGGCAGAGAAATGACTTTTATGCGCATAGCTTGGGGCCGTACCGTACGCGTATCGCTGTGCATTATGGGCTTGTAAGCGGGGGACTTCTGCTGACGCCATCACAGAATTATCACCAATGAACAGCTGATATTCTAGCAAATCCTGCAGTACATGTTGTTGTTGTCCCCAACCATTGACCTGTTCAATGTTGCATATGCGCAAGCTTCGCAATTATTGGTGTTTGGCGTTGCCTTTACATACATTGCAAGTCGGGAGAGGCCCGGATGTCTAAGGTTCCATGACCTTATGCGGATATAATTGGCAGAGTTGCTCTAACCAGGCTGTCTTGTATCCACCCCTGGTCACATAAACATAGCGACATGACCAGACAGCATATGCATATAAATACGGTACTGCTCGCTCGTGGGGTGACCTTAACATTTTTGTACAACGTAAACTGAAGGCAAATCATCACTATGCAGTCATCGAAAGACTCCTCCCAGTTTCATCATGTCTTGGTCAGTCTCTTCCTGAATAACTCACCCCTATGACTAATGGACAGCCTAAGATTACTGGCATTACAGGGTACATTGGATTCAAAACTCTTTTGCTTGCCCTAGAGAAAGGATATCGCGTCCGGGGCGCTGTTCGTAATAGTCGTAATATTTCGGAGCTTCTGAGTAAGAGCCCATTCCTAAGACAAGGTCAAGAGCAAGGTCAATTAGACTTTGCCGTGATTCCAGACTTCTTCAATCTCGAGTCTTGGGTCAAAGAACTTGACTCGATAAGAACTGTCATACACTTGGCTTCGCCACTGGCGATTGAAGTGAGTTTGAGCTGCATTTCTGTTTTGCTACATGTAATTTTTTACAACAATACTAACAACTTATGATAGTGCGATGATTACGAAACTGGCATCATTGAACCAGCAATTTCCATGGTTACAACGGTTCTAGAAGCTGCAGCGCGAGCATCAACGGTCAAAAGAGTCATAATTACTTCTTCATGTATGCATTGCATTTTCTTACATATTTGCTCTCCGTACTTGGACTAATAAAGCAAGGTGTCACATTGGTGCCATTCGAATGGAACATGAATCCTGATACTGAGAGAATTTACACAGGTAAGAGCATCACAACTACCTGCCAAACAAGGACCGCGAACCTAATTTTCCTCATCAGCTGCGGACAGTAATAGAAACCCGACCCGTCCATTTGGAAGTGCTATGGAAGCCTACTGGGCATCTAAAGCCTTGGCAAGAAAAGCTACACGGACATTCGTGGATGAAAGAAAACCGGGCTTTGATTTTATCAATCTTCTGCCGTCCGTGGTCATCGGCCCCGATGATCGTATTCAATCGGATGGTGGCGTAGCACCGCTGCTCAAAGGCACGCGCGCTGCAGTCCTTGCACCGGCACTGGACGCTTCCACGAATTCCTCGTTCCCCTACCCAGGGGCACCAGTACACGTAGCCGATGTCGCAAAGGCCCACGTCGACGCGATTGATGCAGATCGGATTCCTGGAAATTCCGAATTCATACTTAGTTCAGATACCCCTGATGGCATTGAGTGGGACCGCGACATCAAGTATGTCGCACAGGAATTCTTTCCAGACGAAGTAGTGGACGGGAGTTTACCTATGAAGGGGTCTCTACCAACGATAAGGTGGAGGCTTGATGGGCAAACAACAGAGGTTGCCTTTGGCTGGAAATTTCGCAGTTTCATGGACACTATGCACGACCTCATCGTGCAATATTTGCATCTGAAGGTTAACACGCCAAGTCTGTAGCATATACTCAAAGTCGTACCTAGATAGTCCAGTGGGTGAACCAGTAATGTATTACTGTAATTGAGTCTGGTCATGGAAGTGATGTATAATTAATGATTGATTGGTGATCTCTGGTTTCTTTCCTATCGTCTATTGTTTTGATGCTGGACCTAAGCAGAAACTCTCTTTCCTTCAAATCAAACATCACCGATCCAAAACAGGCCAATTGCTTCCGCACTAACAGATTTTCCTTCTTTGCCTTCTTTAGCGCTGAGGAAAATACTTGTACGGTGACTGAGCGTACGCTAGGATATAGGATTGCTGAACAAAGCACAACATCTGCTCTATCACTGACGACTTTGAGCCTATTGACTTAAACAACGAGTCTCAACAGATGTTGTTGTTTGTGATTCTCCCATAATGTAAGATCAGCGGTAGTATCTAACGCCGTTAATTTCGAAGAGGCCGCTTTGTTCGACTGCTTGTTGAGTAGGTACCCACCCCTGATGAGAATATGCGTACGTCTGAATCAAGGTTGATCCATGCATACCTGAAGAACTTGATATAATACTCACGGGACAAGATTCGACTCTTTCAGGCATGTGGTGAACAACATTGTTGCCAATTTGGATAACCTTCGCAGGCGTCAAGCTAGTTGGAGACGTGTCAGGGATACTTCCTTAAATTCAGATGTGTTGTCGGATAGGACCTTTCTTCTTGTATCAGATGATTTGTCATGTGTTGTTGCGACTTGCGAATCTAACGGTTCCGTGTGACTCGTATTAATCTCTCAACGTACTGTACAGTCCAATTCTCCAAGATGATAGCGAATAATGCAGTGGTGACAGCAGGAGCCTTCGCGGCCTCGCAAGTCTTGAGTGAAAGCCCTCTCAAAATCATGGCTATTGTCTATAGAGTTGTTACTTATCATGATTAAGTATGTTTCTCGTCTTTCTAGGAATAAAATATCATGCATGTTGTGCATATTGATACGAACTGATTTCCTGCACTTTTCTTGAAGTGCAGCTAGGAGAGTTTGCAAGTTGTTTCGGCTAATGATTATATTGAGGTCATAAAGCTTGGTACTACCGTTCATGATACCCATCGCTTGACAAATGGTACTGAATCGGGAATGAGGACATCGCGTCACGTCCTGATCGTGAAGCCGATACCACGATTTCGCGCCAACATGAAAGGCATATCTGAAAGATGAATGGGCTCCTTATTCAAGGGTGTCTTACACCGGGTCATGTAATTTTGATGTTGTTACTTACCAGGAATGTATATTGTGGCCTCCAACTCTTTGTCCTAGTTGTAGTCAGATAGTACGTCGAAGCCGCCGCCGATTGGCATCGTTTTGACGTTCTTAATCGCTAATGTGGAGGGCGTGATTTGAACAATAGTTGTGACCCTTCCACGCATCTTTCGGCTTCTTTGCTATGAAATTACTTAGGTTGTTGTCAAGCTTGCTCTCCTGTTTCTGCTTTAGCCTCTAACATCCCCAGCTGCCTTAGTCACGATAAACAGCCACTACACCTTGGATTTGCTGGGCACCATGTATGGTTTGGACAAACAAATCGTCAGGGTTTTGAGTCCTGGGATTTGGTAGATAAAGTTCCAATCAACGATTTTTGTTTTAGTGTTTTGACTGAGACCTGATCAAGGGGGAAACATACTGAAGATTGCCGCACCTCAAAAGGTGCTGCTCTGGCTGCAACACCTATTGGTCCAATTGGTTACTCAGCTACAGACTAACCTAGACTAGTCTAGCTGCCATGGTCTGAGGCTACTCCATCGTTGTTCAGTCGACGAACCAGCTATCTATCACTCGCGTGCAAATTATAGATCAATGAAAGTGAATGGGGCTGTGGTTATCATAATGACACAGACAAAAATATGGATTTGTTAAGAACCTAGGTCCGTTGATGATCTGCTAACTACTATATCTCTCACCCACGGATGATTGGCGGGTATTTTAGACGAAACCTTTCACATACATTGTCAATAACGTTTCTTGCGATCTTGACACACTTAACGCAGACCAAAAGCTAGGATCTCGATCTTGATTGCCAATAGCGAACTGGAAGAGGGTAAACTTTGACTCCTTGTCAACGGTTTTCAGGCCGAGAATTGAGCCTTTGCTAGTGATTATTCTGCAAAATTGTGTGGCGCGGGATTGTGAGAACATGACACAATCGTAAGGACATAACAGGCCGGTTTAGAGCGGATTCGACACAAGTTGTTCCGTCACCAATAATTCCGTCGGGACATTGACATTTCCCCAGTCTAGGAGAGAAACAAGTGCCGCTCCTTAAGTTAGGCGACGACATGGGGTGACACCAAGGCCGATTTCTCTTCGGGGCTTACCGGAAGGGAACTGCCCTCCACGACCACGAAGCCCTGCAAGGCCCGGCAAGGGACAATTAAAGTTTGTTTGACTCGCGTTATCACGCTGTCACGTTTGCATTGATGCTTTGGTCTCTCACTACAGTACATGGTGTGAGCTGAGCATGGCGCAATTTATCTGGGAAAGATCGGAGAATAATACGGCTGAGCTTCGTAGAAATCTCCCACTCCGTCCGGCTAACAGACCCTCCACTCGCCCCTCAATTGCTGCTGACCGCCTTCCCCGCTGGTTTTCACAAATAAGAAAGTTCGTGCAACCACATATGATCTGTGCTTATTGAGACTTCGAGGTTCAACTCGGAACGCTTCAGGTGGTGATCCACAATTCTGCTGGTTAGTGATCATAAAGGCAAATGGGTGGTGTTGGTGTCAAGATGCGTAGAGTTAGTTCCAGGGGCGAAGGGGTTGGTGACTGTATTCTTCGTTGGGAACATGGTACTATACCAAGTAATTGTTGAAGTTGCCGGGCGAAAGTTGTCATCAGGACTCAGCAGGAATGTGGGGGTTGCTTGCCAGCCGCACTGCAATCTCGACCAACGGCCTACGACCCCATTCAACCCCATTTAGCCCCATTCGACCCAGTCGTTCGGTGATGCCTGCCGGTTCAGTCGTAGTACCTTAGCCTAGCGTCTCCCCTCATCCAGCACAATTCTATCCTGGCAAAGAGAGTAAAGCAGTAAGGATTTTGTATCCCACATGGTACCTTGAATTCGCCGGAGGACGAAGCGTAAACATGCTGCTTCCATGGCCTTACTAGATCTCGCGTATCTTACATGGCATGCTGGTATCGGTCGTTAAAAGTCGGTTGAACATCTACAGTTACGTTGTTTGCTGTGAGTCTAGCGGCAACGTTGCAAACTTCCCGTCCCATGGCACTATGGCACCATGGCACCATGGCACCATGCCCAGAAGGCTTCGCAATGCTTGGTCATGGGAGCCCAGAGAAGCCACCAAACGCCCACTTCTTCTTGCTTTCCCTCTATGGCTCCTTGGCATCTCCTCACTTCTTACGCATTGTGTAATTTGGAACGTTCTCAATGGTTGCAAATGGAAATCCTTGTTACCTTGGCGCGAGAAACATCAGGGTTAACATCGTGAAATCTTCGTGGAGAGAATGCGGGGACCCCGTCCAAGACCGGCCAAGCCCACTAAAATCGCTCGTGGCTGCGAAGCGAGCCCGCAGATTTGGGTTCTAAACCGTTAGCCTCTCCATTTTTCACCCCGTTCCAATCACGCATGCGGGGATGAACAAACATCTAAACACCGTTGTGCCAGCCACGAGAACTATTGAATCATTGCGGCAGTCGGGGCCTAGAGACAAGCCAGCCGAGGAGGGTGATCGACAATGTCGGTCATCTTCCGATGGCCGTCAATGAACCTGCAGAGCTACCTTACATCTTGGACGGCAGTATGTTAAGTACTACTTAAGATGTCTGACCCCCACGAGTATTGCGTTCTTCTTCTCAAGCATTCAAGGTAGTACCTTCACGTCAATTTACCTCTACCGCTTTCTGAGACACCTTGAATCATTTCAAAGAGATCAAGATGGCAGGAGGTGTAAAGAAACCAGTCAACATTTTCAAGTTGAAGGACCTGGACGAGCCGAAAGGAGTCTTCAACTGGCGCCTATGGTTTGCAGTCGTCTCCTTTGCCCTTCTGGGTGCTGCCCGTGGTGTCGATGAGGGTCTTATATCTGGTGCCTTCAACTCCAAAGATTTCCAGAAATCCATCAATTACTCGTCGTACAGTGATACAGAAAAGACAAATATCAAGGCGAATGTCTCAGCTATGGTACAGATTGGTTCCGTTGGCGGTGCGCTCTTGTGAGTTATCTCTGCTCGTTGTTGTGTGCAATACAAGCTCGCTAATGCCGTCACTATCAGTGCATTCTTAATATGCGATCGTGTCGGTCGCATTTGGGCCACACGAGAGCTGTGTCTCGTTTGGATTATAGGAATCGCCATGTTCTTAGGCAACAACGGCAACCTCGGGCTGGTGTATGCCGGAAGATTCATCGCAGGCCTGGGTGTAGGTCAAACTCCCGTCGTCGGACCTAGTAAGTTTTAGAACCTAAGTTCTCAGTTGGCCTTTTTATTTGAAAGCATACTAGTCGGTGATCTTCTCAGACTGCAGGCCTTTCGAGAAGGGAGACCGGTGGCACTATGCAAACTAGAGCCCCCGAATATATAAGCTATCTTTATATGGAAAAATAACTAACTGGATGATTTTGCAATGTAGTCTACATTGCCGAGATTGCCCCGGCATCTATCAGAGGTCTTTGTACTTGTATGTTTACTGGGTTTGTCTATCTCGGTATTGTCTTGGCTTATTTCGCCAACTACGGCGCTCAAGTCAATCTGGGAGACACTAGTCACGTCAGATGGATGGTTCCGACGAGTTTGCACATCATCTTTGCTGGTCTCATCCTCGTTCTCATGTTCTTCCAATACGAGTCTCCCAGATTTCTCGTGAAGCAGGGAAAACTAGACCAAGCCCTGACAGTTATGTCACGTTTACGCCGTTTGCCCGAAACCGATCCCTACATAGTGAACGAGGTTGGCGCCATCTGTCGCGCAAATGAGGAAGAACTCGAAGCTACCAAAGGCACTGGATTCTTTGGCGTTGTTAAGGAGATGTTCCTTATTCCTAGCAACTTGTACCGCCTCTACCTGAGCTCTATGGTACAGCTTTTGTCGCAATGGTCAGGTGCTGGATCTATTACGCTATATGCTCCTGACCTTTTTAAGCTCCTGGGAATCACTGGACAGAACGAGTCCCTGCTTGTCAGCGCAGTATTTGGAGTTGTGAAGCTTTGCGCTGCTGTACTGTGTGCCCTGTTCTTGGTTGATGTCATTGGAAGAAAGCGAGCTCTGCTTATTGGTATCACATGCCAAGCTATTGCCATGCTTTACGTCGCTGGGTTCCTTACCGCCGTCCCCGGACTTGGTGTTGTTGATGGCTACACCCTCCCAAGCAACGAGCTTGGTCCCAGTACGTATAAAACATCTGACGTTTTCGAATTGATCTTGTCGTTCAGAAAGATACTAGTCGTTGACCTGACTCCGGGTCATTCGAGCAGCGAGACTAGTGGTCTGAAGAAGTTAAATCCATAAATCCCTGAGTTGTCACCGTCATGGAAAATTCAACTAACAAATTCTTTTTACAACGCAGGTAAAGGAGCGATCGCCATGATTTACCTGTCCGGATTTGGATGGGCATTAGGCTGGAACTCGATGCAGTATCTACTCACAGCTGAACTGTTCCCGTTGCGAATTCGTGCTGTTTCCACATCGTTGATGATGATGTTACACTTTGTCAACCAATACGGTATGCGAATCCCAGATACATTTATCCCCATTCTTAGTTGGGCCGTCTCGCCGTCTTTAGAGACGGTGCGAAGCCGCCTTTATTTTCGAACAAAAAGAGTGATACTGACCTCTGATCGCCACAACAGGAAACTCTCGTGCCGTCCCTAATATGCTTCTGCCCACCAGCCAGGGTGGTATCGATCCGAAAGGGACATTCTGGTTCTTTGCTATCATAACCATTATTGGAGGTATCTGGGTTTGGTTTTCGGTACCGGAGACATCCGGAAGATCACTAGAGAGCATGGATAGACTGTTCAGCCTACCTTGGTACAAGATTGGTCTTCATGGCAACGATGATGCAGACCGCCAGGATGCTGTCTATAAAGAAAAGGAGCAGGAAATGGGCCCAGCGGAACAGGTTGAACATGCCCACCCTGAGAAGAGAGAAGTCTAGGACACCCAGGTATTTCTAGCAGAAATTATCGAAATCGGTTGTCATTCAACGCATAGCATAGTCGTAGTACATTAACAAAACAACAATGATATTGCTCCTTATATAGCTCGAGTGCCCAAATGAATCAATCTTATCACGTTAGTAAATAGAGAGGTATTTGTGGTTCTGGGGTGGGAAGGGGGGGGGGTTCCAATGGAATATTCCGATTGTTAGTAAGGGAGTACATTTTCTGGAAAGGCGAGTCTAGTGCTAGGAGGTGCAAGAACTCGTTAGGTTTCTATTCAGTAGGAAGCGAACGATGAAAGACCAGCACGTTATCCTGAATACAAACCATGTACCGATCGCTAGTTGAGACATCGTCATTTCCACAGCAATACATTCCTATTGGGAACGCACAGTACCATGGTCTTGTCCTGTTAATCGCAAAAGTGCGATCTTGAGTACAATGTAAAATGATTAAAATACTCTCAGAACAAATGTTAATCTTGGCCCAAAAGGGTTCTTGCGTTGCCCCCGTAAATTCAGGAAATTTGTTCCAGCAACCAGAAACTTGCGCAATACCCACATTGTCGACTGCGTGAAATTATTCAAACTCTTTCAAACATTTTGAGAAGAGCAGATATCGTGGATCATTACGAAAATTCTGCAACTGACACATGACATCCACTGGCATGCTTTTAGTCGATACATCACCACAGCCATACACACTCTCACGGGTTCGTATCACAACTCATCTGAACTAAATACACTTTTCGGTTCGGAAACAATACGATACAAATAGTGCAAATTCGATTCATTGCAAGTGTACGCATACTACCAACCACATTGAATAATGCATCATGCACCATCCATTTTTCAACATGTGCTACAGCTACCTTACAAGAAAAAGCTTCCGTTGCTTGAACAAATAAGCAGGCGACTTGGCAATCACAAAATCTCCCTGTGAAGCCATTTTCCACGAGAGTGGATACTTGGGCGGAAGATGGTTCAGAAGACGACATATGCGAGGAGATCGAAGACAACGTCATCGATATCCCCTCTCGGTACAACAAGGGCAACTTTAAAAAATTTCGCCAATCCCTCAGTTGCCTAATGGTCGAGCAGGTGTTAGCCGCTGAGATGATCATCGCCCAGATTTCGGACCACAGAGGCCAACTAGCCACATTCAAACATTGTCTCATAACGGTCTGTAAAGATCATGTCAAATCTTCTGACACCGATGGGCATTGGCCAGTTCGGCTGATGGAACTGAGGCCCATCGTCTTGGCCGTCATCAACTTTCTCCTTGAGCGATGTTGGCGCAGACAAGGCAAGGCTCCGGGCGAGACAGTGAACGAGGTGGGCTTCCTGGATATGCACACAAAATTGGAGTCGGCTTTGCTCATCGACGTTTTCCCAGACGTCACCAAGCTGCCAACTCTCGTGGCCCGACTTCAAGAGTGCTTCAAACGGCTGCATAAGCACCGCCTTGATAGTCTTTGGGACCTCGTATACGTGAAACGACAAAACGAAGGCTATCATGACTGCGTATGCAGCTCAACGTCAGCTATGAGTATTGCTGGAGCCTTTACCTGCATGTCCCGTTTTCGGAAGTTCACATTAACCACTCGACAGAGGGCTTGCCAAGGGGTCAGTGTCCGGCCCATGCCAGGCCAGCGTCCCGTTCCACATGGCGTGGCAATCAGACTCGGCAACCTACGGCCCAGCACCCGGACGAGGGCGCTACCACTATCCTATCTAGAACAATGCGTCGAGACCCTTGATAAAGATTGAGCTATTCGAAGTATGAACCCACTCCCAACGCGGAGGGCAGATTCCTGAAGTTTTCTGGAAAGCCATGGGTAGAAGCTTATGGAATTGTGATTGGACGACGGCATAATGTCGCTAGCGCTTGGTCTGAAGACCATGTGGAAATAAGCGATTTCAGGAGAGATACGTGATAATTTATACACAGAGCAGTTATAGTTCAAGGCCACGGGTCTCCTGACTCATCGTCAAGAGCTGTAACTTCAGTAAGAAAACAATCTTGCTGTGCTTTGTGCATGGGTAGTGGATCAACTTGTGATGTTGCCCACACGAACTTTGATGGTAGAAGAGCGGGACTGTCTGATAACGATACTGTTGGCTGGCCAAGCGAGGATTTGGAGACAGTCAGCATGGCCCATTGACATAGCTAGTTTCCAAGAAGCATTACGTCCGGCTCTAGAAGTTCTGTGGTATCGGTGGGAGCCCGCTGGATATTAGCTGGTCGGATACACATATGGTAAACCAAAGCTGCACGCCGATGATGAACATGGCACACTTTCGTGGTGCAGCAGTGGTAGAGGTGGACGAAGAATATCCAGATGTGCCACCCAAATACTACATAGATAATGCCGGTTCGTTTCCCTTTCGCACATAACGAGTGCCAATCGCTATAGTGACTCAAAATCGCATATCGCCCTTTCCCATGGGTATGATCTGAGGTCCATCTTCGTTTTCGTGAGAGTTTCTAGGACTCTCAGACAGCGAACTGCGCACATGACGGGATGCGACAACGCAGTTTGTTCAGTTGCCAAACCAGTTCGGTCCACTCAAGGCGACGTGTTGTATCGCTGACGATATGGAGACAGACTCAGGGTTGTCTGGATACAGGCATCAAGAAAAGGTGGGTTTACCTACAACACAGCACTTGCCTGACTTGTTCCATCGAGAGAGCCAGAGCCGACGACGGAGCGTCTCCACCGTGTGTGATTACGGCGGACGGGTAATGAGGGGAACATTGAACGAAGACTGAACGAGGGGCGGGATCGGCCACGGGACAACAAGACAAGGGCCGGCCGACCGCTGGGCTCAGCTGGCGGCCACACGTCACGTTTGCCTAGCCTTAGACTAGACCAGACTAACCTAAGGTTAGACTAAATAGCACAATCAAATGGAGCCTACAGTACACACGAGAGAGCCAGAGAGCTAACGAGGAGCTTGGCACGCCACCGCAGACCCAGACGCAGACCCCCCTGGGAAAAGTACAGATCATTGCAGTGGAAGCCGCCAGAAGAACCCGAACCCTTTCTCCCTCCATCAAAACGCACCGAGGAAGTCTGTCTGGGATGAAATCAGTGTAAATTGATTCATCATGGCGCTGGTGCAAAACGATCAGATCAAGGGCGCAGAGCTCCTGAACGCTCTGCCCACCTTCCGGCATTTGTACGTCTGGCCTTTTGCCATTATTTGGCCCATTTTTGCACGATACTATACCGACTCGGATCTCTATGAAAAGTACATCGGCGCATCCGAGTGGACAACCGTCTGGTGCGGCGCAATCATCACCGCCCAAGCTCTTGTTTGGCTCAGCACCCATTGGAGTGTTGATCTGAAGGCTTCCTTCACCGCGAAGAAGGCCAGCACTATCGAGGCCGCCGAGCTCATCAAGGTCATCCCCGTCGCCAACGCAGGTTCCCCCGAGATCTGCAAGCTCGAGCGCGAGACTGTCGCTGGCAAATCCAATCTCTCCTTCCTCTTCCAAAAGCGCCGGTTCCTTTACCATGCCGACGAGAAGACCTTCAGCCCGCTGGCCTATGCCATCGACGCCGAACCAAAGCCGCTGCTGGACCAGTTCCAGAAGTCCAAGGGCATCACGAGCCAGGCCGAACTCACCCGCCTAGAGCAATACTATGGCACAAACACGTTCGACATTCCTGTGCCTACCTTCACCGAGCTCTTCAAGGAGCATGCCGTGGCGCCATTCTTCGTCTTCCAGATCTTCTGTGTCGGCCTGTGGATGCTTGATGAATACTGGTACTACTCGCTCTTCACCTTATTCATGCTAGTCATGTTCGAGTCTACCGTTGTCTGGCAGCGTCAGCGCACACTGAACGAGTTCCGAGGCATGAGCATCAAGCCCTACAACGTGTGGGTATACCGGCTTGGCAAGTGGACCGAGGTTCAGAGCGACAACCTTTTGCCTGGCGATCTGGTCTCCATCAACCGCACAAAAGAGGATAGCGGTGTCGCCTGCGATATGTTGCTAGTTGAGGGCACTGTCATCGTCAACGAGGCTATGCTTTCTGGAGAGAGCACGCCATTGCTGAAGGACTCTATTCAATTGCGCCCCACTGACACTCCCATTGATCCTGAGGGACTTGACAAGAACGCCTTCCTTTGGGGCGGCACTAAAGTCCTTCAGGTGACACACGGCAACCCCGATGAGGAGAAACCAAAGCTTGCCTCTGGAGTGCCTCTCCCGCCGGATAACGGGGCTATGGCCATCGTCATGAAGACGGGCTTCGAGACATCTCAGGGCAGCCTGGTCCGAACCATGATATATTCTACAGAGCGTGTTTCCGCCAATAACGCCGAGGCACTGTTCTTCATTCTATTCCTGCTCATCTTCGCCATCGCCGCTTCATGGTATGTATGGGACGAAGGTGTCAAGAAGGACCGAAAACGATCCAAGCTCCTCCTCGACTGTGTCTTGATCGTCACAAGTGTTGTTCCCCCAGAGCTGCCCATGGAACTGAGTTTGGCTGTTAACACGAGTCTTGCCGCTTTGGCCAAATTGGCCATCTTCTGTACTGAGCCATTCCGCATCCCCTTCGCTGGACGTGTCGACATTGCTTGTTTTGACAAGACGGGTACACTGACCGGCGAGGACCTGGTTGTTGATGGCATCGCTGGGCTTGGTCTTGGCCATTCCGGCACTGACACTCCAGTCGAGTCTGATGGAGCTCACAGCCAAGTGACCCCGGTCAAGGAGACTGGTATCGAAACCACGCTTGTACTCGCTACTGCGCATGCTCTCGTTAAGCTTGATGAGGGTGATATCGTGGGCGACCCTATGGAAAAAGCTACACTGACGTCTCTGGGTTGGGTTCTCGGAAGGAATGATATCTTGACTGCCAGAACAGCTGGCACTATTGCCGGGTCTGTACAAGTGAAGCGCCGATTCCAGTTCTCGTCTGCCCTTAAGCGCCAAAGCTCCGTGGCCACGGTTAACGCTATGGATTCCAAGACTGGCACCAAGTTGAAGGGCACCTTCGTCGGTGTCAAGGGCGCGCCTGAGACTATCATGAAGATGCTGACCACCGTCCCCAAGGACTACGAAGAGACGTTCAAGTACTTCACTCGTCGCGGCTCTCGTGTTCTTGCTCTTGCCTACAAACAACTGACCACTGACAACGAACTTGGATCCGGAAAAATCAACGACTTGAAGCGTGAGAAGGTTGAGGCTGATCTTACCTTTGCTGGGTTCTTGGTGCTTCAATGTCCCCTGAAAGAAGATGCTAAGCAGGCCGTCCAAATGCTCAACGAGAGTAGTCACCGCGTTGTGATGATCACTGGAGACAACCCTCTTACTGCTGTCCATGTCGCTCGCGAAGTCGAGATTGTCGATAGAGAAGTTTTGATTCTCGATGCTCCAGAAGACAACGAGGGAGGCGAGAAACTTGTCTGGAAGAGCGTCGACGACAAGATCACCGTTGACGTGGATGCTTCTGCCCCTATTGACCCTGAGATATTGAAGACAAAAGACATCTGTGTCACTGGTTATGCTTTGACGAAGCTCGGTGAAAAAGGAAACGATGGGGCTTTCCGGTCTCTGCTGCGATACGCCTGGGTTTATGCTCGTGTTTCGCCGAAGCAAAAAGAGGACATTCTTATTGGCATGAAAGACCTAGGCTATTACACCTTGATGGCTGGCGATGGTACCAATGACGTCGGAGCGTTGAAACAAGCTCACATTGGTATTGCTCTTCTAAACGGTACACAAGAAGATCTCACTCGAATTGCGGAGCACAGCCGAAACACCAAGATGAAGGAGATGTATCAAAAACAAGTCGACCTCATGAAACGCTTCAACCAACCTGCGCCGCCAGTTCCTCCCATGATCGCTCATCTTTACCCTGCAGGCCCTTCGAATCCCCACTTGCGAAAAGCGGTCGAGCGCGAGGCACAGAAGAAGAACATCACACCCGAGGAGTATGCTAAGCAGTACGGTATTGATCTTACGCAGACGATCACGTCCCCTGCTGCCCAGCAGCTGATAAACGCCGATCCTCGTCAAGCCAAACAACAAGCAGCTCAACAGAAGGCTGTCGGGCTGGCCGACAAGCTGACTTCCGGGATGATGGATATGGAAATGGATGATGAACCGCCGACTTTGAAGCTCGGTGATGCCTCAGTTGCCGCTCCTTTCACGAGCAAACTCAGAAATGTCGTCGCCATTCCGAATATCATTCGTCAGGGTCGTTGCACACTTGTCGCTACCATCCAGATGTACAAGATCCTTGCCCTTAACTGTCTGATCAGCGCCTACAGTCTATCTGTCCTCTATCTAGAAGGCATCAAGTTCGGTGATGGCCAGTACACCATTAGCGGTATGCTGATGTCCGTCTGTTTCCTGTCGATCTCTCGCGCCCGAACTGTTGAAGGCCTGTCCAAGGAGCGCCCGCAGCCTAATATCTTCAACTTCTACATAATTGGTTCTATCCTTGGTCAATTCGCTATCCACATCGTCACGCTCATTTACATCGCCCGATTCTGCGAAAAGCTTGATCCGTAAGTCAGCCCTCTTATCGACATAACTGTGCTTTTTCTAACATTGATTCTCTAGCCGTGGTGATCTGGATGTGGATCTAGAAGCTGAATTCAGCCCGTCTCTTCTCAATACCGCCGTGTACTTGTTGCAATTGATTCAACAGATCTCTACCTTTGCTGTCAACTACCAGGGTCGCCCTTTCCGTGAGTCTATTACGGAGAACAGGGGCATGTTCTGGGGAATCATTGGTGTCACCGCTATCGCCTTTTCCTGTTCAACCAAGTTCATTCCCGAGTTGAACGAGAAGATGATGCTTGTTGATTTCTCGAACGAGTTCAGCACCACCTTGACAACCGTCATGATCCTCGACTTCGCTGGATGTTACCTTATTGAGGTTGCCCTCAAGCGACTCTTTAGCGACTTCCGTCCCCGAGACATCGCAATCCGAAGAAAAGACCAGGATGCACGCGAGCAAGAGCGCAAGTCTATTGAATCTGCTGAGAAGTCCCTCAAGGATGAGAAAGAGCGTTTGGCTAAAGTAGAGGAATTCGAAAGGAAGGTAGAGGAAAGAAGGAAGAAGGTTCAGGAGTGGGCGCAGGGACGACAGCAACAAGCTGTTCCGGCTGCTGCTCGATAAGGGTTTCGCCATGATGGGCATTGCCAATAGACTAGAAGGGGAAATAGACGGAGCTCTCATCGTGACTCCCGTGTATAGATATATGTAATTGGCTATAGTATGAAAACAACTGTAGATAGATAACTCACATTGCCCCTCAAACCGAGTACTTCCAATGCGCGCCGCCTAGGACAAAGATTGGTTATGGCTTGTGACACTTTCAAACTTACATAGTACAATTGACAAATTGCATTCTCGTATCTACTTCGCTTTCAGACGTTCGATATCATGTTCTTAGCTTGTCGGTTCAACTTCGGAAACCACCGTCTGTGACAACGAGCTGGCGGCTTTGAGTCATCGCGACGCCATGCGTCAAAGTAACACGTTGCAGTGTGAAAAAAGGGTTTGTATTACAAACTAATGTGGTGCTATATAAGTCAAGCTTGATTCGTAAAGTTGGTGTGAGCGATGCACAGTGGATTCGGCCTAGGTTCGAGTCCGCCGAAAGGATTCCGCTTGCAGCTCGCGTCTGCCCCTCGATCCTCATTCAATTGAGCGCCACTATTAAAAGTATTCACAGCAGTTGCGTAAAGGGTGTAAGGTGCGCGAAGAATCAAACTTCAGGCCATACATAGTGGACTGCTGACTGTGACCCCCAACGTTTTTCTGGGTGACTGATTCGTGCACAGCTCTCGTCCCCTGCTCAAGGACACAATGGAATCCCCACGTCCGAAAGGCATCGTTGTCTTTGGTGGTGGAACCGCAACCAACAGTCTAGTTGACGTGCTCAACGATCTCCGCGAAAGTAGAAGATGCTCACTGAGCTACATCATCCCCATCAGTGATAATGGTGGCAGTTCTTCTGAGCTAATTCGGGTATTTGGGGGTCCTGGTTCGTGCCCTTGATACCTTTCCAACGCCAATTTATGGCCACCGCAAAGTACGGTCGGTTGATTAACCTATAATACAGGTATTGGTGATATTCGTTCTCGTCTTGTTCGTCTCATCCCCAAAGTAGACTCAAATGCAGATTTAGCAGCCACAAAAGCACTGTTCAACTACCGCCTCTCCAAAGATCCTGAAAAGGCACGCTCTGAATGGCTGGATATCGTGGACGGAAGGCACGAATTATGGGAACAAATCTCGAGCGACAAACGTGAGCTCATCAGGAGCATCTTCAACATGGTCAATATGGAGATCGTAAAAAGAGCTAGACCGAGTTCAACCTTCAACTTTGGCAAGGCGGCCGTTGGGAATTTGTTCTTGACTGGGTGAGTACTTGCACCCATGCGTCTGAGCGTCGGGGAAGTGTGCACATCCCAGGCGACGAGAACACTTCTTCGGATTTACGATTATTCATCATACTTACACCTTGCAGCGCCCGCATCTTCACTGGCTCTCTTGAATCTTCTATATACTTGCTATCGCAAATATGTTCCATCCCACCTTCAACGTCAGTTCTTCCAGCTATCAACACAAACTTCTCCCATCATATTTCCGCTGGACTGTCGGACGGCACCATAATCACCGGTCAGAATGCTATTTCACATCCCAGCGAGCCTACTGCCCTGCCCGACGCCAATGGTGCCGCCACCGCAGAAGCGGCCGCTGTATCAACGACGGAGGATACGGACGCACATGATCTCATAGAAGACGCCAATCTACCTGGAAGTTTACCAACGCTGCGGAAGCAATACATCGAATTCTCCAAATCCGGAGAAGATGATTTGTCCTGCAGGATCAAGAGAGTCTGGTATATCAATCCCTACGGCCATGAAATACGGCCACGTGCAAATCCGAAAGTTGTCGAGGCTATCGAGCAATCCAACGCGGTGATCTACAGCATTGGATCCCTCTACACATCCATTGTACCGAGTTTGGTACTGCGAGGCGTCGGACAGGCGATCGCGAACTCGGGAGTCCGACACAAAGTGCTTATCCTCAACTCCAGCAATGATCGCGAGACAGGGCCCAGCACCAGCCCTTTCACGGCGGTGGATTTCGTCAAAGCTATAACGTGCGCCGCTGCAGAGAGTCAAGGTGAAGTCGACAACAACGGCCGTCTCAGCGAAGTGAGAAGATATGTCACCCATCTACTGCACATGGAAGGCGAAGGCACACCAGTCGTAGACAAAGAGGCGTTGGCCAATCTCGGCGTGGACTGCATTCGGGTTTATGGACGCAAAATCGACGGTGTCCTCAGGTATGACGAACAGGGGTTGAAGAGCGCATTAGAAGCAATTCTTGGCAGGACAGAGAGGGGCAGGAGTCGAAGAAACACGAAGCAGTAATAACAGATGGGAGCAACTAAACTTTACTCAGACGCGTATTCCGTATATTAGGAAGGCAAAGGTAGCAGCTGAGCTGGGCGAAATGCGGCCCGAATACGCTGACCGTGATCAACGATACTACTCGTTTCGACGCGATTGGCTTGGAAGTCTGTCCTTGCTGCCTTTCACGCTGGTCGTGTACGAAGGTTTTACCAAATGATAGTCGAATGAGGTCATGACCAAATGAAACCATCGTATGGTAGCTGTGTGACTGGTTTGACGGCAACCTAAATTTGTCCCTTTATGATAGAAACTAGGAGGAGCCAAAGGGTGCTGTAGGAAGAACGATGTGCGAGGAGAGCTTTCCCTTCCCGAGATCACCATTCTTGGCTCCACTGGGCGCTTATCACACGCCTTGTTCCTCCTATGATGTGAAGCTGGATGGTTTGGTTGATATGTTAGCGTACTATAGATCTGACAAGCCCAGCGCACCCGGTGACATACTCATGGATGGCCCGTTTGCAGTGATGGGTAACTTGACCTGCTTCATAGCTGTTTCTCTAAGGGACATCCTCCCCGATCAAGTGCTCGTTATATAACTAGGGTTCAAAGCGGGGTATCCTTGAACCCATCACGTACCTTCGGCTATCTACCAAGTTGTGTCGTAATGGCTGCTTGTGCTCCCTCCACATTCTCACCATCTCTGTTTGGTGCAGAGGTGCTTTCGTTACAAGCCTCGTTGGTCACCAATTACAGTGCATCAGTGTCATCAGCGTTCAGGTACGTGATCACGCGGGCCCTGAAAAACCATATGTATCATGGTGACCAGACCCACTAACATTCATGGAACTTGTCAGATTTACTCAGCCTTCCGTCGAGCTTAGAAACGCTACTTTCTGTAACGTCACTGTCACATACACCCACCCCGGCCAGAACGACAACATTGCGGTCGAGGCATGGCTTCCAACCGCCGACAAGTGGAATGAGCGCTTGTTGGCCGTCGGCGGAGGCGGATGGGCAGCCGGGCGGTTCTTCGTTTCCTACGAAAACATGAAAGGCGCGGTCGCAGACGGATACGCTACCTTCACTACTGACGCTGGATTGGATAGCTCCATATTCCCAACTAATTGGGCTCTGAACAGTCCTGGAAACGTTAACATGTACAATCTGAAGAACCTTGCATGGGTGTCTTTAAATGACGAGGTAAGTTGAATGGCCATGTCTTCCATGGGATTCATAAAAGATGAAACATTCCACTCCATTAATTATGTTTCACTCTGTCCTGCCCCAGGTAATTAACGATGAAATTCAATAGGCGATCATAGGGAAATCACTCATTAAAAGTTTCTATGGGAGAGGTCCAACTTATTCATACTGGAACGGCTGTAGCCAGGGTGGCCGACAAGGCCTGATGTTAGCGCAGAGGTTTCCAACAGCTTATGATGGCATATCAGCCGGTGCCCCAGCTCTTCATTGGTCGGAGTCCTTCACCGCAGCTCTTTGGCCACAGCAGCTCATGAATTCTCTTGGAGAGTATCCTTACGGCTGTGAGATCCAAGCAATAACCGCGGCCGCTATCTCAGCTTGTGACGGACTCGATGGCGTCTTGGATGGGATCATTGGCGAGGCTGATCTATGTCTCAAGCAGTTCGATCCTTTCAAGGTTGTGGGCACCACGATCACCTGCGCCGAAAAGTCAAACAGCACGGTCCAGATCAGCAACACCGCCGCCAAGGTCGTGAATGCTACATGGCACGGTCCTGTGACAGCCGAAGGCAAAAAATGGTGGTACGGCTACAATCCGGGGGCAAACCTCGTAGACAACAATGGTCTCCCAGGAGTCGCAGCAACGAATTGTACCGCACAAGACTGTGTTGGAAGCCCCAATATGTTGGCTTTGCCATGGCTAAAGCTTTTCGTAGCCGCGAAACCTGACTTGAATTTTTCAAATCTCACACAGCGCGAGTTCGATGATCTCATGCATTCCAGTAATCAGCAATACAGATCCATTCTCGATACTGACGACCCCGATCTTTCAGAATTCCGAAAAGCGGGTGGAAAATTGGTTAGCTTCCACGGTCTTGTGAGTTATCCCTAGCCATCACTGTCTGCTAATCCACTTGTCTTGTTCAGGGCTAACCCATTCATTAGACTGATGAGTTCATTCCCACGAAAGGTAGCGAGCAGTACTACAATGCAGTCGGCAAAGCTGTGCCTGGCATAGAAGAGTTCTACCGCTATTACCAGCTGCCGGGCTATGAACATTGCTTTGGAGGCTCCAGCAGCCCACCTACTTCCTTGTTCAGCCAACTGCGTGCCTGGGTGGAGAACGGCACTGTTCCCGGCTCGACTCTGGTACAAATCACCAACCTGAATGGAACGACACAGCGTCGCATAGTATGTCCGTATCCGCAAAAGACACAGTTCAATGCGTCTTGCGGTAACGTTTCCAACGTCGACTGCTGGTTGTGTATTCGCGCAACAAGCCTTGAGCATTAGTCAAAGATCTCTCCGAAGGTTTTAAAAGTTGCTGCTGATAGACTGCACGAGGGTCTTCGGTGGGTTTATCCTAGAGAGTTGTCTATACAGTTCTTGGGTGAAAAGAGAAGACAGCAGATATACATTCCTTGCCTTCTATAATAGTCCAGTTTTATATCAACGATCTTTTCATCGAGGCCCTCCATGTTGCAATGATGGATCTTCCAGCATCAAATTCGGCCATTTGAGCCATGGGCTCCAGTATGATCCGAGGTGTCTCGTGATTGATTGTATCAAGAAGCCTCCAGCACCGTCTATCACCCAGTAATGTTTCGCCCTGAGGAGCAGAACACTATAATGAGCAAGAACCACCAGAGCCTCTGGTCGACGTTGTTCTACAAGGTGCACAAACTCCACAGAAACTCGTACGAGCCACTCCTGGGGGAGAAGGATGTAGCGGCTTTTTGAAAATTCCCGGCTATTCTGCTCATCAAACATGCGCTGAAGCGTCAAGACATCTTGCTTTATGCAAGACCGATTGAGACCACTCTCGTCTAAGAGTTGAAAAAGCGATGCACACTCGTCCCCCCGGCTACCTGTCTCGATTTCGGCTGGGTCTAGCGGTAGGTCACCGACGTGGCCGTAGAGCTCCTGTTGAATCCGCGGCCACGCTTCGCTGGAAATGACGCGGACGCCTCTGTGCAGGGTCAGGCACTGCACAAACCGATCTAGCACTGTAGAGAGGTCTGATAGTGATGAGAATGTGTTGAACATAACATGCTGACCCAGGATAGCAGAAAACCAGAACATAGACATGCAGTTCTCATCTGAGATTTCTGCTGTGGCCGCGTTGAATGCAGCTAGCGCTCTGGTTTGTAGTCGCGTTGCCTCGCTTGCATACAAGCTTTTCGGCTGACCTGGAACGACGCTTTTGTGCGCCGCCGCGAACGCGATCAACTCATCCATCAGGTAGGGTGTTTTATATGCTTGGTTGATTGCTTGCTGGATGAGATTTTCGTCCTCTGGCTGGTCACGCACCAGTTCTTGGCCAACGACGGTTCTAAAATGATTCAACAGCTCCAAGTGCAGCAGATTGTACCGCTCGTGAGTGTGGGGACTTGATAGTTCCTCTTTTCCAGCGGTACTACAGCCGCTACTGCCGCCTGTTGTCAACTCATGTTGAGAAACCTCATTCGTAGCAGACAATGCGGATGAGACTGGGCTTCTATGGGAGGAGGTTGATGCCACCGGGAGTGCTAAATGCGGACGTGATGGTTTGGCAATGGAATCTAAATATGAGCACCGTCGTTCCGCTGTGACGCAATTCTGACACGATGGCCGTCCTTCGTCGCATTTCTTATGTGACTGTTTACAGTTCTTGCATCCATACCGCGATTTGCGGTGTGGTCGCCGCATGGCACCTTGTAATGCATGCCAGCATGGAAGGTTCAATTGGGACGTAGATGTTGAAAAAGAGATGCCAGAGGACAAGATGCATCGATGGGGCTCGAAAGCCTTTTAGCGAGTTCTCCACCCGTTTAGCGTGAACGGTATGTAATCATGTAACCTACTCTTTGGACTTTCGGGCCATGCATTCATTCGTAGTGGTTCATCCACTGCAACTCGGCGGCCTTCGTCGCCGTTGTAACCTATGGTCTCAATCGCGATTAGTCTACGGATTAACTTTTGATGGCCCACCCAGAGCAATATTGACCTGGCGTGCCGTTTGGTCGATATTCTAGATCTAGCACTTACGGTTTACTATATTTATTTCTCAAATAATTAGCATCATCAATTTCCTTGAGCTTGCGCGTTTGGATTGAATTATAGAGTTCCCTCAGCATTTTGTGCGTAACACTACGGCCACCCGACGCATCCGCTTCACCCTCACAGATCACGCTCATGCTAGGCCGATTACATCACTATCTAACTTCAGGGGTTACCTTTGCCTTTAGTAGATATTACCGACACTTCTAGATTCGAGTTGGCTCAAGTATCAACCCACTTACCTAACTCATTAGACAACGCGATCTGAGCTCGCTTTCGGCAGTGCACCTTGTTTCGCTTATTTCCAAAAGAAACACTAAAGATCATAAGCAGTCAGTCACGAGTCACTTTAGTTGCGAGTTCAAATGGGACATCGAAATGTCGCTAAAGCGAGAGATACAACATACGAAACTGGCTGCAACTACGGCAACGTTTGCAACATCACGATCAACGACATAGCCCCTTTTATATAGAAATTACTAGCCTCATGCATTGCCGTATTCGACGCCTTGAGCATTAATATCCGCTCTTTGACCAACGAAAAAACTGACTATCTCGAACTGACCACTAGGCAGCTGGAATGCAAAGGTAGGTCCTTGAAGCGATGGATTAGTACTCAGGTAGGCGACCACTGGCAGATCCCCAGTGTTGTATGTGTTTGCTTTTATGTGTGGTTCTGTCTATACCAGTATATATATATACACATTAAGAGAAACAAAAGATTCTATGCTATGGTTTGACCCCCGTCCGGTTTGTATAACCAGTGGTATCAGTAACGGAACCCACAGGTCCCGGAGCCGGGTCGAGAACAGTCATGGAAGTAACAGAGTAGAAACTGTTGTGATTAGAGATAGTATCCGGAAACCACTGCCAGAAAACCGCCATCACGAGCCACATCGGTACCGAGTCGAAGAGGTACATGGCCCATTCATTTCTCAACAGATAGCCATCAGCCCCCATAACAAATTCCACTATGCGGAAGACCGACCGAATCATTATCAATGCACTGACACCGTAGAGCATACATAAAGTCTCTTGCCACTTGATGTCAACAGAAATGTAGATCACTGACGGATCATGACGCATTCTGATATGGAAGACAGCTGCTGTGGCCCAGAAGAGACCAAACATCACCACCTGCAAGACCAATCCAATGATAACAACGGTTTGCCCTAACTGAGCCTGCGAAGCGACCACCATCAGACCCGCTGCACCGCCTTGAATCATGAGGGCTAAGATATCTCCAGCGACGAACAACCTGGTCAACCAGGCTGGGCGTATGATTGCATGTTTCTCGCCGCGGACGTTATTGATGATCTTCTGTAAAGTCATGTATATAGATGCCGCGAATAGAACGGGCGCCAGCAGGATCATGTTATTCTGAATAACATAGGGCATCAATTTTCCAGTTCTGTCATGCGCTGACGCTCGAGTCGCGTATCCTATGATTTCCACTATTTTACGATATTAGCGTTTCTGAAGACGATCTCTCAGATAGTGCACATAGGAAAGGCAACCCGCTGACAGAAGCAGTTCTACTTACTATATCCACCAATGGCGAACGGAATGGCAAACCATCGTCGTGTTTTGTATAAACGCCACGCATGTGCCGCGGTGGCGATTATGAACAAGATGCAAAATATTACAGCCGCGGGAATCGAGGGGAGATATTTCCAAAGGTAATAGCCTCCCTTGTAGGGTTCGAGGACCGCCATTGTTGGGAACGAGGGGTTGAAAGCCAATAAAAAAGTCTCTTGCGGCTAAATAAAATAGTCACTATGCTGATTTAGCAGACTTGATTTCATATGTATCTTGATGCGTATGGAAGGCGCTGAAATGCTCTTTGGATTTTCCCATACACGATGCGGAATACCAGTATGCTGTCTTATATGAAAAACCTTTGAGGAACTATCTTAAAAATGATATTTAAAAAGGGTTGGATACATAGCCTTCTACATCTAATAACCCACATACACGTATCAAGATCCATCAAGGAAAGATTTAGAGCCCATGAAGCCAATAGGATGCAGCTATATACGTCGTTTAGCAAATTCCCTGGTCGTCGTCAAATTACGCCAGGCCACCAAATACGACAAGTGGAACTATAGACTTAGACGGCCCAATCAAATGCTGAACAATACGCCGTCGCACGCTAAGTAGATACGATAGTCCCCATAATACGCCCGCTGGCTGCTTTGAAATTTGGGTTATTCAAGGAGTCGTGTCAACCACAACAGGGCAATTACCAGTTTTGTTATTATATGCTTCTATGCGCGAGAACAGGAGTGCCCCTATGAAAAAGCATCTGCAACACTGCGGTTCTTCGGCCTGACATAGTGAGGAAGCCGAAGGGTAAAAGAGGATAAATTTTGCTGCTTCTGATAGCAAGTGTAACCTAATACTGTTTGTAGCCAGCCTTTCCAGGCTACAATAGCAAGAGAACTTTAAGACCAAGTCTAATAGGATCGAATCCATTGGAATACTGTAATACATGGGGAAACTACGGCTAAGGATATAAATATTCAATAAATAATACAGTGATAAGAACAGTTAATTGGGTACAAGATGGGCAATATCAAAAAGACCCTCTATAGTTTCTAATACTCCAGAAGTAAGAGAGGTTGTAAAGACAAACTCTCATGAAGAAGTTTGAGGCTCTTATCAAAAATATTGACTGCCATCAACAAAGTGCTGTTGATACGCACCCACGCTCTCTCATGTTCATATAAGACCATCATTAGAGGTCAACTCTGAAATGAATCTGGATGAAGGAGGCATTGCGCTATGGGTGCAGAGAAATATTTCTTTCCTCGTATCAATAGCAGGATGAATGGGTCCTCAATACCAGTTATTGTAGTACTGGATGTCTAAGCCATCTCGTGCAAATTGCTATGCACACCTTGCAGTGCCCATCCTTGGTGCGGCCGCTGACCCGAACCATGTGTAATGTCTAGTTCACTGGGGTTTTCAACCGCTGCCAGCATTGCCGGCTCTTGGAACAGCTCCTGAGGTGATTTCTCTTGCTGGTGACTGTCGTAAACCGGAGGTGGTGTCGGGTAGTTGTGGTAGCCTTCTCCAATTTCCTGCACGGCTGGCTGTGCGTCCTGTTTTGACGTGCGGCGACGAAAGAACCAGAACGCGAGCCCCGCGAGTATGAGAAAAGCCACACCGCCAATGACTCCTCCCACTATCGCACCGATGGGGGCTGATGAACCACCCGTGGAAGAACTCACTGCGCTGCCGACACCCGATGAGCTGTTGGAGTTACTCGATGTTTCTATAAAAAGTGATTTAACCGTACCCGAAGTCCAGTCAACACTTCCCAGATTCCTGAAATCTTTTAGCATCGAGATTCAAAGTGATTAACTATGAACTTACCCAGCATTATACCATTTGGTGACTGCATCGGGCGACTCATAAGCTGCAGCATCAGGGTCGAACTCGGAATTCCAGCTCAAGCTCGAAATGTCCAGCACATTGATACCATTCGGCCAAGGGTCTGGATCCCGCAAGGCTGGGTAGTAATCCAGATCGGGATTCATACCACCAACGATGATCATCTGCCGCTTACCCGCGACGATACATTGTTGGGAAGTCCGCGGCCCGTCGGTCGACACACTGCTCTTGATCCATACAAATCCGGGAACTGACAAGACGTAGATGTCCTGGAAGCTGGCCTGGTTTGATCCGTCGTAGCCGCCGAATAGGAAGATTTCGTGGGTACCATTTTGACCGGCAACGTCCACAACGCAGAACTTGCTACGTGGGCTCGGAATATCACCTGTAGTCTGCTGGAAGAACCAAGTCTTCGTTTCAATGTCCCAAAATGACAGATTACCAAGACCGATCAAATTAGGCTCACTGGAGTTATAGCCACTTCGCCGGGAAATTTCACCGCCCAGTGCCAGCACCATACCGTTTCCTGAAGTACCAAAAGATGGCAGGCATGCGGCGCTTCCTGAGATATACGTTTCGTAGCTATTCAATCCTGCTAGGGACTCATTCGCCCAGACGCCACTCGTGATGTTGTAAGTGAGCATGCCAGGAGATGGAACCGCGAGATCGCCGGCAGCAAATGAACTGTCTGTCCATACGCTACCCATACCTCCAATGAAGAATCCCATTCCATTACATTGGGTAACAGCAGCATTGGATGTGCGCTTAATGGACATGAAGATATCGACGTTGGCCGCAGGTTGTTTCCGCCACGAATTCTCATTTGCAGAGAACTTCCACAGGTCTTTCGTCTTTGATAAGTTTCCCCATGGTCCTTGCCCTCCCCACATATACATGGACTCACTCGTCTGATCCGTCCATAATGCCGAGGTGTCGAATACTGGGGCTGCTTTCTCGATCGAAGTAATGGGCACGGTCTTGTTTGTCCATGTCACGTCCAAAGGTATTGACAGGGTATCGTTCACTAGCGACCGACAATGTCAGTTTACCACTGTGGTGAAACCCGGTCGCTAGATGCAATGCGATTCACTGTTCGAAACTGCTTACTCTGTCTTGTTGGTTGTGATTCTGTTTTGCCATTACGATACTGCGCAACTTCCCCGCCATCGACATACAAATTCTTCCCAATTACGGCGACTAGTTATGCTTGATTAGCAGATTCCACCACTAGACTCATGTCTCAGCCTACCGGCATGGCCCGTCCTCCGGATGAAATCCGAAGATGAGTATGTGTCAACGCCGTACACGCCGATACTGATGCCACCCAACAGCAACATAAGACTGCGTCTTGGAACCATTGCGACTGACGTCGCCGACAAAGAACAGTGTCTCCACTAGCGGAGGAGTCAAGTGAGAAGAAATGTCAAAGGATGACAACAAGGCAATCCCAGGACTACGAGAACTCTAAGGCCATTAAGGTATGTGGTGGATGGGTCCGCGAACCCTGTCGAGCGCTGGCCGCGGTGGGGGGCAATTTGAGTTTGCGGCCCATCAGTGTGCATGCTGGTACAGTAGACGAACCTGGCCAACCTAACCTAACCTTAAAGCAACAGAAAGACCCCCAATACAAATCAGTTCACGACACCGTCTCCCAACGTGGGTACTACGGGAGAACCTAGAGAGAGAAATCCCAAGATCTATCGTAAGAACAGAACAATGATGCTTCTGTACACTTATTACTAAACATAATATTTGCAATTCATCGCACGGCAAGTTACAGCATCTCGACATGGCGATGTTCCTCGAATTCGCGTTTCATGCCTTGGTGCGAGTTCCAAGGTTGCCTCTGGTAGGCATTGGGGGAGGGGTGAGATGTGAAGGATTTCTACCTTGTAAGGCTTATGGAGCAGTGGAGTATGCACGGCTCGGTAGCAGCACATCGCGACGCTACTGGAACACGCCAAACTCCCGATCTTCTGGACCACCAGGGGTATCAGCCAATCAGTGGGATCAAGTCATCATGGCCGAGATTGGTGCCCTTGGCCAATTCTAAGATATAAGTTAATACCTAAATAGGGAAGACGCGAAATACCTTGAGTGTTCAACAAAAATAGTTTCCAGGCAATGATTCGTTGAGATTCGAGATCCAAATCACTGGGACTGAGTACCCGCATTCCCGGTTATACATCATCTTTCAAACATTAAGCACTTCATTTAAATTTTTTGGCAAAATATTCAATTAATTCATATAAGTGGCGGTTGCTAAACTTGATTAGCCAATTTTCTAATCCTGTCGCTACAGGGTGACTTGGACAGTCTTAGCGATCGAAGGCACGCCGGCACTCGATAACGCAAACAAGTAGTAGTATCCAGGAAGAAGAATACCACTATCCTTTTCGAGAGTAAAACTGTACTGGGTGCCACTTTGCGTCGTCGCCGCAACGGGAATGCGTCGCTGGTCAGAGTTGATGGAGTGGGTTGCGCTGCCGATGCGCACCAAAGAGAATTTCACACCACTCGCCGACGAGCTCATTGTCGCGCTTAGGTTTCCGCCGACTCGGACGGACGTTGCGGATACGGCACTAATCACAGGTCGTGTGGCAGGACTGTTATCCGAGTTAAATAGGTAGGGCGGTGTGAATATCTGGCCGTCAGCATGATCTACGGCCTTGTTACACTACAAAATTTGAATCAGTATCTGTTCCCTAAAGATGGCTCATTGTGGATGATATGATCTCCAGGAGTATTGTGAAACAGTCCCCTAGATTCAACTGCCTTGGATTGGCAATTACGCGCTCCATCGAAGTGTTAGGAAGGGTTAAAGATGAGTTCGGAAATCTAACTTACGGCGGCATCGGATGAGCCTGGAGCACCGACGTAGCAGAGGCCGCCGCCACCACTAAAGACGGTACCGTCGGGGAGCAGTAATGAGACAGAGTGGTAGTTACGTGCGACAGCAGCCAGCGCAAGTGTCTTCCAAGACTTGGTGGCCGGATCAAAGAGCTCGGCTGCGAGAGCGCCATCAGTGTCTGTGAAGACATGGGCTACCTTCTGGCCCCCAGTCACTAAAATGGTTCCATCAGGAAGTACGACGCCGTTTCCGAACGCACGTGCATAAGCCATCTTGTCACGAGATGTCAGTCTGGGTGCAAATTGTGCGATAAGGGAGAGCGTTCGACGACTCACATCTGCTACACGCTCGACCGTCGCCGCGGTATTTGGCTCGCCAATTGTGGTGATCTGCGTTATTTAAACATACCGGTCAGTCCATCTTTCCATATTGATAGGGAATATACTTCGGGAGTTTGGCTCGGTTAAGACCACTGGTCTGGCTTCTCGGAGGACCTAAAGAACAAAAGGAATAAAGGACGCAGGCTAATTTCATACGTACATGCGCAGTCTTGAACCCATCACTAGCATCATAATCTGAGGCGCCACCTGCAGAGAATATCTTGCCAATGTCATACATGACGTTGATACCGCACATAGCATCATCCGTATCACGTGTTGCTGCTTGCACTACTGAGCCTGTACCGCTTGTACCGTACCAATGTTGCGTGCGAGAAGGTCCAGCCTGGAAAACCGACTGGTTCTTCCAACCGTAAAGCCATCCGTGGTTGTCTTCCCTCCAGATGCCTGTTGATGAACATGTTAGTCCTCTGCACAAAGAAATACAGACTTCTCACAAGCATCAAAAATGTACCTTCATGGTCATCGGTGAGCATTGGAGTGACATCAGCTCCATCAAGAAGCGTCCAAGCATTTGTTGACGGGTCGTATATTTCACCGTTTTTGCCTACAGCATTTGAGGTCAGTATCCAGACTATCTTCGTAGTCTAGGTGAGGTGTAGGTGCAATAAACGGGGCACATTGTCTCACTTACCACCCAGGCCACCAGAGTATGAACCACCAATGGTGAAGATCTTGCCGTTTGATAAAGTTGTTGAAGACTGGTAACCTCGGGCAACATTCATATCCGGTCCTCGGGTAAAATTATTCGTTTTGGGGTCATAAATGCTTGTCTTCTCGGCATCAGATCCACCTGTAATGACGAGTTTACCGTCTTGCAGCTGACTCATGCCTGGGCAGAACATATCATGGTTCGTGTTAGATACCTGCCTCTGCGAAATTGCTCCGGTCTTCCAATTGTAATCGGCAAACTGGGTGTAGCCGCCCGCACCTCCGAAGGTAGTGGCGCCCCACGATGAGAAAACCAGCATTCGGCTAGTGTCAGGTGCTTCCGGGACAACGTATGCGGCGACTGGAATGATGGGGAATCGAATGAGATCCGACCACTGCCCTGTAATTGCCGGGGTTTGTGCAACGTTCTTCTTGATGACATCGAATTGCTTGTTCATGGCCCAGATCAGCATAGCAGTGGTGTCCTTGATATGACAAACTTCGGCTGCACTGTCGTAGACTGCTTGAGTGCATCCACTAGTCGTGTCACATAATTTTGCACAATCGTTTGTTGTTGCAACATTGTCTACAATCTGAGCACTTGTGCCTTGGAGATCCGTGTCGGGGCAGACTGTATAAATGGCACTTCCGGTGTATGTGGTAGCTTCAGAAAGCGTCAGCATCTGTAAATAAGGGGTTGGAAGACTGCAAAATCTCATACTCGTGAAGGGGCATATGGCAATGATTTCGCCTTCGGCAAGCGTGTTGTTGATATATATGACATCAAATTGGGTATTGGAAACCCAGTTCAAGTCTGCCGTGGCGTCTTTAATATGGCAAACCTTGTTCGTGTTGTCATAAACTGCCTTGGTACATGTAGTCGTATCGCTGCACTATAGCTCGCCGAGTCAGCTACGTATACAGCAGATACTCCCTAGGCTTAGGAAGAGTCTTCTCTGGAAGGCATTTCTCACAAGCTTGGCACAGGCACTCGTAGAAGCAATGTTGTTTGTAATAACAGCACTTGTTCCTTGCAAGTCCGTAGCGGCACAAATTGCGTACTTGGCACCATCGCTGTCAGTATAGTAACTAACAGCGGAAGGGCAGGCAGTCAGAGCTGCTACAATAGACAAACTCAGTGCCAAAGCCAAGGCCTGGAAGGCCGTCCGCACTGACATGATTGGAAAAAGAGTTCGATCAGAAACGACTGGATTAGAGGATGGCAAAGCCTAACGAACAGGTAAACCTATCGCGAGTGATAGCAAGTAGAAATGGCAGGGAAACGAAATGAATTTGTCATAAAACCTGCTCAAGTGCAATTTAGATCATGGTCGACATCCTGCTATGTGTTTATAGACCAGCATGCCTTATTTTTGTATTATTTTATATTATTTATTTTACCGATAAGCGCCCTTCCTATATGCAGTCATCAATATAGTTGTGTGTTCTGGTCTTGGAAGCTGCGTCAGCACTCAAAGCGACTTCCTCTTCGGTTTAAACTGTCCGCTACACATACAGATCACTTGGACCGGAAAAGACATCCATTGGCTTGAATTCTATATCGGTCACCTAGATCTAGTTCATGTCCAAGATGTTGATCACTCGGAGTGTCCCGAATACCCTGGTTCCTTGCAGTTCCAGCTTATGGTGTTGCGGACTGTCGTGGGGGTTTGGTTTAAGCGAAAGACCCTCATTGGACGCGCGATCAGAAGTTGCATGTGCCGTGACAAGTTTCCCATCCCAGTTGTGCCGGAGATACTTGTATATGATCATAGCGCATAAAGCGGATCGTATGCGGGCTCGCTGCTATCGAAGTCAGTAGCATGTGGGAGAGCCAAGTTAGGTGTCCCGATACAAAGGATGCGCATCACGCCAAGGCAGCGCGGCGAACGATATATGAACGGTAGACTGAAGCGCGATTGCAGGCTCACGCCATCATTCTTTAGAGCACGCGACAGGGTTACATAGCAAGATGATCATCCGAGCCCTCGGGAACGATTGTTTGTTCTCACTGACCCGATACAAGCCAATCAGATGTGTTATAATGGTTGCAATAACCTCCCAACTTTTGCATCTAAAAGCCTTGGCATGCTGCAGCACTCTACGCGAATGTCAAACAATTTAATTAAACGACCATCACAGCTTTAGTAGCAAGCCAAGAATTCCTCTGCAGCTACGTTAGAAGTCAGAAACGGCTTACATGATCTCAATTCATTGGGTACAATGGAGTGTCAGACCCCCTTGCCATGTGTTCAAAGGCGTGGCCGTGCGTCCTACCACTGACTAGTGAAAAGCACATTGGCGTACTGCAGGAACAAGGATAAACAGGGAAGTAATAACGCCACGAGATCACGATTCCACGGTCTCTCTCACGATAAACGAAACATGAGAAGATAGGATATCGCTTAGCTCGGCATGCTCATGTAAACTCACTTCGCGAGCTTTGGCATGGTTAAGAGCAAGTTTTGTTGAGGTTTGATTGATGGGTAAAAATGCACGCAGACTTTTGGCTTAGTTAGACTAGCCTGTGTAGATATTTTTCGCTTGAGCTACAGTGTTACAATGCAGCCTTCGATTCCGTACTTTTGACCGTGCTTTGCAGGAGGAAACGAACCTGCTTGGCCATGATCGATTCAAAATCCTCTCCGTTTAGCAAGTCCATGTGACCTTTGTTCTTAACCAGAAGATATTCTTTAGGGCCTTGGAGGCTATCGAATAACACGCGCTGCTTCTTCGGAGGTGAAATGTAGTCGTCGCCGGCGGTCACTATCATCACCGGTGTTGGCGAGACTAGTGGCATCAAGTCGTAAGGCCTCCAAGTCGAGATACGATAGTGCGTTTGAACTGTCATCTCGTTCTTGTATCCTGGAAGCATAGCTGCAAGTCGTTCGGCGACACGGTACTCATAGGTGGTAGTTCCCGCACCCCATCCAAAGGGGCAAGCTCCGTCTTTCTGTACGACGGGTACATAGCGTGGATTTTCGCCAGCTATCTGAGCGGCGCGGTCTTGCATTGCATCCTCGTACAGAATCTGCAGATCGCGCTCAGGATACGAAAGATCCGTGAGCGGTGAAATGGCGATCACGCACTTTGCACGTCTATCCAGCGCTGCGGCATTGAGCGCAACGACGCCGTTGAATGAGAAGCCCCAGTACGCGATTTTAGCGGGATCGACTTCAGGATGACCTTGCAGAAAAGTTAAAGCATCGTGGAAGTCGGCCACGTGCTTCGCGGGGTCAATATCGCGGCTCGGCGTTCCTTCACTCTCACCCAGCGTGCGCGGGTCGTAGCACAAGGCTAGTATGCCGGCAGACTGGAAATACTCGGCTGCCTTTGGCACAAGTACCTCCTTCACGAAGCTGAACTAGACGTTAACATTATTAGTTGGACTAATACGTAGTGATGTCATCTGTGAAGGGACCCTACTCCTGGAAGTAGAATCACTGCGGGACCTGGAACCCGCTGTGTGGGTGAGTAAATGTTTCCTCGCAATGTCAATCCATCAAGAGTCCGGAACGACACTTTTTCAAACCGAGCCATGAAGATCGTTCGTGTTGCCCGACAGGGCATTCCAATGTCGTTCGTGTCGTGCTGACGGCGTCTCACAGGAAGCAGACACGTTACCGGGCTAGTTTAGTCAAAAACTATCTACTTTGGCGCTTCAGCTACGGTTATGGCGCAAACTTACTCGGTCTACCCCAGATTTCCTTCCAGCGCCTTCAGGGCACAACCGGTTTGATCGATATATTGCGGCACAACTATAATAGATATAAAGTAAATCTCTCTTATAGCCCTGATTCTAACGATCAAATCATATCAAGTTATAACAATACATGATTTTTTAATTCTAAATATATATATAAATTAATACGTAAGTTAAAATTAATAAGTTTTATAAAACTATCGACTTGAGACACATTATTGTTTCTCAATAGGGGCGGTATTTGAGCTGCAAGATGGCCCTTTCTTAAAAGTCTCATATAAGCTGGACCGAATACGTTTGCGCCCCTACTGTAAATGTACTGGAGGCTGAACTTGCGACATTGAGGTAAGCCACGGGTTGTCAGTGCACCACCCACATGCGAATTTAGTGGTGACGGCACTGCCATTTGTTCCAACCGAGAAACCTCAATCCTGCGCCTCGCTGCCGCGTCAAAAGGGTTGCAATGTGGCGCACACAGGCATGAATTCTTCGCGCTGTTGCATGTGGTAGTCTTCAGCAATAACGATGATTACTTTTAGTTCGTCTCCTTAAGCTTGTGGAACAGTTTGAACAAGGATCAATCATCAAAATTCAAGGCTGGAAATGCTTAGCATGAACTGACACGAGTACACCTCAAATTGGACACGATTGATCAGGCTTGAACTATGTTTATAATTCCCATACCGATGAATCCAACAAATTTACAGTCCCTCAACCGCCCCCGCCCCCCAAAAGAATTAAAATAAAATAAAAACAAAACCCCCACGCAGTGCGCCTCGCGAATCACCATTGAACAATCAGGTCATTACCAACAACCAGGCAAGGCATTTTCACCCAAATATTGTTCGCAGCTCAGAATCCTCCATGACATCAATCCAATGGGTGTAACTCGTTCCTGGTGTATCGCTATCATATCCAGCCCAGATTGCTTTGACTAGATCTTTAGCTACAAGGACCGGTGCTGGTGGAAGGCTGTGCTCAAGTGCGCTGAGCCGTTCCATTACGAAACGACGAGCATGTGTCACTTCAATTGAGAGTCTGGTGATGGTGACTTGAGCCTCCAATGTATCGCTGCCGATGACAGAAGGCACCAGGGGGTTGACCGTGCTCGGATTGCCTGAATTGTCGATAGATCCCGCTCTCATTGACTGACTTGCTCGCCGATTATGCATCAGAGTTTCTGCGTCAAACCTCAATCCAGTGCTAGCTGACAGATATAACAGTGGCTGAATACACCGTGTCCCTGAGCTTACTGGCACCTTTTTTAATGTGTTGACCAAACGAAGGCTCAGCGGTACAATCCAGTTATCCCAAGGCACAAACCCAGCAGAGCCTGTGGCATGTTCGGGTAACCTCCTGGAGACCAGGTCTGGAAAAGTCTGATATAGCTGTACGAGTGAAGCAAGCCGGTACCCTTCGGCGACATCTATGAAATGTGATGCCGGAGACATCCTATCGCCGGTTTCTGAAATCTCATGTGGCTGGTAATGTTCGAGTCCCAGGAGCTCTTCTTCTATGTCCTGGGCTTCTTTGATACCTCTCAATGCTGTTTCCAGATTGCGCATCGTCGCAATTGAGCCTTGCCTCAGGTTACGCCGGAACCTTCTGCATAATCGGACTGCTTGAGTGAATAGTCTTTGCGCCGTGGCAGATACACCTGTCCAAGGATGTGGGACAATTGGCCGCGTCAACCCCTTGTTCTCCGGTTCTTTTAGTTTAGGAACTCCCAGATCATCTTTCTCATCCGAAATGACAGCTATCAACATATTCCAATAAATGATGCTGTTGTTGAAAAATGATAAAGTTTGCCGATCTGCCGCCGACAAGTTTCTTGAGTCTCTGTTTAGTCGCTTTAGCATCGTCTTCGCCTCTCTCAAGAACCGGCTTCCAATCTCCTTCGTGTCGATCCAACAAGCTGCAGTGCCGATGCAGCACAAAGATAGCAGAACCTCGGTCGGAAATGAGCCATCAGGTTGATCTTGAGTCGATTGCAGCTCCTTCTGTATGGCGTTGACAGCACTTCTCAGATATGATACGGCAATTTGCTTCACTATAGTATTAACAGTTAGTGCTTCTTTCTTCGAGATTTCCGAGGGTCTGTGGGATATTGCGAAAAGAATTACAAAGATCTTAATGGTCCTGGAAGGTGGCATGTGTTCCGTAGACGTGCTAGAAGGGGCAACATATATTTCCAAACTTGCTTACTAGCTGGCATCTGGCTGCTGAGACAGGATGCACTCATAGCCTGGAGGCAATTCATAACCGCTTCGGAACGAGTCCAGGTCTCATAGGCCAGCTTACGATTCAAGTTGGCCTCAGAATCAAAACTGGACCACATCGAGCAGACATTCCGAAACCATTCCTCCACGAGTAAAGATGAACGATCGTTGACTGCACGAGGTATCTGGGAAAAGATGGGCTGGTATTGAGGGCTGAACACCGGACTGCCCTGCCAGAGTGGGAATGCGGTTGTGTCTCCAGGACTGCCGAAAAGGCACAAGGATTGGTCAACAAAATGGTCATTGTTCTTTGAGTTGTCCGCCTGGATAAACTCATTAGGTTGTTGGGAGACGTCTTGCCATATATCTTGAAGCAGGTCCTCGATTCCGTAATCATATTCGGGTAGGATTAAATTGTCCAGAGTTGGCGACGCTATTCCATCGGCGCCCTCCAATAGTATGTCAGTACAAACGTCTGATCCCAGTTGGTCAGTGGATACAGAATGCGACGAAACAGGCGTAAGTTGATCTGTGGGCTCCGTCTGGTGAGTTTCCGCGGTTTGAGCTTGCTTCGAGACTTCGTCATTCGTCGGGATGGCTTTGGAAGTGGCACTGACGAGATCTTTGAGATTCGATGGCCCTTTGGATTTGCCGCTCAAACTCTTCTCGTGCTTTGTTGACCACTTGAATGACTGAGTATAACCGGGACACTTTCGGTTGTTTTTGACGCACATCAGACATTCCGGTTTGGTCTCATCACATTTGAGCTAGGATGCGATGTTAGAGCATGGGTAGGATTCGGGAGACCTGGCCACGTACACGCCTGGACTTGCAATGTGGGCATCCATTGCGTGACCTCGTCTTGATCTTCGCGCTGGGCCTCACGTGGTCCTGACCGTTCTGTCGTTGAGTGCTGCCCGCCATGGCATGAGGTTGTGACATTTCGTAGGACCAGCAATGGCTCCACCCGGACACCATCCAATTGGGGAATAATTAGCCAGTAGCACTAAAGGACAAGCCTGAACGCGATCGACTGCCAGATTCGTATCATGGCAGGACTCATACCAAACAGAGTCTTGCTCGAATGCTCGAGCTCCAAGAAACATGCGGCAGAGGGGTTCGGTAGGGTAAATATTTCTTGTTTAATAAGGTTGCCGCGATGCGATAAGCCGTTTGGGAGCTGGGCCAGTCGCGACGTGTACGGCTCCCACACGCCGTGCCCGACCGACGATGTCTGACTGTCCAGATGGCGCATCACTAGATCCAACTCTCCGAGTTGGCCGGACAAGGGCCTAGGTTAGTCTAATGTATGTATCTGATGGTCTGCGTTGCTTGTCCAGCACGGGCATCCAACCAGACTTGGTGGGTGTCAAATGGGAGTGCTACTGCACAATTGCACCCCACGATTCAGACGCTCATGCCAAGCGCTGCCAGCCCAGCCGCATCTGCTACGTACGGAGGGCTTGGTAGGTCACCTTTGCCCCTCCCGAAATGCGGGGAAGTATCTTACACTGCACCGTGTACACATTCTAGTCTGTCATGATGCATCTCAAGCTATCTCTCGCTATCTACAGGCGTTACTCCTCAGTCTATCGTGGTTGCCCAGAAAGGCAATGCCATGCCGCGAGGACCAATATCGCCGCCATGAGCTCAGGCAATGCGATAACAAACAAGGTAGAGGATAATTGTGCTCATGTCTGCATACAACTAGTGTCGATATATGTGTATACTGCTGTTATAGTCGCTCGTGCCGGGTCCTACCACGTACATGAACCATCTTATCAGCTCTACATACTAGTCTGCCTTGCTATCGATAGAAGACAGCGCACAATGCTGCTCCCTAGTTCTCTTCTGCAGAAGCCTTTGCTGCTGCCAGCATGCTTACTTTTCTTGGCAACTATTACTGTTGCTCTGTATACACTATTGCGACGAAAGCAGCAAAAGCTGAACTATACACCACCCGCTTCGCCAACTCCTGAAAAACGATCAATAACGAAACATAAAAGGATCAACCCGCCACGCCAACCCGGCCAGTGGATCCCTAGTGATTTCAAGTTCCCAACCCCGTCTCCATATCCAGAATGGTACCTCGGTTCCACCAAACCGCTGCCGTATCGCGCATTCAGATACGGCCCAAAGTACAACGTTACGATGGGCCTGCGGTCCATACCTTACGACGATTGGATTCAGCTGGACAACCACTATCCCAAATACCACGCAGACAAGGCTGAACGCATTCGAGAAAGAGGTAGCAAATGTTTTGCAACCGCACCAGAGGCACACCCAGCGGCCATGGAGTTCCTGCAGGAACTAATTGACTATTTGCCGGCACGTTATCCCACAATGTTTAAACGCACAGAGAACGGCATTGAAAACTTGTGGTCCGGAGAATTTTTCAACATCACGGAGCGACCCTTGAAGGAGGATCCAATGTGCATCGCGGGTCGACTGGTTCAAGACGACCTTGCGCTAATGATAGAAAGGCCCGACGGCGAATACTACCTTCTTGCTGGATGTATTCTTTTAGCAGGATTCTGGAGATTGGAAGACAAGTTTGGCATGCGAATGTCGGATATCCACACCTCGGGCGATGTTCCCCAGTTCAAGGAGAAACTTGAATCTAGCATGATGAAGTTCTTTTCCAGGCTGCACTGCGAGGAGCTTTACGCTCGCAACAACTACTTCATCCAAGTGGATGACTCGCTTGCGTGGTCTTGGAGTATTGGCGGCGAAGATTCTCCTGGGCTGAGCTGGCAAACCGCAGAGAAGAACCGCGCCATTGAACATCATTGGTTCCGATCTGAACGACAATCTCTAAGAAGACTTCCAAAGACAGGGGCGATTGTGTTCACCGTCAGAACGTACTTTCATCCTATCACTGAGATTGCCCAGGAAGACTACGTGCCTGGCCGACTTGCGAGTGCCATACGCAGCTGGGGAGATGATGTTAGTCGGTACAAGGGCAAGGAAAGATATGAAGAGGTTTTGTTGGAATACCTGGATAAGGAACATGAGAAGCAAGTCGAAAGAGGGCTGAATTTGGATCATGAGAACGAAACTCATCAATACCCTTGGTGAATGCGAGTTCTTTTAGAATATGTCATTTTAGAATTCCCATAGCAGCTTCACCGCTTTTATAAATTCAATTTTTGATCGGTTTAAGACAGAACTTCTCTATCCAAAACTACTAGATCACCACCATGTTCTCAATGTGATATTTCCAGATGCATTGCACTGAATTCTATAAACTATCATCATAATCATATAGATTTGTCGTACCTCTGCTGGGACTATTGGGTATTCTATATGTCTTTAGGCCATCGATGTTTATCATGCTCAAGCGTGTACAATCGACTTTAGAAGTCGTTGTGCTTCCTTTGTCCACAGTAGAAGGCCAGTCCGTAGTCTGACGTAGTGAATGTTATTGTTGAGCCTGCCGGAAAGAAGAAGACATCGCCCTTTCCTGCCACCACTGATTGCCCCGTCGCATCGGAGATAGTCATATCGCCTTCCAGAAATATCTTCATTTCATCGTATTTGTAGGTATACACCAATGGCTCCCCCTTTTCCAGCCGGTAGAATCCGGCAGAAACGGGCTTCTCAGGGTTGACCTTGTCCGATGAGAACACATCTCCGAGATAAGCATTGTCGCCGGCTAGCAAAGGGATCTTGAAATCTGTCTGGGCTTTAGGATGGTGTGCAAAAGCGACAGCTGCGGTAGCCATTGTTGGTGGGAGAGCTGAGACCGAAGTTTCAACACTTTAGGGAAGGCTTTGGTGATTGAATTTCAAGCAGTTCGAAAATATAAAGTAGACTCAGTATTACTGGCATTTTCTTGATGTTTCATGGTCCTCGCTCTGTCTTTCATACTTTGCCACCCCCCCCCCCCCCCCCCCCCCCCAAAAAAAAAAAATCTCCTCACTACCTTTTCCAATACCAAGCCATCATATTGCCTTATTTGGCACTACTATACGTCGCAACTGTGTTGTATGCCACCGTAATGCAACTGGCACTCCAATATACGAGTCGAAGGTATTTGATCCAAAAAGAGCCTAGTCTAGTGCACCCTCTACTTCTACCGGGTACTTTTACCTGAAAGGGATTAGTATGAGCTTTGTTCTTATCTCGACGCCAAGCCTTCCCTGCGGCAGTTGTACAGTGAATATGCACGTTGGCCCAGTTTTGAGTTCCAGCTCCATAACTTCTAACGAATGCTTATCTTGTCCGTTTGTTGCTAGGGCATCAGCCATGAACCTGACAAGCAGAGAGTTGGAGACGCTCATCTCGCTTCTATGTTCCGCCATGGGCTCGGCGAACCCTCCAAACTTCGGTGATCAGTTGTTGAGGTTGCACGGGTCTCAGTGCTATCACCTGAGCCTGATAGGTTGTACGACAGGCACATAAGCTTGTTCTGGCCAAAGCACGGATACAAATAGAAGTTCCATGTGATAAGAGTACCGAGTGAGATAGTGTGCGCAATCAAGCCTTTTATCATGTCGCTATCTCGCTGCTTGGTGTTTCCACATAGGCTTGATTTCTGCATCACTGCATCACGTATGATACAACAGATTTACCATAGTTTGTGACAATGGCTTCTCTTAAGAAAACCACGTCGCAACCTACGAAGCCGTCATCAGACATTAAAGATGGGCAGGTTTTGGAACCCTCGTCAGGCGAAAGCAATGATTTGTACAATCTTACTGCCCTTGGCTACAAGCCTGAGTTGCAACGCAATCGGTCAATGTTCACCTTACTGTTCCAGTCATTAGCTATTGCAGCGGTAGGCACTTTGAACAATAATTATGATAGCTTCACAAGTCTCTGATTATTTTTGGTAGATTCCTTACGGATTCGGAGGGCCTCTCATCAGCGCAATATACGGTGGTGGTGAGTTTAAGCTTCGAGCATATCTTCTAATAGAAGTTCTGATAGTCTATCTTAGGTCAACTGGCCATGTTTCTTGGTTGGATCATGGTACTAATAGTCGACGAATGTATTGCAATCTCACTTGGTGAGCTTGCCTCGAGATATCCAACTTCTGCAGGTAAGGCCCTCCACTTTGCCTCAGTTCCTGGCTTACCATCCCAGGGCCGTACTATTGGTCATTTCAAGTCGCAGGTCCTCGATACCGGACTTTGCTCTCGTTCATCACCGGATGGACTTGGCTTGTGGGTAATTGGACAATTACACTCTCTGTGAACTTTGGTTTTGCTTCTCTGCTAGCTGCAGCAGTGGCAATCTATTACCCAGACTACGAGTGGCAACCTTACCAACTCCTTCTGATCTTCTATGCACTTTGTCTGATTACATTCGTGATCGTGGCATTTGGAAACAAGTTCTTGCCCACAGTGGACACATTCTGTGCTGCATTCACCGCCCTCACCATATTTATCACCCTAATTTGTCTCTCAACAAAAGCAGAAGCAGGTCGCAACTCACCAGGAGATACATTAGTAAGCTCGATATTTATGAACTGGGTTTATATAGTTGACTCTGTCTAGGGATACTACGATTCCACCATATCTGGCTGGGGCAGCTTTTCATTTTTGATTGGGACCCTCCCATCTGCATACACGTATGTCATCACAAATACTTTCCACATTTGTTGGTTGGTCTGACCACCGTATTAAGATTCTCTGCTCTTGGCATGATATCATCAATGGCTGAAGAATGTGGTGATGCGACCACCAAGCTTCCCAAAGCGATGGCATTATGTGTGCCAGTTGGCGGAATAGCAGGTCTCTTCTTCGTGAGTTTGTTCGACAAGGCATGTGGTCAATGATAGCTGAAACCTTGTAGGTAATTCCGATATGTGCAACTATGCCTGCTCTTAGCGATATCCTCACGGCGCCCCTTGGACAAGCTCTTCCATACATATTTCTTCGAGTCATGGGATCAGCCAGTGGTGCTCTAGCATTGACTGTCCTGGTGCTCATTATCACTCTCTTCTGCTCGATTTCGATCACCGTAGCTGCCTCAAGGACAACGTGGGCCTTTGCTCGCGACCGTGCGATTCCCCTTTCCAGAGTTTGGTCGAAGATTGACGAGCGACACGGGACCCCCATCTGGGCACTCGTGCTCACAACTCTTGTTCAGATGCTGCTTGGTCTAATCTACCTTGGAAACTCGTCTGCATTCAATGCATTTGTATCAGTTGGTGTCATTGCACTTGCGATATCATACGGTATTCCAATTGCATTATCAATGCTGAAATGGCGTCGTGGTGTCAATTCTGCGAAATGGTCTCCGGGAAACACTATCGGCTGGACTGTTAACATCATAGCTGTGAGCTGGATTGCATTCGAGTTAATCCTTTTCTCGATGCCCACCGCGATTCCAGTAACCGAAACTACCATGAACTATGCTTCGGTCGTCTGGGTCGGCTTCATGGCAATTTCCGCGGTTTGGTATATCGTTCATGCACGACACGGTAAGTGCTCTGTTACCTCGTTGAACGGACCTCAACTCTCTTTATCTCTCAGCTGACTTTTGTGGTCACAGTATACGAAGGTCCCCCAGAATCAGATGGTCTCACTATAAGCTCGTGAACTGTAATTTTCGAGTCGTCTTGAACATGACTCCTGTTAGTATGTGGAGGTCAAGCCTGAACAGGAATTATTCTAGTAAGGCCAACGAAAATTTATGATGAACCACTGCTATACCGATGCTGCCGTCATACTAGTACGGCTCAGTTTATATCATAGCACGCGCTGATTATCGACACTGAAAACCAAATGGGATATAGATAATATTGACTCAATCGCTGGAAGCAACCCTCATCCAATCTCCGGGTTTGTCCTAATCGTTGTGTCCAATATCAGCAATGCAGTGATCACCGTCATGATCTCCCAACGGCTACCCAAAACGCTATTTGCCCCCGTGCCTACGAAAGCAAATTTCCAATCATCTCCCACAAGAAGCCCGCTGCCACTGGAGAATACGGCGACAATTTCTGCACCATTATTTGTCTTCGGCCATGCACCACGCGGTCCACGTATCTGATCGGTGAAGGCATCTTTTGTAATGCGGACCAGTTTCCAACCTAGTGACTGCCCACCCAGTAAGCCCCTGATGTTGTCGTTATTGCTTGAGCGCCACTCGAAGTCTTCTCTTTCTCTGCGGACCTCGGTCGCCACGGAAAATTTCAGAACTGGTCGTTTCTGAGCGCGCCAGTCGTTGCCCGCTGAAACGATTTCGAAACCCACATCAGGCTCGGCGTCGCTTGGCGGCAATCTAACTTTCCAGGTCCGTGGTGTACCTTCAAGCGACCGGAATGAGGCAAGTGTAGGGTCGTTCAGTGAAATACCATCGTGCAGAATTACATCTGGCTTGTTGCCGCTGCGTGGCTCTCTCCTGCTGATAGCGAAGATGGGTTGATGACGGTATTCTCCAAGAATCCATTTGATTGAGGATCCCGTACTGTTTGGCGAAATTGAGAACTTTTTTGGGAACGCGCAGCCTGAACGATCGAGATGACGAAATGCTGTTTTGATCGCAACGGCATCTATGTAGGATGGAGGAAGTCCAGGTTCCATATCGGAATGAAGAGCATGACTAGCAGCTGGTGTTGACATCGCCCTTAGATGCAGTGATTGGGGGTGATTTTGTGTGTATTGTTACAGAGCATTGAGGAACTTTTCACATGGACGATCCACCTTCGTAAATCGTAGCTTGCGTATAATGTAAATTCATGGCTCTAGAAAGATGGACAAGAATATGGTATCTTTACTTATTCAGATGAAGAGATGACCCAGGGTTATGGTTCTCCCATTTTACCCCAGATGCCTGGTGGAGATAGGGACAAGCCACGTGGAGTGGCCTTGACTTGGCGCATTGAGCGCAACCCGGCTAAAACTTTAGTGCTCATATTTTGTTGTCATTCATTATCAGCCAAGAACGGTCTCCTTGCCGTATCCAATGCCAAACCCGCTGATCTCATGGTCTCGAACAGGTTGAATCCCCTTTGCCTGGGTTTGTCGGCCCCTGATTGTGCCGACGGCAGCCCTTTGAATGTTTGAGAATGAGGAACATGCTCAAGGCCGCACGTGGCTCTACCCACAAACCACTAAATCGCCCCTGTGCCAAGTGCGGCTTGTGATTGCGTCTCTGAAAAGCAGACGTTGCTTGGATGGTCCCAACAAGGCCCTCAACAACTTGAACTCAGAGTTGTAGTGACCACCGGCCATTAAACATCCAGACCCGGAAGGTCAATTTTACGACAATTTCTCCTTCAAGGGCTTTACAGTGAAGACGAAGCACGTAAGCCGTGACAATAGCTGGAGAGAGGAATCAGTACTCACCCTGTGAACTCTTTCGGTGCTTCCCCTGGATTGGCGTGTTCAACGGGTGGGATTGTTTCTCAGCGCAGTGCTAGATGATCCTTCCCAAAGTCGACTGACCGTGACCATGCCCATTTCTATTATTACTATGTCTCAATAAAAGTTAGCCACAAGTACTAGTGTGACGGTGAAGATTCATTCTTATCTCATCCTAATGCACACCTCGTTCTGAAGCCGGCTCCAAAACTAAGGAAGTACGGTTCTCGCCTCCCTGTCAATTAGTCTAGCTGCACAACTTCACCCTCACCAGTCACTAAGAAGTTTATTGTCTGTCCCTTCCAGCCATCGTGTCGGATTGAACTCATCTGCATCGAAACTGTACACAGATTTATCTCGAATAACTACCCAGGCAATTGCACTGGGCCTAGCCTATGTTGAAGCACTGTGGTTATAGTCCCTGGAAGTTCCGCAATTGAGGACCTGCGGTCACAAATTTGTGACCATCGTCGAACCACCTTCGGGGACAACTAGGGGTCGTGTCAGCGCCGTCGAAAATATCGCACGTTTCTCGTGAGACGATGCAGGCATTATCATTTAACCTTTTTTCTTTCCTTTTAGATAATAATTATTTCGGATAAATTGGTCATACATCTGCTGTCGAAGCTGGCCCTGGCTAAGCCAGCATAACCACAGACATGGCCCCTACGACTTGTCACTTCGATAACGTGGTATTATATCGGAGATGGGGAAAGTTACTGAAATTGAGCCCTCGAGACGAAGTTCAAGTACATGTCATGGATTTAGATCTGCCCTCCTATGTACTGCTTGTAGTAGTAATAATACCAGGCAACTGTTCGGAAATCTTATACCCGTTTGTCGCCAAGCTACACAACATCTTTTTGTATTGTGTTCTTTGGCAAGAAAGTGTGACATAACCTTTTTTATCATGCCACTTTGAGTTGTTATCTGCTATCATACCCCTCCAGAGGCATTTCGAAGGACATGGCCGGTGCCCAGTCGTCAATAAATATGTCCGATAACCACGGCTCGTAAGCAAGATTCATCATGAAATCATCCATCGGAATTTCCTCCACCAGTGTGGCGGGTGCATCTCCGTTGTCAGCGTCCGCAGACTTGCTCAGATGTGCAGGCATTTCGGCCTGGAGTAGAGCCTTGATGGCCCGCCACAGATATTTGGCTTTGAAGAAAAGACCGCTCCGTGGGCCATCCGCATCCACCATTCCATTGACATCCACAATGCCTTCGATCTGTCGACTTGTAGAGTCCAAAATTCCGAAAATATCAGCGCGGCTTCTCACTTCCTCAAGATCCCACCCAGCTTCTTCTAAGGTTGACAGTTTGAAAAGCACGACGATGCTGTGAAGAAATTGTGTGAAGTTGTCAACATGAGTGCCAATCGCGTCAACTAGAGGCAACTCAGTGAAGGCGCACAGCCAACCTTCAACAGCTGTTAGGCAAGAGTCAAGATCTTTCAACCTCTGCATATCGGCTGTTGCCATCTTGTTGATTGGCTTCCGTAACACGTACTCTCGTATTGAGAGTTCAGAGTTGTAGATATATAGTTGAACAGTATCTGACGATGATCAGCGGCCATGTTCTCGGTGTTACGTCTTCAGGATTGGATGCAGTGGCTCGAGGAGTAGACCGAGTAAGTAGGGGATGTCATGGACTTACTTAATGAGCGCGCCTCTACCGGTAGGCTCTGCTGTATATCGTTGAGTTGTCTTAGCAAGGCCGTAGTCAACATAGGAGATCTCCGTACAGCATCCGTGGTCAACCTCGTGTCGTCATGGCTATCTGAAAGCAACTCGTTGGTGATGAAATGACATTTTATTTGCGCAGCTAAGACGGCATCTAGTCGGGTTTCATTCTGAGCCCCATCGCCGGAGATGATGCGTAAGCAGGAATCGAGGTAAGGGCTCCATTTCAAAGGCTCTGTCTTTCGATAGGCGGCCCATGTACTGGAGCTTCGAGGTCAGTGATGATCTGAAATATCAGTTCCAAACTTACGCAGATGTCAAATGAAACACGGCTAACATGGTGCGTCGCTCTTCCAACGAACGGCGCTTAGGTTGCTGATCCTTAGTCTGAGGTGGTTTAGAAACCCTTTCATATTTGGCAGGAACCTTTTCGCGGTTTTCTGTTAGCTCAGACCTTCATGAAAACCAGTGCTACATATAGATGTAATGAAACATCCGTACTACTCATATCACAAGTTAAAACATTATTTCAGAGAAATACTTACTTCTGTGTGTAAGCCTAATTCAAGTGAGAGCGAGACAGCCAGCTGAGCGAGCATGGTCATGAACGGTTTCTCTTTCTTGAAATAGTGAGACCAAGAAGCAAAGCAAATTAGTCCAAGCAATAAATCCAGATCTGCGAAGTGCTGCACAACAATTCGTTGCGAGATGATCTTCCATATCGTCTCCTCTATCGCAAACTGCTGTGAGACTATCACTAGTTATAGCATATAGGTCAGCTTTGCAATCTTTTCATCTTGTATAGAACACCGTCACAGAAAAGTGCTGATTTTCTGTAGGAATTTATTCTACAGGGAGGAAAACCCTTTAGGAAAGCCCCTCCCAAAAAGGTACGATATCGACTACGCCGAACCATGGAGGGACGGATTTCAACATTGATTTGGTGCTTACTTGTTGTCAGAGCCATGATGTTCAGCCACAGGAAAGGTTTCGCACGACGGAGCTCGCTTGCGTTTAGGGAACTAGGAATGTGTACGAAAGGGAACATTGGTAGAAACGCTCGACGAAAGGTGGCTAATTGCTCATTCGATTTGAGATCCGGTATATGATGAATTGCGACATCTTCTTGGACAGGTGACCTCGTTGTGGATGGGCCTATGGGCCTCAACAGTTGCACATAATTGTTCTCGATGTCAACCACCACTTCCGGCTGATAATCGGTAACTGTGACCGGTCCAATACTTGACGGCGTGCTTTCCACAGTTGATGGATGTGACGACTGGGAATGGGTGGCTTGTTTTTCGACTTGGGTACGTAGTAGTGATACCAAGTCGTCGAGCTTATCCTCCAACCTCGAAGGCGTGGTCAAAGGTTTTGGTGTTGGTAGTTGGTGATGAGAACCTTCAGCTTTACGCTTGCGGCTGGTGGTTCCGGGTTCACACCGCTTACCAAGCCGGGAACACCTGTGATCAAAATTCAGCCATGTTCAACCTGTATGTTACATGATCATTATCTCCGGTAAATGATCAAGGGCACTCGTCCCGTCAAGTCGTACAGGGTCCAAGCTTGGTGACTATACGCAAGTGGATACAAGTACACTAACTTGGTGATACCATGTGCGCACCACTCCCATGCCTTACTTTGTCATTCAGCCCCAACTTGCATTGTTCGAACTGCGTGACCTTTCAGTCTCTTTGCACTTCAAAAGAGTGACAGGAATCTTGAGGTACCATAGCGGGATAAATACCATTGAGCTTGCATGAAATAATACACGGCAGATACAAATATGAGGTTGACACGTACCGCTCGCAGGCCGTCCCTCCTGGTTGGTAAAAGCACTTGCATTTGGCATGGGCGCAGGCTTGACAGCTGTTACCGTAGGCCGCTGGAATGTAGGAGCTTTCGCGTTCTGTGCCTGGAGACATTATTTGCTGTATCATAGAACGTCATCAACGCTTTGAAAGTCGGATCCCGTGGGGTTTACTGAGCTGGGGCGCGGCGTGTAAACCCGAGCGCCACGATCCCTGGTTGGAGAAGTGATTGGCAATAGGTGTGGCGCAGGGCATCAGACGCACGAAGCCTCGGCTCGAGGCACTAAATCCGCCGGAGACTTTTCAAGCCCCTGGAATTCACCTCAATGCAACCCGCGGGTTTGACTGACTAAATCCTTGTGCTTCCGATCGCCAGTACGAGCTTGCGTGTTGTGGAATGTTTGTTGCAGGCGACCTGCCTTTATATTGTCTATATAAGCCAGAAAACTCATTCCGTATCTTAGCAATCATGTATCAGTCAAGAAGTCACTTTCCACGCATTCTTCTCAGCAGTTCGATAAATCAACAACCAAATCCCAGAAATCCAATACGCAAATACACTACAAAACCATGGGTAATTCAATCAGTCTAATGCGGCAGACATTCCCGGGGAAGCCGACCTTTACGGAGCATAATATCCCTGACCTGACAGATAAGGTATGCTTTCCGGTAGATTGTGTGTTTGGTGCGGTGCAAAATCTGATAAACTCGCTGTAGGTCATCGTTATTACTGGTTCGAATACAGGCATCGGTAAAGAGATAGCGACCTTGTGTTACTCGAAAAATGCAAGGGTATACATTTTCGCGCGCTCGGAGCAGAAGGCACGAGACGCAATATCTACTATCAAATCAAGACTGCCAAATTCACATGGAGAGTTGAATTTCATTCAACTGGATCTTGCGGATTTGCCAAGCATCAAACTCACTGCGGACAAGTTTCTTAGCCGCGAACAAGAGCTGCATGTTCTCTTCAACAATGCTGGCCTTGCATTTCCTGAAAACGGATCCAAATCGAAGCAGGGCTACGAAATACAGCTCGGCGTCAATTGTATCGGCACTTTTGCGCTCACCAAGTATCTGACATCGACTTTAATAGCGACTGCGAAATCATCACCTCCGAACACCGTTCGGATTGTTTGGGCTTCGTCTTCCGCTGCGCTAGCTATAAGCCCAAAGAACTATATGAGTAATGTTCTCAGCGCGGGAAAGAAGTCTCCATCCGATGCATACTTCATCAGTAAGCTCGGGAATTATCTTCAGGCAGCTGAGTTTGCTGCTCGCCACAAAACTGACGGAGTCGTATCCGTTTCCCTGAATCCGGGAAATCTTGACTCGGAACTTTGGCGGACTCAGGGGCCCATTATGTCTTGGGTGCTCAAGAAGTTCGTGCTCTATCCATCAGTATATGGTGCATACACGAACATCTTTGCCGGCTTCTCGCCGGAAGTTACACTTGACAAGTCTGGTTCCTTCAGTGAGTGTCTTCCCTCGTTCCACTGAAGTTGGATTTGCAAACGCTGACAGGTTGTAGTCGCCCCTTGGGGAAGATTTTGGAATGCCCCAAAGGATATGGTCAACGCTTCGAAACCAAAAGTCCTTGGTGGAACAGGCGCAGCAGAGCAATTCTGGGACTGGACGGACGAACAGACCGAGTTGCATCAGCCAAAGGCCTAGTGTATATTTGGCAGCGAATTGGTTGCCACAGAGTTTTTCAGAGCATTTTGAATAATAGTTGTGCGCTTATAATTTTCCCTGGATTGAGGTATGTCCATAGACGGATGATATGGAAGGGACTAATATGGCCAATATGGACTTACTGTTTAGTTACGTTACACCTCCGAAGAATGCAATATACTGTCGACTTTAATTGTATGGAGATATATAGAAATATGTTAATAAAGGCAAAATTGGAGTTTTTTCTTCTTCAAGAATATACCCAAGCAACAATCCTGCTATGGAGTAGCGCAATCATGCAACATATCCCTCCTAGCGCACTGCATGCGGCTGACGAACGTCCTGCAGCATGCATTGCATAACTTGGTTTTCACCATTAGAATGGACTTGGCTGCATATAATATGCACGTGGTAGCCAATACGAAAACCGAGAAAAAGGTAAGTTAAGGTGTTGCTGTGCTGCAGCTGAGGAGTAGCCTGGGGTACGACCACATGACGCATCTCAGTCGCACATTTAAGGAGCATATGTCCCCATCAACCTTGCCCAAGAAATGCATGCGCCCACCCATCTCGGTTGATGTTGTCGTTTAAGCCATGTCTTACTTGTTTCGTGCCGTATTCTTGAGAATTGCTGCTGTGTGTGTTGCTTCTGCTTCGACAGAGACAGTATTTAAAACAACGTGTGGAAGCTATGACTATGTAACCTATATCGCAACTACTTCGATGTATAATTATATGAGCTGACCTGCTTCACAGATAATTGTAGGCGGAGGTACAGCCGGCACTGCCCTTGCAACTCGACTAAGTCAAAGCCTACCAGATCATAGTATATTGCTTATTGAAGCCGGTCCATCTGCGCTAGAAGACCTCAAAATCAATGTTCCGGCCTTCCGAGGATCAACAGTCGGCGGTCCGTTGGATTGGAATTTGACCACTCTTCCACAAGCACAAGCAGGTAATCGTGTGTTTTCTGTCCCGCGTGGAAAGGTACTTGGGGGTAGTTCAGCCCTCAACTTCATGCTCTGGAATCGTGCCAGCATCGCTGAGTATGATGCATGGGGTGAAATTGGAAATCCAGGCTGGAACTGGGAGTCAGTCAGTGAAGCCATGGTTCGTTCCGAGAATTTCACCAATTTAAACCTCACTGAAGCTGGCTTCGATGTTCGAGGGCATGAAGGGCCAATCCATACCACTATCAGCCGATATACACCCGAGACGCAGCATCTATGGAGAGCCTCATTGGAAAGTCTGGGCATTCCACACAACATAGAATCTCTGAGTGGTCACCCACTTGGTGTCGCTTTTCATCCAGGCAGTATTGATACAATTGAATGGAAGCGATCTTATAGTGCAAACTCGTATCTTCCCAAGTCCAAATCGAATTTGGAGGTTTTGCTGAGCACGAGAGTGGCTCGCGTGGATCTCGCCAATTCTGACGGTAAAGATTTTGTTGCGACCGGGGTTACGCTCGAAGATGGAACGAAATTCCATGCGCAGCGGGAGGTTATCTTGTCGGCTGGTTCTTTACAAAGCCCAGGGTTGCTTGAGCTATCAGGTATAGGGCAAAAAGCAGTCCTTAAAAAAGCTGGTATCGAACAAGTCATCGATCTTGCAGGAGTTGGGGAGAACATGCAAGACCACATCAGGGTCCAGCTAGTATGGCAAGTGAAAGATGGATATGCTGGACTCGACAAGCTCATCTATAACTCAACATTCGCGACAGAGCAACTGACATTATGGGGAAACCGCGAGTTCTCTATATACGATGAGATACCTAACGGTATTGCCCTTCTGAACTACAACCAGGCATTTGGAAACGATACTGCCAACGCACTGCTGGCTGTCGCAACAGAGGAATATGGCAATTCCACGAACACCATTGACAAGAAGAAACTCGATCTGCTCGCCGATGATTCCGTTCCAAAGGTCGAGGTTGTTTTTCTAGATGGGTACTTAGGCACCGGATCTTACCCGACTCCAGACAACCCGGACTACGGAAATAATTACGTTACTATGGTATGCAAGTCACAGAAGCCCATGTTACCCTTCCTAGCTATTTTAATTGTTATTTCAGATGATCATTTAAATCCTAGCTTTGTGCTTTCCTACTTGAAATAGGTACTGACCGCTGATTGCCACTTAGGTTATTGCCGTTATGCATTCTCTCAGCCGCGGAAAGGTGCACATTACTTCCGCAAATGTTTCAGACACTCCAGATCTTGACCCAGGGTACCTCTCTAGCGAGCACGATGTTAAGACATTAATAAGTAGCGGGAAACTGGCAAGGAAGCTCGCCAATACCAAGCCCCTTGCTGATATCCTCGTTGAAGAGTACCAGCCTGGCAATGGCAAGGTAAATACTGATGATGAATGGAATGATTTTGTCAGGGATCAGTCCTTGTCGTTTTATCATTTGGCATCGACTTGTGCAATGCTCCCGAAAGAAGACGGCGGTGTCGTTGATTCGCAATTAAAAGTCTGGGGTACAAAAAATCTTCGGGTCGTTGATGCGAGTGTGATACCGGTCCTCATTGCATCTCATACACAGACTGCGGTTTATGGAATTGCGGAAAGAGCAGCAATACTCATCACTGAGAGTGCAATAATAGCGTGACGATGATTCGGTTGGAGGTCATAAGATCAGGAGACTATGTAGAGATATGCAACCTTACATATCTAACTTTCTACAAAGCGCTGGTGCCACATGCAAAGGAAAAATACAGCCACGGTATGGTTTGAGCATCCGTGGGTCATAAATATACGGAAAGTGATACTGAAGTGGTGCAGTATGGCTGCCCGCGGGATGGCGCCCCTACGGTGGCTTTGACTTGAGTTCTAGCAATGATCTTCGACCAATTATGGTCTTTATCATGACCATATAAGTCTGGTTCGTTGCGTCATCGATCGGCTCAAGGAGTTTTTCACGTTACGTTCTTTAATATGTATTTTTTATCAGACGCTCGCGAAGACTTCGAAGGGAACACTAAATATGTCCCCTATAATACACACTCCCTTTAGTTCTTATACTTGATATCTATGCTTTGGTACGATCATGATCATGGTGGCACAAGCTTGATCAGTCTGCGTGGTTGCCAACGTGCACTGCATAAGGCTTACTAGGCAGTCTCAGATCCCTAGTTTAATACACATGGAACTAGGGGCACATATATGCGCAGGATGAATACGTGCGTTTATTGATTTCATTCAAATTCACATGCTCCTATTATTTGATGCCGATATGCAACAGAGGATGAACTGATCTCCTAGGTAGCATTTGAGATAGCCAATAGCTTTGCGTAATCAGGAGTTCCCCATCCGGTTGCAGGGTCCCACCCCTATACCTTCTGTCAGCAGTCTAAAGAGGTGTGTTTGCCGGTGATAGTTTCACTTACAGAAATAGCAGAAAAGCCGGCACCCCCAGTAATCACACTTCGGCATCCAGTAGACTTGCCGGTAGCGATATCATTGAAACCAGAGCTGGCGTTTGAGTATAGCCAAGGGTTCAAGAAACCTAGCGGAGACTTGCCTCCAGCTAAGCGCTCACTGTTGATAAGTTGAATCACACCAGCGAAAATTGGTGAGGAACAGCTTGTTCCAGCAACCGTGGTCACGGCGCCGTTGACGACGATGCGAACATTGGTAGCTTGCGCCGCCACATCGGGATACGCACGGCCAGATGCATTGAAGTACGCAGACACACCGTCTTTGTTGCTCGATATCCATTTCTGGACGGCAGCTGTCTGGTAGCTTGGTTGGCCAAATACCTCGGAGAACCCTGCACCACCGCTTGTCCAAGCTTGTTCAGTCGCTGTACCCTGGGTACCACCAACCGACGTGATCCATGGACACGCCGCGGGAAATGCTGTCGTGAATTGAGTTTTGCCATTCAGCTTGCATGTGGTTCCTACGCTGGAATCGCCAGAAGATGCGAGTATTGAGACACCACGGGCGCCAAGCTGAGAGAACAAGTTGCATACGTTATCGGCGTAACTCAATGGTACAGTACTTTCATCATCACCATAAGAAATCGAGAGAGTATTAGGTAGATTCGTGTCATCGAGGCCCTGAAGGTATTCCAGGAACTCAAGGTAAGGCTCATTAGTGTTAGTACCACCGCCACTGATTGGAGGCCGGCCTCCCACGCTGTAGAAGACATTAGGAATTTGCTTGGTGATCGCACGAGCGTATTGCACGTCGAGGTTGGCCTCCACACCGACAGCACTACCAGGTTTGGCAGGACAAGTGCCACTGTTGATAAGCGCGCAAGTATACGTCTCCGCCGTATTACCAGTAATAGCATAATTGGTCAAGAAAGTTTTCAAGTCCGATTGACTGGGGTGTTGCTCAAGAAAGCCGGCGATCCCAATAAGACCGTTGCTCTGAGAGGCAGTGCTTGAGGCAAAGTTGTACAAGTTGGAAAGACATTCGGGCGTGACTCCACTAGTACAAGTTGCAGCTACTGCTTCAATCTCAAATGCGCTCTTTGGTTCGGAGGCCGGAGCGACCTCGCTAACGGTTGAACGGAAGCCGAAGAACGTCGTGGGCTGTATCATGCTCACGTGGCCATTGAGGCTCTCTGGAATGCTGTACGCGAGAGTCCTGACAACCTGCTCGCCCGTCTCGGCATTGGCTATGAAGTGTAAGCGCTTATTGTTACAAATTATGATACGCAGTTTCTGTATACGCCAGGAGCAATAAGGGACTCGACTCCAGGTCATATCTAATAGACTTACTATAAGTATTGTAGTCGGCTTCGAGGAGCTTTTCGGCCTGGCTAATAGTGGCTTTCACAATGATCGTGTTACCACGGGTCGAAATAGATGCGTTGTCTGCGAGACCCTGTTGACGAAGCCAGTCTAGTACAAGTGACTTCGATTCATCCTTGGGCGCAATCATGCTGTCGATGACATCCTGTGAGACATGCTTTCCGTACAGCGTATGACCAGGGGTTGCAATCTATATTAACCAGAAATAAGTGTTGTGGGGCTCTATTGGAATGTCTATTTTACGTACGTTTAGAGCAAGCTCGTGAAACTTATCCATGTCCTGATGTACGAGTTGAATACGCAGTTCCATTGTTGCGTCATCTTTGCTGAATTCATGGATATCCTGCTTAGCCCATCTGGTGGGTGCTGCGTTGATTGACTCAAAGATGTTGGTCTTTGCAAAAGAGCGTTTCTCAGCACCGCCAAAGTTGGATGTGGGGAAAGCAAAACTGCCCACAGCCGTAGCGGCCAAGGCAAGGAAAGACACATGCATGGCGTCGAGGGACGTGCTGTGATCGCTGTGTCGATGTTAAGGACTGAAACTGGGCAGTTGAAGAGATGTCGCCAAGTGAAGCCAAGTAGAACAAGCCTTTTAAGTAAGAAATGTGCTGCACCGTCACTTGGGGTGCAAAGATATTAGCCTGAGTATAGATCCAATCCCAATGCAACAATCACGGATTTAGTTAAAAAGACGAACTGAATATGGCATCTGGTATTAGACCTTGATATTGTATCACGGCACTTGACGATGCAAGCTTCCAAGACGGGGGTGCCAGTGATGTCGATTATGGGACTAGAGCTATGAAAGGAAGGTGCGGCATGCACCTGAATAACGTTAACACTCGAGTACGACGCCTGGGTCGCAGTTGTCTCGGACAATCATGTATGTTAATCCATGAATGAGCAGTTTTCTCCTTATTTTCGGTGATGGCGCGATCTGATAACAAGATGATACTGTCATCGTCGATCAGTTCAAGATAAGCGTCACCAAGGTCTCTGCGGGAGCAAAACTCGCTCGACTATAAGTTGGGCAGTAGTTGCACTCAACACGCTCAGTGTGCATTACACTGTTGACTCAATTCAGGAAGCAGAAATCAGAGGCAAACTATATGTTTTTGGTCAATAATCAATATTTACGGGTTTTCCAACGACATGCGGCCCTGCGACGAACAAACAATCTGCACCAGCACACGTGCCAAGCGCGTTTAGCGAGGGTTTTCCTGTCACAGGAGATACTTCTCATCCCAACTGATTGTGTCAATATAATGGAACGGCTTGCTAATCGTCATCAAAAAATCACAACAGCGTTATTTTTTTGTGATAATCATGTTCAAGGTACCACATTTTTGGGATAACTTCAAAATGCCAACTGGTCTAGCAACACTTCAAGACTACGACTCGACTGTACCTTATAGCAGATCATTTGCGTTTCTGTATTGTTATTAGCGTTTCTAATAATCCCCCACTCTTCGGGCGGCGATTTGTTCTCGCAGAACTCTGTTCGCAAAATCACCGTGTCGTCTTGCACACATGGCTCCTCGTCCAATTACTTCCATGGTAACTAAATGTTTACTCCGCAGGTAATTTATCATAAACCTAATAGGCGAGCCAGTTACGCATGATAGGTATTCCTCCCTGAGAAATTCTCAGGTTCGTAATAGGGCTTATCTTTAGACTCAAAGAGTAATGACTCCGGCAACCATTCGTGTCCCTTTTCACTTTACAGTGAACTGGCCTCCTTTTGTAGGTAATCCTTCTTTAGCCTAGTTATATGGGCATTTGCAGTAGTCAGGGTCGTTAAGAAGACTGTATCGAATATATCGCCTATATATGACGTATATAAACACACACTTTTAAGCTAGAATTGAAGCTATTCACATTCGGGCAAAGCGCTAAAATGGCTGCCCGCTTAAAATAATCCTTGATCATAATTTAAACGGTCTTCTTATTTATGATATCGTGTTATCGAGTATATTCTTTAGCCAAATGACTGGGGCATTGCCAATATGGATTTATTTATCATGTTTAGCATTACAAAATTGACTCGTATGCCCTCAATGATTTCATGGAAATCTTTATAGCATTGAAACAGACCAAATATGCCAAGTTTTATGGCACTGTATTACGAACAACCCATACAGCGAAATCAACAAACCGGCGACGGAGTTTATTAGTACTGATGTATCAATCTGAATATCTCGATGAGTAGTAAGATGTCTGTTTAGGAAATGTGTTGTTACTTTTGTAAAAAGAATGTTAATCCCTAGGGTCTACATCGAGTACTGAAATTGGTGATGCTTGGTTCATACCAACGTTATCGGTCTCGGCTATGAAAAGTTGGCCAATCTAGTCAGGTCCAGCGTTGGAAACGGCATTTATGAACTATCCACCTTGACCTGAGAGGTGTAAGGACATACTGGAATTCTGATACATAAGTATTCATAAACTTGACATGGGGTAGCAATGTTCTTGTTACTGGTTCTTTGACATCGCTGAATACGACCTTTCCACTAATTCCTACCAAGCGACAAGCATATTCTTGTGGATGTTTGTCAGGAGTCATCACCAGCCTACTGAGAAACTACGACTTCGATGCTTGTTGTCCAGGTTGACTTTGTCAGTTGAATTATGAATTCAGGGATAAAAACGCAACTGATTTTTACAACAAAGATAACATTAAAATCTGACGACGACGAAGTAGATTACTATAAAACCATGTGTATGGTACTTGAGCTGCTCTTATAATTGATCTTCAGCCTGAGTCATACTAGAGTAACTATAGAGTGCGTTGTATGATATGGTTGAATATCATGAGCGGGAGAAAAGTTTGCTCATACACGTAGATTATAGCCTCCACTTGACAACCACCAACCCATATATATATAGCTGGTCTGGGGTGTTTGTATTGTCACTATTGATTGGTGCCTGAAATCTACTTTCATGGCAGATCCGGCCCGAAAATAGTTTCCTCGACCGACTCACTGAGCGCGCAAGCACGTTTCCGGCCTTTACATCTAACCAAAATTAACCATATTCGTATGTGCTTATAGCATTTTAGCTTTCGTTACCACCAGGCGAAGAGCTCGTCACCTATAAGGGTCCGCTTCTGCCCTTTCGAGAACAACGCACATACACAACGTCGCCTGTGACGCATTTAAGACTATCATCACTATCCCAAGCCAGGAGCAGAAGAACCGTACAATGTGGAGGTGGCACCTGGGGAGTATTCCACAAGCGCCAATGCGCAAAGGCGATTGCAAGAAAACAAGGGTAAAGTCAACAATTTCCAACGGCGAGGCAACCGTCTTTACGTGGCATAGAAAGGGCTCGTTCAATGCTGCACGTTGGCGTTTGCGGAGCCCTTGAATATCATGAAGTCAACTAGACGTAGAGTTGCTCACGTTGAGCTCATGTCACGCCCTGCCAAGACCTCAACCAAGCCATCTGCCCATGACATGATGTGTTACTTCCTGGGTCATCGAACAATCGTGGCAGTAAGCAATATCCTGCCGAGAGGAAAGTGCCGCGACAAGAAGATCGTCGTGCGGGGTCATGCACCGACCGCATGGTAATTCTTGAACAAGTCTGCAACTGGTGCCAAGAGCATAGGCAATTTGTACAATGTAACCCCAAATGTTTATAATCTCCTGTCAGTAAGCGGCTCGACACGAATGCTGCAGACAGCTGCCGTCCCGACCACCAAAAAGGACCACCGCTCCCACGGTGAACATTTGTATACTCTTCCGCGTAGTCGCCCAGAGTCTCGCTTTTCTAGCCATGTCGTAGCATTGCAAGAGAGCACACGTTCAATATGAGTCTTAGGTTCCGCTTCCTCAGTATTTGCGTTACTCTCCTTACTCGACCAGGACTGATCGGGGCGCGAAATATTCACCACACAGCTCCGACGGTGGAAAAGAGCATATCCGGAAACTCTTTGTTCGAGTACGAAGTATCATCCTTGAAGGTGCAAAGCTCCGACGATGGTCCGATTCTGAGCAGCGGAGAATGCAAAGCATTTCCAGGGGATGCGGCCTGGCCGTCGGAACAGGAATGGGACGACTTGGACGCGCGCCTCAACGGGGCACTCATCCCGACCATTCCAATAGCGGCAGCATGTTATCGGAGTTGGGGTGTTTTTGACAAGGAGAAGTGCGACATTGTCACTACAAACTTCAGCAATCCTTACTTGCAGTGAGATTGTCCCAACTGACTAATATTGTATGAGAGATCTAGCACTGACGTCTCGCAGTGAAGCAGACCCTACTTCGGTTATGTGGCCCCTCTGGCAAGGGAGAAGCTGTTTGCCCTCTAATGACACCAATGGCACGTGTACTCTGGGAGGATATCCAGCATACGTGGTTAACGTTAGCAGCGTCGCTCAGATACAGCTAGCCTTGAACTTTGCCCGAGATTCAAATGTCCGACTAGTGATTAAAAACACCGGCCATGACTATCTAGGAAAGTCTGGGGGAGCCGGGTCGCTGAGCGTATGGACACATCATCTAAAAGACATTGAGTTCCTTCCCCAGTATGAGAGCGCTAGCTACAGCGGAAGTGCCCTCAAGGTGGGTGCTGGTGTCACAGTCCGTGAAGTATATGAAGCAGCCAATTCGCATGGCGTAACCGCGCTTGGAGGCATTTGCGAGGTTTGTTTCCCAGACCAGACAATTAAAACTATTCTCACACAATTGCAGAGCGTGGGATTTGCTGGCGGATACTTGGCCGGTGGTGGTCACACCCCGATGAGTGGATTGTATGGGATGGCTGCAGATCAAGTACTGGGCTTTGAAGTGGTGACCGCAGATGGGAAGTTTATCACTACGAACGAGCTCTCCAATCTAGACCTCTTCTGGGCTCTACGTGGCGGAGGAGGTAGCACTTTCGGGATCGTGACATCCGCTATTGTTAGGTAAGACTTCTCATATTTGGCTCAGAGTCATCGCGATATAACGCACGATAGTAGACTGACACTACAGTTCTAGAGTTCACCCCAAAGTCAACATCGTGACGTCCACTTTCAGCTTTGGAACTGGCCCAACTGTCAGCAACGAAACATTCTGGCTGGCATTGCGTGCATACTTCGAGGAGTTTATTCATTATACTGACGCAGGCACATATTCCTGGTTCATGGTGGCTTTGAACAACGGATCCTATCAGTTTACCATGACACCATTCTTTGCACCGAACCATACTATCGAATCCTTCAACCTTCTCGTGAAGCCATGGTTTGATCGCCTGGAGGAACAGGGCATCTCTGTGTCACCTAACACAACCTACCATGAAGACTACTTATCTGCGTATAACGCGAACTTCGCCATGCGAGACTCACCATCTGGGAAGGACAATGTGGGTCGATCTTCCAGCATGCCGGGGAATCGACTGTTTCCTCGAGGCAACTGGGAGGACCCCGTCAAGTTCAACGCCACCTTTGCCGCCATCCAACAGCTTGGGTCCAACCGTACTTTCTTCGGCTATCATCAGGCACCGCGCAACAGACTGGATGTTGACAACGCCGTCAGTTCGGCCTGGCGCGAGACGATCGCATTTCTTATCTCGAACGCTCCTGTCCCAGATAATGCGACGCCATCGGAACTGAAGGCAGCGCACGAAGAGGTCAACGCTGTGTTAGATCCGTGGCGACGAGTAGCACCGGCCAGCGAGGGTGGCGGGTCTTATCTGAACGAGGCACACGTCATGGAGCCGAACTGGCAGAAGGAGTTCTATGGCGAGCAGTACGCTGAACTACTCCGCTTGAAGCATAAGTGGGATCCAAAAGGCGTCTTCTATGCCACGACAGGAGTGGGGAGCGAAGAGTGGGAAGTGAGAACTGCCGACCAAGGTGTCCAAACACAGAATGGGAGACTATGTAAACTTTGACCATTACAAGTCGAGGAGGCAGTGCCGCTATTGTGAGTTGCCGACTCCTGACCCGTCATAGTCCGAACCACAGTCCTAAGCGTCACGTTTTTCGTACTTCGGGCTTGTTCTGGACTCTCACAGGAAGCAATTCTCTCTCGAATTTTTTCCTCCTTGACTATTAACTGGAGGTACTCCTTTCCAACTGACTACCAATGTGCATAAACTTGATATATTCTCAGTGAATTCGTCATGAAGCCTAAACGCCTAGCTGATCTATGGTATCTTTTGAAATCAATGCCCCACAACCGCAAACTCCTCATCTATCCTAAATGCATTGCAATCTTGCAGTGTTGCTCATTCGGACATGTCGTCTTCTCCATGCCTGATTCTAAGGCAATACTTTCTAGTAGTTCAAAATCTTTGCTTCCACCACACCGTCCTGATCATACATTCCCATTACTTTGTCATCAAATCTCAACAAACCAGGCCAATGACTGTCGCCGTCGCCAATCAGCTGTGGAGTGGTCGACCATTCTATTTTACCGTCCTTCAGCCCTTCGCTACTGATCACCGACTTGACTTGCGCCACGTTTGGCCAATCCTGAGTAGTCGTGCTCTCATCTGTCATGAACAGGACTGCTAGGCGATTGTTCCCCACGGCTGCGATTTGCGGACTGCCTGCCTGTTTCCCCGTCGCGGGAATGTATACCACCCCTCTGTCTCCATATGTTGCGCCATCGTCATATGATACCGCATACTCGATATTGAAGTCATGATAGCCTCTAGAAGTCGTCTCGAACACCATGACAAGTGCTTCCTTTTCGGTGGCTGCATCGTGGACCTTGACGATCCCTTGCATTCCGTCTCGTAGCGTCTCGGTTTCCTTGTGGACCTTGAGGTTGACTGGCGTACTCCAAGACTTGCCGTTTTCTGATATTGTCCTGAAAGTCTCCTGGTTATCCGTCGCAAGCTCTCTGCTATACGTCAACTGGATCTTGCCGTCGTTTCCGACCCTCATGAACGGCTCCCAGACACCCATGCCTCTTGAGCTCTCTGCAGAGAAATCCACAGCCTGGCTGGCGTACTCCCAGTTCTTGCCACCGTCGTCGCTAATGCAGACGGTGATGCGGAACCACGTATAGTCACCGTCATCATTCTTGTCGTGGTTCCTGAAAGCAGCCAGCACTGTAGGTGGGTTGGTTTGGCCAATCTCCAGCAGGAAAGTATTGTCCATATCAACATTGGAATCGCGATGTGCAATGGTACCAAATGGCTCGAAGCTTTTCCCGCCATCATTGGATCTTGTAACTTCTATGGTGCGGGCTGCGCCATCGAAGTGAGCGTATCCTAACAGCAACGAGCCATCTGAAAGCTGCGTAGCCCGAGCATATGCATTATTGGAGTCTTGAGCTGTTTCAATCTTGATAGGTGTAATTTTACTCAACGCTCCTGTTGAAACGTCTCGCGATGAAATTGGAATACTTCGACTTGAAGCCAAAGAGGGAAGATAGGACAAGAGCACCCCAAACGCTGTCTTGAGGACTGAATTCGAGAGCATGACTAATGATTATGATATTGTAAGTTGCGCTTAAAGATGCTGATGTGACGGCTGAATAAAGGGGGAAATGGCAATACTTATTATTACCTGATACTTGAAAGGATCCTTCGAAGTATTGATGCTGCGTAGGCATACTTCTGTAACTGCCACGGGAAACCAACGGACATAGCCCAGATTCTTGGCTATTGACGTTGCAACCACCATGTTGAGGAAGTGCTATGCTGGGCCAGCACCCTTGGACGAACTCTTGGCTAGCATTACTTCGCAGCCTGGCGAAATGCAGGGTCCGTTTAGACGGGGCTGCGCCGAAGTGATTGGGCATGTAGAACCTCCATAGTTGTTGCCCTGATGCGGATGAGACGAGCAGCTTGGCACGAAAATCTATTTTGCAACCCAAGGGCGATGCCTTGCTCGTGACGTTGGCATCCAGAGTCCATAGGTGTGCCAAGGTCAGCAGAGAGAAAGAAAGCATTGCGGCTCTGGAAGGACCATCGAGTCTAGTCTAACCTTAGGCAGAGGCGGGTAAGGCTAACCTTAGTAGATAGAGAAGAACCAGAATTGGCTGGAGGGTGAGCTAAAATTGACATCACACTTGATGATCTGACAGGCTTAGCCCTGCGGCACAGCGCTATCCATTCCTCTGGGAGAATCCACGTGGCGCTGTTGGTTCGCTAAACTGTTGTCTGAATCCTAATGTGCGACCCCCTGCATGATAGTCTATTAGCGTCCAACATGCCAGCGCACGCAAATATAGCCAAGCATCGACACTGTTGTTTGAAATGTCGTCACCATGTTTATAGCATGCCACCGCATCGAGAACGAGTCGATGCATTGGTTTTTGTGGTGACAACTCGACGGTATGCACTTGGCAATTTGCAGGAATCTCAAATGCTCTCAATTCTAGGGAATAGCCATCATTTGTTTTATTAACAACCATCTTGATAACTAGATGTCGAATGGTCGCTATTTCTATAGCTACAACGGCAATATGAACTTTTGAAATTATTCATCTATACCCTCGTGTCCAGAAGCAAGAGTCGTAGATGAATCCGTTAGAAGTTGAATTGATGGCAAGGCCTTGTTGGGAGTTATCCACTCAGCCATACCATTATTAAAAGTCCTAGGGGAGGGGGGGAACCACGATTCTTTTTGAGGACTGATGGGAGGGATGGTTTGCTTGTCATGCGAGAGTTTCTTCTGATGAGCTTAGCCACGGTTTGGTAACAATTTATTAGTATGTGCTCAAGCATGCGTGAGATTAAGCGCATGCGCAGTTGGCGCCATGTGTTTTTGGACCAACTGCGCTTCGGAATGGCGAGTATGGATTTAAGTGAGCGGCAACGCGTGATGATCTCTTTGGGGGTTGGACTTTTGCATACTGTAAGTCGCTGGGATGGGCGTTCTGGCGTTTAGGAGGTCTTATGTGTGTAAGCTCTGCTCCTACCTCCCACCTAACCTAGGTTAGTGGGGAGTCCGACTCCCGCCAAAGGTTAAAAATAGACAACCTGAGCAGAGAAGACGTATTCGCGATTGGGCATTTCCTGTGCTTTTCATGTCACAATCATCTCATTGCGGACCGAAGAGTCAAACGAAGGAGTTGTAGCGAGACTATGACGGCGTGGTATGCGAGGCACTCCCAAGTAATGGAGTATCATGCACATGGCCTGATGAAAAGGACGTCTACATGTAAGTTTTGGGCTCGACAGACTTCAAGATTCAGGAAGTGCTCTGCCAAAGTTCTGCCGCCCATATGACTGGCAGATAGAAAGTACAACATACGGACTGATGTGATGGAACTGCATCTGATTGACGTGTTGTGATAGTAAGCTTATTAAGTGGTCGAGCGGTTGATTTATGAGCGGTGCCCAACGCACAGTAGCATTGGGGGTCCGGAAAGAGGGCGCAAGTATGGTAGGTGAGCGGCTATATACATACATACATAATATGTAACTATCTTATCGCGTTATCTCTACAGAGGAGTCGAAGGTTAGGTGGTTTTGCTTGGGGGGGGGGGGGGGGGGGGGGGGGCAGGCTCGCGTGTGCCCCTCATTGCCCCTCCACGACTGACTTTGGTGCTAAGCTCAGATTTGGGCTATTTTCCTGGCAGTTGTTTGTAGTCGCACTCCGTTGAGTCACCGCCCACTTCTCCGTGATATGCACACACGAGCAGCACCGTCGGCTTCTTGAGTTTGCATCCCACAACCTTGAACATCGCCTTTATACTCTCTTGCCAGAACCTGGATTGTCTAGTGCCTACTCCGCACACAACCCGCAATCATGGCCGACGCCATCGCCGAAGGAGTAGCCAAGTTGTTCCTCGATGAGGAGACTGGCGAGATGGTGTCCAAGAACGAATTGGCAAAGCGCACCAAGAAGAGAGCCAAGAAAGCAGCCACTGCCAAAGCCAAGGAGAACGCCCCTCCCAAAGAAGCTGCTGCCGCAAAACCAAAGCCCGAAAAGAAGCCCGAAGAGCCTACTCTGGACCCGGAAGCCATGTTCAAGCAGGGCTTTCTCAACGACGTGTACAACGAGAGGCCCGTCAAGCCTGTCACCACTCGATTCCCTCCCGAGCCCAACGGCTTCCTGCACATTGGCCACGCAAAGGCCATCGCCGTTAACTTTGGCTTCGCCAAGTATCACGGAGGTCAATGCTACTTGCGATTCGACGACACCAACCCCGAAGCCGAGGAGGAGAAGTACTTTGTCGCAATCGAGGAGATGGTTCGATGGCTGGGATTCACTCCCTACAAGATTACTTACTCCAGCGACAACTTCCAGAAGCTTTACGACCTTGCAGAGAAGCTGATCGGGCTGGAGAAGGCTTACGTGTGCCACTGCAATGGTACGTGCGCAAGACGTAATATTTGAGCCATGGGAAACACGACTGACGTATGTACAACCATAGACGAAGAGATCAAAGCCCAGCGCGGAGGCGAGTCTCACGGAGAAAGGTTCCGATGTGCACATGCCGACCAGAGCGTGGAGCACAACTTGGCCGAATTCAGGGGCATGAGAGATGGCAAATACAAGCCTCGTGAGGCTTTCCTCAGAATGAAGATGGATATCAGTGACGGAAACCCTCAGATGTGGGATTTGGCCGCATATCGTGTGCTGGACAAGCCCCATCACCGGACTGGCGATGTAAGTCAATAGCCTCCCTCACTTGCCTTACAATCACTGACAGTTTAATAGACTTGGAGAATATACCCAACCTGTACGTATAGGAAACAACCCGCATACCCAGAAATATCTGTCATGTCATCATGAGAGATTAACTAACTCGATTTTTTCTTGATTTAGATGACTTCACGCACTGTTTGTGCGATAGCTTTGAAGGCATCACCGTACGTCCTCCCGCCCTCCTCATCCTCCTCCTCCTCCTCCTCCCTCAATGCACAATGTGTCCTGACCACCCACAACACGGACCCACGGATCCTACAGTCTGACAGTGAAGATGCTAACTCTATCTACAGCACAGTCTCTGTACTACGGAATTCGTCCAATCTCGGGTCAGCTACGAATGGTTGAACAAACAACTCGCATCCATGCAGCCCATGCAGCGCGAGTACGGTCGCCTGTCTATCCAAGGCACTGTCTTGAGCAAGCGAAAAATCATGAAGCTCGTTACTGAAAAGTACGTACGAGACTGGAATGATCCGCGGTTGTTTACCCTCATTGCTATAAAGCGCAGAGGAGTACCACCCGGCGCTATCCTGGACTTCATTAATGAGCTTGGTGTGACCACTGTACCTTCAACGATACAGCTTAAACGATTTGATCAAACCATTCGTCGATATTTGGAACGGACAGTGCCGAGACTCATGCTGGTGCTCGACCCCGTTCCCCTCATCATTGAAGATGCCGAAGAGGTTGAAGTCGACGCACCATTCAATCCCAAAATTCCTGCTATGGGTACCCACAAAATCAAGTTCACGCCTACTGTATACATAGATCGGTCTGACTTCCGTGAAGAGGATAGCAAGGACTACTTCCGTCTTGCGCCGAACAAGACTGTCGGTCTGCTGCAGGCACCGTACCCTATCAAGGCCGTTTCTTTCACCAAGGATGAGGCTACAGGAAGGGTCACAGAGATCCGAGCAGTATTTGACAAAGAGACTAAGAAACCAAAGACTTTCATCCAGTGGGCAGCTGCTGACTCTCGCAAAGTTGAGGTCCGTCTGTTCAACTCGCTTTTCAAGTCTGAGAAGCCTGATGATGCCGAGGGTGGTTTCTTGAATGACATCAACCCCGACAGCGAGGTTATCTACCCGGACGCCTTGGTCGAGTCGGGCTTTGATGAAGTCAAACGCCGCGCTCCTTGGCCGGAAGCTGCTGGTGAAAGTGAACTTGGTAAGGGCGGACCAGAAAGTATACGCTTCCAAGGTATGCGTGTGGCTTACTTTGCCGTGGACTCCGACAGCACGGACGACAAGACCGTATTAAACAAGATAGTGTCACTAAAGGAGGATGCTGCTAAGAGCTAGAGATGTATCACATCCATACTAGAGAACAGTAAAATGAAGAATGTCTGAGAATCATGCGTGTCTACTTCGGTCGCTCAAATGTATGTGACGATCCAGGTACCGTGAGTGACACATAAGGTACTGTGAAATCTTGATAATAATATTTTAATATTTTAAACATCAGATGTGGTGGACCCAAGTAGAATTTACGAAATTAACAAAGCCGACTTTGGTTTTGGAAGGATTGCTTACTAGCCATCACAGGCTGTCGCCTAAGCCGGCATTTCGATATAGTGGCAGTGCAGATTCCGAAAGCTATTTCCAGCTCAACAAATCCGTGCCGCTGATCCTTGCACGACGTAAACAGTATGGGATCTTCGTCACTCAGTTGGCACGATTGGCACTTTTGGGATGATAATACAATACCGCGAGTCTGGCCGATTCCTCACTCAGCCTATTACTGGGCTTATATTACAATAAGCATGACGGCTAAACCCGAGATGCAACGGTCGGGCGCTGCACGACACGGTACGGTGGCTATATAGGCTGAAACACATGTAAAGAACTCATTCTTTTGTAAATCTTGTCGTTAAAGTGTCGCCAAGCAAATATGCATTTCTTGAGTGCGATACCATTCATCATCTCAGGCGTTCTCGCTGTTGCAGCATGCGGCTCGGCGCCGCCGTTCGAACTCGGAGTACTTAGCGATAATCAGACTGTATTGTCAGATCGTCGTTACAGAGTATTTTTGCCAAACTCGTATGATCGGAACAAGCCGGCGCCTGTAATCCTGTCGTATCATGGAGCCAACCGTCAGATCGAAGACCAGGTTGCCCTCGATGGGTTGACCACATCATTCTTCAACCAAGACTACGTTATCGTATACCTGCAGGGTAATGCAGTCAGTCTTATCCCAATCTCGTATCAGCAACAGGAACCTTGGCAACGTTTTCGATACTAACTCGGACTTCTGACAGGATGATCCGGACCGTCCCGATCATACGACCTGGGAGGGAGCACCAGGCAATGAATCGGACGACTTTGGCTTCACCACTGCCGTCCTCGACGCGCTCGAGTCCTCTCTGTGCATCGATGTGAGCCGGATCTATGCGACGGGCAAGTCGCAGGGCGGCGGCTTCGTCGGCCGCCTGGCCTGCCACACCACCCTCTCAACCCGCATCGCGGCTTTCGCGCCGGTCAGCGGCGCCTACTACATCGAGCAGCTGAGCCTCAAGAAAGACTGCAAGGACCCCGCCACCGTCGAGATACCGTGCCAGCCGGGTCGGGCCGAGATCCCGATCATGGCCTTCCACGGCGGCGCGGACCCGACCATCAAGTACTCCGGTGAGTTCCAGACGTACTGCCTGCCGAGCGTGCGGCACTGGGCGGAGGGCTGGGCGCAGAGAAACGGGCTGGACGCCAGCGGCGTGGACAACAGCACGATAGCGGCGAGCAAGAACGGCGTGACCAGCTCGTGGGGTGGTGGACTGGTCAAGCTGGTGTATGATGGAGATAATATCAAGCACGACTGGCCGAGTCTGCTCCAAAATGCGGACAACAAAGGAAGCCCCAAGACGGCGTTCAACGCGAGCGGTTGGATTACGGATTTCTTTGGGCAGCACTCGCTACCTCTCACCAACTAATTAATGGCGGGCAAATCCGGAGAGCGTTGGGAAATGTTGTGTTTTAGATCGTAATCGATCGGAGCGAGGCGTTGGTGACTGGTTCTAGAATGGGTGTTAGATGAAATTAACAATCTCCATAGAAATATTTCAAGAGAATTCCGTCGGCTTCAATTCACGTCCGGTTCAACTTGAGGTAAGTTAATCCGTGACTGAAGTACCTACAATTTATATGATGATGGTCAGAAATGGTAACTGGCACAAGTCGTCCCGGTGTAGGTGCTTTAAGGTACAACGTAACAAGAATGACCTGATCAGACCAATGAGTCGTTGTCATCACAAACAAGCCATGTGAGGTTTCTCGTGGTTTAAACGAGACCTACGGTGCAGATGCTAGTTAGTAAGCGGGAGGCTTGGTTTTGTCAATTTAGAAAGCCACTTTGGGCCAAAGTGAGTGATGAGTGGCACTACGCATGCGCCCCAGAGGTGAAATGAAATACGCCATCCTCAACGTAGCCAGGCGAATATCCAAGCAGTATAATACAAACATTGAGCGTAGGGGGCAGTGGTTGGCTTAATAGTATATTTCATTGGTCTTACGCCGCTTAAGGGGTATATGGAAATGTTGACATGAGAAGTATCGAAGAAGATGCAAATGCAAATACCGCCAAACGCTTTTCTAACCCAATCCGCTTATCGCTAGAAGAAGAAAAGAAAAAAAAATAACCTCTCTACTTTGACTCAATTGTGACTGAGCTAGAGCTTGCCGAGTCTTTGCCTTTGACATGTCCCGGTCGTGGTGCATCGTCCCGCACCTCTTCCACTGTATAGCCGAATTGCACAGTCTTGTTGATCTGCGCTCCAGCGAGACCATGCATGATATATTCTTCGCTTCCCGTGTCGTCCGCCTCGGCCTTCGATTTGTTGTTGGCAGTTCTTGAGAAGTGACTTCCACCCCCATAACGTCCGTTGTGTGAGGGTAAGGGATAGGCACCCGAAGTACTGCGACCCTTGCTGTGACCGGTCGATCCCAAAAGCTTGGGGAAGAAACGTTGTGCGAACGGCTTGAGCGCTGGGATGGACCCACCAATTACTGAGAGGTTGAGTTCGAGAATGCACCACATGAGCGCAGTAACGGTATTTCCTTAGATCGAGTTAGCTCTTGCTTCATCTAGACATGGGGCCATATAAGACAAGGACAACGTACTCGTCAAGTCCGCGTCGGTCAGCAGGACATACAAAGACTGCAGACGAACAATGCTGACAATACACACAAACGCACCCATAGTCAGCACGAACGCGACTCCGACCTTCTGCTTTGTGCGCAGCTGTAGTGATTTCAGAGCTGGCAAAGGCACGACGACAGTTGCGATATCAGTAAAGATGCCCAAGCCGGCTTGTGCAAAGTAGAAGGCAGGTCGGTTGATGCAGACTGCAATGAGTGATTCTTCGAGCGACCATGATCCCGCGATGGGATTGCAGCTGAGAACATTGACGAAAACGGAGGCCAATGAATAACCGAGTGTGAACGCAAAGACGCTCCAAATCGCGATTTTCATTGTTTTCGATGGGAAAATTCGTAGATAAAAGAGTAAAATCGACCCTTTGGCCAAACCGGTGGCGGCGCAGAACACCATGGCCGCAACAACATTCCGGATCATCCATTTCGGGTAGAGATCGGGCTGGAGAGGTACATCCCATAGATTCTTGCCCAGGCCATAATTCAGCACTGCCGACAAGGTCAGTCGTGAGTCAGATACAAATAAAGGTACACAGTACTTACTGTCCATACAGAGTGCTACCATGACGATATTTAAGACCATTGCCGCTATCATTAAAACTGCAAGGCTGTTGCATCAGCAGAAAGTCCAATGTTCCTTGCCTCCAAGACGTGCTTACAGTCGTCAAATGCGACTTTGCCAGAAATAATCGCTCTCGTGTATAGTCGAATAGCCATCGTTATTGTCGATAGTGGTAGGAATATGCCCACAATTGTGATTAAGCTCGTCGCCTCGTATGGGTTATCTTTGTTTGGCGTGACACCATCCGGCGCCGCCATCGCATACGTTATTCCATTATACAGCGACATGTTTACGCTGTCGTCCCGAGTCGCTGGAAAGCCCAAAGACTAGAGTATGGGGGAAACAGCCCTACGGCACTGCTTTAACAGTATCAAAGTGAAAGCCAAGTCGTCTAATGGTGATCTACACAATGACACTGGAGAGTCCCGGCTCTTGGGGAAGATGGACGGAAGATGGAGACGCGCGAGACAGGTACTGCAAGAGGAACTGTTGATCTGGGCTCCAAAATACTATTAAGCTACCAGGGAATCGTAGGCTAACCAGCATGGTCCAGGTTCTCATTATTACGTGCCAAGCTTCGAAGAGTGTCCCTGCAGCAATGAAAAGGAACTTGTGCTCCTTGGGAATGCTTGCAGTGTGACTTCTATGCAAGTCTTGCTGCTAGTTAAGCGAGGTGACATCTGGGGTATAAGAATCGGAACTCGTAATCTTTTTTCAATATTTTTTCCCACGATATCGGGTGATGCTATTGTGGGATCCAGAGGGGCAGCCATGCTTCTCAGAAATTCTGTCACAATTTCGGCGTCAAGACTAAGTTTGCCAGGGTTTATCATGCCATAAAGGGATCCGCCAAAGAATCCGTCTTCTGTCCCAGTCTCGCTCTGCATTCCCTGATACAAGTGAACAATACACTAACCAAGGGCCGTCCTTGTAATCTCTCCACTGAAATGCCCTTGCAAAATTCTGTCGTATGTAACCCGTGTTACTCGAGAGCGAGACTGGCGACTCGAACCGACTGTCTCCTTCCTAAGTACCAGCAACAGGAAGCTGGCAACCGACTGGCTTCTTAATCGAAGCAAGTCGAGACTATTATTCTGCTGTTGTCTACTGTACATGGGGCACTGGCCTCATTCTCGAGAGTCCACCATACATATCTGCAAGTCACGATCCATTTGGCGAAGATCTGACTTGCCAAAGTTACAGAAGAGGAAATGATCAACTCATTTGCTAGAGAGATCCTCCAGACTATCATTGCTTAAGTGTATAAAGAGGAGGCATTCGGAAGCCACCCCATGGGATGAAGAAACGACCGACACTAACTATGGCGTGCCGTGATCCATTTGGCAGTGTTCGGGATCCCCAGTGCTTTCTTGTTGCAGCGTCGTCATATGCGAACAAACTATTGCCCGCAACAATGCTCGAATTAAGTATGGTGGCATTGGTGGCGCGGACGATAGCGGCTCCACTTGGTGCTGCATGGTATGTTCTTCTGGAAGGATACCTGAGGAAAAGCTTTTTGCCAAGGGGTGTCAGTTTGAGCAACGAGCTCGTCCCTGTCGGTTTGAATTTCTGTAGTGCATAATAAGATGAGCGATGTAACGAGTGAGTTGTGCTAAAGCTTGCGATGTCCACCTTGACGCGCACAGAGGTTATACTATAGTACATTTTCTCCAATCGGAGAGTGTTCAGCACCGTCCCTAGCAGAACGAGCAGCGCTACAACGCTACGGTTAGAACGGACGGAGATTTTGACAGTCTTGTTTGTTGAAACGGGGCGGTCCGGAACAACGGGCTATAGTTTTGATGGCTTTAAACACTTGCAGTAAGGCGGCATTTTCTGGACTTTTCTGAAGCCAGGACCAAGGCAACAAAATTACGGCAGGCTCTTGCGGCTGTGGACGAGCAGTGATGTGGTGGTCAATCTAGGAGTTTGGTACCGACAAGAGAAGCTTTATCATGTGCCGCGTTGTTGCCTTCGATTGTTGGCTCCGTGGGTTCGGTTGTGAACGGATGCATGTGGATTCTCTGCCAACCACGTGGGAGGATTGCTTTAGCGATCCCAATTACTAGGAGGCAGAGGAGTGCCTTGCCGTTGCAGAAAGTCACGATGACACCCGCATATGCGGGAGCAAGGGTCCTAAATGAAGTGCGATGTACGGACTACGTATACATGCAAACTACAAAATGCCCCCAACTTCCCAAATTCGTGTAGTAGAGGCGATCATTGAAGGTTAGCTCTACCCAGTATTCATATCGAGAAATGATCAGCTACTCTATTTAGCCCCATGTCAGGAATGGGCGATAGGAAAGTTGAAACTTCCGGCAACGTGAGTAGTTTCAGAAAGTCTGATGATACTTCGCGATCCAAGACCAGTGGGGGACATGGCGCAAACACGGCGTCCTTGCTAGAGAGCCATCGTGCCATAATATATCAACGCAATATAGATTTTCTGCGCAATTCCAAGTTTACGCTACCGTGGGCTCAATCACACATAACGTCTCGAATATCCTACTAAAGTTCGTAACTGCAGACATACAAGTACGTGCATTCCAAGGAAATAGATACGGGGAAAGAGGGAAAAGAGCCATTGTCACTTTGTATAAACCACAGCCAAGAATCATAGTCCATCAAGTGGCGCAGTTATTCAACCTTCAAGTATCATCGATCGGATCTCAACGGCCGATAGGCTTGACCGTGGCGTCTATTTTAATACCTATTCTCATGGGACTTGGTTCTTTAAAAAACGGGCGCATCATCACAGAGATTCGGCTGTATAACTGCAAGAAGACCTGTTTCATGGCACGCTTGTCCAGCATTGGCTATTTGGCTCCTAGCCGGGTATACCATTTTTCTGTGCCATAATGATAAGTGTTGTCTCAATCTTCGGTTTGGAATTGCGCGACTTGATGGCCTTGCAAATTTGCGCTTCTTGCGCAACACCACAAGCTGAAAACTCTTTTATTGTGTGTCTTATGTACGGAGTACGGATCCGTATGTATGCAGGTACCATGGCTTGTAGAAAACAGGGTCTATGGAGCCTTTCTCCTCAGGTGGCACGCGGTGTTACTACTCCAGATTCGGACTTATCTCCTTTCCCTGGCGGAAATTCTAGGTTTTTAATTATTCATCTCGCAACTAACTTTCCAAAAGGGGGTCATGCACGCAGGTGTAGGCATGCATTTCTTTTGACTTGACTTTGCCATCTCTTCCTGCATCCACGTAAATACTAATTAGTATTGCAATAGTGCATCAGGGAGCGGCCCGCCTAGTCAGAGATGTTCAGGCTTTGCGCGGCGTTGGCCGTAAAGCCACACACAGACAGCGGGACTTCACCTCAATGGTAGCGTGAGAGTGGGGTAGAAAGGTACATGGCATGAAAAACACTCAAATTCGATAACAATATGTATATCACCCTTGAATTATTCGTCCTCTTTTGTCTGTATATCCGTGTTGAGTGTGCTCATGGTATCGTACAGGTTTCCAGTCAACCAAGTAAATTCTCGACTCAGGAACCCCTTAGATTCGGTCGAAGGATTCGCCGCTTACACCCAAGCTTCGCCAACTAACTTACCGTCGTAGGCTGAAGACGGTGTCCTTCCACCCGGAACTAATTGTGTAGAAAACGGTCGTTTCGGTGCCTTGGTCATCACTGTAGAAAGCCCGAGACCATCGCAAGATCCCCACGCGAATAAAAACACCCAGTCGATTGGCCATGCCTCATGGGGACAATTCGCGCACCCGGTGCCGATTCGGGTCGGCCGGCGTCAGCCCGTCACGACCATTTACGGGGCAAGGGTCTGCTGGCATGACCGAGGCATGTTCAGTCATTTCGTGCTGGAGAGGCGAAGCCCTTGGCTTGATCCTGGACGACTCCAAATAAACATTGGGCCTCTGGCTATATCCCTGCAATCGGTCGATAGTGTAATGGAGCTGTAATTCAATTCGACGGCCTAGCCCATCATTACCGACAACAGAGGCGAATGCGGTTCATCTTTAAAAGGACAAGATATGCAGCTGTCACTTGTCAGTGAGTCCTCTAGTTCCTCAAGGTAGCGAGTCAAGTCAATACCACCTCACTTGCTCCTTGAAAATCGACCATCAAGATGCTCAACACAGTCATCTGTAAGCTCATTACGGCCCTCGGCCTGCACGGTGCCCTCGTTGAGGCTGCCTGCGACCCTCGAGGCACCAACTCAAGCGGCACGGTTGGTTGCGCCGCTTTGGAGATCAAGTTCCCGGGAAAGACTTTCTACCCCGGTGATGAGGTCTACGAGTATGAGACACAGGCCTTCTGGTCAAACACGGAGTTGATGACCCCAGCCTGTGTCTTCCGGCCCGAGTCTGCCTCGGATATCTCTGAGGGTATCTTCATCAGCAAGAACACCGAGACCGACTTTGCGGTCCGCGGTGGTGGACACATGGGCATCAAGGTAAACCTCATCCGCCTGTCCAATCAGCTTAGCTTAAATCGCTAATAGAGACTCAGGGTGCCAACAATATCGATGACGGGTTCCTCGTCGTTTTGTCTAATCTCACTACTTTTGAGCTCTCTACAGACAAGAGCACTCTGACTTTGGGACCTGGTTACAAATGGGGTACTGTCTACAGTGAGCTTGCCTCGTATGACCTGGCCGTCAGCGGCGGCCGTCTCTCTCCCGTCGGTGTTCCTGGTCTCTTACTCGCTGGTGGTGTCAACTTCTACGGTAACCAGCATGGATGGTCTGCGGACAACGTCCTCTCTTACGAGGTCGTCCTTGCTAATGGAACAATCGTTACTGCTTCTGACTCCGAGAACAATGATCTCTTCTGGGCTCTGAAGGGCGGTAGCAGCAACTTTGGTATTGTTACCAGCTTTACTCTCCGTACTTGGGAGTCGAAGCAAGTCTGGGCTGGTGTCTACAGTGTCTCTGAAGATCACCTTGACGACATGTTTGCCGTGAGTTTCATATACTATATTTGTTCCCAAGTAGCGATGACTGACATAATCGCAGGCCATTGCCAACTACTCTGCATACAACACTGACCCTTTGTCGCATATTGTGCCTCAATCCATCGTCACCGGCGAGGACAGCGCCATTGGTGGCATTATTCTTTTTTATGATAGCCCTAATGTGTCTTACCCTGAGTGCTTTCAAATGTTCTTCGACATTCCTAGCATCGCGGACTCGACTGCTTTCCAGACCCTCGCTGGGTTCTCTGAAACTGTAGGCCAGCTTGTCACAGACCATATCAACGACATCTTTTTTGCAGGTACCACTGTTGGCCAGACCTACGAGGAGCTTCTCCAGGGTATTGAGATTACCAACCAAGTCTTTTTCGACGCTCTGCCTGATTTGTACGAGGTTATTCCTTATGCTAACCTGTCTCTCGTCTCTATCGATTGGCAGCCTATCGGCTCTCTGTGGCAGTCTGGCTCTCAGTCGGTTAACCCCACTGGTAACCCTCTTGGCGTCGACCCAGCTACTAAGGGTACCTACCTTTGCTGGGCTGGAGTTGTTGAGTGGGTCGGAGACTCATACGCCGACGTTGTCAACGAATGGGTTGAGAATACCACTGCTCTCATTAACAAGGCCACCCAGGCCGCCGGTATCTACGATGCCTTCAACTACATGGGAGACGCCGCTGGCTTCCAGGACATCTACGCCGGCTACGGCTCCGGGAACCAGGCCAAGCTGCTGTCGATCTCGCAAAAGTATGACCCGGATCGTGTCTTCCAGGAGCGCCTGCCTGGTGGCTTCAAGATCGGTGTATGAACATACAATACTTGATACTTCATAATACACAACTCAGTTAAACCACCCATAATCTGTTCTATTTCACATCTCTGGACCACGTCCGATATAAGCAAGTTGCACGCCCTGCTATTGCGACAATTGCAAACGCACCAAGACTGTCAACCAGATGTACACATGAGAGATAAGCTACAGGGTACAATTTAAGCGATTGACTTCATGGCCGCTATTGAGATACGACATTCTGTATGCGTCGCCATAGCTTGCGATTGAAAGCGTTGCACCATTGTGTACAATACCAATATCACGATATATGCGTGTTTATGGCCGTCTCGTCTAAGACGATGATGATGGTAGATCGGGCTCTGATAGCTGTCTCATTGGATAATGGTAAAAAAAAAAAAGTAATTGAAGAGATAATGGGTGGCGTTATGTTGGAAGAGAATAATACTGTTACTGGGCGTTCATGTCAGCCTGAAATTGGTATCTTTCCAGAGAACTTGCCAGAAACTGGGATACCCATTTCTACCAGCGTACGGAGTATTAGATAGTCTTCTATAAAGATTGTTGATCGCTACCAGACTTCTTCCCAGGCATTTTGGGTGCAAAGTTCCACCATGTTAAGCTCTGTGCTATTGCGAGCACTATAAATGTACCAGCGAGGGCAATGCGTCCGCCCCGCGATGTGGTGATATCGCTCGAGTTGAATGATCCGACTTTCGGATTGTCGCGTGATGGCATCGCTTGTTGCATCATTTATGTCGTTGTCGAGAAGTTTGCACCAGTAATGCCGCTCGTTTGTGGCCGCTTTTGGGCGAAGATACGTTTAGAGTTCCTGGTGAATGTTATATTTGTAGCAGCAAAGAAGTGACACGATACAGTATACACACATTGACAAGTCCGAATGGTATTGTGTGGCTCTCAAAACCAGGCTGCGTAAGGTTGAGAAGTGCACCTACTTAAGATGTGCTCATGAGTCGCCCAGGCTGAGGTCAGCATTCCTCCGTTGTACAAGAATACATTCATCATCCGAATTGGCGGGTTTAATGTGATATTAAGCACCTCGTTACGACAACTAAGTATTCCAAGCACCAACACTCACCGCCCCTTGCACAGTGTGGAGTTGGTGTCATAGTAAAATTTGTTCAACCACATTGAACAGTCGCCGCCGGCAAAGTTTGGGAGACGAACGCATGGGAGTGCTTACGATGTGTCATATGCGCGCATAGAATTTCACTTGAACCAGATGTTTGCTGGCAGACGTACATCGAATTGCGAAAATAGGTGGGTTAACATGGCCATGGCCTCGATGAGGAATGCAGTTTTAATTTAGTACCTACAGATTATATGACTGTAGAACAACCATCCGGCGCCACCGGCATTCGTATTTTCTTCAAGAAGTGACAGGCACAAAGTCAGATTATGCAATTAGAACAAGAATATAAGCTTTGCATGGTTAGATGTGCAGATCAAGGAGAAAATATTGGGTCTGTGCAACACCAGATTCAACAACGTTACCATTCTGCTGACAATCTCCAATATGCGGTGTTCAGCTTTCATGCGCTGGTGGGTTGCATCGAAGAGTCTAAACTTGGCCGCTGTCATCTGGCGAGTCCTAAGATAAAGCCTCTCAGCTTCTCCCCAAGACCCATGTCGTGTCGCCAAGTCGATAAATATGCACGCGCCAAATCTCCCTGACATCAAATACCAACAGCCATTTCCCAGAGCTCCCGAAATGACCTTCAAAGAACAAAATCACACAACTTGATAGTTATCGTATGATTACAATTATTGAATCACAATGGCCAGCACTGCTTCTCAACGGCGATGGGCTACACCGCAAGAGTGGGATTCGTACAGGGGGACGATCACAAGGCTGTATTGGGACCAGGGCCGACCTTTGAAAGATGTGGGAGAGATCATGAGACGCGAGTATGGATTTAATGCCACGTGAGTACCCCAAGGTTGATATCCTATTCCCAGTAAACCTGACACTTGCACTCGAATTGCAGTGAGAAGATGTACAAGACTCGAGTAAAGAAATGGGGCCTGACTAAATATGTCAAGGTTGGCAAAGCCAATGAGCCTCGCGGGGAAGTGGAAATAGGCGACATCTCAGTACCAGTCATACGCAGTCGCGTCACAGCAAAAAGGAGGTCAGAGGGGGATTGGAGCCACAAACAATTTCAATCGCTTACGGAGTTTGAACCATCGTTGCGATCCATAGTCCTACTACGTGGTTCGCAAGGACTTAATCCTTCGCCATTAGCCACACAGGTTGAATCTCCGTGGCAGTTCAAATGCGTTGAGAGTTGCTTGACAGCAGTTCTGGACTATAGCCAAAGTAGATTCCAGACCAAGCAATGGGATCCTACGATTGACCTATTCCGAACTGATCATTCCGCCACGTGGGGAAATCAAGTTTCCATGGGTCATGCAATGATCAAGAATGGAAAGATGAAGGAAGGCTTTCGTATGATCGACATCTGTCTTAAAAACTACAAGTCAGTTATCCAGCGGGAACACCCACTTATACTTATCGAGACGTATACAACACTCATGTATCTGTCAGTACACCGGCTGGATCTTGCCGAATCCATCCTTCGATATCTCGCAGGTCTATGTCGTGCGTATTTGGGTCCTGCGCACCCGTTCTCTCGTCTTTGGACAAACCTGATCTCTCTTGGGATGGAGCGGCTTCGTCAAGCCGCAGCGGTAATCATCAAGTCACAGCTGACCTTGCTGGCAACCTATTTCAAGCCCGATGCTGAATTCCTACTCAACCAGCGAGTCGATACAGCTCGACAAGCGCATTGTTTTGGGGGGCTTTCTATCGAAGAGGCGGAGGAAGATATTGCGAATGCAATTGATCTAAAACAGAAAAAAGGCATGCCTGACACTCTTACTTATGTATGCTGGGCGAAGGAAATGCTTGCGTTCGTTTACAAACACAACAAAAGATATTCGGAAGCCGCCTCTATTTTAGATGAAGTGGGCAAGCATATCGGCTCTGGAGAAGTTGACGACTTTGAGATCAATGAGTATTACAGTATTAAATGTCAAATTGCAACAGAAATCGGCACTTCTCAAGAATACACCGCTCTACTCAGGGAAAAACTCGACTGGGCTGCATCGGCAGTTGGCACCAGTCATCATTGGACAATGACAGCCGTCACATTGCTCGATGCGGAATATGGCAAACACAACGATGCTGCTGCTTCTGCCAAGCTACATGAAGAGTTCAATTTCGAGTCGAACTGGGACATTATCTGTGAGAAAGTGGACAGCAAAATCCAGACGATAGAGGAGCAGTCCTAGAGAATCACAATCGATACATGTGGCGCTGTCGTATGCCGTCAATTCTCGCTCATTGTCTGTTCTTATTGATACAGGTGATGGGTATGAGTGTTGCAAATACATGAACAAATAAAATGGTGTGGGCATTTCTGAGTAATACTGTTGTTCTCAACATGGTGATTTCGCTTCCAGTGCGTACGGCTCCATAAAAATGAAAAAGTCTATACTTAGTCTAGCGCAAACTTGGGACCAGCCTCTGCACCCAGTAACATGTATGGTTAAGAAAGAATGACCAACTGGACAACCAAACTATTTTCGACGAGAGGGTGTAAACAATGCAATTGACAGCATGTTGCTGCACATTTGTAAGGTCGGGAGAGCAATGTCCATCGGGCGGAAGTGGCATCCATCTATCAACCTCCGTTGATTGCCTCAACCACCCACTCAAAAAGTGGCAAAAGAAGATACCCCGGTGATCCGGGATGCATCAGGAATTGAGCCCGATGCGGGGGTCGAACCCGCAGCCTTGAGATTAAGAGTCTCACGCTCTACCGATTGAGCTAACCAGGCCGTGAAACGCTTTGTGTTGCGGTGTTGAGGATGCTCGGCCTTATTACGTACTATATTGATGGCTACACGATTCACGGTCGACGAAATATTCGGAAGATGAGGCTGATTTTACTGAAACACCCCGAAGGACTATCCATGATCCAGAAAGACGGCGGGCTTATATAAGTGCATTTATCTGACGTCGGTTCAAAACAGTAGGATCGTGGTGCCCTGATGCTACTCGTTGGACTGACATTTCACCCATTCGGCGACAGTCGGTTAGCCGTGTTGACAGAAAGTATTCATACAGACTGTTCAATTAGGCTTTCTTTGTAGTGTCGTCTTTAAAACTATTTCTGAATATGGTAGTCGACGAAAATGTGTGAACTCTACAGTTGCAAGTTCTCGGCTCGCTTAGGTTACATCTTTCACATGGATCACTCGACACCACCGGCAATACAATATTAAGTGATTATATCGTGCCCAGTAAGGTCAGGTTTTACCTCATCCCCTTGTAACCAGTCTTTGCGCTTCCCGCAAAGAATGTTTCGCTCAGACCTATGGGCATTAAGATGTAACTTTGGTGGGCGTCCTGCCGTCTCTTCACACCAACAAAAATACCAATATGCACCGAGAGGGAGGGGGATTAGTAACTAACATCATCTTTGTCAGTAGGATATAGAAGTAGACACCCAATGCACCCTGGCGCTTCCCGAGTAGGAAGAAGTAGGGACAGTCGGCCTCTTTGTTCATTTCAATGTTATCAATGGTAACTCGACATGTTATCGTTACCTTCATTTTCAAGACAACACGATCACCTTGCACATCAACAGTTGCCTGATTAACTGTCAACGATTCTATTCTAACGAATTTGAGCTTCTTAGACGGCCTTAACAAACTGCAATACAAATATCAACCAGGGGAGGTGTCTAATCATAATGCTTGATACAAACTAGCATGACATGAACTATAGTTGTTTTCAACTAATTTATAGTAACTAGTAAATGAGACACTCACCGAGGTCCTCTCACGGTAAACAGGCCAGCTCTCAAAACTTGCGGACCTTCTTATGGCCCAATTGGTATTGGCTCTGCGGATCTGAGGCGCTGTTTCTTCCGGCTTTTCGGGGCGAGTCAACAACGGCACCTTCTTCGTGTCGCTGATGGTAAGGGCATAATGGCAAAGGTTTTCGACAGTATTGTTACACCAAAACTTCAAAAAATGAAATTGAATATCGAAGTGCTTTTTCTTGAACTACCCCTATTTTCCCCCCTCCTTTTTTCCCTGTTAAAGATGAAGCTATCGAGAGCTCTATTTGCAGACATGATGCATCATACTGATGTTTATACTGGATTGTATGAATACTGGTTCAAAACCACAGCGACCCTTCCGGCATTCAACCCATAAGCATATTGGCCTTACTGCATGTGTTGGGACAATTCTGACCCCGTCCACGGATGGCAATACCCCTGGTCTCTATAGTATAAATCGGTGCGTGATGAAATCATTGGTTAGACGAGACCTTGACGTTACCGGTCGAAGCACAAGCATTGGCAAGGGAGGGTCGTCACTGAAGTTGAACAGAATTTTGGCTCCGCGCAGTTCATGTCATCCCTCGCACCGGGAAGAGGATGGGGAATGAGAGATTGAATTTATATAAAATAAAATAAAGTCTTCGATTCCACGATGTATGAACCTGTTGATCTTGTTGATGAATTGCAAAATGTGCCTCCTGTGAGCCTTGATAGCCCATAGCCGGGCTTGTGAAGGACTGTGAAGCACGAGTCGCGATGATCAATGACGTACAAGTGGTTAGCAGCAACGCTAGAGCCGCGCTCACATTTTGTAGACAGTCAAGCCCTCAATTCCTCGTCATAATGGAGATTGCTAAGTATCGGGTCAAATCGAAATATACTATATGTCAGAGCAGGACGCTCAACACCTGCTTTATATGAGTTATTTGACAGACGTTGTAGTTGCGCAGCTGTTGAAGAACCACAGCTCGTGGCTGTGAGTGGAATGGGTTAACGCTATGTTATTGGAAGGCATAGGGGCCGAGTGGGGATTCTACTCAAAGGGTTCAAGTGCCTGCAGAGCACCCTCCCTCACTCCATAACTTACGGTATGTATGTACAATACATCGAAGATAGATTCGAAGTACAAACCACGCAATCTAGCTACACAAGTCTGTGTGATTATTGTTCCAATTCCGGTGAACCAATAGATCATAATCATCCAGACAGCTAATGAGACGGTTCAGTTTCGAATCCCATTATATTACAATACAGAATTGCAAATTTAGTGGTTTCGGAATCATGACTTGTTATTGCGTTGAGTCAGGATGCCGACATCCGAGTCGGTTCTAACATCTCGCGGCCTGCCACTTTTCAATTAAATCCGTACGATGGCTCTGGATACGATTAAGATGCCAAAAAGAAACGTGGACGATTTGATTGATTAGAGTATGCTCGTACCTGGTATGGGCTGACCGCGGATAACACTACATATGAATGGAGTGACCCTTTTCTACAGGCATCTGGGCATCAGTCAAGAGCGTACCTGGGGCTAGACTAGGCAATAACGGCACAACCGATACTCTGGACCCCTGTGCGCGTCCCTCTGTGCCAAGCTGTCAAGCACATCATCCCACTACGCGACGACTCCCCAGTATGGATCTATACGATTTCATATACCACTAATACACCAGCATGTTCGGATTAATACATGACGATTTTTCTCCTGAGAGCCTCGTATCGAAGGCTCATGACGTCTCTCTCCAAATATATCACGCTTGAATGACTCTAATGCTTTCGACTTTTAATGGTCCATGACCTAAAAGCAAACTAAAGTGGACTAAATTTGCCAAGCCCCACAGGCGTACGTGGACAGAAACGCAACTATCACCGGCCTGACAGCTAGGCGAACCCTACTCAGCCTCAGACCGTTGGAGAATCCCCATGTTTTTCCTCATTAGAAACCGTAGGAGAACAAGGAGAAATGGTTGTCAGGTCGAATAACCCTGAGTAAATCGCGTAAGGCAAGTCCACATATCCGCTCAAACATCCAATTGGCCAATCGTAATGTGATTTCGACGTACGACGAACGATACCAGGAGCAAAATAATGGACCGCTGCTCCATATGTGATGGGCATGTTGATTCCTCGATACTTATGAGTTCCCTAGGTCCCCATCCATCTGAGCTATCTGGTCCCTTTTGAGAGCCTCTCGTTGTGTTTTGCTCCGTTTCACTGACTTTCGCTGTAATCTATTACTCCAGACACTCGTTAAAATGCACTTCACACGCTTGGCAGGCCTTTTGCTACCCGCTGTGGCTCTTGCTCAGACCTACACCGACTGCAACCCTACCAACAGTAAGGCACATGGAATATCCGCATCCTCGAAGACATGTGACTAACACAAATCAGCAACTTGTCCCTCGGACACGGGCCTCGATGACAGTTCCTACACCGTGGATTTCACCGCCGGTGAGAATGACGATTGGGTCATGACCTACGGTGATGCTAGCTACGATGATACCAATGGTGTCTCATTCACCATTGATGAGTCCGGCGAGGCTCCTACGATGCAGTCAAATTTCTACTTCTTCTTCGGTACTGTCTCTGCTGTTGTCAAGGCTGCCAATGGAACTGGTATTGTTAGTTGTGTGATCTTGGAGTCGGACGATCTTGATGAGATTGATTGGGAGTGGCTTGGTGGTGATGTCGACCAGGTACAGACCAACTACTTCGGCAAGGGCAACACCACTTCTTACGACCGTGGCACGTACGAAACGGTCGGCGACTCACAGGATACCTGGCACAACTACACCATCGAGTGGACCTCGTCCTACACTACCTGGTACATTGATGGTTCTGCTGTCCGTACTCTGAACTATGATGATGCTGTTAGTGGCAAGAACTACCCCCAGACACCCATGCGCGTCAAGCTCGGTGTCTGGTCTGCAAGCGACAGTGGCAACGAGGGCACTATCGAGTGGGCTGGCGGTGAGACCGACTACGACGATGCCCCTTTCACCATGCACGTTCAGTCGATCACGATCCAGAACTACAACCCCGGTACCACCTACACTTATAGCGATTTGACCGGAGACTGGACCAGTATTGAAATTGATGCCACTGACGCCACTGCTACCAACACGACCAACACTGAAAGCATCAGCAGCAGCTCCAGCGCTGGCACTACCAACAGCACCTCGTCGAACTCAACTTCATCCAGCAGCTCCAGTTCCGGTTCATCTAACTCATCTGGCTCTTCTAGCTCATCTGGCACATCCAGCAGCTCGTCCTCTTCCGCTACCGGCTCTACAGTCACCTCAGCTGCCATTGCCACTGTTCCCTTCGTCGGACATGCGCTTCTTTTCGCCGCGCTCACTCTTATGTTCTAAACTATGTAAAGCCGCAGCAGGTGATGTACCTATCATAGATACATCCCACAGCGAGTGGCTCAAATCATTTTGCAAGTAGCATATCTGTATAATCAGCATTTGTTATCATTATCAATCAAAATATACCTCAGTATGAAGTGGCAAGAGTTTCCCGTGTCTCGTTCTTGACTTAAATGTCGTGTTTAATTTTCTTGTGCAAGCACCCATGGCATTCATTTAGCGGAAAACGATTGCCTGACAGAATTATAATAGCAACCTTGACCTGAGGCGTTATGATCCGGTCGTCCGCCTGGATTTCATCTCTACAATTCGAAAATTGGTTGCTGCTTTAAGGCTCCTCTTTTAGCTTATCGACCGCAATGGATCTATTTGCTATTGTGGTCAAAACACTTATCCATACCATGGTATTCATTATCAAAGTCTGAACTTTAGTCCAAGCCTGGATATCGAAGACGACTATCTGCTCCAGGACCATACCATCTACGGCGAGTCTAGGCCAGTCAGATACAGCGATTTGTCGCACCATTGACGCGGGTGTACTTGGGATGAAAGGCGGACATAATGGCGAAACTAGGTATCATCTTGTCGTCTCTATAGAGAACAGCAAAATGAAACAAAAGCAAAATAATTTTTTTTACCAGACCTTTAATTTCACCACGACAGTTTGTACGGTTCTATCATTCTTACCACGTCTGACTATCGAAGAGGGACTTACACCGCCTCTCCACCGCCTCTCCAGGTCGACATTTGTGAGTTTCACGTAATCCTGTAAATTCCCAAAAGTTTGCCCATTTCTATCCCATAGTCTCAAATTGAGGAAGAGACCAGGCCAGTCACAATAATCAAGTTACCGGCAACTCCACGGTGAACCATAATCGAATAAAGCATTGTCGGATCTGCAACTTTAGAGCCACATGTAACGTGTGGTAATGAGACAGAGAAATGGATGTACTACCAGAATCAGTCGCCGTATCAGCCAGACTCGTCGGTAGCATCCCAACCGCTGATGCAGGAAGAACCGACGAGGTTTGGCAGTCTGATGCACTTGTGATAGAAGTCCTCGAGTGTGTCGGAGTTCAAGTACAGCTCCTCGGCGCAGGCTGTTGATCACCCCCAGGTAGGTCGGGGAGGAAGATGTAAATCATAGGAAGTGCGTTGGCTTGAAGAGTGAGTACGGTCGAGAAGCAGAACTTTGGAAGGGGTTTAAATGACACCTCGTCGCCAATTGCCAAAAGCGCAATTTTCTTGAGGTCGTTGCATGATCTGCCGAAGCTGTCCGGAGGATTGGCGCTGCTAGATGTAGACGGAGAACCCGAACAGATCAGATGATATTTTCTGTAGTACCTCTGCATGCGTCGACGGCTTATACTGGTAGCTCTTACTTCATCCACTGCAAGAGAGGGCGATTGGCATGAAGTCGTGTCGGCTTCCAGCACCATCCATTGGTCTAGGTCTTTAGCTGGAACGGGTTACTCGTTCCCGATGTGACGAATTGACGAACCACGCGCTTGTAGTGTGTTGATTATCGAAGGAGCTGAAATTTGCTGCAAGTGGCACTTACTAGTCTTTGTTGTGGTGGTGGCGGCCTTGGGAGAATGACCTAGTCTAGACCAAATTTTTCAATCGCGCCTAATGGAACATACTTGACTGGTTGCGCGCCATCAAGCAACTGACATGAGTAAAGGGGAGTGAAATTACGTGATAAGAATATGTGGTTCGAAATCAAGTGTACAAATGCCTTAGTAGCGACGGTCTCAATCATGGAGTCTCCCAATCATACATCAACATCAACAACGACAACAACGACAACAGCTTCTGTCATACCCTCTATACCCGTGAGTTCGGAAGTCCAAGCCTTTGTACTCCTTCAAATCAGACCGTGTCAACCATGAACCTCCATACACAGCCTCTCAGCCGAATCTCGCCATCTCAACCGTCTGATCCCATAGTAGATCGGATCGTCGTAGAGCCCAACGCCTTGGGTTTACTCTCTGATGAGAGTTGCCTCGACACTCTAGGCATTACATGCACAGCACTCATGGGCACTGCCAACGGCCCTGCTTCCTCAAAAGACGGCTTGCTCTCATTCTCGTAGTCCTTGAGTTGAATCTCGTCGTGATAGTGACGAGTGCTCCTCGAGAAGTGCCCGTACTCATCTTGTTCATCATCGTCAATAGACTTGTATGTGCTCTCCCCGCCGTGATTTCTTCTCCAACGTCGAATATATAGGAACGCAAGGACGGCTAGAGCTGGTACAACAATGAAGACGGCGACGCAACCAACAGCGATGCTGAGCACAGTAGTGCCAATGCTTGGTGAGTCGGAGGGTGCATTTGAAGGTGCGATAGGAGGAATGACAGTCATCGAAGCTATTGTGGACGTATCCAAGGATGCAGGTGAGGGAGGACTATCGAAAAGATTGGTTATATTGGTAACTGGATCCCCAGTCCTTCTCTGGAATTGGTTTTGTCCGCCGTTGAAGGAAGCTTGGAGTTTGTGTAGCCATTGGTCTGCGCCTCTGTGAAAAAAATCTCCGTTTACCTCCATGGTTGCAGATTGTGTCGACCGATAAGGTTTTATGTATCAGAAGCCGCTATGATCCCAGTTGAGGTAGATTGGAAATACCATGGCATGCATCAATGGAAGCAGGATGGGATCGAAGAGAAAAGTTCTGACCAGTGACCTTCGAAAGGCTCATGTCGGACTCCATTAGGGGACAACTACTGCGATAAAGAGTCTTTTGAAATGAGCAAACGCTATCAGGCGCGGGTTCGACTGCCTTCGAGACATCTGCGCCTTCCCGCAACTTACTCACACGCGACAAGCCCTTTCCCACGAAGAGTATGTACACAGTATATATGTCCGGCAGGACTAGAGGGAGGACATGGTATAGAGATACAAGCCGCAGCAGTGTTGATTGAGATCCATTGTTCAGAGGAATAAGGATGCGTGACCATAAACGTGATGAAAGACGAAGGAAGCTCCCACAAGGGAGAATTCGACGACTTAACTAGGTGGAAGCTGCTGCAGTGTTTTGACTTTGGGTTGTACAGACGGCTACGTGCAGCTAAACATCACGTTGCTTTTCGGCTTTGGACATGGCGAGACACTCTGTTTTCACAAAAAACCCTATATGGATGGATGCCTTGGTTGGCGAGCATTTCGGATGTACCAATGGCAAAGTTTGATGGGCTACGCGTTTTTGCCGTGACATCAATAGGGTTTTCGAAAAGGGAGAACACGACTGACAGGCTATCGGGTGTCTCAACCGTGTTGTAATTCGTGTCGTTTTCATCCCAGGTCAAAAGATGAGACAATGCTTGTGAACAGCCCTGGGCGGTTTATTACTGCTGTCTGCATGTACAGTACGTATGCATTTACTACGCGTGTATTTACTCACGGAGATGATAGGGGTGGGGCTCAGTTAGCTACTTTACGCGGTGCAGGGCGGGATGGGGGCGCAACTGTTCATGGCAAGTCACGCTCATAAACCAACCACGATAAGCCCTGATAAGGACTTCTTGACTGGACTTCTTGACTAGACTTCCCTCCGGAAACCAAACGCCATGTTCAAGTTTGCATAGCAGATCTGAACTCTCATATCGCGCTGGCCCGTGCCAATGGGCTCGGAGCAGAAGCGTATTGACTCGCCGAGTCGCCATGGACGATTTCTCAGACGATGAGTTCGACGACTTGAACGTAACCGTGCTTGACGAGCTCGAAAACAATGCCATCCAGTTCACACAGGCGCAGCAAGCAACGCAGCAAGAAGACGCCTACGACGAATTTGACGACGATAATTTTCACGACACCGCCATCACAGATGATCCACGGGGAAGCTCTGTCCTGCTTCTCCAACAACCAGCTGCCCCAACAGCGACTTCATCCCGCCTAGTGCCACAACAGTCGCAACAGCAGAGCGCATGGGTTTCAAATCCTGTTCCTGTGAGCCACTACCGGCCGCAACCCGTTGGCACGGCTACTCGACAGCCTGTACAGGTGTCCTCAGGATCTCGACCGTCTCAATATGGCGTTCGACCAGCTCAAATGGCCTCGTTCGGCCAGGTGCGACCGCCGCCTATCCCTCGAACTACTTCTGCAGCCCAGTCGCGCTACCAAGCGTCACAGGCACCACATCAACCTGGAGCAAAAAATGTAGATCAAGCCGCTCTTGAGGCTCGAATACAAGAGCTCGAGCTGAAACTACAGACGAAAGATGGCGAGATCGACATTGTCCGGAGAAATCTGGACAGACACAAGCAAGATCACGAGCGGGAGGTGCAGGCCCTAAAGAAACAAACATCCGAGCAGATCTCCAAATCTGAGCGCGCGATTGAGGCAGCCAAGGCTGCCCAGCAGACAGCTACCACGGAGCTTGAGTTTACGCGGCGGGATCTGAGGGAAGAGGTCGATCGGGCCAAACGAAGGGAGAAAGATGGTGGCACGCCAAGAAAGACCGCTGCTGCGAAAGTCTGGGGCGTATCAGACGGCTTCGAGGATGTTGAGATGGCCGCCAGTCCTAGTAAAGGGACCAGAAACAGAAACGCCAGTGCTGTTGCGAGCATGATGCCAGATCCTCCTGCTAGACTCTTGAGGACGCCAACTAAAAACAAAAGAAAGCGGCCAAACATAGAAAGTCCCGTGGGAGAACTCGAGACCGACGAAGACGTGATCATGTTGAATGAAGACAATGCCGGGGGCGCAATCGAGGAAGCCGATACGTCAACGCCCGCTCCACGGAACCCGTTAGGTGTTGAATACTTGAGAGCCATCCTCAACCATAGTTCAGATTATGGACGACCTCCGACCTTTGATTACCTTGCTGGGTTTTCTCTGCCATCAAAGCCTGGAGAGAGTTTAGCCGCCATTCTTTTTCACAAGCTTGCCATGATCGGTGATCCAGAAGATCCAATGCGGCTTCCTGTCGAGTTTTGTGACAGTGTCATCGAGCTGTGGCTCCAGTGTCGCAAAGACGGATGTGTAAGTGTAAAGTTTACTTTTCTATAGGGAAATATCTGACTGACCCAAAATAGCTTGCTCCCATTGGGGAACTGGTCTCTTTGATCACATTCACGCTACAACTGAACACCATAGAACTCGCACCATACATAGCTGAAGCGTTGGTATCGGCTGCACTAGATTCTTGGTATGAGGTTGGCATTCCCCGCCTGCGCAACCAAGGCCCTGCCGGGGACCCTACAGATGCCACTTTCGTCCATCTAAAGGATAATATACCGTCGTCAAAAATCATTTCGGTAATGTATCTCACCGCTCTAGGTTGTGCCACGTCGAACGCAATTGGGGGTTCCCTGTCAAGTCCCATCAAGGATTTCTGGAACTGTGTCCACCCTAATTTCATTCTCATGATGATCAAGAGCCATAAGCAGCCAGTTGACGATTTTATGACAACTCTGAAGCTGCTCTGCACATCGGCATTCGACGAATCTATTGGGCCGATATCGACAACGCCGAACCGCACCGTAGACTTGATCTCGCCTTTGATGATCGAACGACTTACGTACCATCTCCTCGAGACTCGCCAGTGGAATATCGATCGGAACAAGTGCAGGCTCATCTGCTTCCTGCTGCTGCGGACTTTGGCAGCTTTCACCAGGTCGAAATTTGGCATGAAGCAGCTCGCTATGAACGACTATGCTATCCCGCGGCTTGTCATGTTTCTCAGCTGGTGTATTGATGAGATGTATGATGGCAGTAGCACGTCTAGAGCCTATATACTTCCTGCTCTAGATTCTCCTCCATCACAGGAGCAGGCGAGGATGGACCGCTTCCCGGGGTTGGTCTTAGATGAACCGGACGAGGTACAAACACTTGTTGCTCACACCATGCTACTTTTACATACTATCATCACAAATAAAGACAACAAAGACAGTATCAACGTGCCCAGCAAGCTCTCCAAATTCAAAGGTACTCACCAGAAGTACTTACTGAGTTTAGGACGACTGAACTTTGCCGAAGAGGGTGTCAGCGAGGAGACTGCAGAGTTGGCGCATGAGCTGCTAGAGTTGGCCGTTACTGAAGAGGAGGGCGCAGAATTAGGAGATTTCTTCAGTGGCTAAATTGAGCTGCTGCAGTGGGAACCCACGATTCTACTAGGAGCTTGGGACAAAGCCTTGTAAGGCAGATTTGTGCTCGGTAGGCGCGCAGAGCCATAAGGAAGGTCAGGCTTCACAACAATGCGGTCGAATCAATCTAATCCTGCACTCGTTGATCACAATCATTTGGTTGTTCTTGTTGTCGACAAAACCAATGCAGGCGGGCTACGACTTGAAGGTATCTCGTTGTCGTGACGAGTCTTTGTTGATTCGATATACTGCGACATGTGAGTTGGACCGAGGGAGTTGGACCAAGAGAGGGGCTATCTGGTAGCGCGCGAGGCAATGTCGAGAAACAGTTCTAGACTGAGCATGATATTCCAGGAACAACCTTTCCAAAGCTATGCAAGGCAAACGCGTTGACTCGCATGATATGCACATTATCTGTCCGATATTCGATGGTATTGAGCGACTTGACACGATCAAATGCGAGTATAATGGTCATACCTGCAATGAGAATGGGATGACTATATCAATCAAATAGGCGGATCAACTTTGGTAGTGCAAAGTTATTCATGTATGATGACGTCTAAAATGATACAGGGAAAGCAAATGCATGTGAGATGAACTAAGTTAATTAGCCTAGTCCAACTTGATGTCGCCCTCTCAATTATTTAGCAAAGCACTCAACTGAGATACAGCGTCTACCACTGCTTCTCTCTGCGGTGTCCAAACATTCTCAGCTACGCGTACACAGCTGGGGCCTCTTGATGCTCATTATTATAACCAGTAATCTGGGACACCATGGGGCAACCATGGGACAGTCTCGTTTTGATGGTCAGCCCGGACTGGTATTCAGTCCCGGCTTCCCGCCGCCAAGGCGCTTATTACAGGGCGCAAGATTTACTACCTACAGCATGGAGTTAACAAGTACTTGCGTCTTGCAGCAGGTCCCCGCTCAGGCCACAGATTGGACGAGAGTCTACGTCAGGCCTCAGAGCTGCGCCGAAATAATGACAAAGCTAGCTGAAGCTAATAATGTAAGGGAAAAAATCAAGAAATGACATTGCCATGTTTGTCTTCTAAAGACCGACGATCAATGAGACTTTGCTGATAGCCTCATCTGACTTCCCCCCCAAAGGTCAACAAATACCTGTTGCTTGCATTCAGTCTGGTGATATTCTCTGGAGTCACCGCTGTCCGATAGATCCTTTCGCGGCATCAGCTCTTTTATGTTGCCGGTATTGCGCTCGACTCCACCTCATCTCCAGACTTCCCACAGATCCGGACAGGCTAGCAACGTGACGATCCGCGACGGCTGTTCACACCCCTAACAAACCCGCCCAAAAGCAAACGAAAGAAAGAAAAAGAGAAAGAAAAAAAAAAAGGTCGGGCGTACACGTCTAGTATACCACAGGCTCAAAGACGACGAAGACAAAACAGGAGCCCACAAGGCCACCTTCCAGTAGCTGCCTCTGTTCGTTTCCTGTCAATCAACGACACAGCCGACACGATGACGAAACCACGTCGTGGGGTCAAGTTCCCCCATCGCAACGGCCAGGCCGACGGTCGTAGGGCAAGCATCAGCGAAGTCAGCGAAGATGGCTCTGGGTCGCCGATACGCGCGAGAAACGGAACGAAGCTCGGAGATATTGGCGAGAAGGAGGTCACCGAGCAGCGACCACCGCCGTCGCAGCCAGACAAGTCCGACTACGAGAAGAAGAAGGCCAACTTTATAACGCGAACCTTCTGGACATTTGTTATGATTGCCGGCTTCTTCGCTGCTCTTTTCATGGGCCACATCTACATCATCGCAGTCATGACCGCCATACAGATTATCTCCTTCAAGGAGGTTATCGCCATTGCATCCGTACCAAGCCGTGCAAGGGACATCAAGGCCACCAAGACTCTGAACTGGTACTGGCTAGCAACGACAATGTACTTCTTATATGGCGAAAGTGTCATATACTACTTCAAGCACATCGTTTTGGTCGACAAGGTCTTGCTGCCCCTGGCCACTCACCACCGCTTCATCAGCTTCGTCCTCTACGTCACCGGCTTCGTCTTCTTTGTCGGCAGCCTCAAGGCCGGCCACCTCAAGTTCCAGTTCACCAACTTCGCTTGGACGCACATGGCTCTCTATATGATCGTCGTCCAGGCACATTTCATCATGAACAATGTGTTTGAAGGCATGTTCTGGTTCTTCCTTCCTGCTTCGCTTGTCATCACCAACGACATCTTTGCCTACATCTGCGGTATCACTTTCGGCCGCACGCAGTTGATCAAGCTGAGCCCCAAGAAGACGGTCGAGGGATTCGTTGGCGCCTGGGTATTCACCGTCATCTTTTCCGTCTTCTTCGCCAATATCCTCATGCGCAGCAAGTATTTCATTTGCCCCGTCAACGACTTGGGTGCCAACATATTCACTGGGCTTGAGTGCGACCCCAACCCTGTGTTCCTACCACACACGTACAAGCTTCCCGAGCTTCTTTTCCTTCCCGAGCCGTACAAGCACTTCAGCATCACCACGGAACCTATTCAACTCCACGCCATTGTCATTGCAACTTTCGCATCCCTCATCGCGCCTTTTGGCGGCTTCTTCGCATCCGGCCTCAAGCGCACGTTCAAGATCAAGGACTTCGGCGACTCCATTCCCGGACATGGCGGCATGACCGATCGTATGGATTGTCAATTTGTCATGGGCTGCTTTGCCTATATGTATTTTCATACTTTCATTGCAACGAACAAGGTCTCCTACGGCCATGTGATGGAGCTCGCTATCACCGGCTTGTCGGTCGAGGAGCAGATCGAGCTCATGAAAGGAATGGGTCACTACCTCGAAAATCAGGGCGTCTGGGGTTCAAAGGTAAGTCCATGATTGCGTCATACAGCACTGAGTCGCTAGGAACGATGGCTAACATGAATTTAGGTTGTGGCATGTCTCGACAACGCTTTTCCTGCGAAAAGGTAGAATCGATTTTTGAAGGAATGGGCTGTGGGTTGGCATAAATACAGAAGCGTCCTGGCAGTGCAATAATGTGGTAGACTGGCGTTCTCTCATGAATTTTATTACGAAAGGGAAAGAAAAAAAAAGAACGGCCATTCTATTTCGTGATAGACAAACGTATTGTCGCTGATATCGTGCGCCAAGGATTGGTATATGACAAGCAGGAACCATCTTTTTAAAACACCGACACAAAAGCCAAAGGGTCTTATAGTCCAAAGGCAAAGGCAAAGGAAACTTAGGTCTTATTTATTATATCTTGGAGGCCAATCTCAACCTACCATCAAAGTAAACAATCAACTTATGGCCTGCTAGTTTTCGGTGTACAGTATAATACTCTATGATCCACACATGCTAAAGGCAAGGCCACCTCATTGAATAAAAGTAGTAGCTCTTCAAACGGTAGTCCTATGAACTCATCCGTGTGCGCTATTGAAGGGAGAAGGGAGGGGGGAGGTTGAGAGTGCAATGCACGTGTGAAATTCGATGTTGGCCCCCTCGCTTGACGAGGTGCTGGCTGACCCATCAGATATAATGGTCAGGCTATCTCCAATCGCTATATATGAGAATTCTGCATACCCGCAGACCGTCACACGCTAGCGATTATGAATTTGGTTGTGAGACACTCGCAAAATTACTAAAATGATTCGGCTCCGCCATTCTTAAGAGGACAAATCTTCTGCGCTTAAAGGCGACTAAAAAACCGGCACTCTCTTTCCAGTGATTTTTGGGGGGCTCTAATAGGGATAACATCAACCATGTCATGCCCGGTGGTTGGGTAAGCTGCCGTGCAGCGCTTGACTCTTCGTCGCTGTCATCGCGCCGAGTGCCAGAAACTGGACCACTGACCAGGCATATAACGTAAGCCAGTGGTCTTGAAAGTGTCCCATCACCGAGCGTTTTATCCATGCGACTATACAACCAGGTCCACATACACCAAGGCGTACCACTGCGCGTCACTGGCCATGGTTCTCAGGTTGACGCACATCTCTTAGCCGAGTTGTGTTGACACGACACGAATCAGGAACTTTGCAATCTATTCCGAAGGTCACCAATATCTACCAATCAATAGACATGTTATCATTAATAATAACAATAATAATAATTATTATTATTATAATAAGTGGTAATATAGGTAGGTGCTTGAGTCGTACGTGCCCATATACAAATTGTTCCAGTTCGGTGCAACATAATTGCAGGCCACGGGACAGCACATACCGGGGCTGTTCGTACGAATCTCATATGCGGGGGTTGATATTTACTGCTGGAGAGCATCCGCAACAGAGTAATAAGCATCCTTGGGCTGGTAGCTAGCATCGAAGAGAAGAGGAGTCTCCGAGGCTTGCCAAGAATCCTAAGCACCGAAGGGTTAACAAAGCCACTCTGTTCCCCCCGCGGGGCGTGTCAGTGAGAAGACTTACGTTATCGCTGATTCCCCAGGTGGTGACACCGACGCAGGCGTCGACTTGCAGGCAAGCGTTGGTGGCAACCCAGTAGTCGTCGTGCCCGGCGCCCTTGATGTCCAGCTCCGTGATGGCGACCTCGGAAACACCGGTACCGGCAAGCGCCGCCAGAGCGCCCTGAACACCGCTGACCTTGCCGGCGTCGAGGTGAGATTGGGAGCCTGTTCGCCGCGTCACGTCAGCTTTGCGAGGGATAGGCCGCCTCGGGATGGCGAGAATGTCTTACCGATGCCGTCAATGGGAATGCCGGCAGCAACCCACTTCGCGACGTGCGGGACAACGCCAACCGAGAGCTGGGGCCACGAGGCATCGTCCAGGTTGTAATCATTGTAGTAAAGCTTCGCGCTCGGGTCTGCGGCCCGGGCGGCCTCGAACGCGATGCGGACGTAGTCCTCGCCTAGGACATCGAAGAAAACCGAGCTTCGCCATGACCCGTCCACGTTGAATGCCTCGTTGACGACATCCTGTTTTTGGTTGGTGTTGTTAGCATCTTGTTCCAGAGTCATGCTCGGCAGTGGAGCTGATGCATACCCAGGCGCGGATCCTGCCTTTAAAATGCTCCATGACATTGGTGATGTGGTTTTGAATGACCCGGGTCAAATCATCGGCATTTCTGGTGTTGTTGACCCAATCTGGCAAGGCATTGTCTTCAAGTGGTCAGTTAGCTACAGGTCCTTTAATCGGACATCTTCTCCTGGAAGGTACAGTTCATTGCTTACACCACACAAGACAGTGTCCGCGAACAACGAAGTTGTTTTCCTCAGCCCAGCCGACCAAGGCATCCGCGGCGGCATAGGTGAACACACCCTCCTCCGCCTCCGTGGCATCCCACTTCATGCTGTTCTCGGGTGTCACCTGGCCGAAGTCTGCCTTCAGGATCCCCTCATCGGTGTTGCCGCTGAACTTGGACACCTCGGTGGCGGCACCAAAATAAATCTTGCCCTTGGCAGTGATCAACTCGTGTAGGCTCGGGTCGGCCTGACGCTTTGCAGCCTGGAGGCTTGCAGGGGATGCAGATACGGCTAGGGCCCCGAGGAGCGAGAGAATGGTGGCTGACTTCATCCTGTGCAAGGCTGATTGGGTTCCAGTGAAGTAATGACCGGTTCGATGTTGACACTTCAATAATGACAGACGGATTATGCGGACGGAGATCATTGTTATAAAGAAAGCTAGCACCAAGGCGATCCATCCTATCCTCCAGCGGATATGAGTTGCCCAATCTGTTCAGTACCCACCCTTCGTGTCATTCTCAAGCCGCTTTCCGTTTCGCCATGAACAAGACAGTTCTATTCCTGAAAAGAGGATTGGAAAGTTCTAGGACAAGCATGGCAGCTTAATTGACGTGCAGCGCAGATCATTCCTATACCGTGCCCACTTGCACGTCCCCGAAAGCGGACTGCACGTGTGGATTCGGTTCATGTAACCGCTTGTAACGTCAACCCAAGTTGCGAAACCAAATAATAACATATCTGTCAGTAGGGGTCCGTATACCTAACTAGCATAGTCAGCAAGGTGTTCGGACCGGCTCACCACTAGAGCCAAATGAAGGGGTTGTTGGCAAGGAGCAAAGGATTATGGTGGACACCTAGTACGATTTCTATTTATGGCAGCACTCCGGGCTTGCCCGTCGTGGAAAACGTCATACTACCTAAAATTCCACAGAAAGGCGTTGTTGCGTTGAACCATCAATCGCGGTACAAGGCGATGTTTACTCCGTAAGTCGGTTTTATTTTTATTTTTACACAAGGTTCATCATGTTGAAGCAGTTGGCACGCTTCGGCTTCGAAACATTGCATCTCTACATTTGGTGCCCGGAGTTCCTGCGCAAGTACATTGTTGCTTGCAACCATGCCGAAATGTGATTGCTACCATCCTAAGCCAACTTGACATGCACAATACTTCCGTGAAACCTTGCCAAAGCATGGAATGAAGCAGACTCGGTGTCGCTTAGTTTGAAGATAAAAAAATAATAATACTGTGTTGTAGTATGTTACGCTTTAAATCCACTGACACCAAAACTCCTCGCCAATGCATTGATCATTTCCACTTCTATATATGCTCCGTAAGGGTATTTTGGTGCATGAAATCTCAGGTATTTGAGGTTTTCGACACATACTCTCTCCCTGCCAGGCGCCGCAGATTGAGTTTATAGGCCCCTAACGACACATTCGCATCCCGGTTAACGCGACCGCAGCTTCCTCTTCAAGTTGTTGTGACGGACTAGGTGTTGACGACTTTCGAAGTGTAAACGTCAGCGTAATCAATGGAGAGCTGAGCATCATTGGATGCTGAAGATGTTGTAGGCTAAACCTACGCTGATTAGGCGACAAGGAAGCCAGTGGTGTCTGATCTAGCGGGCTATGTGGAGGTGAAGGATTCAAAGCTGGTTCCATCGTAGCTAACCGTGGGCCCGCTAGAAGGTCTTTGCCAACACGAAAAGGAGGAAGAATATTCTCCTGATCCATGATAGGCAATCGGGTCGTAGCCGAAGTCGCGCGCGTCCGAGCAGCAGGTACAGGAGTAGACGGGACGTAATTTTGAGCTTTAGCTGTAGGCTTGCGCTTACGAGGATTCGACTTGACAGCAGCACTGACGGTCGCCGATGGCTGGTAAGTTCCAGCTTCTCGCTCGGCTTTGGAGGTAGTACCAGCTGGTGATGCCACTTCAGTCAGCTGTCTAGCCGGCGCAGGAACGGACGGCTCGCCCGTAAATGCCGGCAGGAGAGTCCCTGGCGACCGCACTCGAAATTCGGAGAATAAGTAGTCAGGGTTGGTTCCTCTATGGCTCTGAAACCCCCTTAACTCTGCAACACGGTGCGGCGTCTGCGGCCTTTGAGCACTCGAGAGCTCGGAAGCAGCGTTCTTCAACTTGTTCTTATCAAGGGAATCAAAAAGAACACTTTCTTTGACTGCAGGTCGACGACGGCGTTTCGTGTTCGGCACCGGCTCTTGCCGAGTAGGAAGAATAGCTGGAGCAGAATACCTAGGCTTCTGCACTTTGACAGCCGGCTTTCTTGCTGGGCCAGAGTTTGAAACAGCCGGCAAAGTGGGTGCCGGTGGTTTTGTGGGAGCAGTATATCCAAAGAAGTCGAACTTTTCTCCACGAACCATGTAAAATGCTTCAGCGATCCTGCCCATACAATAAGCACCGCAGTTATAGTCATTCCTCTCGGCTTGTGGATTTTTTGCAGGCTCTTTAGACTTCGTGGATGCTTTCAGCTCAAGTTCGGGTTCGGGTTCAAGGTCAGGCTTAGCTTTCGGTTTGGTTTTGGGTTCAGGTTTTGGTTCGGATTGCAGTGCTAGGATGGAAAAGCCAAACGGAATGGGCACTGGAACTGGTGTCTCCTTTGGTCTTGGCCTGTCTTCCAAGATTTGAACCGTAGGTCGCCTCTTGGTCTCATTACTGATCTCCCGTTTCTTCTCGCCCATGCTTTCGCGCTTCTTGATGGAAGCAGCTTCCCGCTTCTTTTCCGCTAGCCCTTCACGCTTAAGCTTCTCGTATTCCACGATCGCGTCTGGAGACATCCAGAGTGTTGGTTTACGCTCTTTCAGATCGTCGACCCAAGCGTCACAATCCCATTGAACCCAATAGTCAATGATGTCACCCCATATGCTCTCAGATGGCTTCGTGAAGTTGATGAACACAACTTTGCCGCCTTTCTGATGGACAGCTTTGGCAAACTCTCTAACCATGACCTTCAAGCCATGAACCCTGAGACTCGTTCCGAGAACCAATAACAAATCAGGGCCGATGGAAAGATCATGCTGAACAATGGGTGAGATCAGGTCAGACTGCGGATGCTCTTCTCCGTAGAGGACTATGTCCGGCCTCAGCTTCCCGACGCCGAGAGCTCTTTTACCCTTTTCTTGACGTGCTGCGGTGGCGCCAGCGCAATGAGGACACTCAGGTTGCTCTCCAGACATGGTCAAAGCTTCTCGATCGTCTGCATCCCAATCGCAAAGTCGAGCACATTGAAAGCATCGAAGAGCCTGGAGTGAGCCATGGAGAAAGACGCACTCGACGCCTTTCTCTGCAGCACTGCTCAAACGGGACTTGGTCATATCCCCGTTCTCCGTGGCCTGTGATGACTGGGAGGCGTCTTTTCCGCTAGAATCATCTTCCTCTTTGAATTGGTCCAATTCGTCTCTCTCACCCTTTTCGGTTTCCGCCAATTGTTGCTGCTTGGCTGATTTTCTCCGCTTGTTACCTGCCCCCACCTTGAGATCTGTCGACAGACCAATCTTTTTCTCGATCTCATCGATATTCTGAGTGTATACTCTACTCAGCTTTCCGATGTCTCGCAGGCGGGCAATGAATTGGTGTGTGGTTGTTGGTTCGACTTCCCTGACTTTCTGCCTCAGAGTCGTGGCAAATCGATAGAAGACGGACGTTTTGAGGGGATCTGACCAAATATTGCAGTCGAAAAGGTCCCGCCCCTTCATGGTCCGTAGCCGTGCCTGTGATGTTTGAGAACTAAGGAAATTCGCGCCCTGGTCGTCTTCGGAATCCGATTCCTCAGAGGCGGAACAATCAGAGCTAGGGTCGGTGGGCTCATCCGACCGATCGTAGGGGTCAAAAAGAACCGGCGGTGGCGATGACAATGGCGATGACACAAAATGCGCTCCTTGGCCGGGTCGGGTCGGAGTACTGCTACCAGCAGGGTATTTGACCTGGTCCGAGCTAGCTGCCATGTTGGATATATCTGTTTGTGTAGATGATCTCGACATGTCTAGCGCAGAAAACGTGGACTCATTACTTCCCGAGGATTCGGAGGACGCGCCTGTCAGATGGCGTGGTAGTTCTGGGCGCATGACGGACGCGCGCGACCTTGTTATCCTTGTTGTAGACAACTTGATGTTTGCTTCAACGGGGGGCAACCCTGTGGCGCGCTGTCTGGGGAGATCCGTGACTGGCTCATGGTTGGCACATGTGAAACTTTTCCTTGATCTCAGTCCAGGAAACGCTACGATTGGCGATTCTTCAACGCTCGACTCAGAGGCGTTGCTGGGCGGACTGCTTGCGCGAGACGCGTTGTGTGTTCTTGACATCCGCCTCCGCTTGATGGGTCTGTCGTTCATGTCGGCATCGCTGGACGTGTCTTCGTCTTCGATAGCCCCGGAAGCCTCGGCCTTGTCGAACTGAGCCTGGATCAGGGAGTAAAGACCATGTTCGGAGCGAAAGTCCTGGGCAAAGTCAGTTCCATATTATATACCACGCGTTGTCGTGTCACTCACAGGTATGCCTGAGTTTGTGCTTATCCCGGCTCCTGTAACCACGACAACCTTTTTCGCCTTGCCAAGCGTGTCGGCGACAGCCTGCAACAGCTCTGCAGAGGTCGGGGTGATCTGTAAGGTCGGCATGGTGCGTTGTGTTGGTGGGTTTACAGATCACGACAGATAGCGTTGCTTACACAAGCCTCAAGCTGTGTGTTTCCTTCAGAACGCGCTGTCCAGATAGGGATGGCGTTTCGCGGTCGTAAATGTGGTTCAGCATGCAAATTGTTGCTCCATTCTTGATTTGAACATGGGGACGCGTTGAAGTGGGTTTGCGCAAAACAAGACCTCGCAAGGCGAGCACTATGTCCCAAGGGGCCCTCGATACGCGCTGACCGACTGGCTGTATAGGAATGATTTGATCTCAAACGGTCTTCCCAACTCGTGGCTAGTCGTTGCTGTCGCTTATGTTGATTTGATCGGATGTGCTGAATAGTTGAGACGCGTCGAGAAAACAAATCCTCCCTGGATATTGTGACAAGCGCTTGCTCTAAGCTCTGGCTAACGGTAGACAGTGACCTCGGGAGTTCGTTTGGCAAACAAGAAAAAGCTGTTCGTGTTTGTGCAGAGAAGTTTGGGATTTATTTGTTGTGTTCCTTTTCCCGAGTGCTGGTCGACCGAGAAATCGAACAGAGCAGGAATATTCCGTACTGTATGTAAGTACTACTAAGTAGTAACGTTAGTCTAGTTCGAGAGCGCGACGCTGGGTTACCCCACTAAAGCTCAAACTCAAAGCTCCGGGGGAATCGGACGGACGCAGCGCGTGGCAACTTCATTCAATGTTGTCTCTGTGAGCTCGAGTTCTTTTGAGCTCGACCTCAGCTCCAGCACTCAGACATCAGAGCAAAACAAACAAAACAAAAAAAAACAAGCAGTTCGTCTCACCGCGGTAGAGGCAAGGCCACCCGGGTACCGGCTGCGTATCGTAAGGTAAGGTATAATCCGTGGACTTAGGTAGGGAGCACAGTACCAATTGGAAGGGTAATAATAAACACCCGGGAGCACGGCCCCGCATCACTAGTCTCAACTCAGAGTGACATTGCTAGGCTGGAATAGAACGGCTGATCTCGGCCCCACTTTAGGTTAGTTCAGCCTTGCTTTGGGTGGCTTTCGAGCCGATCCAACCAAGCCAACATCCATCTTCTGCCGCGCTTGTGGGCTCTAAGCCGAGTGAGCTCACATTGTCGCCATGCCATCCCGATGAGCCATATACTGTCTAGGTAACTCAAATGCCAAATGATTCTGTCACCATGGCAGTTGCTGTGCTGATGGTGATGGCCTATGAGTACGAGTACCGAGCTGACGATTGGTCTCTTATGACAAGTCGAATTGGGAGTAGCGTCGAAACGCAAACACAACCTTATATCACCCACGTGTCTAAACACTATAATCATACTCTCATTCCTTGAAAGCTTATCAGCCAGTACTACAGTCCCCTGCTTAATTCTGGAGACTTGAAACACCAACGATGCGCTAAGTTTTACAGATACTGGTTATGGAAGCCTGGCTGATGGAGGAAACCCTGGCTTATTACACGATCCTTCCCAGCTTCTGTGTTGGTGCTGCTGCTTCATGGCCGCGGAGCGTTACTGCTACTCAACTTAGCCGCCATGATATCTCGAGCCGGTCGAGCGACCGACAGTGATATCGCGGCCAGTCGATCGGCAAAACAGCTAACATTGAAACGTCTTTCTGCCCCCGGGGGGAGCTGGGGACGTACGAAAGTTACGGGCGCGCTACTTATCCCCGGCACTAGAGGTGGTATCATGTTTGTCCTTGTCGGCGTGGTGTTCATTGGCGATGCTATCCCTGTTGTCGAGGGACTGTACGCATTGGCGAGACCACTCAGACTAACTACTCGTATACTAGGGTTAGGTGTCGAACGCCTCCATGCTTGTGCTCTCACTGGTCTTGGCGAGAGACTGCTTTCAAGAAAAGGAAGTGTTCTTCCTTGGGCTAATGCGCCCAGCCTTGCGTAATCATCCATGAACTTGTCAATGGTATCGCGAATTCCGGGGCTGGCCAGGTCCCGTTCCAGCTCGAAGAATCTCTGCAGCTGCTGCGTTCTGCTCTTAGCGGCCGACGAGGGAACCTTGAGTCTACCCAGTATGTCCTCGACCTCATTGTCGTCCTTCTTGATCACATGGTCCCCTATAAGATCCTCATGCAACGCGTCAAGTGTCGTCGCGAGATTTGCAAAGTGGTTGTTCCATTCTAGCATCCAACTTGTGTCGTCCTGGCCCCGAAAGCGTTCATTTTGGGAGATCCTCCAAAGAAGATTTGCTATATCTCTGGCCGCTTTTCTATACGTGCCAAGTGTCATCTCTACCCAGCCGAACTGGACGTTCTCTTGGTCATGGGGCCAGAGGTCATACCGGCCCTGCTTATTTTGCTGGAAATATTCGTAAATGTAATGCTGAAGCCTTCCAAACTGCCGCAGATGGATGTTATGCAAGTCTTTAACGTGCTTCAAGAGTGTCCCGACGTTACAGAATGTGACAATGAGAAGCTCCTGTAGTCCAGCATGCCATTCATCATCAGACACCAGCCGGGCGGAACTGGGAAAGGTGACCAGCCAGCTTGCATGGCTGGCCCTGCGGTCAGGGTTTCCCCAGTGATTCAAAACCAGCACTCCTAGCCTGGCTGCATTATACATTTTATCCAGGGCAGTAGGTAGAGGGTCGATCATCACTTCTGATTGATTATGCTCTACACGCTGTAGATATTCCTGGTGATAGCGAGACTTTATGGACAAGACTCCCCTCATTTCCACCAGACAAGACTTGCAATAATTGGCCAAGATTGTGTGCCCTCTTCGCTCAAGCATCGTGTAGACAGTTTCGAAGAAGTCCAAGTTCATCTTTGAGACGAGTAATTCAGTGACCTTCCTGTGGTACCAGTCGCACGACATCAGCGTGAAGTCGTCCTCGTCTGGAGCTGACAGCTTGATCCACTCGAGACCAAAAGCTGCTATGTCTTCGTCCCAGAAAGTCTGGTTGAAACATTTTGCCACCCAGTCGATCCTTATTGGTCGGCTAAAGTCGACGACAGGCTTTGCTACATTCAAAAAGCCCTCGTCTTCACAGAAGACCGCTGGCCATGAATAGCCTTCCAACATCAGAGGCTGCAAGGAAGTCATGCTCTCTGCAATAGGGAGCGCAGCAACAGACATGTCGAAGGTTTCGTATTCGAAAGCGCTTCCCACCTCCGCCCAGAAGTCGTCCTTCCAATATGGCTCGCCGTTCGCGTGACTCATGTCGAATATATCCCTGCCGGCTTGGTCGAGCAGATCTACGATGCGAGCAGATTGGTCAGGCAAAGTTCTTTCCCCAAGCGCACCACACATGAATGCGGTCGCATAATGAGTAGCATGCTAACACAATGATGAGTGAAGATTCCAGCCTTCCAACAGCATGAGTTACGTGGTTCGTACCATAAGTTCGTGTAAGATTGTGACAGCTACCATGAAGCTGCAGCAGAGTTTCTCGCTGTGACTATACTCTGGCACCAACAAGGGCCAAATCAGCTGCGCAGAAATATGCACTGTGAATGTGTCAGGGTCATCTACTCCCACGTCAGTAAACCCATAAAAGCTGCTATCGCATTTATCCCACGATTGATCCCATGGGTCAGAAAATTTGTCCGTGTAGTAGTCTCGTTTGGGATGATATTGGCCGTCGACGATGCGGAATCGCAGACCACATTCGAGTATTTGATCCACAATTCCGACTGTACTGAAGCCTCCCCGATCCCCATAGAGGTCCTTGATGGGATCTGGGCATTTTGTCAGGTCTATGGCTTCCATTGGGACCATTTTTATTAAATAGTCGGTGACTAAAGGTTGCCTGCGAGGATCCAAATCCCGATCAATAATAGATTGTCTGGTACGCAGGTCTCTCAGAGATTCCCAAAATGGAGGGCCCTCGTTCAATATACGTGTGGCGAATTGTAAGGCGGGCTGCAAGGCGTCCCACACCTCCGTGTTCCGATTCTTCCTTGGTTGTTAAAAAGATTCTTTCCTGTTAGCCATAAGATAAACAGAAACTCACAGCGTTCCACTCCTTACGATGGTTCCCAATAGTATAGAAATAGCGTGGGTCGTCCGCACTCGTCCCAGCCCCCGCAGTGTCTATCCATTTATTCCGAGTGAATAAACTGCAAAACAAGGGGTCAGGTCACACTTGCCAATGAAAGCATAAGCCTACCTTTGTTCCTTATATTTCACTCACTTATGCAGAGGCCGACTCATGTCTAGATCATTGGTGCTATCATTCGACATCGTGTGTATATTCCCACTAACAAGCTCCTCTGTTGTTAGGCCCCTGAATAGAAGACGTTGCCAGTCCTCGCCATATTCGATATCTTCGCGCAACCCTCCATAGAACTTTTGAAGTGTGGGGTTCAGATTTTGCTGATTCAGCAGGTCTAGATCAAACGGGTCGATAGTGAGATTTGGGTGATTCATCGTCACTGACAGTGGCTGGATCGCGTCGGGAATGCTAGCCCGGCCAGCCCGTTGTGCGTTCTTCCGCAGTTCGAACACCGAAACGGCAATGACTTCTTGGCCTCCTACCTTGAGAAGACCTACCAGGCCTTGATTTCTTGTTTCTCGGATCATATCATCTTTGTCGTCTTGCGCCTGTTGGTCTAGTTGGAGCTGGAGAACTGGCAGAATCCGACGTGATGGCGAATTTGAGGGGTTCAGACAACTCAAACCATCACCATCAGGCCGATCGGGATGCATTCCCCATCGGAGAGCATATTCGGCCGGTGCACGAGCTTTATCCTCGAGTCTGAGAGCTGGGCGTAACCGCCGCAAGACGTCGCGCTCCGGCCGCTCGATGTATTGCCAGCCTGGAAGTTTCAGCTCACGGTCGATTCTGAAGTTTGGTCTTGTCCATTGCGGCACATCAACTTCATACCAAGAATCACCTAGAGTGGGCACTGTCATAACGTAGTCAGCATGGTTACTTCAAATCTCATATGGAGCACCTACAAGGATTTCTCCCAGACTCTCCTGTGTATACATTTCGCTCGAAGAGTGCTGTGAGGAATGGTCTCCAATCATAGGACGGCTGGCTCCCGATCGTTAAGTGAATAGGAAACAAGTTCCTGTCTATTACATCTTGCGCCTGTCGTGCAGGATCCGCTGAAGCGGATGAAAGTCCAAATGCAGACATGTCCTATTACTATCAGGATGACTGACGCGTGGTAAAGGTGCGGAGATGTGATTGCACGAATGATTTTCGTAATCATGCATGAACTCTGTTGGTCCATTGATTATATTGCTCGACGATAGCCAAATACTATTCCAGCACTTTGACAAAGGGCTGTGTACGCCATTGATATTGTTCAGCAGTGTTGCTTCCGGTTCTCGACACTTTGTGACAAAGGCCCAACAACGACGCTGACATAATCATTCCAGAGAAAATGCACAGAATATAATAGTTATTGTCTAGGACTAAAAACAAGACGTTTTTATTGTTATGTTGCTCTGACAGCACTAATACTAAGACGAAAATCTCTCAGAATTGAAATTTTGAAATCTTTAAATTAAATCTGACAGCACAAACCAACCATTTATTACCAAAGAGGAAGACAGTAACATTGTATCAATCAATGAGGCGACGGGATTTAGTAGACTTGCACGTCTATGAAATGACAGAGTGTCAAGAGATCTTGTAACGAACGATGTACTGACCGTTTGCTTCAGGCTCTTCTGGCGACAAAATTGCCTCTGTTCTGTATGTCAGGCACTGAAATCTTCCCGCTATTCGTTGTGTACTCTGGTGTCAAGCCATGTTGGTTGCATTGCTGTGAAAATGAACAATTAGTTTGTTGTTTCAAGAGCTGAGGATCCTGGAAGGATTTCGATGGGGTCACCCCAGATTTGGCAAAACGAACAGCTGGGGTCAAAATCCGGGGTAGGAATCGCTCGGATTATCACGGCCACGAACTTTTGCACCACCCAGTATTGTCGTGTGGCTGCAGATGACAAAAGAATGATGCACATTTGCTGATGTTGAACAGAGCCAGGCACCCTCCAGGATTCTTCAGGGGGCTTAAGAAAATGACAACTTGTGACTACTCTTCAATTCGATCAAGCTTTGGCGCGACGGGACTGAGTTGAGCATAGCGCTATTCACATGCTGAGGCTACAAAGCACTTGTTCGGAAGCGCCGCAACGATGCGAACCTTCCAGCTAGACACAGGTTGGCGCCTTCAGACGTGATGCCCCAAATGATCCCATATGATTCTGATAGACTACAGGGAAGATGGTCGATTTACCAAGGGTTATCACGGGGTAATGCGATGTGAAACTTTGCTGAACTGGATAGTAGTGTGCCTGGATATATTGACGACACAAGTTTTCAATCTTCTTAATATGAAGCGCACTACGATTGTGCTATGCTAAATCTTGTCTACTGCTTGGCTGTTGGCTGGAAAACCTGCAATCGGTAGAATTTTGACTTTTAGTGGATCTGCACAGTAGTGGGCTTGACTGCTGTTGAGTTCTGAGTTTAGTATACGAGGCTATAAAAATGTTATCGCAGGAAAAGTTCATCAGAATGAAGATAAACTTTTTAGCACTTTTTGTTGACAGACATGGCATGCATGGTCAGGTAAGAGCGGCATTGCTGTCTCACCACAAATCTTATCCCTAAGGATGAGGCGCAGGCTGATCGTCAATGTCGAGCACACCACAGGGCGCGGGAGCAAAAATCAAGGGTGGCGATGCGAAAGAATCAGGACGTGGAATAGTGGATCGAAGGTAGCTTCTAGACGTCCCGCAGCTGCAACCAAAGAGGCAGGCCAATGGCGAGGCAGGGAAGATGAGCAACGAAGGTCACAAATTTGACATGCCTAGACCCTGAACTTTACCCTGTCCGCTTGTCTATGTGGCCACAAGCGATTCACTGAACTAACTGGGAGATTGAACATGAAGAGATAGACCTTCACGCCCTCGTGAATTAATGTAAAGGTTCCTCTTATGGCAGATGATGTCATACTCATGACGTAAAACACGTTAAAAAAAATAAAAATTTGCAGATACCATACTCGGTCGGTATGTATGTACGTACTTTACAGTAGACAAGAGGCGACTCGGCTGTAATAAAGACGGAAAACGACTCGGGGTCCATTTCGTAGTGTGATGAGAGATGGCAATTCATGAAACTGGATGCAACGCGGTCGCCGGGGGGGGTCGATGCTCACCGCCTTGCTTAGCAGTGCCGAAAATAGCCTAGAGCTGCTGATAAAGTCTCCCAGCGATAGAAGCGATATGAATCAGACAGCAGCCAATGATTCGCTGACGATTGCACGTTGTATCCGAGATTTACATGCATTGTAGGTTCAAGTACGTATCCTTGGGCCTGGACTGTGCTTTCGCTTTCTAGGCGGCGTTAGACTAGTCGATGTTTTCTACAACGTAAGGCAAGTCAAAGTGGGCTGGATCCCTGCAGCGAATGGCTGCCCGTGCTTTCCCCCTCCATCCCACCAAAAATTCGGTTGTTGCCCCTCGCCAGAAAATAAAAATTTATTCTGGGCCGGAGCGCGGATTCCTGAATAAAAGCTCTCTCAGCCTTCCTCGCACGCACACAAATCTCTCCTCTTTCTCCCATCTCCAGTTCTCTCCCTCCATACATAAAATATTTCCTTTTCCTCAGCAACAAGGAACTGACTGAGCTCTCCACTCAGTGATTTCCTGCCACACCGCCGAGGTTAGATACCAGCAGTGTGATAGCTACCATAGATCAGGCCTGATATCCATCGGCATCTGTGGGCATCGCACCTTTGCTTTTTTCTTTCTCTTTTCGACAGCCATCCCCCCCCGGATCAGTCGACCCAAGAAATATCATAGACGTCCGGCGCGACCACATTTTCTCTCATTTCCATCAACTATACGATCGACCGACCGACCGATTCCGCGGCTCGATCAACCACCCGGGACTCTACACATCCTCTCCACGGGTTATCTGAAAGGACACGAGTCAATATGTCTTCCAAGGAGAACGCCCAGTCCATCAAGGTCCTTGATGACCTGATGAAGAAGCTCACCGTCTCCAAGGACGCTGCTGATATCAAGGAGACCACCGTTGCCCTGGCTGGCTTCATCAACGGCCGCATCGAGGACCAGGCAGCTCCCACCAAGTAAGCAATTCCTCTACACGCAACTCGCCAGCAAATTTCACATGATGCGGGTGCCACCAGTTACCGTGCTCTCTCTGCTTCTGATTTGCCCCTCCAACCATCTACCTCACCCCTCTTGACCCACAAGCAAAATTTCCCCTCACCATGCCCACTTGCGCCCAGTTGGCTTTGCAGCTTGTCCCTCATTGGCTTTTCAGTTTCGAGCGGTGCATTCTTGGCTTGTCACTGGGCACAACCTATCTGGCATGTGGAAGTTTCCCAGTCCAAATTTCCAGTTTTGCGACATGGCTTCGGAAATTACTGTTCATCCATCCATCTGAATCGCAACACCCGCCCCACCGTCTTTGTCGTCGTTATTATTCTCGCGCGTGAGAGAGCTTTTGGTTGCTAACATGGTTTGCTCAGGACTGTTGAGGCCTTGAAGAAGGAGCTCAACAACAAGAAGGATGCCACCGCCAGAGAGAAGGCCTGCAACGCCATCCAGGCTATTGCACAACACTCTGAGGTCAGCGCCAACGTCGAGCCCTACCTCGTCGTTCTTTTGCCCTCCACTCTGGCAGCTATTGGCGACAAGATCCCTGGCGTCAAGAACGCCGCCATTGCTGCCACAACTGCTATCATTGAGAACATCACCCCCAACGCCGTCAAGGCTGTCCTCCCTCACATCGTCAACTCCATCTTGACCGCCCAAAAGTGGCCTGAGAAGATCACTGCTCTCGAGTGCATTGACACCCTCGTCCGCACCGCTCCTGCCCAGTTGGCCTACCGTGTCCCTGAGCTCATTCCTGTCGTCTCCGAGTCCATGTGGGACACCAAGAAGGAGGTCAAGGAGCGTGCTTACAAGACCATGGAGAAGATCTGCGAGTTGATCGTCAACAGGGATATCGAGCGCTTCATTCCCGAGCTGATCAAGTGTATTGCCAAGCCTGAGAACGTCCCCGAGACCGTCCACTTGCTCGGTGCCACCACTTTCGTCACCGAAGTCCAGGAGCCCACTCTTGCCCTCATGGTTCCCCTTCTCGATCGTGGTCTTGCTGAGCGTGACACCGCCATCAAGCGTAAGTCTGCTGTCATTGTCGACAACATGTGCAAGCTTGTGGACGACCCCAACATTGTCGCTCCTTTCTTGCCCAAGATGATGCCCGGTCTCCAGAAGAACTACGACAACTTGGCTGATCCCGAGGCTCGTGAGAAGACCAAGCAGGCTCTTGACACCCTCACCCGTGTCGGTGACGTCAAGAACGGCAAGATTCCCGAGGCCCGCCACGACGGTGACGTTGCCATCGTTCTCGGACATCTCAAGTCTGTCATCCCCAGCAAGCATGCCAAGACTGCTGAGGCCCTCGCCCCTCTCGTTGAGTACATTGCCGCCATCGGTGGTCAGCTCGTCGACGAGAAGGAGGTTGAGAGCACCACTTGGGCTGGCGCTGTCAAGCCTTTCCTGACTGTCCTTGTCGGTGAGGCTGATGCCGACTCCGTCCTCGATGCCCTTCGCAAGAAGGCTTCCTCTGCCCTGACTGGTGGCGCTGAGGAGGAGGCTGACGATGATGAGGGCGAGGATCTTTGCAACTGCACATTCTCTCTCGCTTACGGTGCCAAGATTCTGCTCAACCAGACCCACTTGCGTCTCAAGCGTGGTCGCCGCTACGGTCTTTGCGGTCCCAACGGTTCCGGAAAGTCCACTCTCATGCGCGCCATCAACAACGAGCAGGTCGAGGGTTTCCCCAAGCAGAGCGAGGTCAAGACTGTCTTCGTCGAGCACGACTTGGACTCCGCTGATACTGAGATGACTACCATCGACTGGACCATGAAGAAGCTTCAGGAGGCCAAGGTTGACGTCTCCAAAGAAGAGGTTGAGAGGCGTCTTGATGAGTTCGGTTTCAACAACCAGATGGTTCAGGGTGAGATCTCCGCTCTTTCTGGTGGTTGGAAGATGAAGCTGGCTCTGTGCCGTGCTGTCTTCGAGGCTCCCGATATTCTGTTGCTCGATGAGCCTACCAACCATTTGGACGTGAAGAACGTCAAGTGGCTCGAGGACTACCTCACCAACTCCCCTTGTACTTCCATCATTGTCTCCCACGACAGCAGTTTCCTCGACAATGTTACCCAGTACATCATCCACTACGAGCGTTACAAGCTTAAGCGCTACAAGGGTAACTTGAAGGCTTTCGTTGAGAAGAACCCCCATGCCAAGTCTTACTACGAGCTTGGAGAATCCGAGATGGAGTTCCAGTTCCCTGCACCCGGTTTCCTCGAGGGTGTCAAGACCAAGGCCAAGTCTATTCTCCGTGCTACCAAGATGAGCTTCCAGTACCCCGGTACTGAGAAGCCTCAGATTGACGACATCACCTTCCAGTGCTCTCTTGGCTCCCGTATCGCCGTCATTGGTCCCAACGGTGCTGGCAAGTCTACCCTGATCAACGTCCTCACTGGTGAGCTCATCCCTACCAAGGGTGAGATCTACCAGCACGAGAACATCCGTATCGCCTACATCAAGCAGCACGCTTTCGCCCACATTGATAACCACCTCGACAAGACTCCTTCTGAGTACATTCAATGGCGTTTCCAGACTGGTGAGGATCGTGAGACTATGGACCGTGCCAACAAGATCATCACCGAGGATGACGAGAAGGCCATGGACAAGATCTTCCGTGTTGAGGGCACTCAAAGACGTGTCATCGGCATCAACAGCCGTAGAAAGTTCAAGAACTCTTACGAGTACGAGTGTACATTTGCCCTCGGCGAGAACATCGGTATGAAGAACGAGCGCTGGGTGCCCATGATGAGTGCCGACAACGCCTGGTTGCCCCGTAGCGAGCTGCTCGCTTCCCATCAGAAGATGGTTGCCGATGTCGATATGAAGGAGGCCCTTGCTTCCGGTCAGTTCCGTCCTCTGGTCCGTAAGGAGATTGAGTCTCACTGCACCAACTTCGGTCTGGATGCCGAGCTTGTCTCTCACTCGCGTATGCGTGGTCTGTCTGGTGGTCAACGTGTCAAGGTTGTCCTGTCTGCTTGCTCGTGGCAGCGACCTCATTTGATCGTCCTCGACGAGCCTACCAACTATTTGGATCGTGACTCTCTTGGTGCTCTTTCCAAGGCCCTCAAGAAGTTCGACGGTGGTGTCATCATTATTACTCACTCTGCCGAGTTCACCAAGGACTTGACTGAGGAAGTGTGGGCCGTCATGGACGGTAAGATGACTCCTTCCGGTCACAACTGGGTGCAAGGCCAGGGTGGTGGCCCCAGATTGGACAAGAACAACGATGATGAAGAGGAGAAGTTCGATGCCATGGGCAACAAGATCGTGACCACCAAGAAGAAGGCCAAGCTTACCTCTTCTGAGGCACGTAAGAAGAAGAAGGACCGTATGGCTCGCCGCAAGCGTGGTGAGGAGGTCTTCTCTGACGAGGATGACTTGTAAACTCGTCCCCTCGCACGTTCCCATTGCATATTTACGACTCTCACGTACGACTTAATACCTTCATGAATATGGTCACTCCCTTTCCTTTGTAGATTCCCTGATCAGCAGAAAAGTTCGGGTTGCATGGTTCAGGCATTTTCTGTTTTCGAGCGCCACGGGATGAAAAGCAACCGTGGATGGCGCATCCTTTTGAAAAAGCCAGTAGGGCACGGAGGCTACTTGTCTGGTTTGGAGACCCAGGTGATGATAGCTTTCATGTATTGGCCACGAGGATACCATATAGACAAGAAGGGCTGTTAATAGAGTACATTAAAAGATGACTTCGACTTAACCTTCGATGATTGTGAAGTGTATTGTGCATTCAACCTTGTCTCCGCGTTGTTATGATGATTTGTATGCGTTTCCAGCGCTTGAGCCCGTGTGTATAGTGAAATTTTCTGTTGTCAAAGCCATCTAAGTCCTTTGACCACACGCATGTTAACTTTTGCGAGTCTACCTGTACAAATAAACTACGTAGCAGTTTTCCAGACGAGGACTGGCTTGACAACCGATCCGTCACCCATACCTTTGATCGCACCTTCAAAATCCTCGAAGTCAAAGAATTTGATGAGCTTTTCCACAGGAAATTTGCCCTCGCGCCACCACTGGATCAGGTCTGGTATATACTTGGCAGTCCGGCTATGTCCTTGGACAGCGCCGAAATACTGTTTTCCGCTAACCATGAAACTTTGCATATGGAGAATTACGTATGATTCTGGCATGCCCGTACCGACCTGGATAATCCGGGCCATGTATCGTGTGAACTTGACGGCAGCATCAACCAGCGGTGGATGGGCTGACGTGTCAATGACTATGGTGGCTCCCAGGCCGTCAGATGCATCCTTGACAGCTTTGACTATCTCCTCGATGGGCTTATTGTTCGTGTCAACCACGTCTGTGGCGCCCAGGTCACGAGCGAGGTCCAAGCGCGAGGCCAGACGATCGAGCCCGATGATTCTACGACATCCGGCGTTCTTAGCGGCCATGACAGCAGCGAGACCAACGCCACCCAGCCCGATGATGGCGATACAGTCGTCCGGACCTGCCTTGGCGACGTTCTGTACCGTGCCGGCACCGGTCTGGAGCCCGCAGCCGAACGGTGCCAGCAGACGCAGCTCGTCAAGACTGAGGTCCAGTGAGGAGACATTGACCACCGACTTGGAAGAGACGATTGTGTGGCGCGCGAAGGATGATTGTCCAAAGAAGCAACCACCGATATCAGGATTGGCCGCGGCCGACGAGTCCATCGAGGTCCTGATATGGTGGGAAGTGAAGACAGGGTTGCCCATGAAATTTATGTTGAAAAAGTCTGTACAGTGAGAAGGAGGTCCTGTGGTTCTTGTCAGTATGCGCTGCCGCCATGCTTCCACAATGCTTATATATGGAGGCGATGCGCCATACCCGTTTTGCAAACATGGCATTCTCCACAATACGAGAATGATAACAGCACAGCATCCCCTTCCTTGACAGAGCTGACCGCAGAGCCAGCTTTTTTGACATATCCGGAGCCTTTTACAATTTTAGCGAGCCTGTCTCTGCTTGGATCGAAAAGAAAATTTTCAACCTTCGTGGCCTAATACTCTGGGGTAGAAAACTGCCGGCACGCCCTTGTCGTCGGGAGTGTTGCCACAGTGTAAGTCGGTATGACAGATTCCCGAAGCAACAATCTCAACAAGCACCTCATCATCGCCGACTTCGCGCAGCTTCACCGGCTCTATCGCCCATTTTCCATCCGAAAAAGGGCCACGTGATACCAGGGCTTGAGACTGGGCGGCGCCGGACATGATGCGTATACTCGCTTAGGGTGCGCCTGATGTAGGGTGGGAAAGCACAATAACGTTCACATAGAATCGTTTCTCTGACGTGAAGATGCCAAAAGCGACATTCCGTCGAAGAGCCAAGGTCAGTATACTTTTATCCTTACGCCGTCACCACCGGCGGCTTCCGGTGTGGGGTTTGCGGGGGGAGTCCTGCGTTTTTCGCTCTCCAGGAACCGTCGGTTTCCTGAGGCTCACACAATGCTAGTTCAAGGCGAGGGTGTTTCAGTACCCACAACCAGTCTTGGATTATTTTTATAGCTAGGGAACGACACATAATATCGCGGCAACGGCCACCCGACCTCTGGTGGACTGTATGACGAAATTGGCAAATCCTACCCATCATATTAACATATCTGTGCAGGGAACTGAGGTATTGAAGCGGTTTTCTGGGGCTTCACACAGCGTCCCAACCATTGCTTAGGGTAGGATTCATGAGTGAGCTGTGAGAATCAGGTGTCCATGCTATGTTGCATTATGTCATTGATTTCGCTTGGTGCCACCGCGGACATCATGGACATCCTGATCGCTCAAGGATAGAAGACAAGGTAACTCAGTTGAAATATTTGTTTACGAAGTCGAGGGAGGAGAATATCACGAATCTTGATCATAAGTATAGTAGGTAGACGTTTAAGCAGCCTTTGGGAAACCTTTGCAACTCTGTAGTGAGATTATGAATTTTGTGCATGGACAACGTTATCACCTTCAATTGCAGTTTACGAGAATGTGACTATTACTAAGAAGGAACTACTCATTTTTCATTCTGCGCACTCTACTTTGTTTGCCAATATCCATGATTCGACATCTCAGCTGGACTTTCTACCACATGTTTGGCGCTGGGCACTTCAAGCTACATAGGTGACTCCGACATCCCGTGGAGAAGTACTTGCCGCCTTTGCAACCTCAAATGCGCGGACCAGAGCGGGATACCAGATATTTGCCATCTTCGTGTCGCCTGCGTCGTTAGGATGAACCCCGTCCCGAAGGTCACTAGCACTACTGAAGCCCGTAAACTGGTCCACAACCCAGATAGGCGAATCAGTCGAGTTCTTTGATTGTGCCCAAGGTATAATGGCCTTGTTAAGGGCTTGAATCTGCGTGTTGTAGTTACCCAAGTTGATCGGGATGATTTGTGCTACCTGGTGACAGAACATTGTTAGTTGCTTCCGGTCTGGTTTTAGGCGCTGGACAACTGCTACTTACAATAATCTTCATCTTTGGGTTGCTATCTCGCATGACTTGCACGAGCGTAGAAAACGCAGCAATAATGTCGTTGACAGGCTTGTTCTGCTGCACGATATCATTCGTGCCAAGATGCATGGTGATCACGTCCGCAGGGTTCTGTTTCAGCCAACCGACCAGCTGCTTGTTATTCGCAATGTTGATAGCCAAGAACCCGGAATGACCTTCGTTGTCATGGTCATATTTCGTGTCCTTGCAGTTGTTTTCCGTCGTACCCGAACCAACCCAGTTCACATTTGCCCACTCTGTCGACTGAAGCTTCTCCCAAAGCTTGGCACGCCAGCAGATGATCTCCGTTATCGAATCGCCAAAGGGCATGTAGCGCAATGTTGCATTCTGAGCCAGCGCGGATGTTGCCAGAACGGTGATCAGACTATATTTCACGAGCATTTTCGTTGATCTATTGGCGGTAATTGCTAATACTAGAGAACTCACATGACTGTATATTAGAACCCCATGATACGGGCGTCCTTCACATTTATATTGAAATACGAGTGGAGCACAAAAGCCTTGTTGGGTGTATTTGCAAAACTATTATAAGTTGCAAGAAAACCGATGAAACGTCATCATATCCGGGTATGATGCGGCAAATATCAATGATGTTGCAATTTGTATGCGGCTAAATACATATGGTTATTCTCTAAATAGTAAGTCACAGAATACCTCGTGATTGGCCCCTCAGTACCGGATGGCAGACCAGAAATATGCGCCAACTCCGGAAGCATTTTTGGTAATTCTTACGGAAGGCTAATATCCAATCCTCCTAGTTGCGTCCGACCCACTGGTACATGAATTATGAGACGCCTCTCTCATTGAAGTCTCTTCATTTGACCATTCACAATTGAGCTGTCAGGTTACATTGGATATCCGCATGCTTTAAGCTTTTGCCCTTACTCCGTGAAGTCGTATTCTCGTATACCAGAGAGCATATCCCAAAAGCTGGCATCATATATTCAGCAAGTAAAGCTACAATACATACTTCGGATTTCGCCTCCATCCCAACGGCTAATCTTGCATTGAACACTCTTGTTTTTGTTCTAATGGTTAATGATAATAAAAGTTGATTGGGTCGTTCTTCGCTCCTATATTCAGCATGAGGACGAAAGGAAGGTCGTTGTCGATCGCATTGCTTCCGCTACCGATTCGGCCATCACCATAGCTTTCAGAGTCGTGGTAAAGTGAAGGCCCAAGTATCAACGTCATGAGCGCTGCACTAGCCGCTAGTATACTGAGTGTCCATTTAACTAATAGTGTTTGACTTCTGAGTGATCGTCAAATAAGTGATTTAGTATAGAGGTATTGCGTTGATATCGCACATTTTTTTCTATGTTCTCTAATACTGAGCTTCCAAGTAAAACTTCAACAACCCTGTGAGAAATCACCCAAGTATTACATTTAACTTAATCCAAGTCCCTAGGCCAATATCGTGAGATAAGATGATGAGGTATTGGATCTTCAGTTGAACCCTAAAGTAGGCCATTTATACTAGGTTAGATGACGCATCGAAAGCCAAGACTTTAGTGGACCTTTGTGTGCTGTCAGACTAATAATTGGCACGGAGACGACAGAAGCTAGAAGGAAACCACAGTGGAGATAGTGAAGTTTCTCATCTAGTCTCGCACTTTCTCACGGATCTATTTACTAATAACACCCTGACAGACATCAACAATAAGAATGTCTTCGTGGCTCAGTTGGCTAGAGCGTCAGTCTCATATATTATACATATGATTCTCTTGGTAACGAGAGAAATTCCTATCTGAAGGTCGCCAGTTCGAGCCTGGCCGAGGACATTAAGTTTTGCTTGTGTCTCTTTTTCGCAATTTCCTTTGCATTGTGGTTGTGATTGAGAATAACTATGCAAGTTGAAATTTGTGAGGTTGTGGCGGCTTATTATAGTGCCTCTCGGTGATATTGGTTTAAACTACAGCTGGTAGGGTAGCAACATATTTTGAGTTGTTGAATCAACCACAAAATCTCCCGGAACCACCGTAGCTCTTTCTGCTCTCTTTAAATTTTCATAATTTTGCATGTGCTTTATAGCTCAAATTTTTGCAAGAATGCATCATGTGTTCTGCTGACACAAGTTTTGGGAGTGAATGCCGACTTATTTGTCCTCAGTGCTAGTTAGTGGGTGCATTTGTTAACGAGTTCAGGGGGCGCACATTAAGTAAGTACTGAAAAAGCCTGATCAGTCATTCAATGCATTGTTACTTACGTGAATGACGCACGAGACATTTCTACTCATTAAAAAACCACTTAACATGAGCATTATATTTCTCTAATGATAATATCATCTCTTTCCTAAGTAGGCGTGCGTCATCTCTCATATACACGGGTTGTAAGTAGGAATCATAGCTTTGATTCTTCATAAGACACTACGACTATAATATTAGTGGTCTCGTATCACACTGCCTGAAGTAGGTCAGACTGCTTATCACTCCAATGTGGCAATTGTATTGCCAACGTAGAGTGAGGTTTGAGCTTATATGATGATATTTATGCTGTACTCACAATCTCTTATTCATTCGCGGTTAAATGTTTTGCATGCGCCGGTTAGGATGTTAGAATATGTCCCTCATGTAACAATTTCCGAAGCGAAACTCTAACATGATACAATTGAATTCTATAGTAGTGACGCCGTACGCCACGACGCCTCTTACACCGTCATGTGAATACATGACCCCTAACCAAGCGCTTCTGAGAAAGTACTGAATTGACCAATAGCTCCCAGCCCAGTAACACAGTCGTAACCTTTGTAGGCCGAAAAACCCTCTTCCGTATCATTCTTGCCATATATACAGGGTGCATTGCTCCCAGCTGACACATCAATAAGCGACTGGCGCACCTTACCACTATAAAGCCGAGGATTCAACCAACCCAAACTTGGTTTGCCAGCCTTCAGTCTCTCCTCGTTGACCAAGGCCACTAATGCTGCGACCACGGGTGTGCTGGCGCTCGTCCCACGCACCTGGGCCTCTTCTCCGCCGGAAAGGATAGTGAAAAGCTCTCCTGGCGCGCTAATATCTGGAATCGCACGGCCAGTCTGGTTATAAAATCCCATATGCGCACCGTTCATCGCTTTGATGTATCCGGTGGCATCCTTGTCCTGCCACTCTGGCGTCTCGAAAATGTTGCTAAACCCGCCCCCGCTGATGAGTGCACCCTCAATAGGCAAAGTATAGCCAGTGGCGCCAACGCCTGTCACATAGGGACAGCTAGCCGGAAAGGTAGGAATAAAGGTCTTTCGCATGTGGCCATCATTGCTGTAACATTCTCCCAGGCCAGTGCCTGCCGCGCCACCGTCGCCAGATGCGGCGAACACTGAGGTGCCTCGAGCTGACAGTACCGCGAACAAGTCACAGACCTTGATGGCGTAATCCCTTGGAACAGTGTCCTCATCATCGGCGTATGATATGCTCAGAACATGTGGAACTTCATCATCCGACAACTTGAGCATGTCCTGCAAGAACTCCAGAAAAGGTTCATTGCGGCTCTCCTCGCTCGGCACCAGTGTCCCATTTTCGATCTTCTCGCCGCGCCCACCCATAAGCCAATATGTCACATCCGTAGGATAACCAAGCGTCGTAGCATACTCCAGGTCTAGACTGGCTTCTGTGCCAGCTGCCTCCGGCGGTGACTGGGGATTCGTGGCGGCATTCAGGAGTGATACAGAGATGTTGTAGCCTGTCGCGTGGATATCGGGGGCATATTTCTGCATGAAAACCGACAAGTCGTCGTAGTGAGCGTGCTGCTCTAGGAAACCAGCCACTGCGAAGCGCGTCTTCGGCGTACCATTGGAAAATTCTGTACTGTTCGAGCTGGGGAGATGATATAGTTTTCGGAGGCAGTCAGGGGTGACTCCGTCAACGCATGGTCCTGTGGAGTTGCCCTGAGTTTGACGAGAAGCGACACCGTAGGGCTTGTATCTGGCATCACGACGCACAACGTTATTTCGCGTTGCACCACTTTGTCGGGGTATATCCCGTCCAGTAACACCCTTCGAATTTGAAGGTACCGGCTGTGCAAAGTGCGATAGTGGGTGGATAAAGCGAATGTGTTGGGCAAGATGGTCCGGTATCGAATATGAAGTTGCGCGCAAGTGTGTCGAAGATCTTCTATATGAGAAGTGTCCTATGTCTGCCTCAACGAGATCTCTGACTGCGCCCACAGAGGACCGAAATTTGATGGATGAGCCCTCAAGCCTAACGTTGAGTATCCCGTTGTCCCTGAGCCAGGACGTTACCGACCGCAGTGCATGTGCATCTGGTTGTTGATAGAAGTCCACCTCGTCTTTCGTGAGATGCTTGCCATAATCGATACTCTCTGGTTGGCTGATCGCTGCCAATCGAGCTTTCAACTCAACTAACCCAGGCTGTTTAAGTTCAACTGAAAGGTCAATCTTTTCAGCTGGGTTAGCCCTCCTCTCCAGCTTCCATCCACTTGGTAAATTTTGGCCTTTTACGGGCAAGGTAACAATTTTTGCGTTAGCCACTGCTATAAAGGCAGCAAAACAGGATAGAAACTTCATGACTAAACAATTTGCAACTGGGTACAGCAGGTCAAAGACTACCATTTAAGTGATCATATCGTTGGGGTTGGCTTGAAATAAGCCTGGTAACATCCATCACTATGTATTCAGAGTTGTCGACTCGACAGATGTTACTCGGCCGAATTGCAGTTGGCTAGTACATTCACATCAACTGATCCTATAGGATGTGGCGTATTTTGTGGAAAAGGAAGCCCAGTTGCAGATCCCGCTAAAAATGGGAGAGTGTACCCGGCAGCTGAAGGATGCGGCATACATCATTGCTTACAAGGAGACAAACCTATTCAATCTCAAGGCGATCAATCAAGCTGAACAAAATAGATCAGCACAATTGCTCTGTTGATGCATGTTGCTCAGCAAGATTGTCCATTGGATTGGACTTTCAGAGTGGGGAATGGGCTCCAAAGGGCTACTGCGGAGTGCCTTATTTAGAACCATGGTTTTAGCCTCCCTCCTTCTTCAGCATAACGTCACTAACCTTAGCTATAGTGGTGGGCCTGGCACGCAGCCTCAACACTGTACCTTGCCTACGCAGATGGCGTCATGTCGTTGGTTTCGCTCCCAAGACATCGAATCTATCTAAACGAGCACTAAATAGGAAGCTGACGGACGCTGTACGATTCAGGTTCGGTTCGTTGTCAGCTGGCTGTTAGATTGCTTGGGCATTTCCAGCCCTTGCAATATCATCCGTATCAACCATCTGCATCGTCAATGTCATTGCCCTCATCTGAGTCATCCTGCGACAGTTCTTCCAATGCAACCATATGGGCAGTTTCTTCTTCATCAGTCGAACCTTCTTCTCCTTCTCCTTCTTCTTGTTCTTCTAACCCTCCTTCCAGTGCTACCATGTCGGATAAGTCTGTGTCATCTTCTGTCGAGAAATCGTCAAGGGGTTCCGTCTCGAAAAACAAATCGTCTTCGTCTAATTCAGATCCAGAGATGCCAGACCACTCATCGCTGCTGTCTTCTGGTCTAGCATCTCTAAACCCGAAGATGTTCATCTCTCTCATCCTGGCGTGTACTCTCTTCTCGGCTTTGCGCATCTCCTCTTCATCTTCTGCTTCTGAATGGACAGCCATTGTCTTGCGGACGTGGCTCTCAAAGTACTTCTTGACAACTTCGTTGCTAAGAGGTAGCTCATCGGGATAGTCCTTGCCCCCTTGTCTGCAATAGCAGTTGACCGAGCTCCTCATATCGGATGGGCCGCTTTCAGGTGTCCAAAGATCATGCACTTCGACTAGGCTACTCGCGCCGTCCGAGCCATCCCAGCCATATGCCGTTTCTTCCGATCCTTCAGGATAACCGCTGAGACGCCCGCAGAAGCATACCTCTTGTAGCTGTAGTGTGGATCTAACATCGGGTAAAAGCTTTTGCCACGAGCCCTTAGTCAGGCTAACGTCTCTCAGGCATATATCGGACAAGGAATTCCTGTGTAGCTCCAAGAATTTCCAGAGGTCTTCCCTGGTGCAATCAAAACCTTCGAGTACTAAAGTTGACAAGGTTGGCCAGTGGTGATCTGGAGCTATAATCCAGTTGAGAGACGCAGCAGGTTTGCGATCCTCCCAATCGCCACGGACGGCGACCGCAAGAGTATCCAAACCAGGCATCGACGTCAAAAGATTTCTCAGGCCGCCACTCTTTAATAAACTGCGGCATTTGCTAATGTCATCGGTGATAACAACTCCATTATCGTCCGCCTGGATCTCCAGAACAAGATCGATGTATTTCAAGTTGTGCAATGGCGCGAACAAACGGGATAAAACATCAGGTTCCTTGTCGAAGAAACGCCAGCTCATGGAACCTGCGCGTAACTCTTGGATGCTGAGCCGGTGATGCGCGAGGCTTTGGAGCAATACCTCCAGCTGTGCAACTCCCGGAGGAAATGCATAATCATGGGCGTCCCGTAGACATCCATCATATACACTCTTTGGATTGTTACGGCCTTCGTAGAACTCATGCCCCGAAGACATTGTAATTTGCTGCAAGTTTGGGAAACTTGGGAGGACTTCCTCAAGACACAGACGGTCCATCTGGTCTGCAATGAGAGCATTTTGCGAGGCTACCATCTCCAGGTACGTCTCGTAGTGTGCTTTCAGTTGTGCTGGAGATTGAAACAGCTTCCATTTACGTAACTCCGTCAGTTCCAGATCAATCAACGAAAATTGTATCGTCTGCTGATGATCGTGTACATATTGTTCATAAGTAAAGGGCAGGGCCTCCAAGCGCGCTGCGAAGTATGTCAAGGACTTGACATTGCGTGCCAGGACTGAATTAGCAGCAATTCCCCTCAGCTTCGCCAGGTCTTTGGCATGAAGATGGAATGAGACCTCGGGGAGAATGTGTGCGCCAGCGATGACCGACAAGTTCTTGCTAACAAGGCGGAAGTTGAGCCGGTCCTTGATGTCCAGGAACAACACCACGATATGCAGGAGCTCAGGCGAAAGACGATCCATATTGCCCGAAACAAGCTAATATCTCAGTATGATCTGGAAGATCCGCTTGTGCTTGTGCTAGGAAGTAAATTGTGTCAAACAACGCGCTTCCTATGTAATGCAAATTCCTTCTTCAAAGTTATGGTCTGTGCTGCGATAGCCAAGGGGACGCTCCTAAAATTAGTGCTAACTAGTCTTAGTGGTTTGCTTTTCCCTGCCAATGTTACAGTGATGACGAAATAAACACCATATCATGCTTTGGTGGACCCTCAATGTCGCTACTTCCCGCTCCTTACAGTAGGTTACTATCAACAATGTGCGACATGCGCGCGATGTGCACGTAGCTGGAGGTTTTAGGCGAGCTTTCATGTTAAATCTTCATCGCGGGGGAATTTTTTTTTGGTCTTTTTTTTCACAAGAAAACTCCCGGACGTCCAATGAGTAGTGATGGACATGTGTGTGGACTGAATCAACTCCTTGATACCTACGAGGACTAATGTATAATCAAACGGCGTCTATTCTGTCGATGATTTTACGGCGATATGCTACAGCTTCCAAGGATTCAATGGTCCCTTGCTTGGTCCCCAAGAGTGTCCTAACCGTGCAGGAGCCGACTGCGACGAAAGTCCTCGATTTCTCAAAGAAACTTCCCTGGCTTTGCGGACCGCCTGAAGAACCATAATAGTAAGCCATATAGGGTGTGTCACTCACTCGATATTCGAGCTTGGGACGCTGTAACGAAATACCGAGGGAGTCTTGTTATGACCAGCAGCTGAAGCAGTTGGCACAGTCCAGCCCGCTCGGCTGGATCAGCTTAACAATTTTGGATTGCTCTGCAGACGAGTTTTGTATGATGTATGCGCCAGCGTAGGAAAAATTGCATAAGTACTCAAATGACTTGCAATCGACATCTTCTCAAATGACTGACCGGATCTTGCGTCTTTGAAGCTTCCGTCAACCAGCGTCTTGAAGTACGGCGACAACCATGTGAATGCTGTTGTGCGGACAAGGCACATTCATTTTTCAGGCCCAGCAACAGACGTCTAAGGTTTTGAATTGAATATACTGCGAAAGCTCGGTGATTAGCCATCATTGTGTGGAGACTTGGTCCAGCCGTTTCGCTTTTGAGGACGTACTCTTGCAAAACCTGGTCATCATGCGATACTTCAGAGGACATGTGCTTGGCTCGCAAGGATACATTTCTGGACGTATCTAGCAACCCGTTGATTTCGGAGATAAGATATTGACATATAGGGGGTCTATTTCTGCAGAGGAAATGTCCCTATCCAAGTCGAGCTCTCTGTTTGAAATACGGCCACAACCTCAAAGATTCATATCAGGCAATTAATTAATGTCGCATATGTATATTTCACGCAGTATTAGTAGCCGCCGCAACGTTGAAACGCTGTCTGAGATTCCGTTGTCAAGTGAGCGTTTGCATGGTGATACATGTATAAGAACCAGTACCCCAGAAATATAGGGTCTTCTATCAAAGATCTTGCATATAGTAAGCAGCCTCTTGACAAAAAGCAGAACTAAGTATGCTAATTAGCTATATTTAAACAGACAAGTAGCGTTACTTGATATTATTGCGCTATACCGAGTAGTATATATCCAGTAATGTGATTGGAGGTTTGAACAATGATAGATTCCAAATACGAGCTCTATGGGTTCATGGAATAGTGGCCAAAGAATAATGTTGTTCCAAATTCAATTATCTACATGTCGGGCATGGCTCTGCCGAAGGTACGGGACGAGAATATCAAACAATGCACTAACCTAATATGAACCAGAGCTTCGACCTGTCCGCATGATCCTGAGTGCTTCAGATGTGAATTGCTTTATACCCTGGCTTCGAGCCAAGTTTCATCCAACCACGGAGCCAGAGTCGTAAATCACACCAACGGCGCCTCCGTCTGGTGATTTTACACAACCTCAAACCGTGGTCCAGTCGACCTCCCCTCATATATTATGCGTCAGCTGCAACTCAGCGTGCACCCTCGCCAGGTCGGCCCAGTCCCGCTCCATGAACCTCTCAGGATCCTCGACACTGTCGACCCAGTGCTTGATAGCCAGCACAGCCTGCCTCGCCCACCTCTCGTAGCTCACACGCCCGGTGCCGGTGCCCAGCGGGGTCATGAGCAGGCTCGCGATCGCGGACGCCCGGCCGGGCTCCTCGCCGCCCTCTCCGCCCCTGCCCTCGGCGACCGAGTCGTTGTGCCTCTCAACCCGGTTCAGCAGGGACCAGACGCACTCGTAGACGAGCTCCTTGTTCCAGTCGCAGCGGCCCGGCACGCGCATGGTGGGGAGCAGGAGCAGGTAGCGGGCGCCCCAGCCCGAGCCGTCGTGGTAGCGCAGGCGGGCGGCCTCGCGCCACTCGCCGGGGAGGTGGACGATCTGGCACTGGCCGGGCGGCAGGTAGCCGCGGTGGGTCGTGTAGAGTTGGGCCTGCGCGTGGCGCGTGAGGGCTGCGTAGTCGTCCCTTGGCGAGAAGGCGCGGGAGATGGCGTCGTCGAACCCGCCGTCTAGGATTGCGTACGAGTTTGCTGGCGAGACGACGGCGTCGAAGCGCAGCTCTGAAGACACCTGGGATAAGGCGCAGTCGTGAATTGTGTACTTCAGATGGGGAGATGAGTTAAGTTTATACTGCTTGACTGCAGCTTCCCAGGCTTGTTCCGCAGCCGAATCCATGCACAGGATATGCAGGTGTGGTAATAGGGGAGTATTGCTTGAACTAGTGGAAGATGCCATATTTAATATGAGTTATGGAGTAAATTCCTGGTAAGGCTTATACGTCCGTGTGATTTCTGTGTAATGGACGTCAACAGCTGGTTTGTTGCTTTTGGCAATGTAGACGTTTTTATAGTATGAGCTTTCAAAGAAGCGCGATGCATGTCAGGGACTTGGTCGTAGCTTGCAGGTTTGGTAGATTACATTTGGTAGTATCAAAGATCAGCAACTCAGCATAGGCATCAACACAATCAGACTGAAAGAAGGACTCATGAAAGTGGGGAACTGAGATTGCTCCTTCGCCCATAATGATTGGATAGATTCAACTGCTTCCTAATGTTACTGCATACGAACGCTATTCTGACAGAGATGCGACTATTGTTCAAGACGAATCGCACATACTCGACGTGGATATATATCATTATTGTTATTGGCTCATCTACAAGCTTAACTCTGGGTGGAAAAGTTTATTCATCCGGCCTTCCTAAACCATACCTTCGCTCATATAATAACACACTCTATCCGCAATCATGGGACGAACAAGCGCGCCGGAAAGACGCGACAAACGGTCAATTGCTCATTACACCTGGCGTACAACGTCGTCAAGAGCCTTGGCAAAGTACTCGACATTACCCTTGTTCAAACCAGCCATACTGATACGGCCGTTCTTGGTCATATAGACATGCCACTTCTCTCTAATCTTGAGGACCTGGGCCTCAGTCAAGCCGGTAAAGGTGAACATGCCAATCTGGTCTGTAATGTGATTCCAGGTGCCGGGTGTGCCGAGCTCCTCAAGCTTCGACTTCAGTGCCTTGCGCATATCAATGATGCGGCCAGACATGGTACGTAGGTTGTCCTCCCACTCAGCAAACAGCTTGGGGTCGTTGAGGACAGTGCCAGCAATGCGGGCACCATATAGCGGGGGATTTGAGATCTCGGACCTCTGAAGGATGGCAAGCTGCGAGGCGACACGTTCGATGGTCTCCTCAGCATTGGGACTGGGCCCGGTAACGACGTGGAAGCAGCCTGCTCTCTCGCCATAGAGACCAAAGTTCTTGGCAAAGGATTGAGCGACGAGCAGCTCGAAGCCTTGCTCTACAAAGTAGCGTACTGCAGCATTGTCCTTCAACAGGTCGCCGGTAGCAAAGCCTTGGTATGCGGTGTCGAAGAAAGGAATGTGACTCTTGGCGCGGATGACATCAGCGATCTCCTTCCATTGGTCGAGTGTCGGATCTACACCGGTAGGATTGTGGGCGCAGGCGTGTAGCAGGATGATGGATCGATCGGGAGCGCCATAGATGGCGTCCTTCATGCCCTTGAAGTCAAGGCCCTTGGTCTCCTTGGAGAAATAGGGATATGTTTCGATGGGCAAGCCTACATTGCTGAAGATCTGGTTGTGGTTGGCCCAGGTCGGGTTCGAGATGTATACCTTCTTGGTGCCAGGGTAGAACCTGGCGAGGAAGAGGGCCCCGAGATGTACGGCGCCAGTGCCCGAGATGGTCTGGAAGGATGCGACTCGCTTCTCCTTGATCGCTGGCGAGCTTTCACCTCCAAGGATAAGCTCGGCGGCCTTGCTGGTGAAGAACGGGAGACCGGCGATGGGGGCGTATTCGTGGTCCAGTTCGGGGTTATTGAAAAGGATCTGCTCTGCCTATTGGATTGCAGGTGAACTGGTCAGCACAGCACAGCCGGGGTCGGAGTCGGAGTGGTAAAAGGAAGACATGTGGGTGACGACCCGCCCAGGTAAACATGATTCGAAAGTGTATGTTTTCCGTGGAGGCCACATGTGGGGGAGAAGTGAGCAAAGTGTAGCGTGGTGTGAAGCAGAGCAGAGCAGAGCAGGAGCGGAGGAATCAGATGTAGAGTGACAAATTACCTTCTTCACCACGGGTAATACCCAGGGCTTCGCATTGTCGTCGCGGTAAGCACCAATACTCTGGAGAGAGGCAATTTGGTTAGCACATACAGGACAGTCGTCGCAACTCGACGCAAGGAGGACAAAACTCGACTTACCAAGTCCACCTTGTTCGGGTCCTTGTCGGCTCTGCAAGCCCTCACGAGCCCGAACAGAGCATCCTCGGGGGCCTGAGGAACGACCTCGGCGGTGAAACTTGTTGCTGAAGGCGGCGACATTTGTTTGACTAGGCCCGTGACTCTGCGAACTGAATCTGCGTGGTATGAAGGGTCGAAGCTTTTTGAGTTGGTCATGATGTTGAGGAGAGCAAGAGCTCCAGGTCCCTCCGTCCGAGTGATATGATTCACAACTGATACGATTCGCCGAAGCGGGCAGGTGGGCTGATGCAGGGTGCTACCACTGCCCTGCAACAAGTAATGGATAGTGGTGCGCTTAGTGCTATAAACGGGCACTGGCTGACCTTTGACCCTGCGCTCCAGGCTCTGGGTTAGGCTCTTTGAGCTGGACGCTTCAAGCGCTCCAACGGCGGGGAAGCAAGGGGGCAGCCGGGGGGGTGGAGGGGACCGTTTCGGGGGGGGGGGGGGGGGCTTCCAAGCCTTGTCGCACGACGCAGGCTATAACAACCGCTCGAGCAGGGGGGAGCTGGGCACTGTTTCCAGCCTTCGTGGCGGGGTAATGGCCGACTGATCTCGCTGCAAGGTCCCCGAGCTGACTGGAAATGGCAAGGCTGGCACTCGTCCGGGCCTCCGGGCAGTAACCCACACCACAGTGATCGAGGATGACTCGTGCACCCCCGTGGGATTTGAGGATTTGTCGCAAAGTCGGAGCTGTTCAGCCAAGCTCTCGTCTTCTCTCCTCTCTGGGTTACAGTAGCCGTCGCAGCTGCAGTCCGACAACGGAAAGCCAAACCCGACTAGCAAGATGTTTGATCGTCTAATTCTGGATAATCTGACGTGATGGTTTGCATATCAAAATAGAGAATGGAGAAATCGGACTTACACCCCGTCGATGGAAGCTCATTCAGGGGAAGTACGGGCTTTTTAATGTCACCTCCCCCAGCTTCATTCATGGTGGAACCCCCCCCCCCCCCCCATGGGCACGTCACCCGCCTGATAAAGTATCATATCTCACTAACCTAGACCGAGGTTGCCATGACCAAATGAACTGTGCTCGGCATTTGTACCGAGAAACTCGCGCTCTTCAACCGATGTCCTCCATAACTCTGATTCTTTAGACCGAGCCTTTGGATGCAAGCCTTGATCGTGATAACTGCTAAGTTCCCTATCGAGTCTAACCTTAGACTACCCTTGGACTAACTAGTCCAAGTCCTGCTGGTACCTTGCTTTCCATTCCTTTATCATCATGGAGCACCACCTTCCAGTGGTTGGCGGTAGGCACCTTTTCTTCTTCTTCACAATCAGCATGTGACAGCTAGCCATCAAAACCACCAGCCACAGCCAGAGTTCAACGGCTTTATTTCTCACATGACAGACCTAGCAACTAGTGTAATTTGCCTTTTGATAATTGGATATATTGTTTTCTTTATTTGTCAGCTATATCAATAAGTCCCACGCTACAAGCAACGTGCATATGCCACAAGTCGCATAGAATGTGTATTTGGCGGGCCGGGTTTTCTGCGAGGCTTGTTTGAGTTGCTTGTTTCCACCACCGACATCTTCTGTGATGTTTTCGGAATCCGCTACGAGCTGGTCTATATGTGCCGACTGCGTGGCCAGGTTGTTGACCAGCTGAGTTTGTAATTCTGATATCTCGACCAGCGACTTTTCTGCCGTTCTGTGGCAACCATGTTAGCTGTGATTCTGTGGTCCCAAACCAAAAAGTGTGTTGGGGCAATGTTTACCTTACTTGCCCAAGCACACTCTCGTAATGCTGTAGCATGTCGTTGTTCTCCCGCTCGAACATCTGAATCTGCTCGGCAGAAAGGTCTTCCTGCGGGTTGTGTGCTGGCTGCTCGTCGCCTTGCCATGCTGCATGGCTAGACCTCCTTTTCGAAACTGGACTGCTCGGCTCCCTCGCACTGATGCCGGGCATGGCGCCCATGCCCATTCCCTCGCCCACGCCGGCCCTCGCCAACACGCTCCTCTGTTTCTCCAGCTCCCTGTTGAGCCTGACCTCCATCATGTCCTGTTGCGTCTTGACACATTCTTGTAGTCGCTGCCTGAGCGTCCACAGCACGCTCTCTCGGTGCGTGTTGACGCTGTTCGCCGCCTCTTCGGCGTGACGATATTCGAGGCTCTTCCCACCCAGCCCACCATTTGCACCACCCGAAGCCCAGGAGCCTAACGCGCTCAGGCCCTTTGCAAATTTCTTCTTGAGAAGCTGTACTTCCGTCTCCCGGCGCACCTGCTCTGCGTCGGCGAGCTGCCTGATTTTCGCATTGAGGTCTCTGAGCAGCGTCTTGGAGTTGGCATCGATCTCCTCGCGGTCGCGGTCGGTGAGTGGTCTCTCGCCATTCTGTCTGTTAATCAAGGTGCGGCGAGGCTGGGCGGTCGAGAGGTAGGACTGCCGGATACGCAGAAGATCCGTGTGCAGCGTGCGGATTGCATTGTTGATGGTGTAGGCTTCTTGCAAGAATTCGTCGAGGCTATCGACGCTGAAGGTGTGTTTCGTGGTTGGCGGTGCAGAGTGGGAGGACAGGAGATTGTCGAAGAGAGGCGTGAGGTCGGTCATGTCGACATTGAGATGATCAACGGCTACGGGCGCATTGTTGAATGACGGAGGTTCTTCTGGTACTGGCGGGTTAATAATAGTGTTGTGAAGTACTGGGTACACGTTGTGACGTTTACATTTTATGTTTACGGTTTACGTTTACGTCGACTCGAAGCCGCCAAGTGTCCTGGCACTGGAACTAGGACTGCAAGCTGTTCTGACGTTCTTTTCGCCCGCCAAATTCCCCGGCCAGCGCCTTACCCTTTTCGGAGAGGCCCGATCACATATGCAGCAAGTCCCAGTACAGTTTTACAGTTGAAAATGTCCATACATACGAGTCTGTAATGTAGACAGTGATTGTGACTGTAGTCAAATCTACCTTGGCTACGTACCACGTAGTACGTACCGACCCCAATCAAGATCTGCCAGCAAATGAATGCCTACGCACTCTACGGCTTATTCCTTGGTGCTAGGATGTGGTGACGGCTCAATCATGGCCGCATTGCCTGTCCCAGCCTCCGAACTCTCCTTCTCTTTAGCCTCCTCCTGCTTCTCCTTCTGCTTCAACATCTGCACTCTTCGCTGTTCTCTCCATGTTGGACCATGCTTTTGAACGACCCACAAGATTGGCGACGGCACCGTGAAGACCAATGCGATCAAGGTCAACGCCCATCCTCTTCCCATGCCCTTGATCATATCCTCAATAACAGCAGTGGCCACCGCGCCAAAAAGACACCTCACAAGATTGTTGGCAGCCGTGGCCGTAGCCGGTGCTTCGGGATACAAGTCAACGATCAAAGTGTTAATCACCTGGAAACTGCCCGTAACAAATAGTCCGATGAAAAATGACAGCACAAGAGGAACCGCAACGTGCACACGAGCTTGTAGGGCCCAGGCATAACCGATGTAAACGGCACAGCCAAGGAAGATGCATGGGGCAATGACCTGGATCCTGACCCTCTCTATAGGAAAATCCTTGAGGTTGTCCCCACGCTTCTTGTCAATCTTGAACCCGAGTTTCTTTGCCGTCCGTCGATAGTTCCAGTCCAGGATGAAGCCTTGGCAGATGGAAGCCGCCATAGTTGCGAAGCCAATAGGAAGATAGCACAAGCCGAGGACCAGTTCGTTGTAGTGATAAATATCGGCAAACTGCGTCGATAGTGTCGACGTGATCAACATAAACCCGATGTAGAGCATGCCATTGTAGAAGAGCACCATTGCCATATCCTTGTGCCCGAGCACCCTGAGCGTGTTGAGTGGGTTGGGAATGGGGATCTTCTGTTTTGGACGAACCACGGACGGATCTCGGGGGAGCCGCCGGAATCTGATATAATCCAGCAAAGTCATATTCCAAACCTGGGGCTTAATTGAGCCGTTTCCTACAACTTTCCGTCCAGTCTCCGGAACAGTGAGCACGTATGGGACTATAAAGACGATAGTCACAACAGTACAAAACCAAAAGACAGATGGCCAACCAAGGTACTGTGTGAGAAGACCACCAATGGTTGGTCCTATGGATGGTCCAATCGTCAGCCCTGCACCGACTATTCCCATAAACTTTCCACGCTCGGCGCTTGTTGAGATATCGGCAACAACGCCAAAGACTAATGCGATAGTACCGCTGCTCCCAGCACTCTGCAAACATCTGAGAATCAGAAGCGCTGCATAGTTGCGTTGCAAAGCCAGGCCGATATTAGCGCCTAGATATATGATGAAGGCAATGATAAAAGCTGGCCGCCTGCCCGCTGCATCGCCGAAATCACCAACGAAAGTTGGCGACAGTCCCTGGAAGATCATATATGTTGTGAGTGACAGATTGATCGCCGCCGTAGAGACGCCGAGGTCATCGGCTATAGCTGGTATAGCTGGGAAGTAGATGTTGGCGGTTATCGGTGATATGAACGCCGAGATGCAGTTCATTGCTATGATCCACCATATCATCTTCCGACTGAAGACGCTATAAGGTGGACCGCTCGAGACTCTGGAGAGCTGCGCCTCCAGCTCTGGTCCTTGCTCGACATTGTCACCATTCTGGGAATCGTCAGAAGACAGGTGCTCATCGGAGGCCCGATGAGGCAGATCTGGTATCGAAGCCGAGCTGGGAAGTTGTTCCACTGCAGTCTCTAATTCTTTCGGAGAGTTGCCTCCATGGTCAGAGATTGTGATTGATTTCTGGTACTCACTCATCAGCACATAAATCGCAATGGCGCAAAATGGTAAATCGAGCAAAGGAAGAGGATAAAATCATTGCAAGCCACACCGATAATAAAGCGCCCTATCTCGCTCATGGCGTGCCCTGTAGCGGAAACGACATCGGACGTCCTTTACAGCAGTTCGTAAAGATCTGGTGCAAGACTCGACGTTATTCCCGTTTAGCGAGGTCCACATTGCGGGTATTCGGTCATGATTGCTGCTTATCTGGCCGGCGCGGTTCCGAAAGGATGGGCGATGCATTCTATCGCACCCAGTACGGTATAGAGACGTTCGGGAATATCTGCCTGTCCAGATGGTCCGCCATCTGTAGTGCGAGTGATGCGGTCAGCGCTGGACAGGTATCTCTCCACGAGCTGGTCATTATGCCCTTGGGGTATTTATATTCTCGCTTTTTCGGCGAATGGCCAAAAGCCTATTACAAGCAAAGTGGGTTCCCCGAAGAATTCTAAAGGAACACAGTGTAACCAATGATAAACTACAAGACTACGAAAACTTCGTATATTCTCGGGAAATGCTTGTCGCACAGAAATGAAGGAATGGCCAAATGGCGTGACCTTAGTATAGTCCCTGACAGTGGAGAGGTAAAACTACAGCGGAACCTGGCGCCCTACACCCGGCAGCACCTGACCTCAGCGTTTCGGTGTTGTGCCAACTCTTCATGCTTCAGATTTGGGGCAGTACTATGACAAAAGAGACGCGACTCAACGCCTAAGAGTGCATATATTTTATTGCCTCTTCATCACCATTCCACGTACTTGCCTTAATTTCATCATTTCCTTTATCTATTTTCTGCATCGGTCAAGCAATGTGCCTTCTTAGAATATCAACAACTCGGCTTCGTACAACATTGTGCCCACCATGACACGCAAATTACCGTGGAGAGATGGCACCAGCGCCAAAACCTCACGCATGCCCCCTGCCCGCGACAGTGCAACGCCCACAGTCAGGAAGCGTGCGAATGCCGAGATTATGAACTCTGATGCAGGGAGTAAGGACTCTGCATCACCCCGCGCCTCTGAGCCAAAGGTCCAAGGATCACTTTTGAGTATGCTAGTATTACTTCCTTATGAGCAAGTACATGTTGTTCACAATACTTAGAACGCTGTAGATTGGATTCCAAACCGCTGGAACCTCTAGAGGAAAGGTAGGTCAATAGTTGGTGAATCACGACGCCTTAATTGATCTAATGATAGCTTCATGGTGGAGGGCCTTGATGGAGACGATGTTTATCGCATGGTTGAGGACGAATTCTATCTTACCGCTACCAAGTTCACTGCTCACCTGCATGCTGCAGAGTATCAAAGACTGCAGGAAGAAGCCAAGTTGCAGAATGCAGCAACTATCAGGAACATATCTCGTCCTGTCGTAGGCAGGATGACAGACCTGGTCAAGAAAAAGCAGCAGCGTGTATCCCGACTTCAGCGACAAAAGACTGTTTTGAATGGCTTCGCTGGTGTGGTTGATGGTGACGACGCCGCCGGTACCAACCCTACTACACTTTTTGGCCTGATGGAGAGTCCTCGGAAGAAGATCCCACGGCTAGACCACTTCGTATACGGAGATGCAAAAAGCGCTTCGAAGGGCCGATTGGCGCATCAAAGCTCTATGCGATCTTCCCATTTGGGATCATCTCCAACGCACCAACGTACATCTCACAACACCATGGCGCGAAACATTCAGAAGTCAACACACCTCGAAAGTGATGATGAGGATTTGGATGGTCCTGGACAGCGCAGTTCACCTATACCCTTCAGGAAACATGCAATAACGAACTCCTCTCGACCCACTGCGCATTCCAAGGCGTACAAAGCACCAGAGCCAGCCGAAACGACTCGACAGACACCTTCAACTGCAACAAATGCACGACCATCATCACTGGTGATGCAACAGGTCAAAACAGCAGTGCAATCTTCAGACGATGATTCAGACGAGGCTTTGTTTGGGTTTCAAAAGCGTGCCAAAAGTCGCGCACAACAGAAAAGAGTTACGCCCAAAAACAACAACGAGAATCGGTCAAGGCCAATTCAAGATTTTATTCCCGGATTCCTATGACCTGACTAAGCCTTATAAGGTGTTTCAAATGGCCTCTCCGCTTGTGGAGTGATTCTGGCTAGGTGTCTGCGTTGCTTATTCTTCCAATCCACCAGGGCTGAATGTTGAGTCACCCGGTTGTCCCAAACGACGACAGTTCCTTCCTCCCACTTCACTCGTGCATGGAAGTCAGCGCCATAGGCGATGTGGTCGTACAAGAATTTCAAAATAGCATCAGATTCTTCCTTCTTCATACCGACAATGTCTCTCGTAACTATGTCCCGAGATCAGCAGCTGTTGGCTAGGTAATGGGGGTTGTACTCACACTGGGGGTTTATATAGAGAGCTTTTTGTCCAGTGGCAGGGTGTGTACGCACTATTGGGTGCTCATTGACGACAGGCTCGCGGCGTTTGATGCCATCTCGGGCCATAGAAGCATTGACTTGCTCGATACCAGAATGAGTTGCTTTCAAGCCGTGTAGACGCTCTTTGAATAGAGGACTCAGTCTCTCATACGCTTCGACACAATCGGCGAAGAGAGTATCGCCACCAGTTTCTGGCTTGTTAAGAACGTATAGGAAGGTAGTGCCTGGAGGCTGCTGCTCGTAGGACACGTCAGAGTGCCATGCAACGGAGCTTGTCCGCGACTGGAAGAACTTCTCAGCACCGTCATCGCCGGCGCCACGGTGTACAAGGTGGACCTCCGGGTGTCCTTCGGGAGAGCCTGAAGTCGGATGAATGTGGTGGCGACCAAAGTACTCGCCGAACTTAAGAGCTTCCGAGATTTCCAGATCTGCCAGGTCCTGCCCCCGGAATGCGACTACCTTTCTTTCTGCCACGTATCGTGCAAGCTGGTCTCTTCCAGCATTACTCAATTTGCTTAGCTGGACGCCTTTGACTTCAGATCCAATTGATGGTGTCAGATCTACAACGGCTGCATCCTTAGGTAACAACTCAGGGTATGATGTGTCTGCGTCCTTGCCATGTTCATAATGCTCAAATGGCTCGAGAGGAGGATATTTCTGCTCAGTGTTCCAGGTTGGGAGATAGTTGGGGTACTATGATAAGTCAGACGGAATTCAAGTCGATTTAGACACTCAGTTCTACCTTTGCGGCCTCAAAATCTTCCCTTCCAATACGCTCAGCCTCTTCATCGAGTCGACTCGATCCGAGCTCCTTGTAGGCTCCAAAGTTTGTTTTCAAAGACCGGACCGGTAGAGGCGCCTGCTCTGTCTCGGTCAAAGTTACGGTAGCAGAAGGGGCCATGTTGAAAATGTTTACGCTTTCTAAGCAGATAATACTACATATACCAGTGCATACTAGAGTTGACACGCAGGTTATGGAAACTTATATACCTGCGAAACCGCCAACACACCCCGCATTGCCGGAGACATTGCAAAGTCATGGCCATGATTGCGTGAGCAGCACTAGCATCCAATCGGCCTTGGTATTTCCCCCTTTGCTTGGGAAGTACAGAAGTGGCCGATACGGATATAAACGACCTACGATCCAACCCACAAGCGCCGTTGTACCAGACTTTGTTCTGAGAGGGCGTCTTGGTAGGGCTGCCCCACCACCCTTTGGAAATCGTGACGCGATCACGATGTTGCTATTGAGCTTCGAGAGCACGCAATCCGGAGACCGACAACCGAAAGTGCATTGAGGCTGTACATCGGAGCGATCTGCGTGGTATTCGTCAGAAATGCTGCACTTCAATTTCTGCGACGGCAAATCTTTCCTAGCCCGTCTAACACAAAGGCTTTCCTTTCCTGGGTTTTCTGTATGCCTGCTGTTTATGTCTCTCTTTGAGTATGCTTGCAAAGGCGGAAACCATACGAAATCAGCATGGATGACCATTTGAATTCCTTATCGGGTGCATCAAAGGCTTTCAGATACAAAAACATGCCACCTTCTTTTCTCGGAACACATTCTTTTCATGTTCATGGCTAAGGTTAGTCGACTCAGCACTCCTCTGCAATGAACCCTGCAGTATACTCCAATGTTTTTGGAATAGATCGAGAGCACGTGGAAGATTAGCACATGGGGACTTAACGTCGTCGCCGGATTGAGCCATGTAACGGCATGTAGCAGGCGAATGCCATTCAAAGCCAATTAACTTAAGTGGTAGCACTGTCCCTTTAACAACAATCGCTAAAGCTGCCAAGAACGCACCACCATCTAAACCTAGCCAACCCCTGCGATGCCATATGAATCGGATCTAAGATATTGCATGGCGATAAGGTGACCGCAAAGTAAATCGGACGGCTTTTGTTCCTTGAAAGATGTGGGCGCTACCATACTACACTCACTTTTATTCAGCCCGAACCTTTTTCTCAGTATTATGCGAATAATTATCAGGTCAGTACCTTGACTGGTAAGCTCAAAACTTGTTTCATTTGAGTATTGCACAGATATGCCTTGAATTGCTGCATTGTTAATATGGAACGAGCCCATTCGCCGATAGAGGCGACTTCCGGACTATCCTACTTCATACATCCATCGTCAAGCTTGAGCCACACATCGCCGTATCCAAAGTGATCATCTTCAGGTTAGGCCGATTTCTCCTGCTTGACCAGAGGGAACATGGGCACATTGATGGGCGTTGCCACGCTCCACAACGCAGCTGCACCGGCCCAGTAAGCCAAGAAAGCCGTGACGAATCCAAACGCACTAGCAGCCGTGCCCAGGGCGGCAATACCTGTGTGGTATTGACAAGCCAGGAATAGCAAGGTCAGGTCAGTGAACACCAGGACGAGCAGCATGATCAAGTTGCTGCGGGTCGCGGCGACGGTGAAGATCATGGTAACAATAAACCAGGCCCAGATGAACAGCGCAATCGCCTGGGTGAATTCCGCCGTAGGAAGACCGGTGACTGTATCGGTGTATGCGGCAATGATGCCCGAGCCGGGAAGGTAAATGAGGGCATATGAAAGCTGGAAGCCAGCGTAGGTACAAAACACGGTAGCACCGAAGGTGTTACCGTGAATGAAGGCGAAGATGCCGGCAATCGTTTGGCCGAGGCCGCCGTATGCGATCAGACTATCCAGTGTAAGTTCTCCCGTCTTGTCGACTGCCCACTCCTGACGGGGCAAACATACCTTGAGATCAAAACATTAGGCACTGTAACACCCTTGGGGCTTACACCAAACAGGCTGATTAGAAATAGGGCCTGGGCAAAAGCAAGTAGACCCAACGGCGACGGATCAGCAAGTTGACGGTGTCGAGGTTCTGCTGGTGTAGCCATCAGGGACGTGGTGACCGCGGGACGGTGGACATCCTGCTTACACTGCTGTGCTTCGAGATCACAAGTCTCGGCGATGGAAGCGGAGGGAGACATTGTTGTTGCCAATACCTAATAGACACAGGCGCTTGCGAGGGACGCGATTTTCCTGAGGTTATATCTACAAACGATACACAAGTAATCCGCGAGGATTTCGAAATACTTCCAGAGGATAGCAGCGTGGTGTATAATAAAGAATCAGAAACACTCTGTTCGTGGCCACTAAGAGATCCAGTACCCATTGTCGCTGCCCGCATCTGCATCCGCCCCCTGTGATAGCATTAGCATGATCAACATAGTCGCCGTGCTTTCATTTCCATCTTGGGTGGGAATTATTTGGCGTCTCCACGACTGGCGTGATTGGACCCCAGCATCGATAGACAACGTCTTGATAACCATCGATCCATTTTGCGACAAGATCGTCAACTCTTCCAATTACTCTGCTCTACATTCTGCAGCCTCTCTACCTCTGTGTAGAATTCGGCATATCAGCTAGTGATAGGGTGCGAACTTAGAATGCAGGATAACTTTTTGCGACAGCCCGTGAATTCGTATGGATTGCTTTCGAGTCACCGCATGGCATCTGCTGCTCAATGGGCCGATCTGTTTCAACGAACCTCGTCAGGCTGATACATCAGTTGAGGCTCAACTCCACGATACGACCCGTTCTGCCCACCAACAGGTTTGAGACCCCTGGGCAAGAATTCGACATGCAGGAACATAATTGCAATCTCACGTGGCTGCTGGGCCTTACGGTGCACCGACATATACACTGCCTATCGGCTGTCTTCCTGCGGTGGGCCGATAAAGGGCCCTGGCATGCCCCGTTCGGGCCGGAAATATCATGGAAATTATTGGTGTCGATGTTTTCTCCTTTGAGGTTTGCGATCCGGGATTACAAGTTCACTTTTGGTAAGAACTATTGATAATACTGGATCTCAGGCCATTTCTGGACCAAACCTCGGCATTTTCCTGCCATGGATATGATACATTTGGGGGCGATTGAAAAGGTCGCGACATCGAGTGGACACGACCCACAACCGTTTCCCTGCATCCTACATGGTACGACGGGAAAAGTTTTCTTTGTGGAACAAAAGATGGACCTCTGCCGGGGACACAATAGAGATGGTAAGATCGTGATCTTGTCGTTGTCGGCGATTTGTCGTCATTCAAAACGACTGGCTGTTCGACACTGCTCAAGCGGGCAAGACGTTTCGATCACAAACCAATGACATTGGGCCGGATGCATACAGCCTATGAGATGTTTGCAGTCCATCAATTGCAAGAGACGGATAATAAAAGTGTCCGTTCAAGTTTAGCGGCTCTCTCTCTAAGCTACAGGAGCCTCTTGTTGACTCCTGTGTCTCGAAAAACATGACAGGTTCTGGCTTGGTTCAATGTCTCTCCGGGTCCTGCCTCGAGGATCAACCCAGTCACCCTCGGTGGCATGGCCAATCGCGGCAATTTCACGAAGTCACAGCCTCACAGTGAAATGATCTAACTAAGGACTAGTTCACACACGTGAATAACCTCTTTCCTAGATGACTGTCGCCTCTAAACCAGTGGTTGTAGCGCGAGTGCGAGTTGCTGGCAACTGCTATATCACACGATCGCTCATCTTCATCGACTCCAGCAATGAACCGTTGCTTGTGAGTTAAGTAGTATAGCCTCTTTCCTATCTTTCGATTCATTTTATCGGGAAATTTGATTGCGTAACAAAAGATCTGTTCGTACTAAGCGGTGCGTTCTTGAAGTGTCCTTCGTTTGAACTTACAACAGCGGTTTTCGACTATATAAGGCTAATGGTCACAATCCTGCTTTTAAACCCTTTTGTGAGCCAAAGTTGACGGTCATTATAATTCAAGAAGAAGAAGAAGAAGAAGAAGGAGAAGAAAAAAGGATAGAATAGGCAAGGTCACTCCTCGGGGATATCAAGCGGAGTCACTGGAATCGTGTATCGAGCTGATTCCTCGTTGACTTCATGAAAATTGCTCAAATGTTATTTGTGGGCAATAACAGTGAGAAATACTCTAGAGTACGTTGGACGTTTGTCCTTTCCAGTTCAAAGCTCGTCTTGCAAACCAGAAACCCCCAGGACGTCGAAGCCGGTAAGACCCATAAGGAAAGCTTGATCGTCATTGTATATATTCGAGAGAAACCCGTTATCTACAGGTTGTGATGCGAATGTGCCTCCGTCGTCCTGTGCAAGACCAAGCGTCGTGAGAGGAGGGAGTGAGAGTCGTTGTAGAGCCGTAGCTCCATCCCATGAGGTGAACCCAGACGAGGAGGATTGTGTATGAGGTACTGGCCACGTTGATGTTGTCAAAGTCGAACTACCATTAGTGTCCAGTGCGGACGACTGATTTAGCGCGACATCTAGTACTTTGCTGGAGTCGGTCTGCTGCAATAGCCAAGCAGCCCAGTTATTGTAATTTGTTCCTTGTTGAGGTACCGCAGATGAAAGGACAGCAGCCTTTGCTTGAAGCAATTTATCGAAAGCCTCATCGGCAATCAATTGAAGAGCTTCCACAAAACTAACTCCCATCTGGGCAGTAGTATTACCTTCAGCCATTTTCGTCAAACACTCCAAACCAAATGACACTTGCCTCTCGTACCCAGCATCCCGCTCAACAATGCCAGCCAGTAGGACCACAATGGTGGCAATACTGCAAGCTTGAAAATCGGTGAACGAAAATCGAGTCAGATTACCCGTGGTACGGATGTCTTCGAATAACCGAAGCATCTTCTTGCCGGCTTTAATGCAATGCTTAGCTAGTGCCTCAATGTGCGGGTTTGTCTCAGAGACTTGGGATTCCCGGCCAAGATAATGTCGAAGCTTGCCACGGACAACAGTCACAACACTAACCTTACCCATGGCAATCCACGAGAAGTAGTAATTAGTGTACAGGTGGAAGGTCGCACGATAATGAGAAGACCGTGGATGTATGTTTTGCAATCGAAGGGTATCTGGTAGTGAATGCTTCCAGTCCTTTAGCTCAGCCTCGAACGGTGTTAAACCTTCCAAGGTAGAGGCCCATTCACTGCGGATTGTTTATCAGCTCACAATCGCCAGGTTTGTTCAAACCTACTTACAAAGCGTCAGGGACACGGTCCAAGATCATCATTAAGCGAGCATCGGCTATCTGAAGTTTAATGTTGTTGAACTTCTGCTGTTTATCTAATGGTTCTAATAGACGAGGAAGGCCGACGGTGATGATCGACGAGCTTATTGATCTCGGCCTGTTCAACTTCACAGTCGAAGCACTGAAATATCTCAGATCGGCGCTATCAAGAGATGGACAAGCTAACTCACCGCTCTAAAGAGTATACTGACCACCAAATTCTTCGACGAATTTCTAGTTCTTCTTCACTCAGGTTCGGATCATCCGAATTGAGATGTAGGTCAAGTGCAAGGGCTTTTCTAAGTGCTAAGCCAAGATACTGTTGTGTTCGTGGTCAGAGATTTTTTCGTTGAGATAGGGCCGGGGGCCCTCGGGAAGTATTGTAAAGCAGTTGCAGCAACCTTGATTATATCTGACAGGCAATGTACCCACCATAGACATACTAGCAATGGTAGAAATAATCCCAAAATTGCTTACCATGTAAGACGCGCCTAAAGCACTGGCCGGCAATAGGTAAACGCCCATTACAAATGGCGCTTGTACAGCCCGAAGGCACGGCATGTCAATGACGTCTGGAATCAAGGAGCGTGCCTGGTTATAAAAAATCCGCCCAGGATCACTGTCCTCTAGTGATAATGAGGATCGAGAGCTTGCAGGCCTTGCTAGTGTGGTCCATTGACTGCCGAGGGCGAAAGCAGCGTGAGCAAGACAAACAAAACTGCAGTCCGAGCGCAGCCGAGACGAGGTATCCGTATAGAATTCGTTGATCTCAGCAAGAAACTGAGGTTGGTGAAAATAGAAGAAGGAATCAGTACCATGGTCTATGCAGACGGATAGCAGAAAATCAGCTACTTGTCTCGGTGGAAATGCTTCGACAGCCCTGCGTAGTCTTTGTAGTTCGGCGGGTTGTAGCGCATGTGTGTGGAGGGCTTGCTGTAATAATTGTTAGTAGAGGGTTTCCTTGATGTTAAGAGATGCCTGACCGCCTGCATAGATGCTATCACATTTCCCTCTAGGGCTGGCCCTGGGTCGAGCGAGAATGTTTCTCTCAGTCGCGAAAGGAAACGAGGCCACATAAACCTTTCAGTTGGATCTGTACTTATTCATCAATACGCATATCCACGACATACACACGTCGTTATCTCGAACTCACGGCCATTGCCGGAGCGGTATGTGCCAGGTGGGCTTGTCTGAGTAGCACTGTCGTCGAATCTCCCCGCCGTCTCTTCACGACTATCACGAGGGATCTCAGAGGTACTTTCTGTGGGACTCAATTCCCTGAGTCAATGTCAGTCAATGGTATCAAGCATAGGGCATGAAACATGAAATATATCCTGGACATTTGACTCGCCAAAGCATGAACCGAAAACAATACATCCAACACTCTGAGACTGGAAACCATAAGCTGAAACTTAAATGACGATCTCTACAAGATTCTAAACATAACACATCGTACCTTCGGAAAATGCAAGAAAGCGAGTTCGACTGACATCGCTGGCACACACCAGAACCTGTGCCTATACACTTGCTCTTCCTCACTTTGCATCGATCACAACTATGACACTTTTCATTAGTGCTAGGACTACCTAACGTTACTAGGTTAATTCAATGACTTACGCTCGAGCGGCACGCTTCCGACTCTCGTCCGGCACTCGTCTTCTCCGCCGGCGCCGTGCAGCTGCAGGTGTATCAAGAGTAACACCTGCCATGGTTGTATCTGTGGTGTCTCATGTTGAATTGATGGATCCCAAGGACGGCACGAAGGTCAGATAGCCGAGCATTGATATCGGGAAATTGGTTCTTACTTACGTGGGAGTCAATCACCGACGTCGGATAGCATGCATCCCAAACCCGCTGACTCGGCAATGTTTGAGTGGGGGAGATGATAACAATGGGGCGATTCAGCTTCTTGTCGAATCTGGGGAGCACGCTAAATTCTGCTTGAGACCCCACTGATAAATGGCGGGCAATGTGCAAACTGCAATCCAGCTTCAGGAAATGATACAATGCCCAAGATCGTTATCGTTGTGATGTACTACATAGTTTGTTAGAGACGATATGTAGTGTGTAATTACATGTCGGGGCGGTAATAAACCGTAAAATTACAAGTGAGCACGTTGCCGACAAACAAACCGATTGTATCACCATACGGAGTACATACCACACCGAACACCACACATCTGCCAAAATACTGTAAACCCATCCCAGCTTCTAGACTAGACTAGTTTAATTGTTTATCTCCACGACCTTATAGCATTGTGTGCAGGACAGAATGAGTATTGACTATGATGCACATACTGATTTAAATAAGCAGAACATCACTTGTGCATGAATTGGCGCATGGTTTAGTTACCTTAAGCGCGCATCACAGACAAATCTCTTTTATTGAAGGAAAAGCATGTGTACCGTACCAAGACCTACCTCAACATTTGGGGGCTGGTCAACGGCTGATACCGGGCAATATCTTGGTGCATATATCTGGATTTGCCAGTTATAAGACTCTACTGTACATAATTTTTATTTCAGAGCCTTCTAAACGGAGGTGTGATGCAAGCCAAACGTGGGTGACCTATGCACTAGGTTAGGCAGTAGTATACCCATTGTCAACGCAGTCATAGCGATTAATATCGTTTTGATATTATCGATTTTAGATTACCGAAAGATGAGGCCCATTTGCTTCCATTCGCAAGAGCATCATCGTATTTTCATGCACAACATAGAAGTTATAATGATGAGTTTAATCCGCACACTGGAAAGTGAGCCAGTAAGTTTGATCATCCATTGACGCCACACAAAGAATATGGTCGGTTCTAACGAAAGATGACAGCGGTCTCGCAACAGCTGCTGCGGAGATGGCCGGAGTTAGATAATATTGTGACGGAAATTGGGAATCATGATATATGCCGTCATGGTTAACATGTATCTAGATGTCATATCTATTAAGATTAGGCCGTCTATGCCTTGATATTGAGCATATCCTATACATCGTTTTTGGGGTGGGCACTTATTGCTTACTGGTACAATATTATTGGGGCTAGTCTAGTAACAAGCTGAATGAAAGGTGGAAGATGTAGAGATTTGGTGGCTGGTGCGACTATCCTCAAACGTGAATTTCTGTCAAGAATAGTATGTTGAGGCGATTGTGCATATCATAACGACTAGTTACGCTATTAATTTACTATGCGATCCTTCTGAATTGCACTATAGTTGTGGTTTAATCCTGACTGGCACGTATGCATCTTCAGTTATGGTATCAATCCTACTCTTATAGATCCGACCTTCCTTCATAACACCGTTGACATACTGATCCGGCTGGTCCAGTATAGTGACGTCTTCCAAGGGATTAGCCTTTAGAAACAGGATATCCGCATCAAAACCTTCCTGTATCTGGCCGATAGTGGACTCTTGACGCAACATGTGTGCAGGATTGATCGTCGCACTACGTAGTACCTCGAGTGATGGAAGGATCTTGGCCCGAAGCGCGAATTCGTGTGTCTGGGCTGCTCCCAGAGGACCAAGCAGGTCCGTCCCGAAGCAGATCTTAACTCCGTTCTCGTGTGCCACTTTCAAAGCTTTCAATCCCGCGTCCAGCACCTCGGTGTTCTTGGATTGCGATTCGGGGGGCAGGTACCCTGTCCACTTAGACGATGACATCTGGTCGTATGTAACCAAGGTCGGTGTCAAATAGACATCATTTTCAACCATCAACTGCGCAGTCTCCTCGTCCAGGAAGTTGCCGTGCTCAATGCCCTTGACTCCGTTCCGCACACAATGGCGTATCGCCTCTGTAGTATACGCATGTGCTGTAACATAAGTTCCCGCATTTTGGGCGCACTCAACCATAGCCCTGATCTCCTCCCCTGTGAATTGGAGATGGTCTATCTTGTCCGTCGGGCTGCTGACTCCACCAGATCCCATGATCTTGATGAAGTCGCTTCCAGTGCGGATCTCCTCGCGCACGGCTTGCATGCATTGCGCTACACCGTTGCAAACTCGACCAAGTCCAGTCGTGGCACCACCACAGCACGCTGAGTGATCGTGCTTGTTTCGAAAGTCTGCGTGTCCTCCCGATTGGCTAAGTGCATGCCCAGCAATAAAGAGCCTCGGTCCGGGGAAGACACCATCCGCAATGGCCTCTCGCATGGCGGAATGCGCCCCGCCACAATCCCGTATCGTGGTAAAGCCGCGGTGCAGCATCTGTGAGCAGACATATGGTTGTCGGAGTAGACTGACAGACTCTGGATTACCAAAGGCGGAGCTCAGGTCCATAAAGCCTGGAACGGCGATGAGATGAACATGAGAGTCGATGAGGCCTGGACTCAGATACTGCCCCGTACAGTCAATGACATCAAACCCTGACGGCGATGGTAACTTATTCGAAGCTGGGTTGATAGAAGTTATTTTGCCATCCTGAATTCTCACTGTTGCCGACTCGCGGATTGAGCCCTGAGCGACGTCAACGACGTTCGCGTTGTGAAGCAGATAGGCCTTGGGTGGTGGCCGTAGCCAGGGCTTGATGTCGGCTTCTTGAACCATTGTGACAGTCACGTAATGCAAACAATGCAACAACACAAGAATCGTGGAGGATAGTTGGTGGTTTCTTTGGAGGCTGAAGACACTGATCAAGTCAAATCAATATAATACATTCACAGTGTCTACAACGATAACAAGACACGTTCCAAAACTGCTTGTCAATGAAATATGGAAGGTGAATAATAAGTCGGGTAATTGGTAACTTGATGCAGATTGCCGAGCCGTTTCGGCCACTAAAGTCGGGTATCTGTCATCACAAAGTAGGCGTACCTCCGATACGGCGCGATCCGGCTCATTGGTACTATCAGACTCCTATCAAGCGGATTGACAATCTTGTTCCCCAACTCCGTGCACTTCCCCAGATAATTTTGTGGAGTCATCGATATGACTTGAATTACAGTAAAAACAAATATAAGATAGGGCTCGTGCCTTCTCATAATGGCAGTGGTCCGAAGCCATTGATTGTGGTACTGCATACTGTGGTGCAAAGTATATCCAACCCCATACACCACACTGCCTCGCCGCCATGGTGTCCGCTATCGAAAAGTCTGGTGCTAATGTGCCAGATGGTGGTGCAGAAGGCAAGCGGCTCAGTGTAGAGGAGAAAGGCGACGTCGTTGAGCTTGCATCGTCCTATACCGAGGAAGAAGAAAGGAGAGTACTCCGCAAGATTGATTACACTATTCTTCCTATGATGTGCTTCATCTTCTTTCTGTATGCAACTCCCCACGGCCATAATTGTACTTCACGACTATTCTATTGGTTGTCTCAGAATGCAACTTGAGACCATTTCATAGAAAAGAATGGTGCTGACTTCCAGTCGTCGAATAGACAATACTTGGACAAGCAGACCTTGAGCTATGCATCTGTATGTCCCCAAATCACACATTCTGTAACATGCAACTCACAGTGAAAGGTTTTCGGTCTCATCACAGATCTTGGCATGTCTAGTACCCAATATTCGTGGTGTACTTCGATCTTTTACATTGGTACGCAGTCCATGCAATTGAGTTGTCCTGTACAAATATGCTAACATGATTTGTGGTACAGGCCAGCTAGTCGCCGAGTATCCCTTCATCTACCTGATGTCTAAACTACACCTCACCAAATTCGTTGGTGTAACAGTGTACGATCCCTAAGTCGTTGTTCGTCCACGATATTTGTTGACACCACGTCACAGTGTTATATGGGGCATTATTTGCATGTGCTTGGCAGCGCCGCATAGCTTTGCTGGTTTTGCAGCAGTCCGTTTCTTGCTCGGTTTTGCGGAAGGTGCTGTGTCTCCATCATTTGTAACGATAACTGCAATCTGGTATCAGAAAGACGAGCATGCCGTCCGGACAGCGTCAGTGCTGTTGAACCCCATTTCTGAAGTCATAGCTAACATCATGTCCAACAGACTCTGGGTAACAATGAATGGAATTGCACAAGTGATCGGATGTCTCCTGATGTATGGTATTGGTAAGAATAACACGCTATCTTTGGCACCTTGGCGGACAATCTTCATTGTTTGTGGCGCTATCACAACCGCTGCAGGCGGTGCCTTTTATCTCATGATGCCGAATGGCCCTAAAGACGCCTGGTTCCTAAACGCTAGAGAGAAGGAGGTCCTGTCAGCACGAATGGCGAAGGACCGTGAAGGAGGGGACAAGACTTCATTTTCTGTGCGACAACTTAGAGAGGCTCTCCTAGATGGAAAGTCATGGTTCGTTCTTGGCTTCGGAGTTTTAGTAACAATGCAGTCACCAGTACTTACGGTACGCTCCGTCTTTCTTGGCATCACTTCCAATTATGTATGGCTGACTCACTTTATCTAGTTTGCTTCTCTTGTCATCAACACGATTGGATACGACAAGTACCAAACGATGCTGTATACAGCGCCGTCAGGGGCAGTTCAGGTTTTGCTTCTTTGGATTGGGGTAGCAGGTTGTTGGTTGTTTCCTCGCAATCGCACATTGGTGGTGCTGGTGTTGATCATCCCTCCGCTCATTGGTACAGTTCTCCTCCTGAAGCTGTCGACTGATTCGGGCTGGGGTATGATTATTGCTTCCTGGCTTGTGAGTCCTAGAAATGCCCCATCTTTGCCGTACTTTCGACTAAGCATCAACGCGCTCACCTAGGCGTCGTGCATTACTGCCGTCATGTCACCTTTACTGTCCTTGACAGCATCAAACGTCAAGGGAAATACGAAGCGTTCTGTCGTCAGTGCCATGTTCTTCATTGGATATTGTGCTGGCTGCATTGGTGCACCGCAATTGTGGACAGACAAACCTCGGTATTTTAAAGGTGTTGTGACCGGCATTGTCACTTGGTGCCTCTTGTTCATTGTCGTTGCAGCGTATCGTTTCGTGTGCATACGCGACAACGCTGCTCGCGACAAATGCGCAGCCGCACACCAACATGTGGATGGTGTCGCTACACATACGCAAGTTGTGTTAGATAAGTACGGTGCGCCACGCACAGACCTGACTGACAAGGAAGACGCGAGATTTCGATATAGTTGGTAGTGGTCATATTGTTTCTGCTCACGAGCCGGGCATTTCGATTTGGAACCGGCGCTGGCATGGCCAAATGCGTGTTCCATGACAGCAGCTACTGTTTGACTGTGCATCTCCCTGTCTGCGAAGGAATCCTCGCAAACCTAATTGTAATGAGGTCATTTCATATGGCAGGCTTTCGTCTGGTATACATTGCTTACAGTTGTGGAGCTCATAGAATGCGACCAATACAGTGATTCACCCGCGAGTCGTTCACTCATCCAACAATTGGAGCAGGGAACCCCGAGATGCGATATCCGGTTGTAACGTTGAAGAAGACACTCGAACAGTGATGGCCCTACTTTAGCGGTTAAGAACCACTAAAAAGGCGCTGCCGAAACTCACATTCAAGCCATCAAATGCCCGAGTAGGGGGTGCTTATGCTCTTTAGCGGTTGTTCCATGACTGATTGGGGTATAGCAATGTATAGCTAGTGTGCAAGTCACCACTCTTAATGTTAATTTTAGGGGACCAACCGACTTGGCAAAATGCCGATCACGCTGGGATGGGAAATTCAGCGTCATAGCATGAGAAAAGAGACTTCAGGCTTCTCGTTTCTCGTTTCTCGTATTGAGAATTGGGAACTGAGACTTGTGAAGACGATTTGCCACTTTGAACACACGAAAAGCCCCCCAAGAACTTGATCCCAGATACTTGTATTGTTGTTGTTTGCGCCCGGCGTCCTGAATTAAAATATTTGCTCAACTGCCTCCGGGGGCTGCGGTTCAGCACTAATAGCAACAACCCTGGTATTTTACTAAGGTTATACCATGGCGGATACCCGAAGACCAAGTTCACGCAGCGAGTCCTTTGACGACAAGAAATATGGCAAATACGACGATGCGGCATCGTTTGGTTATCGTTCGACAGACACCGGATTTTCAACAGCAGAATACGACTCTGGCAAAGGGGATGGCTATAAAGACCGCATGATTAAGAGTTCGCGCTCGGCCAAGCAAAGACCACGGTACCATGTTCTCCGGTTCTGGACATGGGAAATACTTTCACTCATCGTGGCCATTGGGCTGATGGCTGCGACTGTTGGGATCCTCGCTCATTACCAAGGCCAGCAAGTTCCTGATTGGCCGCTGTCTATAAATTTGAACACACTGGTGGCATTACTTTCGACGATTCTGAGGGCCGCCATGTTGGTGGCAGTCGCGGAAGTCATCGGGCAGTTAAAGTATGGGCATTTTGCCAAGCCGCAATCTTTGAAGCATCTGCACGACTTTGATCGGGCCAGCCGCAGTGTCAATGGATCTATCAAGCTATTGTTCGTCGCACCGAAAAGTCTATTGGCTGTCACTGGCGCTCTGGTCACGATCATATCTTTAGCCATTGGCCCATTCACGCAGCAGGCCATTAGATCGGTGACGTGCCCACAGTTCGTGGCAGACATGAATGCATCTATTCCGGTATCGCATTTCGTGCCTGGACGCGCTGTCTATTATCGAATAGGGGCTGGTCAATGGGAAGTTGACACAGACATGAAAGGTGCAATGATTAACGGCTTGACGAATCCTGCTGGCAACGACTCTGCCATTGTCGCAACTTGTCCGACGGGCAACTGCACCTTTCCCGTTGACTCAAGCAACATTACCCACTCTTCAATAGGTATGTGCAGTGCTTGTATCGACACTACTGGATTCGTCACCAAAACCGAGAATCTCACTACCAACTATACCATGCCAAATAACCTCTGGCTCTCACCGGGCTCAGGTCATGCGTATCTCAACGTCATGATTGATTATAACCTTACATGGGCAGAGTCTGCCTTTACGGGTGGGTTCGGAGCGATAGCACGCGGCGCCCTCACCAACTTTACCACCATGACATTTACCCAGTCGTCGTGCTACAAGAACAGTGAAGGAGTGATAGAATGCCCTCACAACGTTACTGGATATGTTGGCCTCTCAGACTATGTTGCCACGTCATGCTCAGTATATCCATGTCTCACGAATTATCATGCCGACATGAGCTCCGGGGCGCTGGATGAGCAAGTCGTATCTACTATACCTGCGCCTGTCAACTGGGTCGAAGCAAACATAAGTGTGGATGGCTTCAGCTCCGGGGCGAACTACACGGCACTCAAGTCGCCCTGTTTAATTGACAATGTCATGTACGACAAAACGAACTTCTCCGAGGTGTCACAGCCTTCGAACCGGACAATGACAGGCATAAACGTCGATGGGACGAATTACACAGTTCCAGACGAATGTCTTTACAAGGTAGAATGGCTCTATGGTGCCGCACTGAACGCTTTTATGAGCGAGACAGTCTTCAGTGGGTCCTGTTCGTACGATCATAGTCAGGGCGGTTCGCTTTACTGCTCCAACTCATGGTGGCTCTCACCACTATACAATCAACAGAATGCATCATTTGAGTCAATCAGTAATCGGATCGGTCAGTATACCACGGCGATTACCCACAAATTTCGGACAGTGGGTTCGAGTAACTCTGACTACTCGACGAAAGAGTCGACATTGGGCACTGTTATCGAGATGACCGTTTGTACTGAATTCGATTGGCGTTGGTTACTGATGCCGCTAGCCTTGCTGGTCGCATCAATAGCGATGCTTGTGCTGATGATGATACGCAACTATGCAGACCATCCAAGACAGCCGGTATGGAAGAGTTCTGTTCTCCCGCTCTTGTTTCATGGACTCGATAGCGCGCCTCGCACGAACTCTGGACCTGCTATGGAACTGGATCAAATGAAGGAGCAGGCAAACCAGATTAAGGCTAAATTTCAAACTGGGGCAGCTGCAGGTTTTGTAGATATGACGGACGCTGGCAAGGGCAGTATTAGAAGCAGAGATGTGGACATGGACTCCTTGGTGAGCTCTCGGCAACTTTAAGACTTCAGATTTACAAGTCTAATTTTGCATAAAATTTATAGATCTGATAATCTAATTACGATATTTCTGGCCCGCTATGTAGGGGAAGTGTGCCCTGTGTATGCGGCGATCACCTCGCATTCTTGTCAAAACCAATGGTTATATCAAGTGTGAGCTAGGAGAGCATTTGACCGACAGCAACCACGCCCGATTCGCCTACACTGGAACTTCAAGTTAAAGTGATTTTGACAGAGATAGAACCTTTGGTTGTCTGGACCACGATGAGATCATGATCATATGAAATATCTTCGACGGTGGTATCATGAAGTGTGGCGCGCGGCAAAACTCGAAGTGCCATAGCAGCCGCCATGATATAGAGCTCACAATAAGCCAGCCTGAGAAGTACTGATCAGCATCTGCTATCGGAAACTCTTCAGAATAAAATCAACTTACTGCTCACCGATGCAGGATCGGCTACCCTTTCCAAATGCGATGAGAAATTTCTGAAGCTTGTGATTCGGTTGACCGTCTGGCAACAACCACCGCTCCGGTCGAAATTCATTTGGATCTGGGAACAGGCTCTCGTCGAAGTGGTTCAGCATCGAAGTCATACCGATAGGGGTGCCTTTCGGAATAACCCATTCGACATTGCCGTCCTGGGACTTGTAGAACAAGTTTTCGTCTCGCGCTATCCTGGCACTTCTGTGTGACACGCCAGGCATCATTCGCAACGACTCATGAATTACGGCCCACAAGTAGGGCCTCTGTTCCAGATCTGTCCATTTGAGGTTCGATGGGTCGGTGCCGTGCAGACTTTCCATCAAACATGCGTAGGTCTGTGGTTGTGCCAAAAGATAATAAGTGATGACTGTCAGTGACGCCTAATGTACATGTTAATCACTAGCACGTGCAACAGGCAAATAAGGCGTATCTTACGGCAGTGGTCTCCGTACCTGCCAGCAAGAAGTTGAAGCCTTCCCCTGACAGACGATAGGTGGACTTCTCCTCGGGTGGCAGGATCTTTGAGTCCATGAGTTCCGCGAAAACCCGACCATTATCCGGATCTTTGATGGCCTTTTCCACGTATCGTGGTATCACTACCGTCATCTGGTCCATTACGGTCTTCAAATCTTTACTCAGACGAGTCGCCAGTGGGATAGCAATCGCTCCGAGGTTCCTGGCTAAGGCGTTGTGTCTCATCATGTAAGCACTCTGAAAGAAGCTTTTGACCCAAGTGGCAAAGTTAGGTTCCCAACCTTCCTGGTCGACAAAACCCATAGGTTCGCCAAACGCACTGCGATATCAATAACACGTCAGCAAATGTCTACTTTTGTAGTTGCATGGTAGATTTTTCGGGGCGGTGTCTTGTGTGTGGCCACTAGTCCCACTCCTCTAAAGATCTGTGGAAGCACTGAGTAGTGGTCATGACCAAGAAATTCCTGAGGTTAAAGATTATTTCTATACATACTATTGCGAGATTATATCGGCCGTGAAGCAGTTGAATGCTTCCTTTACGTCAAACGGACCTTTATCGGCATACCGCAACATCTTGTTGATAGTACGCTGAGAGAAATCGTGTACCTCGCTTTCGAGCTTCAGCGTTTGGCCCTTTGAAAAGAACCTCGATAAGGCATCTTTACGAATGCGGTGCAGTTCATGCGGAACGGTAGAGAAACCGGTCACTGCTACTGGACCAACAGCTCCGGTATTCAACTGGTGTTGCCACTTGTCGCGAATGCGACCTCCCACAGCATAAATCTCATTGGTGAAGTATGGGTCATTGCAGTGAAGCTCATCCGGATTGATCCTAACGACAGGTCCTAAATTTCAATCGGTCAGATAAATTCTGGGAAGCAGTTTGCGATCTGATAAGAAAGCTTACCATATTTTTCGTGCATGCGTTTAATTTCGTGGCCATAGCGCCCTAGTAGCCACCAGTCGTAGTATGCTTCGTACAGGTACGTCGCTGCTGCAATTTTTGGGCCTGGGAACTGGGCCAAAGGGTGAAATGGTGAGATGTTATATATAAAGAGAAGAGTATGGTAGGCAATCCAGCAACCAACTATACCCAGCACGGCTGTGAGGCCACCCTTGATAGTCAGGACTTCATCGAGGCCTGAATGCATGGTATCACAGACGACAAAAGTATGTAGGTCCAGAAAGAAAACCAACACCCAAGTCGAGAGAAAAGAATTAGCCGGCTATTTTCATGCTTTAATGCAAGTCAAGGAACGAGGCTCTAACGGATACCCCTCAAGAGCCCTGTAATTCGTAGCGTACGTTTCATTAGAATCCTTGCAGTGGTGGAGTGAAGAGTGGAAACTGTTGAAGATAGGACCCCGAACTGTTAGCCTTTGTTATCTTAGTACTGCCTTGGGAGGAAGAATTACGGGTTGGTCAAAGTCCATTCTCCGTATTCGTGTGGATCACACCCCCATCTCAACAAGGTTAAACCACACATCTGGTCCCTTCATGCATCCAATTGGCGCAAGAGAATATGACATTACTTCACGGACAGACGGACTAATAGACCGCGTGACGCACAATGCACAATTTCGATGGGGATTGTGGTTGTTATCAGTATTACCGGTAGGTCAAATGGAAAAAGCATTGATATACTCCTGCTTAGTCAAAAGTTTCAATAGTCTTGCAATACAGATTACTCAATTATCAATACCTAGCTATGATCTGGACTATGTATTCGCTGGAATTTCATAACATTTCAACCTCCTTTTCTACTTTAATTATAATGTTGAAATGCCTATTCTGGAGCCTGAAGTATTTTTCCCGTTGTCTTGTGTGCTAATTCTCGGGTTAATCTAATATAATCGAAGGCGCTTGAGGCAGTCCATCTCTTTGTTGCGCTAAAAATGTAATAAATATAGGCTAGCGCAGTGAGCAGAAATTGGGTAACCAATTTTTCGTAATAAATGATGTCTCTAACATAACTACTTCATACTTTTTATAAGGCTCAACCGGGAGGCAACAATAGTGCAGTATTTCTAAAAGTAAATTAGGGTTAATTAATAAATATACTTAGACTAATGTATACATAGGCTCCTAACGCTAAGAGCGGATGTCGACTTGATAGAAGCATAAAAATCTTCGGCAAATCTTCACATGCTTGCATCTTATTCAAATTTTTTTTTTTAATTCAGTTTCATTACGAGATAGCCACGTTCAGCCACTGTTGAAAATGTCACCAATACTATCCAAACTCAAAACAGTCGTTCCTTTAGAACGCATTTTCAGTGTCCCAGTTTCATAAGTTTTAGTATCTGCTGAAGGAACTGAAAGATATGATTTGGAACGAGGCATTACTCGAGGCAAGTCACAATCGTATATTCTTTATCATGAGAAACAAAAAGAAGCCCAACGCCATGTAATTTCCTGGCGTCATGTCCTTGTAGCTCAGCGTAAAATGACGAAATCAGTGAAAAAACTCAAACGTTTTATCCGTGTCATGTTCTACAGCAAACTTGAGAGATGCCAGGGTAGGGGAGAGATCGAAAACCTATGTAAAAGGTGAGAAGAATGGTCCCTCATAAATATAGAGATGTAACGAACACCAAGTCTGGACCACGACGCTTCCACCGGACATATGGGACTGTTTCGTTGGGATTAGCATGCTCTAATAGAACTATGCTGCTTTCACGTCGCATAAAGCTCCACAGAACAAATATCAACTGTAATTGATCCGGCGGTACTTAGAGCAATGAACATCCATCTGAAATATGCGGCCTCTAAATCAAGGAACAGGGTTATCGCCGGAGCAAACACTTCACGGTCCTGTAAGACTTTTATATGTCACCGAGAATCACTTCAAGGAGCACATTCAGTTCATTCGTTCCATCAAGTGGCTTAAAAGAATCCACAGATCTCTTACCAGAGTCATACGATCCATGGGTAATCAGGAACCATGGTGGCATGCTCCAACTGACAAAGAGTCGCTGGCGGATAAGAAATTTCTTCCCTAACACATCTCACAGTACTGGTTGAAGTTTGAGGAAGCTTCGCCAAACCTTGCGGCTTGGTTGTCTTCTGGAGTATTTGCGAATCCACTATGTTTGCTGTTGAAAGAATAGCTTGACCAAACCATTAACAATAATCTCTGGTACACACTTTTCATCCTTGTGCTAACCGCTGATACTATGTACACCAGGGATTGTATTGGAACCGTGGGGCTGACCTCTCAAAAAGGACAAGTCTTTCATGACCCCTAAAGTCTTGGATATTCTCACGCAGCGAGTATGCTCCGTAACATCACCTGAGCTTCACGATTGGAACGTCCATCCGCTTCGATAAAGATACCTTCTTTGCACTACACACGTATATCATCCCTTAACCAGAACCCAGTTTGATTATGTTGCTCTACTGTAATGTTGAAGTCTTTACCGTCGGTGCCCCTGGACTTGTATCGAAGATTGGCATGATCACTGGGCAATAGACAGTTTTTGAGGTCCGATGACTTGTATGGAGGCGATACTTCACGACACTGAGGTGTAGGGGCAAGCGACTATGCGCTCTACATCACCAAGTAGGTGTTTTAAGTTGTTACCAAAGTATTTGGTGTGGTCCTGTTATTGAAATGAGGCTCAGATCTGCGCCAAGTCCGAATTATTATTTGTAAATGAGGGATACTTGGTCATGAACTTTAGGTCAAGGCGGGCCGATATTTTGCCACGGTGCGGAAGGTCCCATACTTGAGCACAATCTATTAGTGTAGTAAAATTATAGCATTCCTGGGAAGTTGTCCATGGCTTGGATCTATAGCTCACTGTTAATCGTATATAAGTAAAAGAATGGCGGACGACTCAGATAAGTTAAATTCGATTGCTCATTTTCCCTAAAACTGGACGATGCCATCTAGCCGGCACCTTTTCCCTAACCAATGTAACGCCTGCAGCATCATAAAGAACCACTACTAGGACCTTATCTCGCGATCTTGCGCGAGAAGGCAAGGTTATCGTTTCTCAGTATATGCTCCAACTGCTACCTACGACTCTTGCATTGTCAGTTCGTCGAAATCGTCAAGAAGCTCTTCCATGTGTATGCGGGCACCATCCTCATCACCACCCTCAGTCTCGGCAATACTCATCTCGTCCGCGGCGGGCTGCTTCTCAGGGGCCTTGAATAGATGCATGCCAGCTCTAAACTCGGCATCCTCTTCAATATCATCCAGGAATTGATCGAATTCGCGATCCATGCGTTCTTGGTCAGACTTCTTGGGCAAGAGCTCACCCTCGTCCTTATTAATACGTTTGACCTTGAAGTTTCTCTTTCTGTTTCGGCGGCGGTTGGGGTAGTGTTTCTTGACGAGAACTACGTCAGGGATTGTGGAGGCGTAAGTGTTGGATGCCTCTATCGCATCGAACTCGGTGTTATTGAAGTTGGTACCGGTGAGCATATATCCCAAGACAGAATCACCAGCATGTAGAAGCCCACCCATGTGCGTGCGCGTAAAGTAAGTCTTGTCGTTGACGCCCAGATCCGATGCTTTGGCGACCTCGATCTGGCCGAGCACCCACTTGCCCTTTGTCTGACCTGTCGGCTCCACGTCCATGACAATGAACTCGACGAGATCTTTGGCTTCGGCAATGGGACCGAAGGGAGAGCGCCAGTATATCGGAGCGCTAACTTCGGCTGTTTGGAGAGTGTTGGGGTCCATGAAGTTGACAGATGTGCCTATCTTGTTGCACAAGACGAGGGGAGAAATGTTACCGATTTGCTTAGCCAGCTTGATGGGCAGCGCCACAAGATCATCCTTGCAAATAGGTACTAATTCAACGGAAAAGGTGAACTTGTATGATTTTGTACCCGTGTGTGTGTCTTGTGAAATAAGTTCCTGGGCCTTCTTGACTCGTACGGGCACGACTGAGTTGAGGAAGTCGACAAACTTCTCTGCTTGATTCCTTGCGGAAAAGAAGAAATCGATTCCATCCTTTGCCTCCTTGATGTTGATGGTGTCTCGGTGAGCGGAATGCCTGAGGACCATCTGTTCCAGAAAGAGAAAGGTACGCTTGTGTAGAACCTTCTGGCGGACCTGCACGGAAGCGCGCCAGACGTTGGCTGTGTATGACTTGGCACATTCGGGGCACTGCTGCCATGCAACAATGTAGACAACCTCAAAGCTCTGTTGTAGGATGACACCGTCGGACACGGAGTCTTGGATGGTCAATTTGATCTTGATTCGTCTCGAATGGGGTTCGGTCCAGATGAAGTGAGCATCGATGATTCGGACTTTGTGTAGACCTCTCAGCTTCTTCAGACACATGGAGAGCAGCTCACGGCTTTCGGGTTGAGCTGCGATCCAGGACTGGGGAGGCAGAAGCCATCGTTCGCAGTCCCTACAGAAATGGACCACGGCTTCTCGCTGGATGCCTTGTGATATGTCGATCTTGAGCTTCACGCAGTCGTAGCAGAGCGCATTTGCTGAGGTTGTGCCGTCGATGGGAGCCCCGCATTCGCAACAGAAAATGGTTGCATTGGAAGTAGGCTCTTCGGCATGGGGCGCGATCGAGATAGGCACGTCGCTGTCTATGTCCATAGACATGGCTGCTGCGTTTCGGATCGTTTTGCTTGGGTGTCTGAGTGTGTGAAAGAAAGAGAGTGTGTGTCCGTGTCGTCTTGGTGCGAAAGTCGAGAGTCACGGTGAACCAAGTCAACTCTTGGAATGGATGGATGAGTTGGGCAGAGTGGAAATGGAAATGGAAATACACCAAAAGGCAGTAATAATAATAATAATAATAGCGGGGGGGACGTCACTTTGGGTTCACTTTCTTCACAGAAAATGTCAAAAAGTTTGCCCCTCTATCAGCCCCCCCTCCAGCATCTGATTGATAATCGATAAGCCACCCGGGAGACCCCCACTAAAAATTAATATCAGGACCTCATTTATGTAGGACCCCACCTACTCTGCATACATGCCTAGGTTAGCATCATCAACTTGTTCCAACCACTTACTCCCTTCTACTTCGTACATGTTCTGGAAATATTGCCCGTTGAAGTCGCAGTCGCAGCAGTCGAGACGAGTTCGACTTTCCATGTGCAGCTGCCAAGTACCCCGCCCATCTTTGAATATCATAGGAAAATTTGGCGGCGACAACTCCATCCATTGCTTTCTATTTTTTTTCTTTTTTTCTTTTTAATAGTCTAGACTAGACTAGTCTAGCCTTATTAGAATCTATCAAGTACGACTCTTCGACATAGGAAATCGCGGCCGGCTGCTAGAAACAGTACACTACTACATGTCAAGTAGAAAATAGGGTGTCTTAATACAGTGCTCTTACGCCTTGTGACGCCTTGTTGTGACCATGGCTGATGGCCCCATTTCCCTCAAACAACAAACAGCATTTCGCCAAATATCACATCATCAGCGATTCTATTACCATCGATTTGACCACAGCCACATTCCTAAAGCCATAGTCAAGTCGTATTGACGGGTATGAACTCCATGCAGATGATCGCTCCGTATGCTGACCATGACTGCTACTCCGAAACTCCGGCAAAAATAATAAAAAAACACTTGAACCGAAAAAGCAGGATTAGTACAATGTCCATGAACACAACACAAGCTGGTTCATCTTCAGAAAGTGTCAGTTGTTGACATGGCCAAATTCCCTCGTCTTGCACAAAACAGCCCATCTACACACCTCCACCCATGAATGCCGCCAGATCATCAAGCTCAAGAAGCTGATTCTCGAATGCCTCGCAAAGCTCCGTGGCGGTCATATCGTTGGCAGTACGCTCTTGCGGGACTTGCTCTACTGGTGTGTCACCGGCCGACGACGGGGCCCCGGTAGATTCAGCCTTCGGGGCTGCAGGGGCTGCTGGTGGAGGGCTAGCAGTTGCTGGTGTGTTCACCAAGGATGCTCCATTGATAGCAGCGAAACCCGACGTGCGCGGCGGCTCACTCTCTCTACCCTGAGATTGGTCTTGAGCAGCAGGAGGCGGCCGCTCATAGTCCATGGCATCGGGGTTACTATCTGGTTGGCTGTTGAGGTCATCTTTTGGCGCCGGACTAGGCTCCATCTTCATCGGCTGCGGCTGATAATGGCCGCCGTTGCGAAGAACCTTGGCCATAACAGACAGGTGCCGGTACCAGGGGATGGAGAGAGTCCAGTAGTCTGTTCCTTCCTGCAAGAAATGCATCGCATCCCTCACAAGTGCTCGAGAGGTCTCGTTGGCATTGACGGGAGTCAAGCCTTTCAGACTGAACCACGCTACGGTCGCTCCAGCTTCGAAACAGGTGAACAACATCTCCAAAGGGAAAACAACAAGACCGTCTTTGGAGGTTTCACTGTCTAGTGCAAGCAGCAAGGAGACAATCGCGTGGGCAGACGCAAAAGCCCGATCGACGGCTTGAAGCTGCGTGTGAGGTGCATTCCTCCAAGCTTCCTCGGTGAACCCCTCGGTTCTAATGTATTGGAGAAGTCGGCGCCGGTTGACCATGATGGTTGCGCAGTGCAATAGACAATGCAACATGGCATAGGTATATCCGCTGCCCATGGTAATGTGAAGGTTGATGTGACCAGCCTTGTCCATGAAGTGCATCGGCAAACCTTGACGCACGGCCTCAATCTCCTTATCTAAAGTTACACACTGCTGCTCCGAAAAGGTCTCTACCTCGACGGTGGTCAACATCTCGACGACGTTTCGCCATGCTTGAGTGGCCATGACAATATGACCGAATTCGCCGACCTCAGTCAAGGACGTCGTTGGATCTGGCATGTCGCGAGGAGCTTGACCACTCAGCGTGCGGACAAACACGGGGGAACCGAAGCTGAAGCTCATATCGGGACAAGGTAGCGCCATATCCTTGATGTCGAGAGCAGTAAGAGCAGGCAGACGGCCGGGACTGCTAGTCAGAAAGCAGTCAAGGATGTAGATCAACCACAGCGTTCGCCGGAAGGATTCATCCTTGATAAATTGCTCCGCTTCAGGCTTGGGGTTATAGTGCGCGGAAACAATGCGATGCATTTGCGCCATACGGGCAGCCTGGCCAAGGTAGACATATGCCCGAATGGCATTTCTGCTACCCCATTCGTGTATAATAAGCAGGCAGAGAGCTTGAATGTCCACTACTAAAGGATTGTCAAGATTCTGCATGATTGTGCTAATAGTTTTGACGGCAAAATGCTCCGCAGCAGCAGTGGCGCCGCCCTGTCCACCATAACGCCTCGTCAGGTGAGCAGAACTCCTATATTGTTGTTAGTGAACATGTTCCGCTCGTAGGCCGAGAAAGAACGCATTGCACCATGTGATGGATCATGAAGGCTGCAGTGTGCTGGACTGATCAAATAGCACAATATACAGACCGACGAAAAGAAAACATGCTTACCGAGCTCCAATTGTTAGAAGAGCATTCACAATGCTAGTCTCCAGTGTACCATTTTTTAGTTTCTGGAGAAACCCCGGTTTGTGAAATGCAACACATGCTGGAAGAACTTTGTTGATGATTCTCTCACACTCATGGACTAATTCCGGTGTGAGTCTATACAGAAAACCGTTAGTGAGTTCGGTGGTAACTTGTTGAGGGATGGATTTAGGGGTGTGGAACACGGGAGTTAGGACGGCTTGGCGCGAGCGACAAGTCGTGGCGATCCCGAGGCGAGGCAGCCGGCATGACAGCCACAACAGCACTGTTGGCGCTCTGCCTGAAGAGCCCCCCATTGACGCGACTTGGAGCGGAAAAGTCGGCAAAACGGGTAGTGGGAAGAAACTTGAGACGATGATGACGCCGATGACAATAATGCATGAATAGAGAAAGGGACACAATGTGAATATCATCATTGAATATCAAGTACTTACTTGTCGTTGTTAGAGGTCACTGTTCGGGAGGCCAATGGCTGGCTCGCTGCAGCTGGGCGATCGTGAGTGGCGGTTGAGACGCTTCGCTCGCCCGGCAGACTTTCTCGAGGTCGCGGAACTCTCGCAGGCGATTGTCCGTGATGATGCGCCAGGCTCTCTGAAGGGAGATAACACTCGTGCATTCCCTTGGCGCAGTTCTTGCAAGGAGCGCGATTGTTCTCATAGACCTATTGACACTCAAAACTTGTCGTGTGAGTGATATAGACGGAATTTGACTTACGCATTTCGTCTTGCCCTTCCTGCAGCGGACGCAGGCACCGCCGGCCCTCAAAGAGGTGCCACGAACTGCACTCGACATGACAAACGCTTGTAGGGAAGACTAAACACAAGAACCACGAGAAATTCACAGTAGATAGAAGGTAGATGAGAACCGGCTATGATGACGAAAGGACAAGGGAAATTTGGAAGAAGAATGAAGAAGCCGCAAATTTCGGTGCCCCGGAAATTGTGGAGGTCTACGGGCGAAAATCGAGGAAGAAATTTGGGAAGGCACTCCCTGGACGCGCCGCCGTGAGGACTCTAGCGCTGCTCAAAACCCCAGCCCAGCTTTGGACGGTCGGGCGGGTCAGACACACGGCTGTGGTTTTCTTTCCCACGTCCACTTCAAATTCTTGCAACAATTCGACACCTATGGGATTTCGTGTGCTATGAATCTTGTTTGGTTTTTCTTCAACTATTATTTGCCCGAGATTTCGATGTATGAGCCACCTTGGTGACCGCTTGCAACGCCTCCCTTTGCAGAAGGGTGACAATTAGTAGGGGCGTGCCGTCCGTGTCGGGGAGCCCGGGGTTTTGGAAGATTTCCTGTGAAATTGCCGCCGTCCATAGTTTCAACCGACATGTTGTCCAACAATGGGTCCATTTACTACTAGATCGACGCAAACAATTTTTGTGCTGATTGTGTAAGATGTTCCTGATGTGTGTTTTTCATACAATACATTGTCATTGGCAATATACGTCATGGCCAAACGGTGTCTATTGCCAGTCTAATAGATGCCAAACAAGGCCCTGTCGCCTGTCTCAGCGATCTGGGCATGCGTAGGCTGAAAGCCAAAAAAAAAAAAAAAAAAAAAAAAAAAGGGGGCGACTCATCCTGGGGCCGTCCGGGTGTGGTGGGTTGTGATCTCCGATGATGCCAGCTGAGGTCGGACGACTTCGAAGCCGAAAGGTGATTGGTGATTGGTGCTAACACGGGCAACGTTTTGAGGCACCAGGCGCGAGGTCGCATAATGTACTATTCATTCTTTTGTTGCATGATAACCATTAACCAATACTTATTTCACTGTCTTGCAGAAAGCCTTTACCGCTAGACGATTTGCTACAAAGGGCGCCATACTGGATGGGCAATCTAGTCATCATTCAACAATATGTCGCAGGCAACGGGCGGATTAATTGAATTGGCTGCGTCCATGGGCTGACAGGATCTCTAGTGGTACACTCCTCCTTTACCCGACGGGGGCGACGCGGGATGCCGTCTGTCCGTTTTTTGCTTTCCAGCAGCCGAGAATTTAGTTGACTACTGCCAACTTTCGGGATTATCCATTTTAGGAGCCGGGGGAAACGGCTTGTTTACCTGGGCATCCTGACCGAGTAGTTGACCAGCTTGAAAGGGAAGTGATTGTGACGCTATTCGCAGCGAGCACGTGTTTGAACGATGCACAAGCTCCCCGTGCTGACGAAACCTCGGGATCTTGTGAGGAACTCGGTGGTGCATGCGAGAGATGTGTGGATCTCCCGGATCAGATGAGCACCGAGCCAAGCTGGATCGCGCGGGCCCTAACGTTGTAGTTCCGCACTCACAAAGGACACATACATCTATGTGTGCGCATCGCCTCTGCAATTGGCCTGGCCTAGATTCATGATTCTTACGTCTAAAAAGCGTCGCAAATGGTATCGCCTATGTATGCCATCGAGACATCACTCAGCTACTAAGCTATTGCGGTTACTATTTTGAGCAGGGGGCGGCAGGTGTATCCAAAATAGTCACTGTAACCACCCGCACCGCTCAAACAGGGCATTTTGAGGATCGCTCCTTCCGGCCCGCCCCATTGATGGTGTCTTTCTCAGCATCAGCCTTCCTTCTATTCAGCGGCGTACATTTGCGTTGAAATAGTTCAACATAGTACTACGCGATCTCGGTGATTTGCCCATCTCATAGTGTTTACTTAAACACAAGAAGAATCCCTGATGTGCAATGCACAACTATGACAATGATCAGGTATTGTCGAGTAACCTAAGACGTCGAGTGCCGAGTGGCGGATCCCTTACTTTGGGCTGCCACTCCGGCGAGGCGCGATGTTAGCCATACCCGATTCAGTATGCTACATAGTACACTGATTCCAGACCAATTTTATCCATCGACTCGCAGACCGTAGAAATATCCCCGTCATTGTCATCACACTCCTGCCTCGGGCCAAGACACTGTTGCGCGCATTCGTTGACGGCGTGTTCCAAAGTTGGACACACAGCTCCCCCCCAGTCCACTGCTCACCCACCAAAGTGCATGGGGGGCTGTCGGCGTTGCGATTATTCAGACACCTGGCAAACACCACGAAGTCTAGAGTCTAGACCATGGCTCTTTCGTCTTTGCCGCCGGCCCCATTCTTTTGCACGGGCAGCCGTTAGTCTACCTCCACACAGCTGCATTCTTGTTCCGTAATGAGCATCACCGCCAAATTCAAGATGCCCATTCTGCTCTGTCTGTAACAGTACATCATAATCAAGTTCCCCAACAGATATTTCTTGACGACTGCTGGCTGTGATGTGCGCAAGAATTGATGAACGGCTATCAATCCCATGGGAGATGGCTGGGGCTGGGAATGAACGGCGACAGAGCTGGGCACTCCACTTATTTGAGCAACTCGCCAAACAGCCGGGAGACGCCATGCAGCATTTGGTCCGCGTGAAAAGACACCGCTGAAACCCGGGGAATCTGCTCCGTTGCGCACTGTCGAACTTCAATTGACTCACGTTTTGCTACTTAGTCAATCGTCGTCAAACCTTGTCACAGATTAGATAGATGGGCTTTTTGACGGTAAGCTAAGCTGCATAGTCGCCGCCGAATTTTGGGCGTTCTAATTAACTGCCTTCTAATCTTGAATCTGGCTCAGAGTCTAACTGCCGGAGTCTGCTAGAACTGCAGTTGTGCTTCAGATCAACACAATCAATCGATCATCGCAGCTTTTGAGCGAAGACTTATTGAGACTGCTTATTACACTTTACAAGTACCGTGCAACCTAGTCCGGTGTACATGGTTGTGTGATCCTCTCTTGCTTGCATAACATGAATTAATGGAGGAGAACATCGTTGCAGAAGTGGATGTATTAAGTTATCTATCACGATAGAAATACTACGATATATTCCGAATTGCTTGCTTTTTTTACCTGAATATTATACTAGTAAGCACTTTATAGCTTCCCCGAATCTAGCACTTATCAATAACATGAAAAATGACACGAAGATTTTATTTAATGAGTTGAAGAAGAAGTAGGAAATCGTGGAAGGTAAATTACCAATTATACCAGATGGTTGGTTATCGCTTTAGCAAAAGTGACGTTTTCCTAGCAGCGGCAGCCTGGCAGGTTAAAGGCTGTGTGTACGATGTGCAGTGACTGTATGGGACAACAATAATCATTAACTAGCGTTCGTATAAGTTGATACTCTGTGTGAAAACAGAATGTACTTGGGCTACGAGGCTCTCGCTCTTGCACCCTTTTGATTCGAGCATTATTGTGCAAGTCAGAGTGCCAAGTCATCGCAGTTTACTAGGTTAGACTAAGGTCCACGTTTTCAGTGGGTGCCGAGCACAGGCCATAGCGCATTTGCACTACTTTCTACCGCCATCTGCTTGCGACCTCTCACAATAACAAGATACAGCTGCATGCGTGAATCCGGAAGCAGGCACAGCAAATAAGACAATTGTTTGAGTCATGGGCGGGGGTGAGATCAGCAATGAGCCAAATCACGTCCGAGGCGTGAAAAGAAAGCATGTAGGCGATGAAGTGAGGTTGACGTTTTCTCAACGTTTGGCGGCGGCACAAAAGAACCCAAAGCAGATTGAAGGCGGCTCGGCTTCAGTTCGTGCGGAAGTCAACTCGTCCCCGAAGTTTCCTGATAGCTCCGACGTCGAGGATTCACCAAAAGATACACAACATTTGGAGAAAGACGATCATTATCGCCATTTGTATACCAACGAGGTGGACTTTGTTGTTCTTGCCGAGAATGATGAGAAATTTCGCGCCTGGTACGATTCGAGAAACGTGACCACTGTTGTATGAATATAAAACTAACAGATTTTCTCTAGCCTGAAAGATGGAAGGCACTTAGATTTTACTGATCCTTTGTCAGTAATGCAGTTGACCAAATCGCTGCTCAAGGTTGATTTTGACTTGCACATCGAATTACCTCAAGATCGGCTTTGCCCGCCAGTAAGTACTCTGCGGACTCTCAAGCTGGTTTCGTCAAAATCTGATTTCTAAGGTACAAAACCGCCATAACTACCTTCTGTGGATAAAAGAGCTCCTGGACAGCAGCGCTTCAACATACAGCGATACATACGAGCCAGACCGCAAGGTAGTTGGCTTGGATATTGGAACGGGTGCAAGCTCAATATATCCACTGCTAGGATGTGCGCAACGACCTGCCTGGTCTTTCATTGCAACGGATATTGACACCAAGTCATTGTCCTACGCTCGAAACAATGTCGAGGTTAACCGTCTTAGCTCACGAATTCGGATCGTTCAGCGCTCTGTAGACGGCAGCATCGTGCCACTGGACGACCTGGAAATCGAGTCGATAGATTTCACCATGACCAATCCACCATTCTACGCATCGGAAGCTGAGCTTACACAACTTGCAAAGCTGAAATCGAAGCCACCTAACAGCGCCTGCACTGGAGCGCCAAACGAGATGGTCTGTGATGGAGGTGAAGTCGGTTTCTTCAAACGTATCTTCTCAGAGTCCTTGATACTGAGAAAGCGCGTGCAATGGTATACGACAATGTTGGGCAAGCAATCCAGCCTCCAAGCTGTCGTCCAAGTGTTCCAGGAGCATGAGATCGAGAACTATGCCATGACGGAACTCATACAGGGCAGCAAAACTCGCAGGTGGGCTGTTGGCTGGAGTTTCATGAGTCGCCGACCGAACAATAAAGCGTGCAGGGGGTTTGAACCTTCTGCAGGCAAGAAATTCCTGCCGTACCTAACAGAAATGGTGGTGGCATCAAGGTCGGTCCACATTGACAGCGCAAAACAGCTGGAGAATGTGTTTTGGACGCAGCTTGAAGATGTAACTGATGGCCTGGACCTGGTATCTTGGAATCTGGACGAGGATAAACTTAGAGTTGTCGGCTTCGCAGACGAAAACGTTTGGAGCAGGGCTTATCGCAGAAGCAAGGCGAGACAGTCCACGGCCGACGAGGCTCAAGAAAAACATGGAGCCACGAAACTCATATCTGAGTGTGCGTTTGGGTTTTCTATTACCGTCAAAGCTCGCCACGACCAGAAAGCTGCAGTAAGCAATGTTGATGTCGTTGTTCGTTGGCTGCAGGGAACCGACTATTCATTATTTGAAAGCTTCTATGGAATGCTTCGTAATGCATTGCTGAACGTTATCTGATGACGGCTTTATCAGGGTTAAAAAAATAGAATAAAAGGGGGGGGGGGGGGGGGGGGTTGGCTCATTGGGATCGAACATACTGGATAGAGAATTCTCGACCAGAAGTCTCCATTGAAAAAAACACAAGTCGCATTTGTTGTTATACTAATTCATAAAAGAATTAAACAGAATATTCGGTATCAAAAGCTCTTTCAACCCCCCATGTATATTCCAGCTCTTGATGGGTAGGTTTCTGAGCTTGAGAGGTCACGCAATGGGGATTGGTCTAGTTTTCGACAGCTTCAAAAAGAAGGATTCGAACGTGTCGACCATGAACTGATAATGCTAGAGAAAGCTCGCCAACGTCGCATACGCAAGAGCCTTGGCAAGCAAAGCATTACCTGGGTTCGAAATGGTTTCAATTAAACCGGGCGAGGCGAAGACAAATTCCTGCATTGGCAGGCGTCTCGGTCTGAAGGTGAATATCATCAGAGCTATTGCTGTGCGCATAATTGCTATCAGTATAGAGGATGGCGTGGAAAACTATCTCTGGGGTGCTACGTCCAAAGATGTCAAAATAACAGAGTACTACGAACCAGTAGGCGTTGGCGGTAAAGCGTCAAAGAGTCTCAGGATGATGTCTTTGTGAGAAGCTATGGGACTGGACAGAGCAAGAGCTTGCCGGACATGAGCTTTGAGTAATATCTTTACCGTCGTGTATTGATTTGCCAGAGAGAAATGCACATATGTGGTTTCAGTTACATTTGTGAACCGCGGAGGGTGCTCAATGATGCTATGTGAGATAGGCATGGTTTTAGGCAGCATTCCACGATTGGCTATTGAAATTGTACTCCCTCTTCAAAAGGTTCGACGAGCCTCCATTTCCTACTTTTTCGCATTCGATTACAAGCCCTTCGGAAATATCGTTCGGCAGAATTACCCGAACCTGGCATATTCGACGCACCAGTGGTAGTGCTGGCAGTGAAGCGTCTTTCACTACAGGGGGTGCGAAAGGTGAGAATCCGTCATCCAGCTCGAAGGCTTTGTAGAAGTCTCCTTCCTCAATTCTCATGACTTCCTCCGCTACGCATGCCGCTATAACTGCATGCCATATGCCTTCTGAATGGGACAGTAATCTGAGAATCTTGATCGCTTGTAGCCTGATTTGGTGGACACGACATTTTAGTGCCACGTAGTACAGGGGCGGAATGGCGCCTAGATCACAAACAGATTTCGAAGTTCCTCTAGTATACCCCGGTATAACTTCCTCTGCCTTGGCGGATGCAGAAAATTTCAACTTCGGGATAAAGTTTTCTATGATGGATGCGAACTGAAAGGTATATGAGTCAAAAGCTAGTTCACCAGCCTCATCTAGACATGTGTCTGCCATGATTAGGCCCATAACATGGTATTGCTCAAGGATATCGTAGGCCCATGATTCCAAAAAGGATGAATTCGTTTCAAGACTGCTCTTGGAGCTGGTATGAACTTGCTTCCACCGTGAGAAATCCGATTTCAACTCACTCTGCATGTGTGATAATGTGGTGGAAATTGCGTGCTCCGAGAGAGCTCCTGCATGGCGGGTTTTTGACATTAAGCTGGTAACTTTTGCTAGTAGTTGGTCGAGGCAGTGTCGTGCTTGCGTCACGGAGCAGAAGATTTGAGGGAACTCAGCTTCATAGCTTATTGGATACAGGTCTCGCGAAATCTGTCCCGACAAGACTGTCGAGATATAGAGCCTGCCGAAAGTTACAGCGATCCAGTGTTCCTCGAAGCGATATGGGCTCTTCATCCTATCAATGGTACTCTCAACTCCGGGAAAGAACTTTGGCATATTCAACAGCTTAAGCCCAGATTCAAGATGAGAGACAGCCGACTTATACTGTCCGCGGAGCAGCTCCAAGCAGATAAATAAGAGACAGGTGATCAGTGTCACTCGGACGGAGGCTGAGGTGCCAGCTGCCAAATGTGCCTGAAGCTGGCTAATGGCTCTGCTATAGTGTTGTAGGATAAAGTGTTCGTGATCATCTGCCAGCTGAGATGCTTTACCAGCAATTCGATCATTTTGAAGAGAATTATTCTTGTGTGCGAAGCTCAGAGCGAGAAGTGCTGAAAGCACTGCCGCTTCATTTGAACTTGCCTGGAAGACTAGTGTAGTCCAGAAGGGCGAAGCAAACGCACCGGGAAGCCGTGGGGCGCTCTGAAACACGAAATATTCGAAGGCCAGTGATTCTCGAGCCGTCATCACACCTAGGGGAGATAGCGTCCGGCACAGAGTGACGAGATTGGGGTTGGGATATTGTATGCGGCCACATGGGTCTCCATACTGGTTGCCACCTCCGCCCCAAATACCATAACCGGCGCAAACCCGGCCGGCAGATATGCATCTATGACAAGAAGGCTTGCGCTCATCACATTTAACCTTGCGAAGCCTGGGTTATTGTCAGCAATTGTGCATTCTAGGTAAACAAAACCGGTCGCCGCATTCATACTTGCAGGTGCGGCACCCTGATTTAGCGTTTTTCCTCCTCCCGTTCTTGGGCGTAAGCATTCTGGCAGAACTTGCTTCTATGGTGAGATTCAACGAGTGGGCTTTGCATCGGAATGGTTTAGCCGATATGTCGTTCGCATGTCTACCTTCTATGGCAGGCAGAGCGTACTTGTGTGGATGAGCGACTGGCTGCCGCCCAACATCCCCAGAAGTGCAGTGGATCACAAATGTATTAGATAAGCGCGATGAATGGACACCTCGGAAACTCTGCGTACCTATTGGTCAAACCACGCGCTTTTCCAAAGCAGCATTGGGAGGGGGCGCTACATGTTGTGATCTGCTCTAACGTTGATCAAATCCATGTTAGAGAAAGTACCTTGAATTTCTTGGTATACTAAGGAATGCACGCTGAAAATCGGTGTAGTGCGTAAATCTGGAATGCAGAAAGTGTAAATCTATAAAATTTATTTATTTGGCTGAATGCCACTCGTTCACACTATTTTCAATTCAATTGGTTCGATGTTAAGCAGTGATTCCAGATCGTCCTTGATCATCTTATCCCAAAAAGCGACAAAACCGACCCTTCGATATTGCGGGATTACGCTGTCGCTAGCTACGCGAACGAGTGCGATCCCGTTGCGATCATTTGTATCATCGCGGCGTTCGGTTACGCCAATATACGCGCATTGTACTTTCTCGATCTTGGCTTCTTCTTCGCCATCGAAGAAGATTGTCGCAAAAGTGCAGTTTCCTGTCTTCAAACAAGCTGTCAAGTCGATGCGGCCGCCCGGAGGCATGAGCACGCCGTGTTTCGGAGCCTCCCACGCTTTACTTCGAACAGCATATTCAGAGTCCGGATCTTGTCGCGTTATCTTGACAGGAAGATCTTGATCAGTGTTGTGTAGCTTGTACTGTTCATCTGCCACACCGTCTTGTGTCACTTGACACTTAAGAAGTCGTGCTTTTATATGAAGTGATCCTGATAAAACCTCCCCAAACATGTCATCGTCCGTGGTCTCAATATGGGAAGCAATGAGTTCGGCATCAGGTGTGACGCCAGTTCGATCACCTCGGTTGAACAAAACTTGTCCCTTGACACTGAGCCATGACCAGCTAGGAGCCTGGAAGTCGGCAGGTCTTTCCAGCGAGTAACCGGTTCTTCGCCACAATAACCCCGTAAAGATGTCTTCTTCCCAGAGCCCAGCAATAAACGTCTCCTCGTACTTGTCCATTAACCCGGCAGCGATACCGGCCAAAGCCGCGAATACGTCTTTGTGGTAGGTCAAGCTTCGGGAAGTATATTCCTCAACGATGTTATACCATTCTCCAATGACTTTGGAGCTATATGTCAGAATGTCAGTGGGATACGGTGGAATCATGTAGCCTTCGTCATCTTTCCCACCTCCAGGTGACCAAGTCCCTGTCTCATCGTGGCTTGAACATACACATTCCCAAATAAACTGCGAGTGTGTGAAATAGAGACGACGCGGAGACAGGAGTTCCTCTTGGAGACACCAACCACGCTTCCTCGTCGGACCCTCCCAATGAATCTTGCCAAAAGTCGTCCGCAGTGGAAACAGGGCGACGTGATGTGGTTTGACGGAGTCTGTCACCGGGCTAGCGGTCATATGAGCGGCGCTCACTCTCAGCTCATCTCGTGGTATAAATAGCCCACTTGTTGCACTATCTGTGCCGGAAACTATAGTAAACTGTGCAGCAGTATAAACTCTTTTTAGAAGCCTAGATTCCTTTGCCCAGTCATCAAGGTCATCCTGCACAATACAGAGGCTATCGACCCAAAGATATCTGATCCCAACCGCACGAGCAACAGTCACCGCGTCCGCGATCGTCCGTGGTAATATTTCCAGTGAAAAACCTTCCCTGCGCGATTGTATATTGCTTGTAGTAGTGATCCAGGTTGGTTGCCCGGTTCCCTGGCCCCAACAATAGCTTAAGACGACGTACTGCTGTGTGGGTTCCGGTTTACATGGGCCCTCTATCAAACGCATAGTGGTTGACGTTTGGTCGTCACCAACATCGATCAATCGTGTTGGTCTGAATGCTTCCTTGGGCCATGCTGAACATTCCTCATTCTTCATACATTCGTGAAGCCATTTGCGTACAACACGTAGAGTGCCAACGTCCCCAGCAATAGGTGAGACCTGTCGTAGTCCTATCGCTGCAGCATAGGCTCCAGCATCTTTGGAGAGCCAGTGCCCACTTGGTCCTTCAATCCTGAACGCCAATGGTAGCATGATTTCCCCGTCAGAATCTGTGTTTCGCTGCCGCAACGTTATAACAGTTTGCGGCCAACCCCAATCGGCATCAATGTCGAGGTCCGGCTCCTCCAATATGTTCCTGCTGAGATATGCGCTGAATTTCAAGCTCTCCGGTACTTCGAGAGGCTTGCATTCAATGTAGACCGCGGAATCCGCCTCGAGGTAGCGCCCGGGCATGCTATCAATATGCGTGGCTAGAGCTGTGCAGAAATGGCATTCTGACTTGGCGGACTCTCGAAGCTCGCTGACGGTCTCAAAGAGCAGATAAGGTTCCATGCTCCGCTGGATGGCCTCGATCTTGCGCGTAGTCGCGCTTTCACCCTCAGTGTCTGCAACTTCATCTTTGGGCGCCTGTATGATCATGCCATTCTCAAAATACAATTTGTACAATTCATGACCCTGAACGCCACAGTTCTTCCCTGCTGCTTTACAGTTTTCGCATACGTTGTAGTCATTATTCTGGCAAATGCGACACCGGTAGTGGACTTGATTTTCGATTTCTTTTCCGCATTCAATGCAGTGAATGTCGTGCTTCCCTTTGCAGTGCTCCGTTTCATGCTTGCCCCTACATTTGTTCGAACTGAATCGCGAGCCAAAAAGGAATAATTCGACTGGTATGCTGTTGCAGCGCTGGCATATGTGGCCGTACGTAGGCCTAGGGAAAAAAGCCCCGCCATCCCCGCGCCCTTCATTGTGGAAGCGATTGCCGTCGTCGTCGATTGAAAGCTTTTCCATGATTTCAATCCTCAATTATGAGACTGCAAGATCTTCACGAAACTCAACAGTCTATTTGCTTTTTATAAGAATCATATTTTGAAAGGAACACGTGTTATGGTATAGGGTGGAGGATTTCAGGCACCCACAGCACAGCCCACGCACACACGATTCTAGCATGGGTGTCAAAAGGCGGTAGGGCGACATTGGTCCCGACACAGTTGGTAGAATTTCAATGATTGACGACATTTGAGCAATGGGTATCTTGAGAGTTGGGTGCTCAGAAAAGCATACTGGCAACACGTTTCGAGCCCTCGGACAACTTTTCCGGTCCCTTCTTTGCTATTGCAGCCTGTTCGAATTTGAATTGTCTCTGGGACTCCAGGGGCTTGACGGGGGCTTCCTTTTGCTTGTCCTTCTTCTTGGACTCTATTCCACCAAGCATCTTTGCCCTCTCGACGTTCTGAACAAACTCCTTGTTCTCTTTAGTGGATCGCGAGATCTCTGCCCTCATTCTGTTGGCCTTTTCGGCGGCTTCAGCAGTAATCTGCTCGGTGAGGTTGTCTACAATGTGTGGTTAGCCGATGATACAAATCCAACGCCAACTTGAAGAAGGGGTACGCACGCCATTTGAATCCTTTCAAGTATGACAGAGACCACATGTCGTCTCGATAATAGCTGCCTTTCTTTCCGCCTATCGGGCGACCTCTCAGCAAGTCTACGGCTGCCTTGGCATCCTTCTTCTTGACGAACTCGACCCAGCCGTCTGTGAAGGATTTCTTTTTGTTGCCCCCGTTTCGAACACGCCTCTTGTGTGCTTCGGGGTCTTCTGGTGACAAGAATATGCGGTTGATGGTTCCGTATGGTTCTAACAATGAGCGCAACTTCTGCGGCTTCATGAATGGAGGAACTCTAGAGATATAGACTACGCCAGACTTCTTGATGGCGGCCTCAGACGCTACGAGGTTTTTCTTGAGCAAAGGTCTGGAAACGTCGGGTAGCTCGCCAAGTTTCGAGTCTCGTGTTTTGGGGGCATCGTCGTCGGAGCCAGCTTCTCCCACAGAAGCTTCGTCATCCAACAGGAACCGCGGGTCATCTTCTTGCTCATCTATGCTTGCTACATCGTCTTCCGCGTCGCTTCCATCGTCCGTCTCTACTCGCCGCCTCTTGGCGTTGCCTTTACGAAGTTCCTCTTCAGACTCGTAGCCGCCAATGTCCTCGTCGCTTTCGTCGGCGTCAAGAAACTTGTTGCGCTTCTCTGCGGGCATTTTGTCGGTTGGTGTTTCTGCTGGATCTCCTATTGGATGCGATATGCGACCTTGATGCGACTGGAAGAGCGCTGGAGCGTCCCTGGAAAAGTCATCTAGCGATGGAGGTAGACAAATCAATTGCAGACCACAGGCGGACAAATTTTAGTGGAGCAATTGCGCTTCGGCGGGCGACAGCCAATGGGCCAGGCGTTTGCACAGGCTCACCTCGACCAGGTCTGCCAGGTAGGTAACTGTAGGCAGGGGCAGGCTTTTAGGTGGAGCTAAAATAATTCTACACGGTCCAATATTTTAGGTATTGCTCTTATCAAGCGAGTACAAGTACGTTATCGGGCTTTCCGAGTTCGGACGGCGGGGTGGGTTGTGCTACTGACTTGCGAGATGCCCCGCCATCATTATTTAATAGCAGATAGCTTAACGTTTTGTAGATAGACGTCACAGCACAGGGGGGGCGAAGTTAAGTAACTCACATTTAGGAGATCAACAGCGACCTTCAAACTCTGTCTTTGCAACATAAACACCGCATACCTTGAAAGTAGTCAAGCTCCAGAGATCAAAATGTCTGTCGAGGTACTTACCACTATCTCGCCCACCACAAACGAGCCCATCATCACTCGCAATGGTGTTAGCGCATCCGATTTGGAGAGTTTGCCCGAAACTTCTGCTCAGGCTTTTGAGAGTTGGAGGAAGACGTCCTTAGTCGACCGTCAAATCATTGTGAGAAAGGCTCTGAAAATCATCGGCGACAAGAAGGATGAGCTCGCCAATGAGTTGACCGTCCAGATGGGACGTCCCATTCGGTACACTGGTGTCGAGATCACGACAGCTGTCAAGCGTGGCGAGTATCTAGTCAAGATCAGTGAAGACACCCTCAAGGACACTCCTGGTGAGCAAGAAAAGGGGTTCAAGAGGTTCATTCGCAAGGTCCCCGTCGGTCCTGTTCTTGTCATCTTCGCCTGGAACGTAAGTCCTTCTCTCCCATTCTGCGCCTGTTGATACCGCCAGTAAATACTTATTTCTTCTTAGTATCCGTACTTGATTCTTGTCAACTCGATAATACCGGCATTGCTTGCAGGAAACAGCGTCATCCTGAAGCCTTCTCCCCAAACACCCACGATTGTAGAGCAAGTATCCAAGGCCTTCGCTGAGGCTGGGTTGCCCGCTGGCGTTATGCAGTACTTCCACTGTGGTTCGCCAGTACTAATGGAATCAATCATCCGCAATCCCAAGATTGCTCTGATTTGTTTCACCGGATCCGTCGCAGGTGGTCTGGGTGTCCAAAAGGCCGCCTCGGATCGTATTGTGAATGTCGGTCTGGAACTCGGTGGCAAGGACCCTGCTTATGTTAGAGGTGACGTTGATATCGACTGGGCAGCGGAGGAAATTGTGGATGGATCCATCTTCAATTCAGGTCAGAGCTGCTGTGCCATCGAGCGGGTGTATGTCGATGAGAATATTTATGATGATTTTATCAAGGCTGCGAAGAAGGTCCTTGAGGGCTACAAGGTTGGCGATCCACATGATAAGGAAACTCAGATCGGGCCAGTAGTCTCGCAAAGATCGAAGGAAGCCATCGAGGCACATATCAAGGATGCCTTAGAGAAGGGAGCCAAGGATGACACACCGGAGAACGCAACCTTCCAAAACCTGCCTTCAAAGGGCAATTTCGTTAAGCCTACCCTCCTGACGGGTGTCAACCACACCATGGCCGTCATGACAGAAGAGACATTCGGCCCGGTCATTTCCGTCATGAAGGTCAAAACAGATTCGGAGGCTATCACGCTCATGAACTCCAGCGAGTTTGGACTCACTGCTAGCATTTGGACTAAAGATACAGAGAAGGGCTACGAACTGGCCCAGGATGTCGAAGCTGGAACTGTTTTCGTTAACCGAGCTGACTTCCCTAGTCCTGTAAGTGACCCCAATATGTATGAAAACTTTACTGCTCAGCACAACTAATACTTTTCATCAGGATCTGGCTTGGACAGGATGGAAGAACTCGGGCAAGGGCGTGACCCTGAGCAAGTTCGGTTTCGACCAATTCGTCAAGCTCAAGAGCTATCATCTCAAGGACTATCCTAAATAACTTGAATTATAGTGTGGCACGCAAAAGAACAATCAGTTGTCTGTGAACGGACATTACAACGATCTTAGCTAAATATAAACAAAAAACAAAAAGCAATTCCGAAGTGATATACAAGTCTTTGAGACGATCGTTGCCAAGGAGAAGTCATCTTCAACGTTTAAAGTAGAGGTACAGAAAAATGGAAAGAAAGAGAGAAGAAGACAGCTGATGCCAAGAAATGAGGGGCATTGCTTCCAGGCGGTTCCGAGTCAAGCGGCATTGACGCGCCATGGCATCATAAACTCATGCGGATCCGATGCTCTGGACGAGGTTCTCGTCGATATACAAGCAACTTAATCAAGCCTTTAACTTCCTACCGTAATACTCTCTCGGAAATAGTGGCTCCACTTCGTGAACAGCAAGCAGGACAAGTTTACACCGCCCCGCAATTCTGCGGCCCAAATCTCGACTCAAAGTTCACGACTCATCTCATCGTGCAATTCATATTGTGATTCTTTTCTTTCTTTTTCTCGGCTAGTGCAGGGATTCGAAATATCAATTCCAGACAAACTTCGATCGCTGCAGATCACTCTAGACTCGGTAGCCAATTTGCTTTTGCAGCCCACAGCACGTAACCATCTTCTTATCCCACCCCAACGCGGGGTCATTTCAGGGTCCCCTTATTTTGCCCAACAGCAGCGACCAATTCAAGCCAGCACCAATGCCCACCACAACCGCTGTCTCCGCACCGGGGAAGGTGTTCTTGGCTGGTGGTTATCTGGTATTGGACCGGAAATACACGGCATTGGTATTTGGGCTCAGTGCCCGTATGAACGTGATCGCTAAGAAGATTGAGACCAGTCAGGGTGTTCAGCTTCAGGAGATCGTGGTTGCCAGTCCCCAGTTCCTTGACTCTCAGTGGCGCTACGGATATCATCTCGTTCCCGAACAGGGCGGTATCTTGGTCACTCAGTTCCAGGTGTGAGTAGAAATCCATGCACATTCGTTCTGGTATTTGGTCACTGCTTACACAACTCAAAAGCGGCTCAAAAATCAATGCCAACCTATTTGTTGAGACAACGCTCAGCTATGCTCTGACATATATCTCATCCGTAGCCAAGTCGGGTCAAGGGCTGGCACCGGTACAACTCACGGTGTTGGCAGACAACGACTACTACTCACAACCCCACTCCATGACAGGCACAGAGAAAAACCCGACCCGGTTCGCGAAATTCCCCACGCCCCTCAAGGAAGCGAACAAGACGGGACTCGGATCGTCGGCTGCTCTCGTGACATCTGTGACTGCTGCGTTACTCACTCACTATCTCCCTACGACGTTGTTCGATTTGTCAACGGAGGAAGGCAAGAGAGTGTTGCACAACCTCGCTCAAGCCGCCCACTGTGCTGCGCAAGGCAAGGTTGGCTCAGGCTTCGATATCGCAGCAGCTGTCTACGGAAGCTGCCTGTATCGCCGATTCAGCCCTTCTCTCCTGCAGAATCTGCCCGCACCTGGTGCGCCAGGGTTTGCGCCGGCTCTGACTAAGCTCGTATCCAGCCCGGAATGGGACTACGAGATCACCAAGGAGGGCATTACGATCCCGCCGGGTGTGGCGTTGCGCATGTGTGATGTGGACTGTGGCAGCCAGACCGTGGGGATGGTGAAGAAGGTTCTCGCGTGGCGGGAGAAGGATCCCGCAGGATCGAAGAAAATCTGTGATGCCCTGCAGGAGAGGAATGTGGCTTTGGGAAGCATTCTTGCCAAAGGCAAAATAGACGAGATCGTCTCCGCGGTTGGCAAGATCCGTGAGCTTATCCGTGCCATGGGCACTGAGAGTGGCGTGCCGATTGAACCCGAGAGCCAGACCGCACTCCTTGATGCTCTGAAGGAGATTGAGGGCGTCCACAATGGAGTCGTGCCCGGCGCCGGAGGCTTTGATGCGGTTACATTGTTGATGAACGATGACGAGGCAACTGAGCAGAGGGTGAAAGAATATTTGAAAGGTTGGAGCAAGGAGCATAATGAAAATGTTAGATTGCTGGCTGTAAAAGGTGAAATGGAAGGAGTTAGGCCTGAAGGATTGTCAGAGTACAAGGGTTGGCTGCCATGATCTATCATTGAAATATAAGAATCAACCATGAGAAATACCTCCAATACAGCATAAAATTGTCCAATATGTCTGATCTGCGTGGCCTTGAATCAGAACGTTTGTTGTGCACAAGAAAAGCTTGATCGTGATTTGATAGAAGCCTTTCATTCTCGCCAATTCTACTCCATGTCTAAATATTAGAGACTGTTCATGCGCAGGTGTATTCCAGCTCAAAGGAGACCGACGGAATTCCCTCAAAATCAGTAGGCACCGCGTACGAGATATTGTAGATATAGTGGTCACGTAACTGGGTACCATATGTAATCTGCAGAGCTTCCAAACCGGGCGCGGAGATATTTACTGATAGACACGGTAAGTTCTCCAGACCAGTGATCTTGAAATCGGGGCTTCTGAAGTACTGTGGTGGGATGCCTGCTAGAGCGAATGTGAAGATGTTGGTTCCTTCTTGAGTTGTGTTTGGATACGAGACTCTTAGGGTGCCATCGCCCACCTCTGATGTGATAGTCGATGCGCTCGGGTACAGTGAGAAGAACCCATTGTATGGGTAAGGAGCGTGATTCGGATCCGAAGCCCAGTGTACGATTGCGGGCACAAACTGGTCACCACGATTCACGGTCTCGGCTACAGTCTGCCCGCCAATCATGAGTCCAGCGCTGACCCACGAAGATGCGGTGCGATACTGCTGGGTCTCGAGATCTTCATAGATCGTCTTACTGATGAAGCGACTCCCCTCCCACCAACCCTTGGCCTTCAATGCAGCAGCGGTATCCTTATCAATATACTGACTCACAGTATCCATGATCAACGATACAGAAGCACCCTGAGCAACATCGTAAAGAAGATCTGCTTCTCCCAGAGGAGGCTGAGGGCCACATTCCCGCCCAAACACTCCCCACCAAAAAAGAGAAATGATGGCGGAGTGCTCCGTAGCATCACGAGTGTAGGCGCGGTCGTAAGGTCCGACCATATTTCCAAGATAAGGATTGAAGTGAGTTGCCACATCCTTCCAGACTTCGGTGATGATGTGCTTTGAGTTGTTGGTCATTGGAGCATCCTTGGGTCCATACGCGACATTGGCTGCCAATGCCCACATATCCATACCATAATAATTCGGGGCATTGTATTCTGATAACACATTCTGTCCATCCCTCTCAAATAGCTCCAGTAATTCGTTCCCTTGTTTCCGAGCGAAGTCAATAAAAGTTTGGTTGTTGAGCCGTTTGCCGATCCAACCAACTGTGAGTGCGCGCATGAGTCCTGGATTGGAGTACCCGAGGACCAGGTTGTCATCTTCCGGATAAGAGCCATTTCGACGCATGGCTCCAACAGCGTTCTCAGCAAGGGATGTCTCAATACGTGAGATCAAGTCATCGGTTAACAGGTGGGAGAACTCTTCCACGACCTGTACAAGAGCCGTACTGAAGTCTGATTAGCATTTTGACATGAACGGGTATATGGCTGCGTACCCAACGAATTCTCTCCAGTTGGGGTCATAGGTTGTGTAGATCTTTGGCGGGTAAAGATCCCCATTTGCGGTGGGATATGGGGCATCGGGCGACAAACGGTATGTGCCATACCAGGCAGAGTCATAGTCTTCTGTCATTTGCGTAGATAGTCTATACCCACATCAGTATAGACCCGATTATTAAGTTTATTACATGTCACACTTACACGGCTTCAATACTTGATATTGCGTTGTCTATATCATTCCCCTGTGCCCTATAAAGTAAGCCGGGAATATACCACGCAGTGAATCTGGTCGACCAAGGACCTTTGTCTTGGTACCAGATAAAACTGTAGTAGGCATCGTATCTAGAGTCTTGCACTTGCATGGAATAGTCAAACAGGCTTTGGGCAGCTATTTTTGTCAGTTATTGGGAGTTTATCGTTGTTGTCTGGCGGGTTACGAACCTGGCGACAACCTTGACGATGAGAGATTATATCCACCACTAGATGCCAAAACCGTGGCACTCAATGCCAGGGTGACTGATATAAGATTTTTGAATGCCATGATTTGTTTCGAGTCAGCCCCCGAAATGTGTTCGTCGGTGCCCAGTTGACAATGTCCGAGGGTAGAGCGAAAGCTCAGGATTAAAAGAGATCGCTATGTTACATCCTAGCTTATTGACATCGTCATTCATGCAACGAGTAACTGATCGTACCAGATTCCAAGCACTTCGGCCCCGGTGCCGAACCGTGATCTACCCCGCCATACGCACCTGGTATGGCTCGTTCCAACTGCTTGGGTATATTTTGCCCGAGCCCTGGCTTGAAGATCATCTTACCCGCAGCTGGAAGAACACCCCACACATATTACGTACGTTGTATACAGGAATCATTTCCCTAGGCACCTTATAACTAAGTTAGTGGTGATCATAAGTGACGGAAAATTTAGACCGACAGGTTCTAATAATGCCGAAATAATCCACTTTGATGTTACCGGGGACCTTTAATCAGGCTGGCACTGTTGTCTTCTAATTTATTTTAGGGGAAGAAGTAGACGATATCAAAAAGGGCTGTCCGTTCGGTATCATATTGATGTTCGATCGATCCGAGCCAAATTACAACACGAGAAATCCACTGTAAGGGTTACCTGTAGAAAACAGGCGGTATACACAGATTTTCCCTCGTGGCGCGGAATAAGTGCCTATGAATGCTTGTTCAACCTCGCTTATGAAAAGATTGGAGGTTGGGGACTGCGAATACTCACAGCATTATAATGCGGGGAAGTGCATCAGCTATGCTTGACAACAGCGGCTATTTCCAGGCTGTAGCCCCTGTTAGGTCCGGATCCATAACTTGGCACTGACCTTGAAAGTATTGATGGTTTACCGCGGCAGGCTTGTCGAGTACAATACATAATGGCGACGGTTCATAAGATCAATCACCAAACATGTATTTGAGACCGTCACCTTACATTTGAAGACCCTTCCTCTATCTCACGACGAGATCTCATCATCTAACAAAGAGTCGTTTCACCGGAATCATGTACCCAGTCTTGAGAAATACGGTTCATAGATTTGTTTCGAGACAAGTTGCCGATATGGGCACGGAGCCGCTCGAACGTCGGAAAGCTCTTCCGCCTTTTTCGGCACCGTGATCCCCGGCAGTCCGCCTTGGAAGTCCCGCACTTGATCGACTCACCTAATCTAGCGTGGTTGTCTCTCAAGAAAGTAGTTTAGATATGGCCGCGTTGTTGCAGATAGCTGCTCCGCCTGGGATGGCATGGTTGCCCTATCGCTAACCATATCTTTAACCCGAGGCTGCAACCCACCGCCATGTAGAGACCCTGGAGCCCGTTGCGCCCCACCAGCGGCGACCTCTGGGATCTCATGCGACAACGATAAGGAGCAATGCTGGCTTCTGGCTGATACGTTACCAGTAGAATGGATCAAGCAGCACAACGTTCTAGGCCTGATGGAGCTGGATGGCTTTATCAGGGTTGCAAACTGCAAACTCGGCTTACTTCCCAAAGGTATTGTGCGAGTAGTTCCAGTCTTATGACCATTGCTTGCACAGCTGTGCAGCAGAGAGAAGCGGCGAAAGCAATTTTTGTTTCTTGCAGATATTATACGGAGTATAGCCAGTAACCTCAGCGCGACGCTGTCTGTTGACTTCTGGGCCATCCGGACTCTTAAGTGTCTGAGAGTATCATGGCAGATACTGTTGGAGAAATTCCACTGAACGTGGACGCCGCCGTTCAGCGCGGTTTTCTATCATGGCTTCGCAATGGCGGTATCGTGAAGCTTAATTGTATTTTAATGTTATCACTGATATCATCATATGCTACCGGCTTTGATGGCTCAATGGCAAGTGGTATCATAAAGGAGTAAAATTCAAGACAACTCGTGGACTAATAGAATGGAATAGATGAACGGCCTCCAATCCTTAGACACTTGGAATGCAGAATTCGGAAACCCTGGAGCGAGTGATCTTGCCCTACTGAACGCCATTCAGAATGTCGGTCAGCTGGCAGGCATGCCTTTCTGTGCCTGGATTTGCGATACTTGGGGCCGCAAGCGTGCGCTTTTGGGCAGTGCCTTCGTTCTTATCGTAGGAGTAGCACTCCAAACTGCAGCCCAGAACACCGGGATGTTCATTGCAGGCCGCGGTATCATTGGTTTGGGATTAGTTCTGAACATTACCGCGGCGCCCCTCTTGATCATGGAGCTGGCCTATCCCACTCAACGAGCGCCTTTGGTTTCTATATACAATAGTCTCTGGGGTCTAGGTGCTCTCGTGGCCGCCTGGACGACATATGGGACATTCAGGATTGACAGCAATTGGGCGTGGAGAATCCCGTCAATCCTGCAAGCCCTTTCAAGTATCCTCCAGCTCAGCCTGTGCTTCTTTATCGAGGAATCTCCCCGCTGGCTTATCTCGAAAGAGAGAGACGCAGAAGCTGAGAAGCTTATCGCCAAGTATCACGCGGACGGAAACGCCATGGACCCCGTGGTTCCGCTGGAAATGGAAGAGATACGCACCGCGTTGCGTCTCGAGATCGAGGCGAACAAAACAACCTCCTATCTCACCTTCTTCTCCACACCAGGAAATCGCAGACGTTTCTTCATCATCTTGGCGGTTGGTTTCTTCAGCCAATGGAGTGGCAATGGACTGATCTCGTACTACCTGACTTTGATATTGAACAGCATCGGATACACAGATCAGAGCACACAAACATTGATTAACGCGCTCATGACCCTATGGTCGATGCTCTGGGGGCTTGGTTTCTCCTTCTTCGTGAACCGGTTCCGCAGACGCACCCTGTTCCTCGGGTCAACCATAGGATGCATGATGGTCTATATCGTCTGGACGGCCCTCGAAGCCAGATACGAGATGTCGACCGACCTGAATGATGACGGGACGGGTGGCCCCGACGGGTTGGCCAAGGCCGTCGTGGCCATGATTTTCATCTACCAAGCTGTCTTCGCTGTGGGGTGGGGTGCCCTGCAGGTCACGTACGTTGTTGAGATCCTGCCGTTCAATCTTCGTGCCCGCGGACTGGTTTTGTACAATCTGTTCGTTGCGCTCGCTCTAATCTTCAACCAATATGCAAACCCGATCGGAGTGACAAAGAGTGGCTGGAAGTTTTACATCACCTATGATGTATGGTTGTTCGTTGAGGTGATTGTGGTGTACTTCCTCTTTGTTGAGACGGGCAAGTTGAGCTTGGAGGAGACAGCTGCTGTGTTGGATGGAAGGGAGATGGAGCAAAAATTCCAGGACGAGGTCTTGAGGAACACTGAGAAGTCTTTGGGTTTAGCTCGCGTAGATACAGTGCCTGAGTAAAAGCTCACGGGACTGTATCGATCGATACAAGTTTGATTTTAAAGATTTTACGGTTTATTGCTGTTATGGGTATAAATCTATTCTAGAATCCAGGTTCTCAAGCAGTCGGCTTCAGCACAATGTTGTCAATAAGCCTGACTGGCGGGCCGCCGCTATGTCCTAGGTCTTCTCCAGGTTGTGGTGACTCGACCGGTAACATCTTGACTGCACCACTCAAGATGCCGCCCTTGCTCGAGTCAACCTCTGTGAGCTCTTCCATTGTTTCTGGGTCGGAGAGAGCAATATAATCAACCTCATATTTCACCCTCTCTTCTGGGCTCAAGGCCATTTGTTGGTTGAGCGTGTCTGTGGTGATTCTGGTAGCAGCGCCTAATATAGACTCCCGGTCTCTCCTTCCGCCCGCATACACCTTCTCGGCCGCCTTCAAAGCTTGGCTGAGTACCGTGGCTGCCTTTCTCCTTCTCTGGCCGAGGTACACATTTCGGGAGCTCAGCGCTAAGCCATCGGCCTCCCTTTCTGTCTCACCAATCTGCACGTCAATAGGCATGGCGAAGTCCTTGACCATCTTGCGTATTACGACGGTCTGTTGGACGTCCTTCTGACCAAAGTACACCTTTTCGGGCTGCACGATGTTAAACAACTTCATACACACGGTCGCAACACCCCTAAAGAAAGTTGGCCGGCTTGCGCCTTCTAGCACCTCTCCCACAGGCGTCAGCGTGACGAAGGAGCCCTTGGAGTCCACCTCCTGTCCGGGAAAGCCAGAAGGGTACATATCGGCGGTCGTGGGCGCGAATACAGCGCTTATGCGTCCCAAGTTCTCACCGTCGTCGGCAAGCTCGCGGTCCAGCTCGGCCAGGATCCGGCAGTCTGACTCCCAGGTAATGGGGTAGCTGGCCAGATCCTCCTTGACGCCGAACTGCGCTGGGTTCACGTATATGGAGACGACGACGTGGTGGGTGTCTCGGGCGGCGGCGCGGATCAGCGAGAGATGGCCCCGGTGCAGGGCGCCCATGGTCGGCACGAGAGAGACGAGGCGATGGTCGAGGAGATGCGGCCGGCGCCATGCCCGCACGGAGTCGACGGTTCGCAAGATGCGGATCGCGGAGGATGGGATCTTCTCGCGGGTGGTGCGACGGGCCGAGGCCATTGTTCGCGAGGATGGTGTGGTGAGATTCAGGACGGTGTTCAAGGCACGCGACCCAGCCGATCTGGGGATTGTGTGGACGAACATGGCTGCAGCGGTGCTTCAAAATGCGGGCGGAACAGCTCGAGGCCTGAAGATACTCAAGGAGAAACTCCAAGTTCACAGGGAGCCATCGTCGTGACTCAATGGCAATTGTAAAATTGAGGCAACTGTGATGGTTTGTGCCGCGGACATCTGGGCCCGGTGGAGAGTCCTATAATTTTAAGGCTTCACAATAATGGGCTCCAGACTCCAGTTTGAGCCGGAGCTGAGGCAAGCACGTGCCAGACTGCTTACATACGAGTCAAGCAACATCAAAGCAGCAGTCTACTTCCATGCGAAGAATACATGTAGACTGTTCATCTATATGGTCTTATTCTAATGAAGTGTGTCATCGAAAGTCAATTTCTAGCAGGAAAGAGCGCTACTGTAGTCATCGTTTGGATTCGGTCGTTGTATACATAGTAAAAGGTCCAAGGTTCTATCTTGCACATGCGGCTAACCTTACTTGTTTCTTGCGAAATACGAACCAAGATCTGTCCGTTGAGCGCGAACATTGTTGAAATCCTCGACGCTCGTCGACCCGCAGCGTAACATTGATCTACATATTTACCATATGTACCAAGTATCCGCATCTATCTGCGGTATCTGTGGAGGCTAGTCTAACCCAGAGCTGTTTGCACTGATATAGGCTTGATAGGTGACAACCTTAGGCCCGGGTAGCTGGTAGACCCCAAGTTTAGTGGTTGATTGTGCGGTAGCGGGGTGCCTAACCCACCGCAAGGGGTCCAACTGTCTCAAGAGAGTGACGTATCAATCCACTAACCTGGGTTAAACAGGCCTGCAAGCGGTGACCCCTTGCTCGAGCTCTCTCTCGGGGACTTGTCTGCCGATAACCTTAAGTCGCAGCTACCGGAATCCAGATTGAGAGGTTACCGTGGTGTTTCCACACCATCAACCTCAACCAAGCCCATCTATGCGTCCTATGACAACAGACTCAACACCAGAGCTTCCACGCTCTTGATTGCCCTCATAATGATACAGCTCCTTGCACAAGCGGCTGCGGGCTTGTTGCTGCTGGACGCGGTACAGGCTCAGAAATATGGTGCCTCGGAACAGCAGCTGGTCAACACCTTCCACTATGCGGAAGCCTGTCCGGACTATACTCAATACTCAGCTTTTTCACAGTACGTCCTCGAGGTCCCACGGTTGCCCCATAGCCAATTGGCTATACACGATCCGCTACCCATTTGTAATTTGAATTTCACCACATCAGCAGCGACAGCATATTGACGACCGTGTTTTCTCTAGCCACCCTCTCAGCGACGGACCTCTTCAGCTACCGTTTCAGCGTCCCGCTCGACAATGTCGCACCTTTCACTCGGACGCCATCGAGAAAGTCATCGAGGATGTGACCTCGCGCATGATAGACCCCGATCTGGCACGCTTGTTCGAGAACGCCTTTCCTTCCACCACAGATACCACCGTCAAGTTCCATACCGACGGAACGTCTAGTAGGAAGCAGAACAACAAGAAGAAGGACGAATACGACGATCTCAAATGGGAGGGTCCGCATTCCTTCATCATCACAGGAGACATCATTGCCGAGTGGCTGCGGGACTCCACGAACCAGCTGACGCCCTACCTTCCACTGGCAAACAAGGATCCCGCCATATTCCAACTGATCCTCGGAGCTGTCAACACACAGGCCGAATATGTTATCGAGTCGCCGTACTGCAATGCCTTCCAACCGCCTCCCATCAGTGGGCTGCCGGTCAGTCAGAATGGACAAAACGATGTCGTACACCCGGCTTACGAGCCATCGTCCGTATTTGAGTGCAAGTACGAACTTGACTCGCTGGCCCATTTCCTCGCCTTGGGTAACAACTTTTATGAGCACACGGGATCCACAGAGCACCTAAACGGCCGCTGGTACCTGGCTTTACAGACCCTCCTGGGTGTCCTACAGCAACAATCACAACCCACGTTTGATCCTGACACAGGCCGGTACTGGAGGAATGATTACACCTTCCAGCGCCAAACCGACACCGGGACTGAGACTTTGAATTTGCGAGGTGTTGGTAATCCTCTCAACTTTGGTACAGGCCTCGTGAGGTCTGCCTTTAGACCCAGTGATGACGCCACCATTCTCGGTTTCTTCATTCCAGCCAACGCTCAAATGGCAACCGAGCTGAAGCGAACAGCTGCCATGTTGAAGAAAGCAGGCAGAGATTCCATTTCCGAGACAGTAAGCAAATGGAGCGAAAAGATTACCAAGGGCATCTGGGAGCACGGTGTGGTTCAGCACAAGAAGTTCGGCCAGGTGTTTGCGTACGAAGTTGATGGTTACGGCTCTTCTATTCTGATGGATGATGCCAACTACCCCTCGCTTCTGGCTCTTCCCCTTATGGGCTTTGTGCATGCCGACGATGAGACATACAAAAACACACGAAAGATGCTACTCGCCAAGGAGTCCAATCCGTACTACTTGACAGGCCGTGAATTTCATGGTATCGGAGGTAGGCTACCCATTTTGACCAATGTCCTGGCTTCTTGCTCACATGACAACAGGACCTCACATTGGCTTACAGAACGCATGGCCCATGAGCCTGCTGGTCCAGGCACAAACATCAGATAACGACACCGAAATCGCTGAGTGTATCAACTTCGTCCTCAGTTCCAGCAAACTTGGATTGATTCACGAAAGCGTGGACGTCAATAGTGTTGTTTCTTACACAAGAAGTTGGTTCGCATGGGCAAATGGAGTATTTGCTACAACCATACTAGACCTGGCTAAGAGGAAACCACATTTAATCTTTAAGGACGGGAACACGTACGAAATTTGAAGAAGTAGATAATGCGTTTTTAAAGAAGAAAAGAAGAGAAAAGAAAAAGAAAATAGTATACTAAGATCGTTGTCCACACCTGTCATAGGCCGTCTCTAGAGTTCTTTGGTTGAGTCCATATTCCCCCCTTCCTCTGCTCGGCTTCGGCTGCAATTATTCTTATGCCTAAACACCAGCACACCCTGTATAGCCAGCCACTGCTGAAGCAGTACTGATTTGCACCAAGCAGTATCAAGACAATGTGACTGTTTCGAGAGGTATGGTGGAATATACCAACTGGTGATGCGGTATGCATCACCATTACAGGCCTCGATGCATGCGGCTTGTTCGGCTGCCGTTTGAGTTTCGCACGAAGCAACGTTGCCGCCCGTCTCGCGGTCGCACGTTTCCTTCTTCACTTCAAGGGATGAGGTCGTTGCTGGGCTAGAGATAATGAGGACAAGGGCAAACCACCCGTTGTCTTGGGCTCTGCTGATTGTAACAGGAACGAGTCTTTAAATCCTTCTGTTCAAAAATCATTTCTGCATAACCAAGAGGGTTAGATATAACATCCCCGTTTCAACCATGTAACCATACTTGGACCGGCACCCCAACATGACTATCACTAGATGTGGAAGTACTTGTAAACCGCCGCCGATTGATACTGCAATTTGGATCTCAGTCAAGATCTATGCCTTCGATACTTGATTATCAAGGTCTCATTTCCGACATAATCCCAAGACATAGGGGTTCATCCAGACGTGAAGACACATTACATAGAAAGTAACTTTCCATATATGGCTTAGCGTTCCTTTCAATAGCGGACCACGAACATGCAGCCGACTCGGAAGCAACAAGAATTACCTTCTATGTGGCATACATGGCATACAGAGGCTTGGTCACGCCCTGTCAGATCATATTGCTCTTATAGCCCCCACAATGTCTCTTGAATGGTACTTACAGCTTATGTCATCTCCAAACCCCCGGAGCTGTTTGCACGTACCGCATCCTTAATTGGTAGCCGCTAACTCGGGTTACCAGGTCGTTTCTGCAAACGTTAGGTGACCACTTCACAAACCTGCCTATTCCTGCAACGGACTGCACTGGCAAGGTTGCCATTGTTACAGGTGCTACAGGCGGCTTGGGTTTGGCAGCTGCTCGTCACTTCGCGCGACTGAATGCCAAAAAGGTCATTCTAGGATGCAGGAGCGTTGAGCGAGGCGAGATTGCCAAGAAGGCCATTGATGAATCTCAGCCAAACATCGGACATGACGTTGTGGAAGTCTGGCCGGTCACACTAGACTCATTCGAGAGCATCAAGGAGTTTTGCACACGTGCTGCGGCGCTCGACCGTCTGGACTTCGTGGTTGAGAATGCCGGACTCGCGACTGGTGTCTTCAAGGAGCTCGAGGGCTACGAGGAAACTATCACCGTCAATGTGCTCTCCACCTTCTTGATGACACTCCTGCTGCTGCCGACCTTTAGGAGCACTTCGGCTAAATACAATGTCACGCCTCATCTGACAATCGTAGCTAGCGATGCACACTACTTCACCTCTTTTCCGCAGAGGAAAGAGCCAAACATATTGCAGTCGCTCAAGGGCGATAACGATATGATGAGCCGTTACTACATTTCAAAGCTTCTCGTTGTACTGATAGCACGTGAGTGTCACCAATAAAATGTAATTTCCTCTGCCATGGCTGATAATCACTTAGGCGAGCTAGCTACAGAAATTGAGGTGTCAAGCAAACCGAAGGTCATCATCAACACGGTCAATCCTGGTTTCTGTAATACAGATCTGTGGAGAAATGCACCTTGGCCACTCCAAACGATCCTTAGATTGTTCGCTCGATCGGTTGGTCGGACTTGCGAGATGGGTGCTCGTACACTGATGTGGGCTGTGTTTGCCGGTGACGAAACCCATGGAAGGTACTCGGGAGATTGTATGATTCGCAGTGAAAGTAACTTCGTGAGAACCGAGGAAGGTCATGCCGTTGGCCAGAAGGTCTACGACGAGCTTCTCAAAATTCTGGAATCCGCCTGCCCTGGTGTTTCTCAGAATATCTAGTGCTCTTAGACGTCACCATGTCATCAGCATGGTTCTTATATATGCCTCTCCCTTGAATATTATCGTACATGAGCAATCCGTTTAGATTGACATGACCGGTGGAGCCCTCAGGCCAGGAAATTTCTTAAATATAGGCATGGGGGTTACTTGGAGCTCTATTTATCTGCGAATGGATTATGGAGATCCAATTGCGATTGTGCTTTGCTAATAGCGGTTGCAACGATGATGGGTTATGCATGCCATTACCCTAGGTGACATCTTCCCGTGACAAGGTTTACTATGCATTGAACTACCTGCCTAGACTATTTTGGTCTCCCAATATGGTGGTTTGCAACTTCTCTTTCCACTGGAATCTGCTACGAGCGTTGTGGCTCAGCTGAGATTCGCAACAGCAGCTCCTGCAATCGCAGGCGCACTTATGGCTGTCAATTCACCCAAAACGACCCGGCGCACTTTCCTTGATGCATTGACACGAATGCTGTACTTAAAGATTTCTCACAGGACATGGGCTCGGTGGTCTCGTTCTTCTTCTTCAAACCTTCATCATACAGAGTTTATATCCCTTTTCTTTCTGGTCAAGAACACACCATCCGTCCTTGGATTATATCAACTCTACATTCAGATTACTTTTACAAGAATCATTAGTCTGGTCCTCTTTTCTTCGTTGGTTACATTCCAGCACTCGCTGCAACCCGTTGGCCACTGTACGCGACATCCCACGACTTCAGACCCTTTGTCCATCATGGTATCCAAGACTATCTCCGCGGCTTCGCTCCTTTGTGTTCTACTCCAGCCGGTTATCGCCTACCCCAGTCCTCAACAGTCCCTCCATCAAGGCAAAGAGTGTCCAACTGGCGTTCAAATCATTGGCGTTGAAGGTACAGGTGCTACCCCAGGCAGATTCGAAGGCCTTGAAGATCTCCGTGCCGACCTCCTCAAGAGAATGCCGGGATCTGCCAGCTTTGCCCTGGACTATCCTGCCTCTGGAAGCGTGGACGCTGCCAATGTGTCTTCCTACCATATCCCCACGTATCTGCCTTCTGAGATCACAGGCGTCTTCACTCTCGGTGCCAAGATCAATACCTTCACAAAGAGATGTCCTCAAACTGGAATAGTCCTCATAGGCTATTCTCAGGTATGTTTAATGGCCATGTCACCGTGTTGTTCAAGAAGACTCACCGTTATAATTTTCCAGGGATCTCACGTTATCGGCGATGCGCTGTGTGGGTTCTCTGGTTCTCTGACCCGTTTCATCAGTACCGCTATCTCGCAGCAAAGTCAAAAGTCTAGTAGGTTGGATTCCTTCCGGATTCGCTACATCAAAGATAGTACCACGTTCAGTGCTAATTTTACATATTCAGTCCGAGCAGTTATCCAATTTGGCGACCCAAGAAATACCAGGAACTTGAACTGGCATATTGGCAGTTCCACAAACGCAGGGGTGAGTTTTGTCTTCACAACAGATTTGCCTTGACAATTATTGAACTAGCTTCTGATATTTTATATAGATTCTCCCACGTTCGGATTTTGATCAATGCGAACACCTGGGAAATGTATGGCAATCTTACTGCGACGCAGGTGATTGTGTCTGCGACGGGGATTCCTTCTTTGGCTGCAACATCGGAAATGATGTCCACGTGAGCTACCTTCCGAAATATCAGAAAGACGTTGTTGATTTTATCGTAAAAAATGCCAACAGTTCAGTCATCGACACGAAGAATGACATTTGAGGACAGTTTCGGTCAACGCTGATTGAAAGCGCTTTAGTGCAGGGTGTGCATAACATGGTGCTTTCATGAGACTGTATGAAAGATTGAATAAAATTCGCTGTAGTAATTAATTAATCAAAGTTTGTTTCACATTCAAGGTGCTTACTAGATTCGTCAAGTATACGCTCTTTGTTCTAGTTGGTGGGAGTCATGAAGCTGTGCCTGTGAGAAGCGATTTGGCTATAGCGCAAGAGGTGTGGGGCGCGCTTTCAATGAGTATGGACGTGAGTTCAACACTCTTCATTTCATGGCCAGCAATAGAGTACCTGTTTCCAAGGAGAGAGAGGCTATCTGTTACTCCTAGCAACCCGTAGATCCTATAGTGGTTGATATCTTTTAGGATGTGACTATTAGCTCCATAGGTTAGGATAGCCTATAAAAGTCTAGCTTCTGGTTCTGCAAGCTGTGTAAGGCGACTCAACAAGCCCAAAGGAGGAGGCGATACGAGAGAGGCAAGGCTCAAATACTCGCTTTGAAAAATTGCGTCTCTTTTGGCGATCAAGGTTGTGATCGGAGGATTCTTCAATAGGGAAACCATGTGCGATAATCTCGGTCGTAATATTTCTTTATCGGTACCCTGTCATAATAATTGAGGCTTCTCAGGTCTATTTGCCAGGAAATGAGGTGGCCGGGAGCAGCGTATGGGGTTTTGGTTAACGTTGCTACATACATACCTTGTGTAGTTGCTTTTTCTTTTAATTTTTTCTTTAAACAGGCGCTGAAGCTCGGGCAATCCTCATTCACTCAAACATTTTCCGTCTCATGTCTACCGTAAGTCCGAATGCACAAACATTGTCATTAGATGACACATATTCATACGATCTAATCATGACTGGTCAAGTGCAGATCATCAAGGGAAACTTTATCATAACTCAAGGAATATGAACATGTCTAAACTAGAGTTAACTTTTTGTCAAGAAACGTGGTCGAAAGTAACATTCGCGACGATGTGCTATGTGAGTTGGTATAGAACCATATTGGTATTGATAATCTCATGAAGGCTCCGGGGTACGTCTATGCTTATCATTTGAACTCGTCCATATTTCCACTACGACCTGTAGCGATTTGTTTCGGACTAACCGCATCGCCGCCTTCTTTTTTCAAGGCCTCAACGACTCGGCCAAGTCTCTCTACGCCCTCCACTAGATCTTCCTCGTCTTCCCAAGCGAAACACAAACGAACATCATTGTCCAGCTTTACCGCATCCTCATCACCTGGCACTTCAAACAAAGCCCCATATCCGATGGCCAGGTTCTCCTCTCGGCAGCGGTCCGCGACGAGCTTCGAGTCGGGGCCGTCCGGGAAATGTATCCATAGGAAATAACCACCAAAGATATGCTCTTTGTCCTTGTCGCCCTCCAAGCTACTAACTCGCACCTCGGCGCCGAGGGGGTCCAGGGCGCGCCGGGCCGCGTTGACCATCAGCGCATGCCGCTTTTGGTAGCTGGGCTTTAGGCTGTTCTCGATGTGCCGTTCCAGATCCCCGCTGCGAAGCAGCTCGCACAACACCGCGGCGCTGAACTGGCTCGGCGCGCCACCCGATTTCGTCGAGCCCGTCTGCGAGACGCCGGCGGCGAAATCGGGCGCCGCGTCGACCCAACCGGTTCGCATACCGGGCCCGACGAGTTTGGAGAAGCTGCCGTTGCTCATTGCGTGGCCGAACTGTTGGCCCTGGGGGTCGTGCGGGCTCGGGCCCAGCTCCATGTCGATGTCTACCAGCCTGGGAAGGATGGCGCCCTGCAGCGTCGACGGATGGCCGGGGTCGTCGCGAGAGAGCGGCGAGGTGGCGGTAGGGGACGAGGCGATGATGGGCCACTGCAGCATGTCGTAGACGTCGTCACACACCACCAGCGCATCCCACTTCCTAGCCAGCTCGACCAGCGCCCGCCGCCGCCCCAGGGTCATGGTCTTCCCGGAGGGGTTCGAGAAGGACGGCACGCAGTAGATGATATGCCTGTAGATCTTCCGGTAGGGCGCCGGGTCCTTGTACAGAGGCCTGTCCTCCGACCCCCTGCCGCGGTTGTCCTTCTCCAGCTTCTCGACCTCCCGCGCGAGGTATTCCAGGTCGATGCCCTCCTTACCCTCGGGCACGGCCCTCAGCCTGCCATCAAAACCGGCGTCGCGGAAGATGCCGGCGGCAAGAAAGTAGCACGGCGCCACCATCCACACGGCGCGCGTGTAGCTCGGGTCCGTATAGCTCTGCAGAACGCAGGCGACGCTCTGGGACGCGCCGCCCGTGACCGCGATCCTTTCGGCGCTCTCCTGCGTCCCGTAGAAGCGGGAGAGCCACGACGCGAGGTTCTCTCTCAGGGGCTGATAACCCGGGTCCGGTCCGTATTGGAGCGCGGGCACGGAGATGGCGGGGTCAGAGAGCACGGCCGTGGTGGCCTTTTGGAGAGCGGCGGCCGGCAACAGAGACGGCGCAGGCCAGCCGCGGAGAAAGTTAATTGGCTTGAGTGAGGCATCAGAGCTGTCCAAAGCAGAGGCGCTCATGGGGGGCTTCTTGGTTGCCATGGTTCTGTGTTGTAGCCCGGATCGTTGGAGTTGTAGTAGACTTTTAAAAGGTAGGAAGGCAGAGCGAGGTGTTTCAGGTTGTAAGCACCTCAGCATGACCAATCGCGAAGTTCTACGGGCCTTGATGTTTATGATATGCCAGATTTGGGGGTGTCTCGCACTCTGAGGTGTGGCATCAGTGATCTTTATTCATGTGAGGGGTTCTCGGGGGTCTATTTGGAGTAAGCTCCTTTGTTTGGGGCTCCTAGTCTATTGCATCATCTGATCGAACTCAAAAACATCAGAAACTCAAGTGATCCGAGACTCGGAGGGAATGTTCAGAAGGTGGACATTGATGGGCTTTCTTGTCATGAAATCGTGCGGCTGTTTGATTGTCACGATGCTAGCTGATGCCGTTGGAGTTAGCAAGCTCCACTACTCTTGTCGCTTTGGGATGCATATGCGACGCAGCCAATGACAACCTACGAGGCCGCTTTTAGTAATATAAGTGTAAATAATATCGAAGGGGAAAAAAGTTGGGGGGTATCGCATTTATCTAATCCTAGCTTTATTTCGCTCATAACCAATACCGAACGCCTGAACAGACAATTGACCTACCAGCCCCAAGTCCTCGAAGACGCCGTAAACACCGGAGGTTTCCATTGTATGCGATCTGGGTCAATAAGCTGCTTCTGCTTCTGTTTCGACTTCTCCCGCGATTGGACCATCTTTTCTGGGATGACCAGCTTATGCTCTCCTTTGTGATAAACCTGCATTCGCAGGGCTTGTAACGTGTGTTCCACATCCTGAGTGGTCATGGCCAGTGCTGTGGATATGGACTCAATGCTGACCCTGTCGTCCCGTTCGTTATTGTCAAGCAGCAAATCTAGGATGTTTTCGGACCAGTACTGGCGATAACTCAGGAGACCGAGATCGGAGAGAGGCTTCTCCGGCGAACCCAGCTTCCCTTCGATTTTAGATAGTTCATATGAGAACTGGATCAGTAGGCGTCCAAATCCCTTCCTTTGGTATTGTGGGAGAGTAAGGATACACGCGACGTTGTATCCATCGGCGCTTTCCTTCTCCTTGGAGAAGTAGCCGACGAGATGATGGCCCTTTTCAGATTTCTGCGTCATGACGTAGAACAAGAAGGGGTCTACATCGTAATACAAGGTCTTGTGATCAAGGAACATCTTAGACAGCAGACACAGGTTTCGACACCATGTGCGCTGCCGGCGACCATCTATCTCAAAAAAGGAGACGTAGTCGTCGCGATATATTTCGTTGCCAGGAGGATGTTGTAATGTGCACTTGGCGCGATGGCGGTGGAAGGACTTCTGTTCGCCATAGTACATGAGACAGAACTCGCAGACGTATATGACATCTTCCTGCGTGAAGGATTCCGGGTAGGGAGAAAAGTACCAGGGAAAGAGATCAAAACGACCAAATTGCACTTTTGAAATATTCCGTATCCTCGCAAGCTCGGTCGGATTTTGTGTCATGGATCCTCCTGTCCGCAGCTTTTCAATCTCGGCCTCCCTGCTGAACTCCTCCTCCTCCTTCTTGATGCCAAGCACGCTGTCGTCGTCATCGACATCCATGTCATCGCCGTCGGCGGCTGGAGTTAGGCCGGCCTTGACTTCCAGGTCTCTTGGTGTCGAGGGTGCTTTCGAGGTGGGTTGTGAATCGATAAAGTCGGGGAAGGGATGCGGCGTGACAGCCTCAGACGCAACGCTCTGTTCCCTCCTGCCCGGTCGCTTCTGGGCCTTTTTCGAAATGGTGTTCTTCTTGCCGACGGTAGAAGCCTTTGATTTGTTCTTGCCATCCTTCTGCTTGTCCTTGTCGGGACTTGGCCATTCGACATCTTGCTCGAAATCTATCCTCTTGTAGGGTACCCATTCGTCAAGTCGTTTGTTGAAGTTGTCAAAGTTGCAATAGAATTGGCGACCGCTTTTGGTATCCTTGATGCTCAGAATTTCTGCGCGGCGGGCTTGTCCGCCCTTCTGGACCATGGCGATGCAGCCGACTCGAAGCGTTTCAGGTGTCGCTTTGCTCTTTTGTCGCGGCCCTTCGGGCCCGACCTGGGCGTCGCCGTTCAAGGCGCCAGGACTCATGATGGAGGTGACGATGGCGCGTCGAGTTGTTGATGAGCGGATGGGGAAATCGATGGAAAGAGTAAGGCAGGTTGAAAAACTGAATTAAAAAGTACCTGATGAGCCGAACGGTCGCAATTGAGCTTCAAGTTTGGAGGGGCAAGGCTCCGTGTTCAGGTAGTGTTGCGCTTAACTTTAGTGCACTAACCTTAGGTTAGCTCTGTAGTTTCTCAGCCCTGCAGTAACGGACATGAAGTCGGAGTACATCAGCATGCAAACCACGCGCCAAATGGTTTGAGCTGACACGAAAACATTTGTGGCGGCTATGTTCGAGTGCCCATGGAATGGATAATGAGTCGGGCAACTTTCCTCAATTTTAGATGGATTTTCTTTTAATATTTTCCCATGTAAATTGAATCCGTACTGATCTGGATCGGCACACTCGTCACCCGACCATGACTAACTTGAATATATTGTCTCAAGCCCTATGATCCCCGCCACCGTCCGGTTTTACGGGCGTGGTGCTAGCTCCTGTCGTTGAGATAGCAACGTATACACATACCATGCGCACAAGATGCTTGACTTCTGTAACCTTTTTGACTCCCGAACGCCTGTCCCATGCAACGACCATGTCCTCGGGGTCTGCTATTCTCCCTGGCTGCCTGCTGATGAATATGAATGGCACTGATGAATATTAGCAGACCGTTCTCGTTACTCCCTCCGGTGAGCACAAACCTTCTCCGCCAGTGACACCCATTCTTCAATGCTCCTCAGATACGGGTCTGCTCCTGAGTCCGCAGTAGACTCGTGACCCCAGATTACAAAATCGTCAAACGTCGCTTTGCTGCTTAGCGGTGCAATCTCAATAGCTTCGGGAAGATCTGCAAATTCCACATCTCCTTCCCCCTCCTCGGCGCCCGGGACCTCTTGTTTCGTCTCGCCCTTTTCCACCACTGAACCATGATAGCCATCTGGCAACTTTACGGTCTTGCCATGGAGTTTTCGGCCTCTAACATATGCTGTCTTTATGCCGCCTGCGAATGGTTTTAGCAACTGTCCAACAAACTAACAGCGCATGGATCTTACCGCTGCTCCCTGACGGGCTCCAATACGGTGTAACCGTGTCGATAGCTCCATCATGATGTATACGGCACGGCAGTAGATTCACATGCACCCTGTTATCCTCTGTCCTGGTCTTCGATATCGTGAGCATTGAATGCGACATGGTGTTCTGTACAATGAGGGCCGTGGCTGAAGATTTCTTGAAGTGGTCTCCGTATATGGTGTGTCGCGTGCAATTCTGACTGACGCGTTTCGGCGGCAGTCACCCCCTAAAAGACGCGTTAAGCACCAGTACCGGAGGCGCATCTGCGATAAGCTTATCAAGAAACGAAACATGAACCCCTGCCGGACAACCGTGGGACCCACCGAGAGGTATAACTTGTACGAATGGCAGGACACTTTGCGCGCTGCTCAACTAGATGGGGCTTATTGGTAATCGGTGCTGTCAAACAGAGGAGCTGCAGGGCAACAAACGTGACCCTGTCAGAAAGCAGAAGCAAGTGGCATAGGACCGCATCAGGAAAGCTAGGTTTTCTGATAATATATCAAAGGTCAAATCACTGGATTACCGAGAACTTCTCATGCCAGACAGGCCATTTGACAAAACCGCCTCGATCGAGGTGTTGGAACCAGCAGGAAAGGATCTCCTGGCAAGGTATTCGTTACGCATAAGCCAGTTGTTCGAGAAAGATGGTGACATTGCCATGTTCCTCGAGTCTCGATCATTGATTAACAAGAGTGCTCGATATTAGGGGCGTCATGGAACGCATGATGCTTTTGCAACTCGGAGGGTTTGCCTAACGCCTCATCAGGTTATGCGGAGTTATGTTGTAAGCATAAAACAACGCGTGTACGGATCCGTACCGTAAGTTACCTAAACTTCTGTACGCAGCAAGGGACGAGAGGGACCCCACCTCGACGAGCTAGGTACTAGCCAGCTACTATGTACCGCCAGCTACCCCTCAACACGGAGCCCAAAGAGCCACAGCGGAACACGCAAGACAGGACAAGACACGATATGTTGCAGTAAAATCCAGTCTAAGAGGACCCCTAGATATTGACTCGACTTCCAGACCGCTCCTTGCTTTGGAAAGTTGGCATTCGTCTTCAAAGTGGATAAGTATCATAGCTTCGATCAATCTATTGGGTACGTGTGCAATTGATTGACTGGAATTGATGGAGTGTTGATCGATTGATTGATTGTTGAGTTGCCACGTGATTCCCTTCTCAGCCAGCTATTATAAGTTTCTATCTTGTCGGCTTCATTGTAGCTGCTTTGTTGCTTCTTCCTCCACACCCAACAATTGTAAACCCTTATTCCCTACCGTCGATCCCCCATTATCCTATACCTCACCTCAAAATGTCTGCCCCTACCTTCCCCGCTGGCGGTACCATCATCGACACCTTCAAGCAATCCTTCACCACTGTCCCCGTCAACAGCGAGAAGGACAATGCCGTCGCCACTACCCAGTTCCTCGATGCCGCCGAGTCCCTGACCACCATTTTCGACGCCCTCGGCTCTGTCGCTTTCTCCCCTGTCAAGAATGACTTGATCGGCAACATCAAGAAGCTGCGCGAACGCCAGGCCGCTGCCCCCACCGAGTCTGAGACCGTCCAGGAGCTCGTTCTGAATGAGCTCAAGACCAAGAAGCACGTTGCTACCGAGGGTCTGGTATGGCTGGTTCGGTGAGTAAACACGTCCTTTGCCGTTACTATCTGCCGTCTATTCCTTGCGTGGTGGGAGAAGAAGGTCCCAAGCTAACTGAAGCTCTTCCCATAGTGGTCTCGACTTCACATGCATTGCCCTCTCCCAGAACGTCAACAGCGAGACCGAGGAGCTCTCGGACTCTTTCCGCAACGCCTACGGCGCCACCCTTAAGCCTCACCACAGCTTCCTCATCAAGCCCGTCTTCAGCGCTGCCATGAGCGCCTGCCCCTACCGCAAGGACTTCTACACAAAGCTCGGCTCCGACCCCGAGAAGGTCAAGGCCGAGCTTCGCCCCTACCTCAAGAGCCTTGAGCAGATTGTTGCTATCCTCAAGGGTTTCTTGGACCGCAAGGAGGCCAAGTGGTAAGCCGCTGTTAAGACCATGTTGCGGAGAGAACGGTGGTTTTGGCCAAGCGGAATGGCACCTACGTAGATATTGCTGCTTGATGCACCAAGATGCTCAAGAGCTCGGTGCCGTGCCGTGCCGTGTCGGGCGTTTCTCACGGAGAAACTGGGGTAAATAGCCGATTTCAAAATAGCTGGACCGCGAACGAAGGCCACCACTGCCAGGCACCAAAGGAACAAATACAGACAAATTAATCATATCTGCCAACCAAGAGCATGCTCCAATCGGGCAGATTTGAGTGGACTACATCATCTCAATATAATGTTACGCAGTGAAAACTCATCCAGGTCATATCTCATTTGTTATACTCAATGATAAGTAATATTTCGAAAAGACTATATGCTAAGGAACTAATCAAACGCTACGCCAAGCAGATAAACAATTATATACTTATGAAATCTGAGTGGGGAAAGAGGTAATGGGCATTAAACGCCGTCAGTGATATACACCAGTGTGACGCTGCAGGTCTGATCTGTTGCAAAAAGATAAACCAATAATGATACTTATGAAATTCGTTTCGCCTTGACCTTAGCACCACCACGGGAGGCCCAGTATTGATTGAGCTTTTGATCCATGGCATCCAAATCACTGTACGGTTTCAGAGCAGCCATGGTTTGGACCTTGGTGTTGATAGCGTCAGGTGTAAAGTCCGCAGCCACCACCGGCTTCGCCCGCCACCTCTGCTCCATCGGGTCGTTGAAGCGCGTTTCGGTGTATCCAAAGTCCGACAGCGCCGTGACGTTGAGGGCGGCCATCATCTCGTGGTCCTCGTGCACGAGGTTGTGGCAGTGAAACATGTACAAGCCGTCCCACGGCGCGTACTGTGCCTCGACCGTGACGGTTTCGCCGCGGTCCAGCCAGACCACATCCTTGAGCCCGCTGGCCTCGTAGTTCAACACCCCGCGGTTGGCGCCCCCGGTGCGCTTCAGCACCTTGAAGTCCACCAGGTGCACGTGCACCGGGTGTGTCCAACCCCCGCTGGTATTCTCCAGCTCCCACACCTCGATGGTTCCCTGGGGAGGCTTGGCGAGCACCCGGTTCGCGACATCGGAGAACCCAACGCCGTTGATGAGCCACCCTCCGTTGGATCGCTCGAACCTGAAGCGCTGTGCCACAGTGCTCTTCACGGGGAGGGTAGGCACGTCGCGCAGCTTCGTGGGGACCGTGGACGCGTCGGCCACGGCCGCGTTGGACACTACGAACTGCATCACCTTGTCCGTGTTCAGGTAGGGGATGTCGGCGCCGACCCTGGCGTCCGAGCGGAGCGTGATGTTCTGGCCCTTGTAGTTGGTGAAGTCGAATACGACCTCGTACCGCTCGGCCATGGAGATGGAAAGCTTATCCGCGGGCGCGGGACCCGACAGCAGGCCGGAGTCGGACGCGATGACCTGGAACGGGATCCGCGTCCCCGCCGCGGCCTGGCGCTCGAAGTAGAGATTGAACGAGCGGGAGACGGCCGCGTTCAGGAACCGGAGGCGGTACTTTCGCGGTTCCACCTTGAAGAACGGCCAGGGCTGGCCGTTTACGTGTACCACGTCGCCGAAGAGACTGTTCGTCTCCCCGGCGGGGCTGACAAGTGTACCGTCGGAATTGTACTGCTTCGAGGACAGAATCAGGGGAACGTCATAAGTCCCGTAGCCAGATGGCAGCCCCAGTCCATCCTCGGCTGGGTCGTGGATGAGATATGCGCCGGCTTGGCCAAAGTAGGCGTTGACAGCTGTGACATCCATAGCATGGTCATGGTACCACAGTGTCCGCGCTGACTGGCTGTTTGGGTAGTAATAGTCCTTGTATTGGTTTGGCTGTGTCGTGTCTTCAGCCCAGCCATCAAACGGTGCTCTCTGATCACAAATGTCAGCGTCTCCTCAGCCGTCATCATTCGGGTAGGTTTCTTACAGAAGGGCTACCATGCAAGTGTACGGAGCTCGGCAACTTCGCGTTATTGATGAAGCGGACCACAGTCTCTCGTCCCTTTTCAACAAGGAAGGTTGGGCCCGGTGCAATACCGTCGTACCCTACGAGATTCGTTTTACCCTTGTTAGGGTAAATTTGGCGCTGGAACGGCTGGATATTGACTTCATAGTAATCAATTTGCTTGTTGGTCACGGGGTTGGTGATGGTCCTTTTTGGTGGTCAGTAATCAATGATGGTAGATACACAGGGGCTGTCACGTACATCTTTGGAGACTTCACCGGTGGGATGGGCAGTGGGTATTGATAAAGCCATGTATAAGGCTCGCCCTCCCAGTCCTTGGCCAAGGTGGACGGCAACACGGCCAGGAAAGCTACCAGGCAGCTGAGAGAAGATGAGGGCAGCATATTGCGTCCTATGTCGATGAAGACGTATATACGGAATGAGTTCTTGACAGGGAGTCCTTTGAAGTCAGAGTATATGCGGGACCGTCTTGAACAAGGAGTTCTTGAAACTTGGAGTAGAAATTTGTTGACTCTGATCTCCTTCTTACAGACAGGCACGTGCTCTTATTTTATAGTTTTTTTTCCCCCATGTCACTTTCAGCCATACCATCGTCGATGTCTTCTTATCAATATTAGCTCCAGGCCCTCGAAGCAGCCACCTTCGCGCAGTTCTTGACGCCTCTCATCCTCCATGGAAATTTGTTCCGATCGACACATAGCCAGCTGATGCCCGGCCATCTTAGCTACCGTCCTATCCATCCTGCTGGAACAGCCGCAGAAGCATCTTGCCCGCTAGCAACGATCCTACGGATCTTAGCGTAGAGCATCCGGCGTGCCGGGTACGGGCGAACCCACTGACTCAAACGACATGTCAGGCATGCGGAGCGACGACATAAAAAAGTTTGTTTGCCAAGAGGAAAGGCGTATAGAGATAATCCAGGTCACTTGGATAGCATGATTGGACATCACACGATCGGTATGTGGGGTTTCCAAAGTTTATGAGCCTCGCCGTTGACTAATCCTATGGCTAAGTAAGCCCTTGTAAACAAGCTTTTCCCGACTATTGGAATGATACATAACATCTACGGTTCCAGTGCTTACACTTGGTAGTTGCACTACTGTACCATTTAGCTGAAGTCTCTGTCCTACCAAGTATACAAAGTATACGAATTACACGAATTATAGTAAGTGTACCAAGTAGCAGGATCCCCTCTCATAACTTTGCTTACCGGGTTTGTTGTTGAGGTTGCTCTACTAACTCACGTGCCGATTGATATGAGGGGAGCACAACAGACTGAGGTCATGATCGTTGCAAGGATAGAGCCTAGAATGCATTAAGCTTCAGCAGATGCAGCTACTTGGATTTTTAGAATTTGTGGAGACAACGAAGAATTACCTGGACGAAGTTATCATTGGCTAAGCATGTCACAGCTGAACTGCGGGAGCGCAGCCCGCCCGGTGGCGCCAGATCCCAACGCTTGGCATGGGGATTTTAGCATTGAGTTTGGAATGAAAGCTCGGTTGACGCTACGTGCCGGCAGACCAAAGCTACGTTGACAGCGCGGTTGGCTACGGAAGCTTCGCTGGTTGACGTCCACGTGAAGACCTTTGATAATACTAGTGACGTCGAGGTGAGAGAAAGAGCAGGTAACGTTGATCAGCCTAGGCGACGTCTGTCAGGGAGCCGATCTTGAGATGATTGCATTAGCAGGGCTTGGCTGATGAATGGTGGTAGGTCTTGACCATGGTATCCCCAGTCTGTCAAGTTCCAGCCTTTTCCTAGAAACATATTAAGGCATAAGTCAAAGTGATAGTGTGTAATCTAGTGCGCCAACGAACGTCGCGATACGAAACGAACGATCTGAGGCGCAACCTCGGGATGTTACATTGCCTAGTGGCTGGCTGTGCATGTCCGCATGTTATTGAGCTGTTGCATACTTTTTACTAATGTATATTGGTTAATATCAACTTTTCACTCGATTCTTGCGTGACTGTAGACAACACGACTGGTCTGGCACATGTGTTTGCATGGAAATTATTGATTATTGAATTTGGAGCCCATGGACACAAAACACTATACCGTCGATGTGACTCGTGGGGTATATGGTGAACTAAGAATTAAAATGCACAGTATTCCAATGCCATCCAGAGCCGAGGATACCCTGTCTACGCCCGAATAATGTAGTACAAGACGCATCCTTTCGTAGAGCTATTATGCTTTAAATAGCCAGCCGGCCAGCTAACGTCTTGGCTTACAGCTCAGCTTCATATTGTATATAAATGAAATTGCAGTAACCCACTGTTAGCCAGGAGCTACAGAAGTGAGACTGCTCAATAGGGAAGCACCGGTCGCCTTATCTGCTTGAGCCGTATCCCCCACTGGCCACACCTCCACACCATCAAGTCTAGCATGACTGCATTCGTCATGGATAGCCACGCCTGGTTCTTGTCATAGTCCATCCCCTTTGTTCTGGCTTTAACTTGTATATAGTAACGCCTAACCTCTCGTAGTCGGCGAATATATTTTCAATAGTCTCTATGTCTGCTTCAAGAAGACATGGGTTAGAAGGAGCTGCACCCTTGACTCTCATGGCTTGAGCCCTGTTGAGGCGGCACCTTATAATTGCACGACCTGTTCATTGCTCAAGTCCTTGTTGATAGCAATCCAGTCACACGCCCGCGGCAATCGTATCTAGGAGATGAGTTGCTTTGCCACTTCATGACACACAGAAAGGGGGGTAGGTCGTTCCCAAGCTCACGTTCTGGTCCTGAAAATAGACACAGGATATTTCCAATTCTTTCAATAAGCACTTGATGCCTATTTCCATTTCTTCGAAGCCACCTTTTCTCAGGTCGTGCTTTAGAAGCTCCTGGCCATTCAGATCCTCAAGTTGTCCGTTGGTCTGACCCATTGCAGGTCACCGTGGCAAAGCAGGCCGTGGTGACATGGGCCAAAATTCGGCTGCCATCAAGCGAGTATCTTCTACCAAGAATTCTAAAGGTGGTTGCCCAAGACATCCGTTTGATCAACTGATGAACCCTGAGTAGTCTCCGAGAAAGGGTTGAGGCCACTAATTGACCGATGAGTGTTTCTCACCGGTCAGACTTCACACACACTCTGTGCGTGGCAACGACCTAATTGAGGATTCTCTAAGACGACGACTATCTCACGTGTGTCAGCAATATCAGTCTTATATTCTGCCCAATACTTTGATGAGATGTAGGTGAGAAGTCGCTGGCCAAGTTCAACTCAATGTATGGCGCTTTTATTTATTTATTTTTACAGCTCATCCCTGAGGCCAATTCAGCAAACTCAAGAAAACATGATTTTCAGCAGGTAACGGTTATCAGCACGTCTTGTATGCTGCAGCTCCAAAGGTGAGTACAGTATTTGATATTTAAAGTGTCGATGGCTGTAAGATCCTGAATATTGTTGTCGCTCAAGTCACACAAACCCTACCATCGACCCAAGCATGAGCTCATTGGCTTAATTAACCCGCTGCAATGCAAGTTTGGTGGACACGTTTGCATCTGGGATTTTTTTTTTGGCTTTGATAAGCGCACTGCTTAGAAGCTATTGTTTGTCTCACATGTCTCGATGAGGCGTGCGGCTTGACGTTCCGATGTGCATTAGCGGACGCCACACCAACATCATCCGGTACAACCTTTTTTCAGAACGACCCGACAAGGGGGTTCAGCCGCTCCTGTGAGACAACGCGGGAATTTTTTCTCTCAAGTCACTGGCACTCGGTAGGTCATTCATTTGAGAACTCGCATTGATGGACTTGCCTCGCCTAGCAGGAAACCACAGTGGCAACCCACACGTACAGAAGCCGAATGATTTGTATCATAAATGTTATTTCTGTCTTTGCAGCTCTTATTTACTCCACGCCGATTACCACACCGGAACAGGGATAGAGTCCAGCTTAGGCAGCCAAGACTCGTATGACTCTTGGTCAAAAACGCATTCTTTCTCATCGCTGCCCTCAGACCAAAGAGGGCGGGTAGGCCACAGGCAAAGATCTTCGCTAACGCCGCTAGTTGTGGTAGCTGGTAGCTGTTCAGGTGCGCTATCATTCTCAACCCAGTCAATTACGCTGCCAAGGATATCAGACGGGAAAGGACCGTTGGGCTGTGACTGGCTGCGACCACAGTGTCCAGCGCCGGGCACAAGGTAAAAGCGGTAGAAGCTGTTCAGCTTGGTATAACCGTCGATAACAGTCTCGTCAGGATACATAGCCTGACGAACGGCATCATGATAGATGACAGAAGAGCCGGATGGGACACTGTTGTCAGATTCACCGTGGTAGTGAATAATCTTACCGCCGTATTCACGAATGTCTTCCAAATCAGGCCAGTTGGTTTCCAGAGTATCTGAGTATTCCTGGATACCCTGGATTATCCAGTCACGCAGTGTATCGTAGCTTGCGTTGGTCAGGTCGAGGTCGGCCGAAATGACTTTCTTCAAGAAGTAGTTCACCCATTGAACTCCAATACCGCTGACTGACGCCTCGTACTGTCCAGTCTCAGCGTTGTAGGTCGTGCCAGCGTCACCAAAATCAGACGATGGTTGAAACATAATGTAAGCCTGACGACCTTGGGAGTCGAAGAGACCGGCCCAAAGGTCTTTCACGAGCTCGGCGGCCTGATCGCTGACAGTACCATTGACCGCTGGGGAGCTAGTACCTCCACCTAGACTATTTGTCAGAAAACCATAAGACAGCAATATTAACTTAAGTCATGGAGAACTTGAATATGGTGCAAGAAGGAATTCAAGCCGCATGAAGTAAATGAAAGTGACATACCTGGACCTCCTGGCCCTCCAGGACCTCCTGGGCCTCCTGGGCCTCCTGGACCACCACCACCACCACCACTGCCGGCAGCACAAGCGTAGCTATTGCCAATGGAAGACGTAGCATTGTAATGTAACTTGCACAGATCTGTTCGACTCACAACACCGTCCTGCTTCCCATCAAGCAAGTCACACGCAGCGATCGTGTCGTTGTTGATTCTGGTAAGCTCGCAAGTAGGAGGGAAATAGTTGTTGGTGATCTCCACCATTGCAGAGAATAGGTGAATGACTTGCTGAAAGGCCATGCGCATAGCTGGAGCACCGACGGCAGCACCGTCAAACTGCGTACCGTATCTCTGCAGCTGGCTAAACCCATCTCGTCCACCTTCCGAGCACCCTGAGTAGTAGGAGTAGATTTTCTCCACGCCAAAGAAGGCCTTTGTGAGCTCTTGGCCAAGAACAGTCATCTCGTGGATAGCCTGGTGAGAAAAGGCGTAAAGGGCATCATAGTTCATGGAACCATTAGCATAGAGGACCTTGTTGGTTAGTTGAGCGCTCCAGCTTCCCAAACCCGCATCAGTGGTACCAGAGGCAGCGCCGTAGCTCAGGCCACCAGACAATCCACCTGCTCCAGAGGTGATTGAGAAACCACCGCCTCCAGTGGACAAGAATCGATTCTTGAAGTTGGCTGGATCAGGAAGATAATACCAAACGTTGGTCTTTCCTTCCTTGCCGTCATGGGTGTAACCGAACGTGACATTGCAAACAGCGACTGCTTCGACTCCCACAACTCCATCAGAGGCTGCGGATGAATAGTTACCAATCGCATTGACAGCCACCGAGGTAGTGTCGATCGTAGTTCCAGGAATGAAGCCATCGCCAGGCAGAACCGACTGCACATATTCGGAGGTGCACACTTCAGCAAAATCGGTAGCTGTTGTTGTGCCCACGAGGCTGCTCACCGCTGCAACGAAGACAGCAACAGCGCGACGCATCGTCATCATGGTTTATGTCGAAAGAAACGAGAGAAAGGAGTTCGATAAACTGGTTGATGATGTCCGAGAATGTACTGAAGATGAGGTGAGGCATGCTGAGTTATGTACATCCTCTCCGGTCGCATAATCTGAGCAGGTGGCCCTTAATGTGGTGACCCGTCCGCTTGACTTCCCGAAATGTGGTTTTCGTCGGTCTTGCTACTGTGAGTATAGAAGAAACAAGCAACCACTTCATTCAGGACGCGCGGCTCGTGCGACCTGAATTGAGCCGCTGACGGATTGCAATAAGCGAATGGAACATTGATCAGGGGAAACAGACGATATGCTGCCCAAGATTCCCCTCTCAGGTTCGACCCTGACCTTTTGTCTCTTTCTTTGGTCACTACCTACCATTCTTCGAAATTAACTCTTCCGTGTGGATCTAGCGTTACATTGAGTAGCATAAGGATTTTAGACTTAAAAGGCAGTTGCAGATACCTTGTCCCGGATGCTGAAGCCGGTCGGGCCTACATCTACCGCCGTTGGTTATGCGTCCTGATTTCCACCTCAAAACACCAATTCTTCAGGTATTTCTGAGTCTTTATAGTCCGAGGAAGCGTTGATCTCACATGATAAAATTCGCGGACAACTAAGTTGATCCAATAGCGCTGTATTTGACACAATAGAAGGCATGTCTATCGCGGCTTGGTGGATGCTTAAGAGACTCGTTGGTTCCATATAGCGATCTGCTATAGGACGAAATCGAAAGATCAAATCAAGTTGAAAGGCACTGTCCCAGTCTGGCAGTTCGATTTGGCTTGTGGATGTAATGAAGCTGAGCAGGAAATAGAATCAAGTAATTATTTGGGACATTGCTTGTGATCAAGGATATTCTTGGCGTTAGGAGTATAAGTCCGACAAGACCGAGATCCGAGTTCTCCGAGCAGTCCCGTGCACGAGCGCGGTGGTTTTACTGCTGACCACTTAGTCATTCAGTAACGGTCGATTGCCCCAATATGGACTGATTTGTTCTTCTTTTTGTCTTGGGGCGAAATGATCTTCTATGAAATAGCGGTACATCTCGAATAGGTCGGGACCGGGACTTCCTAACCGGCGAAGAGAGTCTAGATCGATGACTATGGCCATATTTTCCTATAGACCTAAGGGTCGAAGTGAGATAACATAAAAATAATTACCTCGTCTTCGACCTGGTGAAAAGGATTTTAACGGCAGGCTGACCAAGGTGTAAAATGTTACATAAGTATTATTGAGATGCAGCTGGGAGAACTTTGACTAATGCGAAGTTGGTACGTACATGGGAAGCATGCTTTGCAAAATTATACCACTTTTGCGGACGAGTAGAACTTCGATGTGCGAAACTCGAGTTTGGCGTTTCAGGGATGCTATAAGTTATCAGACAGAACAAACAGAGCCAGGCAGACACAGGGGCTTGCTTCTCGACCAATCAGAGTGCAGGAAGGGTTGGTTTAGTTGACTGCCTAATTCAAAAGCCCCATGATTAAATATGGTTTCATAACGAGATGTTAGTCTTTTGTGACGTGGAATCTCGAGCCTGGGAGCGACCAAATCTCGCTGTCTATCATGTTCTCTGTTGCTTCGTCTTTAACTTGTTAGCTGCTATTGTTTGTTCTATTGGTCAACTTGGCCCGCAGGCACGGACCGTCTTGGTGCCTGGCCAAGCTGCCTCGTTTTAACGACCTCATATGCACCACGAAAGAATATGGTGAGGTATAAGTTAGCGGTCTTGACTTGATTCTTGCACCTTCCAGACCACTGAATACTTTTGTCAACAACAGCAACATCGTCAAGCTAGCACAACCAAAATGAATCGTGTGCACCAGCATGACTTCCAAATCCGCGATCTGGCCACACAATCTGTGACGCTTTTCCCTGGTCGAGCACAGGTTGTCCGCGAAATCAAGGCACAGCTCAAACCCGGTGCAAACCAGATCACCATCATCGGTCTGACGCCCGGTACTGATGAACACTCCATCAAGGTGGAAGGAACTGGGTCAGCCATTATCACAGACATAAATATTCAAAGCTTGCCGAACCGCGAAGTCTTTGAGGATGTTTACCCTGACTCAGACGAATCGGAATCTGGGTCTGAATCGGACCATGACAACGATGATGAAGTCACAGACAGTGAATATGGGGACGTCAAGGATATCTCGGAGAAGATAGCTACATTGCTGGACGAGCAGAGGCGTGCCAACGAATTGGTGGCAAGCGCTGAAAGCCGGATGAAGATTCTTGACTCGTACGGCATTATGTTGGCCAGTGTGCCACCAAATAATAATACCGCATCCAAGGTTCAGGATTTTGATATTATCACTGGACTTGACACTTACCGGACTGAGCGCGAGAAAATCCACCAGGACTACATGGAAGGAAACGCAAAGCAGCGTGAACTCAATGAGCGGATGGAGAAGCTTCAGACGGATAGATCTCGCCTGCAAAAGCGCGCTAATAAAAGGATGGCCAAAGCTGACAAAGAGAAAGCCAAGGCTCTCCGTCATAGAAAGTTGAAGGAGCAAAAGGCGGCACATAAGCGTGAAAGGCTTGTGAAAGAGAAGTTGCGCATTCGCCGCGAGCGCGAGGCATTTTGGCCCAGAAATGTCTATATTGTCAAGGTCAGCTTGGAAGCCGTAGATTTCACACCGGTGACTTCACGGCGCGGCTCGGTGTCAAGTGATTCTGCCACGCTTGCCATCAATCATCCAGAAACAGTCGCCGAGGGTGACATAGCAACTACAAAGTGTGACCTTACTCTATCATATGTCACTAGCTATGCATACTGGTCACCTAGTTACGACCTGGCCTTATCCACAACCACGAACTCTGGGACACTGTGCTTTGATGCACAGTTGACCAACATGACTTCTGAGACTTGGTCTAAATGTAAGATCATGCTTTCCACATCTCAAGCTGACTTCTCCCGGTTGAACGACGAACTTCCGACTCTCGTTCCTTGGTACGTGCGACTTGCAGAAAAGCGCGGTTTCGGGTTCACTACTCATGTACCAACTGAGATCATGTACTCGCGAGAGGAAGAGTCCTATAAAACCGGCACGGGGCTGCGAAACGCGCGAAACACCGAAAAGCCACGGGCGGAACTGTTCGGGATAGACAACGTGGACAATCGTTTTGGTGTACAGCCGCTGCCGCTGCCGCATCAAATTTACAGCACTATCAACCAAATCACTACCGCCAACTCTCAAAATACTGCCACTACTGGCGGTGGTCTCTTCGGACGCGTTCAAGATACCAACCCAGCTCCCACCCACGGTGGTCTATTCGGCTCGAGCCAAGCTGTCGCAACGGTCTCTCCTCAATCAGGTGGCCTTTTTGGACGGGTTCAAAATACCAACCCAGCTGCCACCCACGGTGGTCTATTCGGCTCGAGCCAATCTGTTGCAACGGTCTCTCCTCAGTCAGGTGGCCTTTTCGGTGCTTTGAAGTCGAACGAAGGCGAGTCAAAGAAAAAAGATCAACTCACTGTGGACAAGCTCGCCATGTCGAGTTCGAGTTTCGATGGTCTTCTTCACGCTCATGGCGAAATTGGTGCCGTGGTCATGGAGGCAAAGCCCGACCTTGAATTTCAAGGATCTGTGTTCGAGGAAGTAGGGTTTACTTCCACCTACGAAATTGATGGATCGAAGACTCTCTCACCAGCCTCCAATCCCTCAAAGCAGCGAGTTGCTCGCGTATCCATGACATCTGTGACCTTTAGCCACAATGTTGTGGCGAAGTACAAGCCTGCCGCTTACCTTAAGGCTAAGCTGAGAAACGAAAGCAATCTCACATTACTGAAAGGCCCAACTGGCTTGACCTTGGACGGCACCTTCATCGGCCGAACCACTTTACCTCGTTGCAGCCCTAGCGAGACATTCGATCTCAATCTTGGCATCGATCCGGCTATTCGAGTCGCGTACCCTAAGCCTGATGTCAAGCGTAGTCAAACCGGATTCATCTCGAAAGAGGATAGCAGCACGTTCAAGCGATTGATTACACTTTCCAACACTCGATCTGATGAACAGAGCAAGCCGGCGCAAATAACTGTCTTGGACCAGATACCGGTCAGCGAGGACGAAAGGCTTCGTATCGAAATTATACAGCCGAAAGGGCTGGTAGCCGGATCTTACGGAGTCAGTACTGGAGCTCCCGAGAATGAAGGGAAGGAGCATGCGATTTGGGGCGAAGCGGTTTCTACCCTGAAGAATGGAGGAGAAATTTCGTGGGATGTCAAGTTGAATGCTGGTCGTAGCGTCAAATTGGCATTCGAGTATGACTTGTCGATTCCTGCGGGCGAGCGTGCGGTCAATATTTAAGATGCCGTTTCACAGTTGATTTACCATAACGGAAGGAGAAATATAATAGGACAGCAAGGTTTATGATACAGTGAGGAAAACAGACACAATAAGGATTTAACACGATGAATGTTACGGTTAGTAGCATACGATGGCACTCTTGATACAGAATAAATACCAACTAGTCTAACCTTAGATAGAACTCAATCATAAATATGCAGCACTTATGCTTCAAGATCTCCACTCGAATTGTCATGGCTTGGAAATTTTCTAGTTCAGTTAGTTGTTCTTCGCAAACATAATCAGATCTTCGTTCCAACTAGTAGAAGAAATATTTGAGTGTTTATGTTGCTCTCTTGAGTTGCAATTCAGTAAGACAATGGCATTTACCTCCACTTGAGGAAACATCAAATAAACGAACATTTGTTGAGTGGATGACGTGCCGAATAACCATAATTTTCGAGCTCCAAAAGCCTTCTCAACAGCTTCAGGAGTAAATATTGTCTTCCAAGATACCATGTCGTATTTTACACTTCAGAACGCAGTTGATTCACGTCAAGGTCTCTACCAAGATGTCGACAAGTGGAGAGAATAGCAAAATTTCATGGGTTATACGACTGGCGGTGATCCATTGCTGTCTTCTCTGTGTTTCAAGAACCTGTGGTACTTGTTATATCTTCCGTATCTGAAGAATCTACAATGCTTGCTGTATCCTTCCTATGTCAAGATGGTCTTTAATAGAGAATGATATCCCTGTAGACTTGCTCTTTTCTCTAAGAACTCGGTTTCATCTTTGCGTGTCCGTGCCTCCATTTGACAATCTGGCAAATACTGCGAATTATCAAGATAAGGAGACAACAAGCATTTTAAAAAGGTCACGTTTTAGCAAGGCCTTTCCTCGTGGCAAATAGAAGAAATCAAACACAAATAAAATTAATTTCTGACAAAGGTCATTCTCAAGGCAAAGAGAAGAAGAAATGACGTGGTCGTGTAGTAGGTACTCCGAGGTCAACAACAAGCAATGCTCGCCTGACCATGTTTGTAACAAGACAGACAGTTCACATTAAATTAGTACGAGATAGATGCATTCGTTTGTACTGAGTAACCAGCAGCGAAGTTGCCTCAAGATATTGAGTTATAAAACGGATTAGTTGTACAACAGTAATACATATTCCGCATGGGGATCCATAATTTGCCCGTGTATGCATGGGTAGGCCTACACTGTACTCGACGTTTCCAGACTAGAAATCTTGAAAACTAGTCCAGAGCATCACAAAAAACGTCATATTATATATAAGTCATGGTCAGCATGTCATGAGGTGATCACAAGTTTGAAACTTGTGACAGAAAGGATGACTGCACAGCAAACATGATACGCACAACAAAAGAAAGACATAAATGCCACAAAGTATCTGAGAATTCTTTCAAAGTCTTAATTGATTACGCGCAAGCCAAATCTCGCATTTTTCAATATGAACTCCGCCAACGACGATTGGGAGGAAGACTGTAGTTTTGACGACAGTAGAGCTTTGATGAGGCGGCGGCCTCCCCATGATCCTGCCGCACCAGTTGATGATTCTAAACGGTTGACAAATGTGCCCTGTGTTCGCTTTATTGATACTGGGCCCAGTTTGTCGCTACCGCATAGTCTAAGCCTTCACAACTTGCGGTGCCTCGGGATTGTCATAAGGCCACCCCTTCAAAAATTCCACTAGGGCGCGGGCAGGACTCTGAAGCTACCTCATTCATTTCCACGCCAAGTGATGAAAGGGTCAGCACAATGAACACGAGTTTTGTGCCCTTTGATAGTGAGTCGGCCCCGGGCACACATACCTCTCGACCTGGTTCGAAGCATTTCAGCGAATTCTGCACACAGCATAACATCAATTTTCACTGCAGCCGTGAAGATTTACTGTACCATTTTCTAATGCTCAGACAGGAACCCTTCGGTCGCAAACTTTTGCATACTGGATCGCATTCGCCCGGATCTCTGGCGCCCAGAGACACCATCAGCCGTCGCGCACATCTTCGGGGGACTTGAGAGTTACCGGATCAATAGAGGACTGGGATGCAGTGAGGAGATATTAGATCAGATTAATGAATTTGTGGTGGGTATGCTTGAGATGTTTGAGCCTGAGTGTCCAACTCCCGAGCTCTTATACCGCAATATCGTTGTCTCGTATTCCAAGGTCTTCCAGCCTAATACAGATAGCCACTTGGAGACATTGAGGCAAGTTTGGAACCTAGTGCCAATGGAGATCAAAGTAATGATATTAACTGAGCTGGTGCAGATTGCGAACAGCACCGCATCGGGAGCTTCGAGTCCGCAAATTTTCTTCAAAACACTGAAAGAACTCTCTGTGTTGTAAAGACACTGAGGCAGTATCACCTTCAACATAGTTTAATGAATCTCAAACTACTTTTTAGCAAGTACTAAATCTCGTCTTCATTGCAGAAACGGATAGCATCAACGTTAACAAGCACGAAATGCTCCTTGAGATACGTGCAAACTTGGTTCGCAGTCTATGATTCCCTATGCAAGAAGAAGTCGAACTGATATCCGGGGCTTACGGGTTTAGACCAAGACACGCTTAGGCTCAAATATCTTGCACCTATGTTGTAGAATGCTTGAATGGTAGAAATTTCTTTGGAACGAGTAACTTATTGCATGGAACAAATTGAGATTGTGTATGTGTCTCCATGAGCTCAATGAGTAATGGTGTACATTCCAGGGATCAGCAGTTCTCACCCCACAATCCCCCGCGATTTGACCTCATGTTTCCGGTCTCCACTCCCAGCCACCTTGATGAATCGTCAGAGCAGCTATGTCATGTCTGAGGCGTATTTGAACCCGCCTATCCTTTTCTCTCTGTCTCTCTCTCTCTCTCTCTGAAACCAGTTAACAATGTACTACGCTAGAAATTATCATATATACATATGAGTCAAGTCCCTACATCGAAGATAGTAAATCATAGTACTTTGCGCACAACTTACTAGGCGCGGGCCGAGCCTCCAATCACCACCTCATCCCTCGAATTCAAGATGTCAACAACAGGGACTGTCAAGCCCATCACCATGACGGACCCGGGACCAGTGCCGATGCCTGTGCAATACCAGCAGCCGGTAGCGCCCACGCCATCATTCCCCGGTCCGCCCTCTTATGATCCAAGACTACTCAATCAGCAGTCGTTCCCTCAGTCCATCTCTACTCAGACGACCCATGGTCTCAAAGCAGCACGGACAGCGACCGAGTACTCCCTGCGCGAATTCGTGATGTTGCAGCAACGGCGGCGCTATGACGACCCGGCGGCAGAGAATCGTCTACGCATGCAGAAAGACGTAGCGCTAGCTGACCTGAAAACGCTTAGAAATGAGGTCGCCACACTGCTGAAGGCAAGTGAGTCGCATCGCTGGGGGCGTTGGGCATTGGGTGGATTCTTGTAAGTGCACACACAGCATTAGCCATTATTAGAAAAGAACCTCGGCGTATGCTTATGTATATGTGTGTAAGTGCAATCCTCATCCCGGCAGTCCGTAAAATCTTTCGGAGACCGTCGGATGATAATGAGACTTCCAATGATACGGAGTACGCCTTTCGGCGGAGCAAAACACTAATCTCCCGCACTTGGACCCTGATAAAGAACAACGGCGCGCTTGCTTCTGTGGCAATGTTCGCGCTCTCGGTACTGTACGTTTTCCAGGCGGAAGTGTCACTGCGCGTTGCGAGGACAGTTTCAAAGCGATTAAAAAGGCTTATCCAAAGAATTGAGATTGGGAACGAGGCTTTGGATGAAAGGGATATGGATCTCTTCAAAGGGTGGCGGTGGAGAGTCTTAATGTGGAAAAGTTGAAAACCATATAGTCCAACGTGGAGTTCCTTTGGTGATGATGAACGGCGTGTGTGACAGGCTGGTTTATTGTAAACCTCAAAAACAGGCCTATATCGTAGATATCAAGTTTATTTGACTGTGCTGTATGTACAACCTATCCAAGGAAATGGGTATCCGTTGTTGTAATGAAATCCGCCAGTGTCACACAAAGGGATGATCCTTAACTCCACGCATATTTTCCTAAAGGCATCAAAACCAAACAGCCCTTATGCAAGTCTCCAAACGAGTCGTTATTGTGCTTTGTGTATGTGTTCATGTGCTCCTAGTTCCTCATGCAAAGAAAGGAGCACCAGACAGCTGCCGTTTCTCCACACAGAATTGTCGGACACCATCACCCATTCTTATCCCACATACGTTAATAATATAATCTAACATCCCCATGATGTACTTGAACTGGTCCGCATCGACAAGGTCAGTGGACGCAGCCGTAGCAACTGGCCATAGTATCATCAGTCCGATGTAACTTTTGGCAAGATTCGGTACTGATCTTTGGGTTTTGGATACCAGGTATTCGTCTCCACAGGCAATCGAAGAATCGTCTGAAGATGAAGACGACTCGTATTCCCGAGCGATAGAGGAAGAGAGAAACCTATTGCTGTTTGTCAAGCCGGAGGACTCTTCAATGAGTCGGAAGAAATGTGGAGCCATCCTCAAAATCTCGCGGATTTCCTTTCGGCCCATTGAAACTGCCTCATTATAATCCCGAGTTGCACGGGGAGAAAGCGCTGCTGCCAATCTGGCCATAACGTTATAGGTAACTAACCTGGCAGTACAACCACATACATACAGGCTTATGGTTGCCAATTTCTGGTAAGTCTTGTCCACATCCGTAACATAGTCACTTGTCCTTGACTGGTCAAGGTCGGCCAATGGCTCAGTCGGTTCATCCAAGTCAGGAATCGGCGGAAACTTCTCTGAGTATGCCATTATCATTTTTTTTGTCTCCAAGAGAGCAAGTGTGATGCTAATGGTTTCATCCTCGCCCTGCGGCCCGGCGTATCCAACTGGTGGCGCAGGTGATAACTGCGGCACTGGTAATGTCCCAGCACGGCCGCTCTGTATCTGATCTACTGCGTCAGCTCCTTTTAGAGAGGCCAGTTCTTGAAAGCTTAGGCCGTCCATGTTACGTGCTAGATCCAACATATCCGCCGCATTTGGATCTGCTGCTTCGGCCGCTGGAGTTATGTAAGTCATGTATCGGGGCTCAGTGAGCCACTGAAGCCAAACTTCAGTACCAGTATGGGGAGAAGAGACGCCCAGCATGTGAAGTTTAACCTGCACGGGTTAGTTTCAGGATGTCTTTGGGCTCCATCTACAAACATACTGATTCGTTGCTAACAACGCGAAATAATGCTCTGACCAGCTTGTCGCGTAGAGAGACCTTTCCACGAGCACCGAGCATTGCGGCTGCGCCAAATATGTGACTGCCCCAACCGAGTATATTTTCGGAACAGAAGACCTAATCTTGTCAGCACAATCAGATATACAGGTTGCTCGGGTTCGACCATATACCTCAAAGAGTGCTAGTAATACGACAGACGCTAAGAGCTCGTCATCGTTGTACGATTTAGAGCGTTGAATGGCCTCATTCGTCATCTGCAAAGCTGTTGCATATTGTGCCCTTGCTCGTACTATAGCCTTTCGTGCATTTGCCTTGGTAGAGAAAGCTGCCAGGGACACAGCAGACAATGAAGCTGAGAGGCAAGGCCCGAGACTCTCTTTTTGACTCACAGCCTTGAGTACTGGTAAATATCCTGGATCAAGAAACTGCGTTGGCGCGAATGCGTAACGACTTGCGAAATAGCATAGAGCTCGGTCCTCAAGCGGCAAGGCGAGCAGTGTTTGTTTTAACATCATCGACCTCTTCTTCCTTGGCCCCTGATGTTCGACCCAAGATTTCTGTTTTCGTATTTTCCTCCTGTCTCTCTCACTTCCAAATTCTTCATCTGCGGAAAGCGAGAATGAACCCTGAAAGAACGATGCAGACGAAGATGCAGCAGGCGACAGTGCGACGGTGGAGCCTCCTTCGGCGCTGCCCGGTCCATCTGTCTCTGAGATAGGTGGCGCCGTATCATCTGCCAACGACGAGGACGACGCTGGTGTAGCTGACTTGGGCTTGTGTTCAAATTTCTGTATAGTGGCTGTTGTCATGTCCCGGATGATGAAAGCTGATTCATCTCTGTAGCCCAGACATTCTCGTCCAGCGCGCTTGCATTTGAGGCAATGCGGACGGACCTCATCACACTTTAGACGCCTCTGGCGGCATGTGTGACAAGCTGTGGACTTGCCCGTATAAAACATGGTGTAAATCGTGGTGTAATGGGCATGATGACCAGTTCTTGATGCAAGCAAGACCAGCGTGCCGTATGTTGGCTCGCTGACCAGGTAGTTCCGCGAACGCGACCCTAGTGGCGATCACGAGTCCGAGCTTCAATTGTGGTTGAAAGAGGAATGAGGGTGGTCCTTTTGCTGGCAGTGCTGGTACCGACTAACCACGGTTGAGTAGATCATTTGTGGAGCACGTCAGTATCCCACCTTTTTATCCTTTTTCTCCTAGGTCGCAGACTTTCACGAGCCGGGAATCATTGGTTCGGTTCCCCGGTTCCAGAGAAGAGGATGCGTGGACAACACTAAAACACTGCAATGCGTGGTAGGCAGTGCATGCCACTGCGCTAAGGCCAAGTAATAAGCAGCCGGGGTCGGTATGGGGCCAGGACTTGCAGCGACAAGGAGGCGATTAAAGACAAAGCAAGCTGCTTCCTAAGAACCGGACAACGCCATCGCCGTTATTACATGTGGTGCAATATGAGAAGTCCACGGTAAGTAGTCAGGTTGCTGCTGAGGAGTGGAATGTCTAAAAGTACCAAGGCCGCCCTCCGCTCGTCCAAGTCGTGCTACCAAGAAGCTACGCACAGGCCCTAGACTAGAGTCTCATAATTATCGGCCAATTTTCTGGTGTTCAATACAATCACATTTGGATCGAGACCAGAAGTCAGCTCTTGAAGATTTGCTCCGGCAAATACGAGGTTGGTCTGCCTTTGCCTTCTCTTGTTGGGCTGATGAAGTGCTGAGTAGGGTATTCAATGCCACTGTTCTATGGTAAGAAACGATGCCCAAAATATCGGTGCCAGAAGTGCGTGGTTATCTAGGTCGATACTCAACCGTGCCAATTAGGTTTGAAGGGCTGTCTCAAAAACCACACGCTGCTACATTTGTGTCACCCTATGTCATACTTGGTGCTAGATGCAACCTCAGAGCAACATAACCGTGGCCCTCCAATCAAATCCACAGTGTTATACTTTAGTTGAAGTATAATTGTGTCTTTGGTCCCAACCTGGAAGAGTGGTGGTTGCTCGCTTATGCTGGGAATAACCTATTGCCGTGTTGCTTCCGATCAGTTCGATGCTCCGCTTACGTACCGAAAGCCTGTATGAGACATGCATTACCGTAAATCCCTCCTCTTTAGGACACCAGAACATGCAGGTCTAGCTTCCCTAATTGCTTCGTCACGAGATAAGAACATATACGCGCAAAGATCAGCAGCGATTGCTTTTGCTTCGTTGTCTACCACGCAGATTTGTATGGTTATACATTATCGTCATCATGCAGCCATCAGATCTTTTTATGCTCCCGCCATTGGTGATGAATACTTGCCGGCATTTTCATCACCGAAGAAAAGAAAAGCTCATTCTCACTTGAATTCCGGTTCGATAGTAAATCTCGCCCATGCTATAATTTGGCCGTAATAGCCACAACCATAAAACTACTTGCTGACTCTGGGCAATTCTATGCTCTCGAAAATGTAGCATGAGTCAAACGATATGGGTCGGCCCGTAGAGCTGGAACAGTGGCACCTGACTATGTGTCAAAACTCACCTATGGTCCTTCTAGAAGCCGAGGATTTAATACTTCTCACGCTAGAATCCTTCTGATTGACTTGTGCGACTTGTATAATGTTGAGCACGTGGCAGCCATGATATTGTACCCGTCTTCCACACAAAGCTAACCTAGTGCTATTAAAGTTCCGTTGGAATCCCGAGGGCATTGAGACTATCAACGGGTAGGTTTCAGGGGAAAAGATGAGGATACAAAAAAATTAGGCCAGAGAGAACATTCTTCTTTCGAGCTGCGATATGATTACTCCAAGATGTTTATCGTGACTCTCCAGACGCTTTCCATCTCGTCATGCTTCTGCTGTCACCACTTCGAACTACCGGCTGCTAAAGCCGCAGTTGAAGGTAAGTTGTATTGAAAGTATGGCCACCTCGGGAGTTTCTCGTCATACCTTTGTCGGTAGTAGAGGCGCAAAGACTCATTCTTAAACCGTTTTCTCAATCGTTATACATGTTGGCCGTGGGAGCCTGGTTAATAGAAATATTAGCGGCGTGAAGTACCAGCACCCGCACCCGTGGCAATGCTATGCAAGTGGCCGCGAATGAAGAGAGCCTGAGAGCACCGATTTATTACGTGGCACGGGGACTAGTAATGAGACCAGATCACAGGTAGTGCGGATTTTGCTCCTATGATACAACAACTTCAATGAAGACCGAACCAGCAGGTAGCGCGCACTAATACATCGGCCGTCAGCGAAAAAAAGAGCCGCAAGCTAACTGTAGTGCTCTAAGGTTAGGTCAACTGTCGAATGCCCAGTGTTGGCATCTCAGCATTTCCCAGGTACCACAATACTGATGCAACTACACTTGGTAACCGCATTCTCTTCCCAATGTTGTCCTGAATTCTGCAAGAACGAATACTGAACTACTCGGACCTTACATAACATCGTTGTTCGACATCGAGAGCACATGAAAGAAATGCTATACTGATCATCAGTAGAATTACGGCTCACCAGACAAGCACGATTCAACATCCTTGTGCCTTGTAAATGATTGGACGCAAAAGTCACGCCATCAACCACTGGTTGGTATGACGGGAATCAAAAGCCCTGAACCCCTGCATTAAACTGTAGTCACATGTCCAGTTGATGGCCCGCGCACTGTTCTGGACAGAGTCTAGAACAAATAGAACAACATTCGTGCTTCTAATAAGTTCAGAAACCTAAACCCAGAAACAGAGACTAGCTACACTTCTCCCCCAGACAATATGGGGTTCTCCTCAATTCCGACCTGCGTGCTTCAAGGAAGACACCGTCAAGGTGCTTTCAAATCCTTTTTACACGCAGCTCAGTCCCTGGTAGTCAAAGTCCTAGGTCTGATAGTAAGAATGGCAAGCATCACGGTAGAATAAGAAAGTTATCATTAATACTAATTACAACTATAGTTGTCTATGTGCGTTTTCGAAAATGAGTGTCGTAAGTTGTTATGTGATGGTTTTGACCCTGCTCATGCCGTGCGTTTCGATGTCTATTGTGTAAATTTGTTAAAATCACTGTCTTGCCCCCTCGCCGCCCTCTCCCTAATTATTATTGCCGTGCCAATGGCAGGAGCTGTCCTCTCTAGAAACCAATATATGATCGTCCCGAGCTCAGGGACCGTATTGTGTCCAGTCGATGGCAGAGACATCCCCATAGCAGACGGAGCTTGATGCAAACTCGTGGCTAGAGAGGCTGCCCTCGGGCAAATCATTCAGAGTTGCACATTCAGGCACCAAATTGATCGCGACACATCCCTCCGGGATCTGGTGAACGTTGAGGAAAGTCTCCGGGTCGACGGTATCGTAGGTCCACCGGACCGTGATGTAGTTGGCATTGTAATAGGGAACCTTTTGGTCGCAGGCAACGTAGGTACCCTGACCAACGCCCTTGAGCGTGGGATAAACCACAGGGAACCGAGTAAGCTGCACGCCCTTGTTGCCAGACCCTACGTTGACGCTGACATCGTGGAAGCCATCGGCATCGGTCTGGTCTTCGCTGGCAACGTAGATGCCAAACGGGAACGGGGGAGAACCACCATCTGTCAGGGTGCTGCCTTGACCGTAGAAGACTTCCTCGGCAGTTCCGTTGACATAGAAGATCCTCCCGCTGTCTGTGCCGTCCGGAAGAAGCACGGCATCGTTGGAGCCAGCGCCGGTGTGGATGCCATTGAAGACCCAGTTGTTGACGGGTGGGTTGAAGTCCTTGGAGGGATCGGTTACGTTGGCGATCAACCGGAAACCAGTGGAAAGCTGAGTGGGTGGGTAATGCGGCACTACTTGGCGGGCGTTGAGAGGCGCTGCGCAGGACAAGCCGGCAAATGCAAGCGAGATCAAAGCGTTGAGCATGGCTGTAGTTTTGAAGGTGAATTAATGCTGACCCAATGTGTTTATTTAGTGAACAGTGGTTGGTGCGCAAAGAGGCAATGCGTCTTGTTTCTGTTGATGAATGATTCTGATGCTAATGCTGGTGCTGATGCTGATATCGAACGAAACACTGAAATCTAGAGGAACTCGACGCCTTTATAGTTAGGAGATAGATCACAGTTGGCCTTATAAGCGGCCGTTTAATGCAGACATTGTTATTTGGCTCATCTTCATGCCGCCGTGATCAATCACGATGTAAGCATCACGGCATCACTTCGCCGCCATCATGGCAGAGCAGTCCACCACGAGTTACTTTGCATGAATAATACGAGATTCAGAACTGGACCTTTCCACAAACGACTGGACAAAAATTTCCATGGCTATAGTCAGTTTTCTTGACACGGGTAAGAAGTGTTTGTCAACTGCGTGCGCTCCATGCCAAGGTGGTGCTTATTCATACCCCAAGACGTTGCTTATTGAGAGTCGCAATGGAGCTCGTGTTTTCCTTGTAAGCAATGACCGATGTGCCCTAATCGCATTGAGACACGCGAAAACATGCGACATGGGACGAGAGGTTGTATTTTTGACAGCTCGAAAAAGGGTATAGTGTCCGCCGCAGCAAGCCTAACTCGGTAGCTCTACACGCCTAAATCCGGGGGCGTGACCTTTGAAACGGGCTCCCCAGTTGGGCAGACGCATGTTAATAGCATCATGGGGGATTCCTTTTCCTTTTCTTCTTTCTTTTGGATCAAGGCTCATGATAAATTTCTATAAGTTAGGGTGAATACGAGTCGATCAGAACCACGAGAAAGTCGATAGTGGATGTTGTTAGTATGGAACGAGTTACACAAATGTTTGATAGTCAACCGACCTAGAAGCTCAAGCATATTAAACGCAAGTTAGGATCGCCGGTGAGTAGAGTTTTAGTACTTAACTAGGAATTGATGCTGGTTCATATGTCTGGAGATTTGCCGTGGTAGGCTCTCTGAAGGTATTGGTGATTCGTCTTACACATCGATCTAGTTATCGCCCTATTAAGACAACATGAGCTTCTTTCAAGAGTCATTGAATTGATTTACGTTGCCATCAAACTAGGATGCTGAAAAGTCGATACTGTGATCACTTGTCACGAACCGGCTGGATCACGTCACTTGATTCGCGGCGACGTCAAGCTAGCAGTTGAACAGGAAACATCTTCTACAGAACTAGGCAAAGCATCGCGGATTCCGCAATTCATTTCCTGTCATCTGGGATGCCACAGAGAGCCCCAAATACATAGGAAAGTAGAGGAGAGCAAGTGTCAAGATTCACAAAGAACGGGTTTAATTTTTGCTAACACCTTAAATTATTTGGGCAACCCCCAGATAAATACAGCATTCATAGACTCCAGTTCTCATCATCGTATCGTCGTCGCCATCGTCGCCATCGTCGCCATCGTCACCATCACCATAGTCTCATTCTTCCAAGCTAATCTAGACGTTGATGTTCAAGGCGACCGTGGCACTCATGGTCGCGCTGCCATAGAAGACTTCAGTGCCCGCGTTGCCTGCGGTCACGTATTCGCTGTCCGAGATATATCCCTTCTGCACCATGATGTCCAGCCACTCCTTCAGATTGCCCTGGAACTCGCTTTCAAAGTCCTGGTCGGCCAACATGCTTCGGACAACGACACCGTTGTTGGGGTTTTTACCTTCATAGAGCTTCCAGCTGGCGCCGAAAAGATTCAAGGTTGCGACAGGACCGTCGGCATAGCCGATGGGAACCTGGTTGCCCCAGTTCCTGATCCAGAGCATGAACTCCGAGGTCGCGGTAGATGTAGTGTCACCGGTGGTTGGGGCCGTGATGAAATCGAACAAGTTGCTCCCTGCAGATGGTTGCGTTAGCATCATACCAGATATGTAGTACATCATAAGAGCTTACCACGGAACGCGGTGGTGTTGGTACGATCCCACTGGAAATAAGCCGGGATAGATGTGATAGCATTCAGTCGCTTGTTCAGGTTGACTCCAACACCGATGTTGGTGTAGCCTTTGCAGAGGTCCCTGGTGGAGTCGACAAACGCAATGTCGGTGATACTGTTCCACTGGACCTCTTTGGTACCATCGGTGGCCTGGAGAACACCTGCAAAGTTGGTACACTGAGAGCCTACCATTTGCCCAGCGTTGTACATGGAGTTGGCGACCACCCATGGCATCCCCGGCAGTGCTAGGACGTCGTTGTTTCCGCACTGCTCGGTGGCGGCCACCTTGTAAGATACCTGCGTTGCTTGGCTGTAGGCATCAGCCGCCACCTGCGTAGCTTCAGAAGTCGATGACACAGGACTTGCTGTAGTGGACGTGACAGCGGTCTCGCCGTCGAGCGTTGAAGTTGTGAGAAAGCTCTCGATGGGGATGGCGGGATATGTAGTCAAATCACCAAGCGTCTCGCTTGTAGTCTGCGCCTCAGCTTGACTTGTAGGGACGCTGACGGCCGAGGTAGGTGCCTGGCTGTACGTCTGTACTACAGTGGTAGTGGACGATGATTTTGCACATTGCACTGGCCTGCCGCAGTCATAGGATTTTGGTAAAGCATAGGCGATGAGTGGGCTGAAAGCCACAACTGCCAAAATTTGATGCTTCATGTTTGAAAAGAGTGAGATAATGTATAAAAAATTCCAGCCGAGTCTGTTCGAATATAGATCGCAGATCAAATGAGTGAGTGACGAAGTCGTCGAAAAGGAGTGTAATTGAGTCGAGACCGAGACCAGCGATCGCAAAAGAATGTGAAAGTGAACGGAAGCGTGTGTCTTACCCAACCGTACGACACAGCAACAAGAAGACGAGCGAAGATATATATTATACTCGCTACCCGGTGCCCCTCATCCCACTCCCCATCGGATAGGGGTCGAGCAGTCGAGCCCGGCTACCTGCACGTACTATAAGTTCGGAGAATTCTCGAGCGTTTCAATATGTGAGCGATCACCAACCCCGCTGACAAAATCTACAAGTACCTGCATTAGTGCGCCGTCCATGGGCCAGGTGGTTTAGGCGCCGTGCTCTGCTAGCCAACGCAGGGTTTGATGAAAGGGGATGGCCCAGACAAGCCTACGGAGTAAAAAGTGCTTCTACGTTATGTTTCGTCCAATACATGTGAAGAAAGCTCACTCGACGACCCACCACCCTCCACGGCACTTTGCATGACATGCAGTAGCTGGCCGACGGGGATTTGCAATTCCATTCAATCGGAGTACACAGCTGTTTCAATTCGAAATGTTCTACAATAAAAGTAAGTTGTCTGTCATACTTGAATTATTATCTGGCAGGTGATTGCACAAAACCCCACGACTTTGCAATTTATCTGAAGTAAAAGCGCGGGACGTCATGCATACTCACAAACTATAGTTGTATGAACTCGAGATATGCACAAGGCCATGGCATACTCGAAGTGTACGAGTCATGATCTGTAATGGGCCGAGAAGAGCGGCCTGGAGGACGAGCATGACACCATCACATGTCCCGCTCACGTTTATCTTACTTGAGTAGAAATAGAGTAATAACATTCATAATTGGTATCAGCTATTAGTATTTGTGCTCCATTCGCGTGATGTTGTGCTATCTTCATGCTAAACCAACCAAAGCGCCATTTCTGCCCACGTCCAATGTAAAGTCCTCTTCAAATCTTAGGTGTAAACGCTCTCGGTGAACTGGTTCACTTGCAACCCAGACTCCGCCATGTTCGCGTCCTTGAGGAAGTCAAGCGGCATCCAGACAAGGTGGCCCTTTATCTTGTTCAGTTTGGTACGGATGTCCTCTGGAGGCTGGAACCTGTCAAAAATATGGCCGGCCTTGACACCCTTAGGCGGAAGGAATGTGTTATAATCGTCAAAGGTTTTAACTGGGCTTACGTTAGCTTGTTTTTCTGTCAGTAAGACAATGAGGAGTACAAACCGTTATCATCTGGATCAGCATGGAACAAATGTCTGAAGACCTCGGTATTCACCGTGGCATTTTCGGTCCACATTTTCCACAGGTCCTCCGACAGTGGATCTTCCACGAATTTATACGAGTCATCTCTATCCCAGGGGTCATTCGGCGAGTCATCGCCTGGAGGCTGAGCGTTGGGATCGCCCTTAGCATCAAGATCCTGAGGCGGCAGAAGACCAAGATGCTCGCGCCACAGATATCGTCGTAGAGTAGCAGCATGTCGGCCGGCTTGGAATGACTGACCATCCATGGTGCTTTCAATAAGGTCGGTGTCTTCCATGACGATAGAGAGTTCACTGTCGTGATGTCCTTCCTGACTTCTATCGTTCAGATTACTTGAACCACAAACGACGATCCGGTCATCGACAATAAGCAGTTTGGCGTGGATGTATAGCTCTTCTTGGATCCAGTTCGACACTTCCTCCTTAGGATCGCCCTCCCATGGCTCATCAGTCAGGTCGCCAGTACCTGCCATTGCATGGTGCGCTACACTGAAAGCTGTTTTGGTATCTTTCGCTCCGTCCGTTTCTTCCTCGAAAATTCTCTTGGCATCAATAGCCTTTTGAGCTTGCTCATCATCTTGTATCCGATCAGCCTTTCCATGGTCACCGTGTTCGCCCATGTGCTCGTCGCGACCTCCTTCAACATCCTTTGAGCCGTGGATACCACTACCCATGATTTCCTCAGCTTGAGCTCGTTGGACATCTTGATAGCTCAAACCAGTCTCTTCTTCTTTCTTCTTCATTGATGGAGTCTTGTTGAGACGATCATATGTTCGGAGGTTGAAAACAAAGATGTGGTTGGTTGGATCAACGCCTTCCTTGCGAATCTGCTCAAAGATTGAATGCTCGCCGCGGCAGAGCGATTTGAACTCTATGATATTGTCAGCTTCCTTTCTTTATTGGCAAATGACACAATAAACGCTCCAAGTTGTGCTGAATCCAGCTCAACATTTGCCAGATAGCAGTTTCATTTATCAGATTCAGAAACTGCATATTTCACTTACGGTAGTCCCTGTACGGTAGTTAGTATTTTCCGTTCGGTCACTGTGGTATATCGTATTTGATTTGACTTACATGATAGCTCTTGTTCCGATTGCGGCGTTGTCACGAAGGTCGCCAGCGAACCCAGGAATAGCAGGGATCAGTATGATCACCCGGAATTTCCGGCCTTCTTTCCCAGCTCTCACGCAAGCGTCCACGATTGCTCGGCCAATAGTATTGTGGATTGGCGATTGATGTTCGCCAGTGGAAGTGATGAAAAACTGGTTCTCGATGTAGACAAAGTGCTGGGCATTACGGATAATCTCAGAGTAGGCGTTTTGGATCGAGTGTTCCCTTAGTATACCGCTTGACCAATCAGCACTTGATCGGACAATTTGAGCATGGATGCTGCCACGGTTCTCGAGGTTCTTCGTATCCATCGGCGCGAGTGGGTGGAGTATGTAATCGCCGACTGGATGTTTGGGCCGCTGAACACCAACTAAGCTCTCTTCGTCGCCTTGTCGTCCTCGAAGTTCGATCCAATCGAACCGCTCATCACGCTTGTACTTGTCACGTTTGATGAAGTTCCAACGCAGCACAAAATGCTCTGCAATGTCATAAACACATGGCCCAACGACACCCATGGCGACGTCATGCCACGGCATGCGCCCGTAATCAGCTTTACTCAACTCGTTCTGCTGCCAATCCTTAACATTTTGGAAATCCATGATTCGGTTGTTGTTGAAGTCTTGTCCTGGCCATACTTCATTGGCAACTCCTTCAGGGTGAGCATCACCTACACAACGTATTAGCAAATCCCAAAGCAGGAAAGGCCGAGGCTTTGCGGGATATATATATTGGGGCCATACTAAGCGGATGCTGATGTGCGTCCCAGCGACCAAAGCAAAGATCAAGACCGCCAATGAAGGCCATTTTGTAGTCGATGACAATGAATTTCTCGTGGTGGGCCCAGTAGAAGATCATATCGGCGGCGTTTTCGAGCACATTGTGGTCAGGGTGCCGCATGATCTTGATGTTGCCATAGCCCGGGGTGCCTTCCGGGCAGAGAGCTTGCAGTGCATGCTTTGTGTGTGCCGAATTGCAAGTAATGGCTGCTTCAACCTCTCTATACACCGCGATGTAGATCTTGACGCCAGCTTCTGCGCGGCGTTTCAGGACCTCATCCAATCTCCACTCCTGGTTAGTAAACGGAGGGCGCCTTAGGAACAACTCGGGTGAGAGCCACCAGTCTTCAATGTAAATAGTCTCTTGGGCCTGCTCCAGTGCGACGGAGACAGCCTGGATACAGAGTAAGTGGGCTGACTCCCGTTGGTTGCGATTTTACTTACCCAGAAATAGTCTCGTCCATCTACATACCATTTGATCATGTTCCCATCTCGTTCCGGGAAATATGATTGGAAGCGGTGTTCTTCCCCAATTTTAGTGCGCATTTCATCAGTTGCTTGCTCATGCTCTTCATCGTGACGATGGCCGGGATTGAACTAGCGGAAAATTGAGCGAGTGTCATCTGGATGACGGGCTATTAGTTACTCACCAGATTCCCAAGCTTCCCGATTTGGTGTCTGATTAGGTTAACGATTGCGGCTGTCTCAGAAAAAAAGAGATTGACAAAGCTCACTTCTTATGAATCAGGCCGACCTTGGCGTCATGAAGTCGTGTATGCTTCAGTTTGTCTTTCAACTCCTGCATTTTTCCGCTGAAGCCAGAATATGAGCTCCCCCCGCCGCTCTCCTCAGATGCCTGGGACATGATCAAGAGGCTTGGCAAAGTGCCGTGTTAACCGCAGCGCTGGTGCAAATCAGTTCAGACCGAAAGATATATCGCGAGACGATGACAAGCACATCAAGAGGGTAATGACTAGGTGAGACGAGGACCGATCCGAGCGAGAAATAAAGTATATGAATCAAAGTGTCCAAGCGAGGAAACAAAGGGAGCGAGCTGGAATTTGGATTAAGTTGGCAAGTGAAAGCATCGTGCATCGTCATCAAGTAGTGCAACAGGTTCTTAATCTTACAGGGGGTAATATGGAGTGCCGTTACCCGGAGCGGGCTAGAGCCAGCAGGACCGGAAGCTGAAACGATATTAATGTAGATTTCTTCAGGTCATGAACAGTTGCTAGCAGCCCAATTGTATTTCCTTCTGTGATCTTTGCTCTAAACACGGACTGCACTACAGAGGAATAACAGTTTCACACGAAAACAGATTGAGGGATTGCCCTTGAAGATATTCAATAATTCGTCAATTGCATATCCAATGGGCTCAACTTATGCTACATATAATGCTCCCCAAAAGGTTTCTCGGGCCATCGCGGGGTAGCTGTATTGAGGGGGATGATGTGAACACGCTCGCACAAGTCCTATCCACTATTTGTGTCACGCTCCCGCCCCAAAGCGGTGTGATTTACGTATATTCCCATACGAGGGCATGTTGTCTGGCATTGGGCCTTCTTGTCTAATAGGTTACTTCCCAAGCTGGAAACTGGGCACGCTTCTTGTGGTTAGGATTAACGCCTCCGATGGTTTCCAAGAGAAGCTTTGAATTGAAACAAGCAGCATTGTTGTGACGTCACAGAGCATAGAGGGGTAGGGGACGGAGGCAAGCGGACCTCTATTGTCCTAATTCTGCTCATGTCATTTCAAACATTTTGATGTGATACCTACTGTCTGCTCTCAGGGAAATGGGATGGAATTTAGCTATGGCGTTACATCCAGCGATCATGGTGCAGTCGGGATCAGAGTCTCCGGATCATATAGTGAAGTTCTAAAACAAGACACATGGTATCTAGTTAATGAGGCTGGCTGGAATTTGAAAACTAATACTATCTGATTACTATACGGCAAGGCTGATGTTCACTTTGGAGCTGTTCCTTAATTCGGACACGACGAATCCAATTTGTCCAGAGCATAGCACAGTACATTAATTAGAGTGCAGATGGCTAGCCAGGTCGAGGCTTTGAGAATCCCCAGAATTTAAACTTAAAATCAATCCGAACCTGATCGTTACAAGGATGTTATCAAAGACTGGGCTGAGGACTGGCGACCGCCATTGGACAAGGAGAGGTCCTTGAGACGTTTCTTATCAAACTTCCGTCTCGACATGAACTAGTTGCCGGGATGCACTCGAGTGGCCAAGAGTTGTTTCTCAGAACTGGGAGTACCAACGTTGACCTCAAACCTAGTGTTAGTCTCTATTGGCATCCAGGCGTCCAAGCAGATCGCCAATCGACTCCAAAAGCCAAGGTCGGGGGGTTACATGCCCAGATTTATTTCAGGGGCCGAGACCAGTGACATGGACTCTTGTCATTTACAGATGCAGGGTGCTTGGAACTAATCTTACACCCTGTCACTGTGCCTGTGCCGTGCGCCAGGAAGAGTCTTGCGCGCCGCGGTTTATTGCGCTGAGTTTCAATTTGTCTTTCTCTTTCTCTTTCTATTTGTGTATTGTTTCCATAGCTATCATTGATGACAGTGGTCATCCACTCGTTTTTTTGTTTATTTATTTTTATGTACATTTCCGTTTGAACTTGTTCATAGAAGTGTTTCTTTTCTAGCGACTTGGGTTGACTATCTCGAGGGAGATACTGCTTTTCCATGATGAAGTCGTCCTCGGCATTCGTAGTCGCTTCCTCTCTTTTATTCTCACTTACATCAGCGCAATCGAGCGCAACCTCCAAACGTGGCATCGCTTACATAAAGGGCGGCGAGTCTGCAGATTACAATATACTCCTGACTTCCAAGTCGCCCATGGACTGGTACTACACATGGACTCCTCGAACAGCTCCTGGCGACATCTTCTGGGGGTCAAAAGTAGACAACGACACAATCGAGTTTGTGCCGACGATCCACAACAATACCAAGCTCGACGATGACATCGAGGCGCTGAAAGATGCGCCGTCTGCTTCTAAATACCTGTTTGTTTTCAATGAGCCGGACGGTACCTTCGAAACAGGTGGCTGCGATTTGACCCCCCAAGACGCGGCGAGGGATTATATCGCCAAAATTGTGCCTCTCAGAAATCGCTGGAAGATCTCGCATCCCGTTACCACGGGCTCTCCGCGCGGCTTCCAGTGGCTCCAAGACTTCAATGCCGCCTGCTGGGCCATCGACCCCAAGAATGGCTGCCCGACAGACTTTGTGACTGTGCATTGGTACGGCGATTTCATAGGCATGACATCGTGGATTGGGCAGTTGGCAGCGTGGTATAACGGCTCCGATGCCGGCCTCCAGGGCGATCTGAGGGTCTGGGTGACGGAGATAGGAGCCCCGAGTGCCCCCATGGATGCGAATTACAACGTGATGAGCCAAACGCTACCCTACCTAGACTCGCTCGAGTACGTTGATCGGTACGCATGGTTCGGGGCCTGGAGGATTGGTGGCGCTAATCGCAACGAATGGACAGGGGACGGTCTGTCCCTCTTCGATGACAATGGAGGATTAACGACACTTGGGGCACTTTATGTTGGTGGTGAGACAAACGGATTCGCGATCGGAGAGAAGGGGAAAGCATATACTGCGCCGACCAACAACGGGAGCAGCGGCAACGACACTAATAGCGAAGGCGGTGCCGACAACTCGACGGACACTGGAAGTAACAACAGCACTGGAAATAGTACCGGCAGTGGGCAAGGCGGCAGCGGTAATGGGGCTCAAACCAACACCGCCGCCACCTGGATATTTTGGACAGGCCTCGTGGCGGCAGGCCTCTGGATGCTATAATAATGATAATCGTGCACATAAAACGAGATACCCTGTATGATATACGAGGGGTATAGGACGAGACTTTGGTAGAAGATTATGTATATACATAGACATATCTTATGTGGGCATTTACTTCTGGTTGAAGTTCATGCTATAACCACCCGTCTTTTCATCCTTCACCATGTTGAAGTTGTCGGTGCTCAATCCGAAAGGCTTCAGAATGCCGTTTCCGAGCTGCAATCACATTAGCAACAGTTCCCGTCAGGAATACAATATCCATCGGCACAGCAGAAAACTTACATCCTTCAGCTTCCCCCACATCTCACCCATTTCCTGCTCCTGCGCCGCCTTGGTCCTGGGCGGCAGTGCCCTTAGCTGGGAGGCCACGATCTTCCTGTCCGCCGAGCTCAAGTTGTCCATGGCAGACAGCGTCTTGTAGTCGTCTTCGGCAGCAGACAAGTTGGCCCAGCTGCCCAACTCGCTCTTGGCGCGGGCGCGGCGCATGAGCGCCTTGGCGCGTATCCTGAGGATGTCCTCCTTGCGTTTGCGCGCGGCTTCCTCGGCGGCGGATTCTTGTTCCGGGTTGGGCGCGCTCTTCTGCGCGCCTGTGCTAACTATCTCTTCCTCCACCTCGTCCTCGTGCTCATGCCCCTTCTTGGATTCGGGTTCGTCCTCTGCCTTGTTGTCCTGCTCTGGTGATTCAGCCTTTTCGACTCGGTCCAGGCCCTCGAGAGCCTTGGTGGCGCTGCTCACGGCGTCCTTCCACTGTTCCAACTTGAGGTGGCACGCGGCGATGTTGGATTGTAGGACGGACAGCTCGTAGTCGAGGTAGTGAGGGCAGACGGAGGCGGCCTCTTCGTACTTGGTGATGGCATTCTCGTAGCTTGCGGAGGTGAAGAGCTTGTTGGCCTCTGACTTTTTGCCATTTGACTCGGTCAAGAGCTCCTGTGCATTCGAAAACTGTTAGTCCTTCATGACCTAGGGACTTTTGTAGGGGCGGGAGGGGCGGTCATTTGTTTACATGCCGCTTCTTCCTCAGCTGAGAACCTTGCTGGTGGCCCTAGGTTCTCATCATGATTATCGTTGGTAGGTGGCACGACCGGCCTTTCGTCGCCAGTCTGAGCTGAAGCCATGGTGAAGTAGAGCGGCCTTTGCAAGGTTTAGGAAACCAGTTCGAGGTTTGCGCGGTCCTCAAACCCGCTGTTAAGACGTCACAGAAACGCCCAAGACTGACATGACAAACGGGGACGGGTACGACGGGGTGCTCACGGCGCAGGACCCGCTGGAACGCCGGAACGGTTGAACGCTGGAACGCTGGAGGATCGGCGAGGGGCAGCATTTCTTATTATCAAACCTGCCCCTGCCCCTGCCCCTCCCCCTCCCCCTCCCCGCGCGCCAATTGGGAAATATTGGAGGGGCAGACGGGCTACCATACTGTAGTATAGCGAGTGGTTTGAACTTTGGAGGGAGGCCACCTTTCTCGACTGAACTTCGCATCTCCTACGCATGATCCATTACATACTCGGTTTCGAGCACACTGCGTAGAGTCTGCCTTATTCCAATCGATCCAGCGTTGTTGCGAACATTAGTTTATTCCCCTAAACTCCTGAGCTCTCTGCACCATGGCTCCTCGTTCAGAGTACGTCTATTGCCATGTCCCTTCCGTCCCAACTTACGCTCACACCTTTGCCCCAGATTCCCACCCGTTAGGGCGTGTCTGTTTGACATGGACGGGCTGCTGCTCGACACTGAAGACATTTATACCCTCTGCATCAACCTGCTTCTGGAGAAATACGACCGCCCCAACCTTCCCTGGTCCATCAAAGCCCAGCTCCAGGGCCGCCCCGGCCCGCAGGCCAACGAGATATTCCACAAATGGGCCCAGCTGCCCATATCCAACGACGACTACCTGAAACAGTACAGCGCCCTGCAGCAGCAGCACTTCCCCGCCGCGAAGCCGCTGCCGGGCGTCGAGAAGCTGCTGAGCGACCTGGGCCGCACGCGATGGTGGGATCTGGGAGCGAGCGACAAGACGCCGGTCCAGGGGGCCAAGCCGACGCGGGTGCACATCGCCCTGGCCACGAGCAGCAACAGCGGCAATTTCAGGATCAAGGCCGCGCACCTCGCCGAGCTGTTCTCCGTCTTCGAGACCTCGAGGAGGGTCCTGGGCGACGACCCGCGCGTCCAGCCGGGCAGAGGAAAGCCGCTGCCGGATATCTACCTGCTGGCGCTGAAGACCATCAACGACAGCCTGCCCGAGGGCGAGAAGCCGATCACCCCCGAGGAGTGTCTGGTGTTTGAAGACAGTGTGCCAGGTGTGGAAGCAGGTCGCCGCGCAGGTATGCGGGTGGTGTGGTGTCCTCACCCAATGCTGAAGCAGGAGTACGCCGGGCGAGACGCTGAGATCCTGGCTGGACGCATGGGCGCTGCTGGCGAGGCAGTCGATGTCCACCAGCTTGGTGAGATCGGCGACGGCTGGGCAGACTACTTCTTGGACCTGCAGAACTTCCCGTACGAGAAGTACGGCATTGTCGTGCCGCCGGCCGAGACCGAGTTGGAGCCCGCTATGCAGGAGAATGTGGGAAACGGCCTCGTTGCTGAGAAGGTAAACTCATGAGGGCTGCATCATGAGACGGATCTTAAAGAAGCTTACTAGAACTCAATATTCGCGCTTTCGTAGAAACACACATAGACAGACCGGCTGGCTTTACAGCGGCAGTAGTATAAAGTTGACAGATCGAATTTTTGCCACAATGAAAAGATTGATGGATAGACAGCATGTCATTCGAACGGTAGACAATCGCTAGATAACTATTTAATTACAAGAGACACATATTCCATCACCACTCACTGACATTTTGCAGTCTCAGACAGTCTCTCTGCGCAATGTTTGTCGTATCTCCCGGTGATAACATGTAACGTTGACGATAGGATGGTACGCAGAATATGCTGGTAATTAAAAAAATTATATAAAAAAAAAAAAACCCTCCGGGAATAGCCATGTATAGACCGTCGTGGGTTGTTTGAGTGTTTATCAAAGTTAAACACTATAGGACTTGTTCGCTAAAAGAGGCTAACATTCCACGAAGCCGTGGTTTATCGCTGCCGAGAAAGGCACAAGGTGGTTTCGAAGAGACATGGGATGCGGGCATAGCTGGCGGGAGTATGCCACGAGCAGGCTGGGCCGTTGAGCCGGTTGTCAGAAGACAAATCACAGCAGTTGTGTATCAGTGTCTGCCCGACGTAAATGGCTTCCTCGAACGGGCAGTCTGCATGCCAGCTTCTGGACCACGGGCCTCTCTCGAGCGATGCGTTCTCTTTCGGAGCCCATCAGTTTCATGCACCAGCTGAGTAAGCCTTCTACTCTCTACAAGTTCGTCCTATCTGGGGCAACGTCGAATCCGGGACACACGGCCAATCACAACACACCAACCGACACGTTTCCGGCAATGCGTAGCAACAGGCACCATGAAGCCTCAATCGCCCGGCCAATGGGGCTCCATTCCGCAACCACAGGTCCAGGATTGCCGGAACTGATTGCTATAGCTTATCGCGGCAACAAACGAATCGCAGGGTTCTGGCTCTGGGAAGCACGCAACAGTGATAGACGGCAGGGCTTTCGCACGTCTGGGACCACTTTATACGGTTTTCCGGGTGTGTGTAGTCAATATAGACTTGTCGTCCCCCTCATGGTACATCAAGCAGAAAAGTCTAAACCTTAGATGTTCAGCCCAGGAGCGAATGGAATAATGCACCGTAAATGCGTGCTCGGCTTCATTTGCACAGCACTTACTGTACATACCGGATTGTGCATAACATGATAACGTACTTCTAGAACACATAGTGGAGTTGCTTTGACGCTTCAATGACGACACATGTGCCTGTGCACGATAGTGATGGGGCCCCTGTGACTGCGCGTCTGGCCTTTGGTTTCGGAGCAAAACGACCAGGCTTGGCGTGATCCCGGCGGCACTCGAGCAGCCTTCAGCAAATGCCTTCTCGTGGATTTCATGAGCCAGTGGATCCGGCTTGGGACGATGACATGGGATGCCCGGGGTTTGTCAGGGTTGGGCACGATCGCAGACCATGCTACATCATTGGTGGGGCCATTTCGGCTGCTGCTGGAATGTTCATGAGGCTATTTAGATTACATGTACCTGAGGCTCCCCACACGGGGTAAATAACATGTGAAGGAAGAATTCGTCCAGCTTTCCAATCTGCCTCTCAAACCCAACTGCTCTGATCAAAGTAACCAAACACTCGGTTGGCCCAACTTGCATCCAAACAACCTTTACCAACACGCATTATCAGTAATGGAAGTTTTCAAAATGAACGTGGTCCCTACTCGACCGAATGACAGGCCCGCCCTGCTCAGTCAGAATTCAGACATTATCAGTGCTCTTGGGCCAGTCGTCAACTATACTACTCAATGCCAGCAAGCACTGAAAGACTTGCTGCTATATCTCGTCTTCCGATCGTACTTTCTCGCCTCCCACCTCCTGTCTTTGAGCCGATTCGTTGTTGCAAAAGCCGCCATTGGCTTGAAGATCGCACTGTCGAATATTGCAGTATATTTAGCGAGCGCAAGCTTGGCCGTCTGGAACACCCCAAAGATAAGACGTCTGCGAAAGAAAGTAGAGTTCGAATTCTTCACCTTCATTTTGGGTGGGGGTGCCCCTATGTTTCTTTTGATGTTCTGGCCAGGATGGTGGGTCCTCGGTATCATCACCTTAACGACAATATGTTTTTCATGTATGGGCTGAATGATCTCGAAACTTGTAGGTGGTATTTTCTTGCAGAGCTGGGCCTGTTGTCGCATGCTAATGCATTTCCAGAGATTCGTTCCCGTCACGGAGTAGCATGTTCAGCCATCACAACAGCCGACCACAAGCGGTCCAGGAGTCTTGGAGTGATTCGTTCCCGCTTTCGACGGTGACAGTTGACCATTAGCCGTAACCCTTTCGCGCATCCGGAAGACGAATGCTAGACCAACAGACTCCGGACGCCCCCCAAGGATGTTCGGGGCGTGTGCTGCCACAATGGCAAGATCTCATGAGTAGAAGAACGTGTTGCCGCCCAAGTCGCGCCGGACTTCTTGTGTATAATCCTTCTCCGGGTCGAACTCTTGCCACATACTGGCAGGGTAGATGTGCTTGTTGCGCTCATACCAGCGCCGATCGACAACTTTGGTGAAGGTCGGGTCGTCTGATGCGCCCTCCAACTTGCTCATCTCTTCTGCAGCCTTGGCAGCTCTGCTGGCCGCAGTCGAGAGCGGATCATGAGGAAGTACTTCGGAGGGTTTGGGCGGTGCCTCGTTGGTGTAGTCGAAGAGGCGTTTATCGTTGGGGCCGGTGGTCTTGTTCATGATAAAATACAGGAACTCGTAATGCTACTAGGAAGTCAGTCACATACACATTTGCCAGTATCTTGTGCATAGTTCGAGCAGAAGGGGAGGGGTGGGAGCAGATAGTTAGATAGAAATGCAGACTTACATGAGGAATAATCATGTTCCCTCGAACCATCATCAGATCGTCAACACCGACTCTTGCCCATTCTCTCCTCGCATTGGCCTTGTCACCAACCCCCAGATCAGCGCCGACCTTTCTGCTCTTGTCGAGGAAAATCCATATGAAGTCGCCCTTCTTGACACGGACCGTGCCGCCAGGTATGTTGGAGCCATCGTAGAAAACAAAAGGGATTGCGATCTCGGAGGTCTTGACTGCCTCCTGCCGCTCCAGGAACTCCTTCCTCAGCACTTCGCGCTCTGCAGCCTCTCGTCGCAGCGCGGCCTTGGTCATGGCGCGGGGCACAACCGAGACGGAGGAGTTGGCCTTGAACTTGCTCTTGGGGGGCTCGTTCGTTGCTGTTGCCGCCCCATCTTCCGTGTCTTCGCCTGTGCCTTGGTCTGCTTCATCGTCGTCGAAGCTGAGCTTTGCAACCTTCCGCTTCTTTTCCCGCTTCTTGAACTTGACGGCACTGCTATCGGGCTTCGTGGCGGCCGGGTCGGGGGTCGAGGTCAGTGACCGGTCGACTGGTGTCCCCGTGGCCTCGCGCTCGTGAGCTTCCCTCTCTTGGGCCTCGAGAACCTCTGCGCGACGCTTGCGAAAGTCGGCATGCGTGACGAGGCCCACTGTGTTGGTTGAGATGCGCTCTTGTGTTGTTTGGTTCTGCGCCTTGAACCGCGACTCGTTGGTCGTGGGCGTGGGCGTAGGCGTCGCCATATTGGGCGGGTGGGAGGTGACTGGCTGATTTTAAGGTATGTAGGTAGCTGGGATACATGCGTCTCACAAGTGATTGCCGACCTGTGAAGCCCTGACGTCGCAGCCAATTGGGCGCTGGGCCTGGCGCTGCATCTTCTTTTTTAGCAGCAGTTGCCTTATCTGATAACGGACCAGCCCTCACTGTAAGTTGGTCGCCGGCTGTGATAGCGCCCCTACATACTCCGTACCTGCGCCTAAGTTAGCACTTACACGCGCAATATCCCTAGGTTAGACTAATGGCAGTGTTCTTTTCGTATTATGTGCTCGTTCCTCAGATTATCATGATTCCATCACGGCCAATTCCCCGACCTAGATCTTCCATTCGCCGGGTACTGTCCCGTGTGCCTTACAGTGGTCAATTAAGTCAAGAAGTAATCATAATGACCCTGACCAAACCCCAGGAAATCAAGCCCCTTACTCTTCTATCAGAAACAGGGATGTTGTTCGAGGCAGAGCTTCTCGCACATATACGGCGAGCCGGACTCTTTATATGGAGCTTCACAATACGTCAAGCTGCCCTCGAGCATCCATGTGTACTCGGAACACACTGCGTAGTCTCAGAATCAGTCAACATACGCGTCTCAGCGTACTACGGTACGGTAGATGGCATCAACCCCCGTCGTTCTCAACAAGAAATGACGCCTATTAAAACTCAGAATGTCTACAGTCACCTCTATGTATCGATACTTGATGAATACTCGGTACTAACAGTAGCCTGCTTGACCTCCCGTCAACATGCCATGTCAGTAATATGGAAACAAGGCTGTAGTTTCCCCCCGTATTTAGCCCATGGCGGTAACAGGCCCCCTTCCCCCTGACCTCACAAATATCAGAATAGAACTGACAGCACCTGGTTCTAATCAGTCCACACACTCTCCTAAAACAAAAAAAGAAATCTCTATCATAGCCGCAGAGCCTCAAGAAGCCGTTGTGAACGTATTTAATCACAGGCTGTTAGATATGATATGCACGCTGTGGGAAATACATGTTGCAGCATTGCTATAAACCGTCTCCCTGCCACTTCGGTACACGAGAAACTATGCGTCTTGAATTTTCTGGCCTCCTTTCCACTCCCACGCCCCCCACTCGTCAGATGCCCATACCTTTGCATCCTCTTCGCTTCTGTGTTTTGCTTCCCACGCCACCAGGTCCAGAAGTCTGCCCTCTCTATCGGCGTTCACCCGGCGGGCGGCAGCACGTAGATGCCATATCGAGCCATATGTACCTCGCAACCATCCGAGATCCGTGGACCCCTCTGTGCCCCTGAGCCACCTCCCACGGATGCGACCATACTTGGATTCATCCACAATCCACCGAGATACCTTGCCGCCGACCTCCTGGGTACGCCAGATAACATCGTCCCCGCCGTAGGGCAGGCCGCCCATCCACGTGGCACCGCGGTCGACGCAGGCATTGTAGAAACGGCCCGCGAACGCCAGGAAGCCCTCGATGTCCTCCACGCGCCCAAGGATCTGCTCCGCGCTAGAGATGGTTCCGTCCCCGACCACCATCTCCCAGACGCAGGGCGAACAAGCCCCCGCTTCGAGGTCCTTGTGCCAGTTGGGGAGCTCCTTTCGCAGCGCTTCCTCTTCCGTCGAGGTGATGCCTTTTTCTTTGACTGCAGCTTCGACAACATCCGGGATCGGCTGCTGCGCGAACCCGTCGACGAGGCTCTGAATGTCGGCGAGTCCTACTTCACCTGCATGCGCCCATTGCGGGCGGCCGAGGCCCATAAAAACCGGAGCGCACAGAGTGTTTTGCCTCCCAGCCTTGCGGCAGACAGCAGACCGCGTTGCTTTGGCTTCGTTGTATGCCAACACCAATGGACCTGCAATCTCGTGTCGATCGATCCTCTTATATTGACAGACCTGGAGTGCCGGGCCACCCTCGCTAAGCGCTTGGCTGCACTCGTCCCGGCAAAAGTCTTGGAGCAGGTGCTTTTTCGACCGTACTACTTGGCCTATCTCTGATTCAGTCAGATGGATGTCGCAGGGAAGGCTGATCAAGTGCTCGTGGAGCTTTTCCAGGCACTTGACAGCATAGGCTGGTGGCGTCGACATTTGAGGTGTCCCGCTTGCGAGGATCAAATCTTTCGCTGCCCGAAGATCAGGCAGCGGCTTATCTCCTACCGAGAGACCGTTCCGGAGAGTCCAACCATAATCACCTGATGGAAGATCTTCCCAGTTTTTGGAGATACTCGCGTCATTGACATATCTCTGGACTCCTTCAGTCCATATCCTATTCCATTGATCGCTCTCACATCTCTGCCCGGCTTGCCTCAGCCTACGGAGATGCTCCGGTAAGGATATCGCCAGATCGGTATCGGGACTGATGATCCGAGAAGGCTCCCAAGCATTTAGCGTTTGTTCAAACCACTGAAGCGTGCACGAGCCGCAGTCAGTCTCCCCCATGCCCGGTCCGTAGCTGAGAGGTGGAGTGTTAAACCGGTACTTTGTACTCCAGCCTCCATCGGAACCGCTACCTCTTGTGCCAGTCTTCACACCTCCGGGGTCCTTCCGCCGCTTCGAGGTGGCGTGGAGAAACGTGCCGATGCCCTGCAAGTTGGCGTGGTTCATACCATCCATGATCCCCCATCTCTCGGTCATCTCAATGAGACAGTAATCATACCCACTACCCTCGCTTGGCCGGCAAGAGTGATCGTTGCGACGAAGGATGACCTCGAGCGCCTCAGCGGGCCCGGACTCCAGCCACGTCGTGTTGAATATGCCATGGTAGGCAGTGGTATTGAAGACCATGTCAGCAGTACATTTTGCGGATATCTCCTCCGATGAACTCTTCAGCGTCCTTCGACACTCCGGTTGGCAGAGTTGGGGGACATATCGCAGCGGCGACGGGGTCATCAACGGTCGCCAGGTCCCATTGTCCCAATCGCGACTGAAGATCCGCGCATGACATGGCACTGAAACCAAAGCGTCCCAAGCAGCCTGGCAGTCCCTTAAGCCGCTCGTCGGCTCTCTACGCGCCAGAGGAGGATAGAGGCGCGGGAGGTCAAGAGCCCCATTGACGGCCGTTACCGGCCTTGAACTCGTGAGCTTTGCCAGCTCGGTTTGCCGGTACGAGCGGTACGTCCGAATGAGTCGGGCTGCCGACACGAAAAGGACAACTGCAATGACGATGACGACAAGAATCACTCGAAATCTGCTCAACGGTCCTCGGCGTCTCTTGAGACGAGTATATTGGTCTTCGTCGTCGTCATGCCAATCAGTTCTGCCCCTTTTCTCGACCCTGACGCCATGGCCGCGTCTGAGGACGGTATTGCCTTGATTGGCTGGGATTGGTACCGGAATAGTCTTCTTCTGGTCCTCTTGGTGTGTTTGCTCCATTCTTTGCGCGTAGAAGATGGTAAGATCTAGATCGATGTGGCACAGCCCTCTAATCAAACAGCCAGGCTGAGTTCAACCCCACTGTTATCCTGGTGCCTACAGCGAGTCGCACTAAATGGTAGCTCCATACCATAGGTGTGTTAATATAGTGCCTTACAGTAGTTTTCACTCCAGCATAGCGAACGCGCTCTACTTTGCCAACGGATGTCATATTCGATTCCTATGCATCAAGGTATCATCATGTTTCCCGGATTCATTAGTCTGTAAAAGCATCTGGCTAGATCCTTTAATCTGCATGATTTTCTCAAGGAGATTTAGTAGGACGAGGTTTATAATGCGTCGACGCTGAGCATGTAGATCGAGTGCTCTTATGTCAGAACCTGTTATACTGTGCACAGTTCCGCAGACCAGACCACCCTTACGGACGTGTACAAAAATGCAAGGAGTAAGAAATTGCGGGTGCTACACATCCCCAGTATTGTTACAGCTCTGACCAAAAAGCGCGATAACATCACGAAACCTTTGGCAACGTGATGCGCAACGCCGGTATTTCCACGCCCGTTACGTCGCCCGCTGCATTCTGATGGAATACAAAATCGTCTGCGCTCGTGCTAGCATATAACACGCTCTCCACCCCTACCCAAGATCCACAGTCCGTGCTGAACATTTTATCAACCTGCTCCGAGGCCGCCAGGTCCTCGAAGATGGCCTTCATCTTGATCTTCTTGCCTCCGTCCGCCGTGTTCGAGAACAGGCCGCCGGGGTACAGACGAATCGAGGGCGTGGTGGGCTTGTAGGTCAGCTGCAGGGAGATTACGGTGCTGCGGAAGTCGGTGCCGTTGCTGAACCACTGGCTGACGGACAGCCCGGGCCTCCCGTCGGTGGTGATGGTCAGGGAGGAGTTCAGGGGCTTGTTGGAATTGCCCGTCGTCACGTTGGCGGGGGCGGCGTAGACACCGCTGTACTTCTGCGCGGCCGTGTTCTTTGCTGCCCCCGTCACGGCAGGTATCATCACGTTCCCGAGAATATCGGCGAGGTTCCAGTTTGTGTTGCCTGGGATATCGCCAGCGACCATGATCGAGAAGCCGATGTCGTAATCGGGAACCAAAACAAATGCGGCCATGTAGTTGCCGATTCCTCCAGCTTTGTTGTAACCGGTAGTTTGGCGATATTCGGGGCCAAGAGGAATGCGGCGAACGCCCCATGGTGCGCCTACACTAGCTCTCGGGTCGGACGAGAAAGAGAATGGTTTCAACCAGCGCCTCGTAATGACTGGTGACAATTGCTTGTAGTTCAGGATGGCGCGACCGAATTTTGCAATGTCAGCTGCGGAAGAATACATGTTTCCGGCACTGGTGTTACGTGTCAGTGATTGCTAGATGGGACGTATTCTCTCCGGCCTATTGTACGTACGGAGCCTCTTCACCAAGCTGGAAGTTCCACTTGGTATCGTTCGCATTTCCAGGAATAATGCCCAACGCGGCCTTGGGTACTTTATAGAAAGTATTGTTCAATCCCAGCGGCGTCAATACAGTATCCTCAAGCAGCGACTGGAAGTCCTTGCCAGTGATCTCTTCTAAGGCATATCCTCTAAAGTCCGGGTCAGTCCACCGCTGTTCAGCTCTTTTCGGTGATCCTAACTTACAGCAGCTGGAAACCAATGTCCGAGTAAGCTGGGGTCTGGAAAGTCGCAACGGATGGAGCAAAGTTGGTGATCCCGGCGAAGAACTCTGCAAAACCATTTCTTTCAATCACTCTGTAAAGGATAATGGGAAGTGGGTGGCTCACGTTGTCTGTTGCATAACGGCACATCACCACAGGGCGGCAAATCCGCTGCAGGGAGAGGTGGGAACCCCAGAGCTGTGATGTACTTCTTGGTTGAGTCCTGCTGACTGATTTCGCCAAGTAAAGCGTCTACGGAAGTGAGCTTCGCCGTTGATACTATGAGGGCCAGGTTTTAAAACTTACAGTCTCTTGGAATCCCGGACATCTGCGTCGCTAGAGCTCCAATTGTCACTTCATCCCAAGCTGTGTAAGCGACAGGATCGTCTGACGATCTGTTTGCGATCGCCGCCAGCTCTGGGACATATTTTGTGATAGGCGAGTTCCAGATCTCATCCCCGGCGTTCAGCAGCAAGTTGTAAATGGTAAAGACTTTTGTGAGGCTACCTAACCGAAACACTGTATTCTCGTCGACTGTTTTCACTCCAGGGTGTGTGATGTTCCCCAGTTTCGGTGAGGTATGTGACAACGAAAAAAGGGGATCAGACTCATGCGCTGAGAAGACCTGAATCGAGTACGAGAAACCTGCCGTCGCCGAGTAATTTGCGTTCCATTGCGCAAAGTACTGAGTCAAATTTGCCACGGCCTGCTTGATGATGGGCATCGTTGAAAGCTCGGTCGGCTTTGGGAAGACGGGACCATCGAGTGGGCAATTGTTGATTGCAGCGCCCAAGGGCAGCGCGCCCGCCAGGAAGACGAGAGCCTTCGCCAACATCTTTGAGTCGTCGTTTCTGTCCTGATCGCCGTCGTCTCCCGAGAAGACCGATATATGACTGGGCAAGAAACAGCCCTATTGAGCAGTGACGAACAAATGCCAAGACATGATCTTGTTGCAACTCCATTGCGAAGTATATATGGAAACTACTGCACATATTATCGCCTTGACACGCAAAGTCTTTTCACGATTATATTTGGCGTGCCGTGCGGGTCAACACGCATAATAGGCAAGTGTTGTGTCGCATGCCCTGATATGATGTCCCAATTGGGAAGCTAGTGCAAAAGGCACAGGGAGACATCCATAGGCAGTGTTGGTTGGAGAACACTTGAAGGACGTGGGTGCCATTTCAATCAACGGCCACATGGCATAGAGCCTCCAGATTTGAGAGATACCATTGACTATCAATTATGCAGACCCGGTGTCTGCGGTGAGCCTGACTGTTACATCTGCACTGAAAGCAGCCACGCGGCCACAAATTTGCACGTGAGTGGTACGTGAGTGCATGATCAAGGCTCGAGCTTACGTGGAGCCAAGGATATCTATCTACATATGACAGGCTTGATACTGACATGCAGCGGTAGAGACTTTGAGTTTGTGGAGGCGATCTGCAATCCGCATGCAGGAACAGACCGACCCCTTATCGTATTATAGCCCAAATCTAAGGAGCAGCCAGACAACGAGCCGCACTGGCGTTCTCCGTTGCCTTTTCTTAACCATTCGAGCACATGGAACGCTCACATGCATTACTCAGGATCATGTCACAACTTTTGGCTCCAGAAAGATCTTCGTGAGTAAGCTGCTTAATGACTACCCCACAGGATGGTGTTGATGCTGATGCAGCTAGCACGTTCATAAACCTGCAGTTTCCAGACCTTCCATAAGATGCCAAGACCCGTTTAAGATGACATACATGTATCATCACTAAATTTATGGATGTCGGCTTCGTAAAAATAGTATGTCCAGATTGTCGTTGCATTGGAGTCAAATCTAACGGGCCTCATTATCGAGATCGCTGTCACATGGGGTCCCGAGTTTGCAGTTGGGTGAGCGTCTAGTTTCTGAAATCCCGAAGGGGTAGGTGACAATCCGCATTGCTTGGTCGATTGAGGAGGAATGCCGGCTATAGCCAATGGCGTCGCTTGTTTCCTTGCATATCAACGATGCGAAACGAAGGTCTCCACACATGTCCGGACTGGCACCCGAGCCAGGCAATTGTTCCAGATTCTATACATAACATTTCGGATCACACCTCGGTATCAGCAAGATCACAGGAAAGTTTGATCAAGCTCAAACGAGACCTGGAAGAAGCACAAGCTACCAGATTGGGCCCATCTACTGAAGACGTCCGCAGAAGCGATTGCATCACTGGGCACTGTTTACCCAGTTCTATAGTGCTCAAAAACTCCGTTTCTTTTGTGGTTTGCGATCTAAGCTTGCCCGGCGGCGACCAGCTTTGGTAAAATCGTGTAGTTTTGGCCGCTTGTATTTTGCGCAACAATTCAAATCGGTGTTCTGTAACACCCAGAGTGCTCTTATGGAAAGGACTAGGAGCACACAAGGTATTAGCAACTCATACTAAACAAGAGAAAGTAGGTGCCATAGAGGTGTGATAGGTATGTAGTCAGCAAACAAAATTTGAAATCCTTGTCCGCAAGCGAACTCAGGTTTTGTGGATGGTTGTTTATGATCATCATGAAAATAAAATAAAAATCACAATTGTAATTGTTGTTGTCGCAGAAAATGAAGTAGACTTACGGGATGACCACATCCTATCACCGAGAAACACAGGAGTCATTGTAATGGTGTGTGTTCCTGTCTGTCTTGTGAGCTAGCATGATGTTGTCAGATCGAATTCGCTGTCTCAAATCGCTGCGAAATGCCTGCTTTCCGTTCTGTGGGCAATGGTGATCGTACTCGGCCAATGCACCTGAAAGATATGAATGAGTGGCTCCACTCGCCGAGGCACACGATAGCACCGTCAGATCTTTACATGCACCACACGGACAATTGCTAGGAGTAGGCCACATCCCGCATGAGCCTATATGCTCCCTCTGGTGTTCGATGACTTTGTTCTTCGCGTGCGCAAAAGCAAACAAAGAAATGGCCGCAACAGGATTCGAACGACCATCCTGCAGTAGAACGGTGCCGAGACTACTGCAGCAAAATAAAAGGCACGTCCAAATAGAATTTAATTCTCTTTCCGACGTCCCCTTTTACAATTTCGAACCGCAGCGTTGAGTTTCGACGTTGACTGGAATATTGATTCGAGGGGTCATCGTTGACTTCGTCCATTCGACCACTTTGACTGTCCGATTGCCAGAAGGCGAAAGTCCTCAGACGTATTGGGCTTTATAGGGCTAAGTCGGGAAGCTCATTCCCTCCCGGGCACGAGGAGGTGAAGAGGTTGTGGTTGCTCAAGTAGCACCTCTAGGCGACGAGAGGGGAAGAGACATTGCGCCTTACACCTTGTCCAAATTGGCAACACGGGAGCCCAGAAGACGAGGGAGAATCTAAGCACTAGATAGGTGTATTTGATGACCGTCACGAACAGTGGAGTCGAGGGCAACGCAGGTGGTGACAGCGGCTTCATAATACAACAAGGTCGGGACGAGTTGTCCACGCAGAACGTTCGCCAACGACGAAATTGAACATTGCTCGTGTCAATGATATGACAGTCGGTCAATCGCGATGGACAAGCCAAGTCTGCGGTGACAAATAGCAAGATACTGTGGTTTGTAGGACATTTTGCCAGACTCCTGGCATCTTGACTGTGTGTGCCATTTCAATAGAACAATTGGATGCGAGACCGGTGACTCTCGGGTTTTGAGCTCAAACCAGTTTCAGGTAATGGGCCCTAAACTTTTTGTTGGCTCTGTCGGCCGGCCTGTACTGAAATTGGTCGCCAAAGATCTCAAAGACGAAGTCCTTGGTGTCTTGAGCCGCCACATCAGAAGGCGCGGCACCAGCCACAGGAACGTTAACCTGGAATGTGGTGCCTTCTTTCGGCACAACCTTGACCTTGTTCATCTTGGTGACGATCTCAAAGGTGAACTTGGAATCCTTGATAACTATACCAGATAGTCCAACGCGACCCGGATTGCGGCTTCGACAAACTTGGATCTGGGCTCCGTGGTAGTCTGCCGCTGCCAGCTTTGCTGCTGCACCTTGACAGCCTGTGTAGAGCTCGTTGCCGAGGATCTCTCGAATGTAGCCAGCCCACAGCCGGTTGAGCGGCTCGTAAATGTGGTATTTCTGGGCTTCCTTTGGCACATGGTACAGACCAAGCTTGCGACGCTGCTGGGATGTCAGAGGCTTTGGTTTCAAAGCTTTGGCGCGCTTATTCTTGTCGTCGCGAGCTTTCCGGCGTGCTTGACGAGCATTTTCAGAGGGGGGAGAATTGGGACGCAAGAAGAGTGGACGGTAATGGATTTTTTCACTGAAAATGCGCTGGGCATTGTCGGGGCCGTGTGCGCGAGCGAGGAGCTCGTGGGTTACTGATGGTGTGTTGGATGCCATTTCAGGATCATGATCAGCCTGCAGACCATGGCTGAAGGCGGCGGTTGAGAAGTTGAAAGGTAGTTTTTGGTGTCCAAAACTATTATCGTGGCTGGATTTTTTGGTGCGTCCGTTCTTACATGCGCTGGTGAGAGTGGATTTCTGGAGAAGGCTTTGCGGTCAGCACTAAGACAGCCGGGCCGCCGGGGCTGGCAGCTGCTGGATAAAAAGTTATGTACGGTAGGTGTTTATTGGCAGGTGGGGACATCAGCGGAAATGTTCCTACAGGCTATTACACAGTTATGTAACCTAGGCTAGTGGACTTGTAGGGACTCGCTCGGGCGGTGCCTACTGTAGCAGCCGGGGTGCTTCAAATTGACATTCCCAGAATTCCCAGTGCCTTCACATGCCTAGAGCCTCGGCTTGAGGCTATACCGTAGGCGCGCAGGCACGATTACACACAGGTTAGCATGCAATGTACTGTATGTATGTATGTAACTTAGCATGCATTGAGCTAGACTGACCTAACCTAGAGCTAGGTTAGTCCAGAGGGGTCGCGGTCCGGGGAAGGGAAGTAAAACCCCGGAGCTTCAATGCGGCCTCCCTTGTGCACCCTGTAGGCTGTAGCCAGAGTTACAGTGAGCTTTCGTGTCGTATGTCAAGAACGCCATGCCTTGTCTACCCATCTCTTGATCGGACCCGGTCTTCAGAGTTCTGTATACCACCGGCATATATCTGGAGACTCGTCTAACAGGCCGAGCCAGTTGCGCCTCACATCGAGTTATCTACCACTGCTGTTACAGCGACACAGATGGAGTTTCCAATCCAGGCTCACGCATCTATCTAGGCCGGCCGACGTCGAAAACAGCGGCCAGTATGGCAAAGACGAGCGACCCGATGCGCGACTCGGCGCCCGATCTCCAGATCCTGGGTGACCAGATTACCCTGCAGCCGCGAAGCTATGTCGGCCCAGCGCGGAAGGGTCAAGGAAAAGAGGAGGCTCTCATGGAACACATGGCAAGGTTCCGTTCTGAACCACTACAGTATGCCACCCCAGACCAGACCGCGCCCAGAAGACGTCTTCGGAAAGAAGTTGCCAAGCTCATGCCACTGTATCCAGGTTCCTTCGTGAAGTCTCCCTCTACGTATCCGGTCAGGGATGGCGCGCCTACGATAACGTCATTGGCCGATCCATCTTCTACTCTGGCTTCTCCGAGCAGATGAAGAACTCGGTCGTATCGGCGCCATTGCTGCAGACTCGGATATCCCAACTTGCCGACATGCGCATCCAGGTGGAGGAGAAGGAAGGATGGATCAAGCAAGGCGACCCCAAGTATACCATCAAGAAGGCACAAAGGCGATCCGAAATCGAGCACGGCCTTCAGCAAGTCACCGAAAGACTCACAAACGACATGATTTGCAAGTTCGAAAGCAAGACATTCATCAGAGGAGCGTACTACCTCTGTACTCAGCTGTTGACCCGCGCATACCACCAAGGCATTCACGTCAACAGCGAAGAAGTTGTTCGACTGAGGAAGGTCGCCGAGGTCGCCGCGGCCAAGAAGCAGAGTATAATCTTCTTACCAAGCCACCGCTCACACGTCGACTATGTTTCTATGCAGCTCATTTGTTATCGTCTGGGACTTACCCTACCTGTCGTGGTAGCTGGTGACAACTTGAACTTTCCCGTAGTGGGCAGTTTTTTACAGCATGCCGGAGCAATGTGGATTAGGCGATCATTTGGAAACGATGTCCTATACCAGACGGCTGTTCAAGCGTATATCGACACGTTGTTGCAGGGTGGGTACAATTTCGAGTGTTTCATCGAGGGCGGGCGATCGCGGACTGGAAAGCTGCTATCGCCCAAGTTTGGTATTCTCAGTTTCGTCTTGGACAGCATCCTGTCTGGCAGGGTAGAAGACGCAGTCATCTGTCCCGTCAGCACGCAATACGACAAGGTCATTGAGACCGAAGGCTACGTGACCGAGCTCCTGGGCGTTCCCAAGAAGAAAGAGAACCTGCAGGATTTCTTGGCGGGAGGGTCCTCCGTCTTATCATTGCGGCTTGGTCGGGTAGATGTCCGCTTCTGTGAGCCGTGGAGTCTTCGTGGCTACATTGACAGTCTATTGACGAAAATACCCCGCGTGCCAAATGATCTTACCGCAAAAACACCAGAATCGGCTGCAGTACGACAAAAGCTACTGCGGACAATGGGCTACAAGGTGCTCTCGGACATCAACGATGTATCGGTGGTGATGCCAACAGCACTAATTGGAACGGTACTACTCACACTCCGCGGCCGCGGCGTCGGCAAGGCGGAACTGATGCGTCGAATCGAGTGGCTCATCAACCGCGTCACAGCCAAAGGTGGCCGGGTTGCACACTTTGAAAACGCACGCTTAGCTGATGTCGTGGAACGTGGGCTTGATGTCCTAGGAAAGGACTTAGTGGGCGTTGTCGGCGGACTTGCTGAACCGACATACTATGCCGTCGATCGGTTTCAGCTGTCCTTCTACCGAAACATGACGATACATCTGTTCATCTCCGAGGCTCTAGTTAGCGCTGGTATGTATACTCGGGTGAAGCAGGGAGGTGGGCCTGCGAACCAAGAGATTCCTTATGCCGAGTTACGTGATCAAGTCTTGTTTCTATCGTCTCTGTTCAGAGGCGAGTTCATATTCCCTAGCGACGGTCTTGCGGTAAACTTGGAGAAAACATTGGTTGGCTTAGAAAATGATAAAGTGATCAGCCTCAAACGCGACAGTCATGGCCAAATAACTAGCGTCGGTGTTGCGGAAGAAGAACGACTCGCTGGCAGGGAGAACTACGACTTTTATTGCTTCTTGATCTGGCCATTCATCGAGGCCAGTTGGCTCGCGGCTGTATCGTTGATGGGCCTTGCACCCCCTGTCGGCGTTGAAAAAGACGATGTCTGGATTGGGGTTGCTAAGGCGCAGAACAGTGCTCAGTTGGTATGTTGCCCTGGCCCACCTTCTCTTCATAATCAAGGTACTGACATGAGCAAAGCTGGGCAAAACACTCTACCACCAAGGCGACTTATCTTATTTCGAAGCCGTAAACAAGGAAACACTTCAGAATTCATATCAGCGTTTCGAGGAAGAAGGCATTATTTATGCAGTCAAGTCGAAGGATGCCAAAACCCCTCCTCGTCTGCGGCTTGCGTCCGACTGGATGCCAAGTCGCGACCCAGAAACTGGAAACGTGCTTGCTGAGGGCCGGCTATGGGACTTCGCAGGCCGTATTGCGAGTTCGAGGAGAGAAGGCAAGAACCGCAGAGACGGTGCAACCGTCATCACGCGGGTCGTCATGCTTTCGGATATGCTCGGCAGGAAATTGTTTGAGGAAGCCGTTGACCAAATGGGCAAGAGCGCGATGAGGTTGAGTGTAGATGATGCTTTGAAGCTCAAGAAAGATGTCAAAGCAGATAGACGCAGAAGGAAATTGGAAGGGAGGGCAAATTTGTAAGAACATATATCAATACATGAGATCATAGTCTTCGACTTACTACGGATTGAACGGTAGCAAAGCATTGATACTATACCATTTATACTAACATAGATTGCGATAATATCGACGTCCTATCCAGACTGATAGTTCAGGTGTGGCTACGAAGTAAGTGTGGTATAGGGTGCTAAGGCAGCCCGTTCATAGGACGAGATACCTGCAGCTGTCAAATCGCAGGATCGATAGCGACAGAGGAAGTCTTCGTATGGCGAATACTGTCAAGTATCCACACGTAATCAGCTACTCAGCCGGAAATATTCTCAAAAAAAATTTACAAATATTGAGGCCGTAAGCCATAAGTGGAAGAAGACACCCGTCCGGATGTGAAGTCATACTTCTCCTTGCATTTAACGCCTATGAGAGAATCAGAGATTATTTCCAGCGCAATTGATAGAAGATTTCAGACGTGGAAGTGGCACCAACCACTGCGGAACACACGCACCAGCTTTGCCAGGCTATAGAAATAAGAGCTAGTGCTTGACATCATGAACAGAATCATGGCACCTTTAACCCAGCCGTTCAGGATTGGAGTGCGTGCCAAGAGGCGTGTGCGGTCAATCAATTTCCTCATATATCGACGTAGAATGAGACCTTCGCCGGGCACGAGTTTCTGTACCTCCTCTCGTCAACTCCTTTTTCCTATCGGCTTCGTTAGTAGGCTGAACATAAAAAGTTTTAAAAATCCCGAGATAGTATTCTCCTGGTCGTATATCATATCCGCGACAGGCATGGGGTGGGTAATCGAAAGATTATGGAAGTAGCACCTAGGTATCGTTCAGTCGCATGTGCACAACTGTCAAGACAGGACATCAGTAGCAGAATGAACTCAGTCACATTGTTTATCCGGCACTCTGCAGTTGATGTCTTAATAGATGTCCCACAAGCTGATTTTGCCATCTTTGCTTCCAGCTGCAAGCCAGTGAGACTCCTTTGCCTGTTTAATCCGCTTTTGTCTAACGGTCACATCAACAAGTTTAGGAACAGCAGCATTACTTTTCTCCCCAACTGTTTCCTTATTAGTCTCATTAGGCTCGTTCTCTGCTGGTCCGTTGACTTCGAAATCAAGATTGGCAAAGGTAACCGCGAAGCATCCAACCTGGTGCCACTTAAGAACTGCGAGTTCCTTCATTGTTCGTGCCGAATAGACCCGAATTTTAGAATCCCATCCTGCCGTGGCGAAGATCTTACCATCCGAACGAACTCGAAGACTTTGCTGGCCTGAATGTCTGGTGTTCACGATCTTTAGGGCCTGTGTCTGAACTTCGGGTGCTGGCTGCGGTAGTATCTTCGCACGCCTCGATTCCCCTGCTAACGCTGCGGAAAGTAGTGACTTTCCCTTGCCTGGCTGTAGAGTCTGAACCTCTTCCTTCTCGTGGGCTTCTGTCTTTTCTTGTAGCTTCTGAGTGTTTATTGGTCTAGGGATTGGGTGCTTTACCAGAAGTGCATCCGCGCCCGACGTCAAGAAGTACTCCTTGTTAGGAGCAACATCTAAAGATAATACAGGTTGGCTATGACTGTGTGCTCGATACACGAGATGCCACTTTTCAAACAAATCTTGTTGAAATACCGTGACAAGACCGTTCTCATACGCGGTCACCAATACCAGAGAGGAATGTAGATGCAGGAGAGCTAGTGCCATCACCATACCACTTTTCTCTCCTTTTTCAGAAGAGTGAATAGTATAAAGCCTTTCCTGGCTAGGAAGCCTGTATATGTCAACCTGAAAATGGGGTCAGAGATCAATATCATCACAGAACAGTCCTGCAAGATGTCGACTTACTGATTCTGAGGCTAGAGTGTTAGGGACAGCTATGAGGATTTCTTCAGTCGACTCATCTTCTGTGGCCCGGCAAGACCCAAATGAGCAAAAGTTCATAGTATTGACCTCGATAATGTGCAGTAGCCATGGCTGGGGTCTCGAATCTGACGAAGGGTCCAGTGGCAGTGTTGTGCTCAATCGAGTTTCGTCCTCCTCGGTGACTCTCCAGACATTCAACCGATGATCCCTTCCGTGCCTGCGGATACCTACTCAGTCGATAATCATAATCATGTGTTATTCTTAACCTACGTAATGACCTTGTCCGTACCCCAGGAGGCGATGCCTAGGATGGCATTTGTGTGAGCACGCCATACCGCTGTAGGGCGCATGATAGTGAGGTCCCACAACACGACATATCCTTCGGCATCACCTGACGCAAGGCGCTGGTTACCGCTGATGAATGCGGTTGCGTGCACCTGAGCATGATGGCCGCGCAACACCGATCTGGGGGTTGCTGGCGGTAGTTGCGATGCCATATCCGGAGTGGGCAGACGAATTTTCAGCTGCGAATCAGCTTAGCGTCAATGTCGCTCTTTTCTGCGATCCCACAAAATTCCTGGAGATTTCGCGGGACTTTGAAATGCGCGCCCTTAGGTTGTTGTCCTACAAAATCGCGTTTGTATACAGCTGTTTAGAGTTGCTTCGGATCATATGCAGCTTTGCTGGGTTGCGTGAGGCGCCAGTGATCGTGAGCATCGCTAAAAGTTGCCTTCCGAAGCTGCAAGTTGCCAGAGCTGTGGCACTTGCAAGGTCAAGTTCTAGGGAGAAGCTTCGACACATAAACACCTCATTGCCAACTTTCACGGCTCATCAGTCACAACACCTCATGTCTTCGACCGCCGTTCTTGATTTACGGTTTTCATCCCTTGTTTAACGGAATTTACAGCACATGATGTCTGCTTTAGCGGCCTGCCGGTGGTCTCAGTACCTGTCATTCTACTGTAATTGCAAGCTACCAGGGCAGTTGCGTGCAACAGCTCACAAAAGCAAAGTTCACGACAGCTCGGTCAGATCTGTATACTACACGGCCGCGAAACCTGACCAACAACTATCAATTGGCTCGTGCCATCGCAAATTGAACCACCACTACGCTTACGACAAGACCTGTATGACAAAGATGCCCGATGTTTCAAGTGCCACGATGCCAGATTGATGCACTTGTCCATTCATTCCGAGCATCGCCATGTGGTACCTGTCATAGGTGTGCTCCCCGCATTCTCTGTTCGCCAAACAAAACCATAACGCACCTATCGCGAATGTTGCTCAACTTGTATTTCGCGAGGACGCCTTCTGGACTGCCACGACAGTTGCTTTAGAGGGAGCCTGCAGTACTGGTAATACACACGCAGACACACTCACATTCACGCAGCCGTCATTCTTGCGATGAACAATCTCTATCACGACGACTAGACCTCTGTGCGACACCCACCTGATGATGGGTTTGCTGCGCAAATGGTTCGCTCGGTAGTCCACTCGAGGCTTGCGCATGGGACGCCTTTGGACGTGCCCGGCTTCGTACGGATCCGTATGCTCGGGGAAAACCTGAGCATTGACGACACACCCCTGTATCCGCTTGGAGATCCGCAAGATCTCGGTGTGGCGATCTGTGCATCATCCCAGACGGGAGCTGAAAGCGCCCCCAAGCAACGTCACATTGTCGCTGTTGGTAAAGTACCTTTGATGCACTCTCGTCATTCAAATTCGCCTCTACTTTGGCGACCCATGACCATGTGCAGCGTCCCAAAGATCTCTACTAATCAGATATTATATTGTGGCTTGCAGGCTTGCCAGATTATTGAATGTTCACCCAATAAGAAGCTTAGCCTCCGGGATACTGAGATCCCGGGTCAGAAAGCGCTTGACCTCTTGATTAACTCCGATCCAACCCTGGCCCTCTGGGTTTCTTGGCTTCCGAAGGCTTGCCGGCTCAGCGTTGAGGTGCATGACTCGACAATGAACTCACGAGGCGAGCTTTTCCCAATCAATAATCAGAGAAACGAAACACGATGTTTCTCGCCACAGCCACAGCATGATAGGATATAGGCAAAGCAAATATGTGTTCAAAATCATGTGAGGATTTTTGCTTCAATGGCCAACGTCAGACACGGCATAGTATTCAGGGCTGTAACCCACATCGTGTGTAATAGCAATCACGACCCATCTGTTCCATGAGTATGATTGACATCTCAATTCGTGGTCAAAGTGGACAAGCCTCCGTTAATCACAATATCGCCCTGCCCCTGGTGTCTTTAAACTTGGCTGCTGTACTTGTTGTATTTGCCGTTTCTCTGTGTGGCTGGGTCATCGCTAGCTTCCGCTTATGCCAGGAGAGGTGATCAAACCGTACCTGAGGCTCTGGCAGCGCACCGCCTTCTAGCGAGACTCAGCCAAGGTTCGGCGGCGCAAATGCCATCTTTGAACACAATCGATATACCTACCAAGACGGACCTACTGTTGCGAACGAGGCCATAACGACACCCACCAGAAACATTAGCGCCTTGAGAGGATATCATCCAGCCTCGAATTGGATCCCTGGATGCAACTCCGAAGCCATATCATTATCAGTCTCAGAGACGCATTAGTCTAGCAATACTGGGAGCGTGGCAGCTGTGGTGCGGTTCCTTGAAATTGTTTGGAGTGCTGGGATTCATCAATTACCTGGACCCACGGCTCATCGAGGCTTGGCAGGCACACTGGTCGCAGCGCCTTGCAGATGCCCCACGCACACTGGGCTCGTACCCCCGGTACCTCCTGGAAGCAACTGAAGCCGAAGCAATTCTCTGACAGCATGGCTATTCGAGACGGACCGGGAGCGCTTTATTCCCTGGAAACTCGGCTGACTCCAGGATAAAGCAAGTAACTGTGGAGCTTGGACAACGATCCCCGTGTTACTCGCTTTGTATCCTGGTTGATCTACGTAAAGTATGGCGGAAAGGGTCAGCGTATCAAGATTTCGAATGCTCACCGTTCTGCACATGGGCAATCTGCCCGACTCTCCCAACCCGTTGGCAAACCCATACTGGTGGTGCCGTTCAATCTTGCCGTTTTCTTATTGACTAATCTAAGTTGGTGAGCAGCAAACTGTAAATGCAGCTGCGGACCACTCAGAATCAACCGAAGACCATCGCCTGGCTATCGGCGCAATTTGGTCCTATCCCCGTTCACCACTGTTTCTTTCACTTGCCTCATGGAGGGCGCTAAGAGTAACTATTCTGACTGTTCTTCGTCATCGCTCGAAAAAACTCAACCCGCCGTCGACACTCATGATAGCTAGCGGGCACAAGCCTATCCTCAATGGCCCACTATCTCATGCGCATCGGCTGGCGTCAACCCAGGACCCCCGGTATCTAGACTTGCTACTGTAGACCTTCCAGCGTATTAGTAACTAGTACAAACCCACAGGCACATCCAGTTTTGTGCTTGGCCGATTGGATCAGAAGAAGAAATTGTATCATCAAAGTCAGGATTTGCGAATTGAACACACACTCGTTGGCCTTTTTTTTTTTTGTTGGAGAAACACGGGTCGCTACAGCACACAGCTGTAACCTTCCAATCAGTGACCATATACCCACTTGGAACATCCAAGACATTAGGTACATCCCGAGTCGTGGACATCGAAACATACCAAGGGTCATGGTAGCTGAAGATCTGTTCAAGTGCATTCACGGCCCCCCGCGATCTTCTCCACGTTTTTATCTGGCCCTCGACAATTCTTGCCTTTCATTTATACAGTTCCTGCCATGAGCAAACATCACATGCTATTCGGTACCCAACCGTTTTCATGATTTATTGCCCACCCGTTGGATCTGCAAGGCTTTCCGCGCCGGGGCAAATAGTCGGCTTACAGCACAGAGCCGTCTAACGGACTTTTAAGGCGTTCCCCGTACCCCGTTTTACCGCCGTTCATCTCAACGTCTCTTCCGGAGACGTTGGCCGCAACTCTGGCGGCCTACGAGACAGTGCCGACCGTCCTCCTGCCGGGTTCTGGAGTTGGCGCTGGCTTCGCGCCCTCGGAAGCGCGCTATGCAGAGCAGTCGGCACCTCGGTACACCGTCAGTGTCGGCTATACATACGACCAATTTGACCTGCCATCTCCGAAGCGACGTGAGCTGTCGATATCAGGAAAAGCAGACGTGCCCAGAACAAAAAGTCTTTCAAAACCTGCAAAGCCGGTGGCCACAGGCAAAAATATGCCCGCATCATCTGCCACTCCTGCTAAAAGCAGGCGGGTGCGGACAGGCTGCTTGACATGCAGAGAAAGACATCTCAAATGCGATGAAGGCACTCCAGATTGCCTCAACTGTAAAAAGAGCAGTAGAGAATGCAAACGTGGCGTGCGCTTAAACTTTATCGACATGACATGCAAGGAACCTCCCTACATTGCTCCCACGGAGGAATGGTCAGGTAGGAATTCACTCAAGGTAAACGCTGCATGATGTTACTTACTTATAACTCCAGTTCAATTTGAAGATGAATCTCGCCTCATCGCGTCTGAATATCAGGGTGGGCTCGGAAGATATGCGAGGTTGGAGCCGCCAATTGTTACACCGCCTAGGGAACCAGAATCAGCTGTAATTCAACGCCAACCTATCTCTGTTGAGAGTTCGGATGGGCGAATGTCGGGTGGCCATGGGACACCTGCTGCAATGCCGACACCACAGTCTCTATATTACACAGATAGGGGCCAGCTACATCCGGATCAATATTCTAGTGGCAGCCACTCCAGAAAGAATAGTGCTGCCTCATTCATGGCGCCTCCAAGTTCATCACATTCCGTTGGGTATGCGAATCTAACATCAGATTCTTTTGTGGTAGTAAAGGACGAACATAACCGTCGCCTTTCGCAGGGCACTTACATAAATGGCAGTGACGCATCTACTGCTGCGTCCATTGCTGGTATGACTGGGGCCGAAGCTCAGTCTCAGTTCGCCGATCCACGGGCAGTAGGTGTTGAGCCCGGACCTATACCCGATACAGGGATAATGACACCTCCCAACGACAAGAGTGGCGAACGTGAATATCTCAACTCACCTGAAGAACTTGAGTTCATGCAAGTGTTTGTCTCAGAGGTAGGCGTGTGGATGGATAGTTTGGATAAGGAGAAGCATTTCTCGAGACTGGTTCCGTACCACGCGCTGAAATGTCCAATGCTTCTCAATGCGTTGCTCGCATGCGGCGTGAAGCAGTTGACCTTAACACACCAGTACAGTGACGATAAGGCTCTTTACTACTACGATACGGCGACCACGCAGCTGTTACGAAGTTTACAAAATCCCGAACGAAACACATCTGAGTGTGCTGCTACGGCTGTGGTTTTGAACGTTTACGAAATTATGAGCGAGAAACCGGCACAGCGTATGAGCCATATAGCCGGCGCGCGTGCCCTTATTCGGGAGTGTGGATGGAATGCAAAGAGCACAGGGCTCGGTGCCGCTTGCTTCTGGTTGAACGTTGGCATGGAACTGTTATCCTGTCTCGCATTTAACTGGCAAACGGCTTGGGATCCTGAGCAATGGGGCTTGGATATGGATTTGACAACAGAGAAAGAGCATGGCAAAGAGGAGATTTGGGTTCACCGGATATTTTATGTGGTGGCAAAGATTGCCAATTTTCGTGCCAGCATTCCGAAATTCCAGGAGCCAAGCCCGCATGATGAGCAGGTTCGTCTTCAGGCGCGATTTGCTGAGTGGCGACGATTGAAGAATCTTTGCGACAACTGGAACAACTCTTGTCCAAGGCCGATGCATCCCTTTGGCTATCTGTACCCATTACAGCAACCTCAAGATCCATCTGGTCGACGGAAATCACTCTTTCCGAATGTTTGGTACGGATCTAATTCGCTCGTGCTGCAGAGTATTCCATGAATTGCTAATTCGACTCAGGCTCATCAAACGTGCTGCCATTGTAGGCCGTCTTTACTACCACACAGCTCAATGTCTTCTCGCCCAAATCAATCCGATATTGCCCAAGGACACCGAGGAATCTCGTGCCGTCCAACAACATCACGCACATCAAGTATGCGGTATTGTTGCGCATACCAAAGATCGCGGTGTAGCATCCGTCTCGATCCGCTCCCTTGCTATCGTGGCAGATGTGCTCGACAACCATGAGGAGCGGCAGGAAGTCATCTCCATATTAGAGAAGATCGAGTCCGAAACTGGTTGGAGGCTTGCGGCGCTTCTGAAAAACCTCAAACGTGTTTGGGGTTGGGAGAAGATGGCGGGAACCGGATTGGCCGCACAATTTCTCACGCAAGCGGCCAAAGTACAACAACAGCAGCAGCAGCCGCCCCCTCTTACACAGACGACAACACCACCAAATGCGCAGATGATGCCCGGCATGGAGAGGGCGCAGCAGACGCTTGCCGCACCCAGACCAATAAGAAGTATCAATCCGCTAAGTTTCGCCGATTTCAGCCTGCCAAATCACCCATATCAAAATTGGTACGAACCACCAACTCGGTCGGGCACTTTGAATTCTACACAAGGCTTTCTATAATGTACCACAATCAGTAGGCTTGTTGGGTATGATCCCCACATAATCCGTATCGTACTCACAATCGGCTGCTGAGGAGGGTTCCACAACACGTTTCGGTTCATATGACATAGTATGTAAGGGGGAAAGTCCGCAGAAAATCAGTACCCTGTGTACATAAGCACGACAAATAGGTGGGAAGACGGCGTTACGGTTTGATTGTAGCATATTGCATGGACATGACATTTGCCTTTAGAATTTTTTTGCATCAGCGAAAGGAGCTATCATCATTGTGGATGATCTGGCGTTTGGTATGACAATATCTACTACAGTGGATGTGACTATCCATAGTACGTTTGGGCTCTAATGAAATGTTCCCGAAAAAGACGACATTTTCCATGAAAATACTCTCACATCTCCGTGATTTGGTTGTACCCTTCGGTTTATTGTTCACTTATCCTTGATGGTCTACTTTTCGTTGGAATGCGAAAGGGTCGGTGGCGGTATATCTGTCTATTTCTCCCGTCTCGACCGCGAAATAGTATCATCTTGGCGTATTTTCTTTTATCTCGACAACCTAACTTTTACACAACAGTTAAAGAATCAATAACTTCACCATCATTTCCCTGGTCTCGGAGGAGATAACAGCATCTGTCGCGGGATCTGAACACACTTTGTCTTGATATGATACGCTATGCTTTAGGGGGGGTAGGTCGCTTGCTCCCTTTTACTCTGCAACATTGTCCGCAGTGACGCAGATCTCGTTTGACTGCTTTGCCCATCAGTAGTCACAAGAGACGGACTAATGAGCTTGTGCTTGATGACCCATAATCAACGATGTTCTGACCCTCTACGCTTCCCAAATATTCTTGTCATTGCTGGTGTCAATCCGCAGCCATACACAGTGAGAAACGCAGATGATACCTGCCGAATTCCAGTACTTCGGCTTTCGGAGCCATGGAGTGTATTTCGCCATCATTGGCGAGATAGAAGTATCATCTCCTGGAGCGTCCCTTGCTAATTATCATCAAAACTGCAGAAAAGATACGGGGATGTTCTCCCAAGCACTCGGCATCGTCACTTCGGCGTTTCTCATAGACAGTGTTCACGAAGCCTCTTCTTAGCAAGTAGATACTGGAGCAGATCAGCACAGCCAGTATACTGCACTAGCCATTGCCTATGCATCTGGCATCACCAGAAACGGCACTAATGGCAATAATCTCTGAACGCCGGTGCCGAATGGATCGCACGCTCTCATCACTGATGAAGATGTTGGAAGAGTTTGTGATGTGTAATCTTCTGGCGAGACTGCGTGACAGGATTCTAATTGAACATCTCGTCGGCAACCAGGTCGTTAATGTGCGCTAGACAAATTACCACCACTGTCAAAAGTTTTACTCCTGTTGATTGTAGCATGATGTAGCATGGTGGAAGCTTTCAAGTTTTCGTAAATGCCGATGACTAGATTCTCGGTTGCCGGTTGGTTAGAAAATGGGTACACTGGACCATCTTGAATTCATTTGTGGTTTACTTGATGCATGTCTATCAGCTAATTAAGGAGTTGAAACATAAATACCACGGGATGAGTCTGAAGAGTCAACCGACCGCTCTTTTTCCGACGTGGCTACATTATTTCAACCACAGAACGTGACGCATGATATGATTTCTGGTTGCTTAGTTTTGATGGGATGATATTTATTCACGCTTCCCCCTCTTATAGCTTGGATGTAGTCAATAAGAGGTGCGCATGCAATTGTAGGGGCGTCTTGAGGGTTTTCAACTTTTAATATAGAAAGTAAGACCAATGAAATCCATGCCCTATTTGTAATCCCAACTCTGCCCTTGTGCTACATTCAGCTTTCAGTTGTCCTTGCCGTGCGATGCATTCCAAGTGCTGGTATACCTTCTTGTGACTTAATCTTCGCTAGAATATTGTATCACTTTCCCTCATGTGCCTGTATCTGTTTTAAAATGAGTAATTTCCTCCTGTGTCATTTCGTCCCTAGCCGCCTTGAGACTTGGAAAGGGGCATAACTTACATAGTGGAGGCCCGGGCATGATATAGGTTGGCTTTGCTTCATCATTATAGATGTTGTAGTGAACACCGGGTTCCGTGGGGCGATATAACTCCTGGCCAACAACGCCGTCAGGCGAACTGGTTCCAGACCCTGTTATTTGAAGGTTGATACACTGGGGATAGAACTGGGCTGCCCCTATTTCGTATGCTGAATGTAGGGCAAGGATCTCATTGCGCAGCACGTAGCTCCCCGCCTTCAAAGACGCTGGAATCTGGACCTTCCAGGCGGCGTTGCTCTTCATTATCTCATCCGAGGCCCAGTACCCTGGGGTACCGTTCCCAGAACCAGCGGTTATCTCGCCCTGTTCTGCTATCTTGAACCACTTGAGCTCCGTTTTGTCTATTTTCGCACAATCTCCACCGCAATCAGCAAGATATGTCATGATAGGACCGTGGTGCGAGTCGGGCCAAGTGGTCCACCTCAAAACAATATCGCTTCCGGCACTGACAGAGGCAGAGATTTTTGCATTGGTGGCATTCTTCTGACATATAATGTCGGGACTCGAAACATCACTACTGTAGACTGGCCCTGTGTCGGTATTCCAGCTTGGCCACCCTATTGTTCCTTGATCGGGGACCCAAGGTGCAGCTGTTGGGTTGAATCCGGTGTACAGATTACCGCTTATAGTTATGTTGTCAATCCACCCATGCGCCGCAACGAGACCTGCACAGCCGAGTGCGCTCAAAACAAATGTGTGCCACATTGTCTGATTGTGATCAAATGTTAGTACACCCGGTGGCATACGAGTTTTCAGTTGAGGACAAAGATACTCATTTTATACTCGTAACAGCCAATTTTCCTTTGCGTAGATAAGGTTGAGGAAAATCTGCTTGTACCACCAAGTCAAAACTCTCGGGGCGTCTGATGATTCCGAATACCGCTTTAAGAACAACATGTTGGGCTTCGTGGTTTCAATTATGAGTTGAGGCTAAATACGTATACATTAACTAGACTGGATAGAGATCCTCGCTTCTGCTTTTTGAGCATACACCCTGTTCGACTATATGCGATCCAATCAGATCTCCCTTACAGAACACCCTACAAAAATGGTCGCATACCTGCAATACCTACCGCTACCGATAGTAGTATCGTTGCACCAGATCTGATCGAATAGGGAGCGACTCGCTTTATTCAAGAACACAATTCCGCCATTCATTGACTGAGTCAGACTTCCAAAAGAATAACGCGGACCGTAGCTTGGGCTGCCAAGCCGCCAAGACAGCGTAATCCTCAGGGCTTTCTTCACCTGCAAAACCTCATCAGGCGTGCAGACATCATCTTGTCGGGGCAGTCTGCGCGGCTGTTGCTCACTGCTGGTTCCGGTTCGTTAGAATTCTATTACTCTAAAGAATCTCTGAAGTCTATGCCCCGCCAATCTTCCCCCTTGCTCTACGTCAATTAAGACCTCTCCTCGGTGGCTTTATGTATCTGTTGGGGAGGCATTACTTGTACGAGAGATTACAGCAGCGATATATTCTGTTATACTCCAGATGTCTTAATAGTGTTATCTAAAAGTACATATATAGCTTACTGTGACTTACAATCATAGAGGTACCCGTGTCTATAAGATGCGATTCCAGCAAGTGTCATCTGATTTGCTCCCTGCTCCCTGAATATTTGATTAATAAGGTCGTGACGCCAAACAAAATTCTATTCCGAAGAACGTTCGTAAATGTTTCATCTAATCACGACATGTATCGGTTACTTTATGTTCGTTCGAGAAACCTTCATCTAGAGATTACGTTTACACCATGATCTGCACTGTGTCTTTATGCCGGTGCAAACATCGCATTTATAATCTTTGATGTCCTTGGAGTGGAAATGATGTGCAAGCAATCTGACGGATTGGGAAGAGATCTATGAGAGTATGGATGCGAGTAATTGACATTGATATAAATGACACGAAGAGTGTTAGACAAATAGCCTACAACGTCACAAACTATAAAGTTGATATGGGCTAGTAATATATCTTCAACTAGAATAGAGGTTCGCATTAAAGCGAAAGTTTGAGATGCTCGAGGGCAAGTGCAATGCATACGACGAACTTCATCGATTGCTCTAGTCTAGTTATAGAGAAGAATTATGTGAGATCCTTAACCGCCTGCGCGCTGGCACGGATGCAGAATTGCTACTGCGACACCTCTAGTTGGCTGGCCCGCTCTTGCGATTTCAGCTGAAGTCTGTTGCAAGGCACCAATATCATCTTGACGACTATATCCGGTTACCAAATTACTTACAGCGAGGAGGAAATCCCTTCTTAAATTCCAGCGTGTTCAAAACGAACTTCAAAACTGATTTCTCTCTAAGATTACTGTCGGACAGCCAACCCACCGGCAAAAAGGCCTTAGAGTACAATGAACTGCTCCAGGCACCCTATCATGTGGTAAAACTAATAGATGCGAAACTGGATCGTATTCAGCCATCACGATAGACGTCAGTTATTCTTGATGATAAGTTGCTCCGTGAGTTCTCGAAATCTACTTTCTCAATGACTACCCGCCGTTCACATTCTCCCATAAGGACTCATTGTTACTTGACCTGGAGAATGGGCATAGACGATCTTGCTCATCACTTCTTGTTAATTTTGTCTTGGCCGTAGCCTGTGTGAGTAGCACATGCTGGTTTGCTTGATAACATGCGCGTTTCCACAGTAGCAAACGAGTTCTAGGACTCTGGTAATCTTTTGTCACGTATGGAGTAGTATAGCATAGAGGTGGAGTTGGTAAACAAATTTCCGAAGCTCCCCATGTACGTAGTTGGCTCATCAGCCATTTTCTTTTGCAAATGGAGAGAAGAGATTAGTAGACCTTTTTTCAATGCTCTCACGATACAACTTAAGTGTGACACAATTAATATAAACTAAGAACCCTCTAACTCTATGTAGCTAATCTACCGAAAATAGCACAGTAGATGTCATCGATGCATGTCTTGCGGCCTCCACAATCAATCGCAGCTAGGCAATTATGCGGATAGTCCGGGCCCGAAGCCTCGTGTCGCACCTCGATTCCGGAATTTCCGGTTAATTACTAGACATGCCAGGTAAGCCTAATAGGGCCAGCAACCTTCATTGTTGACTTTCTCAACAAGGTATGCTAGTCAAAGACGTGGCATGTAAAATGAAGGATTGCCTCGATTGTCTCGGTTGTCAGACTTGTAGTTGGTAACACAGGCAGCCATTTTGCGGCTTACTATCAAAGCCTGTCATCGACCGGGTCTACAAAGGAGCGTACATAGCTCTCGGGCACGCCATCGCACTGGCCGAGTTGTCCGGCTACGGAGATCCTGATGGTTCGAGCCATGTGGATTTGGAAGCGGAATCCTCGGCGACGAAAGCGGGATCTGCTAGGTTAGGATTGTTTGAGATATCTTTGTTACGTGATTCTGGCCTGCTAAGCCGCACTACCGGCTTCCTTCACCGTCAGCTATAACCATCCTATAGCGGTTGCGAAATTAATCATGGCCCGAACCGCTTCTAGGCCTTTATCGACATCGCTATGCGTCCTCTCATCTAAGTAGACCGAGATGCTTCCTCTCTGGTTTTGGGTATAATAAAGTAAATCATTGCGAGGAGCTGTCCATTTTGTGCAGTTTACAACGAAATGCTTCACAATCTATTTCTTGTGTCCGCAAGCACACTCTGACGACAAGACTACGCTAATCTGACCTCAATAGTAGTTAAGCCTTGCCATTCCTATCCGCAGCTAGTCTAGACTAGAATACTATCTTCCTTTCATAATAATACACTGTGAAAAAGTCGAGTGTGTCGTCCGGGTAAAGCTATGTCAACCCGCTGGACGAATGAACGCACTAACGGTGTCTGGTAATATTAGGGGCCTGCTTTATGTCTTTCTAGCAATATTCAACGTAATTGTTTTGGTTCGAAATAGTAATACGCACGGTGAGCGACTCAAGGAAGGCCGCTTGCAAGTAGCTAAGCGTGCTAGTCTACAGCAAAATTGCCATTGCTATTGTTATCACTGGCCTCCAGACTATAACAACCATGTTTCTCCGTTCCGGAAGCTATGCCGCACAAGCACAGTTCTCACAATTAGTAACGAAACCGGCTTCCGCTTGTATGTCGCGAACCTTTAATGCCGGGAGCCATTTTTGGAAGCTTGTGCATAGTGCACGTTGGACAAAATATGTGGGCCTCATTTTACCTACATAATCTACCCCTTACCAACGAAGAACATCGCCATCCACCGTAGCTAATTAGTGCGTGCGTTCAGGTACTAAGGACATCGTATTCGGTACAATGGAACGAATCCATGATCCGAAGAAGGGCTGTGTTGATTGTGATGAAGACTTACGCGTGTAAAATATCCTCTAAGCAAAGGTTTTCTGGAAAACGGCCCGTAACGCTAAATAGCGTCTATCTGTGCAGTGTACGCCACTTGCTGCCATTATATAGAGGTCCTTGGCAGTTCACGACTTCTGAATATATCTCAGAATTCTATTTGCGTCACCATTAGTCGCGGTTGAAGCAAGATTCCATTTCGCGGCACATAATCTCATTTTAAAAGTTGGCTCAACATGTACCGCTCCTCACGTGTAGTTGTCACAGCTCTGGCGGCAACCGCAGCCACCGCCGCCGTCATCGAGGATTTGTGTACAGTATCTAATGTGCAGGCTGCTCTTCCCACCAACGGAACCCTGCTGGGCATCAACTTAATACCTTCTTCCGTGGCGACGACTATTGTTTACAATGCCACTGCTGAAGAAACCACTAAGACCTTCTCCTACTGCAACGTAACGCTCGACTACACACACTCCGGCAAGGGCGATGTCGTCAAGCTGAACTATATCTTGCCGAGCCCCGACGTTTTCTTAAACAGGTTCCTCGTTAACGGCGGATTCGCTTACCAACTCAATACTGACTTCCTCGGAGGGCTTGTGTATGGCGCGGCCACCGGCGGTACGGATGCCGGTTATGGTGCCTTGGAAGGTACTTCTTTCAGCAGCGTATTCTTACATGGAAACGGGAGCATTAATTGGGACACTACGGTAAACAGTCCAGAATCCCAACTCAAGCCAAAAGTTACTTACGCATACTGCTATAGTATATGTTTGCATATCAGGCACTTGGCGAGCTGACCACCGTTGCGAAACCTCTCTTGCAGGGCTTCTATGCTACTGACGCCAAAATTTACACCTACTTTGAGGGCTGCTCAGATGGCGGACGACAGGGTCTAAGCCAGGTCCAGCGTTATGGCGAACTTTACGACGGCGTCGTCTTGGGTGCTCCGGCCATCCGATACGGGCAGCTACAAGTGAGCCATCTATACTCGAATGTTGTGGAGCAGACCTTGGGCTACTACCCCTCGACATGCGAGTTTGACAAAATTGTCAATGCCACCATTGCTGCCTGTGATCCCCTTGACGGGAGGACGGACGGTGTGATATCACGGTCAGATCTTTGCATGCTCGGCTTCAATTTGACTTCGGTTATTGGCGAAACCTATTCGTGCGCGGCTGCGGCGGACGGCTCCTCGCCAGCTGAAGATGGGTCGGTCAGCGCAGAGGGAGTCGCTGTCGCTCAGGCTATTTACGACGGTCTTCATAACGTCGCAGGGGACCGAGCTTACGTATCCTATCAGATTGGTTCCGCGTTCACCGATGGCGCAGCCCGATACAACTCCGCGGACGACTCGTGGTCGCTTGAGATTGCGCGCAAAGGCGGCGAATACGTGGCCAAATTTGTCGAACTGCTTAACATCGATAACCTGCCGAACCTCGACGACGTCACTTACGACACCCTCGTTGACTGGATGACCACTGCGTTTGAGAGATACTCGGATAGCTTGCAGAATAGCCTGCCCGACCTCACCACGTTCCAATCGCATGGCGGCAAGATGATCCAGTACCACGGCGAGTCCGACCCTAGCATACCGACCGCCTCGACGGTGCGTTACTGGCAGTCGGTCCGCTCTGTGATGTACGCCAACGAGTCGGAAGCGGACTCCCTCTCGGCAATGTCGGAATGGTACCGGCTCTACCTCGTTCCCGGTGCAGACCACTGCAAACGCAACACTCTCCAGCCGTGGGGACCGTACCCAGTGGGCATCGTGTACGCGGTAATCAACTGGGTCGAAAGCGGCGAGGCGCCGCAGGCTCTGAACGCCACCATTAATTATGGCCCTTACGCTGGAGAGGTACAAGGGCTATGCGCCTGGCCAACCCGCCCCTTATGGCAGGGCGACAACAGCACGTTCGATTGTGTCACGGATGTAGCGAGTCTTGACAGTTGGGATTACTCGTTTCCCGCTTTCAAGCTCCCGGTATATTAGATGTGCTATGCGTCGGCCAAAAGTACAGTTAGTACTGTTAAATTCTAATTCATAATTTATGTACTTAATTTCTTGTTCATATTGCCTTTGGACACCAATTTATCTTACATTGATATATGTGTATATATTTATATATAACTTCACAGTACGAGAGGAACCGGAACATGGATTATGTAGTAGATCGGTTGAACGCCCAGTACGGGCCCGGCGCGTAACGGCAGCGTTACGGGAAGGGTGGGGTGAGTTAGCAAAACCCACTGCACCGGGCAGGCTAGGGAAGATGTTAACCTAGAGCTTCGCAATTTATTTAGGGCAGTGCGGACAGGATGCCAAGTTTTGTAAGAGCTATAGTCGTAGGTGCATACAAGCGCCAGAAATGCTAAATATGTGATGGACAAGCGGTCTCGGTCAGGGACATGTAATTAAATAATCAAAATTATACTTGTAAAGTCAAATAAATGAAGCTAAAGCGCAATACATTAACCCTTTATCATATTTTCTTTAGACTTAATACCTTGATGTAAAGAATTACGACTTAGAAATGCGCCATATCAAGTGTAACAAACTTGTGAAATTTACCATTGTTCGCAGATAATGAAAGGGGCTAGGCAATAGGAATAGTAATGTTAAACCAACCGTGGATGTAGCAATGGTCCATGGTAAACATTGTAGTGTAAGGCCACATAGGAGCATGAAAGCCTATATACCTGTCCCATGCTAACTTCAGAAGTGTGGTTCGGCTCTCAGACTGTTGTGATGGGCTGAAATGTACCCAAGAGTGCAGATGTTGTGTATGTTCTGGTGACAAACATCCTAGCTCCTTGTCAGCTGATTGACTAAAAATGTGGTGTAATAGATGGGAATCATGAGTCTCATTCATAGGACCCCTTGTCAAGGGCTTAGTCTCTAGTATACAAGCAAGCCCAATAGCCTCGGCGTAAGCATGCGCATAGTTATCGGCTAGCATTAAGACACCGCGCAGTGGCCACGGGAACTCTTCACAGCTTGGACTGTGCAGAACTTAAGGATTGTACCTGAAATCCCAAGCCGCCGCTCTCATATTATCCTACTACAGTGGATTCTTCTCGGGCTAGAGTGGTAGAGTAGAATCAGAAGGCGTCATGACTCAGCTGCCATTCTGGCTCGTGCATGAGCCGTGGACTGAGTGACTTGGGGCCGCCGTCGACTGCATTGGGTTATGGCGTTGAGCTGGTCGGTCGGAAATTGTTACTACCAGTTCCCACGACCCCGACGCCCTCGACCACCAAAGCCACCACGGCCCATGCCCCCGTCACCATAACCGAATCCTTGGCCCTGCTGGTTACCAAAGCCTTGGCCGCCGAAGTTTTGGTTCTGGCCTCCTTGGCCGGCACCTGCGTTGCCTCCATTGCCTTGCATGCCGGCAAACATGGCTGAGGGATCCATCTGACTGGGATCCATGCCAGACTGCATCATCTGTTGCATCATCTGCTGCATCTCCGGCGGCATGCCGTCCATACCTGGCATTCCTGGCATGCCGCCTGCCCCGCCTCCAGGCATGCCGCCCATCATCATCATCTGCATCTCCTCCATCATCTTTTTGTTGTTGTTGGCGATGGCATCCTGACTGTACTCTCCACGGACACCCTCCTGCTTGGCAGCATAGAGGGCCCATGTGAACTCGTCGAAGCCATAGTTGAAGTAGTCGCTCAGATCCGTACCAGGCTTGCGCCAAGGCTTGTCGTTCTCTGGGAGATCTGGGGTTGTGTCAGCAGGGCTGTGGAATCAATGGGAGAGGGGTTTGGTGGCGGCGCAGTAGATAATACGGACCATCGTCGATATTCACTTGGGTGATGGGCTTGCCCGTGCCCTTATGTATGGGAATGGCATGGACGTCGATCTTGGAGGTGGACACGGCAGGCAGTTCTGCTCCCGATACGGACCTGGACTCCTCCTTCTTGATGGCCGGTTTCGTAGCTGTGTCGCTTGACGTTGTCCGTTGGGGTATGTTTCTGATATCGCTGTATTTAGACTGAGCTGGGGGGGGAGCCTTTGTGCCATCTTTCCGTTCCGTGATGATGTCGATGTCCTGTAGATGTGGGTCAGTGGATTAGTGGATTAGTGGGTTGGCAGTGAGTCTGGTTGGGACATACAGAGTCATCTTCGTCCATGTCAGCTCCCTCATCCTCTTCTTCTCCTTCCTCTAGGTCCTCGTCGTGCTGGTCTGCCGGCGCATTGGTGTTTGCTGGGGCCGCAGGAGGCTGGGTGGTTTCGGGCTCGTCGGGAGCGTAGAAGTCATCGTCGTCGTCGATGTCCATGTTTGCTGCGATTGTGGTGCTGGTAGCTGGCTGTGTTGCTATGATGTTGTGCTTGTTGGAGGGGGAGGCTGAAGGGTACCCTTTGTTACATATTTGGTGCAGACAAGGCTCTGTCCAATCTGAGAGCTAAGCACAGCTAAGGGTGGTCGAATTAGTGGTCGCATTCAGCAGCAGCTGCTGCAGTCATGCTGTTGAACTTGAGTTAGCGGGGGGTGGGGATTGCTGACCTGCTTGGCTTAGCAGGTGTCTCGCAGCTCAAGCCAGCGCCAACAAGTTTTGTTTTTCTTCCCGCTGGAATGTGCTGTACTAACCTAAGTAAACGTTTGATCAGAGGCCCGAGCTTCCAACATTAGTTACACGCTGCAAGCAAGTTAAGCATCCAATCTGTTTGTCAACACTGGAGAAGTGTGCGGGCCAACGTGAACTGGTCCACCAAAAAGTGGCAGATAATTCTTGTGATGCTATGAGACAAGGCTGAAAGGACGACACCTCATTGGCAACCACCCGGGAATCCTTTATAAAAACAACACTTTCATTCCAGTCGCTCGCCGCTCCTCACGCCCCCGAGCATCCCTTGCATCCCTTGCATCGCACCACCAAGCATCAACCACCAAACACCAAGCTCTCTCTCAGCGATGGCCCTCGCCAGGTCTGCCAGTGGCCCTGGCGGCTTGAGTATCAACACGTCTTCCGCCAACAATCTCTTGTGAGTCTATCTGCTATGTCCTTGCTGCTCTATGTGCACATAGACTTGTAGTGCTGTCGTTTCGATGCTGGTGCTTTCCGTCCCAATATGATTCCTTGCCTCTCCGAGAGGCGCAAGAAACCAAAGACGGCCGAGGAAAAGGAGGCAGAGGAGCGCGCACAGGAACGCAAGATGGCCGCCCACATCGCAAGGGCAAAGACCATGATGGAACAAGCCCAAGCAATCAGAGAGACTGACGGACAAATCTTTAGTGGTGCACCCTCGACCAGTGCAGCACCTGCCGGCGGTGGGCTGTTCGCCAACGCATCGCAACCCCAGACCACACAGCCTGCGACCGCATCAGGTCTCTTCGGAACCGCCTCAAACACCACGCCAGCTCCTAGTACCGGTGGTCTATTTGGGTCCACCGCCGCGACTGCCACAACCCAGCCCGCACAGCCACCCGGGGCATCGAGCGGCGGTCTCTTCGGATCCAACACAGCACAAACACAGCCGACGATGGGGTCAGCTCTGTTTGGTGGTCAGACGAACAGCACGAACCAAGCTGCCCAACCAGCGCCTGGCGGTGGTCTGTTCGGCAACACCAGTACTACAAATCAACCCGGGCAGCAGCCTGCGACCGGACAAGGCCTGTTTGGCAACGCCAACACCAACAATGCTCAACCACAACAGCAACAGCAACAGCAGCAGACCGGAGGCCTCTTCGGAAACACCCAGCCCACCCAGGGCAGCTCCCTCTTCGCATCTTCCCTCCTTGGTGGAGGAAACCAGCAACAACAGCAACAGCAACAGCCTACCGGCCTAGGTGCCTCCCTAGGCCAGTCGACAAACCAACAGACCGTCCCCGGTGTGCGAATTGACCTGTCCAATGTTCGCGGTACCACCCGGTTTAATGACCTCCAGGAGGATTTGCAGAAGAAGATCATTTGGATTGACGATCAAATACAATCATACATGAACCAGAAGAACGAGCTTGACGCCTTCATGCCCGGCCATGGCGAGATGCTTTCCCATGTCCCCAACGATGTCAAATTTGTCCAAATGAAATACGACGGGGTCCAAAGTGCTTTGCGGTCCGACGCCGAGGCCATCGAGTCCGTCCAGAATTTACACGCCCAAGACGTCGAGCACGCCAAACTGAGTTTCAGAGCCATTGACAACCTCAAGCTCCCTCAACAATATCACAACACTGGTCTCTGGTCGTCCAGGTCACAGACAGGCTCTAGCGCCAATACCGAGTCTGATGGCCAAGATCTTGTCAGCTTCTTCTCCAAGACTAGTGATGAGATGGACGAGCAGTTGAAGAGATATGAAAAGAACCTCACGGAAATTGAGATGCACATGCACGGTATCCAGGGCAGTCTGATCGAGCAGCTACAACGAATGATGGCCACCAAGAATGGCGGGCCTTCTCCTGCTGACGAGAAGCTCGCTGACTTGGCTGCCGTTCTACGAGACTTCGAACAAGGTATTCTCCAAGTCGCCACGAGTGTTGGCGGGGCGCGTGAAGGCATGACTCGCCTTCAGTTGGGAGAGTTCATCCAAAATGACCACTCGAGAAGCGGCGTATATTGATGAAACTGTGTACATAGTCTTGAGCTGGATTCGGTTTTGGTTATCACATAATCTGGCGTTGATACCCGGCAGGAAAAATAAGACGGCAATCATTACAGGCGTTGGGGAACATGCTCCTGTGCATCAAAGCGCAGGATGTTGCAGGATTACGATAGAACGACTGTGAACGCGCAATACCAGTCTCATCTGTTCCATACCTTGAAGCTGGTGACAACGGGCGGTGGGGTACTATCCAGGGTTGAAGGAGAGCGACGCGTTTGATATCCAAACATGATAATATTATTCCGATTCTGTTTGTTGGCATACTTTTTGATCACCCTCGAAAGCGGGCGGAGAACTCTTTTTTTCATGACTTCGTATCTCGTATCCTCGCCATATATCTACTATATACTATGGCTTCCTGAACCATACTCTCTATCGGTCGATGTATCCAACGTCCAGCATCAAGCCATCGTTTTTGATGCGACCTTTTATCTCGCAGCAATAATGCATCGCTCAATGAGCGAATCTAAAGTCCAGCCTGCGACTGCCCTGTATCTTCGTCACTTTGCGGTACTCGACCTTCTCCTCCTCGGTCAGTACATTCCATGCTCGCTCCTTCTGCCGGTTGCGATAAATGTAGTAGATCTTGGTCAACAAGAACACCAATATCGACACAAGATTGATTAGGAGCAAAGTTGAGTTTCCGCGCCGGTACAGAGGCTTATCATCGTCTCGGTACACATAAGCGGAGAAAACCGACCCCGTCTGTACGGACATGTTGTAGAGCGCCGCAGAGACGGTGCGGGTGCCGACGTTGTTGGAATTCTTGGAGGTCCAGCCTACCAGGATCGCATCTACAAGCACACAGTGTCAGGGTTCAAACCTTGTGGGTCAGACTTGGAACGTTTTCTCCAGACTTACGACAGTAGGGATATGACAGCAGAACCATGACCAGAGCATAGCTTCCCCATGCATTCTCGAACGTGCCCTCCCAGAATCTCAGTGCGATGATACACGGTAGGGTCCAGATCGGCTGCAGTATAGCCACTAGAGCTCTCTCGTTTAGCCATTCGGAGAGTCGCGTGAGGCAGATTAGGTTGAATATATGGAAAATTTCCTGCATTCCTTTTGTAAGCCTTTGTTGTCCAAGCTGCCACTCCTATGACTTACACCAGGGATCGTCATCAGGTTTGTCTGAAAGACACTGAAACCCAGATTTCTCAAGATCAATGTGATATAAGTCTTTGGTGGACTTTGTGGTATGTACGCAACCAATCCAATCGCGTACAGCGGCCACAAATCGAAATCTGTCAGCGCCTCCCACAGCCGCCTTGGTGTTAATGCTTCTCGGTTATGCATGTCCCCTTTGCTCGGATCATCACGCAGCACTCTATTCACCACGATCGCCTCTTCTCGCTCGGTGAACCAGCCGTTGGGGCGAAACCACGTCTTGGTCTGCACGGCCGAGGCGGGCATGCGGAAGAAGGAGGCCGCACCGACCGCGAGTGTGATGAAGCCCTCCACTAGGAATAGCCAGCGCCAGCCCTCCCAGCCGGCCAGCCCACGCATGCGCAGTAGAACGGACGCTAGCAGTGACGTGAGGATACCTGTCACCGAAAGGGTCGTCCAGAAGTAAGACAGGCGGATCGGTAATTCGCGAGACGTGTAGAAGTAGGAAAGCCAGAGAACTAAGTCTGGTATAAATCCGCCCTAGAGCTGGTCAGCTGAGCGATCTTGCCTAATAGTACCAATCCCCGATGTGCAGATACCTCTAAAAATCCAAGTAAGCTACGCGTGAGCAGGAAGCTACCTCGACCGGTGATGAGACATTGCGATATAGCCACGAAGGACCAAAGGACCATCTGCATCGGTATCCAACGATCTGGACCTAATGCTTTGGATATAAGCTGTGATGGGAGCTCGGCTATCAAGAACGAAATCAGGAATACCGAGTTGCCGTAGTTGTAGTCTGTCAACTGTGAGCAAACCGGATTGTACAGCATCATAGGCTCCTCATACCATCCGTAGTCAAGCCCAAATCGTCCAGCATGTTATCAGACACAGCTTGACTCAAATTATTCCGATCCACCTGGAGGCCGAAAAACATGACACACTAGCCTCTCATGGTCAGTCACAAACAACTATGTCGAAGGGCGACTCTCGGCGAACACATACAGCCCAAAGACACACTTTCCAGTCCAACTTCCTGACTAGCTCCTCCTCCTCCCTCTTTGACCACTTCAAGTTAGGATCAAAGGCATGCCGACACTCGTACTGGCAGCCATCGTAGACCTTTCTCCAGTACTCGGCCGTCTCAGGATCCAAAAATGGGTTGGCCGTCTGCGGCCGCTCAAAATCTTCCAGCACCACATTTTCTATCAGCAGAGCCGTTGGGCTCCCTTTTGGCGAGGAATCCGTCGACCCGTAGCTCTTGTGCTCCTCCGGGTCGTCGGGCGACAGTGGCTGATAGGACATCTTGGTGTCCAGTCGAGGCAGCCCGCGGGACCTTGGCACGCGCAATCGAGCATGCAAGTCGGAGAGCTCAATATCCAAACCGTCGTCCTGAAGGCTTCCGGATGTCTGTGGGATGCTGTCACCGTTGTCCTCGAAAGGGCTCGAATTTGGCATGGCCCATTTGGCCCCCCTTTGGCTTGGGGGCAATTGGCGGGTTTTATTATGCTTGACCCCCCAAGTGATGCGCAGCATCCGCGTGTAGCGAGCTATGGCGTGCTTGGTGCGTGCTACTTGCCCGCTCACGCGTCCCAACGTGGTGAGTTGTAGGATCACAAGGGGGTGGGGGGGTGGTAGCAGACCACGGTATAGCGGGATCTAAGGCTCGCTAGGCTTTCCCAGATCGTCGGGATGATGGGGGTTTGGTGCGTGTTGTGCAAGATATACCATTGAGAGGCAGCTGTGGTTGGATTAGCCTCTGAGACAGCATGTGGGATGACGGGGCAGGGATCAAGCTCGCTCCTCAGGCCCTGTGTTGCTGTGTGAGCACCCCCAGGCCATCAGGTGTCGATCACGACATTTTAGCGGTGTTTGCTGAATGCGTAGCCAATGAGCGACTGTGCACAACGGGCAGACAGCAATTACGAATTACGGTCATCATCACTTTTTACGGAGCGACTTTGAAAATGTGATTTGAAATGATACTCTTGGCATGCGTTGCTGAAGTATAAATGTTTTGATTCCTCTTCGTAAGGAATATATGGGTTGACTGCTAGCATTATTTGTGGGGTTACAGAGTGACCACTCGGTCGGTCGCATCGTTTTGGCTTCAAGCTGACATATATTCGATTTCAACTGCATTGGGTTTTTTTCCTCAGATTTTTGACTGGAAACATTTCTTTTCTGTAGGGATACCCGCCAAGAGTCATCTTGGCGAGGGAGAAACTTGAATTACAGCCCCAAGATTTCAGTTGACTATAATCGACCATCCCCTCAACGCTGCGAGACTCCGCCCTATGATGAGTATATGCGCATTACATCATCTAACCCAGGTATCTTTATGAATCTAGTTATCATGGTCAGATTTGGCTCGCAGCACATCGTTCTCTCCGACAATTTGTGTATGTTAATGCCCCAGTGTATACAATCAGGATGCTCGATCTTGAAATATCTTCTCTTTTTCTAATGGTGTTATAGTAGAAAGCCCCACGACCTCTTATGGGAACCGCTGTAGGTGTAAATATCCAGTCTCGATGAAGCGGTTTCCGTACCGATGAGGTTGCGACAGGGTGACGAGGTGCTGCATAGGCTGCTTACTGCACGGATTCGTACGACAACTCAATCTTTAGGTTGACCATTAACACTTTAGTTAAGCTAGATACTGACACTATCCCATATTGGTACCCATGACTTGACGCGTGAAGTACGACAGGACTAGCTCCGCTTACGAGATCGCATGGCTGAGGATGCCGGGGTTTCAGCCCTGCGGAACATATGGGAAAAGCAGTGTACTAGCATTAGCATGGATATGGACAAAAGCTGTCTGGACGCTCCCCAATAACTTACTTTCAATTCCGTCCCATGCAGATAATGTCGGCGTTCGCTTACGCACACGGAAACATGCGGGGCTGGTGGACAGGGTGCATTTGGAGTGTGGTAAGCTGCAGGACCACGACCCTGGCGACTCAAAGAAGAAGGTCATTCTCGACGCGACCCACTGCGACGATTTGATCGTTTGCTCTTTTATTTTATGGGTGCGTGACCCCGAACATCTTCAAACAGTTTTGTCCTTATTTCCCCAAACTAAAAGCAACCCTGTCGGCTTTGGGCTTGAAGGACAAATGGCGATGGCGTCGGAAGAAAGCACACCACACGAGACGACGCCACTGCTGGGCAATGGCACCGCTGAGCACGATGGCGCGTCTACCAGTGACAACAAGCCCATTAGCGGTTGGCAACGTATCGCAACGGCAGAGGTGCGACTACTGCTCGCTGGATTCTTGATCACAACCGGATTATGCTTCACCCAAGTCCCAATCATATTTGCGTTCAAGAAGATGGCATGTGAAACATTCTATGGGCGTGGTGAACCTTTCATTGGGGACGGCGACCGGTGCTCTAGACAGGAAGTAGACGCCAGCACCGCACGACAGATGATGATTCTGGGATTGTCGACCATTTTTTGTGGTATTCTCAACCTGACCGTCACCGGGACGGTAATCAGGAAACGGGGCCCGTACTTTGCTCTGGCAATCAACACATTTTTCCCTATCTTGCGTGTGAGCTTACAAGCCACTGCCATTGGTATTGGTGGAGAAACGGGTATCATCCTCATGCAATGCAGTCAAGTCTTTGGAATCATAGGAGGTCCAGCGGGGTACTTACTCACACTTAATACGGCCCTCGCTGAGCTTGTAGAACCTGCTAAGCGCACTGCTGCGTTTGGCAAGCTCCAAGGCGCATCAATGTTCGGAACAGCTTTAGGATTTCTGCTTGGTGGGATTGTTGCCGAAGTGACAGTCATTCGCAGACCCTTCGAGATCGCAGCTGGTCTCATGACGCTCTGCTTCATATATTGTATATGCTTTATACCATACGTTGACCCCCAGACAATGGGTGGCGATAACAAGAAGGGATCCAAGAAGCACCCGTCGTTCCTGCAGAGTCTTGGCCCTCAGACATTGCGACTTCAGGATGGCAGGTCTATCAAGTACTACGGGCTGACCCTGCTTGCATCAGGTGGTTTCGTTGCTGGTTTAGCTATTGGCTACGCCCCAGTGTTGACGCAGCTGTACTCCGTCACCGTACTTCACTTCTCACCGTCGGACAACAGCGCATTCATGTTCATGACATTTACGGTGAGAGGGGCGTTTTTGATGTTTATCTTCCCCCAGATCATTAAATATGGTAGAAGGTGGTACGCAAAGTCAGAAGCGGCTGCTCAAACTGGACCGACCTTGGTAGAGACAATCCCGACGACTGCACGGGACCTAGGCCCTTTCGAAGCAGCCCCCGAAACAGAGCCCACGGAGCCTCTGAACCCGCCGAAGCCAGTTGATGAAGATGCAGGTGCTGGCTTCGACTTGTTCTATTTGAGGTGGAGCATGCTAGGAGACGTGATCGTCACTGGTTGTATTGGATTCGCACACCAACCATGGCATATCTTTCTCGGTGAGTACGAATCTCATCGATGGCGGTGGGTTTACTGACATGGACGAAACAGCCGGAGCTGTACTGCCCTTCTTTTCTGGTTCCGATGCAGCAAGCAAGGGAATTCTTACAGAATTAGTTCCAGCAGCTCGTCGGCCTGAAGCGCTCCAGGCCATCACTTTTGTGTCCTACGTTTCGGCCTTAGCAACCGTCGGTATTTTTGGCTCGATATTCTCCGCTCTTGCTGAAATCGGCAAGACCAACCTGGTATTCTTTTGTAACGCCGTAAGTTAGGCCGTGATTTTGATCGCATAACAGGATTTGCTGACATATTATCGAAGGCCGTCGCACTGATTGCAATTCTCCTTCTCATATTCGTCAGAATACCACCAAAGGGAAGCACTGTGGAGACGAATGACGAGGACCTCGAGCCTGAAGCAACTACCTAAGAACAAGCGTAACACGATGGTACTTCCTGAACGCGCGACGCATAAGCCGTGGAATGGCACGCTCCCAACATAAAACAACGCATTGCAGACGGCAAAGGGTTTGGAATTCTGATGGGATGATGGGACCTTCAATAGATATATTGCACATATAGAGACAAATTATATACAGTAGAAAAGGGCCCATTAAGTTTCGGTAATTGAATTATTCATGTTCGCCTCGAATCGATAGGCCATGACATGCCTATACAGCTGTGCTCATATTTCTGCGCCTGAATGTTGTCAAAGGGCAACTCTGATACTCGTACTCGGGCGCCATCCGAGCTGCATACCCCATCGTGCCATTCATGATACAAGCTGGCTTGATGTAGAAGCGGCCGGGTATCTATCATTCTTATTAAGTTTCGGAATTGCTTCATCATTCCGGCATAGATGCTTGTTCGACTTGTTGTAACCACCAGATATGTATCCGTACGTCGCCGGTCAATTCTGGATGAAAGCTTGTACCGAATACATTCCCTTGCCTGAGCGCAACAATATCACCGTCTCCCTTGGGTGATATGGAGGCATCTACGCCGGCGATAGCCGCCTTGTTCGATGCATGCCGGCCAGGAAGAATAGCAAGGACTTCCACCGCTGGTTTTTCGGTCTGCGAGACCTCTACAGCGGGTGCTGGAAGCTCACCGTTTTCAACCTCCTGACGCTGGGCTGACTTATCCTCTACTTCTTGGGCCAGTAATTTGTCCACTACAGGAGCACGAATAAAGACAGCCGGGAAAGGAGATGACTTGTCAGTCGCCGAGGAGTCCTTCAAGAAGGCCAGGTCCAGATCTGTTATGAAGCTCTCCTTCTGCCTTCCGAAATGATTTCGATGCACCCTAACGTCAAGACCTCCAACAAGTTCTTGGCCACCCCTTTTTGTCGAGCTGGCTTCTTCGGACAAGAATATCAGTCCCGCGCAGGTGCCCCATGTTGGTCTCTTCTTCACTCTAAAGGCGGCGTTAGCAACACGAAAACCACCCAGTCCGAATCTCGAAAGAGCTTACTTGACAAATTCTCTCAACGGCTGCAAAAGACCAGATTGTTGAGCTACTAAAGAAAGTGTAGTACTCTCGCCACCAGGCACAATGAGTGCATCACAAGTGGATAGCTGCTCTGGTGTGCGAACTTCTATGCAATTGACATCGCGGTTGAGATGGGTGGCTGCTTTTCGTAGGGACACCAGATGCTCAGAAAACCCACCCTGCAGCGCAAGAACGCCGACTGTCAACACCATCTCGAATTTATCAGAAAGTATAAATTTTCTTCCTTCAGACAGGATTTTGACAGTGGCAGTTGGGCAACCTCGGGGGTCTGCAGCTAAATGGCCAAGCGTGCAAATAGTCCCTCAAGGTCAAACGCTAATTCGGACACTTTTCGCTCCCTATAGAAAACCACAGAAATCAATTACAACACAACCAGCCTAGATTTAGAATCGAAATATGAGATATGACTGATTTCGGATTGTATCGGTTTATAAATTTCCGCTATGAGTCCTCGTGCCAAGCACACTACCAACCGCCCTTATACTACCCGACATCGGGCAGGTGGCTATGCGTCATGTACTCACTGAGGGTCATGTACATACCCTAAGATGCACTACTTTGAGCACTTTAGAATATGCTTAACGCCGGCGCATCGACCCGCGGCGAGACGGACTCCTCGGCATTTGCGCTTCCACAAGGTCGTACCTTGTCATAGACTTGAAGGGACTGCGATTTTCGGTTAGAGTTTGGGGACCCTTGAAATGTGACTAACTAGAAATTTTTACGCACTCGCTAGTATCATACATGCATCCTAAATCGCTTGCACATATGGCTCTGGTCTCTGCACCTGACCACGTTCCCTTGTAAGCACACCTTCCCCGCGTTCGTGTCTCTTTTTGTAAAATAAAATACCTTATTATCTGAGAAGTGTTTGGCATTTTACTGTGTTCTTCTTCAATTTTGTTCCATCCTTCACATCATTATTCAGCGCAATGACCAACGATATCACCAGCAGCGCCGCCGCCGTGGCAAGCAGCAATGGCTCAGACTCTTCCAGCACCAATGACTTCCGTGTCAAGTCCGGTCTCGCCCAGATGCTCAAGGGCGGTGTCATCATGGACGTGACGGACGCCGCACAAGCTCGCATCGCGGAGGAGGCCGGCGCGTGCGCAGTCATGGCGCTCGAGCGTGTACCCGCTGATATCCGTGCCGAGGGCGGCGTTGCTCGCATGTCCGACCCGGGCATGATCAAGGAGATCCAGGAGGCCGTGACTATCCCCGTGATGGCCAAGGCTCGCATCGGGCACTTTGTCGAGTGCCAGATCCTCGAGGCGCTCGGCGTGGACTACATCGACGAGAGTGAGGTGCTCACCCCTGCCGATGACTTGTACCACGTCGAGAAGAGCGGCTTCAAGGTGCCGTTCGTATGTGGCTGCAGAGGCCTGCCTGAGGCTCTGAGACGTATCACGGAGGGTGCCGCTATGATTAGAACGAAGGGTGAGGCTGGCACAGGAGATGTCGTGGAGGCTGTCAAGCACATGCGACAACTCAACAAAGACATTGCTAGAGCGAAGGCTGTGTTGCAGGAGTCTGGCGTCTTGGGTATCAGGGCTTTGGCCAGAGAATTCGAAGTCGATGCTCAGCTTCTGCAGCAAACTGCCGAGCTAGGACGACTGCCTGTTGTCAACTTTGCTGCTGGCGGTGTTGCTACACCCGCCGACGCCGCACTAATGATGCAGCTGGGTTGTGACGGTGTATTCGTGGGCAGTGGTATCTTCAAGTCTGGCGATGCTGCTAAGAGGGCAAAGGCTATCGTGCGGGCAACCACCCACTTCAGAGATGCCAAAGTTCTTGCAGAGTGTAGTGAAGGCTTAGGTGAGGCTATGGTCGGCATCTCGGTGGCCAGTATGCGCGCAGACCAGAAGATGGCCGGCCGCGGCTGGTAAGCCGTCACAGACCTCTTGCAATAGGGTTATTATAAGTCTCGACAGACTTACGGATGAAGGCAAGTTCAACACAATGGTTCTTCACAATAAAAGGTTATGTTTGAGGATTTAAAAGAATATAAGGTCTGCTCAGCGAAGTCATTTCATGGAGTATTTTGAGCATTGCTCGGGCATCAGAGTCATTTCGAGTAAAATATCGGCCATGAGTTGTTCAGCCCTACTAGAAATTACAATATTATAGCCACTTTAACATGTCCATCTGTATCCATTCAAATCTACCCATTCATCTGTACGCCGGAGTAGCTAGCTCCGACACTGGATATTGTGAACCCTGAAGCTCTTGTGGCACGTTCGAAGACTCCATCTCATGCCGCTCAGAGTGCGGGATTGCGAACGCAGGAGGAAATACATACTTCGACGCGGACGCGGGCTCAACTACGTGTGCCAATGGTGCTGTTGGAGAATAACTGTGTACGGTCGTGCTACCTCCATATTCAGAAGCTTGGTACTGAGGTGACACGTACGCACCGCTGCCAGTAATCGTTGGGGATGAATCCAGTGGCTGGGATTTTTCGTCGGTCATGATTCCTCTCCTTCGTCTCCGCACGCACATTAGTATAGCAAGAGCCCCGATACCAATGGCTGCAACACCAACTCCAACTCCAATTCCTATGCAGCAATCAAGGTCAGTACAAACAGACAAAACAGTTGCGCATTGCCTCTTAATATAACAAATACGAGGGCTCGGGTTCTAGAGCCGTTGAAATGGACATACCGGCTTGTGCGCCCACTGATAAACCCCCGGATGAGCTATTTGACGCCTCGCCCGATGCTGCCGTGGTTGGCACTGACGTAGCAGATGACGTAGACGTTATCAGGAGATTAGTCCTCGTCGCCGAGGTTTGAGAATTACTTCCCGCGCTTGCTGGTGTCGTTATTGTCGCCGCCGTCGTAGCGGTGCTGCTGCTATCGGTAGAAGATTTCGCAGTGCTTGTTGAGAGTAGACCGATGGTTGCTTCGTCTCCAACCTCGGATACATATGCAAACGACTGAGAATTTGATCCTTTTCCTCCCTCCAAGTCTGGTTTGAGATCAAACCAACAATCGGTATCTGCATGTGTGTAGTCGAGCTCAACTAGAACCGATGCATTTCCCCCAGGCACGTCCATCTGTTTCGCCGCTAACGTAGTGTCAGTCAATTTAGTCTAAGCCCGTGTCGACTGTGTTGCTGGTTGCTGTACTCACTGTCAACTCCTTTACCATTGGCTCCTCTACAATAAGTTATCAGGATAGGTGAGGCGAATGATGATGTCCAGGTTACGTTGACAACATCATTATGGTGGTATGTCATCTTCTCATTCGTTTTCGGGAACAGCCAGTATACTCCAGCTTGGCCATCCTGCTGCACCGAACGCCCAACCAGCAGGCTCAGAAGCAGAGCAGCTTGTGCTGTAAGTTGACGCGGCATTTCCGTTGTTTCTTTACTCGCAGTGGCTTCGCCTGTGGAAATGATACCAGAGAGCAGCGAATCCAGAAATAAGGAAAGCAAAACGGAGACTATGGCCCATGGCGGTGGGAGCAGGACCCTTGATTATAACTTTATTTGTACGGACCCGAATGAAAGCCCCCGTCGCAGATTTTCTTCATGACATTACGGACCCGTACCGTGGCCCAGGTTCAAGTAGAAGCACGGCATTGGATCAATCCCAGGGGGGGATGAGAACTGTTACGAAATATGCATATCGGACAGGGTTCTTTCGCCCCTGCTAGTCCAATAGCCATTGGACCGGTAGCCGGATTGAGTGATTCCTTCTCGCTTACCCATGAAACATTGCTGATTTTTTGACACGCTGACAGGAACCGACATTTCATGCACAGCAGTTCATTTCATCTCTTAGTTACATGGTGTGGGAACCGCAGACATGGCAGCCATTTTCGTCGTCAATTGCCCCTCAACGTATCGCCAACGCTCTTCAAATCTCGAGTTGTTAGGCGAGCAAAAAGCACACTGATGCTGCAATGGATTTAATGAATGTGCAAGGATGTATATTAGGATTTGGGATTTCGCGGAAAACCACGTTATAGGTCGGCCAAGAGCGCAAGCCCCCCTCAAAATAGCCCCCAACCCACCAAATGTTGAAAGCTAAGCGCGCGCCGCGTTAAAGCCATCTCCATGGTTGCACAAATGGTATGAGTTTACCCGAAAATATCTAAAACTGACGCAAGATGGTCCAAAAGAGCTTTGGCTTATTATGCTAGACTTGCCGATAGCAAGATTCTGTTCATACCAAGTCAGCGTAATATCTGTCATTGCCTTCGGTGCCGGGCTAAAAACTTTGAGCGCCTGTAGTGGGTCGAATCCGAGCTGATCAAATCCTAATCCACGAGACCCAGCAGATCAGACCATCACACATCCCCATCCGGCCTCGGATGCTAGCCGGATCCTTCCCTAATCTACGTAGTAGTTGCTCTGTTGTCATTAAAGCACGGTACGGATCTGTAGTTCAGGTGGTTCCCCAGGATTGTCTTCAACGCTACACTACTGCATACGTAGATAAGAACTCGTGGCTCGGCTGACAACGGCTAGTAAAGTAATCGTCTCCGTTCTGCGCATATTTGTGCTTTTCTGGAAGAACAAAGTGGAGTAGTCTGGCTGTACTTTGGCGAATATAGCAGATGGGTCGAGAATGTATCGACGCCATACTGTTGGAAATCACTGCTTCTCTTCTAGAGTAGCATCTACTTACCTTCAAGGTTGTCAATAACCTCGAGGTGGTCTGAAATTTGAGGTGGCATCCGCTTGGTCCCAGTAAATGGCCCAGCGGCTTGGCGCTTACCCAGTACGCTAACCGAGTAACCTCAGTGGGATTCGCAGAGCATCTAGACTTAGAGCCAGGTGGATAAGGCGCACCCTTACTGTGGGGCAGCCATTAGAAGCGTTGTTCGCCAAAATTTCATTTCGTTGTTGCGCAGTGGCAAGGTCAAGGTAGGAATAACTTCTTCACTTTGGCCCCTGTCAAGTCAAAGAGCTTGGCAGTAACGCCTTTCACTAACAGCCGGATCAAGAAGCAAACTGCTGTTTGACGAATTCCGGTCATGAGACATGGCGGCTACAACAGACCAGACACAACCCCGGATGATAGATATCTTGACTGTGATAATCACCACGTCTGTCACACCTTCTATACCATACACGGACCTTATATCGGCTATTTTGGACGGTTATAGCAAGTACTGTCCTCAACTGCTCCGATGCCGCTTTATAGTAGTGTTCGACAATTACGATCTAGTCGTCCCTTTTGCAAGATTGAAGAAAGGGCATGTCACTCCACAGCAAGCAAAGGACTGGAACTTATACAAGACCAATGCGAAACAGCTCATTCTTCAGCAATTTTATAGTACTTCTGGAGAGGTACATATGGTTACAGAACGGGGAGAAGCGGAATACGGCTCTCCTCAGAGCACAAATGGCGTCCCATTCACTGCAAAGCGGACTGTGGACAACAGGGTTACATTCATAGAACCTGAAAGGCGTTTAGGTTTCGGCCTGGCGGTGCGTTCAGCATTACGCCTCGTCGACACCCCTTACGTCTGGCTTCAGCAGCATGATTGGAGCCTTGTCGCTAGCATACCCATAGAGTCAGTACTCCAAGTGATGCAAGGCTCAGAGAACGATCCCGAAGTACCCATAAAATATATTTGCCTTCCCGCCAAGAAGATGCTTTCCTACGCGACATCGCAAGACGTCGTGCGATTCCCTGCCTTGCAAGAGTTAACGTTGAAGCTTCAACGAAATTTCTCACCATCACTGCAACCCGAGATCAAGATACCACTAACGCCGCTCTACTTTTGGCATGACAAACCTCACATAGCCTCTACTGCACATTATCTCGCGCGGGTCTACCCCTCTCGCCTTGCTATGCTACGGGGAGATTTTATTGAGGACAAGATAGGCCACAGAGCACGGGACCAGATGAAAGAAGGACTCTGGTCGAAATGGGGTACCTGGCTCTATTATCCGGATGAAGGCAGACAACTGTGCTTGAGGCATCTCAACGGCAGAGTTTGGAGGGGTGAAGATGGTCAATCGAAACAAATCAACACATACCGCGAGCAGAACATAAATTATAGGCAGGAACTTGATGGAGAGCTGACGAATGTCACGAGTGATGATGATTTTGAGCTAGAGAACTTTTTCTAGCATAATCACAACAATTCGTATGTCTAGGAGATAATCACGCTCCGCAAACAGGCTATTGAGACACGGACTGGTCAAATCACCCAACACTGTTGATCTTGTAACAAAGAACAGCTGCTTGGACTGTGGTCAACTAAAACAATTATTTACTATGTGCGCACAGCAGCTCAAGATCTGTCTAGATTGTCAGCAAATACATGGGTTACAAGATATGTCTGCTGAAAGTAGTGCTTCTGAACTCTCTAAAGATTCACCGATCAATTCTCCTGGACCACAGCATTCGAGTTTCCTCGCTTTGACTTCGGTAGAACCAAAAACATGGACACAAGGACCACCTAGCGCCGTAATTCGTCAATGTCCACAGTCGCAGGCTACAAAATACTCGGCCATTTGGTACAGGTTTATGAGTAAGCCTAACTTTTTGGCTTGCTCGCACTGTTATAAAAGGCATATCTCAAGGTTAGCTCTGGCTCACAGTTTTCTCTGTTTCCGATCAGTGACAGGAATCCCGTTTCGATGCAGATTTTGGCACCACGCATGTCTATGGTTCTATGGCCTGCTGCGAGAGCTGTGGATTATTCGCAAGGCGTCGTAGATTATGTCTCACATCGCATGGCCGTTCAAGACTGTAGAGGAATTTGCGGTGCTGCAGTAAAGGAGAAAATAAAATGGTACCAGCCTGCTGATACGCGATTGCCTGAGTTTATTTCCTGTCAAGCTTGCTACGAAAATGCAATCGTCGGGACAAATTTTGAGAAGCATTTCCTTCCGCTCTGCGCTGTGCAACCGGAAAAAGAGATATGGTCGTGCGATCTCTGCCATCCATTTATGGTACGGGCTGTGCCCTTTTTTACGGAGCGTCATGACTGGTGTGGCTTCAAGAAGGCGATTTATCGTCGCTCACGGCTTCAGAGCTGCAAAGGTCAACTCATTGAGCTACATGGAAACCGCTGGTTCAGCTGCAACGGGCTGGAAAAGTCATTGCTGATCTGCGAGGCGTGCTACTTAGACCGCGTAGTGCTTACAACTTTCGACGAGCACTTCAAGCACTTCAAGCACCTTATGGAAGATACGAAAATGTTCGTTAGGCCGGTTGGGCAATGGAAATGCGGAATGGCTATTGGTCCTTTGATGGTCGCTTTTGAATCGGCTTCCTACAAAAGGACTTTAGTGTGTTTTATGAGGCCGCAGATATTATCGGCAGTACTAAATCCTGTTGTCAAAGAGAGAGTTATAACGGCCCTTGGTACACTGTCTACGGGGAAACAGGCTTCCACATTTGTAAAACATGCTACGTTGGAATCATCACTACATGCGAGTTAGGTGCTTTCTTCCGCCCTGTCGTAGGCAACAACGGTTCGCGAAGAATGTGTGACCTCAACCCAGCAGCGTCTCGGTTCTTATACTACGTTGAGAGACTAGCTGAGGCGGTGGATCTTGGCGATTTTGAAATATCTCATCAATTTGTGCGAAGGCTCTCGGAGAAACCACATTGTCCTAGCCGAAAAGCTTTGTTCATTGCTACTTGGTGGTGCTTCAGTGGCTGCTCAGTATGCCCATAATGCGACGAAGCAACAATACGTGGCACAAGTTTGGCTGCATTCTTCGAAGCGCGATACATAGACGGCGATAATGCAAGAACATGCAGTCTTGGTTCTCCTCGAATGCAATAGAAGTTCATGGAAGCATGTCAAGACAGAAGTCTAGAGAGGTTCCGAGCGTTCTCGGACTACAGGGTAAAGTTATATAGGGATACCGTGCGAATGATCGATATTATCATATATGTTAAATCAGTTCGTGCGGGTTTAGCGAAGACGTATGGTAGGTTGGGAGCTGTGTCCGCTGCACTAGATGACCTCGTTCTTGCTGCTGGGTCGGGCGACGAATTGCCCCAGTCCGACTTCGACTGGCATAGAACGCAGTATGGTGCTAAGAGTGAGCGCATGAATCAACTCATGCATGAATATATGGCAGCAGCAAATGCAGACGAAGAGTGGCAGTTAATCAGGCAGTGGAAGGCCTGGTGGGAGGAAGTAGAATAGTGCTGTATAGACAACAAGTGCTGGATTCGTTCTGAAGACGATTTGCTTCGAATAGACATATCCATGAGGGCTATCGTGATTTCTGTTGCATAGCTGTGTTATTCGCTCCCCATTGTTTGGTATTAAGTTCGACCATTCGTTTTGCGTTCCATGTTGTCTGCCCATATACTAACATTGTACTCTGGTGGCTGTTGCATTGGTTATAGTCACCCATAATTGACATCAGAAGATCTGTAGTTAATATGTAATCATGTCTTCTTATTCCAGTCTTGTTTATTGCAAACAATTCGTGCTTTGGATGCTGCCGTCTCGATCCAATGTTGCGTATACGTCGCTATTTGGTGCTTGGCCCTTCGGTTGAAGTTTTGCCAAGCTGACTTGTGGCAGAATAGACATCGTACAAAACAATAAGTTTTCTAGGGCCGTTAGAAATTACAGAATTTCTCTTCATAGAACACTGGTAAACGCTGTCTTGGTATCTCCATGGCCAAGTCGACATAATATGATCTGGAAGGCAGATGTAATCCTATTTGATTAAGCTGATTTCGTGCCTGGAAATGGACCTTGTCCCTGACTTTTGTATTGCCGCCACGGTCTTCATTTCTGCGATCCTCTGAGACGCTTTTCCTGCTATTGTCGATTATTGCAATTTGATATGAGGTCATAGCAGGATTCACCACTCGATGGGATGGGAAGTCGCCAATGACACATCTTGATATGTCGCTCCTTACTATTCCTTCTGCTAACTGTAGATTCGACATCTGATATCAGTTGATGTCATTAAAGCCGTCCTACCTTGATGTTCGCTCCAATACGAGCTCGAACGTTGTCCAAGGCCACCAGCATCACTCATCTTTCGGGGCCATCGATTTTCAATGTTGCCGTTCTTAGCAGTATCAAAAGCCACCAGTGAATCGATCATTTCACTCACGACAATCCGCGTGTCTATCTTTCCACCAGCTCTGATGTATGTGCGCCGCTCTATCTTCATATCGATATCCCGGACCTCGATGGTTATAGTTGCGCAAGCCCTATTCGACAGGCATATTACCAAGCCCTTCACCATCGAAAGATATGGAATACCGGAAAAGAGATAGCAAAGAGAAATCATACCATGGTTTCTAGAAGCTATAGGACAATAAACGTTGGACTACAGCATATTCATTCAGATATCTAGTTCTGAGAAACCGAACCACATCGCCCTCAACCCTACGCCAGAAATACATTTCCATCAACGCCTCTTCAACAAGCCTGACCATTACCAAAATTGCAGATATGGCTATATTCCACCTCAGCTATCATCCCATACCAGTCTCCACAACCAAAAACATCTTCATCATCTTAACCCAGCCTCACTCACGCATTTCTTTTGCCTCACCTCACCTTAGCCGGCCCGTGCTTCCCCCTAGTCCTAATATGTTGTTACCATACCCTTTTCGTGACCAGGCCATGTAGAAAACCGATCAAGCTCTTAATGCATATGCTCTTGGGCAGATACCACAAGTGCTAGTATCCTTCAAGGGCCATATGCATCAGCCGAGGGCCAGTGTTCTATATGACCAAGCCCAGGGCGCCCCCTTTCCTGACTTTTCCTTCTCCGTTTCTTCTCCCGTCCGCCTTCCCTTCACTTTCTCTACTCTGCTCCTTCATCAGCTTTCATCATGCGATCCCAGCGATCTAAAACCACGCGATCCATGCGATCTAAAACAGAGCTCCATGCCTTTTGGCGCGAGCGAACCGATCAGGTCTTGGGTCCTCACGCAGTTCGGCACAAGCATTTCAGGGCCGCCCTGGATGCAGCGTTGTTGATCTTCAATGGTCCAGACCACCCCCTTTCCTCTCATCCCCCCTTCCCTCGTCCATCAGGAGTAAGTTGTCTTTCTTTTCATAGTGAACCCAGACATTGGACCCTTGACCCCTATTGTCACCGACTGTAACCCACTTGCCTAGCATGCACAGCGTGATCCTCATCATCATGCCACAATCCATCCCCCATTGTCACCATCAACAACATCACCACCTAGTAACAACATCACCAACAATAATCGACTATGATCATCGTCCATCATCCATCATCACCATCCATGGTCAATATTATCGCCCTTCACCCTGCTAGGTATCGTCTTCGGTTTCAATATCATTGCCATCTTGCTATCGCTGCTCCCATCACCTCCTATTCTACTATCAGTGCCATATATGTCCCCGTCGTGATATGTTCCATCGCTCTTGGCTATAGCAACTTCGGTTTTCCCACCAATACTAGCTTGTATCATACTGACGCCGTTCTTAGCAATCTTCGCCTCGATCACTTCAGCGTCCGGAGTTACCTCGTTAGAAGCTAGGTAGTCCTGTGGCTCTGAAGCCGAGAGCCTCAATATCTTGCGACCAGGCAACCCCACTAGTAGGTGCTTCGTTACAGCCCTGCTCTATAAATCTGAGGCTAACCTGTATACAGGTTGCTGGATCTTCCTCCCCCTTCTCCCCCTTCTTCCCCTTGGCCAGGCGTCAGAAGGTCCAGCGGTGCGATGTCAGCAGCTTGTCTGCGGACACCCCACCATCTTGGGCTTCAGGCACCATCACCTCCACAGTTTCAACCTACTATTCACCAGTCGGAAGGGCTTCGGTTCTGAGACGGATGAAGATTGAACAGGAGGCCCAGCACAAGGAATTCCTTCAACAAATGGCTGCTATCGATGCGCCGTCTTTGTCGACTCTCCCTCCCTCCCAACTCCCAACACGGTTAGAACCCACCACAACGGGTCCATCCACTCCTTTACCAGCACATAATGGGTCAGACATCACATTCGGCAACGTTTGTGACAGTCCACGATCCCCACCTTCGTTCTTTTCTTTGTGCGACTCTACACCCGCTGGGCTTGTCTCTCTTTCCGAGGGATCCACCGACTACGGATCACCTCTTCCAGCCCCTCCACTTGCCGCCGCGGATCTGGATGCATTGTTTAATTTCGATGCTTTCAGAAAAGCCTGCGCCGCGTCCAAAGAGCGTGATGTATCGATTTTAGCACGCTGTGCTGCTATCGATGCTGAAGAGTCATCGTCCTCTCCTTACACAGGAGAATTCACTCCCAGCTGGCTTTGTAGCGGTTCGTATTCTGACGGCTACCTTGATATCCCTGAAGCGTCCGTTTTTTCAGTTGGCTCCGACTGGGATGTCGTTTCCGAAGACGAAGCCATGGATTCGGGCATTCTTCTCCAACAGAAATTATGTGGTCTCGAACAACGGTGGGGTCGCCTCCCTACCGACGTTCCTGCCATATACCTCGCCATAGATTGCGCCGCCACTCGTCTTCTTATGAAGCATTCACTCTCTTTTGCTGGAGCGTTCGCTTCGTCCGATCGTTCTGGTTGCAATCCGCTTCCGTTCACTCCTTCGCCATACATTCCTGAGCTTCCTTACGCCGAGCTTCAAAACTCGAGCCCAGAAGCATCCGCTCTTTCTCAGGTTCCTGTGGCCGAGTCTCAAAACTCGAGCCTAGCAGCCTTCGCTCCTTTGCCCGAGATCGACCTTGGCACGGCGGTCCGCGCACACATGCGACAATACTCTTGTCGACAAGAACCCATATTTACAGCTACAACTGCTTCAGTCAACATGCCTGAAACCCCCAGTCGTCCTCGTAAGACGTCTTGGATGTGGAAGGCTACCGCTGCTGTTGCCGTCTCTGCCGCTGCTGGCCTTGCGTATGCTGCTTGCTGCGCTTGGTTCTAGGCGGAACAACGAGTCGAATCCAGCTTGGGAGGGCTGGTGCGGCTTCCAGTAGGAGAGGTAGAGGTCGCGGTCATGCTTGGCGTTGTTAGTGTTGTTGGTTTGGCAGATTGTCTTGGAGGATTTCCTATGTTCTTTCCTATGTCTTTTCTTATGTTTGGCGTTGGTCGCGTTGGTCGCGCTTTTCTGTGTTTTGATTTTTGGCTGGTCTCTGTTACTGTAGTCTTCCTGTTCTGCGTCTTTAGACCGTTTAGGTAGCTTAGATAGCTTAGATAGCAGCTGGCGGTTGGGTTTGGGTACTGGTGATCTGGTATGGGGGATGCGTTGGACATGGAGTTGGAGGGAATGCTCGGCAGTCATTCTTCGACTGTGACTGCCGAGATGGACTTTCGGCTTTTGTAAGTCCTTTATGTGTTGCTTCCTCGAGTGGCAGCATACAAGGCAACAGGCATGGTCTGCTTGGTAGTCATGAGGCTGGGGATGACTGCCTTGCAGGATGGACAGGGAACCAGGGAATGCCGGGCATCAGTCTCTTCAGAAGGCTGTTGTCACGCGGGACTTGAGAGGGGCGGGCATGCTGATCGACAGTCTCGGGCGGGAGCATTGTTGTACGGCCGCCGATCAGATGGATTTTAGGATGGTTGCCATGGAGGAGTTTGGGGGACCGGGGTTCAGAGTCGTGTGCCTTGTAGTTTGGTTTCTTTTGTCTTTTTCTTTTGTCCAAGTACATTCAGGTTGAGCCCAATACACGTCTAGCTCCCTCTCACACAACTCTACGTTTTGCCATGCTAGTGTGAAATTTGACTGTGTTTTGGTTTCGCTCTTGTGATCCATTGCTCTGCTTGGAAGCAAATCCAGGATGGTGCTGATGTGAAAGGCGATGACATGCCGGGAATGCGACTCGACGAGCAGATACTGGTGAGGGGACTTTGCCGCTGCTGAGCGAGTCCTAGTTGCCGTCTTAAAGCTGTTTTCGTAGATGAATAGTTCCTGGTCAACCAATAGCCCAGTCACGTTCTTCTCATGCATAGTGGATCTGAAGTAATGGGGATTGCTCGCAGAATAATGGGCTACGGTGATAATGTGTAGTTAGATTATTGCTGTTGCGTCTGCAACTGTTGAATCAAGCTTCTTCAGCACATTCTGTAACTTGTGAGAGTGTGAACTAGGTTCAGCTTCATGCAGCTGGGCTGTATAGTGAGGTCCATTTCGGCCATTCTTCATAATGACAAGCAAGCTATTGGCATGAGGTTGAAAACAAATAATGGAACAACCCTGTCGTGGCAACTGAGTAGGTGACTGAATGAGGTTTGCCAACAGGCCATCGGAAAATGCAGGTCCCTGTCAACTTCAATCAAGCCTTCAAAAGCCTCGATTTTTGCTCCCGTAGGCATTGGCGTCTAACTCAATTCGCTCAAATGATTGAGTTTGGGGATAGTTACCAGACGTCTATGTAGACAACATCCCTACTAGGTTAGTAGCTCTGCCCAGTACTTTTCTGCTACAAGGCAAGCGCTACTTAGTCCCAAACCAAAAGGTTAGCGCCTTGGGTCAAGGTGTCCTGGATTTTATGCGGGCACGGCTGTTAGTAAAGATAAGGCCACCTGCCCCATATGAGCAGAAATATCGAATGCGTATTTGGCCATGTACGTATGTGTGGCAAGAAAGGATAAGATGGTATGAACCATACAAGTAACACGGATGAAGGATGAATGATGAGCGGGACTAAAGAGAATAGTGTATGTGGGTAACTTGGAATGAACGTGAATGTTAACCTGGCTAATTGGGAAACAGGAGCGTACCAATGAAAACCTGGATCAGCTACAGTATATAACAGGCTTACTTGTAATGTAACCGTACAGTAAATTACCAAATCAAGTGCCGCTTGCTTGTGCAAGGCGACGCCGAAGCAGAGATAGCAGGAGTGGCAGACATCAAACTGCCGACTGGACACTGACCGTGCTAACCATGGTCTAGGCTATGGTTAGACTACAATGCCCGCCACCTACCTGACCCTTAGACTAAGGATAGTCTAGACCTGGCGGAGAAAACTTTCCCAACGAAGAGACCCTGGGAAATTCCAGGTACTTTCACGTTTGGCAACCTACCAAGAGACGACGTCATGATACATGAGAAATTTCACCATTTATCGAGAGGCAGTGTGTTGGATTTCAAGTCAATTCGTGTTACTACAGTACTTTCACACGAAGACCTGGCAGTACTTGGCTCGTACAGATCTATAAGGCACTGTATAATAACAACTCTGCGGAGACTGCCTGAAGGTCGCTGACCCTGGCACACCCCGCCAGGCCCTGACCCCTCGACGGGCCTGACATCATTGCATACAGTACGCATCTGGCCTACGAGATGGTAATCTACCACTCAGCAACCATCTCAGAGGCTGCTCGGGAGCGCGAAACATTCAAGCAAGTTCCTCTGCATCCTGATAATTGATCGACGTGGCATTCATCGCGCATCGAATGTGTCGCTAACGTGAAAGCCACTACCACAGATATGATGCTCTCACCATCTCAACTGCAGGGCTCAAAGGGCCTGACCCACCGAAGGCTATCCAATCCATACATCTGTCTTCGACATCCGACCCCGGTCTCACGGCATTCGCCCATCTTGGGTGCTATAAACTGGAAGCCGCTCGTGTCATGATCTCCCTCTTCGACCGCAGGTACCAACATATTATTGCCGAGGCGCTTCGGCCACCACCATCCGCCCCTTGGTCCGCCGCACACCATCAGCCCGTCTCGTTCAACGGCCTCAGTTTCGAGCGCGCGACAAGTGTTTGCGAACATGTCGTTACCCAGCCGGCCGGAACCCAGTCTATTCCGGGCACTGCCTTCGGGCTTGACCCGACAGATATACCCGTATCCATCATCAAGAGCCTCGACGATGATGCGCGATTCTGCCACATAGCAGATTCGGCTCGCCAGTTCTACGCTGGTGTGCCCATCCGCTCGCCGACGGGGATCAACATTGGTGTTTATTGCATGTTCGATGACAAGCCGCGGCCCGAGGGATTGCACGCCGATGACGTGCGATTTATGCAAGACATATCTAGAGTCGTCATGGATTATTTGGAGAGCAAGAGGAGCCACGAGTGGTATCGACGGGAGCAACGAATGGTGAACGGGCTAGGCAGATTTGTCAACGGCCAAGCTACACTACGGAAGTCCGTTTCAGAGTCCTCAGATAGCCCAACGTCATGTCAGGATTCACCCGGCATGAATGAGGGCTTGCCGAACAAGAAGCTACAATCGTCAACCGCTGCCGCCGCCCAGCATCAGCCACAAAAAAGGCAGCAACAAGAGGTTATGCACAATCTCGATGTTTCGACAAAAGATCATCTATCACCAAGCTGGAGCGACCCAGCTACCACTAAGGCCAGCTTGGCTGCAACGATAGCTTCACCGTCCAGTTTCTCGCCGGTTTCTTTGCCTACAAGTGAGCCTTTATCCTCATCGACAACGGCCAAAACGCAATCTAGTACAACAAACTTGCTAGGCAGCAAAATAGATCATGTCTTTTCCAAAGCAGCTAATATAATTCGCGAAGCCATAGAGGTCGAAGGCGTGCTCTTTCTGGATGCTTCTGTGCGTTCATATTGTGGACTGATTGGCAACGACCCTACGGCGCGGCAACCATCCCCTGGTTTAGATTGTGATCGTGGCAACGCGTCGAACGAGGATGTCCACACACCAGCCCCCGCTCAACCTGCTTGCGATGTACTGGGCTTCTCAACGTCTCAAAACTCCTCCCTAGTGGAGGACGCAACACCAAATGAATTTGAAGGCTGCAGAGAGCGATTTTTACAACGACTGTTGCAGAAGCATCCGCGTGGGCAGGTCTGGAACTTTGATGCGGATGGGACGGTGTCTGACCACAACGTCAGCTCAGATGACAACGAGTCCCCGACCGAGTGGAAGAGCAAGCAGTCAACCACGGCGGCGCGCATTATAAAGATATTCCCTGGAGCACGAAGTGTAGCGCTTGTACCGCTTTGGGACGCACAGGCTGGACGCTGGTTTGCCGGTGGGTTCGCATGGACGCGGACACCAACCAGGACACTCAGTGAAGAGGATGAACTCACGTATTTTCGTGTATTCGGACTGACTGTGATGGCCGAGGTGACACGGCTGAAGACGCGGGCGGCTGATAAAGCTAAAACAGACATGCTTGGATCTATTAGCCACGAGCTACGGTCACCACTGCACGGTTTAGTCGGAGCAGTTGAGCTGTTAAGACATACAAGCCTGGACGCACTGCAGGACAGTATCTTGAGGACAATTGAGGCATCAGGGAGGACATTGTTAGACACCATCGATCACGTAGGTAACTCTAAGCCTTCCAGCTCACTACTTACTACATTTCACCCCTGGTCTGTTGCTAACTGAAACTTGTTCCACGCAGCTACTGGATTTTGCCAAAATCAACGCCAAGCAGTGGTCCAGAACCGGGCGAAAGAGCTTATCTTCGGGCTCGCGGCAGAGGTCTATTTCTAACTCGAATCAGCAGTCTCCACCGGAGCCGCCCATCCAGCTGGATGTACTTGTGGAAGATGTCGTGGAAAGTGTGTTTGCAGGCTCTAGCTATCTAACAAGGTCGGAGACGGACTCCACATCCTTTACTGCGAACGGCGGCACCCCTGCCACGACGGAATCACATACCTCAACCGGTGATCAACAGCGAACCGAGCTCTCTGTTTCTAACGGTTCTGTTCAAATCTATCTTGACATTGAGCAACCTGCGAAGTGGTCGTTTCACATGCACCCAGGCGCTTTTAGACGTATCGTAATGAACCTTTTTGGCAACGCCCTCAAATTTACTAGGTCCGGCTTTATTCGGGTCTCTTTACGTCAGGAAACTCACCCAATGAGATCGGACGTACCTACTACAAATTGGGTCGTGCTCGCTGTTTCTGACTCAGGCAAAGGCATGACAGAAGATTACCTCCGCAATCACATTTTTACGCCATTTTCTCAGGAAGATCAATTTGCGGTTGGGACTGGGCTGGGGCTTAGCCTCGTTCGACACATGACGGTGACATTGGGTGGCACCATCAATGTATCAAGCAAAACTGGACAGGGAACAACAATAACGGTTGCACTGCCGCTCTTGCCTGCTGCCGAGCTGGGGAGGGATGGAGAAGAGGCTGATTTCCAGCATAACATCAAGACACTAACCGGGCAGCGTGTGCAGCTTCGCAACTTTCAGCACGAATCGGGGACTCATGAGAATCTTCGAACAGATCATGGCAGACAAAGTCCACAGTCTGAGTTAACTAGAGCAGTTTGCCGGGATATGTTACAGATGGAGGTTATTCAAGAGCTTGATGGGCCGCAGACCCTGCCAGACTTCGTCATATGCGCTGTTCGTAATGCATCAGACTGCTTCGACGTAGAAACCACAAAGCATGTATCCCGGTGCCCGTACATATTTGTTTGTCAAGATCTGGCCTCTGCACACAGATTGACGGAATTCGATAGTGGTTCATTGCCTAGAGTATACGAGGTTTGTTCACAACCGTATGTATTTTCCTATACTCACAAGTATCTCAGCCTGTGTCAGTCCTAACACCAATACAGCATTGGACCAAGGAAACTCGCTAGAGTGTTGCTGGCTTGCCAATCACGATGGCAAGATTTCCGGAGCTTGGGCACAAATCCCGTTTTAGATATGAAGGATTCAACCACTGGGTTAAGTTCGAAGGACTTAGCCGTTCAGCTCGCTCAGGAGATGGAAAAAGCGACTCTTCCAATACAGGTTCTGCCTAAACCCGCCAATTCCAAAGCTTCTGGTCCTTTGCTGCAACAGCCGTTGCTCAAACAGCCTGAAAATGTGGTCGTGGCAGAAGTCAATGCTCCGGGTTCGAGCGGCCCAACGTTAGACTCTCGAAAGCCGATACTGATCGTGGATGACAATGCCATCAATCTTAAGGTACGTAAAACGAAACCAGGTGATCCTAAATCGCAGCCATGGGCCTTAACCACAGTTTATAGATCATGGCTGCATATCTAACCAAGCTTAAATATACATTTACAACAGCGATCAACGGCTTGGAGGCGCTGCAAATATATACCGGTAACCCCGGCAAATACAGTTGCTTGCTAACGGATATCTCGATGCCTGTGATGGACGGATTGGAGTCTACGCGTCGTGTACGGGAATTCGAACTTTCAGGCGGCCACAAACCCATGGTCGTGATAGCTCTCACTGGTCTCAGCGACCCAGAAGTGCGACAAGATGCGCTTGCGAGCGGTGTGGATTTGTTTTTGACGCGACCACTGGCACTTCGGGGTCTGAAAGAAGCGCTCGCTACAACGGGTTTAGGTTGATACCATTCAGTAATTGCGGACTTGAGTCTCGAAATTATCTTGCTTTTCGGCTCCCTTAGCATGTGGAGTTCTGGCCTTGTTCTTCTCGCCGGTCAAAGGCCCTTGGGTAAGTGCGATACGTTCGGTCAGCTGGGCATTCGATATCTCCCGCCCCTGGTACATTTGTACCGCCGTTAAGAATTTTTTTTTAATCTTTTTTTCTCTTTTTGCGAATTGACATATGGTACTAGAGTTTAGTAGTATTATCAGAGGCAGATCAGGCATGTTGCTGAAAGAAGTAGAGGCGTAATAGCTGTGGCACTTGTTATCGCAGAAATAACGAATCTCAATAGCGCTCTTCCCCGCTTGTTGATATGGGTTGAGCAAATTGTGCCGGGCGCTATATGTTCTACACTCCACGATTTACTTGTGTTCAGTAGATATCTGGTTTCATAGTTTTCAGTCTACTTTTACCCTATACAATATTGACCTACATTTAAATCTAACGTTCTTGATTTTTTATTAGTATGATGAATGATTTATGTGTATTTAATTCTAGAACATAATGACTCAGATTTTCTGGGTCATCTTACAATCTGAGGTTTTTATTTGCTAACACAATGTCTACATAAGAAAGTAACGGAGTTTTAAGCTATAATATGAATCATAACAACTAACGTCTAATATCACTGATTGCCACAAGTGCCTTTACGTTTCGTAGCCTGCTTTTCAACACCAGGGTGCCACCAGCTCATGGGGCTACATTACTGTAAGTGCTCGGGGAAGTCGCTGCCCTGTGTCCATCGTGTAGCAGGCTGTAGTTTTTCGGTGGAGTCTAGATGCAAGTTGCCTATCCGAGCACCAAAGGTCAGTATCATTCTGTATGACGAGGGATCGAGGCGTTTCGGATCGCCCGCCTCCTCAGGCAACAATAGGCCGTACCATAGGAGGGCGACGGGAAATTAGGTCGCTTACCATAATCGCTGTTAGCAAATTTACATGTATTCCCTCGGATGCACCTGATCAGAGGTCAGCACTAGTTTATATTCGCTATTTTCTTTGTTCCCTCAAGAGGCGACTTGAATCGGTCTTTTCTTTTGAAGTATAATAAAGGCATTTGGGGATCGCATACCTAGGATCCTTCAGGCAATGATGTGAAAGGTAGCAGTCATAGTCGTCGCACTCTGGTCCACGAGGACACACGCTCGTCCTGGCTTTGTATCTGTGGATGGCGACCTCTTGTGGGGTCAAGTCCACATTATGAACGCGCTCGCAGCCATTTCGTCGGCAGGATCCGACCAAGTAGTGGTCATTACAGAAAGCATTAGGAGCAACTTTCTCGAGCTTGACCTGATAGGTACTCTGAGCAGGCGAATTTGCGGGATGCTTCGTAGGTGGGTCAATGCGGCAGCCGTCGTAGTTGTAGAGGATAGTCTTGACAAGCTTTTTGTTCTTGGCAGTTTTAAGACTAACGTTTTGAAAATCGCTAGCACCGCCTGCCGTAGCATAGCTAATTGATGTTCCTCCATTACCAGAGTTCACGACAGAAGGAGTACGTGAGACCGTGTCGGCTTCAACTTTTGCCGCGGCTGGAGAAGGCTGGGACTCTGTGCTAGCCGGAGTCGGCACAAATCTGGGCATTTGCTCAGGTGAAGTTGCTACAGCTGATCTGGTACTTTCAGCGATGCTTTGTGTAATGGATGGCTGCCTAATAGGAGCTATTGGTGGCAACCCAGTCTCAGGCGGTGGTTGCATTGATCTGACAGGCAAGGGAAATGGGTGTTTAGTCTCATTGTCCAAAGGCTTCGAACGGAAGACACCATCGAAGCGAATGATAGGGAATCCCAATTTTTGGAAGTAAGGCTCTGCAGGTGTAGTCTCGACAAGAACGATCTTTTTCTGAAGATCCGTCTTATCACTGTACTCACGCAGGTCATGCAAATAACCGTTATCGTGACAGCACGCGACGAAGATTTTTCGGCACTGCACGTTCTTGTGGTAGTGACTAAGCATCTCTGTTATATTGTCAATACCCAAGCAGGCACGAGGAGAAAAGCCATGCTAAATTTCAAGTCGAATATAAACTCACTTCTAATCTTTGAGTCGGCATTTTCTTTACCTCTACATCGGCAAGCCAAGTCAGCTCAATGCATCAGGCAAACTAGACATATCGATACTGACCTTCCAACGTTGACAAAGTCTACTTCGGTACGACTGTTGGTAAGCTGCTCGGCGAATATCTTCATATCATCATCTCTATCGATGACCCTTGAAAGACGTAATGACTGCGCTAGACCATTGAGGTTGGCGTAAACACGGATGAGAACGGGAATATCGTCACCATTCAATTCGGGACATTCATTATCAATATAATTGCGGATCGCTTGCTTAAGGGCTTGAGCGGCCTGAGGAGCACCTTCCAAAGGGCTGCGCAGGAAAGCATCGGCGAATTTGGCTCCGTCGCCGTCTATAAGAACTGAAATAAAAGATCCCTCGTTCTATTGCCAAGTTAGCAGAGAGGCAGTAGGATGGAAATATTGTACTGCTTCACAATTCTCTGTTCAAGTCTTCCGTAAGATGACTCATATCGTTCTGCTTCCATCTGGAAGTTATTTCGTGACTTGTGTTCAGCTGCCAGGTCTCTTCTAAGTTGACCAATCTCATTTTGGCTGTCATCCAGTAATTTGATTAATCCCTGGGAAGATCTGTCAGCAGCAGACCAATATAGGTAAACTTGTAGTTCCAGGCATCCGAATCAGGTTCAGTCATAAGAATGCAATACTATGAGGTTGAGATGTGTGAGGGGAGTGACAAACGGTGGTGGTTTCGCAAACGTAACCTCAACAAGGTCTGGGCTCAATGAGAGCAGCTCGCGTATGGTAGGGACTCACGTTAATAACTTCATTTTTATTGTTGTCAGCATCGATGAAGCTTCCCATCCATTCTCGAGCGTCTCCGAGGATATCGTGAGTCTCTGCAACACATCGCCCTGCTTGAGCGCGAAGGTCCATTTTGAAAAAAAGAAATATGAAAAAACCGGCCGAGTATGTCTGCGTTAGAGACTCGGTGAACCAGGACACACCGGATGGTAGAATCAATCAAGGTTGACTATTGCTACCAACACTAAAGATATGGATATAAAGGGGTGCAGCCGCTTGCTTAGATAACAAAAGTCGAAAAAGTGATGGCTTGTCCGTCGAGGAAGCCCTGAAATTGCCTAAGTGGGGAAAATATTGTGAAGGCCTGAACAAGTGAAGTGAAGTCAAGTGAGGTTGGGGTTACATACACAACGCACTAACCTTGAACTAAGGTTGAAAGCCTGCAAGGTCAGCACCACATATTTTGTGCCAGTTACTGCCGGACGGGCAGAGGTGGTCCGTGTGTACTTCCGCACTGCTAGGTGAACGTTACTGACCGCTCCAGTATTGGAAAGACTGTTCATTGATTGAATTTCGCAAGCATTCTTCGACTCGCTATGGGTTGCGCATAGCAGAGTCCAGAGCGGAACTCTCTTCATATATCAAGCAGAAGAGCATAAGAGCCCACAGTCATAAAATGCTGATGGATGTGATATCTGCCCACTACTTACGATTGAGTGCTGCTAGAGCTAAGGTAGCTGTGAGTTTCGACCATCAAGCAACAGCTCATCTGAACTGTGAGTTTGAGAACTTGCGGAACTTCCAAATTATCATGTTTCTGGAAGTCATTCAATTCCATGCCTCTCGCCTCACAGTCGTGTGAGAATTCTGCTCTTGTCGTTATTTCACTCTCAAAAATCACCTAACCGAAATCCACCGACTTGCACGCGAACATACAATCAGCTCTTCCAAAGCCATAAGACCCAGCTTAACAAACTTTAAAACAAATTCGTCACAAATATACCATATAGACCAGATCGTGGCGTTTCTCAGGACCAGCCGCCACATTTTACCAATTTCTTTTTTCCTTTATGCAGGAGCAGAGTTGCGCAGTCCCCAGTATTTCTATAACCATCAAGCCGCAAGTGACACGAGCCCACAAATGGACAATTCGTTTCCCCAAGTAGAACAATAGAGTACTTTAACCTCAACTGCAGGCGTAGGCTATAATAGTCGTAACAGGCGCTGTAAGTGTAGCTGTATATTGTGGTGGCGGTCCGAAGCCCTGAGCTTGTGTTCGCACAGCTAGAGCACATCCATCACAACTCACTTGGGAAACCTCAGTAGATGTCGCCCGGTAAAGCGTTGAGACGACTCCAGCTACTTGAGATGGGTTGATGGTGAGCGTTGTTGTGCACGCGCGGGCGGCTTCTTGAATCTCCATGGTATAAGCGGGCAGCTGGTTACCAAAAGCCGAGTTTGATGCTATTATCCCCGAAAGGACCAGATATATCACACAGTCTATGAGTGACATTGAGAGCAGGGTGATGGCAAGGTCGAAAATGACGCGATTCGACTGCAATTGAAGAATTAGGTAAATACTCCGGATAGTGCTTCAACATGTTGTACTATAAATCCTGCGTCACGCGAAGTCGATTGAACATATGGTGAACGCATTGCTTATGTACACGTTGTCCGGAGTCGACACCTGGTCTCCGAGAGATGTCGTCCACAATCGGCATGCGCCAAATCGTACTTGACAGCGAACCTGTCTGCAATCTTAAAGGCCATCGTCCCAGTTTCTAGTCTTCGTTTCACGGAAACGTTTAAGCCAGCTCGTCTTTGTTCTTCCAACAGAACGTAAACTCGGTCGCAAATAACCACTTACAGTAGTCTGCTCAGCTTCATTTGGCAAAACGCGATAGCACGTTGCTATCGGATGGTCATCCACCGTTCATCAATAAGAGTATCGCCAGGCCGGATAAATTGGCTATACAGATTGAGATCCTAAATAATTTTGGGGGGTGGGAGGGGAGGTCGTCATGCACTCCAGAGCGACGTGTTGCTTTCGGACTTATAACAATGCTCAGGTGTATCTAAGTGCGCGATACTTCCGTGAGTAGTTAGTATCGAATGCGATATTCTCATGGACCTCTGATGCTGCTGCTCATTGTTTAAGCATATGCCTAATCTTGCTCTTGACCAGCGTGATTGGTAACAGTTGTTCCAGAGTTCTAAAAATTAAATATGCCATCAATACGAGTCAGGATTGAGTAGCAGGAAGCTCGCGTGGTGTTCGTCGCATCGAGTTATATGTAGGTGCCAGGTGGCGCATACAAAAGTTCACGGATGCTACAGTTGATTCCTCGTGGTCTTTAACTAATGAAATATGAAAAGAAAGAAGAAGAAGAAATAGTAAGAATAGCCCCGGAACCTGCGAACGCTGGCAAGGACTTTGAGTAGGAAGCCATTCAATATAGCACGGAGTACGGTGGGCTACCACGCTTGAGCTAAAATTGTTCGAGTTTGTATACTACGTATTGACAGCTTCATGGAGCTCAAAAACTAGTGTGGCCCCGGTTCTAGAGGTAGTCTTTGGACGGATAATTAGGCCAATAGGAGCATGCCAAATCTCGGACAATCAGCTTAATTTCCCGGGATGGTCCCCAGTTTCAGCAATTTCCCGATGGTAGTTCGGGAAACCGACAAACCAAACCTCTGTCTATAAAATTCCTGATCTTCGAACCGTGCAAAGGAATTTTGAAGTCTACATATCTCTTATTTCCGATTTTTCTTTGCATATCCCGATTTCGTGATGTCCGACTCCGCACAGAATGACGAAAGCGCGACTCGCCGTCGCAGACGACCGGCAACGTATGAACCTCACCACCCTCCCTTGATTCTATGATGACTAACAGCACTAATGACCAATTCTAGCTCCTGTAGCTTATGCAGAAAAAGGAAAACCCGTTGCAATCGGGCCATACCTTGTAGCAATTGTGTTCGTTCCAAAAATCCATCCTGCAGTTATGATACTGGGGTAGATGACACACATCATAAGCCAACGGAGTTGCTACCACTGCAGGTAAATGCTGCTTATGAAACTGAGGATAGTCGAAGCTTGTCGAGCTCGATTCCCAGGACTTCCACTCCGGGTCAAATAATTGCAACATCGGCCTCTAAAAATCGTGGCCAATCGGCATCGTCGCCCTCAGTAGTTTCAATAGCGCATTCTGTGGCATCAGCCCAGAGATCGCTACAAACTGTGGTCTTCACAGAGCCACAATCAGGTCAGGCTTCTTCCACCATTTCGTAAGTACATTGTTCTTTAACAGGTGACTTTATTTCTATGTACTACGGTTTTTACACGCACCTCAGTGGTGATATTGTGGGTTTAATTATCTACTGATCGATATCAAATGGACAAGCCAGGCGATGATAGTCTAGATATTGGTTGCAAGTAATTCTGATGGGTATTCAACTAATGATAATCAAAGGCTAATTGGGATTCCTCAGCAAGGCCTCGGGAACAGCCACTGGCCTTCTGACCAGCGACTTGCACAGTACCGATCGAGGTGTCATATCCAAGACTCGCTTATTTGGCCAAACTCATTGGATGAATGGCGCAATGTTGGTGAGAGTTCCTCGGCCCAATCTCTAGTACACAATACAGACTGAGTTACCTATAGTTACGACCCATGCTCGAAAGTTTCGAGCGTCTTGTTCAAGATAAATCCTCACAAGCATTAACAATGCTCAGTGAATGCAAGTCGTTGGCTAGGAATATCAAAGCCCACAGAAATCCTGATATTTCAGTGCTCTCATTAGCTAGCCTCCCAACCAAAGAAATAGCCGATAGATTGATTGATGGCTACCTACGGAGTTCTGAGTCTATCTTCAGGGTTCTACACATTCCGTCTTTCAAGAGAGAATATCAAGGCTTCTGGTCAGCTGTGGCAGATGGGACTTCCAACACACCTGCTGTTTACCGTCTCCAGGTCAAGTTAGTGATGGCCATTGGAGCAGCAACTTTTGATAAAGACTTCTCCCTGCGAGCCACTGCTGTCCAATGGGTACAGGAAGCGGAGACATGGCTTTCAAGGCCGTCTTCTAAGTCTCGTCTTAGTATACCTGCTCTGCAAGCCACGATTTTGCTTCACATAGCTCGTCAAACTACCGGTATTGGAGCTGATCTGATTTGGATCTCGACTGGGACTTTGATACGAACAGCGATTGCTATGGGCATGCACCGTGATCCCAAAAAGCTTCCGAAGACGTCATTATTTTCCACCGAGATCCGCCGAAGATTGTGGAATACCATTCTTGAGGTAAGCCAATATCAGACATATTTCTCTGTCAACATCATAATATGTTGGTCATCCAGTGCTGACCCAATAATTGTAGATTGCTGTTCAGTCTAGCATTGACTCCGGGGGTCCTCCTATGATTTCGTTGACCGATTTTGATACTGAACCGCCTGATAATCTCGATGACATGCATTTGACGACAGAAGATGAACATATTGCACCACAGGCAGTGGATATTTACACTCAAGTATCAGTGTAAGGCGGCCCGACTGAATGATTTATGCTTCAATCAAGGCATCATTGATGCTAGACTAGACAAGTTTCTTCCTTAGCACCAAAGATATCCTGCTGGATTGAACAAATTTTCTGACCAGTCGGCACAGGGCAATTGCTATGCGTCGTACATTTCCGATTCGTCTAGCCATTGCCAAGGCTCTGAATGATCTCCGACCAACAAAATTGTCATACCATGACTTGATCAGAATAGACGCAGAATTGAGAGAGGCGTATAAACAATTGAGCAGGCATCTGCACGGGTTCAAGGATCATACCACTGGGCCTTACGAGTTGCGCTTCGTTGATCTCATCATTCGCCGGTACTTCCTAGCCCTCCACTTACCATTATTTGGACCAGCCCTCCATGACGCAACCTTTGCCTATTCCAGAAGGGTCGTAATTGATACAGCTACGAAACTTTGGCAAACTACTTCGGGCGCAGATGATCTAGCTTCATTATCAGTATGCGGGGCTGGATTTTTCAGGACGATTCCGATTCAAGCGGCTTTAGTAATTGCAGCAGAACTTCGGGCACAACTGCTAGAAGAAGAATGTCTTGGTCCAAGGACTGCGCGACCAGACCTAGTTGCCATATTGAAAGAGTCGAAAGATTGGAGCCTGAAACGTATTGAAGCCGGCGAAACAAATATCAAGGGGCACCTTTCAATATGTGCGCTCATCGTAAGTCATCTACCCATGGAAATTCATGTCAATGTAATGACACACAACTCACATGATCTCCTAGGCCCAAATAGACGCAATAGCGCAGAATTTGTCGGATAACGAAGGATATCAGTCCTTTGTTGCTAGCGTCCAACAAGCATTGCACAGGTGCTTAGCAATATTACAGGCAGCTAGCCATGTTGCAACGATATCCGACAGCGCAAACGAGGTGGAAGAAGATTGGGAAATGCCTGATTTTCAGTTTGGTGTGCCAGAGTCCGAGGGATTCTTCTCGTTCGCGCCCAACTGGCTGTTGGGCGATATATTACCAAATGTAGCCCTTTGAAAGAGCTTCTCCGCAGCAATAACATTGCCGCAAATAATGATATTCTGGCAACTGGAAGATTGTGCTTTCTGGGAAACCACTTAGATTCAACTGGCCCTGAGTGTATATTCCCAAAGCAATCTGGCACGAAAACCCAAATATCTATAAACTTATACCATACTCCAGATATCTCTCTGAACATGTCTTAATGAGTTGCATATCGATAGCAGAGACAAACCCTTTCCGAAGTCTACATAGGGATGTGCGCTTCAGCACCGTGGCTTCAAGCAACTCATCCCTCTGGCTGGCGCCGCCGTATATGCCAAGTGCTTACAGCATTGCCATCTCATAGGACATCAGCAGGCAACATGTGTTCACGAGGCACGGATGTTCGCCAAGACTGCACTGCTTATCCTTAACGCCGTTCCCCAACATTCCATCAATGAAGAGGCCAGAATCAAGACTTCCCCGCATTTTACAATGCTTGATAGACATATAGCCTGATCCTTGCGACCAATAACAAGGTCACAGGTCGTCTTGGCCATCAATCTCTACGAATTCGAACCAAAGATTCAAGTAGGACTACCCGTGGACGTACCCAGCACGATATAAGTACGGGCGTCCCACGATATTTAGTCAAGACGGCCAGACGAGATATTCTCCTGGCTAGTATTAGTTCCCATAATAAGTGCTTGTCTCATTAGTCGTGGGCATCGACTGCGGACAATATGGCCATCATTGGTCGAAAAGAAGAGCTGGGAGACCCACGGGTTTCTGATATCGCACGCAACGACACCAAGAAATGGTACCACAAGCCCAACCTCCGTTTCCTATACCTTATCCTTGTGCCTTGTGGCCTGGGTGTCGAATGGACCTCCGGATTTGATTCATCAATGATGAATAGCTTGCAAGCTGTAGCTTCATGGGTTGAATGTAGGTAGTGCGATGCTGGGCGAAAGATCATGGACTGATTAGCCATCAGACTTCAACAACCCCACTAGTGATCGGCTCGGTCTTCTGAACGCGATGTATTCTTTGGGTGGTCTAATGGCTGTGCCATTTGTCCCCAGCGTGTCGCAGTTACTGGGCCGTCGTTGGACGATTGCTACAGGCTCACTGATCATGTTTCTCGGAGCCGGGTTACAAGCTGGCGCTCTGAACCAGGACATGTTCTTGGCATCTCGCTGGGTCCTTGGCTTCGGTATACCATTTGCCATAGTCAATGCATCTTCTCTCATCGGTGAGCTATCATACGAAAAGGAGCGGCCGTTCATGACATCTCTTTTCAACGCTTCCTGGTTCGTCGGTGCTATCGTCGCAGCCGGCACAACTTACGGTACTTTTCAAATGAGCAGTACTTGGGCATGGCGGCTTCCGTCGCTGTTGCAATTCGTGCCAAGCATGTGCCAGTTGTGCTTCTTGCCATTCTGCCCAGAAAGTCCACGTTGGCTCGTTTCGAAAGACCGGAGCGATGAAGCCTTCGCCATACTGTCAAAGTATCACGGAGAAGGCGAACACGGCGAGGAATTTGTCCGCCTGGAATTCGCCCAGATACAGAGTACGCTCGCGCTGGAAAAGGAAACAGAAAAGTCATTCATCTGGGCAGATGTGTTTCGAGACGCGCCAATGAGGCGCCGATTTCTGCTTGCGGTCATCATTGGTATTTTTACTCAGTGGAGCGGTAACGGGCTTTTGTCTTTTTACATGAAAAAGATCCTCAACCTCGTGGGAATTAATGACAACCTGACGATTCAGAGAATCATACTGGGCAAGAGTTGCTGGGATCTCGTAACAGGAGTGCCCATCGCCTTGACTGCGCCTCGGTTCAGACGCAGAGTCATGTTCCTTACCTGTACGTGCGGAGCGGCATGCGTTTACGTGGCTTGGTAAGTACTTAAACCAGCTGTCGTGGTTCCTCGAAAAATGTTGTTTCGAGGCAGCTTCAGTTTCTATCATCCTGCTTTCTTCTATTTCAATGAGAGGAGAAAAACTAAGATGCGACATGAATCCAGGACGATTGCTTCGGCACGGTATGCCATTGACAACACAGCAGCAGCTGGCATTCCCGTACTGGTCTTCATTTTCCTCTACTCGCCGTAAGCTCGTTAATCATGCTCCCAAGATCCCTAGAGGCTAATCACCCAACAGGTTCTACAACCTCGGCTGGAACGCACTGACCTATACCTACCTAGTTGAGATATTTCCGTATAGTCAGCGCTCCAAGGGCATTGCTGTGGAACAGCTGGCGGTGCGCACGGCTGTCTTCTTCAACACCTACGTCAACCCGATTGCTCTGGACAAGATCGGATGGAAGTACTACATCGTCTACTGTGTGTGGATTCTCGTCGAGATAACGACCGTCTATCTCCTATTTCCGGAAACAAAAGGCCGCACGCTGGAAGAACTCGCCTTTATGTTTGAGGGCCGCGAGGCTCGGGAGAGGCAAGCCCGCGGTGTGGAAAAACAGCTGGAGCTGGAGCTGGAACCGACTACTATTCACGTTTCGGATACCAACCACTCAAAGGCTTGAAAGGAAACGGCATATAATGGCTCTTCGTGGTACTTTGCCAAAGACCTCTACTGGCGGAAGAGCTTTCTCAGCAACGGGCTGAGTAGATTGTCTCCGTCCTTGGAAACCGCACTCTAAGACTACCAAGCGGTAGAAACAAAGCTTGCGCTTCGATTTACCGATGCCTATATAGCCCATATACTATTCTGAGCAGTGGCTCATACCTCTGTCACGACTTGTACGCAACGAGCGATTTTTATACTGGATGTCTCATATTATACTAGTCTTCATACACGCGAGTAAGACTGCAATTATTATATTTTGGGTGCTTCATTAATATATCATACTGTGATAGCGATTCCGTACTACAAGCACACCTGGCCGCATCATGTCTCAGTCTACCGACTGTATAATGGGGCTCTATCGGCTATCATGCACCAGAAAACAGAGTTATTCATCCGAAGTCTTAGTTGTACAGCAATACCTGAAGCTGTATCTGCCATCATCTTAACATAACCAACCAGCCCACGACCTGACCAGCGCGAGATTGTAGTTCTCGTCAAGAGACTCAAGATGGACTTTGTTAGGTACTCTGGTTTTCTATAATACATGCTATACGGTGGCAATGACGGGAACAATGTGTTGAGTAGCCTCCATACATGCAATACTTCGAGCAGCTAAAGAGAACGCGAAAAGCAGATGGACTTGCATCCAGTGTATATTTTATCTAGTCTAGTCCACAAGCTTGGTTAATCGTGTCAAACCCTCTCGGTCAACTCTCATGCCAACCCAATCATGCATTGCCTTAGCCCCTATCGACTCGTAGAACTTGATGCTGGGCTCATTCCACTTGAGAACGACCCACTCGAGTCTTCCGCCATCTGTAGCCACGACTTCCTTGGCCAGCTCAATCAAGAGTTTCTTTCCGTAGCCCTTCTTGCGTTCTGTTTGCCTGACGTACAGATCCTCAAGGTAGATGCCGGCCTTGGCTCTCCATGTGCTGTAGTTATAGAAATACAGAGCCATGCCACATGGTTGTCCGACTTCGTTAAATAGCAGCAGGCAGCGGGCTGGTCGGGTTGGCGATGTGGGCTCTGTGTTGGGTGCCGTGGATGTTGACTCTACACCATCGGGAGCAAAGGCAATGGTAGACAGGAGCGTTTGCTCAGTCGCCTCAACTGAATTGAGCTCCTTTTCATAGTCGGCAAGCTCTTTGATCAAGTCCAGAATTATAGGAACATCTGTCCGCTTTTTAGCAGGGTCTGCGTCGTTGACTAATGGAACTTCTTCATACCTTCTTGACGAGCATGTCGAACTGTACAAGCTGTCGGTGCCATTTTGAAGCTCAGTGGTGTAGTCCTGTTTTGATATTTTTTTCACGGCCAAGACTCCATAGACACTCCCAATTGATTGAGTACTTATAGTTCTCCAAGTGATGTTGACTTTCTTGACGCCGCTCAAAGTCGAGGTTGGATGTTGGCGCCCTTCTTGTCGACTAACTTTTTCAGCGGGGCAGATGCAGCTTTAGTGACAAAATGTTGGTGCAAGGACGGGGTTTAATGCCTGCCAACTGCCAACCCGTCAACTGCATTCGAAAGGGAAGCCATTGAACGAACATGGTCACCATTGCAACTGCGCAAGTTGGTTATGAAATAATAAGTTTGCCGTTGTTATCGATACCCTGGAAGACTTTCATGTCTGACGATCGTGGTTTTGACGGCGCAGGCTGCACAGGTGCCCCCCAAGTGATCGACCATTTTGGTTTGGCCCCTCTGGGTTTCTCTTTCACGACGGGAGATGCCTGCCAAACCATACTGTAGATGCCACGCTTGAGTGATCTCGGCTTGAAGGCCCGTACTCCTATCGGCGGCTCGTCATGATGAGATTGTCCTTTGGGACTTCCTGAAAGTGCCTTAATCCGCCTCGAGTTCTTTCTCTCAAGCTTTCTGATCGGCGTGGTAGCATACTGCTCCCAGTCCCAACTTGCCATGCCAGGGCGCGCTGCTGATAAAGAGTTGTTGGTTTTGAATGACACCGCCACGGGTCTCCTAGGAGGAATTGTCCACGTAGTCCCAGGGGCATCGCCACTTGCCAAGGCCTTCAACGCATCCCATTCTCCCTGTGGCAGTGGCGGCATGAGTGAGGCAAGGACACTAGTCCAGTGTTTTTGAAGCTTGTTGGTCATCTGTGTCGGCTTGAGATCTGAGCCCCAGCAGTTTTCCTTAACAACAGAGGTTCTGGGATCAACAGTCCGTCGTACTTTATTGTTCTTGACCCAATCGCTCGTGCTCTCCTGACGTTCGTACTGGGACTCGGCCAGGAGCCTGACCTTCTCCAGATCCCACTTGTACATCCAAGAGGACTCGGCCGTGGGCGGCATGTGATGCTTCTGGGGTTTATTGTTGCTGGGCTTGCTGTCCGCAGGCTGTCCCCATGCCGCCAACGATAGCGCGCGCATAGGGTTATTCGATGCGTGGTGGCCGTTCTCCAGTGCCGTCAGATCCTCGGGGGCTGACTTTGACAGATACGCGCCAGAAAGCTGCCGTCTTCGTTTTCCTATACGGCCAGTGGCCAGGAGACAGATGCGCAGCATGCGGTCGACATGGCCGGCGTTTGCGGCACGCAAGAATCGCAATTGACGGTGGGCGACTTTCATGTAACGTTCGGGATGCTCAGCATGTTGGCAATGGCGAAATCGGGATTTGACGTGTTCGAAAGTCCATGGGCGCGCAAGAGGGGGTAGGTAAGTGGCTTCTCGTAGAATGTGCCGGTAGAGATGCAGGGCTGTGTTCGGATGTGCATGTGGAATCTGAAGGGGCATGGCAACGAGTTCAAACAGGACTGAGATTATGGACTACTAGCGATACATTGACTGCTGGTGCTGGTGGAGAGTGACCGACAGGAAGGAGAGAAATGAAGTATGTAGACTACAGAATGTATTTTGTCTTCGCAGTAGCTCTACGCGATGGTGCAAGACCAAAACCCCAGGTTTCTGTCCAGGCTGTCTTCTCAACACTACGGACCCGTGCTGTAAGCACTAAAATACCCCGAAAGCTTGGGGAAACTCATGTCGATTTGGAGAATATGTGATTAATGGTTTGGCAATGGCATGGGCATCGTATGTTTCCGAGTACTCGTAGCAGAGCTTGAGGAATAAGGGCAGGCGTCGGTGTTTTCGCATTGCCGCTGCAGGCAATCTACGTTACAGCATAGTCAGTGCATAACCTATCATAACCTAGCTTGGGTGAATCCCCCCGAGTCTCTACCTCTGCCGTGATGAATGATGCTGGAGGTAACTAACCTACTGTAACTCAATCGGTATGGATCCCCCCCCCCCGTCTTCCCGCCAATGGCGCTGTGTCCAATTTTCGCGCGTCATTTTGGCGCGCCCTCACCCGCGCCCTCGTCCTCATTTCCACGCTTCACGCTTCCCACACCCTCAGGCTTCACGAAACTGACACGTCTTCCCCCCCAGGTCGCGTTACAGGCTTAATTGATTCCTCCTTTCGGCATGATATAGCTTTTTGGGTCGTCACTGAGCACATGAGCGTATTCCTGAGCGAATACTGGAGGCCTATCGAGCTACATCGTAATTTGCTGCTTCATGTCGGTTGCTGTAGGCAAGTCGCATAATTTGGGAAGCGCTACGCTAGCAATAATCCCATTCTTTTCTCCATGCTCTGAACTCTGAACTCTGACCTCTGACCTCTGACCTCTGACCGAGTCGACATCTCGACCTCAATTCCATTAGCCGCCCTACCCTACCCTTGAACGGCAACACCACCTCGTCCAGTTCTTGCAATACGCCTGCCAAAGAAACATCGCCGAAGCTGCTCCTCCCACAACCGCCGTCCGAGCTGCTCTATCCGCCCTTCTTCTGAGATCTGTGGCTTCCTTAAATTGAACCACGTCCAAGGGCGCATCATTGCACCCGGAGGCAGCTGATGGCCTCAACAACCTTCACAAACTCCACGACCGCCCCCACCGCCCCTGCAACCGGACATACTCACCGCGCATCCTTCTCCTCGTCGGCACCGCAACCTCTGGTGACCTCGTCAAGCAGCTATCTGAATGCCGCTGGTCACAACACCAAAATGTCGCAACCACAGCCCTCCTCCCAGTCGTCACAGTCCTTCGCCATGAGTCAGGCGTCTGCGTCGCAAAGCTTTCGGCCATTCGCAGATCCCCAGCCCCGGCCAAACCAGCCCAGCGCCTCGGAGATATATTCCGTAAGTCTTGCTTCACAGGGCCAACGAGCCATTTCCCGGACTGACGTGCCTGTGCACATAGGCCAGTTACTCTAGCGTCGAGGTGTACGAAATGGAGGTCAATGGAATCGCCGTGATGCGCCGCCGGAGGGACAGCTGGCTTAATGCGACACAGATCCTCAAAGTTGCTGGCGTCGACAAGGGAAAGCGCACCAAGATCCTGGAAAAAGAGATTCAGACAGGCGACCACGAAAAAGTCCAAGGCGGCTACGGCAAGTATCAGGGAACCTGGATCGGATTCGACAGAGGCCTCCAGGTCTGTCGGCAGTATGGTGTTGAGGAGATACTGCGGCCTCTCCTGACATATGATATGGGCCAAGACGGAGGTATTGCTGGCAGCGGAGATTTCAACACCCCGACGAAAGAACAAGCTCTTGCGGCTCAGCGGAAGCGCATGTACAGCAGCATGGGCAACGAAGGGCGGACCAATGGCTCCTCGGGTACCTTTTTCAAGAACATCTCAAGTACGGCGTCCACTGCAGTCGCTGCTATCAGCAAGGCTCGCTTCGATTCGCCAGGCCCCCGAGGTCGCAACGGTCCCTCGAGACCCCCGAGCTTCAGTCGCCAATCATCCATGCAGAACGCAGATGATTTCCCAAGCAACTCCCAGCAAAGCTTTGCTTCGGAATATGGTTCACAGGTGGATTCGGCCTACTCTACGCAGAACACCCAACTATTCAATGGCGAAGAACCGCCGCGGAAGAAGCAGCGGGTTATAACACCCAGCGAAAGTTTTGTGCATCCATCGTCACAGCAATATGCATCACAGTCGATGGAACTCTACGCCAACAATTTTCCCGGCTCTCCCACTGAGCCCAACGAGTCTTTCGTCTATCACGAAGCCGGTGTTGGCATGGAAGGCGCTGGAAACGGCGTACCACTGCCCCCACTACCATACGAAATGTCTCACGAGGCTGAACAAAGACGAAACCTTCTGATGGGATTATTCATGGACTCAAATGCCAAGGATTTCGCAAAGACTGAGGCCTTGCAGAAGTTGAGCCCCGCGGAACTCGATTCACCGATAGATACTTCTAGCCATACCGCACTGCACTGGGCAGCCACCTTAGCTCGGATTTCTCTGCTACGCGCTCTCATTTCAGCTGGTTCGGACCCATTCCGTGTCAACGGACTCGGGGAAACAGCGCTAATGAGAGCTTGTGGTGTAACCAACAACTCAGACCAGAGCTCATTTCCGGAACTGTTGGATGCTCTAGGTAGTACTATCGAGGTCAGGGACAAGAAGGGCCGGACTGTATTGCACCACATCGCCGTGGCCAGTGCTGTAAAAGGTCGCAGCCAGTCCAGCCGATACTATCTGGAAAGTCTGCTTGAGTGGGTGGTCAGACAAGGAAGTGCGCCGAGCAGCCAGACTACAAGTGGAATGAAAATCAATCTGGGAAGGTTTATGAGCGAAATCGTAAATGCCCAGGACAATTCCGGTGACACAGCGTTGAACATCGCTGCCAGAATAACCAACCGCAGCATCATCTCGCAACTGCTGGAAGTAGGAGCCGATCCAGGCATTCCCAACAACACTGGACTAAGGCCCGTCGATTTTGGTATCAAGGGCAATGGCCTCGAAGATGGCCTCAATGGTGAGGCGATAGATGGAAATGGTACTGTGGACGATAGCCAAAAGAGTCGTGAAAGCAGTGACGATATTATCAAATGTAAGCGACTCGTAGCCCTGCGGACTAAGTTCTTAGACTAACCTTTTTTTTTTTTAACAGCAATTACTGATATGTTAACCGACACTGCAACAAGCTTCCAATTGGAGCTGAAGAAAAAACAGACAGATCTAGATTCATTGCATGCGTCCTTGAGGACAACATCGCAGCAGCTGGGTGATGCGAAAAGGGACCTTGACTCGTTACAAGAACGAGCTCGAATACAAAATTTGACCCGACAGAAGATATACAACCTAGCCCGTGGGCGTGAAGAAGAGCAAGCTCGTCTTCAGCAAATCGAACAGAGTCACGGCTCACTGGAGCCTGGTGCGGCCGCCTGGGAATCCGAACTTGCTGCTTCGACGCCAATCGATGTTGCCACCCTACCAAGCTCAACCATATTACGTACAAGGATACAAGCCCTTCGTTCAAGGAGCGAAGGCACACGGAAGACGGTGGCGTCGTTAAAAAGCAGAAGCAAAGATGTCGAAGTAAAGTATCGCAGGGTCGTTGCGCTTTGTTCCGGTGTGCCTGAGGCCGACGTCGATGCTGTCATTGACGGTCTACTGAGGGCTGTTGAGAGTGAGAAGGATGGGCTGGAGATAGGCCGTGTACGGAGGTTTCTTGGCGGTGTGGATGGCGTTGCATGATTGGTCATACCATTTGGCTGGCGTTCCCGGCGTTTTTGAAATGAGTCAAAAGCTCAGTGGCTTCTATATCATGTGATAGGGCGCGACAGCCTAGTTGGTCTATATAGTTCAGAATTTGGGAAGTAGTGATGGTGAAGAATCGATAATCCTTCTTAATCAAATGTGCTCTAGGCTGATACCATTGAGAACAACGGCGGACGCCGCTTCATCAAGCAGTTTCATCTTGCCTCCCCCCAGCACGAAACCACCACACGCAATTTTCACAATCCTGACTCCCGCATGTTTCATATTCAGCGCAAGGTGCTTGTCCATGTAGGCTGCCAAGTTGTCCGAGAAGTTCTCGCCCTCACCAACGAATCCGCCCACGTCCTCAGCTGGAATGGCAATGTCTATCGACCGAAGTCCCTCACCAGGAATCTTGTCGCCAAACCCCAGGGCAATAATGACGTCCTTTTTCGTGCTCAGGCCACCATCTCCCAGCCATGTCTCAAATACACTGATCAATGTGGCCGGGTTTGGGATCAGCGGTGAGATGCGCGTGTCGAACGTCTGCGCCAGGAAGCGAACCACGGCGTTCCGGATCGGCGCCGGCGCATATAGCAAGAGCAGGCTGCGGGAGAGGAGGACAAAGACGAGAAACGTGCTCTTCTCGTAGGCGAGCTCGACCCGATGTCTGATATCCTCGGCGTCCTCCTCGTCCACTTGCCAGTCGATTGCGTTCAGAGTCCCCGAGTCCCCGACGGTGCTCTCGTCAACCGAGACTTCCACGCCGCGTACCGTGTCGCCGGCTAGGTAGTCACGCAGGCGCTGCGAGAGGATGCTGGGGTCCGGTGCCGTGACCGACGAGGCCACCCGCATACAATGCACCGTGAATGTTTTGTTGATGTCCATGGCGATACCATGTGATCTCCCAGTACCGGATTGTTGGCTCAATAACGTAAGAAAATAAGAATATACCACGTGGAGGGGAATGGTCCTGGCCAAAGGTATGTTCACAGCACAATTAGGCTTTAGTCTTCCTTCCGTGCAGAGCCAATGCTTTGATCTCACCCGACCGGGCTCGGTGTGGCATATGCGTACACCCAGGCACCTTGACTTTGTGGTTATAGTCGTGCAGGATATAATAGATGTGCATATCAAATCAGGCTTGGTATAACTATCCAATTAGTCGCGTCTCATCTAACGCGTCGTTAGTGGGAAAGTGGCAGTGGTGGGGCTGGGTCCTCCTTGGGGGGCGCTGCTTGTCTCACCCCGCCATTTGAGAGCAACGTCATTGACAACAGATGAGCAGTCGTACGTTTGTTCCTACACTCAAAACCGAGACTAGGTTAGACTAATGTCTTCAAGACTTACATCTGCGGCTTCTTTTCACTTCAAGGTCGCTCAGGAAGTGTAGCTCTCGCAAGCTACTACTCTTACATGTACAAGCGTCCAAAGCTCATGGAGGCTTTTGCACTAATTATGCTGAACTACACATATTTGTAAACATTCTCCATCCGAAAAAAGTAAGGTGAACTTCTGAAAGGCGGGATCAGGGAAAGTGGGAGCCAGGTTAATCCCAGTTTCTGTACGCCGGCATCAAAAGCCCTTGCTACGATACATCGCCCCCCAAGACGCCCCATCACAACAGAGCGATGCAAACGGGATGTCCAGTAGATGATACAGGGGTTTCCTTTTCCCCCCAATTCATGAGGTTACCGCCCGAGATCCGTCATAAGATTTGGCTTGCTGCCATACCGTCCCCTGGTATCAACTTCTTCAATGTGCACAGCTTCCCCAACGACCATAAAGGCGCGAACAGAAGCACGTCACCACCAAATTTACACCTAGACCTCCGTCGTAAATACAACTCGCACAACGACCAGGACGTCGCGAGGTACGATGCTTCAGTTTGGCAGGCCCGACACGCTCTTCGCCAGTCATGTCGAGAAGCCCGGCTCATCTGCGCAATTCCCGGGGACAAGCTCATCCGACTGACATTGTCAATTCCTAAACGCGGTCTGTTCACCGAAGCTGGAGATGGGCTCCAGAGATCTTTGACGCCGATGGAGCATCCTGCTGCTGAACATGAGGCAACCGTGTATCGCCAGGTCCATGTCCATGCAGACGACATGGTGGTTCTATCGGTAGAAAATCATAGCTTCAACATCTTCTTTGAAGAGTCTACCGTCTTCGGCCCTGTAGATGACGATATCAATTTGGGCTGGTCGTATGACCCGCAATTTAGGGACGGCATATCGCTGGGTATCCCCCCGGGCAATTTCTGCCTCGAAATGATACGTGGCAGGACGGGCGACATCGAAGAGATTGCTGAAGCGTTATTTGTAGCCGCTACAGGAAATGACGAAAACAACGACAGTGTCAGAACTTTCGGAAACATGATGTTCACTAGCAAGACGATGGAGAGAGAAAGACTCCATCGAGAATTCCGCGACAAGAGTTTAAGGAGATTCTGGGACAAGTATGGAGACTGTTATGTTGCTATCCCATGGAACCATGACGACTTGGCAATGGCATCACAGATTGTCAAGCTTAGCCCTGAAAAGGAAACTTCTATGCGGAGGGGCTATGTGACTTCGGCGATACTCAAAAGTCCAAAACGACTGGTAATGTCATAGCACGGTAGGTATCACATGCTCAGCAGTTGGAAGAATTGCCACACTAACGGAAGAGTTAATGAATTCGCTACGCAATGATCTCTACAATCCAATGAAATACAACAAAGACCGAAATATCATTCTTTCGCTCGGACCACGTGTTGAGTGCAAATGCTCAGACATGGGCTAGACGGTATCAACCCGACACTGCCCAATCGAAGACATCAAACGCGATCTTCTGGGAACTCAGAGGGTGTTCGGGTTTCCTGGACCTTTGAGAATCGTCAGCTCTTGGATGCAGTCAATAAATTCAAAGAAATTTAGTTACCTGGAGGGTTGTGCGGCGGCACTGTAGGCTTCACTGTCCGCAAAGTGACTTGGACCTTGTCACTCGAAAACTCTGTGCTCGAATCCCAGTTGAGAGTCCAGAGGTTCGTGTCAGCATCTGGTAGCGCATACCATTTCGTTTGTAGAGCACCAGTGGAATCCTCCCAGGCGGCTGTGTTACCGTAGAAAACGAACCCAGTAGTCACCTCATCACTACTGGTAGTAGCCCCGGCAAAACCAGTCTGGTGGGTGGTGGTTGTATCGCTAGGAAGGAAATAAGTCACATTAGACCACGACGGGGCCGTCTCGCCTGGCGCGACGAGAGGATTTCCGACCATAGTCGTTGTACTTTCACTGCTGCGTATGACTGTCCAATTTGGTGAGCAGTTGCTCGTATATGAGTGAACAGGAGAGTCGCCAACTTACACAGGACCTGAGCTGCCTCAGTGTCGTTGGCTAGCGAAGCATTGCCCAAATACGCAAGGCCTTATTTTGTTCAGCGAGAGCCAGGCATAGGACGGTCGAATTTAGATGGGCACATACCATTCCAGTTGAAAATCGAAACTCCACCAAAGCCTTCGCCATAAGCATACAGCTCGAAGACATTGTTCGGAACACCAGGACCAGGCGCCTGACTGTCCGAGCCTTGCGGTGCTGCAAGAGTGAGCAGAGGCAAGAAGCCTAGGGCGATGATAGTTGAATGCATCATGTAAGTGATGGGAAGTGAAGAATAAAGTTTGCGAAACTTGGCAACAATGTAAGACACAGATGCTGAAGAACACGACTGGGCAGACATATATTAATCAAGGCGCAGGTTTCTTCTCAACGAGTTGCACGTGCCGGTCGAGACCTTTCGCACTCTCGCCTAAGCCAAACCTTGACCGTGGCAGGATATAATTAACATATATAATGACACCCCAATACTGTACTTACAAGGCATGTTGTACTGCCGCCGCCGGAAAGTGGGCAGAGTTGCATCGGAGACTACGTCGCAGTTCGGTAAATACAAGACAGGACGACTGTAACCATGATCAAATGAGGTGTAAAATATCCAGAACCTCGGTGGCTTCAATACTGCAACATGTGGATTACAACCAATAATCCTGCGAACGGACCTTGCATCTAAGGTCATGAACCCGGAAGAGGCAAGTTGTTAAGGTGTATCGGAGTTCGTGACCCACATTACGGATGGTGACCAATCGATTGACCTGAGCTTACCTCCGATGCCTGTATTTAACAGTCGGCAAAAGCCGAGCCTCATTGGTGTCGCTGCACGTGTAAGGGGCCCGAATCAATGGAAAGTCCAGGTGCAGCGGCTAAAGCGCGGGCCAGAAAAGGTTCTGTCTAATCATCGCCAGATCTCCTAAATCTCAAGATAGTGGGCTGTTCGTACCTGCATGTCCTTAAGGACGCCTCCCATCGCCCTACACGGTAACTTGTTGGCATGTATGTTAAACTCAACCTTGCACTTGACTTTTTAGGCCAACTCGGCCTTGTCTAAAGTGTTGGACGACAAAGGTATTTTCGAGACCGACGACGCCGTAATACATCTTCCAGACGCGAATGAGCAGTTATACCTTACGGCAGAGACCAACGCTTGCCGCCACAGAACCCTATCCATCTCCACGGTCATGTCTTCTTCGTTCTGACCAAGTGGCTAGCTCGTACGCCTTCGACGCAGTGCTGAACTTGCTCAACCCGCCTCATGGCCAGGTTGCCGGCACCGGTGGATATCTTGTGATGCTCCGGGAGACTGATAGCCCGGGTATCTGGGCTACTCCGGTTGCCATACCGGTGATGGTCTTGGCGTTGCAGTTCGCGAGCGGCTAAGCGGGATTGTCAACGCGATTGTCAACACGATGGTTCGGCCTTTGTGAACAACAATTGCAGTTGGAAAGGCAAGTTCCAGGAAGCGACCTCAAGGTTCACCTTAAACTACAAGTTTTGGGCTACCACAAGAGTATTTTGCTCCGACGAGTTTCTTTCCTTCTCCTACTGTCTTGTTCTTTTCTTCTTCGTTTTCTTTCCTATTCCATGAAAAAGGTCTCTTTTCAAGAATAACTCTTCCATTTTCAGCACCTTTTCGTCGGGTTTTCCTCCCATTTCTCCTTCTTTTTAATGTGCCCATTCTCATATTTCAAAGGAAGCTCTCTTAACGGTGCCAGCCTGCACAGTTCTTTCAAAGACTGTTCCTCACAGCAAGTGTCGAGAGAAAAATCAACGCCATTCTCGGAAATAACACGGGTTGCCATTCCTATGCCCATGGTGGTAAGAGCCCCTGCGATCACGCAAGCCCTCGTCTCATGGTTCACCCGCAATAAGGGTAGGGAAAACGCGAGAAAACAAATGGAATGAAAATGCCCGGGCAACTGATCATTGATAAGCTGGAAACTAGGTGTGAAACATGCGACGCAATATCCGTTCTACCAGCGTACGTGGGTTAAGTACCAACAATGTTGAAGTGACAATCATCCTGCTACCTTACCCAAGAGGCACCTTCACCATGATTGCCTAGTCGGTTTTCTCCATACGTGACGCTAAGGGGAGCGACTGCCGTGCTAGACAGAATATACTCGCTGTGAATCTTGGCAGACAACCGGCTTGTGATAATTCGGTCATGATTTCGGAGTTAAGCACGCCATTGACGCCTCAGTTTAGCTTTAGCTTTCGCCTGCATGTACAATTCTGCGCGATCTAAAAGCATGGCTCTGTGACGAAACTTTTACAGGCACCGTGGAGTAGGGCTATGTCGCGATTAATGATGATCAAGGCGTGCTTCCCCTCCCGACCAATCAGGTGTTGCCAATTGGAGGAGTATGCAACCTTATTCAGCTTAGAGGGTATTGTGCGATTGATCTATTTCATCATGCGGCTTGGGCACGCCTACAGCCTACCCGGTATCCGGTAGTCTGGAAAACCGTTGATTAAAGCACGGTTCTTGCGCGACGCGATGGATTCATGGTTCCCGTGCTGGGAAAGCTCTGGGGAATAGTTTCTTTTTTCCTATCTACTACCGGTGCTACAGTCCCATATCGATAGTTCCCCGTACGCCACGTGGACCTGGCTTAGATTTCATTAAGGAAACATCGCTATCATTCGCTGTAAGTGGGGGTTTTCTTACAATAAGGCAATCCATATGCGGCCGAACGTGCATGTTCAACTTCGAGGCACGACATTGATATAATCATGACCGATGGTCTCCCACATGATAAAAAGCTATTCCAGACCTGAGTCTTTCACCTGCCGAAACGTTTCTGGGTCCTGAATACTAATGCTTCACACGTAGTGACAGCACCAATTAATATCACAACGCCCAAACCGATAATTACGAACCCTCTGCGCAACAATGTCTGTCCGCGCAGACGGCGTGGTAGATGAGAAGAGGGCCAATGGGCCCACTGAAAGCCCACCCGCGTCAGACGCTGAGATTGCGGGCAAGTACATCGATGAGAAATCGCTGCTTCGAAAGCTTGACGCACGTCTACTTCCCGCCGTTGGTATCTTATATCTGCTGTCGTTCTTGGACCGCAGCAATGGTAAGATGATCCCCTTATGAGATATAACGTCCGTTGAGCTAACAACGATTTTTCTTAGTCGGAAACGCCCGCATAGAGGGAATGCTGACCGATCTTCACATGAGTAGGTGGAAATCGCTCCCCGGGGAGGCCCCCCATCCACTAACACACATGTCTCTCCAGCTCCCGACCAGTATTTGAACGGCTTGACTCTGTATTTTGTGGGATACGTAATATTCGAGGTGAGCTTTGCTATGGCAATTAATCAAATGCCGAGTTGCGAGCGGAAAACTCACGATCACGCAGATTCCTTGCAACGTTGTTCTGAAAAAGACATCGCCAAGAATATGGCTTCCCACTTTAACGATCGCATGGGGCGTGGTTGCAACGCTACTCGGCATTGTCCAGAGCTATCCGGGATTCTTGGTTGCAAGATTCTTCCTCGGTGTGACAGAATCCGGTCTCTTCCCCGGTGTTGTATACTATTTCTCCATGTGGTATAAGCGACGCGAGCGTCAGTACCGAGTGTCGTTATTCTTCAGTGCAGCTTCGCTTGCCGGTGCATTCGGTGGTGCTCTAGCCTATGTAAGTTCGGCTCCCGATCTATGAGAAATTGTCACTGACATGGAATAATAGGGCATTGGGAGAATGGGCGGGATTGTATGGGCTAATGGTTGGCGCTGGATTTTCATTCTTGTAAGTTGCCGAAAAGCTTGGGTAAAGTAGTGTAACCACGATGCTGATGTTGCACAGGAAGGTATACTTACGGTCCTAGTGGCCTTCAGTGCTTACTGGTATGTTCTCCCGTCATGAGAGCGAACGAACCTATATTGATATTGCTTGTGCAGGTTCATCCACAATTATCCCAAAACCTCGAAGTTCCTAAACGAGGACGAGCGCCAATTCATCCAAGAGAGACTAGCTGCGGACTCAGACGCCACACACGAGGAGCATTTTACCTGGGGGGCTGTATTTGAGGCGTTCAAGGATCCCAGCTGCTGGCTGTATGGTCTTGGTTTCCACACAATGAGTCTGCCGCTCTACACGCTTTCCCTGTTTTTGGTAAGTCAGCAACTCAACCGCAGACATCCAACCAACAGAATATTGACCGAAGCTGTAGCCCACTATTATCAACAATCTCGGCTATTCAGCTGCTACCGCCCAGCTGTTGACCGTCCCGCCATACGCCTTTGCTTTCATCACAACAATTGCTATTGCCATCCTCTCTGAGAAACTTGGTCAACGTGCCATCTTCATAGCTGGATCATCACTCTTGTAAGTGTTAGGAACGCGTCGAGTTACCGAACACTCCTGGGAACTCCCATATCTGGCTCCTCACGGTTGGGTGTATTCGGCTTGACAATGAGTTGATAAAATTACTGACAATAAATCCCAATAGCGCGGCGATCGGATACTGCATCTTGCTCGGAAACACGCATCCCACGGCACGACCAGGCGTCTCCTACGTAGGCATGTTCTTCGCCGCCGGCGGTATATACCCAGCGGTTGCCCTAGTGCTGTCATGGCCAGCCATCAACGTGTCTGGGCAGACCAAGCGAGCCATCGCCAACGCCATGCAGATCAGTATAGGAAACTGTGGCGCTGTCATTGGAACCCAGCTCTACCGATCTACCGACGGTCCTCGCTTCGTCGTTGGCCACAGCGTCGCGCTTGCTTACCTCATTGCGAACATTGCCGTCGTTACTATTCTATTCTTCCGTCTGAAGAAGCAAAACAAGAACCGAGATGCTATTGCGCCAGAGATCAAGGACGTTGGAGCTGTGCCTGACTGGAAGGGCGACTCCGACCCTCGATGGAGATTCGAGTATTAAAAAGCGAGCTGGATGGTTTGATCTTGCGCAGATAGCCGGGCGGTGAGGAATATCAGCGAATTAATACTCAAGGGCTCCAAGGGCCCGAGTGACAAAACTTGCGTTCATATAATATTATTAAGTGGTATCATTGAGAGGATTCTCGTATAGTAATACAGAGTAGGGAAAACCCAAAAATAAACAAATATCATTGGAGACCAGCTAGACGCCGCAATACGGTGTTCTCAATAATTGGGAAGCGGCCGACCATTTGTACACCTTTACCAGCCACAAATTGATCTTGATGTCTCCCCAGTGCGATCTCAGTCATGACTCTGCCTATAGGCTCGGTCGGACTGTGAAAGCTCTTGAATCCCAGGCGGACCGGGGGTCCAAGAAGGGGCTCGAGCAACCGGAGGGCCAATGCTTTATTCGGAAGGTACGATTGGATGGCCGCGTGAGCGCTGGCATCGACATACGCAGGCCTCACGGAGCTGGCGTGCAGGTTTGGATACTGCCTGCGCAGTTCCGCGAGAGCCAGCTCCGTCTCCCCCTTGACCCGCGCGAAGATGGCAGAGAACCGCCCGGGCTCCGTCGTCGCGCCGCTGCCTGATACGTAGACAAAGTTGAACGGCTGCTCCTCGGATGCCAGGTCCTTGAAGGCCTTTGCGGCTTCTAGCGCATACGTCTTGGTGATCTTGACGTACTCCCTGGTGATGACTTGTCAGCTCCTTGGCAATGGTCGCGTGCTAATTATTTGGTCACTAGACTAGCGTACTCAGCAGTAACTTGGGTTTGGCTAATGCCTAGAGCCCAGACACATCCCTTTGCGCCCTTGAGTTTTTCGAGCAGCTCCGCGTCGTACTTTTCGTAGTCTTTATGGATAATCACGTTTATCCTTGGGTCCTTTGCATCTTCTGCCATTTGGACAGGTCTCCGGGTGATGATCGAGATTTTGGTGATGTCTTTCATTTTGATCATCGTGTCTAACACGCCCGAGCCTACCAGGCCCGTAGCGCCGGTAAGAATGACATGCATCCTGGGTAAGGGGGGGGATAATCCGCAGTGTGATGATTAGAAGTGAGGGAATGTTGAGGAAGTTGTTCGCCTACGGGGTTGTATCATCAAAGGACGGGGGTCAACTTGATGAATTGCGAAAGACTTCATCCTTTTTATTTAAACATTTCAAGACTTGTGGTTGACATGTTAAAATCAGCGCGCTTGCACGAACGAGCCTTGGGCCAATGCAACGTGCTGACATGAGATGTCTCAATTTGTCACTGAAAGCCTGGAATTGTTGGCGTTAGTGGTCGGATTAAACCTTGCGGCCGGTATCTACATTAACTCCGTGCGTCCATCCCCGCGGGCCCCGTTTATTTTACCCTCATAAAACACGCCCCGGCAGTAATTATTCTGGCAAACGGGCCGCCGCCAATCAGCGCCTTCATTTTTACTCAACTGCCATTTAATCATCCTCGCAGTTTCTCGAAATAGTAGAGAAGCTTTAGGCTTTGACACATGTCTTTTAATTCCAATAAGAGAGCCACAGGCTGCATAATATAGAATGAGAGTCTCTTGAGGGTGAGCAGACACTATCTGACTTAGACTAGACTAATGTCAGTGGGGAGATGGCTTACGTCGAAAACAACGTCAGCATTGCTGTCACAGCCCAATTGCCGCAATCATGCTGCTGGGTTCTAAGGCAACGCGGCATCGACTGCCTGCTAAAACTTCTGTCGAGATAAGAGTATACATCATCTTAAAAGAAAGAACCAAGGTCATATCAGATCCTGATAAAATGTAATACCATTGCTTGCGCAGAGCCGCCTAGATATACAGCCGATCTATCGAACGCCAATAGTCATAAATCCCGATGCACCGATGTTTGCTCCGCCCTTTGCGCCACGACCGGCGTACCGCCCGAAATAATTCTCACAGAACCAAATGGTAATGTAGCAAGAGAAAGCCGTGAAGCCCGCTTCTTTCCCGACATCATCAAGTCCAGATCTTCCATTCGCCATTCCCATCTGTGCTGTTCTATGACGTCTCCGGCGACTTGTAAACGTTGTCGCCAACCTTCTACAAACATCCAAGCGAGCCGGTAGTCCGCACTAGCTTCTACGCTGGATATCGAGAGCGAGTCGTCGGCGTCATATCCGTCGTCGTAATCATTCAACCCGTTGACCCTTTTTTGAACGCCAAGAGAATGACCAGCACCCTCTACCGCAACCGGGCGTGGTCAATGTAGCAGTGCGCTCCGCTCATCAGATTCATATTCGCGGTCATTTACGAATGATTTTCGGGGAGAGCTGGGCCGCGATGGAATGTGAGATTCCCGCAATTGAGACGAGCTCCTCTCCCGTCCAACCGTCTGGAAGATGCTGGAAACCGGTCGCGAACGTGTCGGGCTAGAGCCTCGGCTATTACTATCGCCACCACCTGGAGGCTCGAACATGCTTCGGAGCTTCTGGAACATAGGCGAACCTGTCATGGAGTTCCGGCTTGACTCCAAGACGGGCCGATCTACCTGTACGCTTCGTCGCGGGGAGTTGATGTCATATGGTGACGGTCGCGGGGAATCATGCTTGAAAGGATCGAATTCTTCGGCAGCGTTCCGATCAGTAAACTGAGTACTAGCCCGTGAGCGGACCGGATTATGCCATGAGTCTCGAATCACCGGCTCGTGCTTGTCTACTGGTAGCGATGAGTGGACCGGTGACGATGGATTCGATGAGAGGGTGCTTTGGCTTCTCATGGAAAATGGTTCCGAGTCATTCCGTGCGTGCCAAGGAACATGGGTGACATCACGGGGGGCAAACATTGTTGGGTCAATCTCCGGTTCCAGTTCTGGCTGGGCTGGTCGCATGTCCTGCCTAGTTGGTGTCTGGGGATCGTTCCAAGGGGCATGTCTACTTGAAGACAATCCTCTCCTGTTAGGTGTCATCGGGCTAGCGTCTTGAAGGACAAGAGGGCTGATATCCGGGACGTTACGCTGGGACACGGGCTCTAGATTTGGCGTTCCGTCAGGCGTGCCAAGCTGAGGATTACCGTGTGGTTCAGCTTCATCTACCATGCGGATGCCGAAGCTTCTGGCGAAGTCAAACCTGCTTTGTGTCGGCGTCGGAGTTGGTTCTTGAATGACTGGAGCAGTGCTGGGAGGCTCGACGCTGCTCGCATAGTCCTCTGTGAAATCCTCCCCGCCCCAACTGGCTCCGTCATATTGGCCGAGACTCGCCTGTTGTATGCGATCTCCCGAAAATGTACGTTGTTCCGGAAGTGCAGAATCAATTATTTCAGAATCCTCCTCATCGCTGAAATGCGACGATGCAGTTTCCGTGTCATCAAATAGGTCGTCTTGGCCCTGGACCGTCACATTCTCGACAGGCAGTGGTGAGATTGTCTTTTGTCTTGTAGGCACATTGACTGAGAGATTTCGTGAGTCTTCATCAGTTTCTGCTGACATGGAATATTCCGTGGAGTCGTCGATGGAGTGGCGCAAGACGGTATTATCGTACGTGTAGTCGTGCGTGACGTGCTGTGGCTCCGGGTGTGAGCTTGTCTCAGAGACAGAAATATTGTATGAATAGTCGTCATCTGGAAAATTAAATTCAAGATAACGTTCGCCCTCCTCTGGTACTATTGAGCTGTGATCTTCCGCTGGATGCGAATTCTCTTCCTCTTGTCTTTCCAATCCGCGTTCTTGGTCTTCTTTCGCGTGCTTTCGCTCCTCATCATGAGCCGAACGCTCCTCGGGCTCCCCGAGAAGCTGTGATCGCTGATGAGACTGGACTAGATTCAATGTTAGAGAGGACAGGCTATCCGAATCAATCTGGGACTTGGGAATGGTACCAACTTGATCATCAATCAAACTTTCCTGAAGTGATTGATCAGCTCCGTCACCATCTTGATAGCATTCTATAGGCTCATGAGTCGAATGTTCCTGCTCATTCATGGCAGCCTTCTCCAACAAGGATCGACCAATTATTTCCTCTTTGTCGTTGACGCTATCAGATTCGCCATGTTCCACATCGCTGCTCAGGATGTGACTGCCAGCTTCGCCGTCAACGCTTGAGTATTGCGAGACGCTTTGATCGTTTATAAGAGAGGTCTCGAGGTCACGGTCAAGAGCTGCTGCCTCGCCTTCCGTAGGAGCGTCATTGGCTTCAACAGACTTATCCTCACTAGCCGCGGCTTGGTTTTCATTCTGTTCGTCTTCGGTCTCAAAGCTGATGTGGCTGTCCTGAGCAACGTCATCCTGAGCACCAAATTTGGAAGCGTCTGCCTGGGATACATCATGATTATCTTGATCCGTCACTTGCGATGATTGGTGTACAGCCTCAAACTGCTCGTCAGTGACAACTTCTGATGCATCCTTAGGTTCAGATTGTGTTTCCGTTTCGACATCGTCAGTTGGATCGGGTGCTAGACTCGTCTCCGCCTCCCGGTCATTAGGGCCATGGGATTTGTCTTCTGTATCCCGAGGAAGGTCTTCTTCATCACTATTGCTCGGCTCTTCCGGCAGTTCGCTGACATCAGTTTCCAATCCTCCCTGCTGGGGGAGATCAGAAACGTCGTCCGAGCTTTGCGCCATCTCAGGTGTGCTTGATCGAGTAGGCAGTACCTCTACTTCTTCATCGTCCGGATTGGGAGTGGCAGGTCGGCTGGCTGCAGGAGAGGTAGGATGCTCTTCTGTCGACTCCGGTTGTGGTGTGGGGCTGGCGGTTCTGCTTTGAGAAACAAAGCTGGGGTCCTCCACGCTTGGTCCTGGCTCTCCTGGCGCAGATGTCTCTTGGGTGTCACTGATTGACGCATCTTCCTCAGCTCGCTCGGCATGCTCGGAATAAATCGAATCATCCTGCTGAAGCTCTTGGGGGTCCTCGAATTCAGGGGAGTCTTCTGTCGCGACGGGAATGGGCTCCTCGTGGCTGTGGTCTTCACTGGGCATTTCCTCGTCGTTCTGCTCAAGCACAACTTCAGGAGAACTGCCATCGGAGGTGTCATCAGCAACGGGGATAGTCTCCTCATGTGCTACGTCAGACTCCAATGGCGTGGAACTAGACTCGGCACTTTCGGCGGCATGCTCCTCGTTCTCAACAGAATCCTCGTGGGAATCAGTCACCGGGCCTTCCTCGGCGGCGACATCCTTCGAACTCTGCTCATCATTTTCAGTTGGGACTTGAGCGACACCGTCGCTGTTCGTTTGATCGGGATCCTCTTTCGGCAAATCATGCTGCTCATCACTTGAACTCATGGGGTCTGACTGGGAAGTGTTCAAATCTTCATTGACGTCCGTTGCTTCCGACTCGAGAGGTTTCGCATCAACTACCTCCCCATCTTGCACCTCATCAGCGCTGTCTGTGTCGCGCTCTTCGTCACCGTCCTGGTTGGGAGATTCGCTCCCAGAAGGTGATGCCGGCCGCGACTTGCCCGCTTCCACTTCCGGGTCCAAGCCAATACCAGAGTCCGCGACCTGCAGACCTGCAGACTGTGCCTCCTCCGGTAATTCCGCCTCCCCGTCCTGCTGTTCTGCAACTGGGTCACTTTCAGAGACTTCTTTTGCCTGTTCTGGCTCCTCCAGGTTGACCTCTTCGGACTGCTGCTGGCCTTCCTCGGATGCGTCAGTGACACCTTCACCTCCAATTCCGGCACCACCGTCGTCCGATTCAGCCTCCTTCGTATCTTCTGTGGACGTTGCTTCTTCGCTCTCGGGTGAGGGCGCCTCAGCTTCAGGAGCCTTGTCATTGTTATTCGATTGGTCTTCTTGATCTTCCGGGGCTGGCTCACTGGTAGTAACGTCGCCGCCATTAACGACCACAAGTGCTCTCTCCTCATTATCCCCAGGAGCATCTGCTGGTACCTCTTCGGCAGGCTCGGCTTTAGCTTCCTCGGCAGGTTCAGGCGCCGCTTCTTCAGCTGGCTCAGCCGGCACCTCTTCGACAGGTGCGGCTTCCTCTGTTGGCTCTGCTGCCTCCGCTGGTGCCTCCTCGGCGTCTTCAGCGGGATCAACAGTCTCGGCTGGCGCTTCCTCGGCGGCTTCAGCACTATCGGCCGCCTGCTCCTCGCTAGTCGCCTCGGTATGATCGGTTGCCTCGCCAGCTCTGGCTCTCTTACGTGTTGGCACTGGAGGAAATGGTGGAGATTCAAGGTGTTCGTCGATGAGACGGTTAATTTCCTGCGAGTAACAGTGTTAGGGAGTGTTTCGTGTCGAGAAGTTCGAATTATCAGACTAACCTTTCTTTTCTCCTCGAGTTCCCTGAGCTTGTCCCTTGCCTCGTCTATTATCTTTTGCGCTGCTGCCTCGACCACGTCCATTTGTTTGTCTGTCTCTTCGTCGACTACCTTGATGTCGCCATCAAGCTTCTCATGTCTCTCCAGATCCTCAGCATCATTCTTGCTCTGGTATTCTTCATCTTCTAATCTTCGCTTTGCATCACGCTCCTCGTCTTCTATCCTCCTCTTCTCCGTGACCTCGTCGATTTCTGCTTGACGCTTGATTGTGACTTCTTCATGCTCCTTGTCAAAGGTGGATCTCAGCTCGTCGAGTAATGAGTCTCGCTTTTGCTCAAGTTCTGTGAGTAGAGCATCATGGCTGTCGGTGGAGATTCCGGAAATGGTGTCATGAATCGCAGACAGAGTGTCGTGCATCTGCTGCACGAGCTCCGAGGCGTCCATGGTGTGGGATTGGGGAATAAACTGCTATCAAATGGGTATCTTGCAAAAGAGAAAGAAACAATATACAAGAAATGTGACGTATTCCGCCCGAAACAGATAAAAAGACACTTGTCTGGACAAATATGCAGCAATTAGGAATATCGAACAAGGAATCAAACGACAAGATCCGAACCATGAAACATGAGAGCTATTTGTAGAATTTGAGAGGCACCGACGATCTTGGAGATTGGTTGCTGGGATGTATTTTGGCATCAACAACAAGCCCATAATGTTTATGCGACCTGGTAGCTTCGAGCACTAAGCGACGATGTGGACCTTTAGTCGTCTAGCTATTGGACCCTGGCGCAACTAAACACTGAAGTCGTGGTCATGATTGGGCTTGGAACATGTCAGTGCCTGACTAGACCATTGGCTGCCACGACCGGTGCATCCAAACGGCGACGGAGTGAGGCTGTTCTCGAGAACGAATGGGGACGGGCCGCTATGTGGACATGGTTGCAACCGCCTGTGACAGGGCTCCTTGCGAGTGGAAACGGAAGCAGACGCATGTTGATGGAGCATTGAGATCCAGACGTGGGGTTTCCTTGAAGTTCATGCTCATGCTGAGCTCGCATCTCGATGAAGAACCGAGAGTCGAGACGCCGCCCCATCCGGGCTGTCTGACCCCGAGTGGTGCCACTGTATCGAGATGGCGATCTTCAAAACAGTGAGCTGTAGCCTGATTTGTTCGATGATCGAGTTCATGGCAAAACGACAGAGCCAAGGGAGCTGGCAAAAGACGAAATGTGACCCCGACTTGTTCTCCGGCTACTTTGTTGTGTCGCGGTGCCCTGGTCTCACCGTATTTCAACTGTGGTGGAGCATCTTCTCAAGGCACAATGGTTATGGTTGGTGGAAAGCGACGTCATCCGCCAATGCGCTGTCACCAGCAGGTACTACCCAAAGATCAGTGCTCTGTTAGCGCATGCATACAGCACCTGGCGGTGAGACTAACATTCTCCTAGCTACGCTAATTGCCTTGCATAAAATCTATTGAAATTCAGCCAGGGTCATGCTCAGTGGGTAGAGCCGGTGTGATTAGATCGACCTCTTGGGATAAACCACGAAGTTCGATCCCTGCATGACGAGCTTTCGGGCCCAATTTTCAGGCATCTTTTATCCACATCTAGACCTGGACGACAACATTGGACATACTCTTGTCGCCGGAGCAACGGTTGATCAACGAATGTTTTGTGGGACACGTCCAACTTGACGATTTCCTCGATATCGAATCTCTTCATCTACAGTACATACATACATACATACTTGTCTAAAATGTGGGGTATTGGGCATCCAGACCTCGAGGTCAGGCGACCAGGCGTGGGAGTGGCCACTTCATCATTCGCATCAGGCAAATCATGCGACCACAAAAAGATTGCAAACTTCCTGATGCATGGCGGGCAGCGGAGGGAAGTTGTTCGAAACGTATCATGAGACTGCAGTAGCCACGACCATTGGCGGAACTCAGCTCAGATTCTCCCAGCGGATGACTTTCCTGCTCTTGCCTTCCTCGACCTGTAGGACTCTCGATAGTTGATACGTTGAAATGTGCCATAGCCATAGGCTGCGAAACCAATCAGCGACCAGAAGCTTGTTACCACCAAGCCAACTGGGAAAATAAGTATGTTGACGCCAGGAAGCAGGAATGCAACAGTTCCATTCCTGAGGCCAGCAAGCTCATCATTGACTGCCAACTGAGCGAGGGCAAGGTCAGACATGATTATTTCCTTGGAAAATACGCCATTCACAAAGGCAGCTTCGTTCGACGAGACATTCGTGGTAATGGTGTTCCCGGCAGAATTGACGCCTTTGAGGCTAACTGTGGGCATGATTAATGCCTCGAGAACCCCCCTACACCACAGCGTTAGTGACTTGTCAGACATGTTCGATTGGCTGCAGCTTACATAGTCATTGGCTGGGCGAGCTGGGCCTGGTCGATTTGTCCCACAAACATGTATGTTTGTAGTGGACTGGGGTTAACTTCACGTCTTCCCAAATCGCGAGTGTTCACTTGCGACGAGCTGACCGGTGACACCGAGGCGCCATTATACTGCAGCTCGACCTGGATGTTCTGTTGTGGTATGGTAGTGAAATCACCCGTCGCCAACGAGACCTGAAATAACCTTAAATCTGCCATGAATGTGCCGGTATTGGTGTCTAGACTGGGAATATTGTAGCACACAGCCGTCCCTGAAGGGTTAGATGCCACTGCGAGCTGTTTCAAAGCCGCCGTACACGCTGCTGAGGTTTCCGTATTCCATTGAGTAAGATTCATCGATGATGAGTCTGGTGTGAGGTTGATTGAATTGCTTTGCCTCTTTTGTAGTATCGGTGTAACTTCGCCCTCCATCCTCGTCTCCATCATGCCTATCATTCTATCAACTCCAGCATGAGCGCCTGTGGCCAAGAGCGAGGCCGCCAATGCAGTAGCCCAAATCATGTTGTCGTTGTGTATGGGAACCGTTGTCAAAATTAAAAAAGAGATATATAATACCGTTAGAGGAAGGACTATAAAAAAGCACAACAGGAAAGCCGACCGGCGGGACCAAGAATAGAATTATGAATGAACGTAACCGTTGGGCACGTCTCCGTTAGGGGCCGATCAGGAAATTGAGAAATAGGAAAGGAAGAAAGAAAGAGAGAAAGGGACCTGTCCGCAAGAGGGAGAAACTGTCTATGTTTAGTTTCGTGTTCTATGTAGGATGTACCGGTGGGAGTAACGGAAAGAGAACAGTCTGGGCTTAGACGAACCAAGTTACAAACAGGGTTGTGACCGGTCCCGGCACATTCGCCAGTGTATAATGCTTCGGAGTAAGATGGGATGGTGACAAGGTATCGGTCAACGCCAGTTCTTACACACGTCTCTGAACCTAGTCAGTGGCGTGACAATGAAGCGAGGAATCTAGTCTGGGGGAACAGCAGTGACCATTCTGACGCTAGGCAGGCTACGAGGAGCTGGCAAGCAAGGCCAGGAACGAGGAGGCTTAAGATCATGACACGGACTTGCAACAGATTACAACCAATAACTGCGCCGGAAAACGCTAAGCTCTGGTGTTGACGGGTAGTTTTAAGCTTACCCCTACATAGTCATTACTGCTAAGGTAAACCCGTACAGGGTATCAGCGCTGGACGTGCGAAATACCTGCAAGACGTGAGACAAACTTTGTTGCCGTTGACCCACCAAAGCATTGAGATGAAGGACGGCATGCCTCAGAATGCTGCTATGGGAAACGTCAGTGCTCCAGCTTTGTCGGATCGACTGACGATGCGGCAATGCGCGACGCTAACCCCTGCCCATGCGCTCCATATCAGCCAATCGTGACACTGTACCCCCAGTCAATCTCTTACTCCAACCCCTGATCAGTGTCTCAATGGTCAGACTCAGATCTTGGCTTAAGCATTTTTCTCAACTGAATCCTCTAAAGATGATTATGTACATAACTGCGAATATAATAAGTCGTTCGACCTGATTGGCGGCCATTGCCTTGCACACCAGATATGAGAACGAAAAGATAGCTGCGAAATGAAGCATGTGGAGTTAATGGAACACAGGTCAATGGCCTCCAACTTGGCAAACAGCTGCATTTGAGCATTTCCCTTTTTCTTTTTTTTTCCTTTTTTTTTTCCTGGTGCTTCGGCACTTTGGCACTGAATCTGTAGACATGTGACCAGAGCAATCTCACTCAGTAATGATTCCGCGTGCTGGATTTTACACGGAATGATCTTGTTGGTCCCGTCTGTTTCATATTGTCTCACGATCTTCCGCCATAGCTGGGGTGGGGTGAACATGGGAAAACACCAAATGATCCCATTTCCACGATTTCGATAGCGAACGTAAGATCAATACAGTATGTCGTCCGCTATCCTCAAACAGGTGTCCTCTCTTCAATTGTGCTCGCGTCTTCAAAGGGTGACAGCAAGCGCTTGGTTGGGCGCTTGGAAATGACGACGGAGCCATCAAATGGAACCCTGCTAGAAGTAAGCGCGAAACTCGTAGATCGAGTTCTACTTCCTACTATGTATGTAAGTCGATATAAACGCTTCTAAAAATGGGTTGAAACTATTTACAAGCTGCCGAATGGCGTACCAATTAAAAAGATGTGGCGGGTTAATGTCCTTGCAGATAAGAAGCAGTTAATTGCGTGGCTAAATCGTACCTACATCGCACCTCCATCGAGACCGGCGATAAGAAGTCTGCGGTCGGCTTGATCGGGGTATGATGCACAGTATTCTAGCTTTCGCCCATTCAGTATTTTGCATGTACTTCTCGTCGTTGGGAAGGTAGACGAAAACTTAAGCATCATATCTCATATCCTTCAATAGCGATGGTCTCGAAGTCATAGGGCCTTATCAATTACCCGCTCTTTAGAGTTGGCATACATTGAGCACGTTAGGCAGAGTCAATGTTGACGGTCGCGTATACCCTTAAGCAATGTGCATCGGGTAGTATAAGCAGTATTGTTAAACGCTATATGTCTATCTGTCCGTTGTCCCGATGTGTGCCACAGCTCTGCAATAAGTTGTACATGCCAGATTCGGAGGAACGCCAAATGACTGTGCAAGCCTATCAAACAATTTCCTCCTTGGCACTCAAGATAGTAAGTAAGCGTAAGCCTATCAGCACTTCGATGTACAGGCTTAGTTTCTCTATGCCTGAGATTGGTTATTGGCGGCTTCTATTGAACATTGGGATGGCCGATACTATCATGCCATTTGGCTAGGTCTTGCGCAATTGTGCGCCCGCATTTGACGGCCCTCTCTGTAGACACGATTTTGATCAACACGTCAACTTTCGATTGTCGTCTAACAAAACTGGCACTTTACAAAGTCTCATTGTTAAATTAATCTGACAAGATGGCAGATAATATCAAACTTCAGGTTGCGGTGATCGGCGCAGGCATTGCCGGCCTCGCAGCAGCCATTGCTCTTAAGAGCCACCCTGCAGTCGATGTGCAGATATATGAACGAGCAGCCGAGCTTCGAGAGATAGGGGCATCGATCGCACTCGGCCCCAATGGGATGCGGACACTTGACAGGCTCGGGGTCCACAATGCTCTCGAAGACACGATCGCATTTCGCAATAAATCAAGATTTCCGATGATTTATCGGTCGGTATACTAGATTTTACTGTGGCCAAGGGAACCTTCGCTAACGAAATAGCCAGCCACTATAAAACAAACGAGGATGTATCTGTAGACACACACAAAAGCCATGTGGAATACAACCATCTCACATCCCGTTTCTACAGAGCGCATTTGCATAATGCACTTGTCGAGCACGTAGACGCATCACAACTGCACTTGTCTAAACCGTTTGAATCTGTAATATTCGACGAAACAATACAGAAGCTCGTGGTTAGTTTCGCCGACGGCTCTACCGCAAATGCAGATATTGTTCTCGGAGCTGATGGCATTCATTCCCGAGTCCGGACACAATTTGTACCGTCCTCGCGAACTGCTTGGACAGGCTGGGTAACTTTCCGCTCAGTCTTTCCCGTGGCCCATCTCTCACACATTCACGATGTCCCAGATGAGGCAGTTCATATCTGGGGCCCTGATAGAACCTTATTCTTATCCCATCTTGGCAAGGATTTGTTTACAGTAGTGGGCTCCGAGCAGAGCGATCCTAGCGCACCGGATGCGCCATATAAGGATGCTACGTGGAATTCAGATGGAGATGTGAATGTTCTGAAGGAGTACTACAAGGACTGGAGCCCATCTGTCCGGGCCATTGTCGATGCCGTGCCGTACACTAGAATCTACCCGAATAGCACTGCTCACGCATTAGACACATGGATCCTGGGAGAAGGCCGTGTCACCCTGGCAGGCGACGCCGCGCACGCCCATGGTGGTGCATTCGCAGCTGGCGGTAGTCTGGCGCTTGACGATGCTTGGGCTTTTGCTGCCTCAATATTCCAGATTTTCCCACCAACCTCAACGCATGCCCCGAAAGGCCAGGCCATCGCGGATGCACTCGCCTTATATGAACGAACGAGGAAGCCACATACGGATCGGGTGATGCAAGTTGTAGCCCAAGGAAATGCAAAAAAGGTCGAGCAGACCAGAACAAAGGATGTCATTACCGATGAACAGCTGAGGAAGAGAATGAAGGAGAGAGCAGACACTAGTTGGATTCATGAGCACGATGTCGTTTCAAAGTTCCGAGAAACTTTGGCGGCTGGATCCAAGACTGAGGAGCATCAAGCTCGATTGTGATAGATACGCACTCAAGTAGGCCGTATTCAAAAGCTGGGGTAACCTGCGAGATAGTCACTTTCTCGTGACTTTGGTCAAGATTATCTGAGACACACAATCCGGCAGAGGTAGATCCTAGGGACGTAGTCACCATTGAGAGTGGGGTCTATAGAGCGTGTAACTTGAACATTATTCGCCTCGACCGATTGGGTCGTTCTCATTCATCCAGATTGTCCCCCCGAGGTGCCAAAAACGGCCATGTCGCCCCGCTAATGTTGGCTGCATTGATGCGTCACAGCCGCTATCAGGGTTCACGTTTTGCGGAGACTGTCGGTAATATAGTTTTACGATGTTGTGTTTCCTCAATTGGGATATTTGAGCTGCGCTTGCTTGCCTTGAAATTCGGCTAAATGTCAGGTACTATTAGCGAAAAACCTCCGCATTCGTCAGTCACAACACCACATTTTTACCATGAGAAGGGGGTATCCTAGCGGAGCAAAGGATGTGCCAGTTGACTTGGAGTTTGCCTCACATCTTGTTCCGGCCATTTCCCAATAAATGATGGCGGACGCCCCATGGTTTGTGCCAAGAGTCGTCTTTATACTGATCTCTGTAACAGTGTGATTATAGCAAGATGATGTTCCTTACACAGTTATTTGGGGCTTTGGCCCTCAGCACGTTGGCGACTTCATCGCCAACTAGCAACCATCAATCCATCAAGCGTGCATCGCTGCAGCAGGTCACCGACTTCGGTGAGAACTCGTCCAAATCGAAGATGTATATCTATGTCCCTTCGAAGCTCGCTACAAACCCTCCGATCATCGTTGCAATCCATTACTGCACAGGCACAGCACAGGGGTATTATAGCGGAAGTCCCTACGCTCAACTCGCTGACCAGAAAGGATTCATCGTCATCTACCCAGAGTCTCCCTACAGTGGTACCTGTTGGGATGTCTCTTCTAAGAGTGCGCTTACGCACAATGGTGGCGGTGACAGCAATTCCATCGCGAACATGGTTACCTATACTCTGAGCAAGTACAGCGGCGATGCGACCAAAGTGTTCGTTACGGGATCTTCTTCAGGTAAGTTCATCGCCGTCACGATCATTGACGCAGACCAAGGACTAACGGACGGCTCCAAGGCGCCATGATGACAAATGTCATGGCCGCAACTTATCCCGAGCTGTTCGCGGCCGGTATCGCATACTCCGGCGTACCTGCAGGTTGCTTCGTCTCCGCATCTGGCGGCGTCGATTCTTGGAACAGCACCTGCGCGCAGGGTAATTCACGCGCAACTGCTGCAAAGTGGGCGCAGGTCGTCCATGACATGTACCCGGGCTACAACGGTACCCGACCACGCATGCAGATCTACCATGGTAGCTCTGACGCCACGCTTCTACCAAACAACTACAATGAGACTATTAAGCAATGGGCCGGAGTGTTTGGCTACAACGAAAATGCACCTGCAACAACATTGGCGAATAACCCTCAGAGCGGGTACACGAACTACACGTTTGGTGACCATCTGCAGGGTGTCTACGCGCGAGGCGTCGGCCACACCGTCCCCATCCGTGGCGCGGATGATATGAAGTTCTTCGGGCTTTGAGCTATAGTTACTAGCATAAGGCTCTGACTTAATCATTCAGATGATGCAGGTGTGTGGAAAAAGATCTTGTAAAATGCTTAAACGCAGGAGACAAGATTATTTACAAACACCAAATAAACATTGCTCGAATGTACTATGTAACAGAAAATGTGCTATAGACGGACCCTCAAGTGCAAAAGCTCAAAGAAACATGGGCCAACTCTCACATGTTAGACCCTCCTCACTTTCAAACTTTCGTTCTACTTTACCAAGGGATGACTTCCTTTGGCCTCCTAACAAGCAGATCCATGATCTCTTCCAGCTCGCCAAGCAACTCGTTCGCGACTGGGATCCAGTCAGCGAATGTGACGATTTCGAACATGAGTTCGTCACCCTTGACGAACGCCTGAATCTTCCATTCTTTCAGTGGCTCATAGTGCGGATACACGGTTTCCATGCGGCAATTCGCCTTACCGAACTTCATCTCCTCGACGTGGTAGACATCTTGGTGAACAACCGTATCGAACCAGTCCACGCTCTCTGGCCAGTCTGTACATTGCGGCACGATCTCGCTCAGACCCATGCCCTCATGCTGTGCACTGGAAATATGCTGGTGTTGAACGTAGTCCAGAAGATCAAGACCAGTCCAGCCCTCTTCAAACTTCACACGGAAAGGTACGTATTGCCACGTTGGGCCCATGACTGAGTCTACGTTGGTGAGGTCAGTGTTGCGACCGCTCACGACTTCCCCAAATACCACGTCACGACGACCCAAACGCCTAGCTAGACAGAGGGCCCAAGCTGCGGTGGGCAGTGTAGCAACTGTGATATCCCTTAGACGCGCGGCGATGCTCACAGTCCGAGTGACAGCATCGGGGACTCTGGTGCTAAGGGGTAGGTCGGGCTTCAACACAGACATCTCTGACCCTTTGAGCACTTCTCGCCAGTACGGAATACTTTGTGGGAGAGTCTTGTTCAGAGTGTGATAAACGAAATTCGAGAATGAAGCGCTAGGCCTGAAAGATAGGCCATCGTATAGAGCTCCAAGCTGGCGTAGTAATGGTACCAAGCATATTTCATCATATTGTGCATGCGAGATGCGGATGATCAAACAGCTCCGGCCATCATCTCCTCGCACTAGCATGAATTTGACGAAGGCGGATCCGAGAGGCATCTTCGTCTGAATGTCCGTTTGACACAGGTTGTGTGCAAACTTTTCGATGTTTCCCTCAATGTCGAACTCGTCAACCTTGGCGGTCAGCGACTTCAGCACAACACCTAGGCATTGCCCTTCATTCTCAACGAAAACGGTGCGCAATATCTCATTTTGAGCGACGAGCTCCTGGCAACTTCGAAGAAGTCTTTCTCTATCAACATCGCCATCAAGATGGAAAAGTTCGTATCTTGTTGAATATCTTGGCATCTTCACGGTGCCATAAACAGCGACTTGCTGAAGTGGTCTTGTCGGGTAGATGTCTTGAATAACCCACTCCGGCTGGGCCAGTGCGCCCTGTATGTCCAGAAACCTGTTGATGTCGGCATTTGCTAGCAGAGAAAATGGTTTTGCTGCTTCTGCTACTTCTTTGGGCGTTGCATTACGAGCTTCTCTCAACACGCTGGCCATGTCATATAAGGTTCGATGCTTGAAGATATCCTTGACTGTGATATCGTAACCTTCAACTCGAGTTTCAGAAACGAGTTTCATTGCGCCAATCGAATCGCCACCCAACAAAAAGAAGCTATCATCAAGCCCCATCTCATCCTCGGGTATGGCCAGGATTCGACTCCAGGCTGATCGCAGTCTGCGCTGTTTCGTGGATGCGACTGTTATCTTGACCGTTCGATCCACTTTCTTCTGTTTCTGCTCTGCGATGGGCTTCTCAACGATTATGATGGATCCTCCTGAGTCGTACTTGGCCAGCTTCCTGGTCCGATAGACCTTTCCAACCACGGTGTCTGGCAGCCACTTTGGAGTATCGATAGACTCTATCTTGGGATCACCAAGGCAATGCACGAGCAACTCGCCGGTCGCCCCGACGGGGGAGAGTCGCTCGGGATTTGCAGGGTCGACGATCCAAGCATCGGTTACTTGCACATCGTCTGAGAACATCGAAGAGCAGGCAGAGCTGCCGCCGCTCAGCCTACTGAGCCGTACAAGCTCAGTCAACTCCGACGCATCTACTATTTGGAGATCACCAATATGTTTGTTCGGAGACTCGCAGAATTGTTGGGTCAATCTGCCAAGCTGAGATAACATTTTCTGCATTTGCGGGCTCGAAACTGTTTGTGAATCGAAACTGGCCATGATCAAGAAACCCTTGGGGTCAAGCGAGCACACAAGCATGAGGGCGTAGGTGTTGAACTTCAGAGCTTCTTGAGCAGCTTCTTCGTCGCCTGCAGGAACGAAGCCATTTGCAGGCTGTTCTTCGGTACCACCAACCGCCTCTCCTTCAGTGCTGGGATGAAGCACAAAGCCTGTCCGAAGTTCGCATGCTTCGCGCGCATCGGGGCTTAAGCGACGGATGTGTTGGAGACCGAAGTGCTCGTGGGGAATGGCGAGAACCGACTGGGTATGGATATCCTGTAGGTACTCGGAAACAGTCGCATCGACATCAACCGTCACGCGAATTGGCACAGTGGCAATCATGGGACCCTCAATCTGTTCAACGCCTGGGATAGGGGCGTTTCGACCAGTCAATGTCTCTCCAAATACCACATCATTTGACGCAGTATAAGAGGCGACCAAGAGAGCCCATGCGCCCCGGATAGCGGTGGCAACCGTAGTTCCTCCCACTCGGTTTCCCACCGGGACGTAGTGCTCAAGCAATGAATCGGCTTGTTGTTGATATCCTGGGTAAGGTAAGGATGGGAATTGCTCGCCACCGGCACCGTCCAAGCGTTCGCGCCAGTAGGTCTCCGAATCTTTCCGGTCCATATCACATAGCCACTTGATAAAGTTATTGAAGCTCGCAGGTCGTTCTGTTGAAACTCCATTATACGCATCATTGACTCTCTCGACTACCAGCGGCATCGACCAACCATCATACAGGGCGTGGTGCATTGTGAGGACAAAATGTGTCTTTCCAGTGGACTTCTCGTTCGTGATAATTGCGTAGCGTACCAATGGCTTACCCAATTCCATTGGGTCGTTTCGATCTGATTCAAGAAACTCAGTCAGACCCTGGCCTTCCAACACTGGGCACAAGAAGCCGTCATTGACTACCACTTGCATTAGGCCTTGCCGTGGCACCTGTACGATTCTTGTTCTAAGGATTGGGCAACCTCTAGACGCCACATCGAAAGCGTTTGCAAGTTTAAGTGCCATGTCAATACTGGGTAACTCAACGACTCGTTGAGCAACGTATGCTTCAGTGACCTTTGCCGATAGCGCCATAAGGGCTTCTTGCAAGGGGGTGCATGGGTAGACATCCTCAATAACCTCAGACTTCAAATTGCAGAGCTCCGCTGTTTCCGCCTTTGCTACATTGGGGGACCAGGTAGGACTAAGAAGTGAGAACGGCTCCACATGGAGATCACCGTCCAAAGTCGTCGGCTGAGCTATCGAAGCCATATCTTCGAGTACTGGGTTTCCAAATATCCCAGCCACAGAGAGAGAGAGACCTTCGGCTCGTGCAGCAGCCACAAGTTTCATTGCCTTAAGCGAATCGCCACCGACAGAGAAGAAATTGTCGGTAGCACTGAAGTCGCCGTCTGGGCCAAGTACGTTGCCCCAAATAGCGGCTAGCTTTTGCTCCATTTCCGTTGATGGCTCTCTTCGTGGCACGAGTGCAGCAGCGAACGCAGCGAGGTCTCTCCTGCTCATTGCAGTACCAATTTCGCGTAGTTGCTTACGGTCTGTCTTGGCTGAGACCAGAAGAGGCATTGTATGTAGGGGTATGTAAACCGCTGGCACCATGTAAATCGGCAAGTATTCCGAAAGCGCCTTGGTCATAACCGTCAAAGCAGTCTCCACCGCTGGAGAGAAAGAACCAAGTAGGCTGTCGGTGCCAGATACGAGCCCTGCATTGGCAGAGATGAACGCAACAAGACAGGGTTCACCTGATGGACCGCCTGGCTTGATGACTTCAGCTGCAACACGAGTTTCTGCCGGTAGCTTGTCTCGCATGTGGTGCTCAATTTCTGCGAGCTCAATGCGTTGGCCTCGCAATTTAACCTGCTGGTCACCACGACCAACAAAAATGATGGATCCATCTACGTCGTACTTAACCAAATCTCCTGTCTTGTAACATTTGCCGCGCCTACCAGGAAACTGGCCGTAGCCAGCTACGAGAAATTCTGGGTCTTCGATAAATACTTCAGAAGTCTTCTCGGTATTTCCGAGATAGCCAGGACCGACTATGGCACCCTCAACAATGAGCTCCCCGATAGCCCCAACTGGGACTAGACGGTTATGGTCAACCGGGTCAACGATCCAGATAGCACCACCGACTCCTTTACCGATAGTGATTTGTTTCTTGCCGTCGCGTCCGACTTGATTGTTGATCGTGCAGCCCACAGTACATTCTGATGGGCCGTATGCGTTGACAACTTGTGTTTCCTTGCCCCATTTTAGTGCATCTCCATTCGAGATTGCTTCACCGCCCAAGCCAAGTACCTCAAGCGAAGGAATAATATCGACGTCCAGGACACGTGCGACCGAGGGAGTCATGTGCGCCATGTTCACTTTCATCTTTCGGATGGCGCCGCTCAAGTCGTTGACCCGGTCTGCCTCCGTAGGAATACATAGACATCCTCCATTTGCCAGAGTACAAAGCATGCAGTCAATGCAAACATCGAAAGCATACGATGCGAAGTCGAGGACTCTTGAATGTTCACGGTATCCAACTAGATCTGCCCGCGGTATAGCGCCACTGGTGTAGTTCTCGTGGGTAACAAGACAGCCCTTTGGTACACCGGTACTGCCAGAGGTGAATTGAATGTAGAGGTTGCTGCCTCCTGGGACATGCGGAAGTTGTGGATCCGGCACAATGTTGTTTAGTTCGAAGCGGTCTGCCGACACAACTACAAGGTTTGCGCTCGGTGCTACGGTCTGTCCCAGTGCTTCTTGCGATTTTGAGGTCAAAATATGTTGTCCGCCAGTTTGTTCCACAATAGCTCGTAATCTTCCTTCTGGCTGGCTAGGGTCCATCAACGCAAATGTGCCTCCAGCTTTCATGATAGCTAGAACAGCAATTGAGGTCCACCTTGACTTTTCGAATAAAACAGGTACGTTCTTGCCAATGCCGACGCCGATAGAAATTAAATGGAGTGCAAGATCATTCGAAAATTCTTCCACCTCGCGATATGTGAAGTCACCATCCCACGAGTTTACTGCTGGTCGATCTGGATGGCTCTTAGCTTGCTGTGAGATGAATTCATGCATGCAAGTTGAGATGGCTGGCGGAAGAGGAGAATTCCACCGCCATACTTGCTCCAAGCTCTTTGCCGTCATCGTATCTTCGTCTAGTTCCGTGGGCGGTGTTGAAGTGGAAGTATGGGGTACATTGTCCGCAGAATGGAGCGAATCAGTTTCGCCTGCCGGATCATTCTGTACATTGTGGTTGGAAGACATGTCGGCGCCGGGCGTGCCGTTTGGTGAATTCAGCAAGGTTGGTTCATTCACGGCCTGAGGATGAGCCAAGTGTGTAGTTTGGGTTGTTCTTGATGACTTGAATAAAGGCAAAATCCTCAAAGCTTGAAGTCACACCTGATAGTCGGGGACGGACAGCACCTAGGTATGTGAATCTAAAGGTTTGCGGATTCAAACTGTCAACATTTCTTCAGTCGTCGGAAAGTGAATGTCAAAGAAATCTCGCATCGGTTTCCTAGCCATCTCTGATCCGGTTGTTGGCCTCTGCCGAAAGCGGCACCTTCCTTCGACGATCAACCAGGGCGATGACAAGAAGTGGTTCCATAGCCTCGCAAAGCTCCAATCGTTACAAACAAGCTAATGCATTGGAGGCCCTTGGGCCGAACGTTTTGGGCGCGTTGGCAGTGGACGACTGCAATCCCAGGGGACGTACCTAGGCAATCTGGGGCGGATCAATTCGATCAGATAACTTTAAGCGGATCAGATAACTCTATAGGGCAGTATGGCCATGGGCCAAGACGTGTTCCATGCATATTGCGCATGGAGCCGGGGCGATGCGTCATTAGATGGAACTAAGCTTTACCCTGCAAAGGAGCTCGCAACAACCAGGGTCTCTGTCAATTCCGGATGCTACAACGAAATCACGCCTGTATCAGGCAGTAAGCGAAGGTGCTCGTATTGCGAGATATTCGCACGTTTGAAAGGCCCCCGGCGCCATACCTGTCTGTCAACTGGGCCTTCACTTGGTTGTCAATACAGACCATAATGCCTCGAGAGGGATGTGAAGACATAGCTCGCATCATGGGCGTGTAGAGCGCTTCGGCTACGATGCTAGTATAGCACCAGACCACGGACTTGTCAAGGTGTGTAACCCCCCACATGACGATTCGCAAACCAGGGCTTTTACGAGCGTGTGATTGCGCAAGCGAATGGATAGGACATTAGCTTGTGAAAATTTTTGCACTGGCGAGGAACTCATGATGAACTTCGGGTCGCATTGTGGCAGGCGAAGTGGCAGGCGGGAAGCGTGATTGGATGAAGGAGGGGCTTGGGCATTGCAGAAATGATGGAAAGATGGGGTCGTGGAGATCAATCAGATTAGATAAGATAATTTGATCAAGGATCTATGAAGGATCTAAAGGATCTAAAGGGCAAGACCGGCATATAATATTCCGAGATCGGGATCGTCACTTTTGTCGACCTCGCTAAAAAGAAATTTTACGTGAACAATTCTTGAATTTGACCGCATTATTTGCCAGATGACAGTGCAACAGTACTAATCCGAGTAAGCCCGAAAAGTACCATCGGCTTCGCAGCCATCTTTCGTTCGACCTGGATACTGTCACTGAAGTCGTCACTGCCTATTTTCCATAGAGAATAATGTAGATTAGTTGGGCAATTGCTATACATTATTGAGACTTTAGTATCACAGCAGAGCGCAGCTGAACAAGTAGTTTTACTATCGAGTTTTGAGTGCTTGACGCGATAACTCTCATACGGATCATTAGTGCAAGCGGTATAATATTGCACCACATCTACAAATGTCTTGAAAATCTAACTGAAGTATATAGACTTAGCAGGATACTTGGGTTGGCAAATTTTCAGTACCATCGTTTTCAAAACCGCTGGTGGTAGACATTTACTATCATGGTGATCATGGCAGCTTCGCATTGCAATGACAAAGACGTAAGAGCTGTATAATCTAATGTATTGTTATTTATACTGACTACAGATGTATCCACGAGTAGTCTTTAACGCATTGGTGTGCCTGAGAACCGAGTTGCGCCACATACTTCAAAACTTGTGCGTGGGCTTGATAATGGAAGAAGTGGTAAATATTAGGTTACTTCAGAGTATACTATACCAATTTGTCACTGGGCCTTTCAACTGATGAGTATAAATCGCTAAAAGAATTTAGACGAAGAAAAAAACAGGGATCGCATTTGAGAAAAACTTGCTTCAACCATGTCTAGCCTTAAGTATGAATATGCAGAAATGTCTTTAACCATAAGGCATATTGTGAAAGCTAACTATGGTTAGTAGTGTCATGACTGCTACAAAGCTGCCCAACGGAGCGCACTACTACCATGAGCCCATCACGAATAGGACGACGCAATGAGCTCGCAAATATTGAGGAGAGATTCCCAAAGAAGTGGAGGCCCATGATCACGGTTGAACATTGGGTATGTTTGAATACTGTCCAACAAAGTATGAGTTGTTCTGTTCTGGACCTGTAAAATGCGTTCCGCCTGTATGTTGATACCTCCCTAACCTAGCACGGGCCATTTACAGCCCCTCACTGACCCGGAAGGCTTGCGGTGGGTGGACCGCGAAGGGGAAGATTCAAATGTTCCCAGCCTCCATTAATTAATTAACCTAGCTGCTGCCGTTCAGGCGCTAAAGGTCGCGATAAAGTCTAAGTCTAGTTATCGTGACGACTGGAACAAGCACCCGGATCCACTAGATTTTTATGTCCAGTCCTGCCTTCAACGCGATCGCGATTGCGACTGCGACCCGGCACAACTGCATCGTCCAGCGATAGACAAGGCGTACACGCATAGCCTTGCGAGCAACCACATCCACAATGGCGGAAAGCGACGCGAGGACCCCCGACAGGAGAACTCCGAGGTTCAGCTGGAACCCTGCCTACGAAGCCACATTCTTCCGATCACTCTGCGAATCGATACAGCTGGGTTATAAGGAGAACCACAGCTTCAAGTCTGGAGCGTGGGAGAGGGCCGCCATTGCGCTTCGCGATAAGCACGCAGCGTACCCGGAGAAGAGCCACTTGATCAACAAGGCAGACAATGCGCGCAAGAGATTCCGGATGTGGAGAGGGCTGAGGGAAGACCCCGAGTTTCTCTACAACCCTAATACCCGCATGGTGAATGCCAGCGAAGAGGCATGGCAGAGACATTTCGAGGTGGGTTCCTAAGAGATCCAAGGCTCCTGAACAAAAAAAAAAAAAAAATTTATAAAAATTTTTTTAAGTACGTATTTGTCACGCTAACACAACGTGTTGGTGACACAGAGGGAACCGCTTTCCAAAGCACTACGAGGTCGACCTTTCGATCATGAGGAGTATATGGAGATATTGTTTCCGGACGTCATTGGATCTGGTGGCGCGCCGAAGCGTGTCATGAAGAAGCGAAAAGGTCCAGATGGCACATCGATAGCTGGTGACGGAACGCCCACCCAAGGCCAAAATGTCATGGACCTGACATTAGAACCGAGCCTGTATTCACAGACGCCGACACATAATACAACCCAGCAAACTCCACAACAAGCCCCGAGCAACAACTCGCAGCCCATTGTACACCCCTCACAACACCCCTCACATCACCCCTCGCAGCATCCTTCGCAGCAGCCCTCACATCCCTCGCATCCTCCGCATCCAACATCGGCTGGTATACCGCCTCATACTTCGATAGCTAGCAGTAGTGCTCTGACGCCCCCGGACGAAACGCCGAATGCCAGCTCGAGGAAGCGATTTGCTGCAGAGGCAGACAAGAGAAGAGGCCGTCCCTCGAGGTTCTCTTCGAATATATACAACAGTTCCCCCGTCGCTTCAGGGTCATTTAGTGTACCCGCTGCATCAGCGGCAAACCAATCGCGCGCACAGCCTCTACATCCGTCGTTCAATTCACCTGCTCTCTTCGAGGATGGCCTGTACATGCTTGCCGAAGCTCTCAAAGCCCGCAGTCAGCCCAAGTGGCCGGAGCAAGCTATGGAAATTCTTTTCCGGGACTTCTCAGACGAGGATGCTGATTTGCAACTCAAGATTGCCGAGAAAGCACTGACCGACGAGAACAAGGCTATGATGTTCGTCAAGGCAACGCCGGAATTGAGACGGCACTGGGTTGGGAGACTACGAGAAGTCCATTTACGTGGTCTAGGACTGGGAAGAGTCGGTGAGGAGGCTTCCTGATCCTGAGAAATCCGCATTCAAGCGTTCTACTTGGTTTTTGCATTTTGAGCATTGAGCGTTGTTTTCTGTATTCGAAAAGATGGTCTCTTGGCAAAATTCTGACATGCGGCACGGTGTGCCGAGACGCGAGGAGCATAGGATATGCTTGTGGGCCGTTGGAACGATGAACATGGAGGATTCACAGGCAGAGCAATCCCCCGATGACTTTACGATAGCGTTATATGAGCCATGCTCTCATTCGAGTCTAATGGTGATTTCTGTTCCGGACACAATCACTCACGAGGCTCAACTGGTTACACGAGAGTCTGCCCCCGCGGTATTTAGCTACTTAATACTCACAGTTGATAGCAGCTAGTATGTCTATCTCCTTTCCCACTGTCGTACGGTTCGTGATAGATGTTCGGCACCTCTAACCGGCACCAACTGCTGCTTTTGTTGAATCAACCTAAAACTCGTCTCTGAACATATATCTCTCATTGGTTCAGTCTTGATAAATTTCTCGTGTAGGATGGAGTGATTGTCCATAGAGTATAGTGGCATAGTGAGCATATCGTTACTGAACACACTCCAGTCACTTTTTGTGTCCCAACCCCGTGTCGCCGAGTCATATGTTGCCACCACGCTGACTTCTATATTTTGAATTCAACCTCACGAAGCCTCGCAGGCTGTCACTACCTCTGAATAGGTCAGTCTCAAAGCCGAAAATTGTCCGATATGAAAGAAGTGCCAGGGCTAGCTTGAGCCAGGCCCAGAGCTCTCCCGGGCCGTGATGCATTGAGATTGCGACGAAGTTTTGCGATGTCATGTTTGGTTGTTCAATTTCCGGTATCAGACATGTCATATCAAAGCCCTCTAATAACATCTCATCTCGGCCTGCTTGTATGAACCTATGCGAAGTGGATTGATGTTGATTAAATTTAATTAAAACCCAATGCTTATTCGCATCAAGCTTAATCCCAATTCCAACTGACAAGCTTACGCTACTTAAAGCGTTCTAGGTGAGTTTAGTAAGGCACTGACTGAGGCGCTCGAGTCTGGACCATGCAATGGCGCGGCTAGACTATGCTCGGTAAGATACTTGATGAAACTGGACTATTCTAAAATGAGGCTTTGGATGTCATCAGACGAAATGGGTAACCGCCGAAAGGAGTCGATCTGGGTGTTGCGCAGCCGGCATCTTCGTGTCAATTGGTGGACAGGCCCCTTCGAAACAAGTGCTTCAAACTTGTGGGGTAGTGCTAGGGCCATGGTTTCACTGGGGCTGGCCGCTTGCACCCCAGCGCCCAGTATGCCAATCCCCCCAACTACCGATGCCAATGAACTTGGCAGGCGATCCAGAAAGCTTCGAAGAAACTCCTAACCGAGTTGCAGACATGCCTGTCTGCAATCACCTTCTTTTCCGACTAGTTTTATCTTAATCAATCACGCTGGGGCCAGCGCCATTCGATTGCCAGTAGAATACACGCCGTTGCGTGAGCACGTCACAATCGACGCAAAATAAGGCCTGTATCTGACCATCAGAAGCGAAACAAATCTGAGGCAGAAAGCCCCGGAATTTCTCTTGTCTTTACGCTCATTTTCCGATTTCATCCCAACTCCGTCCAGCCACTTACCTCTCTGAAGGAAGGCCTCTCCTTTTCAGATGCGCGGAACGTCCTGAGGATCTACCATGCCTTTCGTGGCGTTGGACTCCCCCGCTACGCTTCGAAACAAGTAAGCATGTTCAGCGGCGGGCTTGCGCCCATAGTCAATGTCTATCACATGAGAAACGAAGTTGAGTGGGCCATTCGCGTTACTCGCACTTGGTGATTATTTGGATGGTCAACAGAAGTCACCAGGTACTTGCAGCCTGATGCTTCAATACCACTGAAGAGCCTCTTTCTGCGGGCATGGGCTCTTTCCATATTCTTCCCACACTGGACTAAATAGGCACGCACGACAGCATACAACCGGAATCGAGGTGGATTGAGGCTCTAACGTCGCTTGCCAAGAGATGCGAACCAAAACAGCCAGTAGCCGATTATGATTGGTTTGTGGGTCCATATCTGGGGTGCTGCCAGGAACATACCGAGATCCATTGCGCCGCAAAACCGACCCCTGCTCTAGTCTGCCAAGCTTCTTTTGGGATCCTTGAGCACATGTACCCTCCAGCTTCGACCAGATCATTTCTAAGCCCTAGGCACAGCCTTCAAGCAGCTGATCTCAACTAACATTACCGGACAAGTGAGGTTCCATCGCTTGGCATATGCTTGTTCCTTCCATGGGTAAGACCCACCATCTTGCCGCATCCTATGTCTTGGAATTGCTTGGATGGTGGATCTACGTGAGCCGCGCTCGTTTGGCGATCCACGAGGCAATTCGGACTCGAGCCAGTACTACGCAATTCGTGTGCCAGGTCAACCATAGCATGCAACACCTTGGTGATCTCCGTTTCCCGTCTTGGCTAGAGTATGTGGTATTCGCACCCCTGCTGAGTGGTATGCCCGCTCCGCATGGGGATTTTCCCTCTGTATCATGCTCCTGGCCCCAAGTGGAACAAATTTCAACTATTCCTGTTAGGATGTACTCCCTTGCTTCTCTCAGATCTTGGATGTTTAAAACATCAATGGAGCCCTGAGGATCTCGAGTCTTGGCATTCTCTTCTCTTTATCCTTCTTTTCTCTTCATTACCTCTCCCTTAAGTCCTATTCTTTGGATCTTCATCAACTGTCGTCAGAAGACCTTTGGTGATAAATCCCAAGAGAGAGTTGAGCTCTTTCTATTTCCGCTCATTCTTCTCTCCACCTGGTGTGGAAATATTTTTGTTAGACATTCTTCTTTTGTATATTCAGGATGCAATCATTAATGAAGGTCCTTTTTTTCCTCGGGCTCGCTGCCCTTGTTGCTGCAACGCCAGCACACATCCAGAAGCGAGGTGTATACAAGGTTGAGCGTATACCAAACCCCAACTACACTGGCACAAATGGTCCTCGAGCGCTCCTGAAGACACTCCGCAAGTATCGAATGCCAGTTCCCGCTGGTCTGATGGAATCTGTTGAGGCCCATGAGATGATCACCAAGCGCAAGGATGGCAAGGGCAAAGGTCAGAAGGCGGCGGCCGGAAACGGAACAAATGCTGCTGCCGCCAGGAACGGAACAAATGCCGCTGCTGCTGCTGGTACTGGACTCGTCACTGCTACACCCGAGACAAACGACGTGGAGTATCTGTCTCCCGTGAATATTGGTGGCCAGACTCTCAACCTTGATTTCGACTCTGGTTCTTCTGATTTATGGGTTTTCAGCAACCAGTTGAGTACCGCTGCCACAACAGGCCACACTGTCTTCGACGCGACAAAATCCAACACCTTTGCTCTTATGCAGGGCGCTACTTTCCAAATCAGCTATGGTGATGGATCCGGAGCCGCTGGCAATGTCGGCACTGATACTGTTGATATTGGTGGTGCCACTGTCACTCAACAAGCTGTGGAGCTTGCTACCGCTGTCTCCAAGTCTTTCGTCCAGGACACCAACAACAACGGTCTTCTCGGTCTTGCTTTTTCGAAACTCAACACTGTGAAGCCTGCACAGCAGAAGACATTCTTCGACAACGTCATGCCCTCGCTCGCTGAGCCTCTCTTCACTGCTGATCTCCGCGCTAACGCTGTTGGTGCTTATGAATTTGGCCGGGTTGACAACACCAAGTTCACTGGTCAGATGACCTGGGTTCCCATCAACACCACTCAAGGTTTCTGGCAGTTCAGCAGCGAGAGCTTTGCTGTCAATGGCGGCCAGGCCCAACAGGGCACCTCTGGCGGCCAGGCTATCGCTGATACCGGTACAACCCTCATCCTGGCTGACCCCACTGCCGTCAGTGCCTATTACTCTCAAGTATCAGGCGCAGTCAACGATGCCCAAGCCGGTGGTTTCGTCTTCCCTTGTAACACTCAGATGCCTGACCTGCAACTCGATGTTGGCGGCACCATGGCCACGGTTAAGGGTTCAGACATCAACTTTGCCCAGGTTGACAACACTAGTAAGTCATAGTTGCATTAAAGTTGGTATTATCGCTCACTAACACGTGGCCATCAGACTGTTTCGGTGGTGTCCAGGCATCTCCTGCCAACCTCTTCATTTATGGTGACATTTTTTTCAAGAGCAACTTTGTCGCTTTCAACGGCGGCAACAATTCTTTAGGCTTTGCCACACACGTTGTCGCCTAGGAAAGTCACATGTAACTCATACCACAGGAGAAAAATCTAAGCACGAGGTCTGGGGACACTATATGGAGATATGAGGGAATAAATCAATCTCATCAGGCATTGGGTCGATATAGAGCTTAACGCGTCTAATGGTTCACATAAATGGTCGTTATGTTCATACTAAACAAGAATCAAAGTATATATATATTTTTCAAAGGTGGCACCATCATCGATCGTACTGCGACTACTTCTGCTCATATATTGTGGATAAATATCACGTCTCACTGCCCCCATCTCAAGACATCATATTCTACACAATGAGGGATTGCCCCATAAACACGCACATATTGTTGGCATCGTTTCCTTATGTGGTCACCTAGTGAGTCTTTACGTTAAAACTCCTCAGGGGCCTCCTCAGGTACATGCATTCTATCCAATATAAGACGAGACAGCGATGCGGATGAAGTATCCAAGCCTAATTGGCCGTTAAGAGGAATGGTAATCTTTGAATAGATTACTAGGCCCAGTCAAGCTCGACAGAAGTCTTAACTAGCTACCACTAAAGTATAATGATACTTTATTTATAGTAGACCTAAAGTAGGCATATAGGTAACCGTACTAAACTTATCTGTTCATGCATCTTAATTCATACGAATTAGATGTCGCTGATGATGTGAGATCTTGTCTAGGTAATTTAGCAACTGTTCCTAAGTAGCAATTCTTCTTTGACCTCGCATTGAAGGTTATGAAGTCACTTCCCCATTGTAACAATATATCAGTACGAGTTTATTTCGTCGTTGTTCATGATTAAAAGCCGTCTTGGACGGAAGCGGCTTATCAAGATCGAAACATAGCCCAAGGAAACTCAAATAAAAGTACACTTTCCGGAATACCGAACTGAACAAACTGCAAACATGTATCACCTTTCAGTTCCCTAACACACACTTGTAACGTACTCCAATCGCCAGGTTGTTCTTCAAGAGATTTTCCCTCACCACTCTGCTGGCTGCGTTCGTGGTCCCTCCTAGTCCCGGCAAAGTTCCGGATAGTGACGACCCTGACCCTTCTCCTTTATTGGAAAAGACAATCGACAGGGATATCTTGCGTCGGCTTCCTGTAAAGCCGGTCTTGGTTCTGGTACAATATTTAACGGCCTGTGAATGTCGCTCTCCTTTATGACTCGTCAGCAGCTCAGGCCGATATCTGCCTGCAGATGGACGACAAGGCAAGCAACTTTGAGTTGACCCACGTGTCGTTCAACTCTCCCGACTACTCACACCGTTTCCTAAGGCGGTTTGCGAAACGTCTTTCCATAGTGCAAATCACGCATTGCTCTTCTAGAATATTGGTTGTGGTGTTACTACGCCGGCCCGCTACCTTCGGTAGTGAATCAACTCAGGTAAGCTTGGTACCCAAGCACTTGACGTCCCATCAACTAAATAGTGTCACGAAGGTCTCCATTGGAACGCAGGTGTCTACCTAATAGATTTTGAAGTGCGAGCGGAACGATAACTATTTGAAGAACTGATGAGTTTTGTCTTGAAAGCGTGGTATGGTCTCTCCATTAGTGAAGGGGATTTGCTCCGTGTGACGCCTCTTAACACCAAAAACACCGACCTGCTGATGGTAAGAAATGCGAGTTTTATGATAAGACGATAAGCTCGAGTCCTGTGAATAAAGTTCAACTGACCGGCGTTATCTTTGGAGGTCGACTTTGCTGGCTTCAAGTTTACCCAGGTCCACTAGATCCAGTGGAGCAGTGTGATCCCCATTAATACAACTGAGTGGCAGGTTGGTAGCCGAGAATAGCATCTATGTCCCACGGGACTTTTTCTACGGATAAGACGATTGCGTTCAAAAGATATTATGGAGTCAGAAGGGTTTACACTAACTCTTTCTCTTGAGATGTGATTTGTCCTTCGTTGGGGACAAAGATTAGGTTCGATTTTGCATAGTTTTATAGTTTCTTCTGCGCTGTGCCCCTGCTCAAGACCAACATACTATAGTCCTGAGGATAAGACCTAAGCCCTACCTCATTCTGGAGTTTCAATGCCGAACAACTCGGCGGCGCAAACTACACGAACATTTTTGAGTGTTATGATAGTCGACTGCCGGCATGGTTTCCTTCAACCCGTGACGCCTAACGGTCATTTTGCCGCAAGTCATGATACAGTAGACTCTACCAATCCAGACTGTCTGCACAAGATTTGTAATGTTGGGTTCAACATTCAGCTTCAGGAGACCAGTCATTTGACCAGCCGAGCTTACAGGCACGTTACGACAGTCACTAGTCATATAAGTCTGCGCGTGCGTTACGCCGTGTTACGCCGTGTTACCCTGGTATATGCGGTCGCGTGCAGATCGATCGCTGGTGGCTGTACCTGAATTAACACAGAACCACATCAAGGGAGTTGGTCCTAGGACAGAGGTCGCAGCGGCTGTAGGCTGTGTGTCGCGTCCTCATGCTGGTACGTATGAAATATGCTCATCGAGTTGTGATATTTCAATGTTGTATTCAATGCATTGGCGTCTGTTCAGGTGGGACTCAATGTTTGTAGCCAGGAAAGACGTCACAAGTGCCACGCAGATCACATGTCGTCAGGGTCTAAGACCTTCCCAACTCAATTCCATTCAGGTCGTAAGGATATGGCAGTTGTGGTTACACGCCCAACAGGAATGTACAATTTCCGTTTCACAAGACCGGGCATGAGACAGCGGGACGGGCCCGTATTTGTTGCAGACCAATTTCGCAGGAACCACGCTCGAGCAGCTTTTGTTCCCACCGTCAACCCACGCGGCTCCTATCAAATGTTGATTATCGAGGCCCGATGCCAACTGTAAGCTTGGGCTAGCATGGGGATGACGGTGTGTCACCTGCCCCTCCTCGCTTCGGTGATTGTTTGCCACCGTTTCAAGTGGGCAACACAGCTATTCGACAGTCGGTATGCAGCATTGGCTCCGCGACCTGTACAGCAGTCTTAGTCCTGAAATTGGTGCGATAAGGGAATGACCAACTGTTTGAAACGTGACCGGGCAAGAAGTTCGTTTCTTCATTCTTAAGGCTTTTCAGAATAGAATCCACCCAGAGGAATAAATTTTATGACTCGAGCGGCAATGTTTTCTTGAATGTTTGGAATCGAGATAACTCGCAACAGTGCTAGCATAGAAGCCCGGAATTAAGCGGCGGTCACCAGTTGTGGTAATGGCCCCGCACTTCACGACGAAGAAGCAGCAGCAGCAGCAGCAGCAGCAGCAGCATCAACAGCGCGATCATCTAAATGGGCCAGGTCTCACTCACAGTTCCCAAGCATCAGACAATGTACAACGACCAAACATCTGGCGATACATTTCCGTGAGAAGTTCCGGTCAACGGGCGGCAGGGGACTCTGCAGATGAAGGCGATGACGATGATCTACGACGGCATGCGGGCCTGACGGGCCAAATCTATAATGAACCGGACGGGTCAAACTCGATCTTCCTTGTCGACGAGGACGGCTCAGACGCTGAATCCGTTTGCTCTGTCTCTGAGTACTCGGATGCACATAGCCACTGGGAACATCCCTTGACCAATCGAGAAGATGCCATCTCGTTTGCTTTTAGCGAACTGCTGCAAGGCGACGATGCACAGGATAGCCCACCTAGCAAATCGTCACCGTCGGCTGCGAGGTACGGAACGTCAACTGCTACGCGCCGGCCAGACTCAAGTTATACGATAAATGGTTCTACGGACGACGTGGTCAATTTCCAAGGACTTGAAAAATTCGATGCTTATTATGCACGAGAGACACCACCGCCGCTATCCCACAGCATGCGACAGATGGCCCACGACCCCTTTTCTGCGGAGAATATCATGGCGCAGCAGAGGCCACAGGGGCAATTCTGGCAAGATGTTTCTGATCTCTCGAGGAAAGGCAAGGATGCACTGAGATCTCCGGATTGGAGCACGGCCAGCAATCCTTGGGCATTGATTGACGCCAGCATTTCGGAATCGAATGAACGAGACGCTATTATAAAGGAAAACCAGCGTTTACGGGCCGAAATCGAAGAAATGAAAGCTGTAAGATCTACGGAATATCTTCAGGATTTACCACAACCTGAAATGGGATCTCCAGTCCGCTCATCCAACAGCAGACCGCAGAGTCGTCTACGACGGGCAAAGAACAAGAAACGGCAAGATGTCACTCTATTCAAAACCACAACGCTTCGTGATCTTGTCCTCAAGAGACTATTCACTCCGCATGTGATTGCTGACGGAATAATCCATAATGAGGAGCAACCATTGACACTTGATACCCCCCTGACGGCAACACAGGTGCACGACATCACGAAGATTATGAACGATATCATCGTGTCGGGGAGTCATCTCAAGCAACCAATTGCACTTTGTGCAGTCTGTCATCTACCCAAGTTCAAAGGCATCAAGAACATGCAACAGAACTCTTACGTGTCCCAAGTCTTGGCACAGTTGCCTATGGTTTCAGCCTCAGCTTTTGAGGATTTCGATCCTGTCTGGGGAACTTCAACCTGCTGCCGGCGTTATGTGTGCAAGACTTGCCTAAGTGCTGCCATAATTTCTGGTATCAGCACCCATTGGTGGTTTGACTTGCAAAATCGTGGCTCGAACTGGCTGAAATGCCCCGTACCCTGCTGTGGACGCAATCTACCGCTATCATCTGTTGACGAGATCGACGAGGTCATGCAAAAGCTTAATGTGCATACTATCCTACCACATCTTGAACGGTATGAACGCGCATCGAGACTGCGTTCGCAGCTACAAGATTTAAATCCACTGCCTAGCAAAGACGAGCTGCGAAGGAGCAAGGCATTGCATGACAGACTAATTCGTCATCGCCGAATGCGCCCGCTGCTGGAAGACAGCCCGGATCTCGAGACCGCAGAAGATATCGAGGCTGTGTTGCAACCCATCGATACAGCTGATGGACGTGGGACTATGCAAGTTCCCATCTTCAAGGGCTTGTTCGCACATCGCGTTATTCAGACTTGCCTTGTGTGCGACGAGACATACAATGAGCCCAACCTTGGCAATATGGAGACTTGGAACAAAATCATCAACGGCTTTGGCGGCGGATGGACGTGGGGAATTTTGGCCTTTCCAACTCCAGAGATTTTGCCCGGCTGCCACCATGACCACACAATATGTCGGAGTTGCCTTGCCAAATACGTGTCAACGCAGGTTGAGTGCCAGGGTCACAGCGTGGCGGAGAACATCACCTGCCCTACTCCAGACTGCCAGCACAAATTCATTCACGCTGAGGTACGAACTCTCGCCGCTCCTCAGGTATTTTCGCTATACGATCGCTACACGGTGCTCAATTCTATCTCTTCCCAGCCAAATTTTCGGTGGTGTCTACGTGAGGGATGCGTCTCTGGTAGTGTCTACGACGACCCAACATTATCGGCCTCTACGGATAGCACGGACGTCGACCCTAATCAGATCGAATGCTCAGAGTGCAGCTTTGCCATGTGCTATACGTGCCAAACGCCGTGGCATACGGGCCTCACATGTGCGCAGCACACGTCTCAACGCGAATCGTCGTTCGAAGAAACACAGACATGGTTGGCACAGCATACAAAACCGTGTCCGGGCGAGGGCTGTGGTGTACAGGTACAAAAGGGAGATGGCTGCTTCCACATGACTTGTTCCAGATGCCACTACGAGTTTTGTTGGGAGTGCTTGGAAGATTGGCGGCGCATTTTCGTGCCAGGTGAGGATGGCGGTTACTTGAGGTCGGATGGCCATCGTGAGGGTTGCTTCTTCAGAGGAGAAGGGGCACCACTGCCGACGCAGATCAACGGGCAGGACATCGAGGCCGGCCTCAGAAGGTTGGAAGAGCGGGAAGAGGCTGTCGCAGTTGCTGTCGCGGAGTAGGATACACGAGCGCATGGTGTATTTTTTTTCTTTTTTATTATTAAATATCTTCTTTTTTTAGGAGCACATTCCATTTACTAGTTGATGAGCATATCTGGCGTAGCATTTACAGGGTTGGGAATTTTCAATCGTTGGCATCTACATGTAGAAGGTCTTGTCATCCGTTGCCCAAGGGCAGAAACACAGCAGCAATTATTACAGTTTGTTTGTCTATAGGGATGACCGACGCATCTCAGCAGCACAAATGGTGAAGCTAGTACAAATCAATCAGTCGTTATCCCGCTACTACACACAAGAACTTGGAGCTCATCGAGTGACTGTCATGCCTAAGGACAGAAACAATATGCCAGAGAGTTCCGTGGATAGAATGACATTCTATGATACTGGTAGTTAACAAAGCGTAGATACAGAATACAGGGGGATGATATGTTGGTAGCGGTTCATACAGGCAGGCTATTCCAGACTATTTCAGGTTCAGTCTAACCTAACCTAACCTAGTCTGGTGCTGCATACCAAGTACATACTGCAGTACGCTGCTGTACTGTAAGTTACATATAATTATGTACTCCGCAATTGCAAAATCAATTAAACACGAAAAGGAAAGACGCGCGACCCGACGCGTTTTCAGGGGGAAACGCGACTAAGTCAAGTTAACACTAACGTTGGACAGACAGACAGACAGACAGACAATTTGGGTGCCCCGCAACCATCAACTTGGTGAAGTCTGCCATGTCAATTTGCACACCTTCGACTCTCTACTTTCGGGCTTTGAGCAGGTTCGACACAATATACCCCCCCCAACCCCCTCCCCCAAAAATATCGAAGTCGCAGTCACTGCAAATCAATCCATAATGGCGACCCCCAGTGATGCCACCATGACCATGTCGGATGCGCCATCGCGCACCGGCACGGCCAGGCGCAATTCTCGTCCCAGGGCTCCTCCATCTGAAAGCTTAGCCGCCCCGAGCGACGACGAGGGCGAGGGCTTTGCAGACGATCAGATACCCGGCCGAACAAGGCGCAATGGCGCTCAAGATGTGCCCCGAGTGGAAGACAGGATTGGTATTACCGTGCAGGAGCATTTCGAGAACTTCATCGAGGAATTTGTCGAAGACCCGACATCCTCAGGGGCGCCGACATCAAGCGCCGTCACGACAGATAAATATTATGTCGCTCAGATTCATGCCATGCGGGTGTACCAACTGTCTACCTTTTACGTCAACTACGATCATATTGCCGCCTATCAAAACGGCGGCCTGGCCAACGCCATCAACATACAGTACTACCGATTTCTCCCCTTCCTTACCAACGCCTTACACAACATGATCGCCAAGCACGAGCCACAATACTTCCGCGAGCATCGCCAACCTACAACCTCGAGCAACCAGACCACGTCTGGAGCGAGCAATGCTGGTTCCGCCAGCCAGTCCGAGGCCACACAAGGCAGCAAGACGGCCAACCAGCAAACCGATAAGCTGTTTGCCATCGCCTTCTACAACCTGCCATTAGTCTCGCGGGTCCGTAGCTTGCGCGCAAAGAACATCGGCCAGCTGCTTTCCATCTCCGGTACTGTCACCAGGACATCCGAAGTGCGGCCTGAGCTGTCTGTGGCGACCTTTGCCTGTGAAGCATGTCGGTCAGTCGTGCTCAATGTCGAGCAGACCTTCCGCTACACCGAACCGACGCAATGCCCGAATCAGCAATGTAACAACCGTATCGCATGGCAACTTGACATCCGGCATAGTACGTTCGTGGATTGGCAAAAGGTCCGCATCCAGGAGAACAGCTCCGAGATCCCCACGGGAAGCATGCCTCGAACAATGGATGTCATTCTGCGGGGAGAGATGGTCGACAGAGCCAAGGCCGGCGAGAAGTGCATCTTCACGGGTGCTCTCATCGTTGTTCCCGACGTTTCTCAATTAGGCCTGCCCGGTGTGAGACCTACAGCAATCAGGGACGATCGCAATGCGTCTCGCGGCAACGAGGCGGGTGGAAGCGGTGTCTCCGGTCTAAAGGCTTTGGGTGTACGAGACCTCACATATCGCCTGGCTTTCTTGGCCAACATGGTAAACTCGGATACATCAACACCCGGGTCAAATGCCCAACGGCCAGTACAAGATATCATCGGCTCCCTGACGCAGTCGAATGCCGAGACTGCAGAAACGGTTGACGAGGCACAGCAGGCTGTGCTGAGCTCCATGACGCCCGCCGAAATTGACGAGTTGCGTGAAATGGTTCACAGTGACCACATCTACAGTCGACTTGTTCAGTCTCTAGCTCCCACCGTGTACGGACACGAGATCGTCAAGAAGGGAATCCTTCTACAGCTCATGTCGGGTGTGTCCAAATCCACGGCAGAGGGTATGCAACTTCGTGGAGATATCAATATTTGTGTTGTCGGTGACCCGTCGACCTCCAAGTCACAATTCCTCAAATATGTATGCTCGTTCGCACCACGAGCTGTTTATACATCCGGCAAAGCCTCATCCGCCGCTGGTCTCACTGCTGCCGTGATCAAGGACGAGGAGACGGGAGAATTCACCATCGAGGCAGGAGCGCTAATGCTCGCCGATAACGGCATTTGTGCCATTGATGAGTTCGACAAGATGGATATCGTTGATCAAGTTGCTATTCACGAGGCCATGGAACAGCAAACTATTTCAATTGCCAAAGCGGGCATCCAGGCTACCCTCAACGCACGTACGTCTGTCCTGGCAGCCGCCAATCCCGTCGGAGGTCGGTACAACCGCAAGACGACCCTGCGTGCAAATATCAATATGTCGGCACCTATCATGTCGCGTTTTGATCTGTTCTTTGTCATTCTTGATGAGTGCAACGATCAGATCGATAGACATTTAGCCCAGCATATCGTTGGCCTTCACCAACTTCGCGACAGTGCCATTGAGCCCGAGTTCAGCACCGAGTGTCTGCAGCGATATATCCGCTTCGCCCGGACTTTCCGTCCTGAGTTCACCGATGAGGCAAAGGAGCAGCTTGTCATACGATACAAGGAGCTGCGTTCTGACGACGCCCAAGGTGGAGTTGGAAAGAACAGCTATCGTATCACTGTAAGACAACTGGAGAGTTTGATCCGACTCTCTGAGGCTATCGCCAAGGCAAACTGCGTGGAAGACATCACAGCCGACTTTGTAGACGAGGCTTTTGGTCTCCTACGACAAAGTATTATCAGTGTCGAGCATGACGATGTCGAGATGGACGAAGACGAAGACGAGATGGTCGACGATGCTGCTGAGCTGATCGCCGCCGCCGATGCTGCCTCTGGTGCTCATCAACAAGCCGACGAGCAGGACGTCGATGGTGACGAGGCCATGGCTAACACTGATGGTTCCCCAGCACAACCCGACGGCACAAAGAAGAAGACCGCCGTCACGTACGAGAAGTACATTGCCATGGTGAACCAGTTCGTCAGTCGCGTCAACGACGACGAGTCTACTGGGGCCGGAGAAGGCGTCGAGGCTGAAGCTCTCTTGCAATGGTATCTTGAACAAAGAGAGGATGAGCTTGACGGTGAAGAGGACTACCACCACGAACTATCGCTTGCCAAGATGGTTCTGAAGAAGATGGTCAAGGTAAGTTTATCTCACGTATCTGCTTTTTTCAGAGCCAAACGCTGACTTTTGTGATACAGGACAACATACTCATGGCTGTTCGTGGAGAGGGTCTTGCTTCCGCAGACGGAAACGAAGCGGACAACGCTGAGCAAAAGATCGTCTACGTTCTACACCCCAACTGCGCTGTGGAAGATGTTCAGTGAGATGTATGTGAATAATATGGAATGACGGCGTTTGGAGTTGAGATGGCCCCGGTGGAACAAGATGGATGATTCATGAGCGTATAGTAATGACATTCTAGACATAGCGCCATATCGGTGGGAGAGCACTAGACCTAGTGGTATATCAAACTGATATGCAGCACGGTCATGCTAGTGGAGTATCTCTGCGATGCTATGGGATTAAATTAAACAAGAATTACTGTCCACTAGGCTACCCACCTTACTATATAGCGTACTCGTCTATGAGTCTTTCAAAACCTAGATTGCCTCTCGAGAGGCATGGCGGTCCCGAGCGCGAGGATAAAAGGTGTCGAGGACCTCGCGGACGACCAGAGGCCCGGCCATGCAAGACGCAATGGACCCCGTGGATTTGTTCGAGAAATCCCTCTACAAGGTGTCCAGGAAAGACCTGCGCCGGGACGCACCTGTTTGAACCGGGAAATGCAAGAATCTTGGGACGGCTAGCCACCGAACCTTTAATTCCCCTTGTCCTCTTCTTTTTGAATTGCAATTCCTTTTCTTCTTCAGAGTATGACGTTTGGATTACTTATCAGACTTTGACAGGATCAGAATCGAAAAGAACTGCAGGTCAATCTTGAGACGTTTGCTTCGTGATTAGAGAGTTAGTCTTACCAATTGTGTGCTGTGTTTACTCTTGCCACTATCTGCCAGATGTATTTGGGAGGACGCACCTGCAGGTGAATGTATTGTAAGTGGAGAGTGGAGGTGCAAAGCAGCGCTTATGTTTAGATAATTATAAATTTGTATGAAGCCTGAAGGTGTTCGTGCCGGTATTGACGATGATTTTTCGGAGATTGGTGCTCCGTGAAGAAATTTGAAGCTCTGTCACCACGGACCTGCTGTGGCGACGTATTGAGCGGAGGTTGCGAGGGAGGTCCTGCCTATATGGCCGCTTTGGGCCTTGAGATAAAAGTAGCTACGAGCAACTAAATCGAGACCGGTCGCGGTTCTTGTGGGAGAAAGCGCCGTCCATGAATACATGAGCAACGAGATAGTTTGTGTACTGTTGTTCGGTGCCGCCAAAGTTGATGTTCTTATTCCGTTCTCTTGAACCTACCCATTAATTACTTATATATACGTTTGGAGCGATGTAGTTACGGCTCGGAAAGCATGTATTAGAATTTCAGAATTTCGTCGAAAAAGGAACCGCCCCCCGCGCGGCACGTTTTAAGGAAGCAGAGCGTTGAGAGCTCGTGGCAAGTTTGGTTTGTACGGCACGAGTTTCACGACGGAAGAATGGATCATATGCGAGAGTCTTTCCTGGGCTACGCCCTCCACTCTAAGAATCAACGAGCAACTTCAGGTACGCCGGACAAGTTTACAATCAGCTAATGACCCCTCACGTACGGTGCCTACGTCAATCACGTTTGTAGGCTGATAATCATCTCCCAGACCGTGACGGTGAAGCTATCTACTTTGAAGGTCATAGCACCAAACATATATCATATAGCCTCGCATCTAGGACATGACTAAGAGCACCTGCTCTATATGCAGTAGCACGTGCATCATAACGGCACAACTAATCACGATTCGTTTGTGTTTACCATATCTCATTGCTTGTAGCAGAAGCTCAACTATATCTGCCTGATGTAGTTCCTTCATTCGTCCAGGGGTCTTGACGAAAACAGGAGGAATGTTAATACCGCCGCAGCGTTATGTTCCCACCTGCTATACCTTATTCGCCCTTTGGTCGTGAAGGATCAAGATGTGCTACTTTTCCTCATTAAACCACCAACGCCCTTCGTACATCCAGTCAAAACCATCCTATGCACTCCTTAGCGGTTGAACATACAGCAACTATGTGTGTGCAATTTCGCGAAAAGCAGAAGAAGGCTTTGTCGCAAATGCAAAGGGTAGGACTGAAAACGAACAAAGGCGCTTCCACGAAAGTCGATCGTCAGCTTCGTATCGATCCATCGCTTGATTCATATAGTCAGAAAGTAAAGGCAAAAACAATTGGCCTTTGCAGGATTGAGAACGCAAACGACAGTAATGCGCTAGACAGTACTTGTACAAATTGCCATATTGGAAAGCAGGCCCAAGCCCGTATGGCAGTGAAAATGTGATTGTTGTTCGACATTTGAAACTCGAACTTGATGTTTGGTATGGTCGAGTAGTAGTGGTAGCATTCGCTCTTTATTTGGACGATTGCTGTTCAAACTGTGTACAGTTTGATTGTATCAGAGAGAAAGTTCTCTGGAGAAGCCAAGCCGCGCACAGACGGAACTGAAAACGCATAGACGGGCATGATGCAGTAGAATGATAAATCTAAGATTGCATGGGTTGAGCGAGCGAAGAGGAGTTTCTGCTCCAATTCTCAGATCGAGCTCGGAAATTGCCTCGACCACCACCACGACTGGTAGTACGATCAGGACGCTCAGGACGATCAGAGATTGTGGGGGTCTTCTGGTGGTCGCCGAAAGAATCTCTACCGCCACGCTGGCCACCTCGGGAACCGCGACCACCCCGTCCTTGACGTTGAGGGTTGCTTCTGTTTCGAGGAGTATAGGGTGCGAGCACTGTCTTGGGTTCGTCCATACCAGGGGTCAATACGCGGTAGACACTCTTGTGGTTCACCATCTCGTAAGGGAAGCGGACAGACTCAGAACCCAGAGCATCAATGCGATACTGGGTTTGAAGAGGGTACCAATTGGGTTCGGCCGCTTTGTTGGGCCATAGAGCGGGTGGCACATCGTGAGGGAGGTTGATCAGCGGAAGTGAGCCCATTTCCTGTTCGTCAAAGCATTCCTCAGCCATCTCCTTGGAGGTGATCGAACTGAATTCGCTTGATGATGAGCCTGTCGGAGAAAGAGCCGGAAGAGATACGGTTGCAGAGGTATTTGCATGAGCATCGAAAGCGTACTTGCTCGAGGAGTCAACCGACATCGGCTTCCCAGGAGCGGCACGGACGAGACTGTTAATCTTTTCCTGCCAATTCTCTTGCTTCTTAATTTCACCCGCTGTCTGGATGTTACCACCGTAGTTTGCACCGCGACCAGGTGCCAACGCAGCGGTTGTGGATCTAGATATGGGTGCGGCGGCGGCTGCCGCTGCCGCTGCGGCAAATGTAGCAGGTTTAGGAGCAACCGGCGTTGTGGCCTGTTTCGGGGCTTGTGTTTGTCTTGTCACGGCCGGGGGCAACTTAACCACAGGACGTGTCGGGGGAAGTGAAACATGCGGATGTGCGACGTCTCCATCATAGGCAGGATGCCCATCCATAGTGGGCGGCGGCGGAGTGGGTGACTTCGATCTCGGAGGCGCCGGCATCTCTTCATGGCGAACATCACGCGAACCGTGGTGTGGGAAGAAGCGCGAGCCAGCACGAGGCTGAACCATGGGAGGGCCGGGAGGAGCTGTGCTAGCGGGGCCCATGGGTGCTGCTCTGGTATACAAGCTATCATGCGGCCCATGGGAAGCGCGGTAGTCCTGACGATGTAGCTGTTGACGCAATATGTGTGCTTCAGTTCTTGCGTGCTCGTGCTGGGAGCCCGAAACAGGCGCTTCCCAGGTAGGAGCCGCTGGGCGATCCAACCTCTCGCCATGATGAGTCGTCAGTACTTCACCCGCAAGTCGTTTACCGTCATGTCCCACGTTCACACCACGCCAGGTTTCGCTGACGCCATGATGCACCTCGTTAGTGCTCAAGCCCTGACTCTCAAGATTCTTCCTGTACTCCTCTGCTTGCTTCTGTTTTTCGGCACGAATTGCACGATCGTCGGCGGCGATGTCCGCCGTAGCCCAAAGGTTGCGACGATTCACGTTGGAGCCATGGACAGGCGGAGCACCAGGGCGACCACTGCCAGGTGGACCGATTGGAGCAAGTCGACCAGGCTGCTGCTCATGGCGCTGAGTCTGGCCCTGTGAGGTGCTCCGCGGAGGCCCAATGGGCGTCGGTCGCGCAGTTACGCTGGCTGGTTGAGTGGGCTCGGAGTTGGCTAATTGTCCAAGATCCGCGTCGAATGTGCCATTGCCAAGGGAGCGGTCATTTCCAGGGGCAGCCCAAACATTCTTCGGACCAGGCTGGGGGCCAGTGCCCCAGGATGGCAATCTCTCAGTGGACTTGCGTGCGGACTCGGGCCAAGACTGAGCTGTCTGATTTCCTGGAGGCGGACCTCCTCGCCCAACTTGCAGCTGCGACTTGTCTGCCTGGGTTGGAGGCGGCGGCGTACCGTTGACATTGGTTTCGGCCATGGCGGGTGAGATTTCCTGCTTCTTCGGGGACGTGACAGAAGGCTGTATAGCTCGCTCGGCGGCGGCGGCAGCCAGGTCGTCCTTGGTGAAAATGCCGGCTGGTGGGCCATCTCGTTTATAAGGAGCTTCCTTCGGTTCGTCCTTCTTTGTGCTCTTCCGTTCCGGCGCAGGACCCATAGCCTCCAACTTCAGGCGAATTCGTTCCTTTCGAGCAGCCTCCTCGTTTGCCTCTTCTTCCAACCTTCGCTTGATAGCCAGTTCTCGTCGTTCTCGCATGAGACGCTTTTGCAACTCTACATCATCCTCTGAGGGTATGGCTGCGGCCGCAGGATCTGGCTGGGCCTCAGTGACGGGTGTCACGTTTTGGGGAACAGCCTGAGGAACAGCATGGGTTTGGCCGGGTGAGGGTCGTGGCTGCCACGGTTGAGCATGTTGTGATCGAGCAGGCGAGGCCTGAGTCGGGGCAGGCAGGCTGTGCTCCGGAGGGGGCATATCATGTAACTTCCCTAAGCGGTGCGCGAAGCTACCACTTCCACCACTGACGTTGGAAGAGTTGCGACGACGTCCATACGGCATCCCGTCCTGACCACTATTCCTGCTGGTTTGGAAGGCAGCCGAAGGCTCAGCCGGACCCTGGTGGTCATGCTGCTGCATAGGTCGCTGAAGCAAGGCGGGATGACGATGATTTATGTCGTGCCGCGATCCCCGGCGATCATGAACGGGTTCGTATCTGCCAGATTGTGAGTTGTACAGCTCCCGGTTCCCGCCCGTGGGGCCGTCCCTCCAAGGTGATCGCGTAAAGTCGTCTGCCGCAATCTCTTTCGCAGGTGGAGGAGTCGCGCTTTGTCCGAGGGAGGGGTCACGAGGAGGATAGCCTCGCATCGGCGCTGGGGGATGTTGATGATCGGATACGTCCATGAGCACAGGTGAAGCTTTCTCGACGGGCGGCAACGATGCCCAGGGCGACTTGACAGGTGTGGGCAGTGCTGGGGCCTTGGCGACCAGCGTAGGCTTTTCCGGAACTCCCTTCAGAACAAGACTCTTGCCAGACGAAGATGTGATTAGGCTCGGTTTAACGGAAGGCGAAGCTCTAGCACTCCCACTCGTCAGAGCTGGAGCTGGGGATTTCGGCTTGTCAGTCGGCACGGGCACGGGCACATTGGTGGTCGTCGGGATTGGCAAAGGCGCAGTCGAGGCCGTGACAACGGGGACGGCAGGTGCTGGGTTGGGCGTCGGCTGGTTGTCCAATGTAATCCTAGTACCATCGGTCCATGTTATTTGTTCCGGTTGCCACTCATCGTCATCATCGTCAGCCCAGTTAGCCTGACCACTCTGGCTCTCTGGCCGCAAACGGTCGGCCATGTGAATGCCATACTTCTTCAGCTCTTCATCGGAGAACTTCTTGGTCTCGGGTGTAGGGGTGGCTATTTCGGTCAGCTTGTTCATGTCATTGGGAACGTTTGCAAGAGACGAAGACTACTGACGCTTGTTTTTGTTCCACACGGTACCCCCGTCCGGAACTCCAGAGCCTTTGCCATTTGTTGTAATAGTCTTGGTGGCGCCCCCGAGGCTGGATCCCGACTTCGCGACCAGCTTCAGCTTGGACGCAGAGGAGCTAGAAGCGACAGCGGGAGCCGCTGGGGTTAAAGAGGGAGATGAGGTCTCAGATCGTGAGGTGGCATTCGCAGCATTCTTGGGACCCAGAAAGGACCGGTTGACGGAAACGGATTTGAAGCTTTGGGGTTTCTTGAGCGTGGAGGAGCTCGATGCGTGATTGCCATCCTTTGGCTTGGATGTGGATGCCTCTGTATCCGAGCCGCCGCTCACACTGACTTCTGCCGAGTTGACGACTTCATCGACAATATCGTTGACCGCCTTGTTCTTCTCAGGCTCGTCGTGGGAACCAGTGCCGTTCACTGTCGGCGGGCTGGGATCTTGGACATGTTGAGGTTGGGGTTCGGTAGATGCAGTAGTCTGAGACTGCTGGGGAAGAAAAGTGTCAGCATTAGGGGACGGCAGCAGGACGAGTCGGATGGAAAGTAAATGCGACACCAAAAAAGCATCATGAGATGGGCAGGTGGTAAGGGCAAGCCGGAGCAGTGGTGAGATGGGAGGACAAACTTACGAGCGAAGCGTCAGTTACTGAGACATCGACCGGCTTCTCACTGGTGGCCTCAGTAGCCATCATCCACTTGAGAGGAGCTCTTGGGGTCTGGGTTGTGATGGGGCAATCAAGCCAGGTGCGGTGATTATTATGATGATGAGCGAGAAACGAGGATGCGCTTGTCGCTGAGGTTCCGCAAAGTATCCGTATGGGATATGGGGTTTGGGGGGGTGTGGATGACTTCCAGCAAGCGGAAGCTGGGCTGGGCTGAGGGTGTGGTGGTCTCAATTGAATTGCCAAACTTTCGATGTCCAACCAGCGCGGAAGCTGGCGAATAAAGGACAAGGTTGTTTGAACTCGTTCGGGGGGGACGGGAGTGGGGAACGCGAAAAAGAAGCCCAGTACAGTTATGTTTGTTAGTAACTTATGTAACTTAGTAACCTAGGCGTAGACGTAGACGCACACACGCAGGCGCAGATGCAGGCGTAGGCCCGAGGCGTAGGGGCGCAGGCGCAATTCAATACTTCCTGTCCACGATTGAGAAGTACCGTGTGTCTTGTCCCTAGGAATGGCGTGATGGGAAAATTGGGAATGAAAAGGGAGAAAATGAACAGATTGGTTATGCAACAAGAAAAGAAAAGAAAGCTCAATGCCCAAACTCCAGCTATTAGACCTCCTTGGTCTCGTCTGGGGGGCTTTTTTTCTCTCTCTCTTTCTATGCGGCTGGGCAAGGCAAAAATTGTCGTATCGGCGATGGGTGCAAGTTGCAGTTCTGGCAGGAATTGGGTTAGCTGCTGTTCCGAGCTTTCGGTAGAGAGTTGTTTAGGCTTAGCCTACTTATCCAGTTCACTTATTGCGGAAGGGAAGCAACCAATTTGGGTCGGCCTTGTTTGCCGGTGGATGGTGAGCCTGGCAGTGATTGTTCTTTTCTGGCAAGCAGCTTGGGCTTTTATTTTTGTTTTTATTTCCGTACATTAGAGAATTGAACGGCCTCTTTCTAGGAAATATGCTCATAACAATCATGTCCATAGGGTGAGTTCACTGGGCACCAAAAGACTACCCTCCTCTTACCTCCTTGACGTGAAATAGTCGAGTCACCATGGTTCACTCACCCTTTTATCGACACTGTTCCTGTAATTACATCATTGTCTGTGGCAATTCTTCAAGACCATCGATACATCTCCCAGGCCTCAAGGCACTGAAACCTCTAATGTTATCCATGATCCTTGTCACCTTTTTGTTTACCTGCCACAACCTGTTTCGAATCCGGTCACCCCTATCGTCACCACCAACACGGACATGGAACAGCATGATTCTAGTGCTAATTCATAACATCCTACCACCAGAGGCCTTGTTCTCTTATTGCTTCGCTCAATAAAAACAAGAACCACCTGTCACAAGATGCGCCTAGGAATGGCACCACTTGCTAACATTCCCATGTCGTAACCTCTTAGATATATATCAGACTCGCCTAGGTTAGTCCAATAGGCCGGCAACAATTGCAGAGGGCTTTCTTGCCAAGGCCCCGGAATATACAACATGCACGGTGGTTCTGTCGCGTAACTCCTCACCTTAATTCAATAATCTTTGTCATTCCTGTTGTTCCGAGGGGGACGCTTTCCAAGCGCCTAGGGCACCCGTTAGCTAAATCATGGGCCGTGGTCCAATATTCGACCATGATCGAGTCAGATTCCAACTCTATGATGTTGCAGATGCCTCAAAAGAAAAGCTGCGGGTTGACGAAACTTGAGCCAGGGCGCACAAAGGGAATCAGTTCGAATCGAATTCTCTCCTTCCTAGTACACAAAGGTTTGCAGTCTGCTAATGACGCTTCGCCTTTTCTATGATATGTACATGTTGCTCCAGTTATAGGCTGAGCTTCCGTCCATCCTCGCCAGATATTCCACGCTTAGTGAGCGTTGTTCTTGTGGTGGCCTAATGGGCTGTGAGCATCCGCCTGTTGGGCACGGGGTACAAGGTAATACTTACGCAAGTGGAAGTAGTAGGTCATGGGGTAGCCGATGACAAGAATGAGACCGATGGCGTGAATGATGGCTGATATCACATATTAGCCCCTTGTGCAAATGGGTTTTGATTTTTTTCCAAATCCATCCCCAATTTTATCCTATATCCGATTGCCAAACACCATCCAGGGGTAGTGCGATTTTGAGAAGAGCAGAACGTACGCTTGGCAGAGGCGTTGTCACCACCGAAGTGCTTGGCCTGGTAGCGGCCGAGAAGGCCCTTGGCCTCGACCTTGGGAGCGGGGCCACGAGGAAGCTTCTCGTAGAAGTTGACGACGCGCTTCATGCGGAGGGCATCAGGAGCGGCACCGATGGCCTGGTTGGTTTGTTAGCCAATGTTCGCTTGTCAAATCCGTGGCCCTCATGTTTCATCGATTCGTCTTCGGCGTCTCCCCACCAGAAAGTCGAGAGAGAGGCCGGCCTGGCGCGCATTCGGAGGGGGCGGGAAGATGGGCGATACATACACCTGGAGAAGCGACCTACAGAACATGGGTTAGTCGGTTGGCTCACAAATCAGCCTTGGAATACGGACCTTGGGGGGGATAAGGGTCGAGAGCGCCCTGCGAGTAACGAAGCTCATGTTGGCGGTTGCGCAAAGTGGCGATCGATATGTGCGGTGTACGAAGAGGCGCAGGAAGTCAATTGGTCCCGAAATGACACAATTGACGTGCTGTAAGAAGAGGAGAGTTGTCGTCGGGATTGATGCTCGATAGCTTGAGGTGAGGTCAAATCACCAAAGGAAGGCACGAAAAGACCTCGTTAGCGGCCAAGTCCCAGACCCGCGCCACAAAAGCCGATCCGAAAGTTCCCACTGCCCTTTTGTCCTTTTCCGCCAGCCAAGCAGCTTAGGCTAGGGGGGGGGTAACAGCGTAGGTACAGCACATGTGCTGTGTTGCAAGCCACAGCTGGAACTGGCCGCTCTGCACCAGCCACACTCACGTATCTCGACCTCACTTGGTGCAAGTTTCGAGCTTGGAGCAACGACGCCCATTGCAAACCCATTGCGACGGCCAATTACGACCACTATGGCTTCTCTCCGAGTTCAGTCTGCAGCCAAGCTGCTGCGGACGGCACAAATCTCCCGGACTTCTGCCACATCTCTCGTCCACCGCCGCTTCGAGTCCACCGACGCCGCCGTCCGCGCCAACGATAACTCCAAGGCCCTCTCCGACCTGGGCCCCGTAGCCACCACCACCAGCACTGCTGCCGAGAGAGCTCCCAACTCGCCCGACTACGCTGCGCACATCGATAAGGCGACATCGTAGGTTATATGACCCCCGGTCCACGCCTCGGAGGATGGACGCGAGAGGGGCGGGCTGCTAATTGACTTCGGAACAGGACATATACCCCAGTTCCCAAGCGTGTCCTGGACGGCAGCGAGGACACCGATGTCCTGCCCGCTGCCGTGCTCTCTGGTGCTCCCATGGAGCTGCAGGCCCGTCAAGTTCGGTAAGCCTCAGGTTTCCCCTACAGCATACGGCCAAAACTGCTCACGTCTCTGCAGCATCTTTCAACCCGCAAAGCCCGCCACCCAGTCCGGTAGCTGGGGCTCTCACCATTGGCGGTTGGACTGGGACGTCCTTGGCAAGGGACACCGCTGGGAGAACCCTTTGATGGGATGGCAGTCATCGGGCGACTTCATGCAAGGCACACACCTGAACTTTCAGAGCAAGGAGGATGCCATTGCTTTTGCCGAGAAGCAGGGCTATGAATACTTTGTCCAGGAGCCCAACAAGCGTGCTTTCACCCCCAAGGCCTATGCCAATAACTTCTTGTACTCTCCAGGCAAGCTCAAGCACATCAGGGCCAAATAGAGAGACCAGGTATCGCTATTTATTTCCCGACGCCTGTCTTTCTCGACTTGTCCCCTCGTGATCAAATACCACAGCGAGGAGGGGCCGGACTTTTGTACATAAACAGAGACAAAGAGTTTTCGTTACGGCAACATGTTGTATTATTTCTCTATACTTGCCGACATGTGTCACGTTTGTTTCTAGGGGTGCTCTAATACCATCAGAGAAGTCTGATAGCTGCCGGCTTGCTTGGCGGCAGTACTATTTCCACACGATAACAATAACTTTGGTAGTCATTATTATGTATGCCCATACATGACCACCCGATGAGAGCTCTCAAAACTGCTATTGCGACTTCAGGGCGGCAAGTCTCGTACTGTGAACGTCTGGTACCCCCCGCAAGTGACTACTCTTCTGGCTTGTTCGGTGAATACAACAAACGTGGCGTTGCAATTGAGTGCTAGTATTTCAAGACTAATTGAATCACATTTTCCCCAGTTAGTCACGCTTAAGTAGTGGCAACTTTGTAGTATCGCAGCGTCAGGACCGCGGTAGGCCCAACTTCATTCGTCATAGTGATGGCAGCGCTCATGGCTACTGTTCCAAACGTGATCATGAAACCTAGTACTCCTTGATCCATGCCCTCGTTTCCCATTGTTCCGGCATCCCATCCCAAACGCCATGCTCGTAAGTAAATAAATAAATAAAAAAAGAAAAGAAAAAAGCAAAGGGTATGTCTTATCATCCGAGCTCGTCTCGCCATCAGGCGGCTAGACTAAGTCCGGTACTCCCAAACGTGCACCAGTGGGATGACCACCTTCATGAATGGTACACCATTGATCATCTAAGTCATCACAGTGTCCTGACCGTTCTCGTGGAAACCGTTATGAGTATCATCACCATAAAGTCCCAGGTCGATTCGTGCTGGTAGATCTTTCTGGGCGTCCTTGCGGACAATTTCCTCGCCCCAAGCTCGCATCTGGACCAAGTGGCGTATCGCCGCATCCCTACGCGACGTCTCACGCTCAAGGATAGCCTTGTTGACCATGTCAGCAACCTCCCGGCGGAGATCTGGCTTCAGAAGCGCAGCGAGAGATGGATCGAGCGAATCATGAGAGAATACTACAAGCGCCATCGTCTTCTCAAGGTCCTCGAGAAACTGGGGATTCGTTGGAGCCCTCGGACCAAGTTGCTGCGTAGCAAACTCCAAGGCTGGGTTGATATCCCGCCCAGGCGTTGCGTTGCATTGGCGGATGAGTTCCACAAGCTGCAGACGAAGTAGTGCAAAATGAAGTGCAGCGTCTGTATCAAGTATCTGATGCCACGTTAGCAAAGTCCAGCAATTGAAGTAGTTGACAAAAACGAGGTTCGGGGTTGTGCTCATATAAAGTGGTTGTTTCTCATCACAAGGTCCGAAGACCATAAGAGTGGTGCATGTAAAACTCTGTTTCTAATCACGGCAACAGGCAGGCAATCACAAAGAGATGAAAGCAAACGTACCTCGGGGTCCAGATCGTTCAGATCGCCTATCGCTTCTGCAATATCGCCTCTGTGTATAGCTGTCTGGATCTGCTGCCTTGCCTCAATGGAGTCATGGACCTGTTGCGGAGGAAGGTTGGCTTCTGCGGAAAACTTCTTGGCCGCATTGGGGTAGCCAGCCATGGTCAAGTAGTCGAGGATCAAGGCATTGATATCGCTTTAGCTTTTCACGTTAGCTGCGAACTCCAGCAGATAGCTGCAAAAGTTGAGGAGAATGGGGGCTTGTGGGTCAGAAGTAATGAAGATACAAATCGGTCTCCGCACGGTTTTGCTCAGAGAGATTCCCATTGATTGTGGTTGACATCATATGAAGCATGGAATGAAAAGCTTGGTTGGAAAACGGTACAAACTTACCTCTTGGGGGCCTTGACCTCCTCAACGTGACGAGTGAAGGCATGCTTCATCGGGGTCGCCGTCGATGTTGATGAAGCCATCTTGGGGTCTACTAAAGCTTCGGCGAGTATTCTGGTGTAACGAAGCTGTTCCTCAAACTCGCGAACAATTGGCGAGGACATACCACCATCTAATGAAAGGGTGGATGGAAGAATATAATACACATGAATGAGTTACTTGGTCGTGTTTGTTCGCATGTGCTCTGCTCCAGGCTGAGTGTGATGGAGAGCAGAGCTATGTCAATGTAGGAAAGCAAGAGCAGCAAATGGAAAGCTCTGTTGCACAGTTGGGGTTTTGGTTGCAAGATTTCACTTCAGTAGCCTAGTGGGGGCTGTGACTAGCGCCGCCGAACACTAACCTGGTCAGCGTCGAGCACCTGTCAGAGCCTGTACTTGTACTATGTACCCCCGTTGGACCCTCCGTTGATAAACGTCTCACAACAGCAACCGGAATGAAGCGTGATCCCAATACAATAGACAACCTGGACAGTGTGCTTTGGCCAAGTCGATATCTGCTCAACGTCCCATGGCTCTGTCTCCCGGAGTGGCATTCCACCCTGACTGCAGCCGCTATGATACCTACGCTGTAGGAAACGTAGGCAATAGAGTTCCTGCTAATTGGTATGCCTCTTTAGGCTGGCTCTGCTTGGTACATCCACAATCCAGAGGTGGCAGCTGAGCTGACAGGCCCATTGATTTGACCTGATGCATCCACTAACAGCTGGCAGGGCAAGTCCATTCAACATTTGCTGCCTCCATACTCACTTCACTTCGCTTTGTCAGTTCCTCGGATTCGGGAGTATAATCCTTGAGTTGCGGTGAATGCAAGACTGAGCCGCTCGTTGATCCCTCGATTTTAATTTTTTCGTTGGTCACGATTCAGATTTTTCTTTCAGAGTAAATGCATTCGGCGGAAACCGACGGTTGTCCTCAGTAGAGTTCCATTTATTATACCTGGGCCACGCCTAGTCACGCGACCTTTTTCTTTAGGACCCTTGAAACAACAACAACATATTTTCATAGTCGTTCTTGATATACATTTTACTTCAGTATGGATTCCAGCATTTCAACACCACCCATTATTCCGGAGTATAGGAGCAGTCAAGACACGTTAGCGAAACGCGCCCACTACAGTCCACCATGGGCGGATGTCAGCATAATTGGCGTTGCCGGTAGCTCTGGGTCTGGGAAGACTACGTTGTCTCATGCCATCATCCGGGAGCTAAATCTGCCGTGGGTGGTGATCATGTCAATGGTATTTCCCCATCCAGGTGTAGCCAGGCAAACAAGCCCCCATTAACAGTTGAAGGATTCTTTCTATAAACCTCTAGACGAAGAGTCTCATAAGCTCGCTTTCCGAAACGAGTATGATTTTGACTCTCCCGAGGTGAGATTGCTTGAGCTGAGTTCACCATGTATGCACGATGATGGCTGAGTCAATATGTAGGCAATTGATTTCGACGAGCTGTTTAGCTGCTTGAAAGACCTCAAAGCAGGGTAAGGAACGCATACTCAAATTCCTTCCGTCTTCTATTGTTGGTCTATAGTTGGTGGTTTTAACTCGTTCTCGTACAGAAAGCGGGCGGAAATCCCCGTGTATTCTTTCGAGAAGCATCAGCGTCTTGACAAAACCGTTCCCATATACTCTCCTCACGTTCTTATTCTCGAAGGCATATTTGCGTTGCATGATCCTAGAGTACGAGGTTTGCTGGACATGGGTGTATGTTAGTCTCGTCGGCAGTCCCTGTGACAAGCACTGATCGCACTGTAGATATACTGTGAAGCTGATGCAGACACGTGTCTCTCGAGGCGAAGTATGGCACATCACCTCTGTGGTTGAGCTCAACTGACATTTGCCAGTAATACGTGATGTCAGAGATCGTGGTCGGGATGTCGAAGGCTGCATCAAGCAATGGTTCGCATTCGTAAAGCCGAATTTTGAAAAAGTACTGCGCTCCATTTCTTGGGATAACTAAGGTACTAACATTCGAGTAGTATGTGCAACCCCAAAGAATAGTCGCAGGTAAGGCCCAAGACTCGCCATCCCTGACATTTCATTCGAAGATAGCTGCATATGTGGTTAATCCAATACTGACACACATTTTAGATATTATTGTGCCTCGTGGTGTAGAGAATAGGGTAGCTATGAGTGAGTAACAAATTACGAGCATTGGCCAGCAGACCGCTTACAACCGCAGGTATGGTAACCCAATATATTGAGCGAAGGTTGCTTGAAAAGTCGACACACCATCGAGCAGCTCTCAAGAGCCTGGAGAACGGTTTTGATTGCGAGCCGCTGTCCGAAAGGGTCATGGTGCTGAAGTCGACTACGCAAATTCAAGGAATGAGTACGATCTTGCAGGACATTGACACTTCCAGCGAGGACTTTATATTCTACTTCGACAGGCTATCTTGCCTACTGATTGAGCAGTAAGTCACTACAGCCAATACGAGATCGCATACAGCTAAACAGAGACAGGGCTCTGAACAATTCTCGTTTTAAGGAGAAGACCGTGGTAACGCCTCAAGGGCACGAATACCGTGGGCTGGCTGCTAACGGCGAAGTCAGCGCTGTGCTTGTACTTCGCGGTGGTGCCGCATTCGAGACTGGCCTACGTCGTGTTATTCCAGACTGTCGGACAGGGCGCCTCCTTATTCAGTCGAATGTTCGCACCGGCGAGCCTGAGCTTCACTACCTGAAGCTGCCGTCGGACATTGCCCAACACGATAGTGTTTTACTACTCGATGCACAGATGTCTAGTGGAGGATCTGCGCTCATGGCTGTTCAGGTACTGGTAGATCACGGAGTGCCTCAGGAACGCATCGTGTTCGCGACATACTCAGCAGGTCGCGTTGGTGTGCATCGGTTGACCAAGGTCTTCCCTGAGATTACGGTTGTGGTCGGAAGCCTTCTATCAGACATTGAAGAACGATGGATTGAGCAGAGGTATTTTCGGTGCTGATTGTGGCCAGAGTCAGCATTGTCCGGTCTAGCTTGGAGCCCAGAGACCCCTGAGGTAACCCTAGAATACATAGCGAAGTCGAATATATACGAACCATCAAGCGAAATGTATACCCTGAGCTTATAATGTTAGACCACTCGAGCGTCTATCAGGACGTTGTCACAACACCAGAGGAAACTTTGATCCGTCTGATAATAGTTCATGCTCCGGGCGATATCGAATTTCTTTTCCGCATCCTCCCATGCCAACTTATCATTTGTCGCAACGCCCAATCATTTGGTATAATCGAACTAGTTAGTCTGTCGCATCCTCGTTAGTCTCATAAGCACAATCCACACTTCACATATGACACGGTTTCCACCAATCTCTCTGATTGTGCCCTAGATGGTAAACCATCTCCTGATACCCGCCAAGGCAGTGTAGAGGTCGTTGTGCAGGTAGTATTTCATGGGCTTTGGTAGGTTCTATTGGCGCCCTGGTAGCCAATTGCCAATCGAGCATCGATGTAATAGATAAAATAGAACAAAACAAAACAAAATAAAACAAAACGGTCGTACGTCTGCGCAGTGATCGGGTATGATCTGAATGTTTGGACAGTGTGCGAACAGCCCTGATGGCATCAACATGACTGCGGACTCGGTGTTGGCGGACGGGGGATACAAATAGATGAGCACATGTGAGTTCGGCAGCCTCGGCCCAGAACGGATTGCAGGCGCCGTTATCCAGGTACTGCACCCTGTGATTGTCTACGCATCAATCGTTCTATACTATAGAAGTTGATGGGTGCACCATTAGCTTTCCCACCTGCCCCATCGCGCGCTCGAGTTCAACGGCTGCCGCAGTGGGACCTTGTGTTGTTATTGCAGTGAAGAACACCAAGCGATCTGTGTTTGCTCGGATATAGTCTGTCTATATCTCACTGTCGATGTTGGTCGCCAGCTCCGTGGCATCGGCAGTAGTAATAGCACCGTCGATGCTCAGCGCAGGTAAACAGACAGTGGTCGCCCAAAGACGTCGATCGATATCCTCGTTTGACAATGTTCACAGCTGATTTCAGATTTGGCCAGTAGTAAGTTATCCTTAGATGTGACGACTATGCTGTACATGTACAACCTTGTAACAACAAGGTCAGCTTCTATCTTGGCGAGTTCTCTTGTTGTTCAGTTCCACGTAGATAGAGACTTATGAGCCCATCGTCGTTAGCATCGTTAATCATGGTTCGGAAGCTTATTTTGTCTCATATCCGATCTCTATAATGGATCCACCACAAACCTACTTCTGTAAATGCTGTCCCGAGTATTGCAACAGGCATTCATTTTCATGTTGTATCTCATAATATTTATGTTCTAGCACCCAAGTAAAACAACACCCGAACATCTTAGTGGAAATATAGCTAGGTCTGACTCTGATATACTGCTCGATAAACTCGATGCACTCGTGGGCAGTAGCAGGCAGGTTGTAATAACTTCGCGCACCAGAGATCAGGTTTTTTTCCCAGTCGCGAAAATCTTTGCACACGACTTCTACCTGCTCGAGTTATTCCAGGCTAGCAGGGAAAAAGGGAACTTCTTCGCCGGTGGCAGGATCCTAGTATGCAACAGCGACCTTGATCGTAGAAAAGGTATCCAATCAGACCATACTTGATCTCTTCCATCAGTCAATACATCGAAACTGTATGTCAAAAGAATGCCAGGCTCTCGTATCTCTATTTACACGTTACCACACGACCTTGCCGAGACTCATATATGCTACTATAGCTCTTTATCGTGTTTGGCCACCCACTCGAAATCTGGGTCATACCCGACATGGATTCGCCAAGTATTTGCCAACTGCCGATAGAAAACCTCACGCGTCCCATCAGGTCCACCCACTTTCATCAGTTCCGGCGTCATCTCTTGTTTCCCTCGTCTCTTTCGCTTCTCGAATGTCGACGCAATTTCCCACGTTTTGTAGGATACTGACACACGCCTGAGATTATAGTGGTCCTCCCAAACAAACTTGTTGTTTGTAGATGTGAGGCTGACCTGAGGATTCGATAGAAAGGCGGAGAGAATGTTGGAAATTATATCGAATCCGGGTTGTTCTGGTCGGGGATAGCGCGCCCAGCTCGCATGGGGGAAGCAGGTCACAGATTCCAGATTGCTACCACGGCGCAGGGCTTGACCAATTGCATCCATCTGTGCTTCATCTGGCGCAAATTCAAGTTCCCGCAACTGCGGCAAGCTGTCAACAAGAATCCCCACGGTCTTTGCGTTCAGGTACGGGACCTCGTAACCAGATGTTACTCCTCTGTAATTTATCCTCAACTCATTCAATTTCTTGTGCTTGAGAATAGCTTGTAGCAACGCATCCGAAAGGCCTGGATTACTGATTGTATTTATTGGATATTGGCCATAATCCTGGAGTTCCAGACTTGTCAAAGTGTCAAAGGAGGCAACGAAGCGACATTTGGCTAGGAACAAGGCATCCTGCTGGGTGGGACTATGCGCATAGTCACGCGCCGACATGTACAAGCTCAACGTTCGGAGGCTCAAAGAAGTTGTGCCCTGATGAAAGATAGCCTGCTTCGTCAGATAATTGGGAAGGAGACAATGAGGATCCTTCAAATATTCAAGAGAGAGTTCTCGAAGTTGGGAAAAGTAAATTGTCTTGTCAAGCTCATTGATGAAATCCTCGTCGATTGTTAATCCCCGGAGAGAAAAGGATTTCAAGACGGTGAAACCGTGACTTCTGTCACTTGTACCAGTGATATTTGTCTTGGTATCCTTTTCACAATCCTCTAAGAATCGGCTGAGACGATACGAATGTGAATTGACGGACAGGCTCTGAAGCGTCGTCCTCGAGTTTCGGAGCATGGACTGGAGGAAAGTGATACCGTGGGATGAGTAGCCATGGTCTTCCACTTCCAGATGTTTCAGATTCTTGATTGAAGCCAGTGGTTCCAAGCATCCAGGAGCAGCATTGGTCGCGATTAGACGAAGAGCCTTCAGATTCTTTAGCGAGGCTATACTATGGCTGATAGATCTAGAGAATTGCGTAAGTAAAACTCGCTTGCATGTTGCCAATTTGAGTCTGGATAAGCACAGATAGCCTATGTGGAAATACTCACTCAGTCAATACCCGCGTTTCCACAATTTCGAGGTTTTTCATATTCTTGAAAGCTTCCTCAATGTATCTATCGCAGATATACTTGTGCTTCTTACCGGGATCTGCAACGCCAGCCACGAACTGTCTTACATAGCTAGCACAGATTGGCTTCGCCTTCTCATCAAGTCCAGTTTGGTATCGTTCCTGTTGGCCTTTGTACTTGCCTTCCTTCTTCAATTGCTTTTTCTGCCCTATAGAAAGAAGCGGCTCGAGCGCACGGATAAGCTTCGGGATGTGAGCGTGAAACATAGCCGCAACGGCGATGCGGCCGTAGAGTTTAGGCATCATAAGAGAATAGAATCTCTTGCTAGTCCGTCCTAATGCGCTTATAGCTGATGGTGCTAGAATATTGTCTTGGATCATGGTGAAGATCTCGGGAGGAAGAGACGATATCTTGTCTTTAGGTCCGATCGGGCCAAATTCATTTTGAATGCTGAGTGCTCGACCATTGCTGGTAGTTGGTTTGCCTCCTGCGGTCACCTTGGCTCTCTTAGCTGCCTTAGAAGCCGGAGCCGTTCTGCTTTCTGATTTTCCTGTTGGTGCTTTGCGCTTCTCTCCTCCACCAGCTTTGGTTAGTGCATCTTGCTTGTTGTCGACTGGTTCTGGAGCTGGTAGATTTGCAAGTCGGTTGCTTCTTCTTGTTGTCATTGTATCAAGAATTAACGCCGATGTGATAAATATACAAAAGAAACAAAGAAATATAATAACATAGGACAAGAACGCGAACTTGGTGCTTATATACATCAATATGTTGAGGTCTGAACACGACATGAGGATCGAAACGCGTCATCACGTGATTGTCTTGACTGTGCTAAACCTGGCTTCTGCCTAGGATTCACTGCGCTTGTTGAACTAGCGGTTGAGTCTGCCTGAAAGAGATCCAGTTCCGCCAAGACGAAAACAAAGGTTTGATAAGGATCCCGCCAGAAATAGAACGTCAAATTTTGTTTGGCGAGCGATATTGAGGCTAGTTCATTATCACAATGATGTTAACTCGAGTGCTGTCGAAGATAAATGCCTGGTGTCCACTACTACTGCGAGACTCGGCATTGAACCCCATCAGTGATATATATTAATGTGACGCTGCAGATGTGATGTTGCAACATACACCAATAATAGAGTCCACTGCTTGCCTATCAGTGAGAAGAACTTATTCCTTACTGATTTGGCAACAGCGAATAGAAGGCTGATCATAAGGTAACGTCGTTCAGGCCAGATTAGATGGTGTTAAACCATTAACGGTCCATCTATCTTAGCTCCGTATGAAGGCAAATGATCATGTAAACAAAGAGACAAAACGCTTCCAACAATGCTGCAATTCTAATGGAACATCTGCCTTAAATACTACAGAAAAGAAGGCACAGTTTTGGGACATAAGAGGGCATAGTTGAATCCATTCGTACAATTCTATACTTATTATACGTTCAGTACGCCGCAACGCCTGATCAAAGCTACCCTATTAGTACACTGCCTCCCTAATTTACCCAAGTTATAGCAGCAGTTCCAAGGGGTTCTCAAGAACCTTCTTGAGAGCCTTTGTCCATTCAGCACCAACAGCACCATCGACAACCTTGTGGTCGAAGCTGGCAGTAACAGTTATTTGGTCATCCCACTCAATGCCAGTGCCGTCCTCTGAGGGAATGGCAACCTTTCTGGTAGTGCCAACAGCAAGAATAGCAGCTTGAGGGGGGTTGATGACAGCGGTAAAGTTGTCAACGGCGTCGTTCATGCCCATGTTGGAGATGGAGATGGTACCACCCTGGTACTGCTCGGGCTTGAGCTTACCGTCGCGGGCGAGCTTGGCCAGCTCCTTGACCTTGTTGGAGATGGACTCAAGGCCACGAGCCTCGACACCAGTAACGATAGGAGTAATGAGGCCGTTGGGGGTAGCAACAGCGACTGAGACGTCGACATTGTTAAACTGGCGGATAGACTCTCCCTGCCAGGAGGAGTTGGCGGCGGGGACCTTCTTAGAGGCAACACCAATGGCCTTGATGAGGAAGTCGTTGACCGACAACTTGTATGAGCCATTGGCGGAGGCGTTCAAGGCCTGGCGAAGCTTCAGCAGCTTGGAGACAGAGACCTTGCTGGTGACAAAGAAGTGGGGGTTGTTCTGAGTAGACTCTTGCAGGCGCTTGGCGATGGTCTTGCGCATGTTGGTGAGAGGGATGTCCTCGAAAGAAGCAGCGGCACCAGCAGCAGGAGCAGCTGATGAGCCACCACTGACGGCCTTCTTGACATCCTCCTCGGTGATCTTGCTGCCGGATGCCTTGATGCTGGACAGGGCAATACCGTTCTCCTTGGCCAGACGTCTGGCAGCAAGAGACACATTTGGCTCACGGTCGAGGGCTGTCTCGAGTTTCTGGCCGGAAGAGGCGTACTGCTCGGGCTCAGCGGAAGGAGTAGGGGCGGACGAGGACTCCTTGGATTCCTCGCTCTTCTCCTCTTTGGGGGCGGGCTTGGCAGCATCACCACCGGCGTCTTCAATGCTGAAAGACTCGAATGCGGATACATCGTTACCCTCCTCGACAAGGACGGCAATGGGCTAGATGGGGCCAGTCAGTACCTCATGTCAATCGCATTGCTTCACACTGAGGGAAGGACATATCACATACGCTACCAACGGGCACATCCTTGGCACCACTGTCCCTCAATAACTTTGCGATGGTGCCCTCCTCTTGGAACTCGAAGTCCATCTGAGCCTTGTCGGTCTCGATCTCGACCAGCACATCACCAGGAGCAATGGCGTCTCCTGCCTTCTTCTGCCAGACACCGATGTTTCCGGCCGTCATGGTCGGGGACAGGGCGGGCATCTTGACGACGGTGTGCGGGGGGAACGAGGCGTACCATCTTGCCAATTGGGGCGAGAGGGTGACTCTGATGTTGGAAGAAGCCTGAAGGGCTTGCCTTCTGAGAACGGCGCTGAACATTTTCGGTATGGGTATGGGGGGGAGGGGTGGGATAAGGAAAAATGTCTCGCGTCCGGAGCTGCGACAGTCGTCAATGGGAAGGAAGAAAGGGCACGGTGACCTCGCGGAATCGATGCTACAGCGAGTTGCAGCTGTTGTGGAATAGGCGACGGAGTAGCAGTCGACGAAACGACGAAAGAGGTAATGCGCCCGCAGCTGGCAAAGGGAGTGAGAACGGGAGAGGGAGAAGGAGAAGGTGAAGGCGAAGGCGTTGACGATAATGGTGAGGATGGAGCTTACAGCGAGATATTTTCGTAGGCCAAAGCCAATTGAATTGCTGGCTGGGAATTTTTCGCTGGCCGTTGTTGGGAAGCTCCGAAGCTTGCAACTTGCAACGGGGCCCATTCGGTCCCTTCAGAGATACACCGGCGCTTAGCCCAGTGAGGCTTAGAGCTTTCCCCATCAGCCATGAGAAGTCCCCCCAAAGTCCCCCAAAGCAATCCGCGATCGGCCTCTGATTGGCTCAGCTGATCTCATTGCGATGAGATGTGAGCCGGCTTAGAAGATACGGTATTATTCTGCCTACCTGACTGAGAGTTCCGTACATGCATGTAGGTAGGTACAGGGCAGTAGAAAATAATCGACAGACCCGACGGGTTTGGCCAGGTCAGACGAGCTGCTGCAGCCCTTCATCTCTTCGGGGGGTTGCGTGATACGCTGCCGTTTTTAATGAAGCTCTCAAACAAACACCGCAAACCCATGCCCTATTCAAAAGAATTCAAAGGGTCACAACACATCATGGCTCTGCGTGGTGTTAGTCAATCTGCAAGAGGGCGAGCAGGCCAGTCAGGTGTCATTACAGCCAACTGCCAGTCTTCGGAAATTCCACATCGTATATTGTAGGAACTTGACTTCTGTAGTCCACGCGAAAGTCTGATTGATTACATTTAATGTACCCTTGCCTGTCCCACCATATCATGCCAGAGTTGCCGACTGCAGTGATCTTGGGAGGTTGTTCCCGTACAGCATTATGAGAAGTACATTAGGAATAAGGTTACTTATAATATCCGTGAACTTTTTGTATGCGCCACTTGCCCATGCCCATGCCCATGCCCATGTCTGTCTACGCCCACATACGCAGCGTTTCGATTCGGACCATGTAGGGACCGAACCACATCCGAACATGCGCGAGTCCAGAGCTTCGAGAAAGCATTGACCCCTGATCCCCTGGGCCAACTGAGTTTATTAACTAAGTATCTGCCAGGGCCCGAATGGAACGCATTTCCAAGGCTGCAAAGTATACGGATCCGTATGGATATGGAATTACCTTTGGTGTGAGTATTAACTTTGATTTGTCGCTTCACCATCCGAGAGTTTGAGCAATGAATAAACAGCCAGGCAACGATGTTCCTGAATGGCACGGACGAAGAGCTCGATAGAAGACACATCTCGGACATTTCGGGGTTGGCCTTTTCTATCTACTCGTCTAGTCTAGTACGAATTGCAGCTCTCGTGAATCATTTCAACAAACCCGTCGGGCCTTCGTACTCCAGATATGATGTTGCAAAACGAACTGCTGCTGTTTTCTTTGCCACAATGTTAGGGGTAAGATAATGAGGTACTAAGATTAGTCTACGGTGTAGGTTTAATGAGGCACCAGACTGGCTCATGTAGGGTGCCCTGGGTGCTGTAAAAGCACTTCCATACAATTTGAGCGTGAAAGATCTTGGCCCCACATTACCCTCTGCCTACATGTCAACGTGGTAAGTACTTTCAAAAAAGTTGCCAGCTTATTTAACGATTCCCAAGCTACCGTAGATTGGCTACCTCCAGTTAGTACCAACCTAGCATTACGCAGGCTCACCTAATCCAGTCCTCCACCCCCCCAGCTATCCATTTAGTAAGTATTCAGGGACCAACCTGCCGCTAGGACGACGACAGAGAATACCTCCCCTACTTACGCAACACATTCGATGGCCTTGCCGAGTTCGCGGCCACGATGAGCTCTCTTGTTTTCGTCGTGTCCTCACTCGAGGCCCTGCACGCCTCCAAGGATGCCCAGCGGAACAAGCAGCTGGTCGAGTTGACAGAGAAGGCCCTGAAAGCTGTCAAGGAGGGCCAGAATCAGTCCCAGCTACCAGATCCCGACATTGTGTTTGCGCCGCTGCAGCTGGCTACCAAGACAAACAGTGCACAGCTGATCAACATCGCCCTCGACTGCATCGGCAAGCTCATATCATCATCGTACTTCTCCACCACAACCCAGGAGGATGGCACCGAACGAGCCCCCTTGATCGACCGCGCTATCGACACTATATGCGATTGCTTCCAGGGTGAAACCACGGTTGTCGATGTCCAACGCCACATTGTCCAGGCACTGTTAGCTGCTGTGCTCAATGATAAGATTGTTGTCCACGGTGCTGGTCTGCTCAAGGCTGTACGTCAGGTCTACAATGTCTTCCTGCTCTCCAGAAGCACCGATACTCAGCAGGCTGCCCAAGGAACATTGACTCAGATGGTCGGCATGGTCTTTGAGCGAGTCAAGTCAAGGCTGCACATGAAAGAGGCGCGCCTGAACCTGTCCAAGCTGAAGAACAACTCGAGCAATGGGACATTTGAAGCTCCCGAATCAGTAAACGGGATTGCCGGGGGAGACGAAGATGACAATGCCGCGGAGGAGAGCGAGGGCGCAGACGAGAAGGATGGCCAAGTCGACGCCGCATCAGTTGACCCGGGATCCGACGCTTCTCCGCCAGAAGACGCCAATGAGGATGGTGCTGCCGGCAAGCTCACCCTGAAAGATCTTGAGCATAGGAAGAGCTTCGACGACTCGAACCTCGGCGATGGCCCAACCATGGTCACACAATTGAAACCCAAGAACGGAGCTAGCAGTGTATCGGGCCAAGCTGAAGGTGAGAACACGCCTGAGGATACAGCCGAATCGCTGGACGCCGAAGACGAAGTCTACATCCGAGACGCCTACCTTGTCTTCCGGTCTTTCTGCAACCTCTCCACTAAGATCCTTCCCCCCGATCAGCTGTACGACTTGCGTGGCCAGCCTATGCGTTCAAAGCTGATCTCACTTCACCTTATTCGTACGCTCCTCAACAACCATATTCACGTCTTCACTTCTCCATTATGTACTATAACCAACACCAAGACCAATGATTCCACCAACTTCCTGCAAGCGATTAAATATTATCTATGTTTGAGTATTACACGGAACGGAGCCAGTTCCGTTGACCGTGTTTTCGAAGTCTGCTGCGAGATATTCTGGCTGATGCTGAAGTTCATGCGGGCGCCTTTCAAGGTAAGTCTCGCAATGCTCTCACTGCCTCATCTACTATGACTAACATGATCCTGCCCAGAAAGAGATAGAGGTGTTCTTGAACGAGGTGTACCTTGCCCTTCTGGCTCGAAGAGGAGCACCAATAAACCAGAAGCTATACTTTCTCGGCATTCTGAATCGCCTATGTGGCGACCCGAGGGGCTTGGTGGAGCTCTACCTCAACTATGATTGTGATAGGACCGTTGTCAACAACATTTTCCAAACCATCATTGAGGACCTGTCAAAATTTGCCACGGCCCCTGTTGCTGTAACACCAGCTCAAGAACAACTTTATGAAGAAAAGAGCTCAAACTTGAGCCACAATTCCGAGTGGCAGCTCAAAGGCATGTTGCCTCCGCCTTTGACGGTCGTGCATATTGTGCCACCCAACGAGCCTGAGCCTGACGTGCCTAAGGAGTACGCTATCAAGAGAACTGCTCTTGATTCCCTGGTTGATGCGCTGCGAGCTTTAGTGAACTGGTCTATGGTTGGTCGTCCAGATATTAGCCAAAGTGCTAGCAACGGCGAGAATAGGGGTTCGACTGATGACATCCGAGAGTCGATAGATCCTTCTATCAGCGACAGCGTTTCCCGAATGGACACCCCTTTGCCGCCATCTACTCCCCTGCTAGAAGACGATCCGGCGCAGTTGGAGAAAGAGAAGGCAAGGAAAACAGCCATGTCGAAGGCTATACGTCTTTTCAACGAGAAACCCAAGAAGGGTATCAAAATCTTCCTACAGGAGGGCTTCATTGCCAATGATAGCCCAGAAGAGATTGCAAAGTTCCTCCTGACCCATGAACAACTCGATAAGACACAGATTGGTGAATATTTGGGCGAGGGTGATGCCAAGAACATCGAAATCATGCATGCATTCGTCGATTCAATGGATTTCACCAAAAGACGCTTCGTTGACTCCCTTCGACAATTCCTACAATCCTTCCGACTCCCTGGTGAAGCTCAGAAGATTGATCGATTCATGCTCAAGTTTGCTAATCGCTACGTGATGGGCAACCCAATTGCCTTTGCCAACGCAGATACTGCCTACGTGCTGGCATATTCTGTCATTCTGCTTAATACAGATCTTTATAGCGCTCAGGTCAAGAAACGGATGACCAAGGAGGACTTCATCAAGAACAACAGGGGTATAAATGACAATGCTGATCTTCCTGAAGAGTATTTAAATGCCATCTACGATGAGATCGCAAGAGAGGAGATTGTGCTCAAGAGCGAGCGACAAGCTGCCGCAATGGCCGGCACTCTGCCAGCTGCTTCGTCGAGTGGTTTTGCCGCTGGTCTTGGTCAGGCTTTGTCCAATGTTGGGCGCGACTTGCAGCGGGAGGCCTACGTGCAGCAGTCGGAAGAAATTGCGTTGCGCTCCGAGCAACTCTTCAAAACTCTCTTCAAGAACCAACGGCGCAGTGCTGCGAAAGCTGGCATCAAGTTCATACCAGCAACCTCCTTCAAACACGTAGGGCCAATGTTCGATGTGGTCTGGATGTCCATGTTCTCAGCTCTTGCGAACCAGATGCAAAAGTCGCAAAATCTTGAGGTCAATCGCTTATGCTTAGATGGCATGAAGCAAGCAATCAAGATATCCTGCTTGTTCGAGCTTTCGACCCCACGCGAAGCCTTTATGTCCGCTGTCAAGAACGCCACCAACCTCAATAACCCTCAGGAGGTCCATGCAAAGAATGTAGAGGCGCTACGGGTTATCCTTGAATTAGGGCAGACGGAAGGCAACTTCTTGAAAGAGTCCTGGAAAGACATCCTTATGTGTATCAGTCAGCTCGACAGGTTACAACTAATTTCCGGCGGAGTAGACGAAGGTGCGATTCCCGACGTGTCAAAAGCTCGGTTCATACCACTTGAGAGGACGAACACTAGCGATTCAAAGAAGTCGACAGCCTCGACCAGGCGGCGCGGCCGGTCTAACACAGCACCCAAAGGAGTTTCGACCGAGATTGCACTTGAAAGCAGGTCCGACGAGGTCATTAAGGGAATCGACCGGATATTCAGTAACACTGCCAACCTGAACGGCGAGGCAATCGTACACTTTGCCCAGGCCTTGACCGAGGTCAGTTGGGACGAGATCAAAGTCTCCGGATCCAACGACTCCCCACGAACATACAGTTTGCAGAAAATCGTTGAGATCAGTTATTACAACATGACCCGTGTACGTTTCGAATGGACTAGCATCTGGGCTGTGCTCGGAGAGCACTTCAACAAGGTCGGCTGCCATAACAATACCGCTATTGTCTATTTCGCTCTAGATTCTCTCAGGCAGCTATCTATGCGTTTCATGGAATTTGAGGAGCTGCCCGGTTTCAAGTTCCAAAAGGACTTCCTAAAACCATTCGAACACGTCATCTCCAACTCCAGCAACCTTACTGTCAAAGATATGGCGCTACGATGCTTGATCCAAATGATCCAAGCACGTGGTGAGAACATCCGATCTGGCTGGAGAACCATGTTTGGCGTGTTCACCGTTGCTGCACGAGATCCACATGAATCCATCGTGGCCTTGGCTTTCGAAAACGTCACTCTGGTTTACAGAACTCGCTTTGGTGTTGTTATCTCGCAGGGTGCTTTCACCGATCTGATTGTCTGTCTGACTGAGTTTTCAAAGAATATCAAGTTCCAGAAGAAGAGCTTGCAGGCTATGGAGACACTCAAGTCCATCATCCCTCGCATGCTCAAGACTCCCGAATGCCCACTGTCTGAGAGGTACAACCAGGCAGGCGTGTCTGATGTCAATGGTCAAAAGTCCGCAGATGTACTCTCTAGAAAGCAGAGCGGGACGTCTGTAGAAGAGGGTTTCTTTTTTCCTGTTCTGTTCGCCTTCCATGACGTGCTAATGACTGGCGAAGATCTCGAGGTACGGTCGAATGCCCTGAATTATTTCTTCGAGGCACTGCTAAAGTATGGTGGCGGCTTCCCATCCGACTTCTGGGACATACTGTGGCGCCAACAGCTCTACCCTATCTTCATGGTTTTGCGATCGAGACCAGAATTATCCAATGCATTGAACACTGAAGATCTGTCCGTATGGTTATCGACTACCATGATTCAGGCTCTGCGGAACATGATTGTGCTATTTACTCACTACTTCGATGCATTAGAGTATATGCTCGATCGTTTCTTAGAACTTCTGGCTCTCTGTATTTGTCAGGAAAACGATACAATTGCAAGGATAGGCAGCAACTGCTTGCAGCAGCTCATCCTGCAAAATGTTACCAAGTTTAATGGTGAGCACTGGGCGAAAATTGTCGGCGCGTTCTGCGAGCTTTTCGAAAGGACTACCGCTTATCAGCTCTTCTCGGCAACGACCATCAACACACCAGCAACGCCATCAACACTGTCCCCGCCACCAAATGGGCTTGGATTCGAGGTGCCACTTACACCGACGGACGAGTCAGCCGATGAGAAATCTCTTAAAATCAATGGTTCGGATAAGAACGGCATGCCCTCTGGATCTGATTCCTCAACAATTTCAGCGCCCTCTGTGGCCAGTGTCGACGAGGCACTTAAGACTCCAACTGCTCCCGCTGCTCAGATTCCGCTAGAAGATTACAAGCCCTCATCAAATCTCCAACAACAACCAGTAGTTGTGACGGCCGCGCGGCGCCGCTTCTTTAACCGTATCATTTCTCGATGCGTGCTCCAGCTCCTCATGATTGAGACGGTAAACGAGCTATTTTCAAATGATGATGTCTACAAGCAGATCCCTAGTATGGAACTTCTGCGACTGATGGCATTGCTCAAGAAATCATTCATGTTCGCCCGTCGCTTCAATAACGACAAGGAGCTACGAATGCGTCTTTGGCGTGAGGGGTTCATGAAGCAGCCGCCAAACCTACTCAAACAAGAAAGCGGGTCAGCAGCAACGTACATACAAATTCTCTTCCGCATGTTCGGTGACACCTCACCGTCACGGGCGGAGAGCAGACCAGAGGTAGAGAAGGCTTTGATTCCTCTTTGCAAGGATGTCATCAAAGGCTACATCGCATTGGAGGAAGAATCACAGCAACGCAACATCGTCGCCTGGCGACCAGTCGTCGTCGATGTCCTGGAAGGATACTCCACATGGCCAGAGAAAGAGTTTGAAGAGCATGTGCATGCATTTTATCCGCTTGTTGTTGAATTGCTGGCAAAGGAAGTCAGCGCTGATTTGCGAGGCGCGCTCCTTGCCGTATTGAGAAGAGTTGGTGAGGTTGTTCTGGGCATTCAAGGAATGGCCAATGGTAACGGACGTAGGGAGAGCGTTGTCAGTAATGCCACAGAAACTGCGGCGCTTGACGAGCGCGGCGAAGAGGAGGGCGAGGTTGGCACTAGGACCATGCGAGTCTAAAGGTTTTCTTGTAGCTTCAAACCACCATCCCCTTGTCCTAAACGCAGAATTACATTCAAGGTGTAACTCGGCACAGGTGTTCAATACAGAACTGCTGGATATGGGTTTGCCCTATCTCAGCATTGGCGTTAGAGAGTGGGAAAACACATCCTTAGGGTCAAAATGGTTTATGTGGAGTGCTGAATATAGAGGTTGTACAGTATGGAGGGAGGTAGCAGAAAATTGATCCTTTACCTCTTCATTTCATCGTGTTCTCATAGGATGCCATCAACTACACTGTGCGATCTATTGTACTGGTTAGTCTCCTGCGTCCATCAGCGGAATATAGAATGACATTTCAGCATTCCACTACAGTAAACCATGAACCTCAATGCATGTCCGAATGACGAGTTTTCATAGATTCGAGATTTACATATATTACGTCGCTTTGAACTTTGGCACCTACTTCGCAAGGAGATTGCTACTCTCTTTTGAAAAATAATTTGAAAAATTCGCAGATTTTAGAACCCACTCAGTTGAATTGAAAGATTGAAGTTGGTAGCGAGTGCCAAACCTGTAAGTTGCATGTCACATCTCAAGGTTCAGACTTGCTGAAACTCTATTGCTGCTCATATTTCCTTTGTCGGAAAACGAGAAGATAACAGACCGATGATTTTTCTGTCGCCATACTCGCTGAATACCGAGGTCAATAGGCGATCTAGATTGTAGTATTTCACACTAAAACGCAGTAGTATGTACTTGGTATCGGCGCCGCTTGCTACTGTGCGATTATGATCCATGTAATCTGACTACATTAGCGAGCGCCACGGGGCTTCGGAGATCGGCAATATGGATGGATACACAGTTGTCGGTCCAAGCGTAGTAGTTCTTCTGCTGAACAATCAGTCCTGTAAGCAGTCCTGTAAGGAACAGAAGATAGACTGCAGACTAAATATACGAAGATACAAGTTACTGTCGCATCGGGTATAATCAGATCGAGGTTCGAGCATTGGCTTGGGTCTGTCTTTGGGGAAGCTGAAAACGCGGGGGCTGGTTGGCTTTGCAGCATCTGATGTAACCATGCAAGCTGAGGCAGATATGTGGGTAGCTGCGTGTCCTAGGAACCCAACATGTCTTCGACAGTGCATGCAGATTCGGGGATGGGTGTGTGGAGATCTGTCATTCGGACTGCCCATGACGATTTTGTATGGATAGCTTTTATAATTATGCTCAGTGGCGGGAGCCTACCACATGTAGATGGTCTGACAAAAGTGATTTAGCCAAAGCTAGACTACGACGCCAAATTTGCGACTCATGGCAGACTTAAAGAAATCTGGAGTATCCCTTGCAATCAGGAAAAAATGCACATTGTGTTTACTCTTTACCGTTGTTAATGGAGCCCTGACATCGTTGTGCGACCAACGTCATCAGCTGCGCGAGAGAGCTTGTCCGAATCTCCCTCTCATGACTTCCACAGTCCAGTCACATCGCAGGAGATCCTGTCGGAAGCCTGCCGACGTATTATTATATCGCGATTCCTGAGGGAATCGGATCCTCAGAAAACCGCTCATAAAAATGACGACCCACCAGAAGACGGCTGAAAGTAATGCCTCGAGACATGGAAGTGGCTTGCGTACGATAATCGGCAAATTACGGACAACCAAACGGCCGCCATCGCTGGACTTGACTGAAAATAAACGAATATCTCAAGTCCAAGGTATGCTGCCGTCGCAAGCACTGAAATCTCGGGGCCGTCAGTCTAAGAAGCACGAGAAAGATGGTGCGGCTTCAGGCAATCTAGCACAGGATACGCAGGGTTTCTTTTCCAAACTCCTGGGGCGACAAAACCGGCGTAATAAGCATCCAGAAACCAACGGACAAACGCAAGCTGTACCAGTACGGATACGTGAGAAGAGAGTGATTGCCTATAATGGAGGTCGACCGGAACAAATAGCGCAAGTGGCGTACGATCGCACTGTGTCTGAATCAAGTCGGCTTGGTCATTCTCGTATTGACGCGAAGATCAATTCCGGGGAGAACAAAAGACAGTCACAAATCTATGTCCCAACGCATGCAGCTCGAGATACCTCGCGTATGCCTGTATCCCATAGCCTGAAAGACCGATATTCGACCTTGGTCAACGAAGAAGAAGCGAGGCGACTATCGCAGATGTTGGCCCAACTATCACCGCCGGCGGAAACAGACGATAGCAGACCGCAATCTTACTTCTCTGACGACTACTATCGTGATGAGCAGCGGCGCTTCACGGTTGCGACCTTGGAAGGATCTAACGTGGACAGCGAAAGCTCATTCGGCGTCAACGAAACGGGCATGAATAACACCTTGCAGCCGCCACCCACGCCAACTCGACGTCGGCACAGTCGACAGAAACGACAATCGCACCCGCTTGCGGAGGAGTATCAACAGATATCCGAAGAACCAAAGGAATCGTCTGACTACCAGCGTTTCGTTCAGCAGGCACTTGATCGAGATCGTCAAGAATCAAATGAAATGTGGCGCGCGGCTATTACTAGGCCTGAAAATAAAAATATCCCTCCAATCCACGCGGACTATTTGAATTCGTCCTCTTTACAACGATCCGGCACTTTCGGGGCTGGTAAAAAGGAAAGGTCTGCGTCAAAGAAAATGGACGATGCCTGGAAGAGATCGAGCCACTATAGCTATCAATCAGATAGCAGGAAGCGGCGATCTTACAACATTGGAGGAGATAACGACCTGAACTACGAGTCTCCCTCGAAAGATCTCAGGAAAAAGACAACCGGGGCGAAGAGACTGTCGGATTATTTTAAGCCTCCCAGGGATGTCATAACTGGGTATGAACAGCCGGATAATAAGCGTCTGAGCAGGGCGACCTTCCGATAAAGGTGGGGGCGAAAACCGGCGGTTTGTACCATAATCTCTGCCCTGAGACGAAAGGTCTCACGATGTCTGATTAACTTATCAGAAATGTAATGACTGTTTTTGTAACGATCACGCGAGTAGGATTTGGTTTGTCGGATTCTGGCAGGAATCAATATTGTATACAGAGAATACCATTGGCATTTAAATCTCCGTTACACCCTACTCCGCTTTGGGGGATTTGAAATACTGTGATTGGTAAACTAACTACGAATTCTACTACCGATTTGATTTCTTGCATACAGGACGCATGCATACCTAAGGTTGGGTTAGCTAGGTACGCGGCCCACCACAAGCGGCAGTTTGCTGGACCAACTGAGGCATGCAGCTCGTAATCGATTAACCTAAGGTTAGTGTCGTCGATATTATCCCTGCGATGGCCAGTAGACGTCAAAAGTGTGTTGCATGCAATTTGACTATACTGATCAGACGCCCTTCATTTCAAAACCGCCAGTTTATTCTTTGACCGCAGTACAGATGGCCGTTTTCAAAGTCTCTGAACAATGGGGCTCAGGGAACAGCGTTCAGCTGGTCCTTAGCGCAGTGTTTGCCGTAATCCTGGGGAAAGTAGCGCTATTCATGTATGAAGGCATACGGACCCGCTTGAGATTCCGGCGACTGAAGGCGCAGGGCATAGTAAGTGGTAGCCATCTCCTACTAACAGGGCGATACACCGAACAACTGTATCTTCCTTGTTGTTCATACAAGACCAGTCTCCGTAGTCTCTGAGAAGCTATAAAATTCCATCAAAGTTCACTAGTATTATTCTCGATTTTGAGCATCACTGGAGCTCACCCACATCTCATGATAACGAGAAGCGCTGACTTGGAGAATGCCTAGGCTATACTCGAACCTCATTCATTCATTTGGGGCCACCTCAAGGTCTTGGGCGGGGCGAGGGCTCGATTTCCCCCGGACGCAAACCCGCACTATGTACAGATTTACATCATTCAACGATGGCGAGAGTTCTTTCCCGACGCTAAGGAATGTCCTTCGATTATGTATATCGACCTTTGGCCGGTTCGTGACTCCATGGCAATGATATTGGATCCAGGGATGTGCCAAGAACTTGTTCTAGAGAAGAATCCCCCTCGTCACCCCATGATAAAGCATTTTATTAGAGCCATTGCGGGAACAAGAAACTTGACGTGGTTCGATAGTGCACAGCACCGACTCTGGCGATCACGCCTCGCTCCCGGCTTCTCGCTGCGAAACATCCAGTCACATATGCCAGCAGTCATTGAGGAGATCGAGGTCTTCGTGCAAAATCTTAAAGCCTCAACGACAAGCGACGGAAGCTGGGGCTCTGTCTTCCCGTTGTTTCCAAAGACAGTTGATCTTACATTTGATATCATTGGTCGAGTAGTTCTGTTCGTTAAACATTCGTAACCCTCATATGAGGATGAACGCTGACGGGTGAATAGAGACCTTCGTCTAAATGAGCAGACTACTGGGCCAACGGGTCTACAGACTGCACTCAGAACGCTGGGGGAAAAGCACTTCTACTTTCACTCCTTACTTAACCTGCCGAAGAGACTCAATCCGTTCCACCGACTGGAAGAATGGCAATGTACTCAAGAACTTCGCCGAATCCTGGTTCCACGCATCAAGCACCTGATAGGAGTCGAGCAGTCTACAACACAAAAGACCGTGGTTCAGCTTGCCATGAAGGAGTACAGCAGCGAGTCCCAAGGTGCAAAGAAAATCGCGCCGAGCAACGATGTGATCGAGGACGTATTCGGTATGACGAGGTTGTTCCTGTTCGCCGGCCACGACACCACGGCTACCACCATCGCCTGGGCCTTCCACTACTTGCCAAGCCACCCAGATGTCTTAAAGAAATTGCGAGTTGAACATGATCAGGTCTTTGGCACTGATACACGGACCGTAGCTGAGACTTTGCGGCGTTCACCACAGTCACTGAACTCCCTTCCCTATACTCTAGCCGTGTCAAAAGAAGTGCTTCGGGTTTGTCCAATCGCTGCAACAATCAGACAGGGAAGCCCGAGCTTCTTTTTCACCGACAGTGACGGCACCAAATTGCCAACCGATGGGTTTGCGCTCGTCACTGGCACCGCTTTGATTGATTATCACCCGGAACTCTGGCCTCGAGTGAATGAATTTATTCCTGAGCGTTGGACCGTCCCCCAGGACGATCCTTTACATCCGTCGAAACCGGGACAATTCAGACCTTTCGAACATGGCGTAATGAATTGCATTGGTCAGGAACTAGCTATGACGGAGATCAAATTGGTCTTACTTTTCACAGTGCGAGAGCTTGATATCGAGCCCGCATTTGAAGAATGGGATAGATTGTCGTAAGTGTTTACTTCTATCCAGATTCCAGAGATATGAGCGGTACATGTTCTCTGGCGACTAATACCTTGGGATAGCGAGAATCTCAGCAAGCCCAAATACACAATTGAGGGCGAGCGCGCCTATCGCCTGGCCAAGGGTATTTCGCCACCGACGGAGGGGCTGCCCGTTCATATCAGGCTGAGACAACCTGCCGCATGATATTTCTACAATCGTCGCCGAGATCTTTAAAAAGTAAGAGTAATCATTATCGAATGATGGCGCGGTGACTGGAAACTCCCAATTTTTGAGGTCATCTCAACCAAGTAGCAGACAATAAGTAGATCATTGGTATAGGTGCGTGAACGTTTTTATGGTGGACCGGAGAATCGTGGGCAAAAGAAATTAGCCCATCTTCTTGATATGTGATCATTGGCGGTGCACAGAGTGCATTGGCGAAGCAGCTTCAGCATCAAGTATTGAATATTCAGACCGTGTTGGAGCTTGATCAGATGTGACTGAAAGACAACACCGTCATACTCAGAACCAAAGCGTATATGCACCTTATCGGTGTCAAACGAAGATCCGGTTTCAGCTCATGGTGCGTGTATATCACCAACACCGTTTGACCTTCAAACAGCATGTGGCCTCTCGTAAAGTAAAGTTTCAAAGAATTCCGCGACCCGGTACCGATGTTTGACATACTGCACATTGTAACCATTGGGCTGGACAACAACACTCTGATCATGGGGCCTGTGCATGCCGGCAAGGGCCCCCGATTGGGGCGATGGGTGTGCCTCGTTTGTTTCTCATCCTAAATGTATCATTTAGTTAGAAGAAAAATATCTAGCGACCACGGAACTATGATTCTAGTAGGTGGTACACTAATATTTAAGCTTGATCAAGGAGCAGACTCGAGCAGAAATTCGAACATTGAGACGATCCCTTCTGTCTCGCGTTTCTCAACAGCCACCCCGTAAAATCCAGGTGGAAGTTATGAATGGCGTTTGGAATTGTTTTCAGATATTACATTGAGTCGGCATGGCTCAGTTACGATATTGGCTGTGTCTAATTAGACCCCGCACGATATTAAAGATACTATTCCTGTGGGGGTAACATGACTGTTGTCGCCAGTGTCAAATATCATTGACAGAACATTATTTGCGTGGCGTCGGGGCTCCGGGCCAAGACGTCAAAGCCACCGATAGGATTGCCAAAATCGTCGATACGCACACGCACGGAGACGCCCAGGCCAGAGTTCGACGGCTCGTATGGAAGCACCGTCGAACCATTCATGGTTGTCGTATCTGGCACGGGAATACTATCGACTATCGTGCCCGTGTTTAGGGATACAATATAAACGCTCATACTACCTCGCTCGAAGGCAAACGATGTATGTAAGCCACCGCTAATGGTATACAGGGCGTTGTCGTCATACCCTGGTAGCGGAGGTATACCGGTGAGAGCCGTAATATTGCTATCAAAGGTGGTTACCACCTTAGCCCGAGGATTTAGTGCTGTTGGGTCCAGAGTGAAAAGGAGACCCGTGGGTAATTCCATCATGCTAAGAAGAAGGGTGCCATTGCGAAGGACATGCAAGTTTGCAACAAATTCAGTAGGGAAGTTGTATATGCTCGAAATTCCAATATTACCCATGGCGGGCTTTGAACTGAAACAGCAAGAGCCTTGATTGTAGGATGTCCCGTATAGCATCGAAAGCTAGAAGTTCGACGTGCATGATATGATTACGCATAGACAAGAGAGAGCCATAGGTAGCGGCTGATGCGCCGAAAATGGGCCAGCGACACCTGACATTAGAGTCAATAGATGTGTATGATGGCCAAGCCGAAATAGGCAGGTAAGTATAAAGAACTAGTAAACTAATATTGGAATAAATTGGAATTATTGTTTGCGACCTGGTGTACACCATTATTAATGCGAGGAAAGCTCGAGGCTGAGAAAACAATACCCTGAAGACAGTGTCTCTCTGCTAGATCCTGGAGCTACTAGCTTTTGTGGAGATAGTTATGCTTAAGCCTATAGTACATACCAATTATGGATCTTTGTATTGCCATGAACTTGTCTTGGAAATTGAGCGGTGGTACGGAGTTGATTATGGAGGTGAGAGGACGAGCCAAGTCTAGCTACATACGTGACATTATTGCCACCATCTGGAGCTAATCGGTTCTAGACGAGCTTTTGATTTCGCAGCAACCTTTGCCCAGTAGGCCCATATCGTCGTTAGATATTGTATCCTTTTCGAAACCGTCAGTAGCTTGATTCAAGAACTGTTGTAATATCGTGTGGCTCGATGTTAGGTAGGCCAGGAACGACGCGCACCTCCATGCCTGGACCGTGAGTCATTCCCGGTTTAGCGATGCATGCTTCCACGTACCGTAAGATTGCCCCGAATACTCTAAAATCTGAGCATCGAATCGGCCGTAGGCATGAGAACAAGCTATCAGCGTCCAGCGTCCAATGCCCAGGCAGCCAGGGCAGAAGAGCGACGCATTCTCTGAAACCAAACCCAGGCCAGGATCAGAACTATCGATGTTCGATTACTTAAGTTCTACTTACACACGTCAAAGCCACTTCAACCAAGCCGAAATCAGTCAGAGGTTTGACAATGTGGGCACGGTTGCGCGGGGCGAAATATGTCGATGAAGCGGAGCGGCCCGTACCGTTTGCAAGGGGGGGGGGGGACTAGCTATCTTGCCTTGGGGGCGACGAGGGTGTAATCGCGACAGATCTCGACTACGTCTTTCCACGGCGTAATCTTCATCATTGATGGCGTCACAACGATTGTCCTACTCCAGCGGTGGTCAAAATTAGCCCCAACGGTCGGCCTTGGCACCGGACCGTGAATTGCTCGACCGACAGGGAAATCACACACCAGATGCAGGCATGGGCATTCTCTAACTCATTCTTGAGGCCATCGGATTGGTTTTCAAAGTCCTCACAGACCATTGATTTCAATTTTCCGGCGTCATCGTTTGACCACGGTGGAACAGATGTTTCCCGTCGGCGAATCTCAGCGGTAGAAGTGATCCCCGGATTTTTAAGAGCTTACCGGACCAGCTTAGTGCCCACGGAGCCGAACGAGCCTCCAACCACGAGCTTCACAGTGCACTAATTTATCTGGAACAAAGGTATAAAAATGTTGTGAGGAGGAAAGAAAACAGAAAATATGCGGTTGCAAGCGTTTCAGATGTTCTTTATTGCAAATTTTCATGTCCTCCAAAGACGGCGCAATCAAGACACACTGAATACACCTCCCTTGCATCGCCGCACTTTTTTTCTTGCTGGCTGCTATTGAATTTGGAGTGCCGCAAAATCCGTGTCCTCCTCGACAACGGGCAGACTGGGACCGGGACTCCGACTCGAAACAATCCTGTGTACGACCATACCTAAGTATAGGTGCAGGCAAGATGTAGACAAATTTGATCAACATTTTTGGCAATTAATGGGGAGCTGCAGAGCCCAGGGCGATCTGCAGATGAATGATACCTTCGTATGCAGCGTTACAAATTCAAACGGTAACGAGGAGGCTGGTACCACCTTATGTTAAACTTATCACAAAAGGGGCTACCGGTCATGCCCAACTCGGCTAGGCCTACTTTCAACTATTCCGATACGGTGCAGTAAAGTCCGAGTCGAATCCATATAAAGGGTAGATGTCATCGACGCGATATGCATCGGTACAATATAATGTAAGGTGTATATAACACTATTCTGCAAGTTGACTATGCGATCCAGTCGAGTCATAGTCACAGTTGTGACTTCTACATGTGGTGTGTATGCACTTGCAGACCGGTGAACCATTCACGATGATCTTGCCTCTCTTTTTTTTTTTTCAAATTTTTTTTTCAACTGCTTCTGAGATTGTTCTAATATCAATTGTCACGTATACAACAGACTTTATCCCTCATTACAATATCGTTGAACAGCCCACTCACATTGTGGCTGTAAAACCTGTAAAGGTCAATGATTTACAGATAGTGGCAATCTCGTTGTCTACATGTGCCCCTGTTGTCTAAGCATACTTTGCGCAATTCAGGTCAATACTGCTGTCAAAACTATCACCATATGCGGTGCTCTACGGTCTGGCTAGGCGGCTACTACCCGTCAGGAGGTTGGCATGGAAACCCGTGAGTGAAACGCATACGTATGGTTACCTTATAGTCAATGAACTTCCATTTCGGTTCTAACGAGGTAGGTCATATAATAGAATCAAATCCCCTCTCAAATGTCGAGTATTCCGGAAATGGCTTACGCGAATGCCGCAACGTCGCGGTGGAGGAATGCAGAAGACGCCAGTACTTGTGGCCGAAGTCCGTAACGAGAAGACTGTTGCCATACAACCGAGGCGCCTTGTAGTACCGTGTTTGTTGTCATAGACTTGTTCATATAGGCGACGACATTAACAAGTTTTGGTCATCAACTTGATAAAGATTGACGCCGTAGGGTACATGGTAGCCGTCCGGAGTGCACCCATATTTCATTATGGCGCCGTTGTTGGCCATAGTAGGTATGTCTTTCCAGAGAACGGCGAACATGTTGACCGCTAGAGGTTGAAGATCTAAGAACGGCTGGAAGCGTGCCGTGCCTTCGCCCCGTGGTCCAGCATTTATGAAGTTGGCAGTCATGACAATGCCCTCAGGAGTCGGATCCGAACTGTAGGGGATAGAGAGGCTGGTTCTCAGCTCCTTGGGTTGTGAAACGCTGCGTCCTGCTGGATGAGACTCCGCACATAAACATTTTGGTTTCCGACAAATACCATGTCGGCATACATAGCTTTCCCATTGTTCGTGACGGTATATGTTCAGTATTTGAGAGACGTTACCAACCCGTGATTAGACCCCGCACATTCTGTACAAGGCCGGTGGTTCTACGTGCTCAGGCCGATGCTGACCTCTACTATCAGGCAAATCGACGGAGTTGGCACAAGTTCAGCGCAGGCCCTTATTCTTACACAATTCGCCCGGGAGACGCGGGATCTCCTACAAAACGGCAGTGGTAGAAACGGGCTTAATGTCTTTGTACAATTCGCGCATGGTGATAGGGGCCCTACGGCCTGGTCCTCAACAACGAAGCATGAAAGACAGCAAACCACTGATATATGTCACAAGAAGTGATGACGCCTAATAACTCACGACGCCATAGAATGCTACGCAAAGCGTCAGTAGCCGTAAAGCCGAGAATATCTTGTTTGGCTAGATCCATGGTAGTGTATAAAGCTCTGAGAGAGACGTGTGCAACCTGACCGGAGAGCGGTCTTTGAAGTAGTTTTCTCATATTCGCCTTCAGAAGCCAACCACAGCAAGGGCATAGCAACGCGGGCTACGGGTAGTCATCAATCGACTACCCAAACAAATCGAACCGGGGAGCAAACGGCCAGCAGGAATCCACGACTATCATCAATCAAGATGGCAACCGATTACCGAGGTATGGTTGAGTTCTGTCACTTCGTGGCTTTTGTGGCTGATACGAGATGCCTTGTGTTGATGATGCGATATTTTAACGAGTCCGAACTTGGTCCGAGGCAACTGAGCAAGGAGGCGCTATACCTGAACGAGACAAGCGCAAGATGGAGTGGAGACGCAACTCCGGGTTAACGTAACTTTTTGCTGCTGTTATTCCCCGTCGTCCGTGCTCTCCCGGCAAGCTTTCTAGGTGAAGCCAATGCAACTTTCGACACTTCAAATCTTCTCACTCTCTCCGTATTTTCTCACCGTGCTTCACAGTCCAAGTCTAGGAGTCCTCTTCTTCCAGTCCCAAGCCTTTCACATTTACATACCAGACACAATGGCTGCCGCTCGTGCTGTCTTCGGTGCCGTCCAGCGACGTGCCTTCTCTGCTTCGGCAAGAAACGTGAGCTTCGTCCCATTCCATCTGTCCCATCTATTTTATTTCCATCCGAACGAGGCTATTCCCACCCTCGCACTTCATCCAACCCCAACTCCAATGACCTCAATGCTGATCCAACTTGCACTGTAGCTCTCCAAGGTCACCGTCCTCGGTGCCGCTGGTGGTATCGGACAGCCTCTGTCCCTGCTCCTCAAGCTCAACCCCAGAGTCACTGAGCTTGCTCTGTACGATATCCGCGGAGGACCCGGTATGTTTACATCTTGATTCATTTTCTCTTGCCCATGAGCAGTCACTTCCACCCCTGCTTAGGAAGTGCAATTCACTCAAACCCAAGCCTCCCTGAATCGCGTGGTTTCGATTCATCTCAACTGCTAACGCATATCCCCCCCTCGTCAGGTGTTGCTGCCGACATCTCTCACGTCAACACCAAGTCCACCGTCAAGGGCTATGAGCCTACTCCCAGCGGTCTCGCTGCCGCTTTGAAGGGTGCCGACGTCGTCCTCATCCCCGCCGGTGTTCCCCGCAAGCCCGGTATGACCCGTGACGATCTGTTCAACACCAACGCCTCCATTGTTCGTGACCTCGCCAAGGCTGCTGCCGAGTCTGCTCCTGAGGCCAACCTCCTCGTCATCGCCAACCCCGTCAACTCGACCGTCCCCATCTGCGCCGAGGTCTACAAGGCCCGTGGTGTCTACAACCCCAAGCGCCTCTTCGGTGTCACCACCCTCGACGTTGTCCGTGCCTCCCGCTTCGTTTCTGAGCTCAAGGGTACCGACCCCGCCGATGAGAAGATCACCGTTGTTGGTGGTCACTCCGGTGTCACCATTGTCCCTCTCTTCAGCCAGAGCAACCACCCCGACCTGACCTCCAACGCTGAGCTCGTCAACCGTGTTCAGTTCGGTGGTGACGAGGTCGTCAAGGCCAAGGACGGTGCCGGTTCTGCTACCCTCTCCATGGCCATGGCTGGTGCCCGCATGGCTGACTCCGTTCTCCGTGCTGCTCAGGGCGAGAAGGGTGTCGTCGAGCCCTCGTTCGTCGACAGCCCTCTCTACAAGGACCAGGGTGTTGACTTCTTCGCCTCCAAGGTCGAGCTCGGCCCCAACGGTGTTGAGAAGATCCTGCCCATCGGTGAGGTTGATGCTAACGAGCAGAAGCTCCTTGAGGCTTGTTTGGCCGACTTGAAGAAGAACATCGAGAAGGGTGTCTCTTTCGTCGCCTCCAACCCTGGCAAATAAGCGCATTCTGGAGCAGGCGTGGCGGCGGAAGAAAGGATATCGATCTTCGATTGACTTCACTGGAGCAAGCTAATTTGTTTGTGGTCAGAAAAAAGGACTGGAAATGGGGCTTGACTTCTGCTTGACTCGGAGGTAAAAGACATAGACTTTGACTTTGAGCAATGCGAGCTGTATGATATGAATGAAAGATACGATACCATCTCCCTCTTTGTCTGTGTGATATTCTGAAGGTGAAGATAATTGATGTCAGAATAGTATGAGATATGCCAAGCCCCGGTTTTACTATGAACTCCTCAAGTAAGCACTTTTCGCCGCAGCATGTTTACTGTGCTTTGGTTGTGACTTGTTCTACCAGAAAGCCAACGCCAGTTCCAGGGCCAAGTCCGCCCACACCTCTCAAGGTAGTCTACAGGTTATGTATGGACATAGAACCCTATGAGACTTTATACATTGTGAGTAGAATTGCTTAACAATGCTAGGTGCGATGCCTGTGCACCATTTTGGTGATGGGCTGTGCCGCCTTGGAACCTTAGAGCACTCAAGAACAGGCATAGTATATTGTGGAGTATTTATACTAGTTTTGGTTGATTGCCCTTAAAAAATGCGAACTATCTGGACTGCATTTGGTAGGGTCGTTGGGAATTGTGAGACCCAGCGGAATACGTTCCAAAGAATAGTGGGATCCCGGTAGAAGTTGTGGTCGCATGTGAAATATGAACGTACATGTGGAGTTATACAGGAGACACCCGAGAGTTAACCAGCAGGATGATAAGATGTTCATATATCCATACATTGTCATACTGGCCGTCACTCTTGTCATTATAGTTTTGTCCAACACCTATTGGGCAGCAAGGAGGTACACCGGCTCCATTTTCATTGCTCTTGCTCTCCTTGTTCTCTCGCCAAAACTGGAAGGAACGGGACTGATGGTATATAAAGTCTACTGCCAACAACAGCGGATACAATCGCTTCGAAGTAACTAAAGCGGCTTCTGAATTGATTACAAGATACATTTTTGGTCCAAATGCTTTTGCACTTTCCATGCCCTTCTTTCACTCCATACATAATGCGCATCCTTCCGCATGATGCAATCCCAGTAAACCCACAGCTAGAGCCATGAATCTATTACCTTCTCGGACCCTCTTGTGTTATGTTGTCGCTCTAGATTGACAGCAGCACAAGCTTGGACTCGTAAGAAGCGCCCATCATAGACATAGGTAATACCACTCCGATTGCGCTCGCCTTCTTAGATTGGAACGCTGAAACGACGCCGACAATAATACCTTCCAACTCTCCATTGAATTATACAGGAATAGCTAACACTAGGGTTGCAGGTGATGCTGTATGGATCTCTGGAGCACCCTCAGTGGCAGTTCCTTATAGTATCCAATATCATCTTTTTTTGTTCTGAGAGTGAAGTATTCCACACCCCCCTATGAAAGCAATGCTGTATGCATGGCTGGTATTGACGAGGCAAAACACACACAACCGGGCGCCGGTAGAGGTCTCCATCGCATCAAAAAGGAGAGAACTACCGATTTCAACACTATCGTCCATCCAAAGCGTTCTAAAAGAATCCTGCCGACATACCCCAAGAAAGACTTCAACCCCTGCTTTGTGACAGGTGATGGGGGTATGGGTCCAGAATTGTTTCATGAACTTTTCGACGATACGATAGCCGATATTTTCATGATGGACCAAAAGAACGAATTCGAGCCAAGACAGTCCCCTGCTAGTGACTTGCAGACCTTGTATGAAACAACGCCTAAGAGGCACATCCAAGACTGTTCACAACCGGCCACACCTTGCACTCCTTTCTGTTGCAATCGGACACCACAAAACGACCATGCTCCCAATTACCCGCAGATTGGCTTGAGGTGGGAAGTTAATGGCTTTGATACCAAGGTGAAATGGGAGCGGAAACCAAGAATTGAATCCATCAAGGCGGTGTTGGAGCAAAGATTTGGCCCTGGCAAAGACTATGAGGTCAAGCACATATGTGACGGCACATACAACAAGTTCTACTTCGTGGGCTTTGAAGGCAAAAAATATGTGATGAAAGTCACGCTTCCCGTCTGTCCTCGAACGAAAACTGAAGGGGAAGTGACCGCCCTTCGGTGGACAGCAGCAAACACCAACCTCACGTGCCTGGTCCCAAGAGTTATCGACTATAGCTCTTCAGCAAAAAACCCTATCGGATGTGAGTGGATACTCATGACGCGCCTCGAAGGCGTACCTCTTTCGTCGTGTTGGCGTGAAGTCTCACTAGGATCGAAAGAGCGCATTGTCAAAGCCCTGGCGGAGTATTCGCATGATACTTACCGACAAAATTTCAGACAAATTGGCAACCTTTTCCCTGCCCCTCTTCCGTGCCGTGGAAGAAGATATCAGGTCGGCAGGATCTCCTCCATGCGCCTTTTCTGGGGTAAGAGATTGGAGGTTGGGTCATTGAATGGACCTTTCAGAACGAGCAAGGAGTGGACGCTCCGTCGCCTTGTTGTTTCACATGAAAATCTTCGGAAACAATTCCAAAGCATCAAGCATTGGCCAGATAGGCAACGAAACCTCTGGTGGCGTATGGTGGGTATAAGTGGGCCTGATTCTCAGCTCTGGCGATTGCATGATACATTGTTTTCACCTCTGAAGCAAAACGACGAAGAAGGTCAGACAGAGGGGCATGAGGTCAGAGTCATTGGAAGTCCCAAACTACTTCCATCCTCTCTTATGCCTGTATCTGTCCAGAATTCCGACGAGGATGATGACTCTGAAGATACAGACAGCGATTTCTATATGACTGAAGAGGATGATAAGCATTTCGAGCAGGCAGATAACGAAAAATCTGGTGAAATACGCTCAGATCAGACTGGGAATCAGCAAAGCGGCATATCGCCGCAAAGACAGAGTAATACCACCTGCCCATGTAAACAACCTGCTCATATAGACGCCGACCACACTACGACGGAGAATGACGGACAACGAACCCTTCCAACAACACCCTCCGAAATCGAAGTTCAGAGTGCTATTCACAGACGAGATTATGAGCTGCAACGTAGCCCTCACCAAGTAAGAAGTAACCAGGATCTTCAGGAAATATCAGCGCAAGAGACTTCGGCCGAATACAAAGCACGACTGGCACGAGAATTTGGAAACTGGGAGCCTCTTTGCCCGGATGCAGAAGACCTCATTCAAGATGAGCAAAACAACAACCTGGGAACTGAGCCGACAATTATCTGGCACGATAATCTCTCCGCTGATAACATACTTGTTGATCCCAAGGCCCATACTTTGACAGGCATATTAGACTGGGATTGTGTGTCGTGCCTTCCTGTTACTTTGGCTTGTGATTGGCCAGCATTACTTCATGAGGGCAAGCATCGAACAACGGAGCCTGAAATCAAGGATCATGTTGTCTTTGTGCCAGAAGATGACAGGGAAGATTGGCAACCGCCGTTCGATCCGCTCAATAACCAGACCGAGATTAGAGAACAGCAGCGAGGTCATCTAGCCCTTAGGTCAAGCTACTGGCGTGCAAAACGTGACTTCGAACTCACATATCTCCGCAAGGTATTCCTTCAGGAGATGTATCACAGATGCCCAGCCTGGTACAACACTTGGAAAGGGTCTCAAGTCCGGAAAGATTATGAGGCTGCAGTTCAGAACTGTGACAACGAGTACATGATTCACAAGGTGGAAGCTTGGGTTGAGGCTGTTGAGATTGCCCTCCAAAAGGGGCAGGATATAAAGGCGCCGCAAGTACCGAGTCTCCACTGTTCGATCTATGAAGGTCCGGACTGGAAAGATTGGGCCGACTTGGACGACCTGAGTGCCGGGTGGATGAAGGTCATCCGCGAACCTGAGAAGCGGATGCAGCAGTGGCACAGTGACATGGTGGCGCTGGAAGCTGCGAAAACAGTAATTCCGGGTGCAAAAGGCGCGGCTACCAACGCCGCACGAAAATTTTCAAAGGCTAAGAAGGACTTGATGAAGCTGAAAGAAGCTTTCAAACAAGCCTCGAACGACTCGCGGCTTCTCGAGGGTCTAGATCATCAAGGACTTGACACACAGGAACTGGAACGCTTGCGCCACGAAGCCAGCGTTAGACTGAACGAATCTGCCAACGCCACCACCAAAGCCGAAGACAAGTTGGCAGAACTAGAACTTAGAGCTATTGTTGCTGCACAGAAGTTTAATACCGCTCTGGTCAAAGCAATGGCTGCGAAGGAGAAGGTCGACACCAACAGAGAATTCCAGGAATCCCGCCAAGAAAAGGAATTCAACCTTCAGACGTGGAAGAATCTCGAAAAAGCTCTGGTCAAAAGCTACGGAAAGAAAAAGACCAGCGACTGGTGGGAGCACAGACTTGAACCCCTTGGCTACTGTGTGAGGAAAAGGAAGCCCAACGCGGTACCTAGGACCGGAGAATCAAGTGAAATCAAAGCCTCAGAAGACGAGGGGACAGGCGACGTGGAGTCAGAGATTTCGGAAGAGGAGTAAACAGCTTTTATCCGCCAGCTGCGGCACCAGTAACCGTTTGGAAGCGAGCATTTAGGCTTTTGCGTTTGGAGGTAATCGTGAGATGGAATAACAAGGTGACTCAAGAGAATGACAACTGAGGAGATGTTAGCGTTCGCTTGGGGAGCTAAGTTGGTTCACCATTTACACTCACACCATTCACTTGATTTGCTTGTACATTTGATATGATAGAGAATCCACGTTTTATGTACGTCAGTGCTATGCTATTGGAATAAACTGAACAAGCCTGGAACCAACAAAGCTACTCAAACCATCACACGCAGTCTAGCCAATTGAAGACGAACAGGAGTGGCCCAAGAACTTTTCCCCAGACAAGTGCGTCTATACTCTGTACGGCGATGTTGGCTTTCTTCTTCCGAAGGGGAATAGGGAACGGAAGAGGCCACCGCTTGCAAATGAGCCATCCTTCGTTCTCTTAACCAGTCTCTCGCTATCTGGTATCCGTCCTCCTTCTGCTCACCATTTTCTATAATAGAACCCTCAAAAAGCTCCGATATATTTTTATGCGAGTGGTAGAGGTGATATTTACGAAAAGCGAGTATCTCGCAATCTTCATCGGACTTCAAAACCCAAGGCTTCGTGGGAATAGAAGCCGCTGACAGGATACGGCGATCGCCAATAACACCGAAGTCTCGGGCTGGCTTATCTTTCATGGGAGGTGGGGCAGGAATCCTCACGGGCGCCGGGTTGAGAAAAGTTTTATACCTCGCCTTTATTTCTGCTTCAAAGTTGCCGTCCACAAACTTGGGGATGACCTGATCGAGCACATCGCCGAGCCCTTCAAACCCTCGGAGGGAGAAGCGCGGCTCCGATCCGGCGGTGTCCTCTTCGCGGACGAACCGTTCCATCTCCGGGTTCCTCATAATACAGGCCGGGGATCGCACTAGCGGTCTGTTTTCGTTTCTAGGGCGCTTTCCATTGATCTGCTGTGAGTTGCAGCCGAAAGGGATCAGCGTGATCGACAGATCAGGGGCCGAATGAGAGCATCCAGGTCTACAGAATGCTATATTTTGGCCTCGACACCCACATGCGTAGTAAATTACAGTTCTGAGGCATGCTGAAGCCAACATGGCAGTGAGTGAATGAGCAAGCCTGCTTGCAAACGGGTGCGTCTAAAACAACGAGATTTTCCGTGACTCGGAGTGCAAGATAGAGGCTAGAGACCAAACGGCGTATCGTGATAAGTTGCTCAATGCGTAGAGATCCCAACTTTACTGTCAGTCGAGCAAACTTTATAGAGCCAGCTTCAAACAATGCTGAATTGCATTGTTTCGGTACGTAACACTTCGTCAAGGAGCGCTGATGAACTAGCAATTACCGATACAACGGCTCTTTGTGCTAGATAAATGCGATTTGTTCTGCCGAGGTCTGCGTTGATTGGAATTTTAACCAGGTTTTTCCTTGTTTCGGTGTGCTTTGCCATATACTTGTTCTGGAAGCATCCTAGCAACCTGAGTCAATCAATTGTAATGAATTATACAGATGCTAAAAGCCAGCCCACTATAGAGTATAGAATGCCTGGTTGCCATAACTTGGAACATTCGCCTAGACATGACTGTACGCAGGGACAAATTTTACAGTTTCTCTCCAAGATTGACGTGAACCGCCTTTTCCTGAGTATAGGCTGACAAACCAGCCTCTCCCAACTCACGACCAACGCCGCTTTGCTTGACACCACCAAATGGGACACGATAATCGGAGTCGTTAGAACTGTTGATCCACACCATTCCACTTTGAATCTTGGCTGCCACACGATGGGCAACCTCCAGATTCTGTGTGAAGACGGACGCACCAAGGCCGTAAGTCGTGTCATTTGCCATGGCGATGGCCTCGGCCTCGGTCTTGAAGGTCGCAATGCTGACGAATGGACCGAAGATCTCTTCCCGGTAAATCGTCATATCACTCTTTACGTTGGTAAATATGGTCGGCTCGATGAAGTATCCTTTGCCCTGGCCAACTCCCTTGTATGGTACACCGCCTGCTGTAAGTGTTGCCCCCTCGGACTTGGCGGTTTCGACGTAGCCCAAAATCTTGTCATATTGTGCTTTGGTGATCTGTGGTCCTTGGAAAGTGGTCTCCTCGAACGGGTCGCCAACCTTGTTAGCATTTAAGATAACGTCCTTGAATACCTCAACGAATTTGTCGTGGACACCTTCTTGAACTAATAATCTGGAGTTGGCTGTGCAGATCTGTCCCGAGTTACTCATAATTCCAATCTGAGCCCATTTCGCAGCTTGCTCAAGGTCGGCATCATTGAACACGACGAGTGGTGACTTGCCGCCAGTCTCCAATGTGATATTCTTCAAGTTTATGCTAGCAGTCTTCATAAGGAGCTTGCCAGTTGCGGTGGAACCAGTGAAAGCAATCTTGTCGACATCCAAGTGAGCAGCAAGTGCATGGCCAGCCTCTCTACCATACCCGTTCACAACGTTGACGACTCCAGGAGGGAAGCCAGCCTTGGGTATCAGACTAGCTAAGTAGAGAATTGAGAGGGGTGTTTGCTCCGCCGGTTTTAAAACTAGAGTGTTGCCAGCGGCTAAGGCTGGACCCAGCTTCCAAGCAGCCATAGCCAGAGGGAAGTTCCATGGAATGATCTGTGCACAAACACCGATGGGCTGCTTCAGGGTGTAAGCGAGCTTCTTGGGCGTGGTGGGGATTGTCTGTCCGAAAATCTTATCGGCCCAACCGGCATAATATCTGATGGTCGAAATAACCTCACCAAGGTCAAGATCCAGGGCAACAGTGTAGGGCTTGCCATTGTCCCAAGTCTCGATGGTGGCCAGGATTTCTTTGTCGGCCTCGATTAGATCTGCAAGCTTGTTCATGAGGATACCTCTATCCGTGCCAGGCAACTCGCTCCAGGACTCGGCGTTGAGTGCAGCTCTAGCTGCTTTCACAGCCTTGTCAACATCTTCTTCTGAGGCTGCCTCAACCGAACAGATGACTTCTTCGTTGCTGTTTCACGGTGAGTTATTGGCGCGTTTAGGTCCAGAGAAGCTGGTATAAGTGTACTTACGTGGGGTTAATGCTCTCAATCTTGCCTCCACCAGTAGCTTTCACGAACTCATTGTTGATGAACAAACCGGTTGGAAGAGTAAACTTCTTCCCGTTGGGAGCGGTCAAGTCAACAGAAAGCCCAGACATTTTGAAGGTTGAAGTGAAACGACGCTGATGGACAAAAGATGAAGCCCGGTGCTTTGGGTAGCTGTGAACCGCATAAGGTTTAAATAAGGTGCATGAGGGGAACCTCTGTGACAATGCTAGCCTAGAACCCAAGATGAGAGGCGGGGGGATTGTTGGAGACCCCATCACGCCTATCACTGCGTCACGGGGAGGCCTGGTCTCGTCTTTTGGTCGCACAGTCAAAGTATCTTCAGTAATGATAGACCTATCGGCAGTGCATGTCTGACATAGCCGTACTGTTTCGTAATAGGGATGGTGCTTGAGTGTGTGCAAGGCGGGGGGCCATGATAACGTTATTAGATCGGCACCGGATCGAGTTGCCAATTCAGTGCTAAACCAAGCCAATACCGCAGAATGTGGGGAACTATTCCTAAGCTTCCGTGGAGGCTTTAAGAGGTTCATGGACCGAGGCTGGTCTTATCTCCAGTTGAGCCCTTGAGCCAACCTCGATCAGGTCAATAATTTGCAAGCTATGCATCAGTCACAGGTTAGCATGGTGTATGGGACAACAGCGTGTGCCAAATGCCTCAAATATAGGCTCCATTCGTTGTAAGCGTAAGCGACGTCGGTGATATCAATCACGAATGAGGAGTTTCCCCATATCAATCAGCCCCGGCTCCCATGTGTTGAAGGTTGCAGTGACCTAATCTTAGAAGGCACATAGACGCTAAGATCTGGTCACGTGATTGATTTAGGCGCTATCTATCCAGCATGAAGTAGCTGCTCCAACACCATGCATGTCTGCACTATGAGAACTCAAAACTGCTTCTACGATGGAAACGCCCAGGACCTCTGTGGACATACGTTCTATTACAGTAGCAGACACGTACAGCCTGCGTCATCTTGTACTTTGGCCTGACCGGCCCCTAGAGTACGTGAAGCTTCCAGACGACGAAACCGGCCAGCATTTTGGAGCCTATGTCGACAGCCGACTCGTGAGCGTCATCTCTGTGTTCTTCGATGCAGGAGACGCTCGATTTCGTAAGTTCGCGACAGATACAACATGGCAAGGAAAGGGTATAGGGACTGCACTTCTGCGCTGCACAATTGAGGAAGCCAAGAAGGCTGGCGCTCGTACTATATGGTGCGATGCACGCAGCTCAGCCCTTCCGTTTTATCAGCGATTCGGAATGGAGGCTGAGGGCGAGATTTTCCACAAGGGCGGGCAGCCATACCTGGTGATGCGCCGGACACTGTAAAATAAAACAAAAGAAGAAAGAAAAATAAAGAAAATAAAAGGGGGGGCGGCGGCGGGGAGGGTATCTACAGCAATACTTTCGTTCAAGATTTCAACTTTGCGTCATTGGAGTCGTACACTTGAGGTATTGTAAGCCTCAATGCTCTATCAACACTTGCCGCACAGTCACTAATTGGGCCGAATAGTCCGGGAAGCAATGATGTTGCAGCGCAAGGTACCTTGCCGCAAAAGTGTTGCGAGCTTGTGGTTGCAGATCTTGGAAGATCTAGAACGGCTACTCACTAAGTAAACGGCATCTCGCGATGCAAATGTAGAGTAGCAATGGCCCCGCGTTGGTCGTTATGGTTGAAAGCCTCGTCCAAGCAAGGATCCTGGATGTTTAGATCGCAAAACAACGTTGCTTCAGTGATACGTAATTCAAAGGCGAGTAAGATGGGTTTATTAGACTCTGACAACGTTGGCAGTTCAGTGTGGTAGAGGCGGCTTGATCCACTGCAAAGTGACTGCTCGCTAAGGCTGTGCCGGCAGAAATTCGGAGTCCACTACGCGAACTGGCAGGCCTGTAAATTGACCTAAGGTTAGCCTGGGCAAGAAGCAGGAAGCTCCAGGTTGGGCACGGCGAGTGACTCTACATATCTAATGTAAGCGTAAGACATATTTGTTTCCACATAAAACGTCGTTAGCATAACCCATCCTCAAGTACCTACAACCACTGCGAGATTTTCTGTATTGGCAGGTTTGAGGTAGAATGTCGGCGACACAACTCTCAAGGCTTCTGCCTCTGCCAGACGAGGAGTTGAAGCAGGTATTGGACTATGCAGCCACTTTATCAAAGCCGGAAGCTGTGGAGCACTTCAGCAACCTGCTTGGCGATACGCCTGACGCCATCGATTTCATATCATCATTCAACTCGCGGCGACAAGACCCAAAAGCTGCTGCATCGCAACCACAGTCGCAGTCACAGTCGCCCGCCCAGTCGGACGTTGAATCTGTGCCTAGACATGCGAGGCGGCCCCAGAAGAAAAAGGCGAATATCCACATCCCTGCGCCGCGACAAGTGGCCAATCTTGGACTTGCGCCTGGCACGGCTTACAGCAAGAAAGGTCTAGAGGACGACTACATTTCAAGGAGATCCAGCCCAGCCGCAGGTTCAAGTGCCTTTGCGGCCCCTACAAATCCGCCGCCTAGATTTGCGACGCCTCAGCCCCCAAAGCTGCCCCCTTCTGCAACTGGTCACTTAATATCTGAGGTATCACGGGCAAAGCCAAAATCTACACCTGTGTCTCGATCGTCGACGCCAGGCACAAAGACCAAGATTAACATCTCGGGCGGCACCGCTATGCATGGTGCTTCCACGACTGTGTCTGATGTTGATGCTGCTATTCGTGTGCTGGAGATGACGACAAACCCAACAATGAACGCAGATGACCCTGCGAGAAAATGCAACTGCGTCGCAGCACGTCATCCTCTTCTCGCTGCTGCTCCCAACTGTTTGAACTGCGGCAAGGTGGTTTGTGTCAAAGAAGGCCTGGGTCCATGCACTTCTTGTGGTACTACTCTACTGAGTCCTGCTGAGGTCCAGTCGATGATCAACGAGCTAAAGCAAGAGCGAGGTCGTGAAAAGATGGCAGCTAACAAGGTTGCACACAAGAAAGCTGATGTCTCCCGAACTCCCGCGCCTTTCTCAAAACCACGAGAGGCGCCGGAAAATCTCAACGCCGCGGAAGCAAAGGCAAAAGAGCACCGTGACAAGCTGTTAAGCTTTCAAGCCCACAATGCTCAGCGAACGACAGTCCGAGATGAAGCTTCCGATTTTGACGTGGGCGGCGCAATGTCAGGAACAGGGGGTAATATCTGGGCGAGCCCAGAGGACCGTGCTCGTGAGTTGAAGCGCCAGCAGAAGATCATGAGGGAAATGGAATGGAACGCGAAACCTGATTACGAAAAGAGACGCCAAATAGTGAGCATCGACCTCGTGGGGGGCAAAGTTGTTCGCAAGATGGCAGCAGTTGAGCGTCCACCAAGTCCAGATGAAGAAATCGAACCCACATTTACGCCTGCTCTTGAAGAGACAAGTGGTAACAGGGGGAAAGGTGGAGGTGCTTTCTCTCGAAACCCTCTGTTGGGAGGTCTCATTAAGCCCGTCTTCGAAGCGAAGGGTAATGGCACGGAGTTAGAAGGACGCAAGGACCGGAAAACGAGATGGCGGAAAGTTCAGGACGATTTAGATAACAACGAAAGCGTGATATTAGATGGTGGTGCTTACGGTGGATCTGGGGCGACGGAGCGGGCCACTACTGGTGATGAGCCCGCCTGTGGTTAGCCATGATTGAGATCAAAGACTGTGCTTACATCCTTGGTGAATATAAATGCTCCTCTATGAGGTTTAATCAAACAAACTCGCCACCAAAAAGCTGTGTCACTCAGCATTTTCGAGAATTCACATCTTTCGTGGGGTGTTTGGACTTTTCAGATAAGACTATACGTGGTGATATCTCATGATTTTGCCTTTCTACAGTTTACGCACTCACGCTACACTAACCGTACCTTACACTTCCACTTCCTTCCTTGAACCAATCATCTGAAACTAACGACTCCTCTGGCATAGCATAGTTTATGATGGTGCTCTTCACGGTCGTATATTCGTTGTACGCATCGACGCCGTTTTCGCTTCCTACCCCGCTTGACGACTTGAAACCACCCCAGGGACTGCTCGGATCATTGCGATGATGTGTGTTTACCCAGACAATACCAGCGTCAATCTGTTCCGTCACACGATAAGCTTGAGCCAAGTCCTTCGTCCAAACTGCTGCTCCAAGCCCAAATTCGCTGTCGTTAGCCAGAGATATTGCCTGCTCTTCCGTGTCAAACCCTACGACCACAATGACAGGTCCAAATGCCTCTTCTCTCCAGATCCTAGAATCTACAATGCTGCTGCCTTGGCTTGACACCAATATAGTAGGAGGATAATAATAGCCTTTAGTGAAATCAGTTCCATCCAGCTGGCTCTGGCCGGTCATCCTGCTCCCGCCGGTCGACGTCTTAACCTTTCCACCATCAAGTGCCTCTCGGACCAAGGCCTCGATGTTGTTTAATTGCTTCAATGAAACCACAGGGCCCATCATCGATTCTGGATTGGTGGGCGCTCCCATTCGCCGCGTGATGGATTCGGTCTTGGCAATTAGCTTCTCGAGCAGCGTCGGTAAGATCTTATTATCCACAATAATTCTTGTGCTCGCAACACATGTCTGTCCACTGGCAACAAATGACCCGAACGCGATACCATTGACGGCCACATTAATGTCAGCCTGTTCGAAGACAACGAGAGGCGCTTTACCACCCAACTCCGCAGTGAACCGAGCGAGATTACCTCCAACAATGGAACCAATTGCGCGCCCGGCGACCGTACCGCCCGTGACATCAACTTTCCGCACGAGAGGGTGCTCCACCAAAGCACGGCCCGTTGTGGCTCCATATCCCGGGAGCACGTTGAACACACCGTCCGGCAATCCAGCCTGTTTCAACAGTTTTCCGAGTAGCAGAGTCGTCAGTGGCGTCAACTCACTCGGCTTGACTATAACGCTGTTTCCGGCCGCCAGCGCTGGTGCGAGTTTCTTGACTGCAATAAGAAGGGGGTGATTGAAAGGCGTAATCTGCACCACAACGCCGAGTGGCACACGGTCTACCCAATTGTGCAGCTTCCCTTGCGTCGGGAGAACTGCTCGCTCTTCGGTTCGGAGTAGCGCGGCATAGTACTTGAACCATCTTACAAGTGAGGGCACTTGCGCGTTCATCTCACGGATGGCTCGTCCGGTCTGCTTGACCTCAAGTGGGATGAGGTCTGGGATGTTGGCTGTCAGGAGTGCAGCCGCGGTGTCCAATACGTCTGCACGGACATGTCTGGGAGCTTTCGACCAGGCACCTGACTTAAAAGCTTTGTGGGCAAGATTGACGGTTTCGTCAACGTCGTCTGTGCTCGCTGCATAGCATCTGATATTCATATAATTAGTACTTGTTAACCTAGTAGAAAATCCGTTGCTTGGGTGTATCGCACTTCGCAAAGATTTCACCTGTAGAAGGATCCTCAACGGGTATTCTGGGGGAACAATTAGCTGTGTTGGTCATATAGCCTTGAAACACCGTTTGACAACGCTTACAACTCCGCCTGGCCTGATCGCTCCTCCCCGGCGATCCACATTTTGTATGGATCTGTCATACTGGCTGGTGTTTTCCGTGGCGAAAATATTCTTGAAGTCGTGATTAAAACAAATATCAAAGAAAAGTGAGCTATGGGTGTTGCCAGATATGCCAGATGATGAGGTCGTTACTGTCCAGCGGCTTGTGATGGATGCACCATGCGAAATGGAGCATCCCCGGCACGGCGAGCTCCAGTTCGGCGGTCGGAAACCGTCGGCGATCAAATGACGCGACTATTGCCCGACAACAACAGCCCTGGAAACTTTGTACGCAATGACTTTTAAGAACTTATTAGTGATTTGCTTAACGTACAATATAACACATTTAATTGTTCTGAATGCCAAGATGGCTGGTATAAGCACGACGCCGTCCACATACAGATCCGTCTTTTAGGAGACTATTGATGCCGTCCCACCAGTTATCTCGGAGGTTTTGGAATCCTATTCCAGCATTGCCAAAGATGCGCAAATCGAACACATCATTGAAGTCGCAATGCAGCAGACAATACATATCCTTACCCATGCATCGGTAATCTGCGATTTCTTAATTTTAACCTTTCGATTCATCTATTATGTTAAGAACATGTTTAGGCCTGCTGAAGTAACTGAGTATCGAGAAAAGACCTGGGCCGCTTTTTTTTTCTTTCCTTTTTTTCTTTCCTTTTTTTCTTTCTTTCCTTTTTTTCTTTCTTTCTTTTTGATCTTGGGACTTGCTTTCGGGCAAGATGTGTGCAAAGTAGTTCATAGCAGTTTACCACGAGACCGACTATTGCCAAGCGATATTGAGCAGTATTTTATTGACATAAGCTTCAAGCTTTTCAATGCTGAAGGCAAGTTTATCATGAGACCATTTCTTGTTCCCTGGAGACATGTTGTCGAAGTCATCAAAAGATCGTCTGAATGTCCTGGACGATAAGGTTATGATTGTCCACGTGACTGCAGTTTTACATCTGTTTGCGCTTGAAGGCCAGAAGGAAGTATGGGCCTTTGCCTGCGTCTCTTAAGGAAGTATACTGGCGAACCAGTGCTTCTCCTTGGCGTGCAAGTAGGCAGTTCGATGCCGGTCCGTCCCTGCGCAAAATGGTTTCTAATAAGTTCAGCCACAAATATTGTCATAGCTAAGAGAGCTGGGAGAAACTCTGGAAAGAAATGTCTACTAAAGCGCAATGAAGAGACCACATCACGCAGCTGGAGGTCAAGTCGGAATTGTTAGGTAGGAGCTCCAAGCCGAAAAGCGCAGAGAACCACCTGCTAGCGATATTCGACTGAGGCGGTAGGTATACCTTTGAGCTTTGTGTTGCCTTCAAAGAATGATACTATATCTTGTAAAGCTTTTGGGTCTCTGATGACTACAGGACAACACAACCACTTTCAAACCCCTCTGGAATTATGAGTGTCCTCAATGTTCCACCTTAAGTGAGACTCACGACTTGTATACCCTTTCAGCAGCACAGCGTAAAATTCTATCTATGTTCCTATTCTATGTTCTCTAGGCATCTCATACGAATATAACAATTCAAACAATACGAATGCTGTGCGCTCCCTACAAGGAATTCTTGCAAGCATATTCCTTCTTTGCAACTCGCTTGCAAAGTTCGAGCAGCGTTTTACCAGCCCACTCGAAATCTGAAAGGTCAAGATAAGTCTGGGCGCTAAGCCTAGCCCATACTCGGTCCCCATGAATAAAGAGAGCGACAAAGGTTTTGTACTCGTGTACCAGGACCTTCGACATCCATTGGCCCACGTCCAATGCTTCCTCAAAAGCTAGAATGATGTCATCAACCGGAGGCGTGAACGACTGCGAATGTTCTTGTGTTTTGGTATCTGGACGAACCCACATGGGTAATGCGACATTGACCATTGTACACTTCGTCAACGTCCCTGCGGCATTCTCCATGATTTCTGTGCCAAGTATTTCCGCAGCTGTTCGGCCACCTTCTGCTGCCAACCACTGTGTGTACTTGATTATTTTTTCCTCGCCACCCAAGACTGCCTTTCGCCATTCGATGGCGTCTTTAACACACAAATAAGCGCTGCTATCCATAGTGCCGACGAATTCGAAGTTGCTCACAAAAGCAGATTTATTTTCCTCTGGTGGAGGAAGAGGGTTGAAACGAGCTCCAGTCTTTGATACATAGCCATGCGACGTTGGCACTGTTGACGAAATAAGGTCTTGATTTCGGAGCGGAACGTAGAGCACTGCACAGCTTCGGGGGACATAAAGCCACTTATGGCAGTTCGTGACGAAGAAGTCAGGATCAACAGCTCCAAGATCAATCTTGAGTTGCCCTATGCCTTGCGCGCCATCAATGAGACTGAGAACTCTTAATTCCTGGCATGCTTTCGTAATGCGCTCGAATGGAAAGCGAACGCCGGGAAGGCTGGAGACGGTGTCGAACACGCAAATCTTCGCACGCTTCCCAGCAGACTGGCTGTTGCGCACAGCAGTCATAAACGCATGGACTATATCATCGTCCTCGCACGGATAGAGAAGAGGAATCTCGCGCGATGCCACACGGCCATTGCTTGAATCCACGATATAGTCGATTGTCTTTCCACAGGCGCCATAAATGGAACTAAAATACAGAATTTCATCCTTGCCACCATCGTCCCAGATGAGATCTCGCAAGATTGTGTTAATGCCGACTGTTACATTCGTGACCAAGACAATAGTGCTGACAGGAGCATTCAGAAGTGACGCAGCCGCCGCTCGGCATTCATCCAATATTTTGGGCTGGTCGTATCTGGTGAATGGATCCGGTTGAGACTCGAAAAGTTCTTGATAGTGATGCAAGCGTTTCTGGATATCTCGAGGAGTGCTGCCAAAAGAGCCTGACGAAAGATTTAGCTCAAATTACTGGTTGCTTCGACTACGACGTAGTTACCATGATTCAGGTTGTGATAGGTTGGATCAAGCGAGAAATGTCGCAATAACCGCGAGCCAAACTCGGGCAATATTTCGGTAGCCGCCTCGCCATACATGTTGTGGCCGTTCTATCGTCTTTCAAGGTATCGAACGGATTTCTGTCTGTCGCAAGAAATCGTTTTGCGCTAGAAACAAATGAGGAAATGTAAGGCTTGGGTACGGTTGTAAGTATATCAATCATCCGTCTTCACGTTCCTCGGCCCCCGCATCGGAGCTGTGTCGCACCCGCTACAGCTTTGATACTGTAAAGCAGAGCCAATGGTATTATCTCAGGTACTCAGCCTGTGCTATCACTCATAGTGCTATTGGTTCATGATGCATGATGGAAACTAACGATAAGGCAAGATGCTTCGACTATCAGCGACAACGCTGATGACCGTCACCTAATATATGAACGGTTCGTTCTGGTCGCCCTCGACAACAGTGTATAGATTTTGATCATACATATTGTATATCTTATTTGTTCCATTTTCGCAGGACGGGATACATATGGCAGGGGGCTTAGGACATCACCACGAACGATTATAACCCACACTATCGCTTTCATCGAGAAGACCACAAATATCGAGAGTTCTCGGCTTCTAAAGTTGCCAGTTTAAAAAATGGATTACAGTAGGCATGGTCAGTCACGGTAGTGTTGTTCGTTAATGCGTCAAAACCTGTTGAAAGCGAATTGAGGCTCGGTGCTTGAGCTAAGCCTCACAGGGCAAGAAACCTCCTTGAACTCCCCCGCCTTCCGAAAGTGGGCTTGCTTTCAGTGCTCATTGCTTCCAATGTTTCGACTGCCACGAAAACAAAGCAGCTAAGTAATCCTACAACACAGCATCAAAATGTTTAAGAAGAAACCCGAAGTCAAAAACTTGTCACCCCTGCGATCTTCTGACCGGCGTAAGCTTGCAGATCAAATCATCCAGGACTACAACATCCAGGTCCCGTCCCAACAGCCTGCCAGTGAAGATGCAGCAACCCCACAGACAACGCTGTCGTCACTGCGGAATTCTTTGCTACCCGAATCGACGTCTAGTGCCAGATTTACCACAATATCTGGGCCTAATCATTCGTTAGTGAGCGGTACTGTCTATGTTGGAACTCATCCAGATCAAGACGAGAGAATCCTTTGGTTTCAGTATGGAAAGAACGCCAAACTGATCCCCACGGTGTATACGTTATGGCAGAACCCTAACATTGTTCCTCTCTTGCATACGCCGGACTTTGTCGTGGAAGAGAAACTCACCCACGGCAGTGATTTGATGATCCCAGGATTGTTCAAACCAAGGGGTTCACAGTGGGATTCAAGAGCGACAACGGGTGCCTTAGTGGCAGTCGCGGGTCTCAAAAAGGATACCGTACCCCTGTGGGTTGGAATGTGTGAAGTCGACGTCACTAAACTAGGTGACGATCTTCGAGGCCAGAAGGGCGTGGCAGTAAAAGGTCTACACTGGGCAGGCGACGAAGCCTGGAGCTGGAAGATCGTTGGAAGCAATGGGCTGACTGCCCCCGAAACTGTGGCCGGCTGGAAAGGCCTGACCCAGGACGTTACTGCTGCGGTCAATGAGGTCAGCCTGAATGACGATGACGATGATGATGCACAAGATGGTGATGGCGGCACAACACATGCAACCGGCGACCACCGGGTTGTGATTGCCGATATTGCTGATGAAGCGGAAGAACACGAACCAACAACAAAGGAGGTCGACGATGCATTTCTTCACGCGTTCTTGTACGCCGCACATAAGGCAAAGTCAAGCGGCACTGAGCCCCACTATGGACTAGACTTTCCCATTCCGCCCTCGGTGCTTATTTCGAATATGATCCAGCCAAACCTCCGGGTTCAGAATCAGCATTACAACATTAAAAAGACCTCTTGGAAGAATGTCAAGAAATTCATTAAGCATCTTGACAAGAACAAGTTATTGAAGTCAAAAGACAGGAGCGGAGGAGAAACTGTCATCCTCGATATTGACTTCAATGATACTCAAGTGACCGGTTTTCGGCCCTATCCGTTGCCAAAACCAAAAGCGATCACCGGGTCAGCCGCATCAGGATCAATTCAATCAAACGAGGCTTTATCATCCAGCGACCCTTCGGTTGGCCAGAAAATTACGATCCAAACAGTATACCGGGCGTCGTCGAAGCTTGTACCAACACTCCTGCCATCTAAAACGGAGTACTACACTGCGTATCAGATTACCTCTGCGTTGAAGGCCTATATTGACAAGCATCCCGACCTGGGAGGACAAGGAGCAGCCAGCATTAAACTGGACCCATTTATCGCGAACACTATCCTGGGAGCGAAGCCTTCCCCTGAGGACAACAGAGCAATTGCAGCTGGTCGTATTGCAAGAGGCACACTACAAAAGCGTATTCTGGAGGATACTCATCTATGTCAACCATATCACATATTAGGTCGCAGCTCCTCGACAACTGAACCGAAGCCAAAAGCCGGACCTCCTCCAAAAGTGTACGTCGCCCTGGAGAAGAGGACTGGTACGAAAGTTGTCACTAAAGTCTGGAATTTGGAGCCTTTCTCTATTGATCCTCAGTTACTTGCACCCGAATTGCAGAAGAAGTGCGCAGGCTCGGCAAGCGCAGGACAGCTTACCGGTGGCAAGCCTGGTTTATTGGAAGTTGTGGTCCAGGGCGACCAACGCAAAGTGCTTCTAGAAGTTCTAGCGACGAGGGGCATTGACGCGAAATGGGTGGACGTTGTCGACAAGACCAAGTCGAAGAAGAAGTAGAATGACACTTTTGAAAACAAAAATTTGAGAAAAACAAAAGGAAATGAAAAAAACCCACCCATTTCACGAGCCGCATCGCTCAGAGAACTTGACACGAGAAACAATTGCCATGCTACTCTACGGAGCATTACTCAATGGTCGTAACGACTAGCTGAGTTATGTCTTGGCTATCAAGATTCACTGCCCATCCATTCTATGCAAAACCTTGTCCGGCCCAATTTCCCCCTTGAACCTAGGATTCGAAAAACCTTACCGTATGACCTACGCAATCTTGACAGATACGTCCCTGCACGTCTGGCAAAATTGGTTTATAAATGCCTTGGTTTGACAACGGAGGTACGCAGACAGACAGTCCGAATTTGGGTCGAATTACAGCGGAGGGTAGCACCCCACGATCTACACGCGGGGCGGTAGCCAAGCAGCCTATCGGTTGTTTGCAGTGGCTTTGCACCTTGTATGAGTGGCCCATGCTAATTAATTTCTGGCTTTGCGGTCCGGCTTGCTGTTCAGTTCTCGATGCATTAGCCTTTTCTGCATCCCAACCACCAAGTTGAACCTTACTAAATCTTCACGCTGTACGACGATCTTCGCTCATTGAATGGGGTTCCAAGCCTTGGACAATGTCTACGGCGAAACCAATACCTGTAATATGCCGATGGCTAAGACAGGACAGGCATGGTTTTATGCTGTTTGCGGAAGTAGCAAGCAAGCCTGTTGCTCAATCCCGCACTGCATTGGTGCTGTTCGTAAGGTATAGTGCCGGGGCAGAATTCCGTGCGAGATCCTGAAGTCATCCCTTCCCGACGTGCATATGACTTCCCCACACTGTCATGCGCTGAAGTGCTCTCTATATAAAATGACGCGGCCGAAGCCATCAACTGGTAGCCATGGCCCAGACTGTTTGCACTCAGTATAATATCTCTACCAAGCAAGATGCTTCTGGTGAACATTGTAGTGTTCTCAGGGGCTTCGCTCGCCTTGGGGCAATCGACGGCCAGTTGGTCCGCTGCATACGAAAAAGCTAACGCGGCGCTGGCCAAGCTATCCTTAACGGACAAGATCAATATTGTTTCCGGCATTGGATGGGACAAAGGACCATGCGTGGGCAACACGGCTGCGATCAGCTCCATCAGTTATCCGCAATTGTGTCTCCAAGATGGTCCCTTAGGTGTTCGATATGGAAATGGTGTTACGGCTTTTACCCCTGGGATCCAAGCCGCTAGCACTTGGGATCGGGCCTTGATCAAGGAGCGCGGTCAGTTCATGGCTGAAGAAGCAAAAGGTTGTGGGATTCACGTACTGCTTGGGCCTGTGGCAGGGCCACTTGGCAAAATTCCAACCGGAGGTAGAAACTGGGAAGGCTTCGGCGTAGATCCCTACCTGACCGGAATTGCCATGGCTGACACAATAACGGGAATGCAGAGCGTTGGCGTACAGGCAACTGCAAAACACTTCATCGCCAATGAACAAGAGCTAAACCGTGAGACAATAAGTTCCAATGTTGACGACCGAACAATCCACGAGCTCTACCTCTGGCCATTCGCGGACGCTGTTCAGGCCAACGTGGCATCAGTGATGTGCAGCTACAATAAGCTGAACAGCACCTGGGCATGCGAGAACGATAAGATCATTAATCAGCTCCTAAAAAGTGAGCTCGGGTTCCAAGGCTACGTCATGACAGATTGGAATGCTCAGCATACTACTTCGCAGAGTGCAAATGCTGGCTTGGATATGACAATGCCAGGGTCTGACTATAACGGGGGCACGGTTCTTTGGGGGTCGAAGCTCACCAGTGCTGTAAGCAGTGGCCAGGTTCAGCAATCTCGGGTGGATGACATGGTTCGGCGTATTCTTGCTGCTTGGTACCTTACAGGCCAAAACAGCGGGTATCCATCCATAAACATTCAAGCAAGCGTCCAGGGCACACATAAAACGAATGTTCGCAGCGTTGCAAGGGATGGTATCGTCCTTTTAAAAAATGATGGCGGTGTGTTACCTCTAAAGAAACCAGCAAAGCTTGCGCTGGTAGGCTCTGCCCAGATCGTCAATCCATCTGGCCCGAATGCCTGCACTGACCGCGGTTGCAACACTGGAGCTCTCGGTATGGGCTGGGGGTCAGGGACTGCAAACTATCCCTATTTTGTAGCTCCAGCTGATGCTATCAAAACCCGTGCAGCAACCGATGGCACAACGATTACTCAATCCACCTCTGATAGCACAGATTCTGTGGCTTCAACCGTCAATGGTGCAGATGCCGTAATTGTTTTTATCACTTCAAACAGTGGAGAAGGTTATATCACGGTTGAGAATAATGTTGGTGACCGCATCAACCTGGACCCCTGGCACAACGGGAATGCTCTCGTTCAAGCTGTTTCTCAGGCGAGCAAAAACGTCATTGTAGTTGTGCACTCCGTCGGTCCGATCATTTTGGAGACCATCCTCGCTCTGCCGAATGTAAAAGCGATTGTCTGGGCTGGTCTGCCATCTTCAGAGAGTGGCAATGCATTGGTTGATATTCTGTATGGATCCACTTCGCCATCTGGAAAACTCCCATACACAATCGCCAAGACCACAACAGATTATGGTACGAGCGTATTAAGCGGCGACGATAGTTTTAAAGAAGGTCTCTACATCGACTACAAGCATTTCGATCAGGCAGGCATCACACCACGATACGAGTTCGGTTTTGGATTGTGTATGTATCCTCATACATTGGATTCAAATTGACACGGGCTAATCTCTCATAGCTTACACGAACTTCACCTACTCTAATATCGCAATCAGCGGAACGCCGACCTCTGGTCCTGCCACTGGTACGGTTACATCAGGTGGCCGCTCTGATCTCTTCCAGACAGTGGCCACAGTCACAGCTACGGTGAAGAACTCCGGCGCTGTGACTGGATCGGAAGTGACCCAACTGTATGTTAGCTACCCTTCCTCGGCTGGAGCACCACCAAAACAACTACGAGGATTCGCGAAGCTGCCCCTAAGCGCTGGTGTGTCCGGAACCGCGACTTTTGCGCTCAGGAGAAGAGATCTCAGCTACTGGGATGTGAAGCAGCAAAATTGGGTCGTCCCATCTGGTACTTTCAACATCACGGTTGGATCCAGCAGCAGAGATATTCGCCTAGTGACTACACTGACTGTAGCATGAGTGGCGATACCAGTTATCGTTTATGTGCACCAAATCAGTCGGAGTATGCATTGGTTTACATTGTTGCAAGCAAAAAAAGATTTCTCTAATAAACATATCAATGAGAATGAAATGTGCTACCCGCAATATGAAATGCATTACCAAACCTCTACGCGTGCTAATAAGACGAAACCTTCGCTTTTCTTCGAGTACAAATCTTTAACCCAGGGCGCGCAATTATTAGATAGATTGAATCAGGTCACGGAGGTTTTTCAGTTGGACTTCTCCTGGCTGACAACAGTTGAAGCTCTGACCGCTTTTGCAACTTTTGCCACTTTGGCAGCCTCCAGCCGCTCCTTTCTTGATAATGGAGGTAGTCGTGAGTTCTTCAGGTTCGATGAAATCTTAACATCCTCGCCATTGGGTAACAATCCATTTAGCTTCAACGTACCCGCTGTGGCAAACTTCCAACTGCCGTTGTACACGTAGCTGCACTCGAGGCCAGCCATCTCGTTAGTGTTAGTTGCATGCGTGTTCTGGCTCATCGAATCATCTACCTTCTTCTGTCGCTTCTCTTGCGAAGCCGCAAGTGTACGCGGTGGTGTATCGGCGTCCGGATCTTCGTCTTTGATTAAGAGCTGACGCTCTTCACCACCCGCGGCGCCTTCGGCGAGCTGCTCATCCCTCGTCGGTATACGCTCTACACCCTCACTCCGGAAGATGTCTTGTATGCTCCGAGGTTCCTCTGCCTTGATACGCATGGCTTCGGTCTCGCTGGGAAGGGGTACCGCGAACAGCTCTGGGTGCCGCTTCTGCATCAAGTTCATGCAGTCCAGGTTCGCCTCCTTCAGCCTGTTGTACACTCGCATGTCGCGGATGTCATATCCGACTTGATGTGTCACCACGAAGACGGTCTTGCGCGAGTGGCGGCCCTTGTCCACCCATTTGTACTGATTCTTCCCGTACTCACGAACCAGTGCAGGTGGGTACTGAAGCTGCTCGGAGGGCGTGAAGCGTGTAGCACGCTCCCGCTCGGGTTCGGGTTCGGGTTCGGGTTCGGGCGGGTGCGACTCGTCGGGGTGAGTAGTCAACGGTGCGATGCTGTCTATATTTAGCCAAGTCACGACTCTGACATCAAGGGAGCTTACCGATTGCCGAACGTAAGTGCCTTGGTAACTATGATATCTTCAGATGTCTGGCGCTCTGCTTTCGGATTTTTTGAGCACCTGCTGAATGGTTTGAAGGCGACTCCATGCTCGATCAGTTGTTTCTTTAGCCGGGCATAATACGTCCCCCGAGGTTTGGTGTTAGGCTTAGGCTGTGACTGTGGCTGTGGATTGACATTCCCGCGCAGATTCGGTGTTCCAGAGAAGTGCGTTTGTGTGCGATATTGGTTTGGCAGCGCTAGAGGAGTCAGATACCGCGGTGCTGGATAGGTCCAGCGATCTCCAGGCCAGTGGGCGTAAGTATCAAACGCCGGAATTAGAGACTGATTACGTGCTGAAAATCTAGGTGCAGGACTGTCGGGCTGCGCTGTCTTAGCTGGCTCGTCCAAGATCTCATCTTCAAGCTTATCTTCGGACGTAAGGTCACTTGAGTTCCCCTTCCTAGCTCTGTGCAACATCTTTGTATATTCACTTGGACTAGGCCCAGGCGATCCATCCTCATCTTCGTCATTCTCATTGTCGCCTTTGACTCCGGGCAATCCGGCCTGTGCCAAAGGAGTTGCCAGTCGAGGCCAGTTCCTGATCGCTGGACTTGCGCTGGGTTCTTCGAAATCGAATAATGGCTGGACTGTGGTTTCCAAGTCATTTCGGGGCAAAGCGTATGGCACTGGAACCATTCTTTGGCGTTCGAGCAAGATATGTCGCCGTTGCTGTTGGAACCATTTTGTACCGCCCATCATGTTATCCAGATCAACAAACATATTGTCACGTTGGATTGGTTTTGGGCTGCTTTTCAGACGCTTTAGTGCAGCCTCTAGCACTGGATCGTTAGGCTCTGTAGTCACGGGTGAGCCCTCGGGCTCTGGCTGGAACGAAGAATCCCTCGAATCTTGGTCATTGGTGGCGGAGTCGTGTGCGTCCGAATCCAGTACACTGAAATCTCTGTACGATCCGGTGAAGCAGGCAGACCTGCGCGGCTTTGATGGTTTCATTTCGTAAGTGCGAGATTGACGCCAGGGTAGGTTAGTTTTGATTGGTGGCCGCACAGCGGTGCAACAGAAAACCTCTTTGAGCGTAGATATGTTCGTATATCAAATCAGGGTGTAGAACGGGACAGCAGAGACTGCCTCAAGAAGATAAGCAAGCAGGATATAAAAGCTCGAGACGAGAAGTCAGGAATCGCTCTAAGGACATGTGATGGTAGTAAATGAACGAGTAGAACGTGGGGATGATTTTACGGTGTGATACTGTAAGGAAAGAACGTGTCTGTAGAGCACTACGACCTACCAGCGCCGAGTATTGTGATCTGTTTGACTGAACGCAAGATTCGAGAGAAACGAAATACGGGCTCTCCGCAAGAACTCTTGGCTTGTGACTTTGTCGGTACTTCTGCGAAGGTAAACTATGTTAGATTTGGTGTGTAAATTTGTCACAATACTATCCAGGCGGGTTGATCGAATCTCAAGACTCAGCTTCTGAGCTATTGCCGACTTTCGTCAAGAGGGCTGGATATTGTCATGTTAATGTCGTGTTGGTTGGCACTATGCACATGATTTTGCACTTCCTTTTCGATAGTATACTGTTTCAGTGCAGTTGCGAGTTCAAGATGCAATGATGGCATCCAAGGGGCATAGGGAAGGACAAGGTGGGAGAAGTTGTCGTGTCATTGTTAGCACAATGAAATCGATACCTCAGTTCCTCAAACGGTTCGTGATAGCCTCTATACTGTATTGTCTTGAACAAGATGTGCCTACAGAATGATAGAAGGAATGAACATGGAATAGTCTGGTTTTTTTGTAGGTAGCAGCCGAAGTGTACGTAAGCCCTTATACACCCGTGTAAACGCGTTCGCCACTGGCAAAGCCAAGGAAGCATCAGTTTTCGTTCTTTTGTATTTCATGTTGACTGGTGTTCTTACCGGATCTCACATCCGTCTATTTCTTTTTTAATAAAGTATGAATCATCTTTGCTGTTCTATCAGTAGGATATTGGTTACGGAGTTTGGAAATTGTACGAAATCTTCTCGTCTTCAACTTACCGGCTAATCAGTACTCGAAGCGTTTTCGATCGCAAGATGTGAATGCATATCAATAAACAGCATGTGATTTTGTCTGTCAGCATGCCCTAACATGACTAGAATACCAGAAATGATAATCATTTCTTTCGGGCATCAATTCCAGGAATCCACAGATAAGCAATCGGTCCGTCTGAATACTATCATGCCACTACGAAATGTTGGACTGAGATGGGAGCCAGTGTGCCAAGATAAGAATAGGCAATGGTGTTCCCTAAATTGCTGGCATACGCAGACCGCCATGGTCTGAATCCCGAGACGAGAACTAGATTAGACTAACCATGTGGAACTGGGTCGTGAAACAATCCAGGCCGCCAGAGCCAGATCAAGTGACCATTTGCTGTTCCAAATAACGACTTGTCTGAATACGCCGTCCCTTCCCCGGCGTCCCAGCGTCCTGGGGTTGGACTGCAGTTTGACCCATAGCGAGTGGATTAATTTCACCGTCAGAAAGCAAATCAATTCATACGACCGACAAGTATCATGTGATATTTGTCAGTCGAAAATCTGTGGGCTAGACTCAAAGGTATTTGCCCACTAAGGGACTTCGCCCGCTTTCACAGATATCAACGACGTTATGTGACTGATAGTGCTCGTCAATGGCGCTCCCTTAGGCCAGGGAGTCCCACCACTCGATACGGCGCAAAGCTCAAACACCCCCCAATGACTTGGTGCGCGGATCATTTGGATCTGGTACACTGGCGACTGTAGAGGTATTTTGAAGATGATGGGAGCGATTCTCCCGCAGCACTGGTAGCCTAACGCAACGGAGCAGATGTTACAACATGATTGGGCGTGCTCGAGGCTAAAGATTTTTTTTATACTCGGGGCTCTTTTCCAGATTCGTGACGAGACCAGCTCAGCCGGTACTGGCCGCCAACGTCTGACTCGTTAGTTCTAGCCAGGAACATTGGGGGGTTGCGGGCTGGCGGCTTGGAAACTAGACTGCATAGCGGATAAGGCTGCTGGGCTGCCACGCTGCATAATCCGGGAGCACCGAATTGACCTAGACTAACATTAGACTAACCTAGAATAAGAAGTGAAGTTGCGGCACTGCACAAGGCCGAAACAGGCAAGTCAAGCCCATTGTTTGGTGCAATAGTGGCCATCACCGTTTGTAAAAACATTGCTTGGCCATGTCATGTTTGTTGGAAGCATTGTACTCCAGGCGTGGCTCAAGGGGAATCACTGTGAGTACCTGCTGCGAGGCTGCCAAAGTGTATAGACCACAATTGATTGGTTTGACATGAACACATTCCCCAGAAATGCGGATTGCATAAGTGTTGCTGGTCGCACGTGTACCTAACGTCGTGAACGACTCAAGATGCAGCCACTATCAGAACGATATCCACCCGTATCGGCAAGTTGCCTATTCCTCTTATCTGGGGATGCACGGTCGGCAGGTTTACCGAACGACTGGGAAGCAGACGGGGAAGCAGACGGTTTGACTAATTACTCAATGTGTACAATTGGCTTTTGTGAATATAAAATTGCATCCCATGATATTCCAGACATAGAATTAATTGTTGTTTCTCAAGCCGACACGAGCCGCGTCGCTGGATCCATGAGGCTCCAGTGTTTTACGTTATAAGCCGCAATGGGGCTCATTGCGGCGCCGAAGCAAGGCCGTTCTAGGCCAAAAGTGGTCTGGCTCTGTGGAATGCTCAAAGTGCCGGTTCGCCTCGCAGTCAATCCGATGCGATGAACGTCTCCACGCGTCACCGACGCTGGCCGAGCCAGCATTATTCAATCCAGAATTGTGGTTCGAGATTTCGTCGCCACTGACACAAATGAATATTATGAATTGAATGCTATGTATCAATCGCTTACCCCAGTTATATGGCCGCTTAATCCAGTTTTCTGGGTCTAGGCAAGATAAGCCATGCCTGGGGTAAAGATAGTCTGTGTTCCAATCTGGGGATATATTATGGGGGCCCTGCTCCGTTGACCATGTCGGGCATTTCCCAGCCAGTGCCTTTCAAGACACCAACCAGCTGAGATTTTCTCAGTCTCACCCGTTTTTGAAAGAGGAAAGCGACAAGAGTCTTTGCTCACCATCCAAAACAGTCAACATGTCTGTCCACACAATGGATGAGAAGAACAACCTCAGCAGTGCCGAGATGGGCGGCATCACCAACACCCAATCGAATGTCGCTGGTGACGTCGGCCTTGTTGTTGGCGACGAGCAGCTACATCGCGGAATGAAGAGTCGGCATATTCAGTTCATGGCATTGGGTGGAGCGTGAGCATAACCTCGTCCCCGTCATCGTCCCACATGAGACTAACGTGGTGTATAGCATTGGAACTGGTCTTTTCGTCGGTTCGGGTGCTATTCTATCTCTTGTCGGACCCTTACCCCTTTGGCTGGGCTATCTATCGATGATGTCTGTCGTATATTTCGTCATGAACGATCTCGGTGAAATGGTTACATTTCTGCCACTGCGGGGTATTTCCATCCCGTACTTGGTCTCCCGATTCCTCGACCCATCTTTGGCCTTTGCAGCAGGCTGGAACTACTTCTACGCATACGGAATTCTGGTTGCAGCGGAAGCCACAGCAGGAGCTATCCTTTTGGACTATTGGAAGACTATTACGCCTCTTTGGATCACTCTCATTTTGGCCGTCATTCTTATTCTGAACATTATCGCTGTGGAAGTATTTGGTGAAGCAGAATTCTGGTTCGCCAGTATTAAGCTAATCACTATTGCCGGTCTTATCTTTCTTGGAATTGTCCTGATGTGCGGAGGTGGTCCGGATCACGATGCATTGGGTTTTCGCTACTGGTATCCGAACTCGCCAGGAGCAATCAATGAGTACCTGGTGCCAGGAGCGACAGGCCGATTCCTTGCTTATTGGGCAGCATTCATCAAGGCTGGCTTTGCTTTCATCACTAGTCCTGAGTTGATCGCTGTTGCTGCTGGAGAGACTGTTGCTCCTCGCCGCAACATTCCCAAGGCTGCCAAGAGGTTCATCTGGCGACTTGCTCTTTTCTACGGTGTTTCCACCCTCATTTTGGGTTGCATAGTCCCGAGCACCGATCCTCGCTTGCTGTCTGGCTCCAGCGATGCATCTGCCAGTCCCTGGGTTATCGCAATTCAGAACGCCCGCATCGGTGGCCTCAACCACGTCATCAATTTCTCGATTCTCACTTCGGCTTGGTCAGCTGGAAACGCCTTCACCTACTCGGGAAGTCGTGTACTATACAGTATGTCCTTGACCGGTCAAGCTCCCAAGTTCTTCAGTCACACGACTAAAAAGGGAGTCCCTTGGGCTGCTGTTCTCGCTACCTGGTCTTTCGGCTTACTTGCCTACCTCAACGTCAGCAATACTGGTGCTCAGGTTTTCAACTGGTTCAGCAACATCTCGACAATCAGCGGATTCATTGCCTGGATTGTAGTCCTCGTCACCTACCTCAGATTCCGCGCCGCGATGAAGTATCGAGGAGTATTGGACACAATGCCATTCCGAACTCGATTCCAGCCCTACGGAACCTACTACTCTCTGTTCGTCATTTCGCTACTGACACTTACCAACGGTTTTTCGGTATTCTTCCCGGGCAAATGGAGTGTCTCTAACTTCCTGGCCGCTTACATCACACTGCCGATCTTCCTTGCTCTGTATCTAGGTCACAAGATTTGGTTCAGAACCAAGTTCTATATTAAGACTGAAGATATTGATGTCGACACCGGCGTCAAGGAGATGGATGAGCTGGCAGCAATGGATGTGCCACCTGTAGCGAAGAACTTCCTCGAAAAGGTCTGGTTCTGGCTAGCTTAAATATTATCATACGAGTCTAGAACATTAGCAAGCTTATTTAACGACATGATGATTGAATATTGAACGAAATCTCCGCATTAAGTGCTTTCTCAAGTGGTTCAGTTCTTTGAACATCGCTGTGCGTATGTTGATCTTTCGCAACACCGCAGTCTTCCGGAAACACAAGTAAGGTCGACTGGTGTTACGGTACATTAGCCAGACTGTTTTGATCAACAGCGCGCCACCGGACCCGAGACAGTGTAGCGCTGGGGCTTTTCACACAGCATAAGAAAGAAGCAATGTGCCCAAACAATATAGGAATGTGACAGTTGATCCACCCACTCATGATCAACGGCTTTTTGTATCCGAAAAAAAAAAAACCAATCAATTATTCCATCAGTACATTAGCTAGTACTTATTCTCAATTCGCGTCTATCGGATACTAATAAGAAAACAGGGAATATTAATAGTCTTTGAGAGTAGAAAGCTGTGTGGTTTCTTTCTTTCTTCTTTACACTTGCATACTGCTATTGTCTGCACAACTGTTTGAGCGAATCAAACAACCGAATCTGGCTTTGTATCTGTAATCATTCCTATTTCAGAAATAGCCCGCGTGCCTGCCTCTTAATTCCATCGACAGTGAATTCAATAAACAACGAGCTTATTCAGATATGTAGCGTTACTGCCTCTTATTCCCCATTAACAGTGAGTTCAATAGACAATAAGCTTGTTCAGGTCTGTTGCTCAATTGCATTCTTATACTTCCAGGCTTCTGTCCGTTTATTGTTAAAGAAAATACTATAAATCATTACCAAGTAAATACTCCTGCTCTTCTCCTTTTTCATATCCGAACACAGCCCCACTAGACGGCTTCCGTACACACTCACAAACACTCTCATGGGCTTTCTATGCCCATTTGATCCCAAAATTCACTTCCAATACGTTCTTCACAACAACTGTACTAACGTGCTTTCCAATCTCTCCGAGCTTCCCAAATTAAGGATAAAGACAAGATGTCTTGGAGTCTAACATTGAGATTACTTGCTACCTCTGCTTTGGCAGTAGTGGCAGGTTTTCTCACAATTACACTCCCATATCTCTTCTTTGGTGCCTTCACTTTTCCCGTCATTGGATTTGAGGTCAACCCTACGGTTGCCTTCCTTGCCCTCTTCTTTTTTCGTTACTGGCGCCTCCTCGTTCATATAATTTCCTTCTGTCTGTATAAGCCGGTATCGAGGGCCGTCAACCCGCGGTATACTGCCATGGATGTTACAGTCATCTGCCCCACGATCGAGCCGTTTGGGGACGTCTTTCGCCGCTGTATCGAGTCGGTTTGTTCACAACACCCCGCTGCTTTCTATATCGTTGTTGGTGGAGCTGGTCTTATTGCTACGGCCGAAAAGACTTGCGTAGATCTTCGCCTCAAATATCCTCATGTCGATATTCAAGTTCACGCTTCAAGCGAGCCAGGGAAGAGAAAGCAGGTCGACACAGTCATTCCACGGATCAGGACAGCAATAACGTTGTCGATCGATGATCACGTTTTTTGGCCTGTTCAAAAGCCGTTCCTGCCTTCTGTACTGGCTCCTTTCGAAGATCCTAACATCGCACTTGTTGGTACCAACAAGCGCGTTCTCGTCAAACTAAATCAAAGCTGGTGGATAACATTCTGGAACATGATTGGAGCACTTTATTTGGAACGACACAACTTCGAGATCGCAGCTTCATCTTGGATCGATGGTGGTGTATTTACCGTGAGTGGCCGAACTTACGCTGTTAGGAGCGAGATTCTTAAGAATCCTGAATTCCGTGAGCGATATCTACACGAGATGTTTCTACGTTGGGGTCCGATCATGCCAGACGATGATAATTTCCTAACGAGGTTTATCTACGAGAAGGAGCGTGAAATCCGTATACAATTCGAGCCCGAGTCTCTTGTAGAAACAACACTTGGGTGGTACCCCAAACACATCTACACATCTTTCAGATGGGCTCGCACAACATTCCGCTCTAATCCGAAGAGCCTCATGATGCGGAAAATATGGGCCCATCAGCCTTGGTCGATCTATGCTGTATACATCTCAGGCATGACCAATTTCGCACTGCCTACCGATATCTTGCTATGCTACCTTTACGATCGTAGCCTATTGAACAGCGGTTGGCATAGTACGAGGTTTATAGTCGGTTTCATTGTCCTCAGTAAATTGGTCAAGACAGCTCCATACTTCCGCCGCTATCCTCTGCATCTCGTTATGTTTCCTGGCTACCTCCTGTTTGCTTGGAGTCATTCATTCATCAAGTTGTATGCACTACTCACAATCAACGATGGCGCTTGGAGTGGTCGCAGCACTTATGAGCTATTAGGAACGGCTCATATTAGGAACAGCTCATATTGAACGGCTTACATTCGAGGAAATGATTCTGTCGAAACCGCTGACCACCTGGCCGAACACAAACAAGTTACTTCGGGTTCCTTTACCCTAAACACCAAAGAGCCCATCCTAGCATACCTCATGCATCTCAGCCACCTTTGAGCAGCTCTCTTGGATAGAGAATAGGAGCGCTTCAAGATAACTCACAGTTGCGGCCACTATGGATAATCTTGTCGAACTTCCTGCACCAATTGAGTATCCCTTCCCCCCCCCCCCCCTTTTTTTTTTCTTCGGGGTTGGAGGGTTGGGGGGTTCCGTCAAACGGCTATTCGTTGAGCAGGTACTTTCAACAGGGGCACAAGGTGAACACCGGACAAGGCAACTTAAGCCAACCAAGTATTATTTTATTTCGCAGTTGTATTCTTTATTAAATACTACATATCGCGTTTTCTTCCAAAGTCCTACAGCAACCCAAATAAGAAAAGAAGAAAAAAGCGCTTAACTTGATCGTATGTGACCAAATCCAATCAGTTACCAAAACTCCACTGCTTGCACCAATGTCTCATTAAGCTAGGGCTGATCGCTTTGGCACTCCTCATAGTAGGACTCTGCCTAATGGTGCGCTTCATGTCGAAGATGACAGGTTGGTGTCCAGCCTTTGCACCTGAAGCCATACCTTTGTAAGTGTCCAATAGCTTGATACCTGGATTGTCATCCATCGCCCTCATGTCCTCAGATTGGGTCTTCTCCAGACGTTCAACCCACTCCGTAAAACTAATTAACTCGGGCAAGCGACCCTGCCCATAAAACTCTTGAATGGCGGGCGCAATATTCGACCACGCATTCGGCGACGGGTTGACGCCGTGGTAGTAGCCACTGATGTCCTTTGGGTCAACGTGCTGGGCAACTCCGATGACTTCAAGAACAAGACTGGCGATGCGCTCGACCGGCGTCCAATCGACTTGGTCCATGAGCCCAAGATCAGACGGCAGGGCTTTCAGATATAAGCTGCTGGCAATGATGCTGGGTAGCCACTCGTGGCGGTTCCAGACTCCGGCTTCCGACTCGGGACCCGCGATCTGACCGACACGGATCGTGGCTGCTGGAAAGTTGCCGACCTTGGAAGCGTCTTCCATTATCAAGCTACCAACCATCTTGCTTCGACCATAACCACCGCTAGGTAGGCTGGTGTCCTCGAGGCGCTCTTCGGGAAGAGGTCCTTTGCTCGAGTCCCACCGGTCACCGGTACCGATGGATGAAATGAAGACAACCGCAACGCGCTTGTCGGCATGAGTGGCGAAGTCAGCAACATGTCGTACACCACGAAGCTGCGGTTCAAAGGTCTCGACTGTGATATTGAAGTTCACAGGCCATGCATTGTGAATGAAACGGTCTGCTTCCCGAAGTAGGCGCCGGTAGACCTCACGTGGCAAGGCGAAGTCGGAACGAGAAATATCGATGTGATAGAACTCGGCTTTTTCCCGGTATGAAACGTCAAGTCCTCGCTCCTTCATTATCTTCTCTTGTTGTCTGATACCGCCATCTTCGGCACGGTTGAGGCAAATGACCTTCTTGACGTTGGGGTTCTTCACCATCTGATCAAGTAGGTATGAACCGAGCATTCCAGTTGACCCGGTGAGCACTACCGTTTGATCTTTTTCTGAGGCGTCCTGTCTGCCCTTCTTTGGATACTCGAGGTTGCGTGTGTACTTATCATGAAGTTGCCTCATTACTCGCTGCTGCTCGATATCTTCATTCCGAATATCCTTGCCTCCGCCCTTGATGAGAGTATCCATCAGGTAACCTGCCAGCCTTCGAGGTGTAGGGTTGCCGTATACTACGCGAGTTGCAAGCGATGTTCCGTCAGTGTTGTAGCCTGCTGCCTCGAGACCAGCACGGATCAATCTGGAAGCGTTGATCACTTGCATAGAATCAATGCCTGGACACGATTGTTAGTTGTTGCAAATGCAATAAAGCTTGGTGTTCAAAACTGACCTGCAGAGAAGAAATCGGTATCTGGCTCAAGATGGGGGGATCCCAGGTGCGATTCGAAGAGCTTCTCAATCGAGTTGACTAGAGCATCCTCGGAGCTTACATCAAGCCTTGGTGCCTCGGTTTGTGAAACTTGACCGACCTGGTCGTAAAGCTGGTCGATCTCATCTTTGTAGAGCTTGACAGCTGCAGCACGTTGGATTGTTCCCTTTCCAGCACGAGGGAAAGGCTTATCAGGGTTGGCTAGTGTAATGAACTGGCGTCCGATCTGTCCATGAGCGACTGTCTCCTTGTTGGCTCTGACCACCGATGGCCACACAGAGTCCAGGAACTTCTGCTTCTCTTCTTCACTTTCTGGATGGGACACCGGCTCAAGGAACAAAGCGGGCTGGAATCTGTTTGAGCCGACGACTAAAGCTCCTTTGACTGCTGGATGATCGCTCACAATCTCCTCAATGGTAACTGGGTTGAGTTTCTCGCCATTTGAGAAAACAATAATGTTATCGGCTCTTCCATAGTATATCCAGTGGTGTGGCAAAGTGGGATGTGGTTTGTATAGATCCTTGGTGTAGTACTCATAGTCATTTGGGAATGTGTAGAAGAAACCCTGGACACCGGGCTTTTCATCCTGCCGAATGACGACTTGCTCGTAGACATCTTCCTCGTCTGTTTTACGCCAGTCCGCGCCCATGAGGTCTGAATTGATAATAAAGTACTGCCACAGCTCAGGATTGGGTTGGATGAAGTATGGCCAAGGGCAAGCCCTGATACCTTGTTAGTACGATACTTTATGTTCCGCAGGTAGTTATTAACTTACTCGGTCGCCGCGATACAGTTTGCGATCTTCACACCATTATTCACGAGCCTGTTACCAGCTTCGCGCGCAAGGTTTCCTAGACAAAGAGTTAACCATGACAGATAATGGAAAATGTGATCTGACTTACCACCGCCGAATATAACGAGGTTCAGCTTCTGCAAAGCTTGGACACACGTGTCGTCCTGGCTCATATCTTCCAGAATAGCGGGTGGTAATAATGCACTCTCTACATCGACATGCTTTAGAGTCTCAACTACGAGATCCGATGACAAAGGTCGTTCAGCGCTGAATACCGCTGGGGTGCCTCGAAATATGACCAGGTTGATAAAACAATATAGCGCTGCAGCATGGAAAAATGGCACTGAGATAATGAGCACAAAACCGTGAATACCAGCGGGGGACAATACTCACTTGGTAAAAAGTGCCTCTTCGCTCTTTCCGCCCAGCCATTGAAGAGAAATTTGCCGCCTTGGAATTCGCCTAGTTGACTCCAAGCATCACCAACAGATATCATGCCAACTCGTGCAATGACGGGCTTAGGAAGACCCGTGCTTCCACTGGTATGAAGTACTACCACAGGGTCCCACTCTGCATCCTCATAAGTTTTGTTGTATGGAAAATGGTGAACCTCTTTTTCAGGGAACCACCGATCCATATCTCCAACTTCTATAGCCTTCATATTACGTTCTTCTAACCATGGCTGGGCTGTGTTATGATGCGATTTGGGGAAGGCTAGAATGTGGCAATCGGTCTTGTCGAACAAATTAATCTGACCCTCTTGCGAATTCCGAGGAGAGATGAAGAGAACCTGGCCAGTTAGCTCATGACTGAAAGGTTGACTCGTAGCAATCCTTACCTTGTATCCCGCTTTTATGGCAGCGACCATTATTACCTATGCCTCATTAACAACCGAATTTCAAAAAGGGATGAGCCGGTCATTGCATACAACATAACGCGCATCGTTGGGCCCAATGTAGGAAATGGTAGGGAAAGCCCCCTTCTCAGGTTCGCCGCAAGTTTCAATAATTCGCCAAGCTACATGATTGACAGCATTGGCGTATTCTTTCCAAGTAACCACCTTAGATCCATCTTTGGGGTCTGCTGAGCATGGAATCTGGAAGGCTTCTCCTTCGGGCTTGGTTTCAGCAAGTTCGTCGATGATGTTCGGGATAAGTCTTCGGCCGTAAGCAATGGGTTTGTTATCAGGAGTCATGGTGAAGTGTGTTAGGATAAACTTTTGTTGTGTAATAGTCTAATGTGTAAGAATGGGTAAATATGTAAACCTCCTCGTCCATTGACACTTGGCACTACTTATATAAACCATTTTCGACGCCGTTTCTCGCCTCAATATTAAGCGCGAATACAGCGGGTAGCCCAACGGCGAGCGTAAGATAAGCATGATGAATAGGTGTCTCAATTCGAGTTCCACTGCGGGGAGAAAACATATTGCGGTGTATAATATCTGAACTAGAGACGTCACCAACCGTCACTGACTAGAGGATCCACTTCGGGCAAGGCGATGTGTGTGAGGGTAGTCGACAGAACTACAGCTAAAGTGCGACCCCGGGCGACTAGATGATCGCATAGATCTGTCTATCGCATCCCGGGCTTCCGAGAACGGCTTGTAGTGGCAAGACGTGGATGTTCGTGTGTATTTCCCCTGTGCATGCAGGTGAGTGCCGACGCTAATTATGACGGAATGCTCACGGCGTTAAGTCAAGCTTTCTCTCGCTCCACAAAAGCCGCATATATCGGTGGGTACATCGCGTCAACAATTGTCGCGAGGTTCTGCAGCAGCACGGGATTCGAAATTATGCATGCATTCCAGACGGTTTTCGGCTCGAACATGTCATAGCTGCACAACGAACTGCTTGGTCATCTGCAGCACGGTCGCCCCAGGTGCCTGTGGTGCGTTGCGGGCAGTCGTCCGAGGCCGACAACACTACGGAGTGCAGTACCTTAAATAACAACATAAATCCGGGTATATTGCAAACTCGTTGTGACTGTTTGAAAACGTTTTCTCATGTACGACCTCTGATGCTTCGATTTTAATGAGCAATACCTTATTGTTGACTATTGACTTGACATAGAAACATTGCCATTACTATTTCTGGCCATGCGGGAATTTGTCTGGTAATATACAGTAGACCGGTACAATATTTCGAGATGCCATTTTCTCATTTTTCTTTAGGCTTTCAAGCTGTTTCCCTAAAATATTCCTGTTCTTCGTTTTCAGGGGGTACATATTCTGCGGCACGATTCCGCAAGCGAGCTCCCCTAAACCAAAGATATAATAGGAGAATGGAGTATTTTGTGGGCTATAATCATGGAAATCCGAAGAATCCCAGTCGTACTCTCCGTTGTTTGAGTTGAGATAAGAACGCTTGATGACGAACGCTGCGCGCTGCGCCTATCATGTCGGATCAGATTGTTCTGTACTGCCCCCACAACATCAGGGACCGTGAATCATCGTACTCAGTGAGGTAAACCCAACCCAACCCCCAAAATTAGTATATATATATATATCCTCTAATTTATCGCCCACAAGCCAATGATTTGAATTCGGGTTGAGCACGCGAACTCGTGGACCGCCACTTGCCTATTTTCCTTCTCGATATCAAGAGGGAGTAAAATTTAATGGCCAGATTTTGGACCTCAAGACAGTGTTCCCGCTCTTGATTGGAGTGATTGATGTAAGACTGTAAATGTTTCGATAGCCTCAACATATGCACCAGATGAAGAGGCAAGCTATACAGTTTACCCAGATAAGGGGTAGCTAGTTGTTGGCCTGAGAGCAGTTCTGTCTGGTTTTGAGTCCTTTACTGGTAATGTAATGGGGGCTAAGCTAACACGGCAGGCTTGCACCGGAAGGGCCTAGGTTAGCTCGGGGTGGCTGGTGAGGACTACAGCGACCCAATTGGAATGGGTTCAGGTTCGCCTCAAGATTTTTGACTGCTGAATGGCTGCTCCAGCTGGCAGCTTGAGGCCAAGTCAGGTCAGGTCAGTACGAGGTCGCCGATTGGAAGGCAAAGTGGAAATTCCGAAATTTACGATTTCGACACTGGACGGACCCGGACGAGAGAATTGTCAGTGCCCGAGCAGAAGCAGAGGAAAAAGAAGAAGAAGAATAGGATTGTAAAACAAATTATTGTTCCCTGGGCGGTGCTTGTTTGAAACCAAAATCTCCTGTCCCGAATAAGCTTTAGACCACACCCCTCCAAAAAAAAAACCCGAACCGAAACCGTCGTCACTTTCACCTCTCGATCTACTCCGTAGTAAAAGTCGCCTTATTAAAGAAAGCTTTGACTACACGCGCCGCGAACTTCTCAATTTGTGCATCATCGACCAATTGACCCGCGACACGAAAGCAACACCACAACCTCCTTCACACAAGCACTTGCGAGCAAGCCCACTGATCTTCCCACTTCTCTACCTAAAACAAAAAGAGGCTTCTGGCTATTATTCCCCCTTGCATTATCTGGTCGAGTACTTCTTCAAATTCCGCCACGCAGTATCTTGTCGTCGAAATCTTCAATATGCCATCAAATCTACCTTCAAGTTTTGCTTCAGCAGCCGCTGGACAGAACTCGCATCGTGATGGACGGGGTAATAACAGCGGAGAGTGGTATGCATTCCTTTTGTTTATTTTTGTTTTCTTGAATTCTTCTCATCGTTACTGGTTTTCACCTTTTCACACCCCCCCTCCTCCGTCTCCTTGGGGCTCTTCTGCAACTCCCATGGCCGTCCGATGTGCGAACCGTCTCGGGTCTTCTGCTTTGGTCATCCGGAGGCTGCTTCCATATCCTCTCTGTTCCATAACCACTGGTCATTCAGGCCTCGAAACGATATGCACTCACTTCTCATCCTTTACCACTGTCCTCCTCTTGAGACAGACCCGACTGAGCCTCTCCCAAAAAAGAAAAAAAAAATTATAAAAAGAATTGGGCGGGTCCCAAGGGGCCATCTCCTCCAAACATCTTCAAATCACAGTCGAAAGTGGTCGAACTAATCTCAATGTGCCAACAGGTCTAGAACCAACCGTACCAATGGAACCATGACCTTCCGCAGACCCTCAACCACCCCGAATCAATCCATCAGCAGCCAAGCGCCGCCTGCAGATGCTGTTCAGTCTCTTGGCACTACCACCGAATCTACCCAGCGCAGATATACGAGGGAACAGCTTCTAAGCATTTACGATTCTCTTCCCCCCACCGACGTCTCGTCCTTGTTCGTGCAAGGATGGAGTCCCGGTCATGTAAATGGCAATAATACAACCACTCGGGGATGGGGCAAAACCAATGAGGCGCACGTGCAGCCTCAAGAACCCGATCTGTGTTGGAATACCGCTTCCTCGAGAGTACCTAGCAGCATGCGAGATATGACTGACGAGGAAAGAGAGCTCTTCATGACCGACGTCAACTCGCCCGTCAAGCCCCCACCTCAGAATAAGGATGGCAATACGTTGAACGGAGGACGCAAAACTTCCGTCAGCCACGGTGTCTCCAACAACTTTTCGCTGGCCTCCCCGTCTTCTGCCTCTAGGCCCGGTACCCGACGACGCGAGACCACCGACACGAACCCGTATTCTGGTGGTGGAGGTCTTACCTCACCGACCACGGCCGCTCGCGAAGGCGGATCATTCTGGCTGAGGAAGAACATCGAGGCCAAGGAAGCCATGTTCGAAGAACCTGAGGAGGACTCTTACCCCCGCGAACTTCCCACTGGACAAAACAGCTCGCTTCCTTTTGGCGGTCTAGTGCGCAATAACACTGCGACGGGTGCCACTGGTCTTGGAGCCTCTTCTGGTCTCTGGGGTCAACCTTCCCCTTCGGTTACTACTCCGTCCGTATCGGGCTTGGGCAGCTTTGGTAACTTTGCCCTGCCAGGTTCTTCTGCCATTGGTGACAAACGCCCGGGAGGCGGGCAATCCAGACTTGCCCGGCTGATTCCCAAGGACAGCAACGATAGCATGGGCGCGCGCGGAAGTGAGCCTTCCTCGGCTGTGGATGGACGGGGTTCTTGGCGACCTCGCCAACGTACCGACACTGATCCGTTTGCTGGCGACGAAAATCTCTCGGGCAGTGCTGTGCTGGGAGGTGCTCAGGATACGAGTCCCCCTCCGGCACAACGTGCTACCTTATTCGATACACCTGTGAAGGGTTCCGCTGGCGACTTTGGAATGTCTGGGCTCAACATTGGTAGTCATATGGAGACTGAGCCTTTGAGTCCCTCGGAGACCAATCCTTACCGAAGCCCCCCTGGCGAACGCGGTGCGAACGAGGAAGGCAGTGAAGGACTGCATAGCCATGGGCTTGGCGTTGGGCCAGAGCATGTTTCCGCGTTCGGTGCCGGAGGTTTCCCTCGCGCTTTCGGTCAGACTGCATTTGAGGGCAGTGATCGAAGCCAGACCTCGAGCGTGGGCGCTAACAAACCTCTCCCACCGTTGAGCACCCTCGGCGGCTGGCCTACATCCGCAACACCTGATCGTGAGCGCAATCTCTTCGGAAATGCTTTTGGCAACTCCCTCTTCTCGCCCATGGGAGATTTACACTCTCCTAGTTTGGGTAATTTGAGCGGCGTTTTTGGTCCTGCTAGTACCACTGGACTTCCGGGGTCGGGCTCGATCAGCCGCGGAAGCAAGCTGAATTCCTTGTTTCCTCCGGCAATGCAGTCACAGATGCAGAATCAAGACAACGAAAGCTTGTCTGACTCGATCCCAGATCTTCGTCAGATGAATCCGCTAGCTGCCATTGGCCGAAATGCTTTTGGGGAGCCTAGCCGCAATACCGACTCACCTATTGGGACTGGCCGACCGGCATTCGTTGATATGTTTAATCCACCTGTGACTTCGGACACCATGTCTGGTAGTATTTCAGCTATTTCTCAGCCGCAGGGGTTCCCACAATCCAGCGGCACACCTTTCAGCGCAAATCAAGGTAACGAGCCTCCCTCAGCTCAGCCTCGAAGCATGGTCATGCCTGATCGGATGCGTTGGGTATACCTTGATCCCCAGGGACATCAACAGGGTCCGTTCACGGGTCTCGAAATGAATGACTGGTACAAGGCAAATTTCTTCACTGCAGATCTGCGTGTCAAGAGAGTTGAAGATCCCGAATTTGAGCCTCTGGGACAGCTTATCAGGCGTATTGGAAACTCTAGGGAGCCTTTCCTCGTCCCTATGATGGGCATCCCCCACGGCCCGCCTGCCCAAGCTGGCCCTTTCTCTCCCAGTACTGGTGGAGGCATCTTGCCACCCCTAAACGGTGTCTTCCCTAGTTTTGGTCGAACTCTCACCGCTCAAGAACAGAATGATCTTGAGAGGCGCAAACAGGAGGAGCAATACCTGATGGCTCAACAGCGGGATATCATCTCAACTCAGCAACGACTAGCCAGAGTCCAGATACAAGGACATCCTGGACTCCACCATCACTCAAGTGCGCATAGTCTACAAAGCCAGCCCAGTTTTGGGAGCATCAGCTCGCCTGTCACCATGCCTCCCCAACCTCCTATTGGCTCTATCGGAGGCAGTGCTCCCTTTTTCGGCGCAAATCCTCCGCAGTCTGGCATGGCTCCTGGGAATTCCGGGCACACGATTAGCGATCTGTTTCGTGAAGAAGAGATGACGTCGGGCGGGCCAGGACCCATCGGCTCCATTCCGAACCAGCCCCCTGTTGGGAGTTCGTCCATGGAGTCATTTCGGGCTCGTCTACCCCAGACGCAAGAACTTCTAGAGGACGACGATGGATTTCGTGAGCGGCTGGAGGAGTTCGAACAACTTAGGGCTCAGCATGAAGCCGAGGCCGAACGAACGCGACAAGCTCTGGAACCTCAGTCTCCAACGGACACTGACGCCGTTTCAACCTCTAGTGCTACTCATCCTCTCGATGTTGCAGCCCCCGCGAAGGAAAAGGTGAAGCAGAAGAAGGACGACAGGCTCATCATCCAGGAGACAGATGTGGAGGCTGACAACAAGCAAGCGGAACTCGCAGAAGCAGCCAGATCTAGCGGTCTACCAATGCCGTTCCCTCCTCCTCAATCCTCGACACCCTTGCCTGCTCCGGCTCCTCAACGCGTCAAGTCTAACCTGCCAGAGCAATATGCTACCAGCTCGCGATCCGAGACCCCTGAGATGATTTCATCAGCTGCTACTCAACCTCCCCCTCTAGCTCCCTGGGCGAAAGACCCTGCTTCTGAGTCGCACCGTGGACCCAGCCTGAAAGAAATCCAGGAGGCCGAAGCTAAGAAGGCTGCCAAGGCTGAGGAAGCTGCTGCTGCCGCCCGCCGTGTCATGGCAGAGCAGGAAGCAGCAAAGGAACGCGAGAAGGCCGCAACTCTCGCTTCTGGTTTGCCTACTACCAGTACCTGGGGTACGTCATCGCCGGCAGCTGCTACCAGTCCCTGGACTACCCCGTCAGTCACTAAAGCGCCCGCTCCGGGACTCAGCTCAGCTGCGCAGGCAGCTGAGAGAAAGAAGACTCTAGCTGACATACAGCGTGAGGAGGAGGCCCGTAAGATGAAGGCTAGAGAAATTGCTGCTCAGACTGGATCAGCCTCTGGTGCGAAGCGCTATGCTGATCTTGCCAGCAAGCCCAATGCGGCTCCTAGCCCAACCGCTCCAGGCGCGACCCCGGTTGCATTAACTGGTGCTGGCTGGGCCACGGTTGGGGCTGGAGGCAAGGTCAAGGTTCCTACGGGCCCTGCCATGCCATCTCGCTCTGTAAGCTCCACGACCATCAAAACATCAGTTGCTGCTCCTCCTCCAGCTCCTGCCGCCGCCGCTCGACCGATTCTGAAGACAAACAACACTTCGCGCAATGAAGCAATGGATGAGTTCACCAAGTGGGTTCAGGGCCAACTGGCACGAGGTGGCGTTGCTGAGGGTAAGTTTTTATGAATCAAGATATCTATTGTTATCATAAGCTAATATATACGACCAGTTGAGATCTACACACAGACTCTGCTCGAGTTTCCCGCCGAGGCTAGCACCATCGCGGATGTTGTCTACGAGATCTCCAAGACCATGAATGGTCGTGAGTTTGCAAATGAGTTCATCCGAAAGAAGAAGCAGGCCGAGAAGGGTGTATTTGAGAAGCAAGGCGCCGTCGATGTACCAGCTCAGTCTACTGGCGGTTGGAACGAGGTGGCCAAGAAGAATCCGCACAAGGAGAATAACGGCAACTCAATCCCTTCGGATTTCAAGGTAGTCCCTGCCCGAAAGAAGGGCAAGAAATAAGCGAGGATTCGCAGCAGAGACTCGTAAAAACCTGGGCTTGCCTGGATTACGGGCATATTTCCCAACCTGGAACTACTTTGCATTACTACAATGTCGAAGAAGTGTCAAGACTATTTCGAGGTCTGGGAAGACCCGTAGGAGTATCTAGTTTACCACAAAAGCGTCCAGCATCAATAGTCGTAGCGCCAATAGTGACTTCCAATGGTAGCGTCTATGCTTTCGACATGCAAAAATCTGTTCCTATGTTATGGTCTCACAATGACATTGTAAAGCTCCTGAAAGCATCCTTCTTTTGTTTTTGATGTGCTGGGGTGGCCTCCCTCTACAAAAGAAATTTATATAGTCACCAGGTGCACGGGCCTTCTGAACGAATTGCCCCTCCCCCACCAAAAGTTGGACAACGACGTCCCAAAAATTTCTTTACGCGACCCAACTGAGCAGCCAACGAGTACCGGGCTCCTTGAGAATTCTCCAGCTCAGTTTCTGGCAGTGTTTGTCTAATTTATCGTCCCATTTCATTGCTCCTGCTTTGATCTCGCTGAAGTCGTCCTGCAGACTTTTGTGATTCAACGAGCCAGGCGCCGTTCACTACCCCGCCATCCGGCGCCCTTGGGTGTGAGTACCGGGATTCTGCGCCGCCGTGTAAGAGGGACCGCGTAAATTGAATTGTAACTATGGACGGCTTCGATATCGACCTACCATCCGACACGCCGGTTGATGCGGCAGAGGCACAAGCTGAACAGAAGTCATATGTGCCCGCCGACCAACTGAGTCTTGCCAACATCACAGGTGAAGCGCCGTATCTTTCTGCGTTGGAAACAGATGATGCGAAGGTCCTCGTTGGGCGGTTCGTACATGTCATAGTTGCTGCGTCACAAACATCGTCTGACCAGAATTCTGACGCTCCGTCCGAGCCGGAAACTCTGGTGGAACCTTACGAGGCTGTACGGATAGGCTCAGCAGCTTTCAACGCCTTTTTACAAGCAAATGTTACGGGGCCCGTGTTAGAGGGGGCAGCAAAATGCGAACAGAATTTTGCGTCTGCATATGACAGGTCTGTAACAGATGCTCAGCCGAAAGCTAAGCCTGGACAGCCTTCCATCGACTTGCTCAGAAGAATTTGTCTCAGGTCACTGGATGTTGACGGTGTGTCGGTGTATTCATATATACCACATATCGAGCTCTTCTCCCTTGCAAAGTGGATATTCACTTCGGGAAAGGTAGTGCTTCCGGATATAAAAGACCTGACAAGAGAGCTGGCATGGATGCGTTTCCGGATACACTTATGGCACTACAAGCTTCTTTCACAGCCTTCGCTGAGTTCCGGGTCCTTGTTCACGAAAAGTGGCAGGTTTACGGATGTCGCAACATTACAGGAGCTGATTGAACAGACCCTGGTGGAAGCCAAGAAACAGGTGCTGGTTGACAGCAACGAAACACCGAAAGATGGAAAAGTCCAGTTCTTACTTGAAGAGGCGAATGCACATCTCATGCTCGGATATGACCATCGGGCGAAGCAAGCCCTTGACCAAGCCGCAGGAATCAGCGGGTTTGTTTATGCGCTTTCTGGTGCGCTGGGCAAGAGGACAAAGTGGCAGGAGAAAAGTACGAGTCAGCTTGTTGTGCTCGCAAAAAGCAGTGAGGATGACGAAGTGCCACAAGACAACTTGAAAGACTCAGCGCCAAACGCGTTGGCATTGAACGATGACACCTTGCTGGAGAAGATCTCTTTCGCAGATGAACAAGTGGAGGATCTTTCGGAATCAAGGTTGCCGGAATCTTTGCAGGGACTCACACCTGAAGCCCAACCACAGTTGAAGACGGAGGATCAAATCATTCTTCTCACTGAAGCAACGTTGAAGGATACGTTCTCTCCTGCGGATGCTCTGACCTCGGAAGAGATCCTGCCATTCGCAGTAAGGGTTATCGAGGATAAACCAGCGAATTGGCAGGTTTATACACAAGCGCTTCTTGTACGGTCAAGGATTGAACTTAACCGAAGTCGGACAATTGAGCGTGGCGTCTTGCAGATGCAGGCTGTAGTTGATCAAGTCATCGTCGATACCGATTCTGCCGCACCACAAGGCAGGGATATCGATAAACTAGATGAACCAAGTAGTAACCAGCCAGTGCCAACCATCGAAGTTTCCGACGCGAATGGTGCCCCTCAAGCCAATGACCAAGCCAAGGCCACAACATTCTTTCCGGCCGCTAAGGCATCGGAAACAGCTTCGCCACAGATTCGCTTACGGTACGCTCATGCGCTCGCATCGCCTCCAAGATGGCACCTCGAATCCGAGCTCGCATTTGCTTGGACATCTGTAGGGTCTCTAGTCTCGGCACTAGAAATATTCAAACGTTTGCGGCTCTGGCCTGAGGTTGCTCTGTGTCTTGCAAGTAGTGCGAGCACCGACGACCCAGACGGCAGAGGTAGCGGAGGTGAAGAAAAGGCACGAGCGATTATTCGATGGAGACTGTTCAACCGCACTGATAAGTCTTCACTAGACGATGAAGAAGATATTGACAGAATACCTGATATACATAGTCTGAAGGCGGCGGATTACTGCGGGACTGAGCGCGATCCCCCCCCGCCAAACGCTCCTCGTCTTTGGTGCATCCTCGGCGATATCGAGGATGAACCGAAACACTACGAGCGTGCATGGGAGATATCGAAGCACCGCTTTGGGCGAGCTCAAAAATCACTCGGAGAAATCTACCTAAGGCAAAAAGAATTTGAAAAGGCTGCGGACGCCTACAGACTGGCTGTAAGAGTCAACAGGCTCAGTCCTGAGTTATGGGGCAGGCTGGGCGATATCGAGCTCAGACTCGGTCACTTTCCCGACGCAGCGGAGGCTTTCCAGCGAGGAATTGGGGCATCCAACGGCGAAGAAGGGGGTGAAGGTGCAAGAACGTGGAGCAACTTGGGAACGGCGCTCCTGTCGTGGTATAAACAAGTTGCAAAGGAGAGCAAGAGTCTAAAGGAGAAGGAGAAGGCTGCAGATATCGACGACGAGGATCAATCTGCCGCCATCAATGATGACATCGATCCCACGAAGACCCCAGCAATAGCACGCGCCGCTGAACTCAATAAGCCAGCTTACAAACTGCTACAAGACGCTCTCGCTGCTTTCAAGCGCGGTGCCACGATCGCCAACACTAACTGGAGGATCTGGGACAACGTCGTTACGCTCGCGGCTTCTCTCTCTCCCGAACCCGCTCTGGGCGATGTGATACTTGGCACTCGAAACGTTCTTCGTATCCGAAACAGCGAGGAGGCTCTTGATGCCGAAATCCTTGGCCTACTCGTAAGACACATCAGCAAGGATTCGCCAACCACACCGGGAGACGGCGTCTACATGGCGCCCAGAGGCAGCATCGAGAACAAGGTCATCGCATTGTTCGAGGACGAGGTCGTGCCGCTCATCACGGCCAATTCCGAGATCTGGTCCCTAGTATCGCGGCTGCGAGCCTGGCGACGGGATTACACCGGCGCCCTGGACGCAGCGGAAAAGGGCTGGCGAGCTGCCTTGGGATCTGCGGCCTCTTCTTCTTTGTCTGCGCCGATAGGAAATGCGGCCACCGGAAGTGGTAACGGAAATTGGCAGTCCGGCGAGGACAAGGAGGCCTGGGATACAGTTGTAGCGAGGACGAGCGAGCTGGTCGCCGCTTACGAGAACTGGGGGCCCAGGATTGAGAGCATTGGCGAACAAAGATGGAAAGGAAAAGCTAGGAGCGCCGTGAGAAGTGTCACGGGCAAGGGTAAAGAGATGTGGGAAGGCAGCGATGGCTGGAACTCACTGCAGGCATTGATGGAGGACTTGAGGTCGTGAGTAAAAATGAGGCATGAGGCATCTTGAGACACCAATTGCATGGAGGGCAAAAAGAAGAAAGGATAGAAGGCTGGCAACAGCCATAGTATATACTGATAGATATCAAATACTAGTGACGGAGCTATGTCCAGAAACATCCATGTCTCTCCTACGCTGTCTGATGTCCTCCTTCGCTCATCGCCTGTCTCTCCATGAAAGGCTGTCCGTGAAGTAGCGTCAGGTACAAAAGAGACCACAAGAATGAAACAAAACATTCCGGTAAGACTTTTTTTTTTTTTTCTCAATCTCAATCAAGTCTCAATCAAAAGCGGCACCGTCTTGAAAATTGGCAAATCATCTGGCCCAGTTCAGTTCGTCCGCATTATCATGCGTGACAAATTTACTCGATCGAAAAAAGAAAGAAAAATTGAACATGACAAATTTTCTATGTAACGAGGGGGGGAAAGAGAAAGAGAAAGAGAAAGAGAACCCCCCCCTCCCCTTCATCCTATGTGAAGTTGCGGAGAGCCATCCAAGCCAGCCCTGGAGCAAAGAGCAAACCACCCTCCAGCAGCTCACCACCATGTGAGGGACGCCTTGAACGAAAATTTGACACGAGAGGTTCCTCAAAAGAGAGTACCAGATTGAAATGACATTTCTCGATCAGGGATGCCGTAGACTACCACATCTTGTTGTGGCTCTATTCCCAGCCGAGTTCTGAGGGCTAGTATAAGTATCTGAGGCACCCCTCGCGGTAATCACCTGTTTGCCGACCGACTTGGCCACCTCAAATATGATCACTCAGCCATCCCGTCGGCACTGGGTACGTAGCTCTAGATAATTAAGCTTCTCCCAATAAACAAAGCTGAGCCATAGTGACACAGTGGTAATGGTACCGTCCATTACTCGTTAAACCCCCCCATGCCGAGAGAGGTTTTTTCAAAGGGGACTTCGTTTTGAATGCCTATGTAAGATTGGTTTATAGGGTTAGCCCCCAGCAATCATCCACACAAAACCCGCGACGTTATCTGAACTTTTTGCATGTTTTTGGACGGGATTCTCTCCTCATTTCTAGCTTGAAGTCATCAACTTTCGTTTCGTCGTGGTGGCTATTACTCCCGCGAAGCTTACGGCGAACTAGAGATCTAGAGAATGTATCACAGGCGCTCCGAACCTAAAGTCATGATTGCTGTCTTCAAACAGCAACCAGGTCTGTAGGCCGTCCGTTTTCGTCAAGCTCCACTACCGCAGCTGCATAGTCACCCCTTTCATCCTCGTCCTCAAAGTCCGAGAGCTCGGCATCCACTATCTCGCCGTCCTCGAGCATCACCTTCCCGCTCCTCACATAGTCACCTCTCAGATCCCATCCGAAGCGCCACAGCCAGCTTTCAAGCGACAAGAACGCCTCGCCAACCGCACTCTGTTCTTCGGTACACCTATCGCCCAGTGATAGAAGTTGCTCGTTCAACCGTGACTTGTAAACGGTAAGAGCCTTCTGTAGCTGCTTCGCATTCTGGGGCATGGTGTCCAGGATCGAGGATCCTTCAAGATAACGTTCATTATAGGCCAGCTGCGCATGAAAATTTTGCATCAGGCGCAGAACAAGGCCCGGACGCTCGATAGCGAGACGGTATGACCGGAACACTATGAGCGTTGTGTAATACCACCATTGCTCGAGGCAGGAGTAATTGCCGAGATGCATACCGGTGAGGAAGGCGAACTGGATTTCGCCCAACAGTGCGTCTTCATCCTCAATGTGGGAAATTACCCAGGAGGTTGGGTCGAGGGCCTGCTGGGTACGCTCCGACCCTTCAGCTGAGGGATCGAAGAGCCTTTGATCCATGGGAAAAGAGAACTTGAGTTGTGCTGCAGATGAGGGATAGAGGCGTGATTCCTCCAGAAGGTTCGTCTCTCCTACGATACGGTCGGATGTGTTGACTGGCCAGGCGCGTTTCTGGCTGCTGGCGAGCCGATCCAACAGCGGTGGTTGAATGGCAGAGGTAAGATGTTGCCATATGGTGGTGCTGCTCAAGAAAGAAGGTAGCGGGTCAGCACCGACCGCGCGACCCGGAGATGAGACGGCTGAAGTAGACGCCTTGAAGTGGTAAGGCGCAAGTTTGGCAAATATATGACCGAGTCGTTGCTTTTGAAACATCTCCTCGGCATTTGTTGCAGGGTCACCCAAAACCTCGTTGAAGTTATCCCATTGTTTGACATGGACCGTACCAGGCGTGGTATCCTCTTTCTCCTGCGTGATGAGCCAGTACCCACTGCGAATAGAGGTTGATTCCAGCGGTGAGACCCATATCAAATGTGCTCCCGGTGGGATATCCCGAAAGCCTAGGAACTGCTGCGTGGTTGAGAAGGAGATGGTATCGCAACCGACAGTAAAACTAGAGGGCAGGTCATCAAGAATAAACACATCCCCGCCTTCCAGCATCTCGACGTGCTTGTCAACGAGGTCAGGGGTCCCATCTGGGACTGTCAACGGTGTCGCCGGGCCCATATCAAGGTCCTTCTCGTCCTCGGGTTCGTTGATACGCAGGGAACCCAGAGGGTAGACGCCTGTGACGGGGACTGAGTCAACAGACTTCAGTGAAGCCAAGCCGGGCGAGTCTGTAGATCTTCGATGCAATTGAGTAATCGCCTGAGACTGAATATCAATTGATAATATGTGCGGTGCGTCTCCGGCAGGGGTCGAGAACGGTGGTGATTTTGAAGAATTCGCGGAGCGACCGGGTGGGTCCATCGCGGGCGTTTAGCTGTTAATATAGCGGACCCCGAGAAAAGTTTAGGCGACAGTCCAGGCGACCTGTCGACTAGCGATACACCTCCTCCTCGAAGCTGACAAGGGGGAAGACTGCTTTCAAGTATACTTGTTAACTCGGATGATGATACCTCGATAGGTGTGGACAGCTGTATTAACTGGGCGGAGTTCTCGCAAGTGCAGAAGCGGCAGGAGAGACTTGACAGCAAAAGAAAGGAATTACGAGCGGCCGACTAAGTTGGCACAAAGCAAACAACACAGCCAACGACTCTGACCCTTCACTGAGGATGAGACCTCATAACAGTAGATATCCGCTCATGTCCAGTTCAAAATGAAATGGAGGCCTTGCAGAGTTGCTTCCATTGATATAAACAACACCTACGGTTGCAAACACAAAACACAAATCTTGGTTCAGGATCGTCAGGGTCCTTCCGGAAGTGACGTTGGTGCGCATTTGTCGTTGCGCGACCTCAAACCGGCTACGTCATTGCTACTTCGTTTGTCCTACCAAAATAAACAGTACTTGAACCATACACATCAGATTGCCTCGGCTACATCCGTTGTGCCGTTTGAGTCGGCTTCCCCTCTGGATGTGGGTAGCACCCAGAAAAATCCTGTTTCTGCGACAAGTGAGAACGTCCACAGGCCTCTTCTTGGCAAGCGCACCCTTGTCGGATTTGTTCATCTACAGATGGGATCGTCGAGGTGAGGCTGTCTCTCGCTTGCTTTGCACCCGCGGCATGTAGGCAAATAGGATCCGTGTCTATGGAAGCAGTCCTCCTTCATTCCAGCTGAGCCGCCTAACAAAGCGGCCGAGTCTATAGACAGAGAGCAACAATCGTCGCAAACGGTATATGCCTTATTCTCACACGAGTACTCGCCCGACAAACATGGTGTGCAACTTACGGCGCAGATTGTGTGTTCAGGCAATCGCCGGTATGGAGAGGCTTAAGACTGCGATCCAGTGGCATGCGAAAAGGCATTTTTTGAGCGCAGCGGATCCAATAGAAGTCGAAGTTGGTTTGGTCAAATGATTCGGAAGATGCTTTACAATACTGGCCTTGGGACGGCACGATGCTGTTCACTAATTTTGTCTCCGACTGATTCGCCATGTCGAGTTTGTGAGCTGACCAGACAGAGGTCTTTGGATAGAAATGTGGCACGCGAATGCGAAGTGCGAAACCATACATATACATCATGGATGAGTGCACTGCCTGCTGGCACTATAAATTGGTCCGGTGCTCGTTGCGGACTGGGGTAATTTCCTTACCCCAGACACGTTGCCAAGCATTGTTTGTATATTAGTAGGATAGCTTCCCGGCATCATGGTAACGATGGTCTTAGTTCTTTCATCCCATGGCTGCGTTTCTCGCCTACTGTGTACTTCTATGCATACTAAGATGGAAACAGCAAGCTTCTAGTAACGGCCTAGAAGACCCAAAGGACGGAGGAGCAGGACAGGGGTTGTAGATCGATTCTGCTATTCCTATTCTAACCATTTCGCAGCGCTATCTTTTTTGCGTGCCGTGTTTCTGGGTTCTTGTTGGTGGTGTACCATGCGACGCTCCGGGTGCGGTACCCATGGAAGAAAAGAAACCTATGTCGCGTCAGTGAAGTCTCCCACTTTTCATTGCTCAGGATAGCCGTCACGTCACGTCGGACAGTCCATGGGCCGTGTATGATATCGTGTGATCAATATTGCATGTACTTGATTTGCTTCAGCACACAGCGTCCCCAGTCTGCCCATTATGTCATTCGATGCAGACGCCGATGCAATATTGATTGGGTAGAGCAGCAACGGTAGGTAATGAATACTTTGTAATAGCACCTGGAGGATTTGGATTTCCAGACCTGCCTGTTGGCAATATTTTTGTTGTTAGCTCATTCGAACACAACGAGGCAAAGCAAGGGGTCGTAGCGGAGAGCTTGCCGGCGGGCACTAAAAACGGCGCGATACTTAAGCATTGCACCGCTTCGTCTCGTCTTTGACAGCTCGTTAGTTCGTTCAATCGGGACGAGGCTACACAAATAAAAGCCAAATAATAAAAAATTTAAGATCGGAACCAACAACTGGTCTCTACAACGGCTCCAAATATTCCTTGTCTAGCTTCAACACCAACAGATCGACCCTGGGCCTTTTGTCTGGTTTACCATAGTCGACCATGCCAGCACGGCAGCATTCGCAATTGTAACCTCACTAAAACCCAGTTCCTAAGAAAGAAACCCCCCCCCCCGCTCCTCCTTCCCCCCCAAAAACCCAAACGAATGAAATCAAGGCAGACACAATATTATTGTAATCCCCTCGGCCCAAATGGCTTCGTTCATGGTCGCCTCAGTGTGTAAATACCCGCCAGTTCTGTGCAGAACGAATCGGCCAAATTGTACCAACATCAATAGAGCGAACTCAAGCCAGTAGGGCTTGACTTGTAAACAACGCCGGGTTTCCTGATACTGTCTTTGGGCCGTCCTTTCATTGCTGCAGAATTATTCACCACCAATGCAATGCAAACAACTCAACAGACCACCGTTGTAACAGAGTGCAGCATTTCGATCAACGTATTTCCGCATGCACCAAGTGCATCCATTGAACGGCCGTAACTATATGCCCATATGGTTCACATGGGTTACAATTATAAATGCATGCATATAGTCGGCAGGCCTAAAATTGTTTCGTGGAATGATGAATATCAATCCTGGAGGTATAAAAGTGGCGCAGGGGCGTTGCGATGGAATGTCGGCAACTCGAATCCCGCGTATGCTGTGCATTTCATGTTGCACGACTTGCAACAGCCTGAACTACACAGTACCTACCATCTATGTCGTAGGCTTCATGCCCGTTCCGAAAATATTCATTCCAACACCAAACCCAACGAGGCAAAAGTTGGTTCCTAGATGGGAGTCCGGGGTTGAACATAGCGTTAGTTACACAGCATCCCCTAGCCCGGCCGCCCAGGGCCATTTTCGCGTGGGCTGGCAAGGTTGTTTCTCGCGTGTCTTACCTGCGGAAAGACCGGCGCCGTCGCACCTCGTGGCGGCGGTGGTACATAAAGCAGCTAGGTTAGAGGATTTCGACAGCCTGACTTACAGATGCAAAGCTTGATTTACGACCAGGTTCTCGGAGAATAATCAGCATTAGTATTTGAAGCGGCGTTGCCATGGCGCACACTTGGTGCAACTCGAGGACAGTGTATGTACAACAAGCCCGGCTGGAACATGGCGCAAACACATTTGTGCATTTGAGGCGGGCAGGTCTTTTTTTTTTTTTTTTTTTTATACAGGAGTTTTTTTGGATTTGGGGGGTGTTTTTTTTGGGGGGGGGGGGGGTTCCCGCTAATTGAACGGGACATCATGAGAAGAAATCACATGTGCAATAAGATGGGATTCGTAAGTACTGCACATGTTCTAAAGCAGTAGTATTGCTACTTATAAAGTAAGATAAAAACATATATCGTGTGCGTGAGGCCATGGCGGTCCTCGAAAAGACTTCTTGTCTATGTACCGAAACAAAGCCTTCCAGACGAACCGCTCGCCTTACAAACCGCTTTTCCATCACTGTCAGTTTCCTTTTTGTGCCTCCGCAAAAGTGGTACAAGATGAAATGACTCATTCACGAAAAGATAAAGCGGTGATGCTGATAATCTCCTGCATGCAATGTCCACAAAACCGCCGGTGAGTCCAAGACCATCCATCCCCTAATGTGCGTTGCCCTGCGCCTGAACCGAGAATCAATGGTGTACCATGACGTCCATCCTGATGACGACCGAAGAAAAGAGTCTCCTGTTCCCAGATGCAAATGCGAAAGAGACGCGACTCGTGAGAGTCGCCGGCTGAGCGTGATTACGCGACTGAAAAGACAATCTCGTGAGAATCTTCGAAACCCAACGAACCAACTCCTTGACGCGGTGTCGTGTCCTCTAAAATAAAGAAATGGCCGAAAGTCAAAAAGGTATGAACAGTGGAGAAGTAATCTTGGAAGGGTAAATATAGTACAACGGTTCATTTCAACCACATAGCTTCCATTGCAAACATCGGGACTACGAATCTTCGTGTGGATGTTCTGCAGCCCGGTTCGCACCCCAAATAAACCCGTTGCCGTTACCTAGTGCAGTTACTGACGTTGACTATACATCTGCTGCTGGCCAGGAGGCGGCGCATAAGGCGATGCTGGCATATATTGACCAGGGTAGGCATTGCTGGTAGGGCTGGTGTACTCCGGCAAAGGCTGTTGAGGCACTGTGGCGGATGGAGGTGCTGGGTAGTTGCTTGCAGCAGGCTGGTACCGGATTGGAGGCAAGCTACTACCATAAGCTTGAGGGGGTTGACCGGAACCGTTGTCAGCCGGTGCACCATTGTGGGCGGCTTCTTGCGCTTGACGCTGGCGTTCCTGTTCCTCGGCCGCCTTACGATCGGCGTCCTCCTGCTTCTTGCGAGCCTTCCACTCCTTACGGATCTCTTTGAATTCTGCATTCAGAGTTAGTCTTGAGTTATTCTTCACATGAAATTGAACATGAACGTCAAGGCCCTTGAGTGAGCCTCGGTTCTCATCTCAGGGTGTGACAGTTGAATACGGCATTACTTGCCGCGGCTAGTCCGCTTCCGGTCGGCAACAAACAAGTCGCGTCTCGGATCGCGTGTGATGATCACGCGCATGCGGAAAAAGGGACGAAAAAGAAAACCAAATTCACAAACATACCCTCTGGTGTACGCTTTTGTCCGTGTGACTGCATTGTGACATGCGCATTGAGATGGTTTAGTGTTCCGTAGGCTTTCTCGCAGCCGTTCCACCCACACTTGTACATGCGCTCAATCTCTTCATAACGTCTGCGCGGTCGCTTGTGCTGCTGGGCGCCGGGAATAGGAACAAATGAATAAACCTACATAATCATGTTAGTCGCGTTATCAAAGATAAAATCCATCAGTTACGGCCACGCGCGTTTGAGGTCCATACAGATCATCACAGCAGTGTAATCTGCATAGTGAGCTGATGCAGAGAATCGCGCAACCAGAAAAGAAGCAAGAAAAATGCCTACCTGAGCGGGTCTACCGTGAGGAGCGGCAGATGTCGGCGTAGGGGGGTACATGTGAGGGTGGTGGACTTGACCAGGTTGACCATAGTTAGCCCAGTCAGGTCGCTGCTGCGGGTAAAGGCCACCACTCGGCGGGTAGCTCTGCATGTTGTCGTGATGTTGAGGTGGTGCGTAGGGCGAGTACTGGCTTTGACCGTAGGTAGGGCTGGGGGCCGCAAGAGAAGGATCTAAGGGTATATCGTCATTAGATTTGACCTGTTGAGGCTGATGGTTGCGTCCATCTTGAGGCAAGGACGGACTTGTTGGTGTTTGCGCCATACCTGCGCTTCCACTGTGAGAGCTTGCAGGGTGGTATTGACGCTGGATATGTTCGGGAAACGAACTTGACCTGGCTGAGGGCGGGTAGACACTGTACTCTGAGGTCGGCGTAGCGGACGTTGAGTAGTTGGCCGAACGCGGTTCCCCTGTGCTTGAGTATTGGGCAGCAGATGGGTGATCTGCAGAGGAAGTCTCAGACTGGGTGTCGCCGTAGACGCTTGGATAGGGCGAAGGCAAACCTGACTGCGAGTACTCCTGGGCAGTTCTTTCCATAGAGCGAGGAGCTTCGGAGCTTGGGCTTCGGCTTTGAAGCTGTAGGCCGGAGACACGTGCGACGGAGGCGGGATGCTGAACGAAGTTCTGATTCTGAGCGCCCGTCAAGTACATGCTACGTAGGCCGGTGTTTGCTCGACGACAGATGGCTGGCCGGAAGATAGTCCTTACGCCAGTTGGTTGACAACGGTGTCTGTATGTGGTGGAAGGTAGGCAAGGTGCTTTGTGTGAAGAGTAGAGTAGAATAGGTTACACCAGATCCAAAGAAGCAAGCTGCGGATGGCTGCACTGGCTTATTTGTTCGGCGGGAGATGGTGAGTGACGGGAGGGTGATCCAGAGGAATAGCGCGGATCTCTTTAGTTCCAGTCCAAAGATCCAAGGGTCTGGTTGGATGAAATATAGTCCTCTTCTGGGTACTCCACCAAGTCCACTGAGTGTTCAAGCCACCTTTATTTCAGGCCAAGATAGTCTTGGGTCCAGGAGTGAGCAAAGGGTACAGTGAAATGATCGTGCTAGATCACGGGCACCAAAAAGCTGCTAGCTGCTAGGGCTTGGCTTTTTGAGTGATGTGACAGTAGCACGAGAATAGGGTGCGAGTAATACCCGGTTCCGCAGCGAGAGGGAGCTGTACCGGACGCAAAGGTAGTGTCAGAGCTAGATATGCTAGCGCTGGTGGTGACGCCGGGCTCTGGTGTGGAAGAGGGCGGCGGAGAAGGTGAGGGAGATGGATGTGCGCCCTGGTGCAAGTGCAATCGTAGAGGGCCTTTGCTCTCGAGTAGGTGGGGGGGAAGAGAGGCTGGAGGCTTGAGAACAGCAGAAAACAGTGCTGAAAATTGGGAGGAAAAAAAGGCTTGGTTTGATTTGGTTTGGTCGACCTTCAAGCTCAAGATGGGAGTCCTTTCCGAGTTGTGCTTAGTCTAGAGCTAGCGCGCTGACGATTCAGGTGCTAGCAGACAAGAAGGCGCGATGTTCTTAATGAAATCGACGCTCTTGGTGTTGACTGACTCTGTTCAACTCAGATGACGTGCAGCCCGGGTGATATTTAGAGACCCGGACGGGTTTAGAATGGATGAGCTGAATGATGATGTCGATTGAGACGACAAAAATTCGACTAAAAATTGCTCCCTCAGTCTAGGTGCAATTAGGATTTTAGCTCCAACTTATTTAGTCGAAAGTACGTGCGCGCGAAGCTGATTTGACGACTCGGCCTACTACGCGCTAGTACCGAGTACTGGAAGTCGAAGTTCTTCTGGAGGTCTCCGATCTCAAAGAGATGAACTGGATCTAATCGTCGATTGCAGCTCAAAACGTTGTGGTCTCAGCGTGAACACAAACGCGTTGTTTTGGAGGTGAAGAAAGGGTGAAGGATTTAGTTGGGGAAAGAAAATGAGGAAAAACGCGAGTCGATGCGCCTCCTCTCAGAAAATCCGAGTGAAATTTTTTTGGGCGGCAATGGAAGGCGCGTTCTTGCCGTGTGCACAGAAGCAGATTGACAGAGCAAGTACCTTGGTAACTTGGTACCTTAGTAAAGGTTGGTAAAAGATACGTATCTCCACAGCTGCCGAGTTACATACGGTTACTAGGACGGACGAAAACGAATTGGGATAGTAGGCAATTTTGACCACACGATACGTGAATCAATGAATGACTTGACTCGATGACACTCAATGATTTGAGAAACACCTGAGGGAAAAGACGGCGGGCCACACTGATGTAGACGATGGACCACGGCTGATGCTGCTGCTGATACCTGCTCCTGCGTCTGCTTCTCCTCTCCTCCTGAAGGCCCATAACAGTGGATACTATGTACACCGTACCCTCGGGCGAGACAGGCATAAGAAGGGATGAATAAAAAAAAAAATCCCGATCACGACCGCCAGTGTGAAGAGTGGGGCATCCGAAAAGTGGGCAAAAGGAGGCTTAGCAGCATTTCAGGAAGAGGTCAAATCCAAGGATGCGGAATGCCCGTTCAAGAGATCCCTTGCCAATTAATGCTTCCAATTACAATTACATTTACTTTCACAATTACGGATTACACGATAGTCGGCAGATACTATGCACGGCATTGATGAGCACATAGCACAGGTGTGGTACTTTTTTCTGACGTCCCTGGATTGCTGGTCATCGGGCCACCATGGAGCAAGTTAAACTTGGCTGATTAGCTGATCCATGATCACAGACACAACACTGAACCCGGCTCCCTGACTGAATCGCAGGCCATTTCCCATGATCGCACCCTGGGAAGTTACATTGAGACCCTGGCCGAATGAATTGCTCTTACTGGCAATCCCAGCACGTGAATCCTTGACCTTGCTGGGCGATCCATACTTCGTACTGGATGCAGTGCAGCTAGCATGTTGAGACCAGTCTGTGCGTATACATTCTGCATTGCATCTCGCTTTTCCCTCTCTCAAGCACCCACACGAACGAGCTTATGTACTGATCATCTTCTCACACTGTGTAGGATTTTATTCACTCAGCACCGATGCATCCATTCCCTGCCACGGTGTCGATGGCCCTGTATTTTCCGAGGCAAAACTCTGAACTCAAAACTGTTCATCTATTGGAGAGACCTTGTGTTTTGGGTTGCTCTGTGTGGGGCGATTATGCCTATGTATTACATTCACTTTCCATCTCATCGAACTTTCCTTTATAGTTTGTGCAATATTTTCTGCTAATAAATGTCAGTTCAGTTCACTGGTTTCTCAGCGAGATGCGAGCGCTAAAAACTTCGGCAATCTGAGTCTACAGCGATGGATTAGGAATTCCCCTGCGTATGTTTGTGAAGTAGCGTCTTCTCCACGTTCTCTGGCGAGCCAAGCCTTCCAACCTGCGAGCCCAATGCACCGACAGGGGGATCACTACCACCTCGTCAAGTATTGGGCGGGATACGTTATCGTTAATTAGGATTAGCCCCGACGATACTCAACTAGAAAACATACGCTTGTTGCCTGCCTAGAGCTTGCTAGAGGTAGATCTCTGCCGACTAGCCCGCTCGCCGGTGCCGGCTCTTCAGCTGACTCGTGCTGGTGAATGAACCCCCATCCACTCATGCGAGCCAGTTGTGTGAAAGCTAAAGACAAGCATGCCTGGCTATGTCGCCGTCTGCACTGCGATGCATGCCAGTGAATGACCGTGGACACCAGGGCCACTGCCGCTGCTCAGAAGAAGGTCTGGATGAGCAAGATATCCACCATGCAGACGCAACAGTGGCTCCGGGGAGAAAAAGTATTCAAGCGCGCCTGGACATGCGCCCGCAAATTGCTCGTCAGCTTGTGGAGAAAATGCCAATGTGATCATTGCCAAAAAAGCCCAGGCGAGGTATCCTCTCGTCATTCTGTCCAGTCAAAACAGTGCATACCAAATACGGCAAATTTCTTCTACTCGGCTTGTGGGCATTCCGTTCGGTACCGTGGATCGTGGACCAAAACCACCCATAGGCGCTCGGCTCAGCGAAGCTGGATTTGGTATCTTAGAAATTGTCGCCTAACGCCCCGTAATTCCTCATTTGCAGCCAGATCGCCACAAGTACCTACTTCATCTTTTTCTAATAATAATAATGAAATTCTAATTGTGAGGCAAGTTGTGGCGAGCATAATCGACAGTACAACTGGTCCGAAACTATAGCACATGCTGCTGCACAACCTTGACAAATTTTTGAACTCTAACGGTCTGTCTCTCTTTTCGCCTCGCTCCGTATGGTTGAAGCAAACGATCATGTTCAGATGTTGTAATCGCTCGTGTGTGCTCGGAAGTGCGGTGAACAGAAAACTCTCTCGCCATCTCATTGGCAATCAGGCCGAGGTAGTGCATATGGTGTGGGGATATTGATTGCAACGATATACCCATTCCAGCACTCTGCAGATCAGCACGGATTCACCGCACCGCGAAATCAAGAGCGAGTTGTTTTGCGAGCTCAGGCTCTAGACCCTTGAGACGAGTCATAAATGGCATGCGAATATCTTGGTGTCTGTCAGCTGATGCTGATACGTTCAGTTGCATGATGCTTTCTCCGTCATATTCTTCGCAGCGAGGTCATTTGCATGAAACCAGAAATGTATGGTAATCTGGCACGTTAGATCTAGTAGTGCGCAGTCCTTACTGGACGATTGCTGACCATAAAACAAAAACTTCTGACACTTTTCAGAATGGGGGCTGAATTGCGACTTGGTAATCGCCAGGTCGAGACCCAATCTGTCAACCAGCCTCGTGAGCTGACAAGTGCTCGCCAAAATAAAAATAAAAACACCGAGTTCCATTTCGTCGAGTTTCACCGTTTAACTGTGGCTCTCCACTGTTGTGCATGACAGCGCATGACGTGTTGATGGCCCATGCCACGTCCCATCTTATTTGGTCAAGACGAGATGCGACTGGATAGTTTGAATAAATATACTCACTGGCAATTATCGGTATCTACCGAAATGCACAGGCAGACACGCGTCTAACCAGATATCTACTAGACCCTCATTGTTCCGCTGTAAGGTGCTGTAAGGGGTGGGAGTGTGCAGCAGATCATCGACCTGGCCATGGGTTTGTTATGCTGTTTCGTGGCTCAAGCATCTTTGCCAACGTGCGCGCACGAACAAGCGGTGATCTTGCACATTAAGCATTAAGCATTGAAAATTGTACATCATAACTAACCGTGTACTCATGCTGCATTTATCCGCTACTGTGTTCTCACAGACTTTTCCACACCACCTCACCAAAAGAAAAGGCATCAAGCATGGTTCCCCAGAGAGATTTTCCACTAGAGCGATCTGTCAGGAACTGTTTTAGGGCGCCAGCGTCACCAGATCTATGGCGACCCGAGTCTCTGGGTAGACTAAAAAAGCGTGATGCTTTGGAGGGGCACAGTATTGCGAACTGGAATGCTAGCTCGAGATAGTATGACCTATATTCAACGAGGCAGCTAGTGGTGATACTATATTTCAACGACATGCCAATGAATAATCACATGTGTAAGAGAAGTCTTTTCGAGCTTCTTGACCGCAATCTCGTAAAGCCTTTGGGGGCGCTTCCGTTGTCGAGCAGTCCGATCACACGCATGTATTCTTTCCACACACCGCCATTATAGTAGCAATGAAATTTGACAAAGAACTACAACAATGCATAACAGGTCAATGACCAGTTGGCAAGATTCATTCCTACATAGGCTGCAAAGGGAGATGAATCAACAGTCACGGAAATCGGTCAACTCCTATCAGCCGCCCATGCTTTGTGCCGATGAGCCATCAACAGGTTCCGGGATAGCTGACACACATACTTGACAGCGATTCATAATAACACTGTGCTGCAGGTAAAGTCGACAGGGTCATGTTTATGCACCCATCGAGGCTGAACCAGTCAATTGACAAGATGGGGTACCAGGTATCATGCAGAAACACCTTGGTGGTAGTTCACGTGGGTGACATGTGCACAGGTAAAGGCGCCGTGGCAACTCCCGACTTGACAGTGGCTTCAGCATGGTTCAAGAAAATGTGAAGGACATGGTTGATGAAATGAATGGTTGCAAATGCAGTGAAAACACTCTGTATAAACGTGCCAACTACAGAAACTGCGCACACTTTTGAATTGACAGGCTACTATACGTCTTCGAAAACATTTGCGCGATCCAGCGAGTCACTTCTTGCAATGCAGCAGGAATTACAGGATGGGACAGAGATGCGGGAATAGAGAAGGGGAGAGGGGGGTAGGAAAGAAAGAAAAAAGCACTCCTCAGCAAGAACAGGAAATCCGGTACGGCCTACCACACTTTGCAATCCGCATCCCGTAGTCCGCAAACCCAGGTTTAAAAAATAAAATAAAACCTGGCTATATACCGTACCGCACGATTCCTCGTCTCTTTCAGGATCATGTCCACAGGAGGAAGCATTCCCGTGATAAGAAAAAGCAACTGGAGCCTCTTGTTCATACTTTAATCTTGCACGTTCTCAAATTGATAAACCTCGCTTTTCGACACGGGCGAATATATTGCCCGTGGCATTTCGACACCCCTGTTTTCTGACAATATTCTGTGACAGAATGATCACAATGAAATTTCACGTACCATGTATCAAGCAAAGCGACTATCCGTATTACAGGCGAGGCATGGTCGCCAATATTGTTCCAAGACCAGGATGTTGGGGCGAAGATCCCCATCGCTCCAAGCGAACCCCATGCGCAAACCCAGCGCTGTGCTGTAATCCCCGACTGGCGCGAACTTAAATCTCAATATCCTTGTCTTCGTTGCGGCCACCCAACCCCCGCATAGGCAGAGGTCGCCTTCTTGACAGACGCTGGTTCGACCTTTAGAACACATCGTAGGTATTCCATACTAACTTGTTATATATCGGCTACAGGGTTGCCACGAAGCGCCAAGGCACATACAGTAAGCACACTGTAACTTATGATTGGTTTACGTACATAGCAGACCACAACCTGAATTGGACAACGCTGCCGCATGCGCTCCGGTGGTTTGGATCAATTTGTCCCGCCGCGCTGGCGGAGCACGTCGGGGTGTCACGGGCTCCCTTAGGAGACCACTTACAGTGCATTTTGGACATGCAGAGTACTTTCACGGATCGAACGACCCCATACACCTCTGATTGACCATCTATCGAATAGAAATGGGTAGTCCCAGATCATACACGTATTTGTTGGGCACACTAATCATCATTCAAAGGTGGACTTGTCGACCCATCCAAGCCCCTCCATCCATCCGAGTCCGACCCCCTGGATCCCTCTCGGTGGCTTTGTGGGAAAGATTAGTCAACGTGGTGTCAATAGCACGACATGGGATTTTCATGCATCGATATGCAATTCCGCCGTCAATACGATTACGGTGATGCGGTGAAGATGGCAGAATATTGCCGCCTGATCCGTGACTAGAGGCGCTTTGCGGGTACGGATTACAGGCTGGCCATCCTTCACAAATGCCCGTTGGTCGGCCCTCGATCAGTAAAGACAAAGTTATGCTCAGCAACTTTTGTCAAATGCTCGCTCGGAAGTCGAGCGCGACACACGATTGTCAGCTAGGTTGGCTGAACTAACCTAGACAGGCAAAACCTACCTATACTGTAGATCGTATTGGATCCCCTTTTATTTTTGGATTAGTAACCTCAAGTAGCTCTGGGCGTGGTATATTGCCTGTCCCAGGTTCGGAATCTTCTCCGCCATGTCACTGATTAGAGCACACCTAGCTTCGCCCACTGCTCTGGTAGCGAATAAAGGCAACTCAATACCGAACAACAATCGACACTATCACAATTGCCGATGATATTGTGCCTGCCACACCCGGCTTGGTATCAATCAGCCATCACAAAATTGGTTGTCTGCTCAATTGCGCAAGCAGAAAGACTGCGGCGCTAATGGTAAGTGCCGTGGGAAACCGCAGCGAATTACACACACGTGATTGACAGTACCGCACTGCATGCCCGAGTCATCGTTGGCAGCTCACGTCATGATTATACTATAACAAATCAGCACACATGAAATAACCTTGCGCACTGTCCTCCAAGACCTGGGGCATGGCCAACCTGGACCCTCGACTTGAGAGTCTGGACTTACCTTTTACTGTAGTACAGTTGTGTTCGAAAGCCAGCCGTTCCTTGCTGGTTTTAGCGGCAGTTGAAGCCATCAGCGCGGCATAGGTCCTGGAAGCATTCGTCGTCGGCAGCTAACACTAACCACATGGCTAGTCAAAATATAGTAGAGAACACGCTTGTTCACAGTGGCTGGGCGAACGCGAGCGGAAGCCAACATCATGGCGGGTGTCAACAATCAGATTCCAGCCTAGCCCATCGCGCAAAAACAACGGAATGTGGGTGCGGAAGTAAGGGCGGGCAATTCTTTCAAGATCTAGCACAAGGCCAAGCGGCAAGCTATCAAACAATAATCAACCAAGGAAATCTGTCTCAGATTGCACAGACAATGTCATGTCCTAGCAACTCGGCACGGATGATAATCAACCTTGAGGTTCTTTCACACTTGCAAGCGGGCTTGTGTAGCATACATAACATGATCGTTGATGAGAGCACGAACACACTCTATTCTGTTATTCTTCGCAACAATAGAAGAGCCTTCCTGTCGGAGGTGCACTGTACAAGCGAGCCCGGATAGAAACTGTTCATACTGTAGCATGGTTACAGTAGCCATGACTCGATATACCTCAAGTGGTCCACCAGAAAGTTCCTTGCATTCATTATTTTGCAAATCATGCGCATTGACCTATGCTGATTCTCTGTACGTTGTGGGTTTCTTCTAGTCGAAGAAGTTCAATGACCTGTTTCGTGCTAATTCACGAAATCTATCTATGACAAGTTGGTCGCGGGCATGCCACGTTTTTCGGGAACGCTGTCTGTGCAAAGCCGCCTCCAATTGTAATTGCGGTCGGCTCCTAATTGTGTGAAGTTGTTTCTGCGCAAGTACATAGTACCTCACAGGAAATGCTCCGTTGGGTTTTCTGACTGGTAAAGGTGGGCCGACTCCTCTCAAGAATAGAATGAATATTGGAAAAATGATATCCACTGCTAGTTGGGCAAGCTGAGCTGAGGACGCTATCGAATATTGCCCTGAGGCACCAATCTATATCTGGAAAACCTGACGAAATTGTTTGTTGCAGATCTTGCGCAATAAATCGCACAGATACAACCTTACTGATCGTTCCCTTGCAGAAATTCTTTCAATATGCACCATGAAAATTTGCAGAAGAAGCATACTAAATATCTCAAGCCGAATACCCCCATGGCTGAGGGTGTTTTGGCATATCTGCTGCAGCGATGGGAGCCACGCCAAGTGAGTTACCTCTACGAGACTGACTACCTACGTACGGTCTAGGCGGCGATCATTTACGCACAGAACTTTTCGGATCCGACGTGACCGCGGTTCCAGATTACCCAGCTAGTAACCTTAATTCTAGACAGTGTCAAGGACAACCCTCATCGACAGCATTGCTATCTGCCATGGATACCCTCGATACCGATGGCATAATCTCTCTTGACGCGTTCTCGGCGATTTACAATTCCTACGACGGTTGCTCGACACCAAATCCCTGTGAATATCATCCGCGACACGCCCCTTGCTAGATCTGCATATCTGAGTGCCAAGAGCTGCGATGACGATCACTTCTCCATAGACAAAGCTGATGCTCATACGCTAGCTCCCTTGATTCGACAACAATTTCATCAGACTTTCTCTCTGCCATTTCAGATCATGCCAATGTCTTTTTTTTCTTCTTTTTTTTTGTGGATTTGCGATATCTTGGTCCGATCGCAGGAAGACATCTAAAACTGCTGTATGGATTCTGAGATATGGAACTTTGAACGC